AAAGCCACATAGCTTTCTGGTTAGCTGTCTTATTTTAGATGATTGCTATAAATTACTTTTACGTTTAAATCCAGATATTTTAATTGGTATTCTTGTTTTCCGTTCTAGATCTTAGTTGATTATCTGTTGAGCATACTAAACCTCATTCTTAGGTTCCTCTCGTTTTGATTGCGCAGATAGAAAGGCTTAAGGTAGAAGTATACAAAGTACTAGGACAATCGATAGCAATAATGGTCATTGGCTAACCTCACAAACTTCCTCAGCACGAAAAGCTCTGACTCATTGTGCCTATGGCTTACGCTCAAATGTGTATATTTTAATTCCATATAATAAAACAGATATTACTTCCCTTCCTTCAGATAAGGACGCCCCTTGAGCTTATATTCGGTAGAATAGTGTTCTATCAATCATTATAAATTTTAGTTGTTACGCTATTACTCCAAAATTATGGGCATCGTAGTTCATCTATTGTGACATTCACAACCTCCTAAGATGGGTTTGAAGGTAGGAGCCAGGTTGTAGAACCTGAGGGACTCGGGTCTCACACAGTAAGGTATGCACTTCGCTGCGGTCACCAGTTGTTGACAACTGTTACTATTGTTGATTGAAGGACTTTTCACCATGGCTCTAGATATGAGCGATTCTATCTACATATTTATGCTCAAGGGTTGCTGACATGCCTACTTAGTCATTCCAATTATCACTAAGCACTTCCTCAATTAGAGACCAGGTGTTGCGCTCGATTATCCAGTGCTTCTTGGCACTAATAATGTTCCACCCTTCTAACTGGCTGATGTCCTAATCGTAACATACATTCTCTTGATTAGCTGACATCTTAGACCAGCTCCACCCCGACTTCTCCCGGTTGGGGCCAGCGGGCACAAGCTACGCACATGGTTTTTTTTCCTGCGTAATGCACTTAGCAACCTGTTGCCCGCCGTCGCCGTGGGCATGACCGAGTACTTAGATAGGGTAGATCCTGGTCAAAAAAACACACATACATACAATCCTGACCGTAACAGCTATCATTATAGCTTTAGATACTGTGGCCTTTAGTCTCCACAGGTCAATTTTGTGTCTAGGTTGAATATAGATTGGCACTAGTATCATAGTCTTGTCAGTATATAGTATTATTTACTAGCTGAATGATTGGACACTTCTCTGGTTATCTTGTAGTTGATAAAATTGCAGATGCATTTTGACGTCCCAGATAGGCGTCCTAAGATTGACTCGAGAGGTACCAGGCCGGTGATGATGATGATTCTATTTTTCGGCCACGTTCTACCCTACTTGGGGTACTGGGCCGTGCCCACGACGCCGGCGGGCATAGTTATACTATCTATAGCTACTTACAACTTATAAAGTCCTGCGCCAGGGAAAGCCTAATGGCAGAAACCTGCGCGTGGTTTAAAGGAAAGAAAAAGGCATATTCTTTACAAAGTATAAAGAGAGAAGGAGAAGCTACGCATTGGGGAAAGCCTGTGGGAAAACAATCTCGAGTGGGTCTTCCTCCTCATCCACGACCTCTCTAGTGGCAGGTGAGGAAACGCGAGGCGGAACTGGGTGGATGGGAATTGGTTCCAGTGTCAGTGGGTCGAGGATCTCCCCATATTGACGCAACTCGTTGACCCGTCTTAGGTGTAAATTTAAGGTTTTGTAAAAAGCGCGCGCATCGAGCCGGGCTGCATCTGGATTGCCCAGCTAGCGATAGGGCACATACCGAGGTGTCCGCGGCGGACTACCTGACCGCACACACAAGTCTTGATAGCCTCCGGGAGGTGGAGGAATCAGCCCTAGAGCGGAACCTTAGGAGCCGAAGCAGCCTGGCTTACGGGCTTGGCTCGGTCTTCAACCAGCCTCGCATCCTAAGCCTTCTCGAGCTCCACCGTGTAATGTGTAATGTACAGCGGTGGTGGGCGGAGAACAAACCAACATCTTGTCCGTGGGGTGGCTGGTCGTCCAAGGCCTTCCTAGCGCTCCCTAGGCACATTCTAAGCCGATGGATACAGGAGGTTTCTGGCAATGGTGATTTCGCTGAGTATCACCAACGAGTGTCCTATGCTACCTGGGGCAAGTCAGGTGCAGCCCGGTTAGATGCCCGTGCCTTTGGCAAACCTTTACTCTATATTCGAGATGTGTCAACGAGCTCTGCCAATGTGGAGAGATCCTAGATCCGCTGACACTAGAGCCGCTGCCTATCGGACTTGCGCCACTCCCCACCCTCCTGTACCTACAGCAAGAGCAGACGAAGATGAAGAGCTAGAATCACTCGAGATTGTTATACCACAAGGGCTTTCTGATTGTTAAACTGTCTTTTTGTTCACCGACTACATAGAATACTCTCCTAGTTTCTTGAACTACGCGCAGGTTTCTGCCAGCTGGCTTTCCCTTGCGCAAGATACCCAAAGTAGTAATTAGGTATAGTTAGAAAAACTATACCCGCCGTCGTCATGGTCACGACCTAGTACCCCAATAGGGTAGAACGTTGCCGGAAAATGGAATCATTATCATCATCATCAGTTCTCTTGCCAAACTCACTAGTTTTGAATCAAATCTCGTTGGGCAGTGGAATAATAAATTCTCTATTTATCGATACCACTTTCTTTCTCTGAAATTGTTGTTTTGTGGTTGGGTTGTAATGTCGTTGGGCTACCTTGTGTCCAAGTCTTGGGTTAACGAACAAACCAGTGTTATTTGGTTTGCAGTTGTTCTGTGTTTTTTTGTTCGGTGGGTAACCAGACCCTCTTATCGATAAAGATCGATATGGAATACAGAGATGGACACTCTTATCGATATGATCTTATCAGTGTCCCTTGAATAAGCAGAGATGGTTTTGTGAGGAGTTCTTCATGTTGCTAATTGTTCAGGGTCTCCAAACAGCTGGATACTTACTTATTAGATCCTTTTCTCAACCAGGATGCCCGACAAGACCTTAAGAGTGGTGACATATGCTGCAGGTGCTTCCCTCGCAGCTATAGCGCTGATATATGTGTTCGGCCCAACTTACTTCTTGGACACATCAACTTCAAAGTCATCGACACGCAGGAAGGGCGTCGTGGGCCTCTCAAACCCTGCCAATGATTGTTTCATCAATTCTGTGCTTCAGGCGCTTGCAGGTCTTGGAGAGCTCCGACTCTACCTCATTCAGGAAACCCACCGCCGCAATCTCGATGATGAGTCCATTTACACCCGACTGATCCCCCTCTCTAGCGCCGATGAGAACAACGTTGTTCTGCGCTTCCCGAAAGACATACCTGACTGGAAGCTAGTGGGCTTACAAATGGGAATAGTCACTAAAAGTTTGAAAAAAATACTTGATGCTTTAAACGAGCGGCCAATATACAAGAAAACTATTTCCGCTGCGCCTTTTGTTAGGGCCTTGGAGGAAGCATTTCGGCAACGTATCAGTCGACAACAGCAAGATGCGCAAGAATTTTTACAGATTGTGGCTGAGAGGCTTTGTGATGAGTATTACGCGGGGTGCAGGGCACGGCGGCTTGCCAAAGGCTCTGCTACTCCTCTGGTGAACTTAGGTGCACTTGGCAGTACTCCTGAAGAGACTGGAGATGTCGACGGCACCATTTTGGCGGTTAGCGATGGTCGATTGAAAATTTCATGTCCCAGCCCTAGAGCAGGTCCAAATTTAGGGGACGGCTATCATGGGACAAACAGGAGAAGTCAGCAAGGGTTTGTGGAAGAAGATGAGGATGGGTTTCCACTGGAAGGCAGGCTTGAGTCGCAGATCGAATGTTTGACTTGCCGGTTTAAGCCTCGACCAACTGTGTCAGCCTTTTGCACATTGACCCTCAATGTTCCTCAGGTTTCAACAACTACACTGGGAGATTGCTTCGACGGACTGCTCAAGACTGAATACATCGATGATTTCAGATGCGAGAAATGTCGTCTATTACATGCACTCGCCTTCTACGAGAGAGAGGAACAACAAGCATCCTCTGAGGCTGCGAGGGCAAGAACGCAAGAAGTCATAAAAAAGCTGCAGTTGGCGATCGAGTCGAATCCCGAGCAGCCCCCCCAGGACGTTGTACTCCCAGATATTCACCAGGCACCGAAAAGAAGGATAGCACGGTACACCAGGATTACCAAATTCCCGAGAATTCTTGCCATCCACCTTTCGAGATCCATATATGATGCGAGCCACATGTCACTTAAGAACATGGCAAAAGTTGCGTTCCCCGAGTCACTGCCCCTGGGCAGCCTGCTTGAACAGCGCCGCTATAAGCTCGTTAGTGTTGTAACACACAAGGGTAGCCACAACAGTGGACATTATGAGTCCTTTCGGCGTCAAAATATATACCCTCCCTTCTCAAATCCAAGCACGTTCCAAGTTTCGTCAGCATTCAGCCGGGTACCGAGTCCTGCATCCACGGTCCGAACACACATTCATCGGGCAGATCCAGATGACATACGCTCAATGGATTCTAAAGAATGTTTTTCAGCTGTGACTGTTCAGAGCCCGTCACCCATCCCCTCTAGTCCTATCCCTCGGCGCCCGGCGGAATCGAAGGGCTCAGCATCCGTAAACGAGCAAGAATCGGCTGGTTCTCAGGTGCACTCGACAACACCCTTATCCAGACGCATAGATGTTGGTACAACAAGCTCAATACCATCTGAAACGGGGCTCCCAACCCTATCATCGAAGCCAAAAGCTAAGCGTCACAAGCAGCCAGGTCGTTGGTGGAGGATTAGTGATGATAAAGTCAAGGAAGCCACTACGCGGGACGTTTTGAGCATGCAACGGGAGGTGTATCTTCTCTTCTATGAATGTGAAAAGCCATTGACGTAGTAGCTTGAAGGTGGTATATGTTCGGAATTCGAGATCAGGAAAAGCACTATGTAGAAAAGAGCAGATCTCCGCTCACCTTGTTCAACCCTGCTGTATTATATCGACCTAACATCTCTATGTAATAGCATTCATTATCCGCGACAAGTCTGAGAACCTTCTTTCATTGACCCAGAGCAAATCAATCAACACCCCAGTGTCACTGTCCCAGCAGCTCTCTCGCAATTTTGGCAGCATCCTCCTGGCTCAGCCGAGGCTCGTTGCGTGCAGCCTCTGCCTTCTCGAAGTCAAACCGCCAAAGACCGCCTGTCTTATCAGAATCACCGTGCGTTGGTAACCCTACAATCGGCCCAAGGTTAGCGAGGATCGGATCTGGCACATCATTTTGAGCTGTGAAGTAACGCCGTTGCCAAGTGCGGCCCTCGGCTCTTTCTTTGGCCCTCGCCTGCCGCTGGGCATTCTCGATCTTGCTCTTTTCCACACTGACTGTCTCAAGGTCACCCTTGGTAATAGCAGCTGCTACCTTGGCCCAGGCCCGCCTTGATTCTAAGGGATGCTGCTCTTCAATAGGAGAGACAATGAGTTTGCTCGGTGGTGATAGGAGTGGATCCCAGGAATCAACTATGGTATCTTTGCTGTTGTATTTAAAAGGGCCAGAGTGGATTTCAAAGTCTTTGGTCCACTGACCGGAGATGCTGAACAAGACCTCTTTTTCCTTGCCCGTGGGGTAGAGAATGGCAGTGAATGAGTTTTTCTTGCCAGAAATCCAACCCCGGCCGCTGTAGTCAATCCTCGCCGTATAGCCCGTAGATGAAGTAATCCAGGAGGAGCCATCCAGCTCAATAAAAGGGGAGCCCAGCAGAAGACCCTCAATGTGCAAGGAGGGCAAGGTGATCAGGTATTTGTCGGGCCTGTCAGAGGCAGGCGCTGGAACAGTGAGAACAGCATGACCGATCTGCTTGATATTAATGGTCTTAGAAAAGGATGCCTTCTGGGCATTGTAGCCCTCCAAACGCACACCGCTGGAGAGGTTGGTGATGTTATAAGCCGTTGCGGGAGGGTGGTGGCTGTTGAGAATGGAACAGATTGTCAGCAAGCCGCCAAATAGCTGACACTACGAAAAAAAAGATGCGATGCAGAGCACCGACCTAACTTGTTCGCTGATCAACTCGGTAACCCCAGCTTCATCCTCCCATTTTCCGAGAAACAGCTCCCCCAAAAAAGGATTCAGGGGCTTCTTCTCGTTTCCATATTGCTCGCTCCGGCTGGCATACTGCTGTTTCAAAGTGGTCAAGAACCACTTGAGCACCAGGAGTGCCCTCCTTGCGGGATCGGACTCCTTAGAAGGGGCAACAAAAACTGAAGGATGTTCACACCAGTACGAGCTGAACTCGGTGAGGCTGGTCGGCGAGAGGATAAAAGGCGGTGCGGTCAGGCTGGAGAGATCGCCATTAAACGATGCGATTGACTATGGTGCCGTAGCATGAAGTTAGCACCAAAAATCAATGGCGCGGGGGAAGAGCACGGAAAACCACAAGAAAATGACAAATACATAGCGCCACAACCTAGAGCATAGCCTGCTCCCACATTGGGGAGTGGGATATTAACACAAGATAAGCAAATATCTAACCTTAAGGAACGCACCCCAACTTCCACCTCCACTTGTATTCTGCACGGACGGTGCAGAGGTCGTCGTTGTCGTTTGGGACTCCATTGCCGTTGTGAAGTTGCGAGCTCGATTGTATCGTGGTAGAAGGCCCTTGATAGTCTAATGGAAGATCGCTCCAACTCCCTGGCTTGCCTCTTTAAATCCTATGTCCTTGGGGCGTAGGTTGCGGGATGGGCTGGTTTTGGATTGTAGATCGTAAATTTCCAATGTTGGGACCTGCAGAGCGGCGCACCAGTGGGTACGCATGCAATGTTTCGTACCGGCTTGGCGGGGCACGCCCAATTCGTACCCGACTGATGGCGCCATCCTCCCTGCTTTACTGCCGATATACCTCTACAAGATTGATATTTGTACTGTGATTCGAATATTTCTACTAAGGCATAGTGTCCTCGATTAATTTCTACCTAGGCGGGTACAGAATAGGCAGTGCCAACTTAGACATTTACCTAGCAGGTATATAATGTGGCCTTCTACTAAAGGAACTGTTCGTCGGTTTCAACAACGCTATTAGGGTCGCCTTCTTTATCCACTTTACAGCTACTTCCACGAGAGGTGACGACAACGGAGACCAGGAAGAAATAGGAAAAGAGATATTACCTTCATACTACTTGATCAAACTAATTCTGCTTCCACCTCAGCTTTCCACCAGTCCGACCATTTAATCACTTTCTTACCGCGTCTCGCCTCCTCTGCGCAGAATACCATGGCATGACTGCGGACGACCTCCTCAAGAGTGCAGCCAATTAATTCCCTTTGAGCCCTCTCAGTCGACCAGCCATGATTTTTAACCTTATCAATGGCAAGAATGAATTGATAGGTTAAGCCAATATCCCCTCCCCCATGGTTTTGGTCGACTGAACGGGGATAGAATACCCTTGTTTCCCCTGTTTGAAAATTCTCAACAGTAATTGTCTTGGAATCGGCAAAGATTTCTCCATCGACCCCATACAGTCGAGTGTACCGATCACATATTTTTTTCGTATGGGCGACCATATGAAACACTGCAGTCTTCGAAGTGCGACCAGGCAATGGCCGTGTAGAGCCCGGGGTGGTCTCTTCCACAGCGTCGTCCTCCCAGCTAATTGTGACAATCTGTTCGTCGCAGACATCGTTGTCACACTCGTAGACACACCTGCCATACCAACTCCTCCTCGCAACCTCATGTTCTGGCGTGGTGGCATCATAATCATTGGCGAGCTCAGCAAGTAACGCTTGCCTTGCTTCATATTCGTCCCCATATGATTCAATGTCGGGCAGGACAATTCTAACAGGCCAGCCTTTATTGCCGGTTTCGAGTCCAGCCAACTCTTCCCCTACGTAAATGCGCTTGGCTGAGTACTTGCAGGTCGGTTCAACAGGACATGACAGACAATTGGTGGCCGTCCCAGCTTCTCTCGGTTTTCGAGCACGCTTGAAGTGGTGCAGCGAACCGGTGCTAGAAACAGTGGACGGAAGATGCGGTTGTTGGCTGTTCTCGGCCCAACAGTCAACTGGTGAGCACAGGAGCCATAAGAGGATGTCGATGTCATGGCAGCTCTTGGTGAGCAAACTCGGGGCGGAGGTTCGTTCACGACGCCTACGACATGTGCAATTAGCGATACGGGGTTAACCACCTGGATTGGGTTCGCATGGAATGACTTACCAGTTTCCACGGACATAGCTATGAGCAAAATGCCACCAACCAACAGGTTCAGTATGAACAACAGAGAGAACATCACCGATAACACGATCTTTGAGCAATAGCTTGCGGAGCAGCATGTTATGAGGTGTATAGCGCAGTACATGACCAATAGAAAAGAGAGCTTGCTGGCCATCTAGAGTTGTGTTGTGCCGTAATGCTTTGTACATGTCTAAGCAATCACTGAGAGTCGTTGCCAGTGGCTTCTCGCACATAATGTGCAGCCCCCCTAGTTTGACGAGCTCGAGAACAACTTCGCGATGCATTTCATCCAGGACGCACACGAAAGCGGCGTCTACTCCAAGAGGCACATCTTCCTCTCCTGATTCTTGTCGGGCCCGGCGGCAACGTTCATATTCGATGAACTCTCTCCAGTCAGCGAAAGAGGAACCCTCAGGAGGGGAATTGCCTTTCCCCCATATCACAGCCTCGCCCAAGCACATCCTCTTGTACTCGTCCGGCTCTGCAACGGCTACGACAACTCCATTCGTGAAGGATTTTATTATGTTTGCATATGTTCGGCCACGCGAGCCTGCCCCAATGATCACTATCCGAGGGGGATTGGCTGAGTAGGGAGCTTGTTCCAACCAAGTCGAAAAGCTGGTGCTGAGGTATTCATCGCCACATGCACCCGCCCGACACTCCGGTTGTTTCTCTTCTGCCGGAGCCATGGTAAAATAAACGTCAAGGCAAGTGTGCAGCCACGTTCTGGAAGATGAGCGATTGATGGTTAGGCAAGAAGTGGGATGCAGTGTCTCATGGTATTGATCCTGCTGGGCTGTGAAGAACCTAGAAGAGAAATGCCTCGGGCACTACTAGAGTATGTGGCTTTTGCGCCCGCAGACTCTGATTATGTGTTCAAAAGGTGAGAAGAACTTGTGCAAGAACACATTGCTCTGTTTCACCTTGGCATGGAGGGGCATCCATACGTCTTGTGGTTGCCAGCTGGCTGCAACGTCTCATTTTAACTGTGAGCACGGAAACATTGGGCTTTCATAGCAGATACAGCACGTAAGATTACTTAGGCCAGTATGTCACAGGCAGATCCTTGTCAGAACTCCTTACTCCAGCGTGCATGTTCTGTCAAGCTATTACCAACAAAGAGCATGTTTTGTAATTTTTAAAGTTCCCGAATACCCCCATATATAGGTGGCACACTAGAATACATCCATAGTGGCGTACATTGTCCGCTCTGGTTACTGTACGTTGATGAAGCGCATAAGATATGGAGGATGTCCTGGGTGGTCTTGGTATAGGAGTACCAGGGTTTGTTTTGTTGATTCCTTGGTGAGGTTTTACGGCGCTCTTGGACACTCTTGGGTGGGCATCCTCGCCAAGGAGCTAACAAAACAAACCCGCACACTTTGTACGCATTAGGGATTGGATCCAATTACTCAAGCGGTAATCCACAGTCCGCAACCTGACCGAGCGAGAATACCACCCGCAGCCAGGCACCATCATATCTTACTATACACAGCACTGTGGATGTGAATTTGAAAACAACCTTGACCACCTCCATCGGTAGGAAAGCCTCAGAGTACGTTTTTTTTTTCACCAGACGACGTAATAGATTGTGCATTTTGCGACATAGGTGACTGGAGCAAGAATCAACGCCACTGTGCCCATTAGCGATTGATGATCGACGTTTATTCTCAGAGCTTCTCGAAGCCATGTCAACCAGCATTTGTTCACAGGTCCGAGACCCTTTGGTTTGGATTGACTGTGAGGTGTGTCTTTTGCCTATTGCTTACATCAAATGCCTTATACTGATGTCCATGTTTTAAACCAAATGTAGATGACTGGACTCGACCCAGACAAAGACGACATCATTGAAATCTACTGCCTGATCACCAACGGCCAGCTTGAGCTTGTTGACGATTCAGGTTGGGGCACTGTGGTGCATCAGTCGGCTGAACGCATGTCGATGATGGATGAGTGGTGTACCCGTGTCCGTGAGTACTTTTTGTGCGGTGCTTCCAAATGTCGTAAGCTAATCAACAAGAAGATGGTGAGAGTGGGCTCACCCAAGCAGTCATCAACTCAATGGTTACCCCTGAAGAAGCAGCCGATGGCTTGCTTGCCTACATCAAAAAATACGTTCCTGAGAAGAGGGTAGCGCTTCTTGCAGGGAACAGCGTGCATGCAGATCGGGCCTTTCTTCGGAAGGAACCCTACAAAAAAGTGCTTGATCACTTGCACTATCGTATCTTCGATGTTAGTAGTATCAAAGAAGCTACACGCAGATGGAGGTATGTTCACAAGTTTAACATCCCAGTTCTACAAAATGATATACTGATACCTGAACTGTTAATTGGATGATATAGGCCTGATATTGCATCTAAAGCACCTTGTAAAAAGGGTTTGCACAAGGCCAGGGAAGATATACTTGAGAGCATTGAAGAAGCCAGATTTTACAAATTGGCCCTGTTTGAAAGGAGTCATGATACTCAGGACAACCAGCCCTAGCAGTTGTGCCCTCGTATTTGACTCGATGTCTATTTACATTTTATATGCATGACTGTTGCTCTAGGTCTTAACATCTGGCTCATCCCTGCCCACAAATTCCTTAAACTTCAACAACTCTGTTGCCATCTGGATCTCAGGCTTGAGAAATTCCTGTGCATCCATGTCATATGTCGCAGGGTCACTGCTGTGCTGTTCTAGATACAAACGGATGGTAGCACCTGACGAGCCGGTTCCCGACAGCCGAACAACGATGCGCGTCCCATTGGAAAAGCAGACATAGAGTCCTTGGTTGGACGACACTGAGCCGTCAAGGTCGGTATACGAGAAGTTTCCAGCTTTGGTTACGGTGCGATCTAGTACAATGCCTTGGTTAACAATGCTCACAAGGGAAGGGGTTGGGTCCAAATCCAAGCAGGGGATCATCCGATCTCTTTGGACAACTGTATAAATGGTAGAAAAAGGATTGCATCAACATACCTCCGATCTTGCTCCCGACAAAGTTGGGGTCGGCTATAAGATCTTTCAAGACACCCACGACTTTATTGGCTCCTTCGGTATCGACATTCTCGTAATCATAACGAGTGAAGAAAGTGCGGCCATACTCGGTCCAGAAATCTTTCTGAATTTGCTTGATGCTTGGAGTAACCTCAGGATTGGCCATGCCGAGACCGGCAATGATATTGAGCCATGCGACAATGGCCCAGAGACCATCCTTCTCCCGGATGTGGTTGCTGCCAGTACCAAAGGATTCTTCGCCACAGATGGACAACTTGTTAGCATCAAACAGTGCGCAGAAGAACTTCCATCCAGTTGGCACCTCGTAGCAAGCAAGGCCAAGCTTCTTGGCCACCAAATCCACGGCACCAGAAGTCGGCATGCTGCGAGCCAGACCATAAACACCATTCTTCTTGAAATAGGGAATCAGCTGGTTGTGATGGGCGATGATGGCAAGGCTGTCCCCAGGAGAGACAAAGGCACCGGCGCCATAGATCATGTTACGATCGCCATCGCCGTCGGAGGCAGCGCCGAAAGGGATCTGATTCTTCTCAACCGTCTCCACCAGCCCATGTGCATACGTGAGATTGGGATCTGGGTGGCCGCCGTTGAAGTCGGGAGAGGGCTCGCAGTTTTGCGTCGAATCGGGGCCCAAGCTCAGCTCTCGTTCAAAGATGGCCTTGCCGTAGGGGCCCGTGACGCCAGAGAGACCATCAAAAAGGACCTTGAAATCGGGATGAGTGGCGAAAAACCTCTTGATCAAATCGAAATCGAAGATGTCCTTGAGCATCTCAACGTAATCAGCGGTACTATCTACCACTTCAACCTCTAGGCTCCCATATGCCTTGACGCCGACCTCCGAAATGTCGATGTCCGGAATATCGGCAATTTTGTACGATGTTAGAGCCTTGGAGGTCTCGAAGATCTTGTTTGTTACCGACTCGGGAGCAGGGCCGCCGTTAGCAAGGTTGTATTTAATACCAAAATCATGCTGAGGGCCTGGCCTCCTGATCAGCCTCCACGGGAACTCGACAGAGAAAATCCAACGAGGACCTTACCACCGGGATTATGACTGGCAGTCAAGAGGATACCGCCAGTAGCTTTGCGCTTACGAATGAGATGGCTTGCGGCCGGAGTCGATAAAATGCCGTTCTGGCCGATCAGGAGCTTCTTGACCCCATAGGCAGCACCGATTTTTGCGATCAACTGAATGACCTCAGAGTTCCAGAAACGGCCATCACCACCAATGACAAGGAATGCGCCTATGATGAACCGGTAAGTGCTTGGATGCCCTGATATACAATGGCAAGGGCCAGATAGCGTAGCCGCCACTGTTTGGAGTTAAAGCATCTCTCACCTTCCGCACCCTCGGGTATCGACAGCAGGATGCTAGTAATGAAGGATTCACTGTAGTGGGGCTGCTGGAAAACCGTGACCTTCTTGCGAAGCCCAGATCTGATACAAAGGTAGCAAACAAGTCAGCCAAACTGTTCATGATGCTGAATGCCATGTGACGGAGGGCTTGACTCCAATGCCACCGGGATAGAAGCTCCCCAAGACCACGACAGCGGGGCGAGCAAGCTACGATGCGGGGGCGGGGTATCCTAGGCGGTAGGTGACGTACGTGCCAGGCTTCTGGTCGGTGAAGGGGGTAAATTGGACAGTCTTGACGTGCATCTTGTTTTCGCCTTCCAGCACTCCTGGTGTGCAGCAGTCTCTGGAGGAACTGTGATTGAGCAGCGAGGTCTCTGTGGAAAAGAGTAGGAAGTCTTCGAGAGAAGGAAGAACCGGATAGTTTGGCGGTGGGTGGGAAGATATATTGACAATGAGGGGAGTGAGGGGCAGAGACAAGGATGCAGCCTAAGTGAAGGTGCCCCACTCTGAGCTGTCTGGGCCGGAGCAGAGCTGCAAAATATTCTAACCCAAGCACTATCATGTACTGCCAGGTTGTGGGCGCCGAAGGATGCACTAGGTGTCCGTTCCTTGTGCCAGCAGGCACGAACATTTCGCTCATTTCCATTCTCTAATTCATGTCTGCTTTGCACGACCTTTGCTGCAGAACGACCCAATCTGGCCAGCATCATTCTCATGCCCGTACAACAGCCAATCCCGTCTCGGTTGAAACATTATCCCCACTTATCAAGCGTCTCCCGATTCTCTCCCCTTTAATCCTCGCCAACCTCGGATGTTGTTCCTATGTCGAAGAGAGGTAGGTGGCCTCAGTCTCTTTGAACAGCCATTTCGCATGCGTGCCGGTCATCAACATTTGGTGCCTGACGGATCCACAAGATAAGTAACATATTACCTCAGGTAGGTACCCAGGTAGGTGGATCAAGCCTCAAGATTGTTTGCCTTCCTCTACCCAACTACCTTGCCTTACTTTAGGTACCCAGCTGCCTGACGAACTTACCAGTCTGCATGGCACAATGTTTGGAGAGCAAAAGATCCCAGCTGCCTTTGCTTCGCCTTTTACAGTCTCCCTGAGCAAATCAACCCGCCATTATGGCGTGACCACTTTTGGATAGGGATCAGCGATGACACTATATTTTCATACCGGCACGGCTCCTTCGTAAATAGGGGGAGGATGGAAGATTGACATATACAGTAACTGACAGGTGCTTGTCAAAGCTCGCTTTCCTTAGTGCTACTTCTTGTGTTGACAGCAGCTTAGGTAGTTAGTTTTTGTGTTTCCCTGACGCGTTGATGGTATAGATTCATATGGCACACCATCCCTTAGTTGACAGACACTTGACCTTGTTACCAACTCTGTTTCTTCCAGCCAGTAGATAAATTACAAAGGTAGATCTGGCTGTTTTTGTGAAGTGGCTCGACCCTGTGGATTCTGGTGGAACAGAAGAAGGTCACTGGCCTCCTTAACCCACTCATGACTGAAAAGTCTAAACAAATCAATGCTTCGCCGGGAGGGGAGAGAGGGCAAAGTTGACAAAAGAGAAGACTATCAGCTAGTCGGACGCCTCCGTACTACTCTCAGTATCTGACGAGTTGCCAGATGTCGATGATCTCATTACAAATAATTCCTCGAACCTTTTTGCAGCTGAAAGCAATCAGTCTCAAACTTTGAAACTATAGGAGCAAGAGAAAGAACAGTCTTGAGATAGAAATGGAAGTTCAGCATACCTTCTTCTTTGACGAACCGGATTTCAAATGCCCTTACTTCATTCTGTCGCATGTTCTCTTGGTTATAACTGTCGCAAAATACATAGAGCTGGATGTCCTTGAGCCAGACACGATGCTTTGAGCGACGAATGAGCCAAGTGGGGGATTTCGATTGATGGGTAACTAATGAGTGTCGTGTTAGTTGACCTGACAAACTCCTGCCTTGTGAGACCTACTGAAAGCAGTCCAAACAGGGCATTGACGTAGTTCGCCGTCCCAGACAGCAGCGTGTAGCCGCAGGCCGTGGGTATGTAGGTCTTCGAATACGATCAGGGAATGCCGGAAGCCATCATCGATGATTTGCCTATGTACACCAGGCATGAGGTGAGCTTCTATACCCAGAAGTGCAGTCAAGAGTCTGTCAAGGAAATGACCAGGAGAGTTACAAAGACAGGTAAAATCTTTGTGATATGCCGTATAGGTAGAACAAAGGGGTGGACTCACGCTTGAAACAGCCGTTTCTCTCTGTGCAGTTTGAACTCTGTTGGATGTATGCTAACAGTCAAGGCATTCCTAGCCTTCAGTGCAACAAAGGTGCAGTGAAACAATACCATTTCTGTGGATACGTTAGCCAAACGATATTTGGCCTGTCAAAGGACAGCCAACTGGGTAGCTGCTTGCCTTCCCACGTCATGAAGTAGAGCACTGCCCACAGCTTACTACATTGCCCCGATTGACTCCATCTTTTCAGCTGCAGCGCGCTTGCCTCGCGATTGATGCAGAGTTCATGAGCACCGTACATAGAGTACAAATCTCTATCGTTCTGGATGACCCTCAAAAGAAAATAAGGGCACTGATCCGGTCTCCTCAGTAATGCAGAAATGGATATAGTATTGTTGTCGAAGTATCTACGAAAAAACCACACCAGAAACGCATCATGGGTGGTTGGATTAGCTAATGAGCTTGGCTATATCACTGAGTTCAAAGCAATGGATCACTTACCGCCGGAACAGGATTTCAGAATCTGGGGGGATAGCGACCTGGCCCCAGAGATAAAAGGGCCCATGGCATTTAGAGCTAGAGTAGGTCAGAGGTCTACTGTGGTGTTGCAAAAGAAACAAGTTGTGGTGCTCACGGTTTTAAATGTTTTAGTTCTGTTCGTGAAGGTAGCGGCAAGGAGAATATCTGTTGTGCCCAATGGGCGGGCTTTCGGGTGTCAATGATGCACCTATTACACTTCAAACCCATGAATCATCCGAGTTACCCACCCGCTCCTGTATAGAGGCCGGTAGAGGCAGCACGTGTTGATGGATTAGAGTACCTGTATGAGGGGAAGCATGTGCTTCTCGAAATGGGGTCAGTATGTTTCGGGCAAAGTGTGAGGCTATTATCGGGGAATGGGCATACGGATACCGCGTTGATCACGGAGCTTGAGAATTCTCTGACGAAGTGAGTGAATGGTGTTCAGATCAAAGTCTGGTGACCTGGTCCCAATATTAGAACTTCATCATTAACACTGTTTTCGACCATGTCCCATACCTTGTCAACATCTGGAGCAAGAGTGTCAGGAAGTGGTTATATAAGATAAAGCGTTGAGGTAGAGGAAGCCCCGCTGCTTCTTCAGTCATCTTGTTGTACATCTTTCTCCATCTCAGCTCCTTGGTCAGGGTCTTGTCGTTGTAGTAGGACATGATATCCCGTAAAGATTTAGCTAAGCAAGGTAAGATAACCATGAGATGGTCAATAAGGATCGTGACTCGGCTGATGTGCAGCTGAGACTGAGTAGCGAGATCTGTGAGGAGCCTGCATGTGCTTCGGATCTCCTCTGCCAGAGCGATGAGGTGGCCATGGAAGGTCTCTGCAATAGCTATCCTGAGCTGATCCAAACTTCTGGCAACAAGATTGGCCTCTTCTGCTTGCCGACAACATTCTAGCAGAAGAGGATGAAGCCTATAATTAGGGACTATGAGGGGTGCAGGTACCAATGCTTCCATGTTGAAAGCGTCCATAAAACCTTAACTTCACTCGCTCAATGTAGGCCGGGTGTGCAGGGATTGAGGAAATATGGCTATTACTGTTTGTGTCAAGTCGCGGTTGACCCCAGTCACCATGACCATTTGGTCCTGGGCGAAGTGCACCCGGATTTGATCGTGCTCCAGTCTTAGATGTGGCCCTTGGTTCTACAACGACTGTGCAAGGTACATATAGGCGATGCGGAGCTAGTCGATTGACGTTAAAAATGAGTCGGGCGGGGTAAGCAAGGAGAGAGGTGAGGACAGGGACGTTACTGGTCTCCAACAAGCACCAATGCTTATGTGAGTGTGAGAGGGGTGAGGGAGAGCAAATCACCAGTTGAGAATGGTCGCCTTGACTTGGCTTTTGACATTGGCTGGTCACCCAAGCTTCGCCTGACCACCCGCTAAGAGCTTCTTATGCATAAACAGGTGATGGATCGTTTGCTGCCACACAGACAACTCTTCCGCTGATACCTATCACTGAGGTTTGGCCCGAACTTCAATGCCTACGTTGAGATGGTTATGGAAGACTGGTATGCTTGCCCGTGACACCACAGCACAGATCGTCTCGCAGCCTGATAGCTTGAGAGAAACCAAATTGAAGAGAATATTTACCACCGGTTGCTGCTTTGGTCGGGTTCTGATTACAGCCAGCCATGATAACGCTTGGGTAAATTTTTTGGAGGTACTAAGTGAAACAACATCTAGCCAGGCGAAGTACCGAGCTGTCTATCAAGCTTTCCAGCTATGCACTCTCCGACACTAACTCGGAAGACGCAAAAAGGCTTCTTTGGGATGGCAAATGGCAAGCACCAAGAGGATGCCGTAGCGAGGTGCCACAGGGGATGCATCAACGAGAGAACGCCACGAAGCCGACGCCGCAGCGGCCTCTCTGCTGTAGAGCAAGTAGCATCAAAAGGCAAAACAATGCATGTTGACGGTGCACTACCTTTTTTTATACATTGCACAAAGATCACGGACCAAGTCAAACATTCCCTCAACTACGCGATAGCCGCAGTCTGCTAGATGAAATCATATTGGTATTGATTGACCAACATCATTTAATTTCAGCGCACTGGCAGTAGCGTTTGATGACAAGTCGCAGACAAGCAGTTGATAGCTAGATACCTAGATTAGGATCGCTGCCTACTAAAGGGGCAGCATGGAACAACAAGGATTGGTCATAGCGAGGGAAGTAGTATGGACAGCTCCATACAATACATAGCAGCTAAGCATATGTATATCCAAGGTATACTTGCATCGAACACCTAACGAAGGGGGTATACGGAAAAAAGTTGGACCAACAGAAGATCCCAGAATTAAGTAATTGAATCGCCTGAAAGAATGCTGCCCTTTTCGGGTTGTGCAAAAAAAACAAGGCCGGACCGCTGCGGGAGAAGAAGCTCCCGTAGGGCAGCTCTCGACAGATCTGTAGGGTATGTGGTTAGAAAATGGGCAGGAGAAGCAACGTCCAACATACCTACGTATGCTGGTTTGGCACAAACCGGTGTAGAAGCTTCTACATTATAAGCGGCATTATCCCGGACAACTGCGGACACACAAACGGAAGAACCAAAAGCTCTGTTATACATGTCATAGGGTCCAGGCATTTGCACCCTTCTCGTTGGCATGAACCAACCCCTTCCCATGCCAATGGAATCCTCCATCCCGGATCCCGTAATTCGTAAACCTCGCGCAAACCATGCCAGAAAAAACACCAGAAACCCATTTGCCCCAAGCAACACCGTCCGTCCCAAAGATACAAGGGTAAAGAAAAAGAAAGCCCCATGCTAATAGCATTGCCTTGCTTGACTGGATATCAACCGATGATCAAGACTAGTCGCAAAGGCAACGAGTCAAAGAGGAAATGAACATGTATTACGACGACGAGTCATCATCGCCATCGGCTTGTGCCTGCTGGGTCAATGAGCATTTAGTCTACCGAGAATGGAATATAGCAACTTACATTGTATGCCTGTTTCTCGTCTTCATAGCGCTTTTTGTCGGCGGCAGCCTTGGCCTCATAAGGGGCGCGCTGCTTATCAGTGAGCGCCTTCCACCGCTCTCCGAGGATCTTGCCGACTTGTCCAAAAGAGATGCCGGGGTTTTCCTCGCGCACATTATCGCGCTGCTCGTTGGCGAAAAACATGTATGCCGAAAGGCCTCGCTTGGGGGCATTGGGATCTGTTATGCAGGGTTAATCAGCGTGCCAAAAACAAATAGACCATAATATGTGCCAAGGTAGCACTCACCCTTCTTGCGCCCACCTTTCGCCCCCTTACCAGACTTGCTCTTAGTGGCGGCCTTGGGCATGGTGGCTAATTTGGGTCCTAGGACAGTCAGTTCCTGCTGTTCTTTCAAAAGCAATACATCTAGGCCAGATGCACATGAATCAGAAATGGCAGCTGCACCCTCTCGGCGCGCCAGAGATGCGGTCAATTGGATTGCATCAGGCGAGGGCATCGGAATAGAAATCGATAAAACTTGGCGTGAGAAGGGAGATGAGGGTAACCGAAGCTGGCAATTTGTACAGCGACGCGGTACGTGTGGTTCAGGGCAAGCATCGCCATATCGCACATATCGAGTGCAACGACGGGGAACGATAGGATATCAAATGAAGAGATTAAGCAGCAACAAGACGACTGAGAAACATACTTTGGATGGGATTTAGTCGAGATGTAGTTAGCGTTCTGATGAGAATTGCTAAAGCTGCACGTGTCGTTAGCAGTTGTGCAGGCGATTAATTTTGTGTAGGCATTGTGATGATAGATGGGAACATGGACGGACAGGTGCGAGGATGCGCGTCGAACTTGGAAGTGGACGCGACTTTTTGGTTGCGAGGATCAAGCTTGGCTGTGGGGAGCAGAAACTGAAGTTGGAGGCAATGACCAAGACGACTCGAGCAATGATGATGAGATGCGCGTGTGCACAATTACAGGGAAAGGGATGCAGCGAGCTCCCCAAAGCTCCAATGCAAAGCACAGAAACCAATTGGAATCAGGAGAGAGTGACTTGGGTGACGGGCAATGATTTGCAGTGGCGAGAAGTACTCACCAGATTGCGGGCGTTGCAGGCTTTGCGAGGTCAGGCCAGGTATTCGCGGGAGAACCTGTTTGCCGTGGTGCGATTTTGTATGGGAGAAGAGAGGGAGATTTGGAGAGGGGAGATGGGGGAAGCCTCTGCCCGTATTTTACTATGGGCGGCTGATTGAATGAGGGGGGCGGGGGTTCCTCCTGCCTCATAACAAAAATGGGAGCAGCGCGGGCTGATTTTTTGGCTGTGATTCGCGAGTGAGGGGCGAAGAGGCACCACACTTCCCATACCATCCCATCAATGCCACAGTGGTTCTCGTGGCCCAGCACTGACCAAGCCAATGTACAGTGTACTTTTAATCCTTGTACAGCCGGGCAGTGCATCCATGTACCGGCTACCTACAACACTGGTTTGGCAGCAATCTTCCATCTGACAGTGGCCCGACACCGCGAACCTTCTCTGCTGGCTGCCATGGTCTAAACTGCGCTTTAAAGATATCATCGCATTAAGAATTCTTGAATAACAACATGAATTTATGTTTACGCTTGCTTTTCTTGGGGAATGTTACAGTTCCGGGTCTTTTCCCAGTTTTCGATGTCATGCGTAAAAGCTTTATGTTGCGATTTTCTCTCTGCGACCTGTTTCAGCAATTCTCATTAAAGAGGATGCACTGGATCTTTGTCTGTGACCTCTTTATAATATACCACTTCAATCTAAGCATTTCATCAGGCGTACACGAAGAATGCTTGGAAGCCCTAAGCATATCACCTAACCTAGGACTGAGCTTAGAGTGAAGGAACAATATAGTTGGCATTTGACGACTTAGTAGGAAAGAAATTCGATCATCCGTAGTCATTATTGCAGTACCTATTTCCATCTCAAAAGTACTGAGAATCAATACGAAGCAGAACCCAGGAAATATCACTACGTACCTGCTTGCGAACTGAGGAACCCAGCATGCAAACAGTTCATATTTCGAACTGACAATTAGGTTCGCTGCGGAAGTTCTGGAAGTCATTGATCGATCATCGATGAATGTGCATGCATAAGCAGACAAGCCAGCCAAGTCCTCGGGTAGTTTTGCGTTACAGATTGGGAGGTCATGTCGGGGTCAGTTCGCGCTTAGATACCAAGGTACCGCATACAGATAAATCGCGTCAGCTGTACCTGCGCCAGTTGGAGCTTCTTAATAAGTTGCTTGTCATGGGTGCGCCCCTCGCGACATCGTTCATCCCTGCGAATTGCTGGTCAGTGCGTTGGCTGCGAAAATCCCAAACAGCAGCAAATGCTTGGCAACAAAGACGAATCCAACGTTGTAGAGGTGCAGTTCATGGCGGTGCCTAGGGCGATTCCGTACTGTTTGGTTCATTTGAGCCACTTGCTTACACAACCAGTAGGTATTTTATTTTCAATGTGTGCCATCCAGAAAAAAGAGGAAGCTTTTTGAACTCATATTGAAGCTGATAATGAAAACAGAAGCATACTCATCAAGCACATTGTTCATAAGGTAAACTATGCCGGTACTTACACACATGGCTCGCACCCCAGTCACCGAAGGTTAGGCGATATCATCTATGTAATGCATACGTTTCAAGCAGCAAGCAGCGTTTAAGAGACCCCGCCATCCTTACCATAGCACCGCCTCATCTATATAATATGAACAGCAAATATTTGTTCCCGAAAATAATATTAGGTTCTGTTTAAGGCTTCTGCGATTTGTAGCTAAATACTTCGCGACTTCTTAGATCGCGATTTCGCCTAGCATTCAATGACTCGGGTAGAACCAAGGGTTTTGAAAAGTGTAGTAAAGTTTGACGCTCGCCTCTCTTCGATTGAAGCCCTAGAAGCTTAGGCATATATCTACGCGCCTAGGTGGATCTAAAGGCCGGCACAGAGTCTTGTCGTCAGTCTTGTATATCGAGAACAACATTCCTGAGATGTTCATTGCGAACCCAATCGACACCGCTGCCGGCAACGACAGCAACCGCTGCGCCTTTCATAATTTTCCATCGATAATAGCTGCTCTTAACCTCTTCTTCCAATTTGGTTATTTCGACATTGGCCCGTTCGATTTTTCTGGATGGATTGTGAAGTTGACCTTTACTTGCTACTTTGAGCAGCTCGGATGCGAGCATCATGTTGTTATGACTAGTGCGAAGGACATTGGTCTCAAGGTCAGCAAGTTGCCGCTTTGCTTCCTCCAAATTGGAACAGCTCAGAGCCGTCTCCATGGCTATTGCATCCCGCTGTTGAGTATAAGGCAGCAGGTCCCTGTGGGTCATTAGCAGTAAACTTTGAGAGTAGATGAGAAATGTCAAGAAGTTTCCATACCGTTCGAGGGGAGAGGAATATGTTGCATGGTGCACCGCATTCAACATTGGATGTGTTATCACCACCGTTTCAATAACACTGTTTCTTAGAGAAAAGGCGGCATTGGCTTCGAGGAGTCGTATCCGTCCATCTCTTGAACCCCGGTCTCGCGCGCGAACTGGCTCATGGCCTGGCCGCTAGTTGTTAGCAAAACATTCTTCTACACAGCAAAACAAGAGAGAGAGGTGAGAGAGGGGCTTCTGACTTGGACCGCCCTGGCGGGTTTGGTAGGACTTGAGCAGAGCGAGTTGCAACTGTAGTTCTTGCACCTTGTCAAAGAGTTGCAATACCTTGGTCTCTGCGTCGGTCAATGGTAAAGGACATGGAATATTGATTGTGTCATTGGATGTCATGTTTCCGCAGTTGAGGTGCGGAGAGCCAGCTAGTAGACTTAAACAAACTTCTGGAAACAGAATTTAGGACGATTGGTTGTTTCCCGGTCCCAGGTGACGCTGGGTCTACGGTCCTTGAACACAGTGTGTCAAGTAACGCGAAACGGGTACTGGGCTAACGATAAATACAGCCGTGATACGCCCGCTCTAGAACCCTACGTTTGTCTGCTATCAGCGGAGATCTTTTGTATAAATCGTATCCTTGCGATTCATGGATACTGATATTGGTGTTAGGCAGATAACATGTGCCATATTCACGGAGACTTTGCATATATACCTATCCTGCAGCATTTGGGGTGACCGTGTTTATCCACAAGACAGACTGAGCTCACACATACGCGTTTGGCACTCCTCAGGGAAGCTCGGTTTGCTGACACCGCGTGGAAGCGGAAAGGGAACGATGCAAGAGCTAAACAAAACACAAGCCAAAGATACCTACCTTATATTCGGATAGTTACACATGAAACACCTGGATTGTATACAGGTTAAACTCACCGGAGCTGCCGATGACTTGACATTTGTGTTCCCCGGTGGATGCATGAACGTATCCACTCTGAAGCAGAAGAATCTTGGCTCTGGTCAGCTTTTCTGCTTTGATGGAGGTAGTTACAGTATATTTCAAAGAGTAATATTGTATTTATACTGTGCTGGACACACCGTAAAGCTCTGTCTCATCAGAGCGCCCCAGTGCTGTAATAATATCTGATCATACTGTAGCACCAAATCCGGCAGACAAACCTTACGGTAAAGTATGTACTGCACAGAAGGTCAGCGTTAAAGCAGGTGGGTCCATCTGGGTGATGCGCGCCCCGCAGCCTGACAACAGCTCTCTGGGCGCATGTGCAGGAATAGGCCAGTTACCTGACCTAATCTACCTTCCGAGACTCAGTCAACCTCCAACAGCCTTGAAACGGCGTGCTTTTAACAGCTGAAAAAGTCATGGTTTACCAGCCTGGCTGCAAACTGCCAACTTGTGAAATGCCCAGCTAGTGTTCTTCAAGCTATTTCCAATCACCCACAGCGTATCCGCCCACCACCTGCTAGTCGACTAGCCAGTATCCGCGACTTACGTCAAGTACATAGAAGCAGCAAGGTCCTCAAACGACGGCGAGCACTTGGAAGGGCAGCTGTGGCCTCTCCTGTCCTCCTCGGCATTAGCATACGCTTGTCTTCTGGAAACCATCATCACCACAAAGATACCGAACGCATTTTATATACTGAACACCAAATTTTGTGCAAAGAGAAGAGGCATGCTTCAGCAAATATGGCAGTGGAGGTGTTGGTTGCCCATACGGGCCAGCGCCTGCAGATAGACGTGTCCCAACTCTCATCGTATGCACCCATAATCTTTGTGCGCACAGGGCGATAATTGTATGGATAATATGTTGTGCTGACTTTTCATCTCCTCTTCCAAGAGTTGATGATTCAAAGGCATCAATTGCGCGTCAAACTTCCATTCCCGCTCAGTGCATGATCATTTTGACCTCTCAAGGAAAGCCCTGGAAACCCCAGAACCTTCCACTTGAGGTTTGTGAACTGCAATCCCGCTCGCTTTGTTTGGTATCTCCTCATTCTGACATTGATTGGCAGAAGGAATTGTACGTCTATGATAACCGCCTTGCTCAGTCCCATGCGAACGGAGCGCCGCCGGACTCGAAGTCCGAGGTCACTCTCCCAAAACGATACTGTGTCTCCAGCCCGCCGAATTCTATCGATGACACTAGGTCGCTTCAATCATGGCAAGAGCTCTTCAGAACTCGCTGGGCCTGGACCGTCAAAGTGGTCGAGGACTGTAGGCAAATGGCCAGGGAGGCCGAGAATCGGTACTCTGAGATGGATGTCATGATGCGCTGTCTTGATGTTGCCGTGACTAATTTGGAATCGGTCATCAAGGCGCTTGAACCTAAATATGTCGAGTTCAAGAAATGGCTTCCCACCGCCCAAGCAGAGTACGGTGCGCTAGCTTCGGGCTGGGAAAAGTACCTTGCATTTGCGCGGGCCATTCCTGTTTCTCCCGCAATGGTTAGGTATATGACTGGTCGCAGCACCCGTGATTCAAAAGGACGATCTCAGCGCCAGACCACTCTTGAGGACTTGGTAGACCTGGACACAGCGCGCAAAGCAGGCCGTCTTGCTCCCTCCGCTCTGCTAAAATTCAACAATCGTGTAGCTGATCTCGACAAGGTTGCCAGCCGCCTCTTCCATGATGCTGAGGACTTATTCAGGGAATTTGAAAGGACAGTTGAGCGATCAGTCACCTCTCGTGCTGGCGAAGCCCAGCAGCTTTTTCACGATATAGAAGCCGTGGCGAAAAAGATTAACACGGATTACCAAACGGTCCTCGACCATACCAGCTCTTCTCGAGATGTTCTTCACCAAGTTTCCAAGATTGCCGCAAGTCATACAGAGCGCCTCCTCCCAAGCTTGGCCAAACGCTCAGTGGAACTAGATGAGATGCTTCGGGAGGCCACCCAAGCAAGAAACTCTTTGGCTGCTGAATCAATCGAATTCATGCGCAGCATTACCGAGATCACGGCTCTGAGCCACAGCATTAAGTCGCAACTCAACGCGGTGAACCAGGATGATGAACTTGCCACCTTCGATTATTTAAGGCTTCTTCAACAAGTTCCTTACATGTACGCCTCATTTGTTGCCGAAGCGATCCGACGCCGCGAGTGGCACGAAAAACTCAAGCAGGACTCGTCAACACTTGCAAATGAAGTGGCCCTCTTCCAAGAAGAGGAAATCAAGAGACGAAGGAGATGGCACAAGTCAATCGGAGATGCTTATGGGCCAGAAACTGCCGGATCAGATACCGTTGTCCCTGGACTGGAAGTCAAATTCCTGGGAGAAGACGAACAATGGCCGGTCATGACCCGGCGGGACTTGGACGAGTTTCATGCGCTTTTGCAAAGCCACAAAGCTGACCCGGACATCATTGCCGATGTTGGCAAGATTATTGCAGAGCTCAACAACCCAACGAAACAGCAGTCGAAACGCATGAAAGCCTTCAAAAATGGGAGTCTGCATGAAGCCACTCTTGGAAGAAGTGGCTTGCTAATACGCGGTGATGATGACCTTATGCGCTCTCTCCAAGATGAAAAATTAAAATTAGAAAGTAAGCTAAAAACAGCAGAGAGTCGAGTTCGGCGACTCGAAGACTTACTTCACCGCCAGACCCAAGCATCCCGCCCGACTTTGGGTAACTTGTTTCACGTGCCGAGCCATCAGCTTTCAGACCGTGATGATTCGACATTCTCTGTTAAATCTCCTCGGGCTGGGTCAGAAGACCAGAGAAAGTCCTTTGAGGGACCTGGTGCTCTCTCGCAACGAATCCAACAACTAGAAGAAGAGCTAGCTGCAGAAAAACACAGATCTGAAACGCTTGAAGGTGACCTCAATGCTCAATTGGCTCTCCGTGAGAACCTGAAAGCTCAGCTGGAAGAGGTGAACTCAACAAAGCGAGATCTCCTTCAAAACTTAGAAGCCCTTAAACGAGAATTTACGGAGGAGCGGAAATCTCTCGAAGCAGAGATCAAGCGCTTGCAAGCTCGTCTAGAAGACACGGAAGACCAGATGGAGCATTTTGGCGAGTCTCGCGAGAACGAAAAGGCTTCATACGATGAGCACATTGAAACTTTGAAATCTGAACTGGACCGACTAAGAAAAGAGAAACAGGAGGAAGCTCTCAAGTCAGAAGGTCAATTGGATTTCCTTCGGAGAGAAGCACGTCTGCAGAGAGAAACGATAGAAGAGCAGGAGCGCCAGCTCCATGCAGCACTCGAAGAGTCCAAAAAGCTCAACAAGAAGCTTGCCGCGCTTACCGAGACCGCAGACGCACAACTCAAAGCATTACATAATCTCTGGTACCAGTTCTCGTCGCCAAATGACGCCGCACCTGATGATCACTGTGATCTCATTGAAGGACTCATGGCAAAAGCCTCCAACACCTTGGCGACGGTGCAACGCTTAGAAATGGACAAGTCCTTGCTACGGTCAGAGCTGGAGACAGTGCAGGCTGCGCTGCAATCAACAAAAAAGGATAAGGCAGAAGTGGAAAGTCGGCTCTCCAACGAAGAGGACACCTCGACGCGTCTTCGGGATACCGTTGCAGAACAGCAAGCGAGGTTACGTGCTCTGGAGAAAGAACTAGCTGATGGGCGCGATCAAATCAAAAACCTCCGCTCAAGGCTCAACGACGGGGAAATAGACTCAGGAACTTTGCGGAAACGCCTCGAGGAGGAGGAAGCCAGGGTTGCTTCACTCAGCGAGGAACTTGCCGCGCGTCAATCTCAAGTTGGCGCTCTGGAGGAGGAGATTCGGAATGTCAAGGAACGACTACAAGAGTCACAGTCCAAATTATCAGGTCTCGTGGTTCGCTTCGATGCTCGATCACAGCGTACAAAGGATCTTACACAGCGACTTTATTCGTACAACGAGCGTTTGACGCACTTGCTGGAGAGACTTGGGTTTTCGGTCACCAGGCAGGGCCACAGCATGTCAATCCAAAAGATTCCTCGCTCGGAGCGGTCCTCTCAAAATGTCACTGACTCGGATCCCAGTGCATCCCTGCGTCGATCTGGCACTCTTAGCAACAGCCGTCCCCTTCTTAGTAGTACTGAGCTAGATCTTCTCAACTGGGTTAACTGCACAGATGAGCAATCCGAGTCAGACAAATACGAGGCTTATATGTCCCAACTCGGCTTTTTTGACGTGGACGCTTTCTGTGAGGTCATTTATCGGCGCGTGAAAGATGTTGAATACATGGCCCGGAAGCTACAGCGAGATGCTCGGGCGTATCGAGAAAAGGCGCATGCTCTCCAAAAGGAAGCCCACGAGAAGATCGCCTACAAACACTTCAAGGAAGGCGACCTTGCACTCTTCCTCCCCACCAGGAATCAGGCGACAGGGGCGTGGGCGGCATTCAACGTCGGATTCCCTCACTATTTCCTAAGGGAACAAGAATCACATCGACTGAGAAGCCGTGAATGGTTGGTTGCTCGAATCACTCGAATCCAAGAGCGTGTGGTGGACCTTTCTAAATCCCTCCAGCAGCCACGGGGAGCTGGCACAAAGAAAGGCAACGCGACAAGTTCCGAACCACTAAATGACGAAGAGAACGACAACCCATTTGACCTGTCAGATGGCCTTCGCTGGTATCTTATTGACGCTGTCGAAGACAAGCCCGGGGCTCCATCAACACCTGGGCTTGGGAAAAGCACAGTCGCCACCAATAATGTCGAAGCCACAGGCGACATGCACACACATGGGCGAGCATCCTCAAAGGTAGGTGGGGTCATAGGCCGCAGCAGCGCCTCGTCTGGCATTGAAGGGGTCAGCAAAACCTTGTCCAAAAGTCTCGAGAGGCGCCGATCCAGCACGAGCTCTAAAAAGGCACTGCCGTTTACGATCGGTGTAGGCCGAGGTCGGGAAAGCGCTGTCGCCAGTGAGACCAATTCACTACGGACTGCACCAGCTGATACACCGACAGCTGCGAGCCCAACACAACAAGTAATGGGCCAGGGGATGCCACCACATGAGCCTCTGCAACAGTCAGGTGCTGCTGCTTCTACAACTGGTGGTGCTCTCGAAGCCAGCTGACCAGACCAACGGGAGGGTGTAAAGGCCGGGCATACATGTGCCAGCAAGGATACTGGCATCCACGTATAATGAATTAAACATATGGACTTCCTTGGGCTTCCTTGGGTTATCGGGTTGTTGCATATCGGAAGAAGTGAATTCTTTGTGCACTGAAGCCTAAAGTTCAGTGCAGTCATTACAATCACAACATGGAAGACAGATGAGATCATGTTTCTTTTTTTTTCCCAAATATCTATGCATGTATTGTAAAAGCCAGACACAAGAAAAGCGCAAAATGATATCCCACTGGACGCTTAATATTTCATCATTAATCAATTTGTAGTCTCTTAGAAGAATAATTGAGTCCCAGGTCATAGAAAATTTAGTAGCGTATTTATCTTCGAGTTTAGAATCAGGAAGAGGGCATTGGTTCAAGTGTTCCACTTTCGTACTTGAAGAGGTTGACATGTTGGATAGGACTTGGCCTGCCTGTGTGATATTTTGCTGATGTACAAGTATGATACAAGCGACCTTGAAGCCATCAAGATCAACACCAAATGCTGTGCACCTATGAGGCGCGAGCCCCGGCAATAGTCTAGATGTTTCCTGTTTGTCCAGATGAATAGGCAGAGAGCATTCCCTTCTCTGCATGCTGATCTCCAGCATCAATTCCCGTCGCAGCAGCAGCCTCAGGAAGCACTTCGACAACTTTGCGGATGGGTTCCATCTCGTCTCCGACCGAGATTGTGACCTGCCAGCGGCCTAACGATTTGATTCTGTCGGTACCGTCTTCCAGGTCCACAAATCTGACGTTCTCGGGCTCTAGAGCAACGCGGCTTGCCTCCGAATGCCCAGCCAAAAGTTCTTTGATTTTAGAGATAACATCATTGATAGACACGGAACCAAAAATAGATGATTCTTGCCCATGCTGATTAGTGGTCTGGGAGGGAATGGAGTACGCGATGAGGGGAGAAACGGGAGACGGCGATGACGGAGTCGTCGGGGTTGGTTTGCGGTAAAAAGTGAGAGTATCAGGAACCAATGTGGTCAGGAAGCGGTGAGCCACAGCCGGCTGGCGTTGGCACATCGCGGTTAGCATTTCTCAGCCACATCGCCATGCAATCAGTAAAACAGGCCACGTACATCCAGCGAGGTGATGAACTGCGTTGAGGGCTTGCCCTCTTGCTTTGCCTCCGGCGCGGTCGATGCCACGTCGGTTTCAAGGGTGCCGAATGTGGGATCTCTTTCTCCAATATTATCTCGTGTCAGACCAAGCTCCTTGAAGCGCTCCGCTGTCATATACTCGGCCATCTTCTTCGGATACCATTCGTTGCGCATGCGACCTCGTTCAACGCGGAAGATAGAGTCTGGGCCACAGGGCAAATAGCAAAGGTTAGGTCAGCGTGCTCCATTAATTGCGATGACAACATGCCAGCATCCCGCTTCGCTCCATCCGCCTACCTTTGCGGCCATACTTAGGGATGTCTTGGAGCAAGCGCACAACGACTCCCTGATCGCGAGGTCGCAAACGATTCGATTTCGCGCGGATCTGGACCAAGGAGGCTTGTCCGGTGCTGGTACTAGAGCTGCCATTGACGCCCCCAAAGGGTTGTGCCAACCTCCGCAGACACGCCAGGCACGTTGGCGATCTGTTCATAAAGGATCCTGCCATCGTGTTGCGGCCGGAAGCCGAGTGAACTAGCAATGGTTGTCTCGGGAACTATCGTATCAAAAATTGGTGGATGCGAGGGGTTGTTAGGCGGCAACAAGATCGGACAAAGTTTGCGTTTATTGCGGTAAAATTACACATGGGCGAAACATGCCGCGTTATCCGGTTGGCCATTTTTATGTAAGAAGCGAACAAAAACTTGAATGCACACAAATGGAATTTGGTGGCCAACATACTTAATTCAATTCTTAAGTGAATTGATTCTCTGAAGGTATGACTTTCAACCCTTGAGCCTTGGAAATCCCTCTTTGCATCTTCTAATCATAAAGTTCAAAAGGGACGTGTGTTTGCGTATTGAGTAACTGGGCAGGTAAAACAGCTTATCTAAACACAAATTTACAGATATATAGCCTCTGAAATCGATAGCGACCTCAAAAAGCTTAATAATGCAAACCTGTATAAACTACTACGGCATATACTAAAATTACTTGTGTGTACCGAACGTAGATATGTTGTCAATCTATGAATTGCTATAGTATCTCAGACCACTACACTTTGTATGCTGTGTTGTAGAATCAAAAGATTAGCGGATGCTGTGCATCTATCTGTCATCTTGTGAAAAGTGATGTGAACACAGGCGCTAAGGTTACCTCCAATTCCCGAAAAGCGAACATTAATTATATCACGCCATTTTTTGGCTCAAGCGGTTAAGCCAGCCCCGAAGATCATGAGCTAGCCCATCTATGATTCCTGTGCCAACTATTCCATCCTGCCAACCCAAGGCAATACATATGTCCCCACGAGGAACACCAGCGACGCTGATGTTGACGGCCGCCCCAGCGACGGAAGCTCCTTGGGACATAATGCAGCGTTGAATCTTCCAGCCATCTGAGTCAGTGATATTGGTAGTCGGTATGAGTCCAATATTCGACACCTCCCATGTATCATTCCGTGATTGTCCCACTTTTGAGAGCCAAAACCCTTTCCAGTCGTTGACCCAGCCAAGCAGGCTCGTAATGTCGTCTTTGGGAAGCGAGTCTAAACGTTGCTTCATCTGAGATCTCAACTTTGCGGCCATCTTCCAGACGGTACCGTTCTCGATCGCCTCTTCTCCCAGTGTGCGCAAGCTTGCAAGAACGGAAGCGTCAAAGAAGTGCGACTGAGCTGTCACATATACACCGAACGGAATTTTTTGATTGCTATCCTGGAAAGTATCGCTCGCAAATGGGCGTAGGTCGATGGGTGTTGAACTGCGAAATGCCTGTGCTTCATGAGGAGCAAGGCGTCGGGCTAAAGAAACCAGTACAAGGATGTGAAGCAATGGAGTAAGCGTCGTTTGGTATTGCCGACAGGTTGCAAGCAGTTGTGGGACCAAGGTTGCCGAAACGGTCACGAGACGTAGCCTTGTGTGACATGGCTCGCAGGTGATGACACTGCCTGTCCAGGGGCGTTCAAGACTTTGTGGATGGAGCCAAGTGGGCGTAAGTTCGTGCCACAGCGTCTTGAGAAAAAAGGCCCAAGATATAGTAAAGCGGATAACCTTTTCTTGGGGATGGGGGAGTTTGCATGTGCCAGTTATCATCAGTGTATTGCCAACAAGCTGAGCAGGCGGTCCTCTTGAGCTATTGAGCTCTTCGAGAAGCATATTATGAAAGACGCCGGTACTTCTCCCGTCCGCCAGGGAGTGATGGACAGCAAAAACTACATCAAGCACCAGATGGCTATCCACCCCTGATGGAGTCCAAATGATGACAATGACTCTCCAAGGTGGCCTGGATTCTATGTTTGGCCACAATTGATCGTGCTGATCTTGGAGCATGCCGAGGAGCCTAGTATCCCAGGCATTTGGGTCGTAACTCCCGTCCTCTATGCATAAGAGGTGATGCTCCAGTTGGATGGATGACACTTGAACAAACTGGGGTTTAGAAGTGTCCTGACCCAGAATGCCGACGGTCAGAGATGGAAGCTTAAGGACAAGGTTTGCAAGGGCGACTTTCAGTACGTCGCCCACTTCCTGTCCTCGAACTCTTCCGTAAGGAACAGAGTATCTGCATGTATTTGCAACACATTTGTAGAACCCAAGGTGATGTCTAGAAGATGAGTAAACCTCGCTATTGAGATCTCATTAGTCTCAGGTCCTCAAAAAGAAAAGGAATGGTGTGGTAGCTACACCAAGACCAGGCCATCATGTCAGCGCTTATATTTGTATCACGTACCATGGCCCAAGGGGGCGGACAATGTGTGAGAAAGTCATCATGGAGGTGATAGGAGGCTCACAGCTCAGAGCACCCAGTTTATGTACATTGACGGAGTAATTCGCCCAGATCACTCGTTGCGTACACACGGTCACAGACTAACAAAGATACCCGGTATGTATCGGTACTAGATTCTCTGACTGTGTTCTGCGTGGTGATCGGTTGCACTGGCAGGCAGTGACTCTAGCTTTCTTGGAGTACTTGATAGCTATAGGGTTAGGGTTTATCGGCCTGCGCCTTGAGATACCAAATATCTAGGAGTCCCATGTGATGCTCAAACCGACCAACACAGGGGCACACTTAACTAGTGACACGCACTGTCTGAATATTTTGCTGACAGGAGGTTGTGCCATTATGTTCAACGGTTGTTCGACATCAAGTGGCGGGGTCATGGGCTATCAGGGTTACGATATGGCTGTTCAGAGTTTCTGTTAACAGGTTGCTTCATGTTGACCATAAATTGCGAACATCTGAATCCGTAGCCAACGGATTATTGTGATACATCCAGGTTAGCGTCCAGTCCAGTCCAGTCGAAGGAAGGTGCACGAAATCGTATGTAACGCCTGGTACTCAGTTCCTATTGTGCACAATCAATCTGTATTTTCAAGGTTTTCTTCAAAAATTGCAACCCAAGATACTTCTTGGTGCTTTTGACTCCCACCCTGGGTTGGCTGAGCTTCAACAAAATGGGGCTGGTCCTGGTGCAAATACTGATTACCGCCTGTGCCCTGTCCCGCTGCCAAGCCAAGTGGAGGCAGCCCCGGGTGGGAGTTCTGGGCTCCGACTGCTCGGCTCGACAACCATCGGGCCTACATACATAAGGCAACAACTGCAGCAAGCTGAGCATGCATACCATTTTACTTGGTAGGTTCCCAGACAACATGAACCTAATCTGCGCTGGTTGCCTTTCTTTGGCCCAGCGCGGCCAGATGCTAGCAGACTGTGCAATCCCGCCATGACACCTCATTCGCTCAACCAACTGACCTGTGCCCTTCAATTTCAGTCCGACCTTGCGACATGCAATCCTGTCCAGTAACTGCAGAACTTCCCTTCCGCTAATGGATGTGCATCACCATTCATCCTGCATACAATGGAACGCGATGGCCACGAGCAAGTCGGGGCACACCCCGATCCCGCGCCTGCCCAGCCCAAGAGTCGCTTCACCTCGCAGTTTGTCATCACGAGCCCTTCCAAGCGAAAGAGTTTATTTTCGTTGCCAACACGCCCGAAGGACGCGCCCCGTCCCGCCAGCTCGGATGGTGACTCCGACACCAGACCTGGACATATGACCGAGTCGAAGATTCCTCGACCTCCGCAACAGCGCATCTCTCTCGCAGAGGCTTATAGGATTGCTGAGGAGGAGGAAGTTGCTCATCAAGGATCCCCGAGTCCTGCTCCTCGATCGTGGCGATCCTTGCGAAGACCCGGTAGTGCGCAGACGACGGCCAATCCAAACTCGGTCGACACCAATTCCGGGAACAGTCCTGACGACGGCAGCTTGAGTTCTCAGCAGAGCGATATGTCAGACAGCACTTTCGATGAGAAGCTCCGCCAACATGCTCTGGAAACAACGGGCACTGACAGCTCCTCCCGTCGCAACGGGCTGTTTTCAAAATCCAAGATCGGAGCCAAAATTGTCGAGACAGGCATAGGCCTGGTGCGCAAGACCAGCCGTGGGAATATGGACAGCACCCCTTTTGTTCAGACGGGTAAAACAGGGCCTTCTGGAACATGGTTCTCGCGCCGACTCTCAAGTAGGAAGCGGGAGTCGGGCACTTCCACTCCATCCCGGAGATCGGGGGATTCGGCGCAAGGCGCGCTCAATCCTTACCACGACCTTCACCATGGCACCGCCCTCTCTGGTGCCGAGACACCAAACAAGGGTTTTGCTTGGCAAACTGATGCAGAGTTCACACCGTCAGATTTGCAAGCTTCTAGCACCCCCCCTGTTGCGATTGGCCGCAGCAACACCAAGATTGACGAGATACGGGCTCGGGAAGTCGAGTTACATAGCCACCATTCCGTCGATAACCTCGCCCAAACGACACGCAATACTCGTCTTGAAGATATTCGCACATTAGAAGCTATGATCTCGTCGACAGATGATCGTCAAAGCGGAGTTCCTAATTCTAGCCCCGTCCCGGATGGTCAGTCGCAGGCAGAACTAAGTCATTCTATGGCCGAGTCTAGGACTCGCGAAATTGAGAGACTGTCCAAAGGAATACTGGCCGCTGCAACATCAGATGCGCATCGAAACGACCAAGCTGGAAACGAAATCCACATCCCACTCTTCGACATGGCTTCGAAAGAAAATCGGGAGCGATCCCAGAAATCGTCTCTTCTTGGAATGCGGCTTCGCAGGATTGAAAGCGAAGTTCAGTCAAGTCTGCCAGTTCAAACCATCACAGTCAGTCAGGAAGCACTTGCTCACACCTGTCGTGATGAGGACCCTTTCTTGAAAAATCAAGCTGGAGAGATCAAGCATGGCCATGTACTGGAGACGCAAAACATTCATCACGGGGATTCGCTCCCCAGCCAGGATGCAGGGGAGGATTCTGGACATTTGACAACTGCGACGAAAGGCACACTGGAAGCTGAGCTACATGCTGAGGAGGCCACAGGCATTCCAACAAGCTTACAGCGAACGGCCGAAGCTACTGTCGGGCAGACGGAGCTGCTTGGCGGCACTAAGAATGACGTCAGTTCGATCGCTGGGTTTGCTCCCTTTCGTCGGCGCTTGTCTTCTGAATCACGACTTTCCAAACGGGCCAGCTTTGTCCACTCGGATTCAGACCCAATTGAGCGCATTGAGGGAGAAATGAAACTCTTTGCTCCCCAAGACACCCTTTCAGAAAGAGGATCATTGAGGGCCCCATCTCCAGAACTTGAAGCAGATCGCGTTGTGGAGGAGACCCCAAAGCCCGTCAAGGTTGATCCTTTAACACAACCCACTCCTCGGATTACAGGAGCTTATGTGGAAACTCCAGTGGCTGTGAAGGTCGAAAAGACAGATGACAACGCGTCTACGGACTTTAATTCAAATCATAATGGAGTAACCGATCCTTTGCTGAATAGGGATAAGCAATGCTCGACAGATGATGACGCTAACAAAGCTGGGCCATTGATTCTTCGAAGCAGGAGAGAGACCCTTACCGACAGTAAGAAGAAGCGCACAAAATCCGTTGGAGCAGAAAGGCCTCTTTCCCGATCTTTGTCGTTGCCTGCTCGTAGACGTGCACGGTCATTGTCACGAAACCGCCGTCCCTTGATAAACTCTGCAAATCCACCAACTGTCAAAGATGATTTGTTGGAAATCCAGAGAGCAAATCAAATCGAGGACTCAACCTCGACATATGATGATATTGAAGATCTCCTACGCAGAGACAGTGACTTGGACACAAAATTGAGTTCCCGTAAGCGAGACATTGATCGAAGCAGCATCGACACGAAACCGGACAGACAAAGGGAGCTCGAGGTTTTTGACCGTCTGAATCGGTCACTCAAATCAGGGTTGCTGGGTATACGTACGGCAAGACAGGGCATCGAGCGCTTGGAGGGTAAAGTCTTGCAGGCAGACATCAACGGCACTGTTTCTACCCCACACGGAGAGTCTGGGGAAATTGCCACAGACTCATCATGTTCTCTTTGCCATGGGAAGCAGCCCACGATACAAGAGCCCATTACATATGTTCACTTTCCATTGCCTCTACTTTGGCGTCGCCGCCCGAAGTTTCGATTTACCGTTCTTGGCTTTGTCGTCTTCCTCTTTACTCTCTGGTATATTGCTGAATCTTTGACTTGCCAGCGTTACTGCAAGCCCCAATACTGTTACCCAGGCTCTCCGTGCTCCTGGTCTCCAGATGACCCAACCTGGGGCTATGCGATTCCTGTCAAGCTGGACCAATGGGTGGCTGGAGGCTATGGTCGAAACCTTATAAGCCGTCTCAAACCTCAAGTTTCAGACTGGGTTGCCGACCTCTGGGATGCCGCTACTGGAACTGATATCACTACCGTGGACACCTCGCGGTATACATGGGAACAAAAGCGACAGCACCGAAGGCGATTAGCCAAGAAAGGTTTGATCAAACCATATGTGGAGCGCAGGGGTGATAGGGCTGTTTTCATCACTAGGGATTCTAAGTCAACCCATGAAGACACTGATGAGACCGCAGAGGATCCGGGTTTCGAGACAGGAGCAGCCAGAGTACTTAACCCTGGTGAGGGGATGTGAATAAGATCATGCAAAGAGCCGAGGGTGAAGGATGCAGCGACAATAAACTTCCTACTTGATGGTATTATTTCCTTTTTCTCCCCGCTTGTTCGTTGGGCCTATTTTGGTAACCCAGCTTGATACATTTGTACATACCTGCCCTCAGGAGTAGTAAGGAGTTCTTGTGGTCAAACTCATCTTTAGTAATTGATGCAATCTCCCTCTGAAATTCGCCGAAATGCTTATGCAATGCCCGATGGTACTTATTCTTGGGTCTCAGTGCTTCATATTTCTGCTGTGAACGTAATCTACACGTGCAGACAAACTCCTGGTTTCTCAAACTTGAACATCTCTTGATTACCCCTAGCGCAACGTAAATGGATCCGCAGCATAAGTACGCGGGCGCCTATCTGGGAATTGTGGCGGTTCTGTATTGTGTAGCCTCGACGGTTCGGGTCTGTTACCGTCCCTCTGCTGTATCAAGCAACGTATAGCCATCATCTCCCTAGGAGTATATGCCCTGGAACATGACATGGGAAGATTGATTGAGGCAAAGCTCGCCCTTGCATTGATACACAGGGAGTGTTACATACATCCAAAACATCACAGGGTATCTTAAGGTAGGTGTACCTATCTAACCTCTAACGGAAGTCTTGTGTGCTATACGTCTGTAGCACTCCATATTTAAACTGTTGGCCATATCCGACCAGCAAGCTACCGACGAGTAAACCTGTGCTAACTTGCTGGATATCAAGGAATACTATTCTTTGCGACTTCTTTCCTCGCCATAGCTTCTCTGGCTTTTTGTTGCTGCATCGTCCACGCTGCTTCTCCCACATCCCGCCAATGTTCCTGGATGAACTTCCTGACAACATTCTCATCATACAGGCCATCGGCATCCATAATAGAGGTAGGAGGTTGTATCCCATACGATTTGTCGTTCTCTAGAATTATCTTTCTCATGGCCGAAATTAGACAGCCTCTATAGTGAGGGTTTGGAAGGTCTGAAACCATTTCGTTGACCAGCTTCTTCATTTCCAACTCCTGTCGCTGACGTCGCCATTCCCTCAATGTTCGCTTGTATTCTGGCTCCAAGAGAAAACGCGCAAACGCTTCATTCCGGGTTGCCACTCGAGCGTCAGTAATGGATCTCACCGGGTCCCTGGATACGCACTCCATCTGCGCACGCAAGCTGGGAATGAACTCGTTGATCCAGCGACGGAAAATTGGACGGCATTTCATACGCTTGCGGTCGTTTGCTTTGGTTTGCCCCTTCCCTGCCTCTCTCCTGATAACCTCGGCTGTTGTGGTTGGATTATCCATCGCGGGATATTCGACGTGTCCATCTTCGTCTGCCAGCGGTCGAGAACTGAAAAAGCGACAAGTACTGACATAGTTAAAGAATTGATCAACAGACTTAAACGGCTGATCCCAGAAGCCATCGACCTTCATCCCTAAAAAGTGGATAATTTCCACGGGGTCTTTGGTGAGAAAGACCTTAGCCTTATTTCGGTCAAATTTTTCGATCTCAGGGATCCTCAGCCAAAGGGCGGTCTCATCGACCGTAAGACCGTATGGACGGATGGTGCTTCCAAGTATGTTCCATATATCACCATGGGCATGCTTGAACAGAGACTAGAGAGGATGTTAGCGCTGACTGGTATTTGTTCGCGGGATACGAGCACTTGCCCAGCAAAGTTGATCCACGTCAGAGCAGATGCGAATGTCCACTTGAACGTATTTTATGACCTTTTGGTGTTTAGTCGATGTCTTGCACCCACAGTTGTCGATGTCGCTATCGGTGTTATGACACGAGAGCTTGCTTTCGGTGCCTTGTTCACATTCTTCAGGCCACCTGATGGCCATGTTTGCAAATGTACCAGAAGGATGGATAATGGCATATTCGGCATCGAGACGGCATTGAATGGTTCCCATGAGGTCATGAGGATTACTTGAAACACCGTTTTTGAGAAAGCGCCTCTCAAGTGCAACGAGGACGTCCAAGTCTCCATGATCTTTCTTTTCCGGTCCCGGGATTGGGGTTGCCACGCAAATAAATAATTCTCTCAGTGCAGCATGGCATTTGGACTTGACTCTCTCGTAGATATCAGGAGGCATCCGAGGTGTGTATGGTGGGTTCGGGAAAGAAGAAAAAGCAGAACCGCCCATTCTGGTGGTAGTAATGACAACCCCAAGGTTGTTTTGTGAGCTGTATGAGTGGGGTTCTCCTGGTAAACGAGTTGATAAAGTAGGTGACAAGTTCCTCAGTGGTGGGAAAGGGGAGATGACAGGGATAAAGCCACGTTCATCTCACGGGCAGGGCCTGCCTTTACTTAAGTTGTGGCAATCGAGGAACATTGGACCTGCACAATTGGTGGAGGGGTCGGTGTTTCAGCTTCCATGTACAGGGCTCATGTTGGAAGTGAAAATTGCTTTATGGATTTAGGGCATCTCTTGAACTGATGATATTGATGGTACACTCTCTATCTGGTGTATCTCTCGAAGTCCAATCCCTGTAGTGAAACAGCAGTGATCCGAAAGCGAGTTGACGGAGATATATTTGGACAAACCATTATTATCTACCTTTCAATATGGATCTGTAACATAAACTTTTCCAGGTCCGGGTCAAGAGGTGTCCAGGGGGTGATGAATCGAGCTATGTCCAACAAACTGCAGATGCTTCCAGACAGTGTCCATCGTGACCACTGAGCTAGTCATGCAATATAATTAATAAATACGGAATGTGCTCCTTACACTACCAGTGGTATGTAAACTGCAAGCGCTGTTTGCAGATCACCCACCTGTCTTGTCATTTATCTACCTTGAAGGGTAAGGGGAGTTGACAGCTAATTTGTCGAAAGCTCATGCATGCCTACTCATACAGTGTTAAATACTGTGTTATCTGTGCCCACCAAACCAGCTGTTGTGGGCCTTGAGACCGCTTGTGGAATTACCCTGGCCGCATCGACGCTCCGCTGCAGCGCAGACATCAAGTCCACAGCACACCATAGAAGCATTCTTTGCGATCAGCAAACCATGGAAAACGGCGCGCCTTCCCAGCCTGATGGCAAAGACCCCTCTGGCTTTTTGAGCCAAATTATTGGAAGCCCTGTAACAGTCAAACTAAATTCGGGCGTTGTCTACAAAGGCAAGTATCTCTCATGTATACCACCTCTTTGTTGCGATAGTTGACTTTGCCCTATCCTTGCCTTCCGCGTGCCGAATTTGACCGATATAAGAGGTATCCTTCCTAACAGTTCTTTGCTTTCAATCCAGGGGAACTTCAATCGGTGGATGGGTATATGAACATCGCTCTTGAAAAGACGGAAGAGTATGTCAACGGCGTCAAGCGCAGAACTTATGGGGACGCGTTTATACGCGGAAACAACGGTATGTCTGCACTCATTAGGTCGATCAGCTGTGTTTTTTTCACTGTGATTCGGTTCCTTTGTGCTAACTCACACAGTCATGTATATCTCTGCCGACTGATTGCAAGGGTTAGCTCGGCATATACATCTGACAGCCTCTAGCAACAAAGGTCCTCATCGCAGTGCTGAACGCACAAGATGATGGCGAGATATCTTGGACCAAACAGTGTCCAGATAAGTTGAGAGCTCAGCTATGCTATGGGAGATACGGTTCAGTATCAAATGGACCGCAAGGGGGAAGTTGTCGCGCAACTGGCCGTCAATCATACTGGATGGAGCGTTGACCCGTTGACTCAACAAAGTATCTTGGCCTTGTTGATGAGTCGCATGAATAGCTTTCTCGAAATGGCACTGGATTCATTATCTGCCACAAGAGTTAAGCTGAGCACCACATATTCACCTGACTCCTTTCAATAGGTCATGGCTTTTTCGTGTTCTTTCCAAACTCTACCGGTGTACTCCTGAAACATGCCAGGATGTTTTAACCCTGACCAGCAACAGACTAATCGTCAAACCTTTGGTGCTGACCCCATGCCAGTCTTAGGCGTAGCCAGCCGAAGTAAAAAAAAAAAAATAGAGTATCAGTCTTGTATACTTGCTGGGGATGTTGCGGTTTTCTCCGGCATTCTAGCTTTAAGGCACAACGGAGATCAGGATACTGTTGTTAATGCTTGCTGAGACGAAGTTGGAACCCATGGGAGGATGCCGGTCGAAGACGTGAGAGAATGTCGACAATTGATGATGCCTATGCCCAGTGGCTTCATTATCATATATGGGATGCTGTCGAATTTGCTTGCGCCAAACACATGTGCTGTATCCATGACTTGACACGATGTTCTCCATTCTCGTGTCATCCCCTCTTCTCCACCAGATCCTCCCTCCATTAGTACGGCCCACAGGTGGATATATTCTTGAGGTGTCGACGAGTTCGCTCCGAGGATTGATGACCAGTGTTCGATAGTTCATGGCTTCGATTTATACTTTGCCTGGAAGCTCACCGTGTAGCTCATGGGCGTCCTCTGTTATGGGCAAATGGAATTGGGTCATCATCCCGAAAATGGTGTTGACTGTCAAATGCGGTACACACATGACATGATGCGATGAGGGCTGCGGCTGCGTTACCCCTGACTACTTTATACTCAGAATTGCTCGCGAGCATAGCAGTTTTAATGGCATCCACGAGCGAGAAGAGAAAAGCAATCCAGGCCCAAGATCATGGAAGCCATGGGATAAAAGTCGTTGATGTTATTCCTATAACACATGAGCGACAGAAACAAGAGATCGCAACGAGACTTTGGCTGGCGGATGTTCGGGACAAGAAAGCTACACGACAACAAGTAGCTTCGTTGTTCAATGGGTTGGGAAATGCAGCGGAGGAGCTCTCAGTGCTGGTCGTTGAGCAACTCAAACGGGGGGTATTGATACACAACAGCGATACACTAGTCAGTTATCTTATTTTCACTGTTCGCAAGCACACGCACTGGTGGGCTGCAACTTTTTGGTCTCAGGGAAGCGACGGTGATCACCGTTAGGCACTAATAACGTATAGGTACCTGGTGTAAGTGACAAAAGTTGACTAACAGAGACAAAAATGGTTCTCTGTCTTCAATAATACTGCTGCGGTTGTGGGCATACAGCTGCAATTGGAGTAAACATGGAAATTATGATGTTCGCACCTAAAGGTCCCAGGACTTGAGAAACCGTTTGCGCGACTTCGCAAGCCGCCATGTTAGTAGCCGCAGCAATCTCCCTCTGCTGAGTCTGTACGAACAATGCAGGTGATTTCATTACCGATGGCTCAAGTTCCATGGCATCTCTAACAATCTTCACATCCTGGTTCAGCTCCCTCGAGCAGACCCCCAAGGCTACCTTTTTGTGAGAGTTTGCCAATTTAGGTAGAATGGCGTTTATTTTTCCATCAGCAGCTACTCTTTCTAAACCAGGATTTTCAGGCTAAGATGGCTCATTTCTTTGCCGGGGCTTCTATGGCGGCTCTCTGACAAGTGTTTGAAACAAGGGAGATTTGAGCGCTGAGGAGAGATTAGAGACTGAGGAAGAAGAATCTTCCAAGAAAGACAATAACCAATGCAATGGGAGACTTCAAGACCAAGTTGTTCTTGTGCTGATTGCAGTTGCATGTGTTGTTGCATAGTAAAACAGTATTCATGTATATGCTGAGTAGCTTATAAACACAGGCGCCATGTAGCAGGCTAGATCAGTTCTGGAAAGTGTAGAGAGAAGCAGTGGAAAAATAAGAAAAGAAGACGGGCAAAATTACGTAGACATTGCGTAGACTGTTGCATTGCGCAGCACAGCGGACTGCAAGGAGTATCGCAAATGCTCCCTTCTGCCATCCACTGAGAGCCCGACTTGGCCTACCATAAGCAAAGGCCTCGATTCAAGGATTGGACTATCCACATAATATATTATCCAGAAAGAAGCCTGGCATGAAATTGGTAGTCACAGCATATCAGGGCCAAATTATGAACCTGACATATCATATAGATGAACAGCATTCGAGATGCCCTTCATGAATGTGCTGATTGTGTCTGCCTTCATGCGGGACAACTTCAAATACAATAAAGACAATAAAACGAAAAAGAAATAAAGGAAGCACGGCAGTGAAATGTGGCACTTTGAATCTTCCTAGGAAGCTTGATGAAATATTAACTTTTCTACTGTCGTTGAGGGGGAAAGGTTGCCATTCACTGATATTGATTGGAAGACCATTGGACACAAATTGCAGATAGGACCAACTTGCACGGTTTTCCAGTTCTAGAAACCACCAGCAGAAGACTTTTCCCCAGTTTAGTACAAAAGTAAGGAACCCGGAAACAATGGTTGGAATAGAGGTAGGTGGTGGTCGAATGTCGTCAGTACCCTTCCAGTGAGCACCCCTGTTAAGCAACGCATTTTGGGTTGGAAGCTCGCTCATTCCAAAAAGTAAAGTCCAATTGTTTGTGTAGTATTATGCACCGCTGATTTTAACTTGGATACCCTTGCTGAAAAGCAAGTCAGGTTGGTCAAGGAAGCATATGGATGACAGCCATGTTGAGAATGAGACACGTCAGACTAAGATGGAGTAACTTGGATACATGAATCTAGTTACGTGGAGAGTTTGTGTTTATTCAGCTGGAGTCGCTTATGACATGTCGTTTGAAAGTTTCATCTGAGTACAAAAAAGGTCGGGGATAGGGCGGTATAAGCAGCGAACACTCAATGGAGAGAGTTGACAACAGAAGACACCATTTAGGTCTAGTTATTTGCTAATTACAACTTCAGCTCGATGACCAGTATCAACTCCATACGGTGATTATACAACCCTTTTGTTATATGCAGGTGGGTTAAAGACAACGGCCAGCTGGAGGTATTAGTGCAGAGAGGATGCCTGACATTGTGGCTCGCTATTCAGGAAGTTCTTGATTGGTATAACGGACAAATCGGAGAGGGAAATTTAGTTATGATGCAGCTATAAACCCTAAAAAGTGATGGAGCTAGAAGGGTCCTCTGAAACAGGTTATTATTTTCAGAATAGACTTGTGCCTAAGACTCGCTCATTGTGTGCTCCAGCAGGCAGGGCTGGGCAAAAACAATAGCTTCGGTAGCAGGTTGATTCAATTCATAGTCACCCGATCATAAACCGGAAAAAACATCTCGCATGTGTATGGCTTGCTACGCAGCACGCTAGAGCCCAACATCCTACACCTCAATCCCTCTTGAGCGGCAGCAGGATCTCCTCAATGCCGTCTTTAGTGATGACCATCATTTGAAGCCCATCTCCCACTTCGATGTGCCGCTCCACCGCCCCATCAAAAGCATCCTTGACTAAGACCTCGACCTCGCTGCGCGTCAAAGGGCGCCGAGGGCGTTCTTGTAAATTGTGCCCTTCGCCGCTACCCGGAACATACTGATTCTTGAAATTGACTTGATTGTCCAAAAAGGGCATTATCAAGCTGGCAGCAGCCCCAGCAGCGCGGCATTGCTCCCGTTCATAGCTCCCCACAGGGTCGTACGAATATACAGCACCCTTGCCCTCCTCGTCCAGCCCGCCCAAGATGGCATATGCATAGTATGGGAAGAAGCGTTTCTGGTATAAAATGGTAGAGAGGCGCTGGGCGCAGGCCTTAACGCTCATCGGCTTGCCGTGGCGATAGCGATACATTTTGCAAATAGCATCCAAGCGCTCTTTGAGGGCCTCGCCATCGGCAGCGAAGCCTACTACCGAGAGAACGATAGTTGCGTCGCTTTGATCTGCTGTAGTTCCGCCAATCTTATAGAGCTTTGGGTGGTACCTCGAATTGATACTATAGCCCGAAGTCAGGCGGGTGTCGCCAGCCATAATAGTGAAGTCAGCGCCGGCAATGGCAAGCGTCGAACCGCCGTTGTCAGCATATCTGGGTTGCGGTTAGTCACTCGTTTGATCATTCCTTTGAACTGGCAAGCAGAGTCACATGGGCAGAATTGAGATGCAGGTGAGGATCATACGGGTCAAAGCGATGCTCTCGGGCGCCCTCGGGCACGCTGAATCTTGGGGCATCACTGAACGAGTAGTTGGGCCCGTTCATGAGCGGGTTCTGGCTAAACATGGCGGCCATGATGATGTTGTGTTGTTCTGGTCGTTTTGGATGCAGTGCGAGAGGGGACAACCAACGAAGAAAAATCGGCACACGTAGTCTTTGACAGAGACGACAATCTCAGCAAGACAAGCTTTTTCGAGGGGTCTTGTTCCGGCCGGAGTTTTGGAGGTTGACTCAGAGAGCTTTCTTAAGGACTCGAGGTAGGTTGGCGAGGCCAAAGAGTTGTAAGGTGCTGTACCTAGTAGTGGGTAGGTTAGGCAAGTATGCGCTGCGGCAGGCAGGTGGATACATCTACCTACCTTATCAAGGCGGTGGAGCTGAGGTTTTACACAGTGAATAAACGACATCTCACAGCTTACATTTCTTCTGCAGCAAAGGTCGCGCACGTCAGCCCTGCAGCCTGGCCAGCAGCTCCAACTTCTACGAGCGTGTCGGCCCCCACCAAGTCGCGCTGCTGCAAATATTGATGAGTCAGCAACAGCGCTGCATCTCGAGCACCCCGCCAGCCCTTCGACTTTTTCAACGGGTTCTTGGAACCGACAAATTGGATATGGATTACGGACCCACAGGTACCGCTCCGCTAGGTAAGCAAACCATTTGTGCTTCACAATTAGATTTGCATTTACCTTGTACTTGCGGATAAGTGCTTAAGTAAAGAAAGAATCCTAATGGGTTGACTCGTTAATGCAAGACCAACGCCATTGACGGCTGTGGATATTGATGTGTTAAGTACTTATCAAGGTTCACCCGTACCCGTATGCTGGAGGCGCTCCCATCCAAGCACCATTGCACGTCCAATTTTCGCCGCCTTCACATGCAACGCGTCGTGCCGTTCCGTGTGTGTGTGTGTGTGTGTGTCGCAGCTGGCTCGCTGACACGGTCCAACTGCCAACTGCACAACTGACACTCGTGCACGTCGTCTCCAACAGCTGTATGTACTCTGCGTATACTTAAACTGCGTGCACACATATGGATTTGGCAATAATTGATCTCTGACTGTTGACAGGGTTGCCGTGCGAATCGCAGATCGCCAGAGGACACGCATTTCTACTCCATCCTCCTGATCGCCCTTGACCTTTCGCTTGCTCCTGTGTGCACACATCAGATCGCCAGTGCTGCTTCGCCAACCACTCCATCCCTAATCTTCTCTGAGGCACTCTTTCTTCCATTCTGTTTTCCAGGTTCTCAGAATTATTGGCCCCTTGACCTCGGACTCCCTCCTTTCATGGCCATGGCATGCAGCGTGCGGGAACAGGCCCTTCGACGACTGGCTCTCCTTTCGGCCTCATCCTCTCCCTCGGCCTCTTCGTTCGATAAATCCGACCTTGAAAGACTGTGCAAATCTGGGCCCAATCGAGCTGCCGCCCATGCTATTGCCAGTGGGCATAATGGATTTCTTCCCAGGCCTGACGTCAGCCAGGTGCCAATGGTATCTATCTGTCCCCCCAATTCTTGTCCTCTCACCCTTGGATTCCACCCTCCGGTTCTGTGACTGATGTGTTGCTCTTTCGAATGGAAGACAATTCGCGAATATGAAGTCCTGATCGCCCTCTGCAGGGCTGCGCCCGCTGTGCAGGCGTCCCAGAACGCGCAGAAGCTCGCTCGCCATCTTATACCATATCTCATGGACGCTCATGTGCAAGCGTTTGCCCATTCGCCTTTCTTCCGCAAGATTGAGCCCTGTCCGACGGAGTCTCTAAGCTATCATGTCACGGCCGCCCTGCTTTCGCTGGGGTTGAACCATGCTGATGTTCAGCAGACGGTTTCCGATAACATTTCCAGCTTTCTCAACATTTGCGCCCACGCCACTGAAAGTGTTTCCCCAGCAGATGATGGCAGTGATCCGGATGCCGTAGAAGACGCCATCAGGACAGCAACTCTTGCTGTTGCCCTTTTGGGTTTCCTGGACGCCGCCTGCGCTCAAGCAACCTTTTGGCGGACGGGAGGCCGCCTTGGGTTGGTGATGCGTGTGCGCGATCTTCTCTCGCAGCCTTTCCTAGTCGCCGTGGAGGCTGCCTTCTCCACGCTGCGGAATGCGCATTCCCATGATCGCCTGACCAAGGACTGGAAACGATGGGTTCGTCATTATGATGAAATTGGACGCCCTTTAGGCGCCATGCTTCTCCAACGCAGTTTCATGCGTTTACTCGTTGCTGCGACATCGCTGCTCGTCGCCGAGGAGGATGCGCTTCGAAGCCACCACATCCTCGATATCATCATGTCCGGGAACGGCCTTCGAAGGCCCTTGACCTCCCGCAGCGCAGAGGCCGACTTTCGCTCGGTGGAGCTCTATGCCACTGTCGCCATCGACCAGATGAACTACTTAGAGTCTAGTGCTGATTTCGACAGCTTGTCTCCTGCTAAGCAGCGGCTTGCCTCCTCAGTCAAGGCCTGCGCCCTGATCAGCTATCTCAACTCCTGCACACTGAACGAGGAGGCGGCTGATGCTGAAGTGCTCATGGCTTGGCTCGAGGACGCCATCACCGATGGTGCGGGAATGGCCGACGACGAGCTTGCAACTGTAGTCTTGAAATCTATGGCGCTCCTGTGTCGATTATCCCCCGCATATGCAACCAACATCAGCCGCCTGCTGCCGCGGTTCATCGTTCAGAGTGGCGCCAAGAGTCAAGTTGTCGCCGTGGCCTCGAAATGCCTTGCCTTTGTGCTACAAGTGCTATCCAAAGACGCTGTCATCACTACTCTTTACACCCTCGGGAACGTCCTCAGTCCTGTAGATGATCGCCGTCTGGGCAACGGAGTCGGCGCTGATTCGGTAACGGACGGCCACGACATATCTCGTGTTTATACGGGCAGACCATCTACCGGCAGCTCTATCTCCTTGCAAATATCCGGAGAGGAAGAGTCCTTGGTCGTTCAAGGAAACGTGGTGCAGGCTATCTGCGAGATTGCCACTGCCTGTCAGGATGAAAAAATCACGGGGCTTGCCCAGTCCATCCTTGCACAAAAGATGGTGAAGCTGAGCAGTCCAGTTGACGCGAGACTGATCACCGGCGCGGCTGCGTTGGCTCTCAACGGTGGTCCATCAGAATTTCGCAACCTTCTGAAGAGGCTTGCTGCAGTTTCACATGACGCTCTCTTGGAAAACAAGGACGGAGTGCTCCAGGCGGTAAGGCACCATAGCCACTAAGCATCCCTGCAAACAAACAAACCTCTGATGGTTGATAACGATGGTGCAAACCAGGTCATGCAAGCTCGCAATTATATATCGGCCAACATTTCTCAGGAATCTCCCTTGTTTGACATCTATCTGGAGTATCTCCTCGATGGCATTATCTCGCAGGGAGATGCTCACTCAAATCAGAGCCACCATGCACGAGATTCCGATGTCGAATTGGCAGCCCGCGAAATTGCCCAACTTCTCCCTCCTCTCGCTATCTTGATGGCTGCTAACCCTGCGGCCTTTGACGAACTGTCGGATGATGATACCCGCTCAATGCTTCGGGACGCGTGGTTCAACGTTGTGGTTCATGGTTTTAACCTGCTAACCGAACGAGGGAAACAGAACCTGACGCATCTCCGACTTATGGCAATACACTCGCCGCCCTTGATTTCCGAGAACCGAAGCGAACAGGATGAGAGTGATATTGAACTGAACCCTATACTCCGTCGAGGGGAAAGCTCCGAGAGCGAGAATGCGCAGAAAAAGATACTCATGGAGCTCTTGCCAACACGGGGTAGCGAGATCAAGGGCTTGAGTTACCGCAAGACCATATTCCTCCAGGCCGCCTATCTCGTCGAGACTCTGCGTGCTGATGCCGGCGATTGCACCAAGGCACTTATCTATTTTCTCGAGCCTGGATTACGACGAGGAGATGTCAGCCGGATAATGGATGCCATCATGCACGCCGTTGTGGACAGGTATCTGGCCAAAACTATCGGCGCTGCGAACCCTCCATTCTCATCACAGTTCGCAGCCACTCAGCTGGCTAAGATCTTCTCCAGCTGCTGCCATCGTATAGAACGCGTTCAGCAGGCAGCATTCGCTTGTGCCGATCGCCTTATCGAGGCCATACCGTCTGCTCTTTGCCAAAGATCATCCCTCTTTTCTCTTCTCGAGCTTCTCTCTCTCATGTGGGAGAGCTGCCTGGAGGCAGAAACAGATCGTTATGAACCCCGGACAACATTCAAGTCCCCCCGCGGGGATGTTGTGCTCGAGCTGTCTGACGATTATCAGTTCAGGCAGCTGACATTGGAGAGTCTGCACAAGAAGGCGAAAGCATGGGTCACCAGCGCCATCAATATTGCCCCCTCCGATGTCAAGGGACTGTTACAGACATATCTGTCCGAGTTCGAAGACGAGAGCTCCTATGGCCACTTGTCTCTTGGGAGATCGTTCGCGGTGGAGATTGGTTCGACCATTCCGTCCACCGATCAACGTTTAGTGTCGTTGGAGAGACTTGGTGACTGTCTCATCAATACTGCATCGGACTTCATGGCACAGTATACGACACGCCAAGAATATCGATATTCTGATGCTTTGCTTGACCACAGCCTGGAATGGCCGACTTCCAAACGCATCGATCGCAAGCCGTCACTCTTTACCTCGTCCGAGACGGAGTGTGCCGACGCTGTGAGCGCACTTGCATGTCTTGAGAAGCGTGTCCTCAGCCGGACAGCCACACCATTTCCTCATGTCAGAGATATCCTCCGCCGTGCCGCCGCCCTCTTGTGCCGCAGCAAGCATAACGAGTGCTCCATCACTCGTTACCTTGTGAGCATCCCCTTTGGCTTGTTTACAAAGCAGTCCATCAAGCTCGGCATCTCGCTCTGGCTTGGCATTATGAACGAAAACCCAAGATTGGAGTCACGAATATTGGCCGAAATTGTTCAGGGCTGGGAGCTCAGCATCCGGAAGAAGAAAGGACTCTTCAGTCCTTCCATAGCCAACCCCGACCCTTTTTTCCTCAAGCAGGAATTTGCCCCTAGCGACAGTGCAGCACTTGCTAAACGCAAACAGGTCGTTCATGATATGTTGACACCGCACTCCCGATTACTCCAGTTCTTAAGCAGCCATTATAATGCCACCCGTTTGGGGAATCCTGACACACATCGTATGTTTCTTAGACTTGTCGAGGTCACGCTACAGGCGATCAAGACCTCTACGCCTCATCCAATTGCCAGGGAGATCCGGTTCCAAGTCATCTTGTTCGGATTGAGGGTTCTCAAAACAAGCTCGACCATGAGCCTCGCTGCTCAGTACCGCCTAAAGGACCAGATCTTGTCCGCAGCACTGAGCTGGTTCAATACGCCACCGCGGTGGTCATTTGGCAGTAATATCCTCCAACTCAAGACTGAGTTGAGACTCATGGAGGACATAACCGCTGCCCTGGCAGAAACTGCCCATATCGGTTCTCTTCCGACAGGTCCAGCTAAATCCCTTGCAACAAAGGAGAAGCTGCTTCTCCTCCTGCTGGAAAGCGAACAGTCCAGGTTGCATGTTTGGGTTCGCCCTCTCGACTCTGGAAGGTTTCAATCCACCTTCTATCATGGAAGCAAGGACGGCCCGTCTGAGGTTTGTCAAACCATCTCTGGTTAACTGTTCGAGAATAAGTCTTTTAACCCCACGTCTCCTCCCAGGCTGCGATTTGCCCCCTTGTCCGCTCTGCTTGGACTGAAAGTCCCTCCCTTGCTGTGCACTTAGCGAGCAGGTTTCCGTATCCTCGGGTCTATAAGGAAGTTCGCTGGCTTTTGCTGAATTTTCCAGCCAAGGCTGCGAAAGAACCAGAAGCTATACCAATCTTGATTGATGGAGGCTTGCCCGATGATGTCAACTTCCAGCTCAAGGTAAGAGAAGTTCTATCACCCTGAAGCTGGTGTATACCACCTTCAGCTAACCTCCGTAAAAGTACCTGCTATTCTGGGCACCTGTCAACCCAATCACGGCAGTGACGCTTTTCTTGCCTACCTATCGAAACCATCCTTACCTGATCCAGTACGCCATGCGGGCTTTGGAAAGTCACTCAGTCGATGTAACCTTCTTTTACGTGCCGCAAATTGTCCAAACTCTTCGTTATGATGCTTTGGGTTATGTTGAGCGGTACATCCTGGAGACCGCCCAGTTCTCACAGTTATTCGCGCATCAAATCATTTGGAATATGAAGGCAAATGCTTATCGTGATGATGATTGTCAGATTGTAAGGATATTGATTCCTGTTTTCTTTGCGTTTCCTGTTGCTAACCGCACAAACCAAGCCTGACCCTATCAAACCGACCCTTGACAAAGTTATGGCCCATATGATAGACAGCTTCTCAGAGGCCGATCGAGAATTCTACGAGCGCGAGTTCGCCTTCTTTGATGAGGTTACGAGCATCTCCGGGAAGCTCAAGCCGCTCATCAAACGATCCAAACCGGAAAAGAAGCAGAAAATCGAGGAAGAGCTGCGCAAGATCAAGGTTGAGGTCGGCGTATATCTGCCCAGCAACCCAGACGGCGTGGTCGTGGGCATCGACCGAAAATCAGGGAAGCCATTGCAAAGCCATGCCAAGGCTCCTTTCATGGCGACTTTCCGAATCAGAAAAAACAAAGGCAATGTCGAAGGATCTGAGGAGATGATCGAAGCCGGGGACGTTGACAACAAGGTTGTGACACAAGCCAACACTATTGAGGTTTGGCAGTCTGCCATCTTCAAGGTCGGTGACGACTGCCGTCAAGACGTTCTGGCTCTTCAGATGATTGCTGCATTCCGGGGCATTTTCCAGAGCGTTGGGCTGGACGTCTACGTTTTTCCTTACCGTGTCACCGCGACTGCACCAGGTTGTGGTGTCATTGATGTTCTTCCCAATGCAATCTCTCGTGATATGCTTGGTCGTGAGGCTGTCAATGGGTTATATGACTACTTCGTGTCCAAGTACGGCAACGAAGATTCACTTCGCTTCCAGCAGGCCCGGAATAACTTCGTCAAAAGCATGGCCGCCTACTCAGTTATCTCATTCCTCTTGCAATTCAAGGACAGGCACAACGGTAACATCATGATCGACGACGCAGGGCATATTCTGCACATCGACTTTGGCTTCTGCTTTGATATTGCACCTGGTGGTATCAAATTCGAGCGTGCACCCTTCAAACTCACTTCTGAAATGGTTGCTGTGATGGGTGGCAGCCCGGATCATCAAGCCTTCAAATGGTTTGAGGAACTATGCGTGAAAGCCTTCCTGGCATCACGTCAATACTCCGAAAAACTATCACAAATTGTGTTGCTGATGATGGACAGCGGCTTGCCGTGCTTCAAGCCTGAAAGCGTTAAGCACTTCAAAGAACGATTTGTGCTGGATAAGAGTGAACGGGAGGCAGCAGAGTTCATGCGGGGGCTGATCAAGCGTAGCTACGGCAGCTACTCCACTGGCATATATGACCAGTTCCAACTCTTGACAAATGGCATACCTTATTGAAGTATCCTTTGCTTCGCTGAGGTACGTGGGCAGCGTGGAGAGAGGTATGTAGGCTAGGCAGAGTGTTGAAACTCTTTTGTTATATAGTTGACTTGTAATTCCGACCGTTTGAATTTCGATAGTCCTGTTAAAAACCGTTCGTTTGTTGTCTTTGCATTGGAATGATTTCTTTTAAAACATGAAGTATTTCTTTGGCTCTATGGGAGAGCTTCCCATGCTGCCTACTGTTCAGATGTATTGTTTTGAATCACGCATCCAAATTTGATGGTAGCTCGTTTCATATCTGGTGTCTAGGGAAGCCAATTTGTTCTTATGTTTGTATACAAGGATTCTCCTTAAATAGCGATCATCTTGGCAAGCTGTCAAGAATTAACCCTCGTCCAACGTTCCTCAGCTTGAGAATGAAATGCCAAAGCCAAAGTCCTTTTTAATTTTATGAGCAGCCCTGGATCCTGCTGTTATATGCCACTTCGACACCAATGAGTACCAGTCTTAACCTAGAATCTTGATAACGAAACTTTACCCTGGTTACTGTTCCATGTGGGTAGGCAGATTGTACGTGGCGTAGTCAACATGCACAAAGGCCCTATCGACAATAGGCACTGACTCAAGGACATATTGGAGACTCTCACTGGTAAGAATTATCTGGTTAGTACAGACATACATCAAGCATAAATTCTCAAAGACGATGCTCATGGGCAGGTATTACTCACCTCAAGTCGTGGCTATCCCTGAGTGGCGTACTTGCATCGAGAACAATGTCAACTTCGACTATCAGTTTATCCCCGGCATGATAAGCTTGTAGCCCTTGGATTTGTTTGATAGTTTTGGCAAACCGCATGGTCAGGTAGAGTACTGGTTTGAAAAGGAGATGTCAGTTGGGCTTTAATGGTAAACCTCGAGAGCAAGAGGATGAGAGGGTTAAGGGCGGAGAGCTGGACTCACAAATATTTCTTTGATCTGCGGTTGCAGAAAGCCCCGAAAGGTGCCTAATATGCTCCCAGGATGTCTGAGACCAGTTGAAGATTACGATAAGTGAAAGCAACAGACCACCGAGAGGGTCAAGCCACCAAATTTCTGCAAGCCAGCCGACTGAGTTGTTGAATAATTAGCAGGTCGAAGACTTGTAAATGCCTTCAAAGCTCACCAATAGGAAATGCTATAGACCCAGCGTTGAAAATAACATCAGTCAATGCATCTGCGGCTCTGTTATTGGTATTAGTCAAGTCTCATCATGAAATAGTCCATAGGGAGGAGTGAGTAGGAAAGTGGTTAGCATGACAGAGACTCACAAAGCCTGAACACTTGAGTTATTGACCAGACGGCACCAGAGCCAGCATAACCCTTTGATGAAGATGGTGCTTAGCATAATGGCAATGGCCGGAATTCCACTGTTGGAGTGTCAGATCGGGACTCGGAAATCAATCTGAGTGATCAGAGGCCAAGAAAGACGTACAGTTCAATGATCTCATGTTTGGGTGAGGCAAGCTTCCCAATGGCTTCGATGGCAACTTGAACAAATGAGGTTATCATGATCACCGAAAACACAAGCACACCCAAAGGTTCCAGCCTGCGTCTGCCAGCAGGATACAGATATTGATCTCGTCTACGAATGAGCCATGTTGTGAGCCAGACGATAACTGTTGACAGAAAATCCAACAAGGCATCGACCAAGCTGGCAAGGACAGAGACAGAAGGAACTGAGATGATAACGGCTATTTTGCCAGCCAGCAGTATGGTATTTGCTGCGAAATTGACATAAATGGCCAGAGTGACAATTGGTGCATCGCTGTCGACTAACTCGTCTTCGAGCCAGGGAATTTCAGGTTTTTGGCGGCCATGTTCAAGATTAAGATCGGTAACAACTTCCCCATCGTCATCGTATGGCATCGAAAACAGTGGTGTTGTTTCTGTGGGTCGGTATATGCCCCTTGGTGTCCGGTTGACCTTCCGAGCAGGCTGAACTGGAGCAGTGTGTGACGTTTCCGCGATAGTAGCTGGAATCTCGACGCCGCGGAAGGCCGACGGTGGCATATTGTTATATTCGTTGAGCAGATCATGAGGCAATGACGAATCCAACAATCTGTCAATGTACAAATATTGTTGGACGAGATAGTTGACACGTTCATGATATTTGCGACTATGGTATCAAAGCAATGTAAGTTTTAGAATGGAGACCATGGGTCAGGATTGTGTAGGTAAGACAAACATGTGCTTTGGCATGGCAGCCAGCTCTTCCTGAGTTTTCCAATATTGCTCCCAACGGTACCGTAGATTAGTATTTCCGATGAGTCGCATACTGCGCATGTTGTCGCTATTGAGGATGGCACTTAATCGCCTCTCGTCGCGACGCTGGGTCTCATCTTCTATTCCTTCCGCTGCCGCTTCTTCTTCCTCACGCCCTCGGTGCCGGATCAGTTGGGCCAGAGCACCGTGGCCCTTGGGAGCCAGTGGGGGCTCGTCCTGAAGGAGGAGAAAAGCTCCCTTGGGAACGGAGGAGCGGGGAGTTGTTGGCGATGACATGATGCAGCCGATTGATAATAATTTTTTGCACTCCGCCGACTTTAACGTTGAGAGATAGTAGCCCAACCCGTAGTGCACCAACGGCTAGAGCTTAGAAGAGGCCAAATCGATGCTGTGCCGATTAACAGTGACAATGGGCCGCTGGCTTCAGAGGGTCTTTGGAGAGCTGTTTATCACGGCAACTCCCTTTGTTTCTGTCAGATCGAATGTCGTAACATGCACAGAGAACGGTGGCGGGTCCCTAAGGTCGTATATTCCGAGGGAACCACATAGCAAATTACTGCGTAACTGCCTTACCCACCTATCTACTACTGGGGAGAAGGGAAAGGGAAATCTGGAGCTGGAAAGATTCCAGGTTTGTCTTGACTGATCGCACGTGCCGTTCTTGCCCCGGAAATGGGTTGGCTTTTGCCACCAAATCGACAATTGTTGAAAATTGCGCTAGTTTCCACCAACCGTTTGGGACCAAGCGAAGCATGTTGACATCGAGCACACCATGAGTTGGCGATTTAATTTGCTCTTATAAATAAGCCATCACAGGTTCTCAAGCAACGCACATAAGTAGGGACCTGGGCAGGCCTGGCGAGATAAACAAACAATCTTGATTGTTTCTTACGTCGTACAGATTATTGAGCTTTTGACGAGCCCATTTTAATGAAGTCTACAACTGTGCCTTCAAATTTTGCTAAGTCGCATACTTCGCTGCCGTGCTGGGTATCTGCGAGCGCATGATGTCATAACACCAATGATTACTCCTTCAAAGTATTTTTACTCTTGGCGGTTAATATGCGACCCAAGTATCATGGTTTGCGGTAGCCACATTCTGCTTTATCCTTTATTTAGAAAAGGACATGGCTTGTGTGAAATTATACTTCCACTTGACTTTAGAGCCCCTAAATCTCGATGTTTTAACCGAAAGATGTCGAGAAATAAAGTTGGGTTACTGGGGAGGTGTAGCTGAGTAGCAAGGGTTCTCCATTAGTCTTAGTTGGTACCAACCCTAGCAATAATATTGGCGAAGCGAGGGTTCAGGCTTGCTTATCTGATCTGGGCAGCCGCTGGATTACAGACTTAACCCAGCCGCTGTGACATCCGCACAATTGGGTTCGGATTCTGAGTGTACAAGGCCTTCCTTTTTGGGTTGCTGAGCATCTCCCGGGTATTTCAGAGAAGAGAGCGACCGACAGTACGCAAGAGCGGAACTCCGCGAGTGTTGGTATAAGTAAGCAGCTCGGGAAATATTCAGCTGTTCAAAAGTGAGCAAAGCAACGGACACAGAATAGGGGGCCCCACAAGTACTTATCGCGGGTTGTCAGCGAATAGCAAAAGCCTTTTTAGTCTTCAGTTATCTCCATACTGTGCTATTAACGGAGCCTCATCTACATGGGTAATCTTGAGTAAAATTTGAGCTGTGTAGTCTACTCACCGACGGCCGGAGTCAAATTCTTAACTCGTAGCATAGCTGGAGAGGTACTTAGCACCGTCTGTCACGTGTAGAAAATTATTTGACTGTTCTGCGGCTGCCACTCTCTTTTAGATTGAAGCAATTCGCCACACATCTTTTTTTGCTATTTTATTATTTTTAATTATTAGTTCCCCAACGTCGCCAAGGACATGCTGGCGGCGTACACAGCATGGCCAGGTGTTTGCACGGCCGGAGTACAGATAAAAGAAGTCTTAGGAGAGCCACGCCGTTTGGCCGTCAGGTGTCTGCTGGGTACCTTTGAATCTGAGTTACAAGGACCTACCTATGCAGATATGTTGAGTGAGCCAAGTGGTTGACTGTCTGCTTGTCCGCTTTCCGCTGCGATGCTTCGGGCGTCCAACGCAACAATGCCCTTGCCTCTTCTCGAGCCACCGACTCGCCGAGACACGGGAGTTGTGGAGGGCCCCTCCAACAAGGCTCCCACCAACGAGAGCTGCGAAACAAGAAGAGCTGGCGCGCTGCATGTGGAATGGATGCTGTTCTCGGCGTTCGCGCCCCTGTCCGGGCGATCCACTGGGTCCTACGAATCGCGCTTTCCGCCCTCCCCGCTGAAGGTCACCCCCAGGCGGCCAGGCCCTAGCAGGCAGCCCAGGCGCCAGGTGCCCGCCAGTGCAACGCTGGGCAAGAAATAAAAATAATTCTCGGCCAACCGCCCCCAATACCTCCCTGTTCCGTCCTCCTTCTGCTTGCGTTCCTTGTTCTCGTCATTGTTCGCCGCCATCGCTGTCGCTGTCGTCGTGTCCCCAATCCCGCCAACCCATACGGTCGTTTTGTTGCTCTCAGTTTGACCTTTCTGTGCTGCCAGCTTCCGGCGCCGTTTCCTTCTGGGTCCCGTCAGTGTCAACTCACCGTTTACGCGTTTGCATTTCTTAGATTTGCTCCCCTTCCAGTCCCTTGCCGCTTGCCGTCCGTGCTGCTTTCCTGGGTCTAGTCTCTCGCTCACTCCGTTGCACGCAAATCCGCGACTTCCCATCGGCGATTTCCCACTGCACCGGGTTCTCTGTGCCTTGACTGTGGCTATCCGCTCGGCTTGCCCCGTGTATCGTTACCCTAGAATTCTCTCCCCAACCGAACCGACCTCCATCAAACCTAGGGGTTATCCATATCCTACCGGACGCGAGCCGATCTATGGCAGCGCTTGTTGTCTGAGAACAGCCAGACCTTGCAGCGAACGAAAGTCTCACACTCTCTCTACGCCCGATCGTTGCCCTGCCTGTTCTGCTCATCTGCATATCCCCGACAACCTTTGGCTTGACGTGCTCAGGCTGCATCTCCAATCACGTAAGTTTGTCCCTTTTTGATTGACCGCGGGCAATCGCACAAGCACACAAGCACACACATAGACGCACACAAATTACCCCAATTGGACAGCCGGACTAGCTTGCCTGCCTCCCCTCGGCGGGCGACGCCGAGTGTCGTGGGACCCAGGACGGGGAAGGGACAAAACCATCAGATCGAAGGTTTCTGGTCCCAAGAGCCGGGGTCCAGCCCGGACAGTCTGCTCGCAGGACTGGCATCGGCATTGACCTGTTCGAGAGCGAACTAGAGTTAAGACAGCCAATACCCAGCGGACATTTAATCTCTGTGTTTTTTCTTTCATTTTTACTCTCTTTCCCCGTTTTTTTCTTCGTCTCCCCAGGCCTGTTTCGGCTGTGCTTGCGTACCATGTTTCACCCGCGAGTTGGCCCACGAACGCTCAATATGCCATAATCCATGCCTTCTTACGGACTCACCCCACTTTCGTCAACCGATAGAATGGTCTCTGACTTGGCAATGGGAAACAGCTGATCAACAAAATTTCTGACGAGCTGAGACGTCTATCGAAACCACGCATCAGGCCTGGTTCTTGTCCTAGAGACGCGCTTGTCGCCGAGTCTAGTAGAGATTTGATTTGACACTGCACGGACAGACCAGGCCGCTGCTGTTTCCGACTTTTTCAAGCTGGACCGGACATCCTGCATTACTCATCTCGCATCTTAGCCGTCTCGTCTGCCAGTGATCTATATGCCTAGGTTCTCGGTCACATTTGGAAGGCGGAAGTCTACCGCTGATAATTTGGACAATGCCCCGGTGACCCCCTCTTTCCGCGTTCTTGAGCGCTCTGAGGTGGCTGGGGCGAAGCAAGTCGATGGTGGCGTGAAGCCTGTGAACCAAGGCTTCCATAGGCCGACTGGATCCGATGTCACTTTCGAGGACAATATTTTTGCCGATCTTAAGCCCAATAGGTATGTTTGCACTACAGCCAGGAGCTAGTTCAGCACATTCACTGAGCGCCGGTCCCTTTCCCCCATATTCTTCTTCTCTAACAAAATGGGCTTCAGAGGAAGCGGGTCCTCCAACACAACCAAGACAACATTGACGGATATTTCTTCACGTCACAGTAATGCCTCAACGACCCCATCGTCCACTGATATGGGCGGCATCGAAGATTCTCGGGGAGGACAGAAGAAGTTACCTTCGGATGTCCCGGTTCCTCCAATCCCCAAGTCGTCAGCTACTACCGGGTTCCTCAGGGCTGCTGGGCGCACGTTCTCCTTTGGCGGGCAGAAAAAGCACCAGCTCGCTCAGCCTACAATCACCGAGTCCCCGCCAGCGACATCCGAATCAGACCCCAAAACCCCGTCAAACGGCCGGTCCAGGGCAGCAACCACGTCGACCACAACGACTCTTACACCTCCAAGGGTTGACAGCGATTTTGAATTGGATCTTGGCGGCGACTTCGGCAAACTGGTGCTGGGCAGTGATCACCGTTCCAGCGTTGTGACGCTTAAGAATGACCAATATTCGGTGCAAGCTCCTGCTCCTCGCTCGCTAACAGGATCTCGGCCCAACCAGCCATCTCCGCTCCAATTCGACAACTCGGTCAAGGTTGATCCTCCTCTTCGATCATGGAGCAGCCAGCATTCCAATGACCAACTAATTGCCCCTTCTCCTACCACCTCGCCTGCTTTCAAGGATAATGCCCCTGCTGTTTCGTGTATTCTGCGGGAATCCTCGCCTATCACGGAGAGGCCGCGACCGGGAACGTCTCCAGAGTTTGGATCCCGCAAACCAGCTCTCTCTCCCCAGCAGTCCAACTTGGAGCAAGAAGAGGATGCAGAAGACGAAGAAACGAGGCTGTTGAAAGACTCTCTGTCTACAGTAACCAAATTTTTGAATGGCACAGAAGCGCCCATGACCTCCGGCACCACATATCGACGGGATGGAAGCACACTGGAAGCTGATAGCGACAGCCTCTTCGATTCCACTTCCTCTCGCTATGGTAGTCGGTACACGTCTCGCAAGCATCAAGGGCCTCCAACAACCAACAAAGTGATGACTCCTGCGGAGTTTGAGAGGTACCGGAGGGACAAGGAACAACAAGACAGGGAGCGTAGGGAACACAACAAGTTTTCTGGCAAGAACAATCGAGATGAAGACGAAGAGGATAATTATGAAGACGACGAGGACGATTTGGAAAAAGCAAGGCAGCAAGCAAAGCAGAGGCAAAAGCAAGAGGCACATCTGGCTGTGTATCGGCAACAGATGATGAAAGTCACGGGTGAATCCTCATCAAGGCTGAGCATCCAGATGTCCTCTAGCACTCCGGCGCTGACAACTACAATTACCACGCCGGCTGCTGGACCAGCCAATGGCTCGGACAACTCCGACGAGGATGAGGATATCCCGTTGGCCGTCTTGGCTGCACATGGCTTCCCGAATAAAAACCGCCCACCAAATCGACTGAGTACCATGATGTCAAATCCAAATTTACGTGCTGCCCAGCAACCAAGTTATCAGCGTCCTGGGTCGGCTATTGGAGATGTTCCTGGGGTGGGGAACGCTCGTCTTCCCGCCTTTGCAAGAAATCTTCCCCAGGACCCTTTCATCGGTGCTGGTTTGATCCGCAACCCTGTTCGTGAGAGTTTCTCCCTCGGCGGTGGCGCGCCTGGTATCCCGCCCGGTGGTCTGATTGGTGTCATAGCAAACGAGGAACGCAATCGAGCGATGAGACGAGGAAGCCCTCACCTTGAAGGCCCAACTGTTCTTCCTTATGGATCTGGGGGCTTGGACCCCGTCACTGGCATCCCTTCGCACCAAGCGTATCAGGGGAATCGCCATTCCATGATGCAGATGAATCAGCAAATGCAGCAGTTCATGCAGATGCAGATGCAATTCATGCAAACAATGATGGCAAATCAACAGAACGCCCCCATGGCATCAGTGTCCGCGACAAATTTGAACGCCATGGGCACCATGCAACAGTCTCCTGGGATGCTGGGCGTGCGGATGCCTGAAGCCCGCCACTCCTTTATCGCCAACGATTCGCGCCTCGACATACCATTTGGCCGCGGCGAAGCCCAGATGCGCACAATGAGTATGGTTCAACCTAGCTCTGCGTCGTGGATACAACCAGGCCAGCCAGTTGGTTACGCCCCTTCAATCCGGCCTCAGGGCAATGCCTATGCTCCATCGATCGCTCCCTCCGAGCGCAGCAATATTGGCCTCCCAGGCCGTTACCGTCCGGTGTCTCATATGCCCCCGCCGCATCTTGTGCCAGAACAGGGCCACTTGCGCAAGTCATCGGTGATGTCAGGGGCACCACAGCACCCTAGTATTTCTGTGACAAACGTGACCAGTGATAGTGGCAACGCGTCAGATGATGATGAAGAAGGCTGGGCTGCGATGAAAGCGAAGCGAGAGAAAAAGAAGAGCCTCTGGAGGTCTAAGAAGCTGGGTGGTGACAATCTCGATTCTCTTATTAGCTGATGACATCAGTGGAGAAGGGGAAAAGAGTTGTCAAGCCTGAGAGAACAGTAAGAGGATCAGGCAATGGATAATGGGTGATAGCTCAAGCAATGAGCGCTGTGAAAGGCATGTGCATCTTCAATTGGATTGGTGTTGAAGACTCCATTGGATAATCAAGACAACAGGCTCTGGTTCGTTGTATAATTTGTGTTTCTTGTCTCTTCAGGGGTTGGAGGGAAACTAAAGCATGAAGTGGCCAAGTATTTCGGTATTGAGAGCGTGGTGGAAATTGCATTGGCCCCTTGATTACTTTTCTTCTTGGTGTCCCGCGAAGAGGATCTGCCATAGAACTAGCACCTCAATGCGCCTAATCCGGTAATATGTGAATACAAGAAAGAGTAACAAGAAGCATACAGACAACTGAACAATAATAAGTGTTAATTGTCGTAGGCTGGCAAGCAGCTTCAAAACATATCCAGCTTTATCCAAGCTCATCCCACAACCAGAAGGGCTGCGGATCTCATGCACCCATCTCAATCTTGCCAGTCGCCCATGCCCTGCGTTTTACGCCCATCTCAACCGCCGCAAGACCCCAGTCTTCGCCGTGGTTGTGGCTTCCAGGTATCAGACCTGCCCGAGCCTTAGCCTGCTCGTCGTTCAGCACGGTTAGCACGCCAAAAATGACGGGCACCCCCGTGTCCAGCCCCACGCGCATCAGACCCTGCGCAACACTCTCAGCAATGTACTCAAAGTGCATCGTCTCGCCCTTGATTAGCACGCCGATGGCGATGATGGCATCGAAAGAGCCTGTCGATGGACCGGTCGCCGCCGTCGGTAACTGGGATGACAACAAGTCGCTTGCTGAACCCCCAAGAAGATCTCCGGCTGAACTACCAATGCCCGCTGAAGAAGACTGGACTTGCGACGCGGAGTAGAGACTGTTTGAACCAGAACCAATTGTAACGGAGAAGTCAGCGGTAATGCCAACCTGAAAGGAAGAAGCAATTCGTGATGAACATCATTTAATGACAGATGACTAGGGATAACTAAGGAGTGCTTGTGGAAAAGAAGACGCACCGTTGGACAGCAATTGGCAGTTCCCACGAGCCAGGAACCGATTGAATCACAATGTTGGACTCGTGCACACCGCACTCTCGAAGCTTCGCTTTGGTTCCGTCCAGCAAGGCTTTGATAATGTCATCATTCCAGCGTGCATGTACGATGCCGATCCTCAGGCTGCTGCCATCGTGCTTTTGGGGGGCTGGTCCTTTGTTGTGCATTGTTACTTTAGCATTCAGGATGTGTAAGTTTTTGTGTGTCTCCTCGATCAAGCTGTCACTCGCAGCCATGCGCTGTTGCCAGAGGTGATGCCTTTCTGCCTGGGTGATGCTATGTGGGTAGGTGCAGAGGAGGGGCATAGATGGGTGGGTATGGAGGGGTTAGTTACAGGTCCTTGCCGAGTAGTAGGTGCTGCTCCATTGGGTTTTCGTTGAACTCCCTTCACCTTGCGCGCTCCTAGAGGCTCTTCTGGCTCTGGCCTGCAGTACTTTTTGCTTATATAATCGGGTGGATTTAGTGTTGAACCCTGAAGGCCCGGGTACTCTATATTGAAAGTCCAGGGGTCTTGGCTTCTGCGACAACAAAAGGACAGTCCTGCTTTCCATAAATCACATCAGTCAGTGGGCAAGGCACCTAGGTACCTATGGCCTTTGTTGTAATACGGACATTGTTCTAGGCAACAAGGAACGAGTTTGGATACTGCAGGTAGGTGCTTGTTAAATTACGCAACCGTTCTCTCGCCTTTCCCGAGTTAAAGTCGCAAAAAAGGCTACATTTCGGTTGACTCACGGCCTGTTGCATCGTTGAAAGGGACAACAAAGAAAATCAATGCAGCCTTTGAAGATCTTAGGAGAGTACTTCTCATAGAATGAAAATGTCCTAACAGCACATTTTTATGACTCAACATTCTTTGTACGCCGGGAAGCTACGATGTCAATGTTGAGCAAGAGAACGATGACATGTTGTTTCAAGACGAAGACTTCGTTCTTATCCACTTTGAGTCATTTCTGACATCAATCTATCTTCTTTCCTGCAGGATTAGCAATGACAAGATCTTGGTGATCGACCAGACCCATCCGCTCGTAACCGACGTGAGCAGTCTCTTTCCTGTCTAATTCTTCGAGAAAGCTTTGTAGTCCTTGACTGAGAATTTTCGCTGAAACCTCAACACTTCTACGGCGTCCTGGAGCGTGGACATGTGTCAAGCTTTGATGGCATGAGCGATGAAGATGACGATCGTGTTTATAACTCTCCCGCCGAGTGGAGAGCAGGGTCCCAGAGCAAGTAGTCTCAATCTTCCAGAGAACAATGACTGTGAAAATGACATGGAAGAGCTTCAAAGGATGGGCTGAAATGTTGGTCCATTGCTAAGCTAGCAGCGCGCATCTGACGTCTGAGAAGACAGTTGTTACTTTGGAACAAGAGAGTGTTTTGAAAGCCCCTTGTTCTTCTGTGCTACAAGCTCACCATACGCGATTGACTGGTGCAGAACAGGGGCTACACAGGCATCCAAACAATATAATTGAAGAATTTAGAATTAACCATCAAACCAGAGGAATGTAGTTCAAGCAAATAAGTTGAAGAATCCTGCATCTCTTGGGAAGTCGCTGAACAATATAACCCCAATGACCGCTCGCAAGCCACTGCGCCCCTCCACACATATATCATACACCTAGTGGGTTCCTTGTCACTTCAGGGAGCTACAGAGCCTGCCGTTGTCTTTTGCTGGTGACCACTACGCAGATCATTGAAGGGATGGACGGTCTCATAATAGGCATGTTCCACCCATCAAGAAATTTCAGCCCCGATTATCATTTTAAAGCAAGAACAGGTAATGGCACTATTCTTATGAGGACATGCTTGCATAAAGGGGGCAATCAAGCGAAACACATGATCCTGGGTTCGGCCAAAATCCAAGATTACCTAACTAGAGTATTGTTAAGAAGCAGAGAGGCTCAACAGTTGCGTGGTTCAAAGCAGTGACATCGAAGGGCAAAAGATCATGCCTGGTGCTGCCGACTGCAATTGCAACAAAGCACCGAATATGGGTTGAACAGGCATTCGAGATGGCCAGAGGGATACTCTATATCATGAAACTTCCCAGAGAGCTATGACAACCAATGATCCTTGCTTGCAAATCATCACAGAGCAGCGATATGGTCATCAAACCGAGTACAAAACCGAGACATCTGAATACCGAACGATCACAGAAAACGACCCCTAGAACTTTTTAGACTTGTGCTCTACTCTTGACAGCCGCTGGTGATACTGACAGATGTTCTTGGTAATGGCCTTTCCTCCGAGGATGCCTTGCACATGGTCAGGCATTTTCTAAGACGGACTGACCAGATTTCGGGTATAGAAATATGACTCTGCAGCTGCTTCTGAGCATGGAAGCAGAGAGAGCTCGAAGCAATAAAGACTGGACCCAGTTCATGTCTAAGCAATGCAGTTTTTGCAGTCTGCACACACTTCTATGATGTTGCTAGTCTCATCAACAGAGTTAAACTGCAACAGAAAAAAATCTTGTAAATTGTCACTGTGCGGGATCCTCTAGCAGGGAATCTCACACCTCTCTACTAACCATACTAGTTATCCTGTCCAGAACACCTGACATTCCTGACAGTTTGCGTCTACCCTCTGCACGCTGATTTTCTCTCTTTCATGGGAAGCTCTCTATATTGCTGGTTTCCAAGAAGCTTGAGGTACCTGCGGGCTACGTTAGGCAACGGGATGCTCCAATAGGCTGAAAGGCGAAAGCTAGCTTTTTGTTTTGGTCTTATGTTTTAGTTCCTTTCCTAATCTCATCCCAGGGAGCATGGCTCCAACACGAGCTGACAATTGCCACACATGCGAAGTGGCTGTGCATAGTTGACAGGGGCTGATTAGAGAGCTTGGAGGCAGGATCGCAACTTGCGCTAATTTGACAATCGCGAGCCATTGCTTGCATCTCGCATCCATGGTCTCGGTTATTATTATTGGTATGAATAAACTGCATAGGGCAGCCCAGTCAATAGCGGGGTGCCTATGACTTTGAATGCCTGGGTTTGTGTTTAAGCAGACGAGTGGAACTGCTCAGTTGTTAAGTGGTCTTCTGTTGCCCAACACCTACCTAACTGGCACAGCCGGGAAACACTGTGGTGTTGCAAGAGTGGTGTCCATGAACAAAAGCTGGTACAGACAGTTCTGTGGGAAGGAGAAACAGCCTGACAGGCAATGAGCAGAAAGACACCAAGTGACTTTCGGGACAGGAAGGGGGAATATTTATTTAATAGTAAACATGCTTTATGTCCGAATATGCCATATTATGATTATGCACTTATGTCCCATACAGAGTGTGAGCCGACAGAACATGAGCCGTACCATGAATTTTGTTCAGCAATCCCCCCTGATGGGGTTAAGTATTGTAGGATCCGAGTGGAGGTGGGTTCGTGAAGGCTGCAGCCAACTTCCAGTTTCCATCCCATCTTCCTTGGATGTTGGGCAGTTGCGGTACACGGGCTGACACACAGGGGATATGGCCAATCAGAAGGAGAGATCACTGTCGATCAGCAAGCTACGGCGCAGGTTGGCCCCATCCCGCAGGCTAGCCCAAGCTGGCTAGAATCACCCACCACACTTGTTGTGACGGGTCCGTCCGTTGTTGCCCTTCCTTGGACCCAGAGTCCTGGCTGGGTTGCTGTATCATCGCTGGGCTGAGATGTTCAGACTTGGAGCGTAGAAGCCATCCGATGATGGAGGTGAGATATGTCTATCTGAATTACCTAGGTATCCGAACAGCAAACCAAAACCGACCAGGACGAAACACTCGTCCGTTCTTCCGTTCCTGCCTGCAGTCTGCAGCCTTGCCGCCGCGCTTGTGATTGCACCGAGTACCGCAGCACGCTGGATCCTTCGGTCGCTTCAAGTTTCTGGTCTCTACCTCACAGTCCTCATTCTCCAGGTTGCCAGCCATCCACATCCACATTGCATCTCATCCTTTCTACATTCCCATCCTCCCTCATATCAACAAACGCGCTGTGTCCGGTGCAACGTCGTCCAAGATGCATAACAAGTAGGGCTGCTGCCGTGCTGTGCTTTTCACCCACTTCGCCCTGATTGTCATTTGATCGCTGTCGCTTGACACTGCTGGCCGCCAACATCCCTTGCCTTTCACCGGCCTTGCATCGACCATGCCGACAGTCTATGTGTCTAGTCCATTGTCCTCCGAGTCTGCGTTCACGAGTGCGCAGTGTGGTGACTGTGACTGCGGTCCGCACCGCGCCGGCGTCGACAGTCAAAGCGGCCACCGGCTTTCCCACAATGCCGATTCGGCCCTCAGAGCTGGCGGCGTCGAACGCCGTGTCAACAACAGCCTGTCTGCCGCGCTACGGCTCCGTCATGGCCTGATCGGACCAGTGCTGCTTCTGCCGGCTCTGCTAGCTGCGTTGTCCGGCCCAGCTGCCGCGGCCTACGTTGCTTTCGAGAATTGCCTGCCCGAGTCCTACGTCAACAACCATCCAACGCCATTGCAATGGGTGCCCAAATATGTCGATGCTTCGTTCGAGGTTACCGAGCCGCCGATGCACACACTCCGGGTGACCATGTGGGGGAATGTGACAGGCGCTTTCACCAACGTCACGCTGCCGTCTCCCGAAAGCCCAGATTGGACAGACCCAACTAAAACCGACGGCAAAATCCTCGATCAGCCCGAGCCTGATGCTCCGAACCCTAAGCTCACGACTCTGCTTAGCAAGATCAATGTCCTTACATACGAGCCATATCGCAAGACCTTCAAGTTTTGCAACGGCTCGCTGGTTAACGGCTCTTGTCCCTTGGCGCCTGTCTTTGACACAAACACCAGGTGAGTAAGCGTTTTGGTCTCTGACTCTTTGACTCTCTGTTACTGGGAGCGTCTCGGGTTCGCTGGCGTCTGGTGCTTCGTATGCTGACCTCTTCCCGTCGCCCACCAGCGTCGCGCCTTACAATTTGCCGTCTGTCAATATGAGCCACTCCTTCGATTCGTCCTATGCCTTCGCATCGTTCACCGCGACCTTCCTCATCATCTATGGCGACTCAAAGGGTACCAACATTGGCTGTGTCTCGGCGACCGTGACCCCCGATCTTGGCCGGTTAGCTTGGATGATCAAGTATCTACCGATGTTGGTCTTGGTGCTTGTGGGCTTCGCCACTGTCTTTGCCGGCATTTTCAGCCCCTGGGGAACGTCGGACATCTTCCATTGGAGCTCCAATTACGGCCGCGATCCCGACCTCCTTCGACTGGTCACCCCCGGTTTTGGGGATTGCTTACAATATATCCAGTTCATTGTTCTCACTGGTGGCTTAACGCTCAACTACCCGGGCTTTTACCAGCCCATCATTAGCCAGGCGTCGTGGTCTGCTCTCATGTTCAACCACAGCTTTGTGAGCAAAGATCCCGGCTGGATCAGTGTCCAAGATGGTATCTACGTCACGGAAGGGGCTTATGGTCTGCAGAAGCTTGCCCGGCTAGCAGGCTTGCGCAATTTGGCCGACATTTGGGCCGGCATGATGGTCTGGCTTTTGGCCATCATTGCTGGCATGTTGGTTGTCTTCAGCGCTGGCTTTTCTCTTCAGTGGCTCTACCGATTTATCCAGAAGATCCCGGAAGAAGATCTTCGCTCCAAGAATATCCCTTTCATGATCGGGAACATTGTCCGGATCGTCTTGAACTACTTTCTTCTTCCGATCGTGGCCCTCTCAACCTTTCAACTCGTCGTCGCCAGCAACTCTCCGGCGTACACCGTTGCCATGGCAGTGGTGTCCTTGATTCTCATCATTGGTTTTGCTGCCTGGCTACTGTATCTCATCGCCACGACTAAACCGAGGGCTTTCCTGTTTGACGATCTTCCAACCGTCCTTCTGTACGGACCCCTATACAACACCTATTCAGACGAGGCTGCTGCCTTCACGTTGATTCCCGTGCTTCTTACCTTTATCCGCGGCATTGCCGTTGGAGCTGTGCAGCCTGCCGGGGTGGCTCAGGTCGTCATTCTGGCTATCTGTGAGGTCATTCAAATCTTAACTCTGCATGCTTTCAGACCATTTCACTCGCCTACGTCCATGAATGCCTACCACACGCTCTTTGCTGCGCTCCGCCTTATCACTGTACTCCTCATGATCGCATTCATTCCCTCCTTGGGTGTGACGGATGGTCCCAAGGGTTGGATTGGCTATGCCATCCTCGTTACCCATGCTGGTGTGCTTGTCCTTGGTTTTCTCCTAAACGCGGTCCAGACAATCGTGGAGGTAGTGGCTCGGATGCTTGGTGCTGGCGGAGATGATATCCGTGGTCAAACAAGAGGAGGGCTGTCCAAGATCTTCGGAATGCGGCAGCTCTCCCGACGCATGTCTCGCCGCATGACTGGCCACCCGTCAAGACAAAGTCAGCTCTCTAGCTCTGCCATGCTGGATGCGGACGAACTCTCCAAGACGGGATATGTTATGCCAAGCGGCCGTGTTCGCAGCGAATCTGCGGGTAGCATGGGCATGTTTACTCACCGCCGCCATCGAAGCTCGTCTGTGTATGAAACTCTCACTTTTGATGCTGCCCCAGCACGCCAACCCGAGAGCATCGCAGGCTCCTACACACCTACCACCCCTGGAGAACCTAGCCCTTACATGGTTTTGCCATCACCCAAAACTGCAGTCCGACCCCAGGGTACATTCGGTTTCCCTGCATATGACCCTTATTACCGTCCACCCAGACAACGGCGTGCTACAGTCGTCGAACCATCATCATCGTCTGCTACCGGCCCTGGCGGTCCTGGGAAAGCCGGTGATGGGTCTCAGAACCGCAACAGCGTTTCAGGATCCCTTACGCTCGGTGATGCCTCCGAGATTGGTGGCGAAAATTTGGGGGACGCCACTTCTGCCGTCGCCTATGGGCTTCCCTTCAATCCGCGAATTGACTACTCAATTCGTGAAGTGGATTTTTACTACCGAGGCAGAGGCGAGAGGCTCAACTCAGAGGCTCCCGCCCGCAAGTTGGGTACTGGTCCCGCCGATCCAACTGGGCCTGTGGCTTCCGCCGTTGGGTGGCTAAGGAGCATCTTCGGGCGTCGTACAAAAGACAGGGGCAAAGGATTTGAAGTTGTGCGAAGTGCACGTATGCCGCCGGCAATGATGCGTGCCGCAGGTGCTGATATTGAAGACGAGCAGACACAACAGGGGGTTCCCGTCGCCATGGACGTGTTGCGTAGTGGCCCTGTTGACTCGGAGGACGACCAAGAACAACGGCGGAAACAGTTGTCACGTTCAACCGCGAACCCGACATCACCAGACTGTGTACCACTAAATGGCGGGAGGAACTCTGGCGACGACGATGTATACAACATGGATGCCAGCGCTGCAAGGCCTCCGCAAGGCCCTCCCATACTTCCTGAAATCAACCTTGTAGACAGTTCGGGGCAAGAAGTGCCCGAACAACCCCCAGAAGTCCCTCGAAAAAGCTCCAAGCGCAAATCCTGGGTAAAATCGCAGTCGATGGTCGCCACCGTGGGAACATCGGGGACTCTTAGTCCACCTCCTTCTTCTACAGCCCCAGTCGCGTCTTCACGCCTACCGTTCGAGAGCACGCCGTCTCAGAAGTCATCGGCGGACGAGTTCATACATATCGACCTCGGAGATCCATCGCCATCATTATCCGCTCAAGGGGGTGACGAAGAGATGCCAACAGCTTATGGGACAGTAAATAGGGGTAGTATCAGTCGGATTGACCATGAGGTGGATTTATTAACCGGGAATGCTCGGATGGCAGAGGTAGTGGATGACAGGCAAGGGGGTGTGAAGCGACCGACGCGCCCAACACCTGCCGATACAGTGCCAGCAGACTTCGAACCGCGATAGTCGATTTTGCAAACAGTACACATGCCATCGGTCATCATGCTTTTTTTAAAAAAATATTGGCTGCTGATAGTTGTCAGCAATATGGCTTTAGAATGAAGAAGGGATGTGGGCTTGGTTGATTGGTCCTTATTTTGGTTATCTTAGGAATGAGTACTTGTTTTACATCGACGGCGTGCAAAATGGGCGGCTTCAATGTTGTTAATGGGTGGAAAATCCTTAACCTGGCCTTTCATGCCTAGAGTTATTGGGGGGGTTCGAGGGGTTATAATGTCGTATACAAGGAAATGGGTTTTGGGACGTTTTTCAAACATGAGATTTTGGCGTTTGTGGACGTAGTTGCGTCTTCAAGCATAAAATATTAAGTGTTTGAAAGTTAAATCTCGAAGCTAAATATGCGGACAGACAGGCTTCAAGGAACTCTGAAGGGATTGTTCCCATGGACCCTTCATGTTTGCCTTTGACCAACCTGCAACCAAGAAGCTGTTTTATGTTCTACACACTCCACACCTTTTTCAAGAGGTTCGGTTGTTGTGGCAGAGGGCTTGCACACCATAAATTACCTACGTGTTCGCAATCAACACATGCCGAAGACCAGAAAATTTGGCACCAAACGAATCAAATAAAATGATTTTAAGTAGATCATAAAGCAGAGAGGGAGCTATGCTAACTTATCGCCAAATCCCTATCCCCGCTCCTCCAACAGCAGCTATGGCCCCCATCAAGCCAGCACAAGCAGCAGCAGCGGCGGCGACAGCAGTTGGCTTCGGCGCTGCATTACCGGTCTCTGTCCCGAAATGAAAAACTCCCACAGACGTGCCCGTCAAGGTGCACATCGCGGACTGCAAGCCATAACAGGCCTTGCTAGAAAGACTGTTACCTATAGAGGAGAAAACATTAGCAAAAGTTATGCGGCCTCTGTGTTTCTCCCCTTCCTTGTTAGGGCAACAGAAACTGGGCATGCGCTGGGGCAGACCTACAAATGCTCACTGCACTCTCAATTCCGACACTAACTCCGGGAAAAACTGGTGCAACAGTTATCCCCCCACCGCCAGGGACAACAATGGTTACCGCAAATCCTCCGCCGATGCTACCACCTAGCTGAGCTGTGCAAGCAGCATAGTTTGCATTGCACTGACTGACGGCGGCACTGCACCAGCCTGGGTTTGCAAAGTAGGTCGCCACGTATGGGAAGGAAAAGAAGTCGTTAGGCACAAATGAGGCAGCAGTAGGCGTGGAGGGAGGAGGGGTGGTGAAGGGAGCTGGTGCGGTCCCAGTACAGATAGCCCTAGTGATCCCAGATTAGTCCTACGTGCCTCCATCGACAGAAGACCTGGTCCAGTCTTCAGTTACAGAAATTCATAGAGTATAAGGTGTCTATCTGTGGCTATTCTGACCAGACTTACTCATTTGGACAACAAGCTGGGTTATTGTTTACATCCAGGGCGCATCGCTGGCCATTGCGGCAGCAGATGCCGGCAAAGGCAGCTCCTTGGTCGGAACAGCTGTAGAAATCATGCAGACAAGCCTGTCGTCTTGCTATTGCAGCTGCTGTCTCGACCGGCAAGAAGGGCCGCAGCCTCATTCCAGCAGCGCGTGCACATGGTGTGCAAGCGAGAACGACCAACATGATAAATACGAAGGCCTTGAAGTCTGGAGCTCGTAACAATTGGCCCGTGGTCATTGTTACCGTTGCTGGACAATGCGGCAGTGGATGTGGAGGCTGATGGATTGGGTTCTGGGTTGAACCTGGGAGGGATGTGATCAATCAAACAGATTATATCCGTATCCGAGCGATCTCGAGATGCGACTCAGATTCAGGCTGATATAGTGAACTAAGCATGCGGCTTAGTCTAAAAGACTTGCCATTGACAGACAGCAGCAAGCAAACAATCCTGAAATACTCAAAGCTGCTGTGTCCCGCTGTCTGCTGTTAAGACGATGGACCGATGGAGGTGCGAGTGAGTATTCTTGTTCAGTACTTTTGCTGACCGCCAGAAGAGTGCCTGGAATCACGAAGTTGCAAACCGGACAGGCGCTTACACAAACCGCGATATAAAGGGTCACCAAAAGCCCCCGTTAAGCTTTGATGCAGAAAAAGCCAGCAGGCACCTAGGTACCTATCCTGCTGTGGCGTGGGCTGATTACAACCAGCTGTACAGGCCAAGATTACTGCGAGTCCCTGACAGATTTCAGTTCTGTGTTTGGCCACCACTTAATCCACCATAGCACATGTGTGTTTCTGCTGACCAAGAGGTGTGCCTGCTATCAGAGACAACGGTGGACTGCTTGGTCTGCACTGAGGTGGCAACCAGTGTTGTACAACACAGAATGCATTGAATGGAATTGTCCCAATGCTACTTGATACAGGAAGTTATAGCAGCCCAAACCCACTTTCGCACATGCATGTGGCTATGTAGGCACAGGTTGTGAGTATGCACAAGTGGTTCAGAGAGCGAAAGGGAGGAGGCTGGAGATGCCCGTGGGGAGTTTGTTGCGTTGCTTGGCTGGCAGGTTGGCAGTGGGAACGTAGCTGCTGGGAAGCTCGGCACCTTGATCAACCACAACTTGGCAGCTTAGGAGCGCCCAGTGATGTCATCCGTTGGCTGGTCCGGCAGCCGATCCCGGGCCTTGAACAGTCCGGGAGCTGGTCCGTACCTCAAGAGGGGCCCAGCGAAGAGAAGAGACGTGTGGGGCTAGGCCGCAACGGATCGCACTCGAAATGTCGGCTACTTCGCAAGCACGTGATCAGTGACTCGCGATAGCTAGCGCAAAATGGTACTGTGTAGTGTGGAAGTACCATATAGGGATGCGTAATTGATACGAATATAGTTCGTATATATACAAGATATGGACATGATTTTCTGTAAAAATACTAGAGGTGGCATACTAAGCACCGCGGAGGTGTCCCAGAATTGCACGGAGCCGGAGCAATGCCTTCGGTTCTGGAGGTCTCTCACCCGGCTTCACCTCCTGTAGCTGGAGGATTTCGTTGCGAGCTTCTTCGACAAGCGCGCTGAGATCACCCCATACTTCATCTTGGTAATTCGTTAATACACGGGACCACTGGCTAACCCAGGCTTCCCAGGCCTCGTCGGGGTTGGCTGCACCCAGGTGAAGTGTGAAGGCGAGTTCTGCAGCTGCGCCCCCTCCAGTATGTGGATGAAGATATGGGGGAATGAAGTTCAGCACATGATCCCAAGCAATTGGCGATGTTCCATAATCTTTCTTGTCGTCGCCGAATAAAGCGTTCCGCAGAGCAGATAAGTCGCTCTGGCTTACTGGCTCTGACACGTCCTCGAAAACCGAATCGAGATCACCATTTCCCGTGAGCAATGCGACAACCTCTGCGCCGTCCAGAGCTTCTTGCTCTGCTACTGTCCGTTCCGGCTGGACAGCCTCCCTGACTCCAGTTGGCCCTCGGGAAACAGGAGGGACAGTTGATGACTGCCAGGCAGTCTCCAGAGCATTCGGGGCTGTCAGGATTGGCACGTCTGCGCTGTCCAAGAATGTTGCGAAAGAAGCCTCCGCTTGCGCGACATGTTCTTGTGTGTGCCCTATTCTGATGCTCCCTCCAGAATTATCACTCGTCCGTAGCTGCACCGCACTGCTCCTGGCCCTTTCAAGGGCTCCAGCTGCTCGGGACGACTCCCCCCCTTTCTCGTGACCGTGAGCAAATACCGTGCTCGGTGGTCCGACCAGCAAGGACGATGGTAGAGACGATGCCGACTGCATCAAGCGTGGTAGCAATGGCTCCTGCTTGCCCCCTTCTGGTGCAGATTCAGCTAGCGCGCTGTCGTTGCTCGTTTCTGGAGCCTTGCCTTTGTTTTTCAGGTCCTTCTGCCCATTGCCGTTCCCGTTGGCGCTTCCGCTCCCATCGTTGTTACCGTCCATGTTGCTTGGGTAGTCTAGCCTTCGTGTAAGCGCGCTGACCGAGAAGCGGAGAGTAACTAATGCGGGGAAGCCAGCCTACGGCAGCTTCTTTGGATTCTAATAAAAGAGATCTGCGTTGCGAGCTAACGGGGAGCAGCGAAAGCGACAGGGCAGTGGGAAGGGGTGTTGCGGCCAATCCAAAGGGCACGTCAACCAGTATTGGTGTCCAGCACGATCGAAGAATCTGCTGCCGTGCAGTCGACGATCTTCGGGAACCGATGATTAAGAGATGGATGACTTTCCGTCCGTGGGCGAGAGGTGGTTGCTAAGAGGTGAGTGGATTCTGATAGACTCACCTATGCTGGACCTCTGGAACTGGAATTAATATCTTGCTATCGGTGCCGGTTAGGGCTTGATTAAGCGGGAGCTATGATGGAGTTGAAGGATTGAAGGAGGATGAAAGGAAGATCATGGCCTTTGCTTGGTTATGATCGGAGCGTTGGCCCGAGCCAGGTAGCCCGAAAGTACCCGACGATAGAAGCAATTTAATTGGGTCAGTACTGGCTGCAACAAAAGTTACCGGGCAGGGACATGGAACGATTGCTGCGGGTCAGGTTTGAAGGCGGCTCTTCAGCCTCTCACAGATACTAGGGCCCTGCTGCCTTGCCAGTTCCTCGCCTACAGTACCTGCTGTAAGTAAGTGGATACCCTAGCTCCAGGTTATCCATCCGCAAGCACTGCACTGTGTGTCCACAGGTGCCCTTGCTTTGGGGAGGGCCCCGCAGCAGCCCGGCTGGTTTGGGCGCACCATCAAAGTCCATTGCGCCAACCTTGGAAGGCCGACAGACAGCTCGTCGGTTCGAGCTTCACCACCCATCCGACATCGAGCTCTTTCACCAACACCTTTCCGAGTTGGCCGCGGTCGGCGTATGTTCTGCACACCCCGCACATCCTCCATTTGTCTTCCACAGTCTGGCATCTGCTGCTTGCTGCATGCCTCTTTCGCCGACCTGACTGCCTACTTGCCTGCTGACGCGCGACGCAGTCTCTTTTTGCCCTCCTTTCCCCGGTCTTTTTGCTGCGAACGCAACTCGTGGGTGGCACGCTCACCTCCCATCGCGACTTTCCTCGCCGACCCCATCCATCAGCCCTCGGGCCGCAAGCTGCCCTCTTCACCTAGGGCCCAGCCCAGTCGACATCCAAACCACCCGATTCTCCCTCGTGCAAGCGTCGCTCAACCTCCAGGACCCATATCCGCTTCTGCTCCCAAACCCCGCCCTTTGTCTCGTCCCAGCACCTATCCGCGGGGGCCTCACTTTGAATCGCGAGCCAACTCCCAACCAAACATAGCATCGTCTTGACACGGGACCCGTTGCCGCCCGTCTCACCTGTTCCCGATCGCCTTTCTACGGTTTCTGCAAGACTCGATCGAGTTTCTTGTTTCGTTGTTCGCCCGCCGTCGTCGACAAAATGGTGGAAACAGACACGAACGGCCCGACATGGAAGTTCACTCAGTAAGCCACTTCCACCTACCTCTTTAACACCTCTTAACCTGCCCTTCATATGCCCGGCTGTAACGATCCGACCTGTCCTGCGGTTCATATCCCAGCAAGAATCAGGATCAGGATTCTGCTGCATACCCTGTCCCCCCACTAGTTGATTTGCTGGTGTTGCCCACCTCTTGCTCGACCGTTTCTCCGAACCATTATTTGTGCCTTCGGCAAGCTAATTCAGGGCTGCAGGTGCTTCGGTGACAAGGGGGACGTTGAGGACATCACAGAAGGTACGCCGGCGATCTTTTAGAATTGTCCAGATCCCAGCCTTAACATAAAGTGATGTGGAAATTGTATGGGGCTCTTAAGGTTCTGACAACATACTCACATGTGTTTCCTTGCAGCCGATATCATCTCGACAGTGGAGTTCGACCATACGGGAAATTATCTAGCAACAGGCGACAAGGGTGGACGCGTAGTGCTCTTTGAACGTAACGAAACAGTTAGTTTGGGGGCCAAGCCTTACTCTTCCCCTTTGCCCAACTTTTGCCGCTTGGCTGACACCCCCTACAGAAGAAGACCTGCGAATACAAGTTCCACACCGAATTCCAGTCCCACGAGCCGGAGTTTGACTATCTCAAATCACTGGAAATTGAGGAGAAGATCAACAAGATCAAGTGGTGCCGGCGACAGAATGCTGCCCACTTCCTTTTGTCGACCAATGATAAAACCATCAAGTTGTGGAAGGTGTTTGAGAAGTCGCTAAAGGTTGTGGCCGAAAACAACCTCTCCCAAGATCTGACTCCCGGGGGTATAGCTGGCGGAGGTGGCCGCCCGGTACCCATCAAGTTTCGAAGTCCCAATGACTTGAAGCTCCCGAGACTAACGCATCACGACACGGTTGTGGCTGCTGTGCCTCGTCGAGTCTATGCCAATGCCCACGCTTACCATATCAACAGCATTTCAGTGAATAGCGATGGCGAAACATTCATCAGCAGTGACGACCTGCGGATCAACCTCTGGAACCTCAATATCCAAGACCAGAGCTTCAACATAGTCGACATCAAGCCGGCGAACATGGAAGAGCTCACTGAGGTCATCACGGCAGCCGAGTTCCATCCCATTAGCTGCAACTGGTTTATGTATGCTAGTTCCAAGGGAACCATCAAGCTGGCCGATATGCGGCAGAGTGCCCTTTGCGATCAGCATGCGAAGCGTTCGTCCTTCCCCTCCTTCGCGAGATCGTCTTAGCCGAGGTTCTAATTGACGCTCGACAGTCTTTGAGCAAGAAGAGGATCCCGCGTCCCGATCCTTCTTTTCTGAGATTATTTCGTCCATTTCCGATGTCCGCTTTTCATACGACGGAAGATATATTCTCTCCCGCGACTATTTGACGGTAAAGATTTGGGATATCAATATGGAGAGGCAGCCCATCAAGACTATCCCGATCCACGAACATCTCAGACCGCGACTGTGCGATACGTACGAGAACGACAGCATCTTTGACAAGTTCGAGGTGGTGTTCTCGGGCGATGGAAAGAATGTTATGACGGGTAGTTATAACAACAATTTCATGATCTACCCGTCAGACCCTGACAAGGAGGTGGAAATTGTGTTGCAAGCAGACAAGTCTGCCTTTAAGGCCAAGAAGGTGGGCGTTCCTCAGCCCATTGGCTCGTCAACAAGCCCAACAGCAAATGGCAAGAAGGGCGGCTCGCGGGCGGGTAGCCCGGCAGCACCAGGCCTGGGCCAGCGGATGCGTAAGGAGACAGACGCCGACCAGATCGATTTCAACAAGAAGATCTTGCACATGAGCTGGCATCCCTTTGAAGACAGCATCGCCATCGCTGCAACGAACAACGTAAGTGAAGGGCCCCTATCTGTACACAACTGGCAAAGACCTCACTAACCATTATCTACCTAGCTCTTTGTCTTCTCCGCTTTGTAGAACGGCCGGCCGATCTATGCCTGAGTGGAAAGTCAGCCAAATGATGCTATCACCGCATTCTTAGAACAGGCAAGGGGTGGGTTTTGAGGATTGTCGGGCTGTCTTCAGTTGCTACTGCTCTGGATACAAGCCCACTAAAACTTTCGCCAATTCTGCCTTCCTTACCGCGGTGTCCATCATCGAGGCCAGTGCCGGAGTGGTATCTCAAATCAAATTGACAAAACTGGGGAATCGGACATGGCTTAGACGACTATGATGGACAAGGAAGCAACTAAAATCTATGAAGTGCAGGTTTCGGGAAAGGAGGGGGAAGAAGGAGAATGGGGAGAAGGAGAAGCAGGTTGGCGATTCTGATGAAGATGATGCGGAGGTTGCCCAACATAATGGGTAAGGAGATTAGAGTTTGGAGGGTCTGACCAGCCTATGAATCACACAAGAAGACATCGGTTGGTTCCCCATGTTGTTCTATGGACGCTAGCCGCTCGCGGCAATACGTAGTACCTAAGGAGTAGTAGACTTTGTCTCATAGGGTGCAGCTTCCTTGAAACTGAACACAGGGATATGGGTTGGGAGAGATTCGGAGAGACAGGCCCTTAGAAGAAGTATGCATGTTCATGGGTTTATTGGTTTTGGCAGCTCGATGCCCGCTTTAGCAGATATGCAGTGCAGTGCTGAGCCTGTATAATTGCGGGCTTGGGAGATGTTCCGTGCTGCTTAAAAGTTTTCTCTCCACGTCGACTGTCAGATTTGGGCTACCGTTTTGGGAACTCAAGATACCATCACCCCCCGGCGGTATCTCTGTATATATCCTGTTTAGGTGCTTGTCGAACCAAGCATACCCTAAGTTTAAATCAAGCCCACCGATGCGTTACCCGGTAATGGGTTAAGTCGCTTTTGAGTTCAGACTTTGCACAGATATTATATTGGACTAAGGTCGTGCCATTGTCGCTTGTTCCTCTTTTTTCAGCTCTCAATTCATCGCCTGGCATACGGACGAAACGGTGGATGGGTACCTCTGTTTGCAAGCTGAGACGGGCCAACGTCCTTGGGGTGATTATTGGACTACATGTCCTCGAAGTCAAGAGTCCATGGAAGTTGGGAGATGTTCCAGCTCACATTGCCTCCTGGCAGGAGGTTGAGCCGCAGCCTGGCTCGCCCCACCTGCCCAGCTATGCATGCATGCACACAGCAGGTTCGCCAGCACGCTGGAAGGCTGTCAGGTGGCAGCTTGGCTCAGAGCCAGGTCAGCGGTCGATCGCCCTATCCAATCCCCGCAAAATCAAACCCGGACAGTGTGAAGTACGGTACGATACCGATATGGATACTGTGCGAGCAACATCGACGTCTCCGGGAGGGAGCAGCTTGAAAACCAATCCAGGTAACACCACACTGAGCGCAGTCCTTACACCTCGGCCGAAGTCAGGATTTCTATACCTAAGTCGGTAGGCTTGTCAATACTTCCTTCATCTTAGAGGATTACCTTCCTCGGACGCCGTTTTCTATACAGCCGAACCAAGTCAAAGACTTTCCCAACCATTCCCAGCCTAGTCTGCAACATCCGCACCCATGTCCCAAGAGAATCACGCTCCAACGTCGCGCTCCAAGCCTCCGCCGCCGGGAGAAGAGGATGCGGCTAAGTTGAAGCTTGGGGAGTTTCAAGACGTGGATACACTGACCCTGTCGGAGGCGTCGCTGGTCATCAACGCGTTGATCGCGAAGCGGCGCAAGGACGCCAAGGGCCGGCCCATCAACGAGACGGACGTGCTCATCAAGACCCTCGAGTACCTAGACGCCTTTGCGCGCTTCAAACAGAAGGAAAATGTCGAGGCCGTCGAGCGCCTGTTGAGCGCGCACAAGGAGCTTACCAAGTTCGAGAGGGCACAGATTGGTACCATGCTTCCCCGCTTGTCTTTTTCTGTCGTGTTTGTTTCCTACACCATATGCAGGGGAGCTTCGAGGCTAACGCGAAGATCTCTTGGACAGGTTCTCTCTGCTGTGATAGTGCCGACGAATGCAAGACTCTAGTGCCCTCAATAGCCGACAAGATCAGTGACGAAGACCTGCAGGAGCTTCTTGACGAGATGGCCAAGCTGATGAGCACTTGAGTTGGGCTCATTTTTCTCTAGGACTCTAAGTCGCTAAGCCCAGTCTCCTAACAGGCTTCTCTAGGGACGTTCCTTTCGTTGCCGGCTTCGTCATTGGTCTTTACGCTCCTGCAGGACGTGAGTACCTTGCGAGCTTCAAAAGGAGCCATAACGTATGTAGATACGTGCAAGGGTGGGTTTAACCAGCGTTGTATCTGCCTAACAGGGCGTCTTGTGGATTGGGATGGCGTTAGGTGCGTTAATTTTGCCAATGGTTTATTATAATACCCCGACGACACGGTTTGGGATGTTATCGATTTTCTGATATGCACTCTTACCGAGAACTCCTCGTGGTTCCAGTTTCCACAAATTAGGTGACTGAGGTCCATAGCAGCAACATCAGAGTTATATACGTTAGTATGTTATCCCTTGACCCTTTCCATCCCAAACCCTCCGCTGGCACGCCTTTGGTATCGTATCATTCGAAAAAAAAAAATCAAACAAGCTAGGTAGCCCCCATCATCATCAACCAAACACCCCGCAGTTCTCATTACGTACAGTTTACCGATGATGAACCTTGAACCGATTCGATTCCAGCTTCTCAAACCTGAATGTTTTGAAATCTTGTCCAGCTATTCGCATACGTGCCCGATTGTCTCTCCTCCTCCGTTGAATTCAGAGTCGCCCTTGTTTCATATCCTTCCTCGTAGCGCAACACGGATTGCCCAGGGCATTCGAGTTCAGTTGGTCCCCTCAGCGGTTCTGGCGTCCCTCCATGTGTGACGTAGACAGGGGTTCCGTCGAGCTCTGAAGGGCTGGGCGTAAGGACTGGTCCCCCAGGCATATAGCCAGGACCCGTGACCATTGTGGTAGCTGGGGTGAGGGAGTTCGTCCAGCTGCTGTAACCACCACCACTAAGGTGGCTACCTATCATGCTCACTGCTTTTGACATTCGGCCTAGGTGGGTGAAATCCGGGTCAGGATGTCCGTGGCCGACATGGGCTTCCAGAGAATTCGGCAGCATACCTTCAGCACGATCAAACACACTTCCAGGACCGGCTTGAGACATAGGATTGAAGACCGACTCCAGCCCCGGAGGCACACGCTCGTCGCCGGGCGATCTAGAAGAGTCGAGTCGCGCGAGCTCCTTCTTTTCGCGCTTCTCCCTTTTCCGTCGAGCCCACCACATGAACAGCGAAAGTGCCACGAAAATGGCGGCGATAGTACAACCGACTACGATCCCAGCGAGGGCGCTAACCGATATGGTTATCCCATGGCCGCTATTGTCGCCGTCGGGACTCGATGTGGACGAGATGGTGGGTGAAGCCGTGCTGGGTAGCAGAGAGGAGTCTGCAGAGATGTCCCCGGTGGGCTTTGAGCTCGTTGACGGCTCTTCGGTGGTGGTGGTCGAGGAGGAAAATGCCTTCGTCACAGTTGCAGGAGCGGTCGTCACGGGCTGCTCAGCGGAAGCTGGACAGCCAACTGGAATCTGCTGGCAAGGGTCGACACGGCAGCAACCGCTGTAGGATGGTGTTGTAAAAGTACAGGTCCACCAGAGATAGCCGTTCCGAGAATCGCAATCTGCAGGACCAAGCTTGACAGACCTAGAATCTCTCGAGATGCGCTCCATGGTGATACGAAGTTGGATGGCGATCCACACAGGGTTTACGATAACGCTCCACCGGGATGCGGGCTCGGAATTTGCGGTAATTGCTTGCCAGGATCATCGACGATCAGTGGAATCAGTGAAATTGTTGGAAAAGGAGTATCCTGGTGCAGCGATGCCAGCGATTTGGTTGTGAATCGGAGCTTGAATCGTGGGCATCAAAGGGCAACGGCATGCATGATCAGATAGATGGCTGTAGCAACGCAGCAATGGCAACGCAGCTGGGAATAACGCCTGCCCTGGATTCTCTCTTCTCGCTTTTCGATCCCACCCGTGCGTGTTACGGCTCACGAGTCATGATCGACCAGGCAGTTCGCGCTGGCACTAGGCAAAGTATCTTGCACGAGCACGACAGAATGCCTTGGGGTAAGGTAGGTAGGTACTTTTGGTATGGAGCAGTGGGTGACAATGGCAGACTGGACGAGTGATGACCACAACGGCCGGTAATGCGTAGTAATTTGAAGAATTGGCTTGTTGGAACCCATTCTTTTTGTTGTGCAGTGTGTGCAGGTGCGACATGCACCCATGAGCCCTGCGTCCTTCCAAGTTGTGACTGCGGACGGCAGATTGCAGACTCACCTAGTGCCCAACGGTCGATGCTGTATTTGTGGATGCTGTGCCTCTTCTTCCTTTCCTTTCCTTCCAAGGCTCCTTGGGGAAGCCCACCCCTGGAAGCGCAGGAAAATGTGGAATGCGCTGGGCTGAGCCATCAGCCTGCAAACAATGAGGCGATGCTCCCTGTCCACGATGTTGACGAGCCTGCCATGTTTGCTTGCACCGGTAAGCTAAATTTATACTACGGTCATGTCGGGCTCTTTGTCAACTGCTTGCATTAAGCACTTTCCAAAGCAGTATTGAGCCTTGTCCCTAACTGTGGCAGATGGCCTTGCTTGCCCGGATGTGTACAAGTGTAGCAGAGAACATCATCCTCCACATAAACACATAGACACAGTTCGGGAGCTGGGTGTTGGCAGACAATCTTATGTAATGTATGCACCTCGTATGCATACAGCCGTGGTTGGGCTGGGTATGAGTAACACGCAGCAGATATATCCTTCCAATCTGAACGACATGCTGCAGCACTCTAAAAAAGCCCGAAAAGCTGGCAGTGCAACTGTGTCGTGGGAAGATGTGCAACCTCCTTCCTTGCCTAGAGGTTATTGAGAGCTCCATGAGCAGCGTGGCTGATGTCAATCAACAAAAGATTGTGAAACAGCCCCACTGCTTGGGTTCAATTGATGGTAAGATGCTATACCGATAAGAGCTTACGGATAATTAAGGTACCTTGATAGGTACTAAGGCAATTGTGCAAGTGTGAGACTTTGATTCCTCTATATATGGATATACCTACAGCCACCCGACGCCCATCAGAATTCCCCAGTGTGGAGTTGAAGAACGGGATGTCTGTGATGTATTGACAATATCCGGGTTTGTCATCGAACCACAGCACACGTTCCCAATGACCGAGCTCTCTAATCGCCCAGTTTCTCGAGGATCAACTTTGAACCCCGGTTACCAATTGGTTTGCCCTCAGATCCGTTTGCCTTGGCTTTGTTCTTCTTTTTGCCGTCGGGCTTGTTCTCACACTTGATTTCATGGCTCGATAGTTCCCCATTGGCAGCTGCCTCAAGTGTCTTCCTCTCAGCCTTTAACGTCTTGATGAGCTCCTTTTTCAAGGAGAAGTCGGGTGCCTCCAGCATGCCCAGTACAGTAAATGAGCTCGGCCCAATTGCCCACTTCACAATGTGCTCCTTGATGACTGGATACAAGATATCGGCAAAGTTAAGCGGAGGGTCGACTCGCTTGACACACCCAGCCTCCTTGTCAAACCGCCCGCCGGCGATCAATGTCTTGAGCATCTTGCCGCCATGTGTGGTAAGGGAGAGATGCGGCAAGGGGAGGTTGACAGGATCGGCGTCTTCCGGCGGCGGCGCATTCGGGTCGCCAGCGGCTGTCGACGCAACAGCCTCCATCGCTGCTTTCTTATCGCCCGTGGCGGCCAGCAAGACATCAGCAACGAATTGGCAGCCGAAGCCAGTGGACACAAGGTCTTTCGGCGATGCGGCGACTGCTGCCAGCAATGGAGGTGATACTGCTGCCACGAGCTCCTTGCGCCGCACCTCTGGATCCTTTTTGCTTGTCTTCTTGCGGATCTCGTGGATCTCTGCCAAGAGCTCCAGGTCGTAGGCATGGCTGGCCGGGAACAGAGACTTAGCCTGGCCTTCGAACAGGTACATTACAGTGATGCGTGCAGTAAGGTCGTTGGCCAAGAAGATAATGTTCTCGAGATTCTTCTCTTCGTTCCTCCCGAGCAGCTCTGGGAAGATCGTCTTCGCTGTCATAACAGTGTCATCAATAACATCGTAAGCTGTCAGAATAACCATGTGGGCATATTGGTCGCCGCACATGAGCTGGAAGGTGTCCTTGTATGTCTTGAGGATCTGCTTCCGATCTTTGGCGTTCCCGTGGGCCAAAAGCAAGCACACAAGCCGAGCACCAGACTTAGTGAAGGCGAGATTCTTCAGTAGATCTCCGCCCTCATCCCCCTTGATGACTTCCACAAACTCTTTCAGTTCCTCGCTTTCCGGCTTAAGATTGAGAAAATATTGCAGCATGGCATCGTGAAGCATGGTGAAGCCGGTCATCTTCTTCTGGATGAGAGTATTCGTCATATCGAACAGGTACTTCAGCACAGGTGCCCGTTTGCTGGGCTCTTCGGCGAGAATTTTGGAGAGATCTGCCGTGGCTTCGGCGCCCTTCTCAGGCTTAAATAATGCGAACTCTGGCCCGTACCATTCTCGCAGCATCTGAGCCTTTTGTTGCTTGGTAGCAACAGTACGGTAGATGTCATCCAGGATCCACGAAGCTTCCGGGTGGTTGATAAGCTTCCGCACCTTGCCGAAAAACTCGGGAATAATCATGTCCCTGATCTCCTCATCGTTCTGGACAAGAAGTTTGGCGATAAGGAACTTGGCATACCGGCTTTCCGCCAGCTGCGCATAGCTGCCCTGAAGTTCCTTGGCAATCTGTCTGCGCTGGGTCGGCGTCGCGTACTTAATGGCTGTCTGAACTGCGCGCACGGCATCGTGCTTCAGCACGAAGTCTTTGATACGCCCAGTAATGATGCTGTAAAGCTCTTCAATGAGCTTCTGGCGCTGCTCCTTGGGCACATGAGACTTCCGACGAAGTGTTTCCCACAGCTGCTTAGTCCGCGCCAACTCTTCTGCCAGAGGCTTTGCGGCCTTCCGTTCCTTTTCGAGTTGTTTTTGCCGTGCATGCGCCTCGCGAGAACTCACTGAAACTTGGTTAGGACAGAATGCGGGAAGGGAACAACGCTCAACGAGCGAACTGTACTGACCTCCAGCTGGCTTTCCGGTTGTCTTGTCATTCTCCTTTGACGTGCCGCCTGTCTTGATATTCTTCATGGGCTTCTGCTGATTGCGGCCATCTTCGACATCAGAAAAGTCACCAGCACCGCTGTTCGGTGCGATTTCAGTGTCGTCAAACTTCTTGTGCTTTGGGCCGTTTTCTGTCTTGGCCTTCTTCACTCGATTGCTGTCGGCGTGTTTGTCGCTCGAAATCGACTTTCGCTTTGCTGGGGCAGCCGAATTTGCCGATTTTTGCGCCATTGTTGCAAGGCCGTCTAGGGTATGTAGAATGTGTTGGGTAATTGATGAAGTTGCTTTGAACTTCTGCGGCCTCTTCCTCAAACTTTTTTTTCCCCTATCGCGCGCCAAATCTGCCAAGCGGGCGGTGAGGCGTGCAGCAGCAGGGAGCCCCACAACCCCACCACACCGCCCCGCCCGCAGGCTCTCTCGCCTAAACTTTGGATTCCGTGCCCCGCGGTGTCGTGTCAGGTCGGCTCAGACCAAGCAAGAGTCTTCCAGGTCTGGCGCATACTTTCTGAGAGTAGTTGCATAACAAACCCGCACATATATTCTTCAACATGGGACGTGAAGAGCAGAAGGAAGAACGGGAAGTTCTCGACTCAATTTTCCCAGAGGAAATTACGGGTAATTAATAATAGCCTTGCCGCACAACTGCACGAGCGCGGGGCCAGTCGCTGATGCTCTTGGACCACAGATATCTCAGAACATGAGTTCAGGATATCCATCGCACTCGACATTCCTGACGACGATGCAGAGGAGCCACCAATAATGCTGTTGACAGTGCGCTACCCGGAAGAATACCCAGATAAAGCGCCGCTACTGGAGCTCTCGGCGCCTCAAAATGCGACTCCTCACCAGTACCTCAACATCGCGGAAGACAGAGACCAATTGCTTCAAGGCCTGCAGGCCACAATTGAGGAGAACCTCGGTATGGCTATGGTATTCACTATTGTGTCTACCTTGAAAGAAGCGGCGGAGCAGCTTGTGGTGGAGCGCAGAGACGCCGCGGCCAAGGCGCATGAGGCGGCCATTCTTGCGGCTGAGGCAGAGGAAAACAAGAAGTTCCATGGCACTCCGGTCACACGAGAGACTTTTATGAAGTGGCGTGAAGCGTTCCTTAAAGAGTTGGAAGAAGCCAGAGTCCGCGAAGAGGAGGAGAGGGCAGCTGAGCTGAAGAAGGCGAAGATAAAGGAGCCGGTTCGCCTCACGGGCAGGCAGTTGTGGGAGCGTGGTCTCGCAACTGGTGATCAGGAGGAGGTTGATGAGGATGGAATGCCAACAGAGGAAGTTCAAAAGCTTAAAGTTAGCGATAGCTGAGTCTCGCAGATGAGCTCATGAAAGCTCTATATGTAAAGGCATCATCGGTGCTATGCATTATCATCTGCACTATTTGGCCCCAAACATTGAGGCCTGAAGAATAATACTCCTGTCCCTGGCAAGCCCGTGATCGCCTCTTTCAAACAAAACCCGGACAAGAACGTTTTCTCATTCCTCCAACGCCTTTAGATCCCACAGAAAAGGAAACCATCAAAAGCTGCATTGCAAATCATGGCCAGGCAGAATCGAAAATCCTGGACACAGTCAGACCTCTTTATGAGGCCATCTCGGTATCTTCATGATCAGCATCAGCCTCTTCCTCATCTTCACCTTCGTCATCAACATCTTCCCAATCATCCTCGTCATCGTCATCCTCTCCCTCCTCTCCAAGCTCTCCTATTATCGAAGCAATCAACTCCTTTGCGTGTTCTCCTAGCCTCTCATCCTCATACTCCTCCGCCTCGAACACTTTCAGGCACTGTCGAAGCCATTTGCGTGACGAACGCCACGTATCCTTCCAGGCCTCTGGTTCGGATGCTTGACCAGAGGCTTCCCTTTCCTTCTCGCCCAGCCTATACCTAGCATACCCGCCAAGGTACCAAACCTCAACACTCAAATCATCTTCCGCAATCAAGCGCTCCGTAACCTCCAGTGCTTCTTCCTCCATGTCGACTTCAATCAACAGACGCACCAAGCTCACTCGTGATGGGAATGGCGGGACACCGGGGTCTTCAGGGGGCAAGTGTGTCCAGAGGCCCAGGCTTCTTCTCAGCGCCTCCCGCGCCTCCTCCGTCCTCTCCTGAGAGATGCGGACGTTTGCGACCGTCTGCCATGTCTCAGGCCATTCAGGAGCGATCATGGTGGCCTCCGTAATGAGAGCCTCGCACCGTTGCTCGGCATCATCCTCCCAGCTAAGATCAGTCATGTACACCTCCACGACGGCACAGAGAGTTTCCGCCAGCCTCCTCCGCTTGTCAGCAATTGCTGCCTCCACTTGCCCCCGACTCAGAGGCCGCTGTTCCAGCGAATCCATGAGAGACTGGATCTGTGCGCGCAAGACGGTTGCGCCGCGCTCAAACCAGGCAACGCTGTCATGGCCGCCTTCTTCACTGAGCTGCGCCAGCCAAAGAAACTTTTCTGGTCCGCCACCGAGCTCTTCGGGCAGCGATCCATCCTCATCCACTTTCACCGCTGCTGCGTAATAGTTGCGCGCGGCGTCGATATCGCCCAGTTCAACATGTATTTGCCCGAGAAGTGTGAGGGCAGCGCCGGCATGTCTCCCATTCTCGCCAATATGCTCATAGGCGGTACGCGCTACCTTGGCAGCGGTTTCGATATCCCCTTCTTCTAGGAGAGTAGTAGCCCGGTCGAGCAACTCTTTCGGGTTGATAGAGGTCTGGCTAGATGCCACCTTCAGACGCGCACGATCCTTCGATTTCTTCGATTTGTTTTTCGGTTTTGTCGGTGCCATTGTGGTTCTTGAATGGAGGATTGCAGCTCATCGGCTTGTTATTCGATCGTAAATGAGTCCGCGGTCGTCCAGCCGGCGGCACAGCCCTCACCAATCCAACTTGCCTTGTCTGGGATGTCTCCAATCCACAATTTTTCGGAAATTTTGGGCTTATCGACCGTTACACTACTTATCGATAAAAACCCCGCCGAGTTCCCACCAAGCACAGAACCTGCTGTCTGCCCCACCAAGTGGTACAGAGTTTAACTGGCAGAGGCATCCACATGCTACTATTGGATGAGACCTTGATGGCGTTCACTCTATAAGCTTTTGGCCCCACCGCAGCTCTGTCAATGGAAACAGGATCTGTGCTAGCTTCAGCGCCTATGCATATGTTGATCGTCTACCGCAAGCTTCCGTGGAATAGAGACAGCTATGTCCATCAACATGCTCCAAGCTGCAGAGTGTCTGGTGACAAACGGTCCGATCGTCCTGCTGCCCGGCCCAGCGAGCAAATACCCAAAACCTGATGAACCAATGGATGGATGGACCGCTGAAATTGTAGGACGGTGTCGAGGCTGCCTGACCCTTGCCGGTTGTGTTTCAGATTGCTGCACGGAGTCTCTCCCATGCTCTCGCTCCAATGACAGAACAAGTTTTCCACTTGCAAGTTTTTCGGTACATATGGCACGTTGAGATCCATATGGCAGGTAGACAGACATGGCGCGTGAACCGTTAGCCGGCTGTGTGTCCATATGAGTGATATTATTATGCAATGCCCTCTCTTTACTCCATGATGCTTTTCTTCAGCACATCGAATCGATTCCGGCCTCCTGGCGGACGTCGCTAAGTTTCCTCTCCTTATTCTTTTCCTCAGGGACAGTCACTCCTTTCTTTCTGTCACATGAGACAGGACAATGTTGGTAGCGGGGTCTTTACAACAGCTTGCCCTCTTTTTCACAGTCTTTCTTTCGTTCTTGACCGGCCTGGCCTCGTCCACGCCAACAGCTGTTGAGTTTTCGACCTGTGTCGATGCGTGTATCCAGTCATCGGGCTGTAAGGCCAGTGACGCGCGATGCATGTGTCGCAAAGCAGCAAGGGATCTCCTGGAATCAGTCATCTCATGTCTGTTCTTCAATTGCAAACACGACCTGCTCAACTATGAATCTAGCTTTCTGAATCTCATTAAAGAAGCATGCGATGACATCAATCGGGACATTCCCAGATCTAGACTTCAGCACGCTGAGGCAGTAGCTAATACCTTTATCTCGATGCTTCACCCTTTCCAGACGACACCTATAACTTCCACCGCTCCCTCTGTAACTACATCCACCTCTTCTGCAGGTCTGGGTGCGACAACATCCACTTCGAAGTCTTCAACATCCACAAAAGTGCCCCCTTCTTCAACCGCCAAAGAACCCATTTCAACAACAACATCCACCACCTTTTCACTCTTCTCTAGTACTATTGAGATCCGCACTACACCGGCTCAGCAGATGGTTCCAACTCCTGAGCCAACCTCAAATCTTAACCCAACAACGCGCTTGCCAGGTATCATTTCGGACACAAACCCTTTCGCCATTCCTGCGAGCTCGGCGGCCCCATCACAGGTGTTTGCTTTCATTAGTGCCTCTTTATGGGCCTCGATATCGATATCCCTTTGTTTACTGCTTTGAGGCCGACCAGAGGAGAGATGAGAGATGTTCGGGTTGTGTGGTTGATGTTTCGGTGTTCTAATTCAAGATCTGAACACTGCGGGCTTCATTAGCCTTCGTGATTCTGATTCTATGATATGGAGAAAATGGGTGGATTGTGATGTGTGTGGCCGTCAATATACCCCTGATTGTGATGGTTGAAATAATGTTTATGTATCTCATCTCATTTGCAAGCAATAGAAAAACAACATTCTGGCTTCTTTCAGCACCAGAAGGCAAGCAACACTTCGTATATGCAATTTATGACATGACTCGGCCAGTGGCCCAATGGCCCAGCCATTCTAGGTTATGCGGATGGCTGTGCTTCCAAGGTCAGCACTTCTCGCAACATGTCCCGGATTGATCTTTGTCCATCACCATCTCCATAATGCAATGTCGTAGAAAGTTCCATCGCCAAAAAGCACCTTGCAGTCAGTTCGGCTGCAGCTAATCTTTCCTTGTCCTCTGGGGTCATACGTGAGCATGCTTCTACGAGGTTCTCATTTCTTTCCTGCAGCACCACTATCTCCTCCGCTCTCTGAAGAACATCATCCGGGATATCATTAGTTGCCGCGCACATGATTCCCAAGCTTGACAATCCACGGCCTGGAAGTAGATGATAGAAAAACGTGATTTGATCTTCCGCATCTGCAGCCTGGGGGTCAAACCGAACATCCATGTGTGCAAAGGCCACATTTCTCCCGGCTTAAGGAGATCATTTTCGAAGACTTCGTGAAAGTGTGTTCCGGCAAGTACCTTGGGTCTCTCGGAGCCAAGATCAAGGAGGTAGGTAAGGTAAGCTGCCAAGAGTGCTGAACCGCTTTTAGAGGTTGTGCCTTTGCCAAACTCGTCGATCAGAAGCAAACTTCTCCGCGTCGCGAAATTCAAAGAGAAGGCCGCTTTATTTAAGTCGACGAAAAATGCGCTCTCATCAGCAACTACCGTTTCACGTGTAGCAATCCTGGTAAGGATTCGATCTGTCACTCCTATTGTTGCCCTTGTAGCAGGAACATAACTCCCTATATGTGCCAAGTAAACTATAAGTGCGACTTGCTTCATGTATACACTCTTCCCTGAATTATTTGGACCGGTGAGGATCAGCATTGAGGGAGATGCGCATTTTTCGTTGGCAGAGACAGGCAGTTCGGGGTCGTCGAAGGCGCCGACGCCATGACCTCCAGCCAGACTGCAGTCGTTTGGAACGTAGGCTGGAACGATCAACTCCTGAAGTGGGTGCCGCCCACCAACGATATCAATTATATTCGAAGTCGTCATTCTGGGGGCGATCCAGTTGTACTTCTCAGCGGCCAAAGCGAGAGCAAGGAAGCTGTCAAGCTCTCCCCACAGTTCTGAGGCCGTGAGCATCGATTCCTCGTGCTGAAGAACCGCTGCAGAGAGTTCCATCATGACTTCAACTTCTTCATCTATGCAACGGTTAACATCCGTACACATGTTACAAAGGACCATCTGTGACCAACCCGCAATCCGTGATGGAAGATCCCCATACTGAGAGTCCAGTTCCAGCATCCGTTGGTTTTTGTAATAGGCCAACTCACCGGTCGTGAAACACAAAGTCCATTCATCGCCGAGGTGATACTGACCGTGGTAGATCCCTTCACCAGTCCTTGGATCGAGACGCACGCCAATCAGGAAGCCAAGCTGTGGCATGACAGTACAGTGTAGAACATGCTGTGCAACGGTCTCTGGGACCCCCTGAATCACAGCATCTTTCAGATCAGGGAGCATCTCGCACACCTCGGCGAACTCTTTTCGCAGTCCATCCAAGTATTCACTTACACCTTGCATAATCTCTGTCCGACCACTTTCCTTGGAGAGTTGGAAGTCAATTGTACGCACGATCAGATCGCCTACAGATAGAAGTCGTCTCACATTAACTTCACTTCGGATCTGTGTGTGCTCATGTCAGCGACAGTATGCAATGAAGTAATGCAACTGAAGAGTTGCGTACTTTTGAAAAAATGAGGATATTTGCAGTTCGGTCAACGCATGTGTCGCCTGTTTCAGCTGGGCCGAGACCATAGCAAACCTGAGGACGGCTTTCCAGTCTCCCGTCTTGACGGACAGTTGACCCCGAATCCTATCCACACCTTTCCGGACGTGGAGTAACAAGGTTTTCGTGTCTTTGAGTTTTCTGAGATGCTGCCTCATTCTCTTCACAATCTCTGCATTATCTGGGCGGAGAAGGACAGCAATGCTGGCCTAACGGTCTCGAATAATGTCAAGATTGGTGCTTGGCCGAAGGAGCATGCTTCTAAGTCTTCTCTTCCCTTGGGCAGTAGAGGCAAGTTCTTGGAGAAGCCCGGAGACAGAAAAGCATTCCTTAGCTTTCGGCTCTGAGTTGTTCGATGCCCGTGTATGAGGGTTTGGATGAAGTTCTGACTGCACTATTTGGAGAGATAGTAACGAGTCTGCGCTTAGCAACATGGTGTCTGCTGATGTGCTCATTTGGACAGCCTTGACGTGGAAGAAGAGCGCACGGTCGTTATCAGAAAGTTGATCTTCGGTAGCTCTTCGACGTTCTAGATCATGCAACACAGCTCCGGCGCATCCAATGGATAGAAAACTCTCCAGATTGATGGTCTCGGCAAGCCGCATGAGGCTATAGTGAGCAGAAGACCCAATGCATTGCGCAGGTTCATCCTCAGCTGAAATGACTTGAAGGGGATCGGGCCTTGACAAGCCAAGCTCAAGTCTCGCAAGGGCTTCTTTTCCTGATTCATAGTCGAATTGGGCTGAGCTAAGTTCACGGAGGACATATGAGCCCTTTTCGCTACTCGAAGCACTATCATCAAGCCGGAGCGCGTCTCTCTCCAGAAATTCGAGCAAGTCACCCTGGGTTCTGTTTGGTATGAGTATCGAGGTTGGCTGGACGTGCAAGAGGAGCGTTTCGACAGCTTCAAGACCGCCTATGGGAATCTCCTCCTCGAGGACGAGGACCTCCTCCATTGTGATGTAGTAGGCACAGCCAACCTTTCCGTCTTTGTCAACGTCAAGGGCCATGATAACTTCACTCAACATGTCTTGGTTGTGGTAGTCACTGTTCTGTTCATCGTCCGCACAACCAAATCCGGCAAGGACGAAGGAACCTGTGGTGTGTAACTTCGCGTGTTCGGTAAGACTTCGACCGATATGGCCGAAGTGACCAAGCCTCAGCGCCGCACCACCTGCAAGTTGAGATCTGGGCGTATTTTGTAACCTTCTCCTTTGAGACGGACGTGAAGTGGTTGCCTGAGGGCGGATGGACGTTCTAGAGCGAACAGAAATGCTGTCATGCTCCTGCGGTCGGCGAAGTCTGATTCCTTGGGCACTTGAGCGGCCAGATTGCATGAAAGCCGCCTCGGGGTTCTTGGACGGCCGAGATGGAACAACGCCATGGTGAGCAGAAGCGGCAGCGTGGGGAACGATATCACCTGAATGAAGGGATGAAGGATACAGGGATGAAGAAAAGCTGGACGAATGATGTCGAGGGGTGCCAGAACGGGACAAGACAGGTGACTGCGAAGAACAACTGATAGGAAACTGAGAAACAGAACTGCATGGAGACAGCAGGTGAGATCTTGTTGAATAAACACTCCGGGAACTGCTGTTGGCGGGCATGTTGAGCAACGTGATGTTGTCAATAACACGTGTTGGAGGTTTGTGCCTCGTGCTGACTGTCAGAAGGAGACTGCTATGAGGAAGATCGGGATGAAAAGGATAGCTGAAGTCAGAAGCGAGATTGGCCTCATCACAGAGGAAGGCAATATGATCGTCTGAATGGGGAGAGTGTAAGTGAAAAGATGAACGTGTTGAGGACGACTTGAAGCGCACTAGGGGCTTCTGTGAATGATCCGTGTGGCTCCGGGCAGACACCCCCTCCGTCTTAGGCAGCAGGTTTTAAGATTGAAAACTTCCCACCTGCAACGGCAAGAGCGGTTACTGTTATTGGGACCGGTTTCTTACCAACCTGCCTAGGTAGGCAAGGCTGAAGTATGGACACATGAAGTCTAGAGGCATCCAGCAAAACAGCCCTGGAGGACATTGCGCAACTGCTTCGGTCAAGCGGAAAATCGAGACAGGTATCAATAATCCATTAAGCCTGGAATTTGGGTTCAGAAAGCATAAGTCTACATTACATGCCTTTCAGGCTCATTTACCGCCTTCCTGCTTGACCTCTTCCTGTTGAGCCCAGTCGCTGAACTCCCGACGCAGTTTTCGAATGTCGACAAAATTGGGCCTAGACTCGAGAACGCTGAAGGGGTTTCCCATGTAGTCCTCGTCCACAGTGCCACTATTGTTTGTGAAGCCTTCCTCGCCCTCCCGCTCAATCTTGCCCGCCCAGACACGCCATTCAACTGGCCGCAGAGGATGAGTGCCCAGAACCAGTCCAACAAGAATTATGAAGGTCGACACAATGGTTTCGACGACAATATCCAAGGGTAAAGAGGAGATGCTCGTTGAAGACGACGTGAGGCTAGAGGAGGGGGCTTGGAGGGATTGTAGCGTTGTATGCTCACGTGCAGAGTAGCAGCTTTGAGACTGTTAGCCTATGGCCAACCTCAGTGGTACAAGAAGGAATAGGGACTTACGCATGTGCAAGCAGCAAACCACCGATAGCGGTGATAGTTTTGGAAAGCAGAGCCATTTAAAGCTGTGGATATTTTGCAGTTGGGATGGTGTTTGAAGGCAGTGATGAAGGGAGCTCCAACCCCTAGGTTGCCCACTCCCCAGGGGATTCGTAGTGGCTGCGACACGGTTGCAGTACCATGGTTAGGTACATCGGACGGTTTACAAGGGTGAGCTTCATTACAATAAATTGACAACGCCAAAGTGAGTATCTACATTCTACAATCAAGGCGTGATAACTAATATATACATTATAGTCTTGGCATGCAGATAGAAAACACATGCTCTTAGTCAACACCTGATGAATGCCAGCCAACACTGTCCACCGAGGTCAAGGTGGACACGCAGATGACTTCATTCCTTTTTGACTTGCAGCCAAGTCAAAGTTGAAGACCGTCCTCCTGACCCTGGACTTTTTCATTATCCTCCAACGCCGAAACAACACTCTTATGGCTATTAGCCAAAGCTGTTCATTACAAGGCGCGTTTATCCATCGAAGGAAAACGACTTCCTCCCCCCTGCCTCTCCTGATGACGAAGATATGTTAGCACTTGGGAGAGATGGGAATGATCCGGCTATCGATAAGAAAACAACACCATCTTTCAAAAGCCACACAGCAACATTGGCTCTAATATGATCAAAACAAGTGCAAGATTTCATGCTCATAAGTAAAAGAAAAGCAAATTGGTATCTGCTATCATGCGGCGCAGCTAGGTACTAGAAGTAGGTAGGTAAGTAACTCTCATGTATGATGTATCTGTATCCCAAGCCCTACATCTCCCATGTTGTTTCGTTTTTTATTTTTTGCCTATCCTCGATGCCTCTTGAGAAGAAACTCGACTACACTTGATGTACCGAACCCACCAGACCCCCAAACTCCGTTAATACCCATGCCCTTTATCATGAACGCCACATTTCCGTTAATAGTCGAAATTTCAAGCGAGCCCATGTACAAGATGATCCCCATTGGAGAGCATGCTATGTCCAGTGCTGGGAAGAGATTCTTCTGTACGATCCCTTCATTTGAGCGCTGGGCAGTCCAGCTAGGACTGGCCTGAATGTACGCAGTCAGCCACCGATCATGGACCGCTGCACTCGCACCTGGTCTGGCGGTCCGTTACGGAGCTTCGGATTTTGGTTCAACCCAGCTCATGTCAAACTCGGCCGCTTCCGGAAGTGGCTCGGTCTGCCAGTCATCGGCGCCCCTTAGGAACTGGGTGTGCTGCTCGAGTGACAGCGTCTCCTCCAGCCCCATGATGGCATGGGAAAACTGGCTGTCCGACTCGTTCCCGGATGTCAGCTGCGCATTGTGCCACGCCTGGTGGGCGGTCTCGCCGAGCCCGCAGTCATACATGTTGGCGACGTTGAAGTTTCCCGTCTCAAACAAGCCTTCTTCCCCAGGTATCAGGGATGGATCGATGCGTGTCTCAAATTGGGCGCCATGGTGCTGCGGCTGCGTGTGCGTCTGCTGGCGTTGCATCTGGGACTGCGCAGCATGCTCGATCTTGGTCTGGTATTGATTAAAGTCGAACTGTTGGTGAAGCCCGGCGTTGTTAGGCGTGAACGCTAGGCTGGGGGATGGGGTCTTCCGCATCAAAGCCTCGTCGATGAGGCCATGGGGCAAGTGCCTTCGCGGCGTGCGAATATGGGTATCATAATACTGCCCTGAATGGAGGTCTCGGTGCTCACATGAAGCTCCAATGGATTTTGTCGGCGAACCAAAGCTGAGACCGGTTTTGTTCTGATGCATCATGCTAAGCCCATGAAGCCCCTCGAGCTGGTATGGGTGCGGATGGGTAGCCGGATACATCGGCTGGTCGTGGAGGTAGTCGGCCTCATCATGGGGCGTGTTGGTCACCGTCCGCACCCGCGACGCCGACCTCCCGGTCCAGTCATATTCGTCCAGGTCCGAGCCTTCGCTGTCGTCATACCTTCCCTCGTTCTTTGCGGGCTTTTGGGGCTTGGACGGCGTGAACTTGTAGTTAGGAAACGCCTTCTGATGGTTATCGCGCTCAATTTCGGCCCATCGCTTGAACTGCTCGCGGATATGTTCAGGTTCCATCGGCCAGCTCTGTCCCGCAATTCGCGAGATCACCTGGTGGTTGTACTGAGCCGCCCATTCTTTGGCGCGGGCCTGCATCGCCTTCCGGTACAGCATGAATGCGTTCATGGGCCTCTTCACTTTACCGGGATTCTTTCCCGAGTCGACCTCTTGCTGGCGAACTTCGATGGGACGATGCACGAATGCTTCAATGTCGAAAATCGGAGTCTCAAAGTCCTTGGTCAACTCGCTCAAGGGCTTGTCAAGGTGCGGCATGTTTTTCACGCCTTTGGACTTGTCGGGCCGGTCGATTCGGCCGGTTTTCTTTTTGCTCGACGTGGCTTTCTCGATTCGGGCAGCTTTCGGCCCCAGGACCTTGAAATTACCATGCGCCGGGTTTCCGCTCCGAGTTCCCACAAGATCGGATGCTCGAGGCGTGGGCGGAGAAGTTGCCGGCGTCCCATATGGCTGACTAGGCTTTGGGAAGTCGAGCTATGTCAGTACCAGAACGCCGGCCAACTGAATGACCTCCTGCCACTCACCTGTGGAATGGGGCCATAGGCACTAGCGTCGTGCGAATACATGGCTTGCTGGTGGTAAACGTCCTGCAGATCCGTTAGCCGCCGCGGCGCGCCCGAGATTTGTTGTTTCCCTACGAGCTCGCCACTACCTCCGCGCTGTTGGTACGCCATGGATGCGTCGAACTTCGGGGAGGGTTGTGTTGGGCCTGGTGTTCCGTATCTGGAAACAGGTTGCGAGTGCGCCCGGTTTGGCTCGAGTTCGCGGGGAAAGTTCGCAGAAGCGTTGTGTTGCAACAATTCGTGGAATCCCGCGGGCAGGAACTCGACCTTTGTAAGCGCCGGTGATGGCGGCGTGTTTGGATTCATCTTGGCTGCTAAGGATTCGCAGCCTCGTTTTGGCGGATCGAAACAAAATTGAGGAGCCAATTTCGCGATCTGATCAGCCCAAGGAATCAATGAATCGAACTAAGCAATGAGATCAAATTGGGGCGCGCGCAGTCACGCCCAAGCTCGCGGAAGATAAAGCTGGCTTGGAGAGGAAGATTGGCGAAAGAATATCACTGTGATAGCAGTGCTACTGTCGCGTTATGTTTCCTTCAAATATGACCAAACGCCCTCGGACTTCTGGCATGCCCCGAACTTTGTTTGCTAGCTCGTCCCTGCGTTGTGAATTGAGAGTGCGGTGCTAAGTGGGAGCCAAGCTTGGGCCTTGTTATCAGGGAAAGCTTGCTGAGAGCAACTCGGCTGTCTTCTTCATGAAGTGTAGATAAAAAGAGACGGTTGTTGCCTTGGAGCTTGTGCGCTTGGCAGTGACAAGAAGGGGTGGGAGAGTTGTCGCCTTTACTTTTGATCAGCTAGAGGATCGATGCAAGAAGGGATGGATGATATACCAACCTTTTTCAAGGAGTCCTCCTTTTCCTTGACTCCACGCGGGACACAATCCTTCTTTTTGCGATAGGCAGGCAGGCAAGCCCCTCCTAGATCAAGTCTGCTTCCTCACCCCTCCAGATATTTGGTGCGTTTTGCTTCCCACGTCCCTCACTTCAATAACTTTAGTGTGCAACCCAACTTGCTCACGCGGGCAATAGTATTCCCTTGGAGGTAGCGTTATGGAGGAAATACTTTTTCTTTGTCAACTGCCCTTCCGCAACAGGGGATAGGTAACCAGACCTGCAAGTGCTTGATGTGGTCTCTGCTCCTCGCCGCCTTAATGATTTAGCAACTGGAACTGAGGCTTTGTCTGAGTAGTTTCTTGAAGGACCAGGGGAAAAAGGAAAGAGGACCAGCGCTTGTATTTGTATGTTCTTTATTTGAGTCCACCGGGGCGAGCCGGTTCGATGTTATCTGCAGGCCTGGGCGGGCTGACGCATTCGGAAGCCGGCCGGGCCAGCTTGCAAGGAGTACAGTTTGGATGGCGGTGCCGGAGAACCCACGCCTGCACTACCGTTGGCAATCCATCCGTGTTCGGAGGCCCGGAGCCTCTTGCATGGCTCTTACGTCTGCCCGAGGTGCTGAGCCGCCATTCTCCAGATGGCAGACCATATCGGCCCCCTGGCCGACCAGCTGGACGCTCCCTGATGCAAGCCAACAACTACTGAGGTATTCCATCCAATCTCTCTCGACGTGTTACTCTTTGCCTGGGCTACCTACTTACAGCTCCACATGTTCACGCAGAGAACCGATGTGGCTTTTTCGAAGATAGAGAGCAGGGAGCTGGCTCGTTTCGTTCTCATGTCACACAGAGCCCGGTGATTGCTGGCCAGGTTTCGAGGATCTGGTAAGCAGGTACCTGCTACCCTGGGGTAAGGGAGAGGGAGGGTAGTGGGAGATGACAAGATGAGGTACCCTGAATTGCGGTTGGGTACACCCCGGAAACGGGTTCGCTGTTCTCTCTAATCTGCCCGGCAGGCTTCTAGGACTGCCCTAGGGGTCTGCCGAGTGGCTTGGATCCCTTTGACCGATTTCCCAAAGTAATGGGTCTTTTCTCGATGTGTTGCTCTCACCAGTTGAGGTGTCCCACAACACTCACGGGACCATGAACCCTGATACCATGAAGACAGGACGGCGGCCCTTGAGGATGTCGGGAGAAGCCACACAGCACACAGCGGTAGGTGGAAAGCAAACCTCTGCACATGCGAGGTCGATAGGAAAGAAGTGTCCAATTGCTGTTCTGCATCATCATCCCTTGCCATGAACTTGTGCCTAAGCCTCCAGAAGCATGCATCACGTCCGGAGCGGCTGCTGGTTGGTGGATTATGCCCATGAAAAACCACTTCGGGTAGCCGCATTGGTCTACGGCTGTTTGAGCATCAATTGTACAGGTTGTACAGAGCAGCAAGGGCAGTAGAAGACGGCCAGAAAGGATGGGTAGTCCTGGTTCAGAGAAGGTGGGGACACCAATGGGAAGCGCTTGTTCTCGTGGTGCTCTGAAGATGCTCATATCAACAGCATGCGATGTGTGTTGCACATTCTCCATGATACTTCTGGCATCTGCACGCCGATCAGGGTTCTGGTATTGAGTGAGGCTTGGTTGTACGGAGTGGCCAAGCCTGGATTCAAGACCTTCTTTCATCAGCCTCAAAGCTCCCTTGCTGCTCCTAGAGCTAAATGGTGGTAGGAAAGAGCATCACTCTTAGCTCGCCACAGCTATTTTTGAGCATGTTTGTTAAACTCAATGATCTGGGAGGGTCGGAACAGCCTCCTTGGGCTTCAGACAAAGCGGAAAAAAAAACACCAATCTTGCGTCCTGGGAAGTAAGTCTCATTGTGGTAGAAGAAGGGAGGCAAAAAAAAAAACACCTTGTTTAACGTTCAACACTCAGTGGTCTGCTATGCACAGAGCGACGTCTTCGCAAAATAAACAAAACATCTGCATTATGGTTTTCAAGCTTATTTTGCTCAACTGATCCCCACCCACCCATGCAACTGATTCTGCAGCCTCCCACACACCGATCTTAGAGCCAATAACACTGAATAACACTGATGACAGCTGCACCCTCTGCATTTCCTCCCAATCGCAATGTCTTCCGCCTCTTCCGCGGGAGGGATGTTCTTGTTCCTGTTCCTGGATTGCATCTTCAGTGATTCGGGCGGGGCTCGGGTAGTTTCAGCATCATCAGCAACAGCAACAGTAGACTCAAACCGCCGTGTTGTGCTCAATTTCAGAACCTGGGACTGCATGTCTCAGCCTCATTTCAGCCCTTCAACAGAGCAGAGAAGCTCAGGCCACCAGTTCGCGCGAGCATTCGGGTTTGTTTTACCCAGTTGATGCTATTCAGGCTTCTAGGTCCTATCCTTCCATGTTCCCAGTTAGGAGAACTGTCTCTTGTGAACCCAGCGGAGATGATATCTCATCTCTTAATCACCGGCAATGTAGACACCGACCGAGAACCAATTTCAATTTGCGGGCTCTTCCGGTGTCATCAGCCCTTGCTGTGCACACATCAATATTACCTGCTCGGCAAACGTTGGCCCAGCATCGGTGAAGAACTCCACAAATCCAGAGGAATAAGGGGCTCCGGCTCTCACCTACAGGAAAAACGTTGACCTTGCTTCTCTTGGAGAGGCAATAGCTCCTAGATGAGCTGTTCAGCAAGCTACTACCGCTCCATCTTCCTGATCGGCAGTCAGAAGTTACCACTTCGCTAGCTGTGTGTCGTTGGTTGTTCTTCCGACAGGACGACTGTTGGGCAAAGGTGAGCGAGCGGCGGGTTTGTCAGGTGTAAGACCGGTATGGATAATACACGGGGTTGGTCCGACATTGCCGGTGTTGGTGGCTTAACCGTTCCAAGATTCCGGATGCCGCATGGTTTGCTACGTCGCACATGCCACTCGAGGAACGGGACGGGAGGTCTGCGATTTGAGTAACGTGAGGCCGTGGCAGCTTACTGCTCGCTTGTTTGGTATTAACTGAAAAGATGGGCAGACGCTGTTGGTCTTCCTAGGCAGTGGTGCTTAGATCATGTGCGACGATTAACAACGAGGAAAAGAAGGCAATGACAAAATTTCTTGCGTGCTTGTTGAGCCTGTGTTGGTGCCTTTTGATTGGGGTGAGAATGCACGTGGTGAACGTGCCGCAAGCTGTCAACAGAGGATCCAACACAGGAGCGAGGTAATAGCTGCCGGGATCGAGATCTGTGGGCAACAAGCCGTGTAGTACTGCATAGCCGAACTGATGGGTACTGATTAACCGGCAACCTGGAAAGCCAGGTACTCGGCACTTGGAACAACCTCATGGGACTGTACAGAAAATCTAGCAGATGGTAGGCGAAGCATCATGTACAAACCGTCCATCCTTCTGTCGCCAGCCCCCCCCATGCTGTAGTTCTTCTGCTTGTTTCATTACCAAAGCCTTCTCGAAGGTAAACTGGCAAAGTTTTGCGATATCCTCACAGAAGAAGTATTGCAGTTCGCCAGACTCCGTTACTCAGAACCAACCTTCTCCTTTCAATATGTCCCAGCTAACCAAACCGGATATCTGTCATTAGGCCCCAACTCCTGAGTGAGTCCCAACCAATTTTCAACAGTTCTACTACATGGATATGAACGGCAAGCATTTCGCCATAATTTTTAATAATTTTCCGCTGGCTACCTATCACTGCTGTGAAGGGGGAGACGGCACGAGCCTTGGGGTAGGCATGTTTTGTGACAGTTGCGGAGGTGGCAGTCTGACAGGCTCAGCAGGCTTGACAGGAGGCGTCAGGATCTGCTGCCGTGGAGAGGGCGAGAGAGCCGCGACAGGCGGAAACACCGAGGCAGTTGGATGGTGGGTGCCTATCGCCGAGTTGGCGGAAGTCCCGTTGGCTTGATGCTGAGGAGGAGACTGCTTAACCGGCGACAAGCCCGCACTCGAGGGCGGGAGTGGCGATGAGCCAGACTCTGGACTTGCGTCACGCGGCTGGGGAACTGGGGCGAGCTGGGGGAGAGGCGTCTTGATAGATATGGTGCCGCCGATAGTTGCAGAGCCAGTGGGTACTGTGCCGGTCGAGGACGCGAGACCTGGTAGGGCTGGCTTTGTTGGAGATGGGAAAAGAGGAGAGGGCTGCTTTGATGGCGAGATGCCACTCCCGCCTTCGACGCCCAGAGAAAGAGCACTGCCAGTCGACTTCGCCTCGTCGCCGACCAATCCCAGATATTGATTGTTGCTGACCAGTCTGGATGCAGACTCGTTGTTCGTCAAGGGGACCGCGCTAGACCTAATTAACTGTCGATCGGGGGGCAGAAGGCTCGGATAGAGAGACGCAAATGGATTGCCTGTCTGTTTAGCCGCTGATGGTTGCATGGACGAAGAGTCGGGAGCGGAACGCTGAGTATCGGGTACGGCGGTTCCTTGTTCCTGTGTTGACGGACGTGGCATGTACTGCTCAGTACGAGATACAGAAGACTCGTGGAAGTCGTCGGGATGCTTCGACTGAAGTTCGCCCACCACTTTCGTGTGGGATCCTTGAAGTTCGGTGGCATCTTTGTCCGCTTCCTTTGCCACTGGCTCAGCCGGATCATGGTCTCGATGGACCTTGAGCTTAATAATTCGCGGGCGTAGCTGGTTTCTTTTTTGTTCTTCCCGCCGGCGGCACGTGCTGCAGATGAAGTGGAAATCTTCTCTCTCTGCTTCTTCCTCCTTGATGCCAAGACACTTGCTGTGTTGCCAGGTGTTGCATCGTTCGCAGGCCACGCTGTGAGTTCCGTCGTCGACCCGGCCGTAGACGCCGCATATGCAGTCAAAAATCCAGTCCTCTTCTTCCTGCTCAAGCTGTTCCAGGGCCTTCTTGGCTCTTTCAATTTCTGCGAGCCGCCGCCGCTCCGACATGCGGCCTGATGCACTGCTCGCTGCCTTGCCATCCTCAGACAACTGAGCCAACTCCTCCTCGTGTAGCCGACGGCGAGCTTCTCGCTCCCTGAGTCGCATCTCCCGGGCCATGATGCGCTTGTCCCTCTCGCGCTCCATTTTCAGCCGCTGAAGCTCGGCTTTCCTCCTGGCTTCCTCCTCTTCTCGTCTTTTACGTTCTTCTTCCCTGGCTTGTTCCTCTAGCCTCTTCTGCTCTAGCTTGCTAGCAATGCGGCTCGATCTCTTTGCATTTGCCAACTTCTCCAGCGCGAGCAGTTCTTTTTCTTTCTGGAGCTGCTTCCTCTTCTTCGATTCTTCCTGTTTTTCGAGGATGGGAACCAAGTGTTGCTGTATTTGATCGCGCAGGATCTTCTCGTTGGGATCCTTGGTCTTCTCAATGGTAGACAAGAACTGGCGAACCTCGGCCAGATTGACAGCTAGACATTCCCATTTCATGCCCCCGAGACCATCATCTTCAGGCGCAGCAGGTGCACCGGCCTCCGAAGCCTCATCACCAGCATCATCAGCTTCGCTGACAGCCCCAGATTCCGTGCGTCTCCGTTTGCTCGTGCGCAGGGCTGCCCTCGCCTTCTTGGTGTTCTTTTTCGGCTTTGGAGGCGGGGGCGGCGCTTCCGTCAGACGGTACAGGCGGTTATCATCAAGCACATAGTAGGTGCGGTCATGTCTATCCCAGCCATATGGTTCGATTCGCTGCACCAAGTTAGCCTGGGAAACGGTCGACGTGGAAGGATTCGTGGCGCAAGCTACATACCCAATTTGTCTGCTCGGTGTCCTTCTGTTCTTGTGTTTTCTCCCGAAGGCGCTCTGGATGCATCATGACCAATTGCGTCATTTGTTGCAGGACACGGATCTATTATATGCCAACAACGGCTCGGTATTAGCGACACAACCGTTTGATTGCGCAGGCAGTTGAGCCATGTGCCGGAGCGAACCTTCTTAAAGACATCGAAATCGGCAAACCTGAGAGGAGTTTCTTCAGTTCCGAATGGATTTTTTTCGGGTGCCTTCGCCAGGAACTGTCGTCTGGTATACTCATCAAACAACTCGTGACTGCGGCAAGTAAGCGATGTGCTCGGAGACGGGGCAACCGGGAGCAGTCCGGAAAAGGACTTGGGAACATACGTAAGGCCCCGGTGCGATGAGAGAAACTTGAGCAGGCCAAGGCCGATATCCTGTAACTTCATGGAACCTGGCTTGAGACATTCGGCCTCAAAATCCTAGAGTGAACAACAATACCGTGGTTAGCGCACGCCACAAGGCTTGGGATCACGATGGCGACTCGAGAAGAGCCTACCTCAATGTCCATGTTGTCATCCAACTTCAGCGCCGATCCGAAGAGCAGGATGAACTGGTATAGATTGGCGAACTGCCACATATTACGAAGGCGTTGCAGTATGGATGGCTGCTCGGGCTGCTGCGCACTGTTGGCGTCGAGCTCCTGCGCGGAGCGCTTGCGGGCGGTTGGCATGTTGTCGCGGGATGACGATGGCAAGATGCAGCGGCGCGTCCAAGATGCCGGCGGGAACTGTATGCTGTACGATGTATTCGCAGATGGGTCGATGAATCTTCGTAATGGACGAGATGATGCGACGGCGAGGCGGCGATTCAGATATCGAGGGTCGGACGCGGGGCAGTAGTGGAGAAAGCACTCATTGCAACATCCAAGTGCAGGTCAGAACACGCGACGGGAGATAAATGCACCGGATCTGCGATAATGCAAGTATCCTCGGGTTGTTGAGGAGGGTTGGTGGAGGATGATAGTGAGGGGTGACAGTATGACTTGCAGGAAGATCGCGAACTCGCGTCCTGCAGCTCGAAAGTTTGGCGTTCAATCAAAGTGCTTGGCAAAAAACGCGGCGCGGTCTGGCAGGGACGCGACTGGGGCTACAGCCCCCCCCCCCACGTCGGGCTGGTGTCCCGGGCCGGCGATCGATCTGATAGCATTGTATCTGACCTAACCACTTATCTCAAGTATTTTTAGATGCATACGGATACTTGACATATAGGAACTAGAAAGTGCCATAACGCTTGAAGTTTTGTCTCAGTCTCCCAGACATTGTACAAGTCTTCTCTCTACATAAGGTATTTCAGTCTGGGTTTAATTCACTTGCGGATCGTTGTGGTTCCTGTTCTGTGATGATTTGTTTATTGAAAAAATACTAGTTTTGGGAAGACATTGCTAACAGACTCATGATTTTTAATTGCAGAGTAACGGCTCAGCGAGCCTCCAGATTTCGATTGATGAATGGGGGGGGTACTCGGCGTTTCAGAAGCACAACAGCGGGGCACATCCGCTCTCATCCAGCTGAGCGGGCCAGGGGCTGTCGGGATTTTTGGAGCCACTTCGGCAGCTTCCATTCTTCAAGGGCCAGCAAGTACAGCACCACACGGTTTCGATCCTGCGGAAGTTTAAGAAAACAAGACAAATAGGAGAACAATGGGGCTGCTCCCACAGTGACCATGGACGGCCGCTACCTTAACAGGAGGATTCCCTCTTTTTTTTCAATGATCCGTCTGAGATTGGGGCTCAATCAAGGGTTGCTACAACAGTGGGTTTACCACATTTTACGGAGTACAGCCAAACTGCTCGGTACTGTACACAGCGGGGGAAGTACCGCAAGCGACGGTGGACAGAAGTCCCAAACTTCAGCTTCGAGGTCGACGGGAATCGAAAGCAAGCAAGCAGACAGGCTCATCCTCCGCGCGCATTGCACCGCCGCTCCGGGCAAACCTTGGGACCCTGGAGGTTTTGGAGGGGATGAAGATGCAGCGCCCAGTGGATGGGACCGGGGTTTGCGCTAACGCAGCGCTGCGACGCAGGCCGGCAGCCTTGAGTGGGCAATGCGGGCAGCATCCCGCAGCGGGTGTGGGCAGCTAGACAGGCACCGTGTCTAGTATCAACGCGCACACTGTTATGTGACACTCAGCTTTCCCTCCTTGGCCTCGTTAGGCTGAAAGTCAACGGGAGGTGCTGCATGCTGCATGCTGCGTTTTTGCTTTCCTCGTGTGCACGCATTTGTGGTCGCCTCATACAACTGTCGACATTTTTTCAGTCTTGACGGCTGGGCCACGGGTTCGGTGTCTTTTTGCGCTCTGGCACTTCCAAGGTTCGGGAATAGTCCATCAGACGCCGCCTTTTTCTCCGCAGTGTTCGTCCAAGTTCGCTCGATCTAAATCCCGAACCCTGGCCTCGAGCTGCCACAGTGCTTACTGCAGATCACGGATTATCTGGCACGACGACCTACGGCGAGGACGACGGGATAGACGATCAACGGAGTGCTCCAATCCTCTCTTCAGTCCACAAGATACTGACCATTGGCCATCCCGTTTCTCTGTCCTTAACGGCAGCCGGCCTTTTCATTTTCTACCTCTCGCAATCTCTTTGACCCGAGACAGTGAGACTCTCGTCCCAGACAGCCCTGACCATCGGACGCCCACTCCTGCTGGTCCTGGATCTTTGCCCCCCTTCCACGCATGATGTCCATTTAACGGCTTTCCCTACATACGCACACGTCACGACGACCGTGTTCGCGACTTCGCGCATTGCGCGCCTTCAGTCCCGACCCTAGATTTTTAGACCTACGCGCTCGTCCGAATTGGAAGCATGAACAACAACGAAAGCCAAGGGCAGGAGTCCCGCCGAAGCCCCGCGGGCCAGCTCTCCCCGCTGCATTCGATACCCCTCCGAGATTTCCAGAGGACAAATGAGACGGACGACGGGACTCGGGAGAGCGGTGTCTTTGGCGCCACTGTCCAAGATAACGCTTCGGCTCAGACATCGACCCGTCCCCAGGCTGGGTCGTACAATAGCCGAGGAAGCCCGTCTTCTGCTGCTCCCTCCATGTCTGCGAATCTTCCGGGCTTCTCTTCTTACTGGGAGCATCCGTACAGTTCGCTCGACGATGGCGACAATAACGCCGTTTCGCCCGAAGAGCGCATCACACTGCAGTCTGCGCTTCCTCCCGACATCTATCCACAGTCCTCTTACCAATCCAGGCCGTTCGCCACCCCTTCAAACGATTTCTACCCGATGCCGCATGTGTACGAGGAGCGGGCCGACACGGATTCTTTGGAGTCGGATAGGGTGCCTCTAAGGCCCGCTGCTCAGCCTCCTGGCCGGCTGGAACCACCAGAAGGAGAAGCTACACCGCGGACCAGCTTCCAGACTGTGCCGGATCTGGGCAACACCCCAAGAAGTGGCCGGATGCTTGGCGACGACCTGGAGCAAGGCGGTGGTCACCACCTGTCGCCAACCGATCGCCGGCGCTCTCGGTCGCAGTCAGCAGTCGGTGCCCTCCACAGAGCAAGCTCAATGATGAGAGCCATGTCCCAGCGTGTTGTCGCCATCAGTGGAGAGGGCGAACTGGTAGACCAGGCAGCCCGCCGAGAGCGTTCGCGGTCGCGGTCGCCTTCCCCCAGCGTGGACGGCCGCCGTTCTCCTGGTGCCCCGGGGCCCATGCTCGTCGATACTTCGTACCCGTCTCAGCTTCCTCGAATACCCGCCGAAAGGCCATTTGAGCCCGGTCTTCCCCCTCCTCCTCGCCCTCCCCCGCGCCGACGTGGGCCGCTTTCCAATCCTCTAAAGGGCAATTCATTGGGCATATTTCCCCCCGATAATCCCTTGAGAATGTGGCTCTGTGACCTCTTGGTCAACCCCTGGACAGAGCCTATCATATTATTTCTGATCATTGCACAAGTCGTATTATTAACCGTTGAGTCTGTCCCCGATGTTTTTGCCGAAGGAAACCAACGACCGGCTCGTTGGGGTGGCAGTGGGATCGACTGGGCCCTGCTCGCCTTGTTCATTCTTTTCACACTTGAGATCATTGCTCGAATCATCGTGTCGGGCTTTATCATCAACCCGGTGGAATACATGCCGCCTGGGAGTAATCGTCGGTTACGAGAAAGAGTGGCCGAACAATATCGGGCTATATTCAGACCCCAGCGCCAAAAATCCGTTAGACAACAACAGCCAGAACATGAGTTCGTGCCCCCTACGTTTGCTAGATCTCTTACCATGATGCACGGGCAGGAATCTCCTGCTACTTTGGAGGAAGAATTGCGTCTGCACCTCGCCCGCAGAGCCTTTCTTAGACACAGCTTCAACAGGCTAGACTTCATAGCTGTCGTTTGCTACTGGATTGCTTTCGCCTTGAGCACCTCCGGCCTGGAAAACAGACACTCGATCCATGTTTTCCGCATGCTCAGCTGTCTCCGTATCATTCGGCTGCTCGCTGTGACCCGGGGCAACATGGTGAGTTCGCCATGTCCTGTGCAGGCTGTCCAAGATTGAAGTGCTAACTCCGATCTGTGACAGATCATCCTTAAGAGTCTGAAGAAGGCAGCTCCGCTCCTCGTCCGAGTGTGTTTCTTGATGGGCTTCTTCTGGCTTCTGTTTGCCATTATTGGTGTACAGAGCTTTAAGTCCAGCCTCAGCAGACAATGCACCTGGATCAACCCCGAGGACCCCACGAATTTGAGTGCCACATATACCCCGAGTATGTCCTTCTGCGGCGGCCACATCAACCAGACCACTGGCGAGAATTCTCCTTGGGTGTATGCGCCAAACGACGACTTGAGCGTCCTCGTACCTGGCGCCCCGAATGCTAAGGGATACATCTGTCCAAGGGGCTCCATCTGCCTACGGCAGGAGAACCCGTACAATGGCACAGTAAATTTTGATGACATTGGGCACTCCCTTGAGCTCGTCTTTGTCATCATGAGCGCCAACACCTTTTCAGATCTGATGTACTACACCGTCAGTTCCGACTTTTTGCCCGCTGCGCTGTTCTTTGGCGCCGGTATCATGATCATGATGCTTTGGATGACCAATCTTTTGATTTCTGTCATCACTTCGTCTTTCCAGGTCATCCGGGAAGAGTCCAAGAAGAGCGCCTTTGCCGACGACGAGCAGTCCATCTTTTCCACACATACGGAGGACGAAAAGAAGCCGCAACGCCAGTCGGCATTGCAGCGGATTGTGAAGAAGGCCGACTGGTTTTGGATTGCCCTCATTATCTACGACCTGTTTTGTCAGTCTTTACGAACAGCTTCTATGTCTCGCGGCCGGGAGACCTTCATCGATACCTCTGAAGTAGTCGTCACTGTTCTGTTGGACGTCGAGATCACCCTGCGTCTGGCGGCCAACTACCGCAGTTTTCACCGGAGCGTCCGTGACTTGTTCGATCTGTTCCTTGCCGTCGCCACCACGGTCATTCTCATTCCGCCGATTCGCAACTCCGGGGACTTGTACAATTGGCTTACCATCTTTCAAATTCTCCGGGTGTACCGCGTTGTTCTTGCCATTCCCATGACAAGAGAGCTTATCCAACTTGTATTGGGCAATGTTACTGGTATCGCGAACCTGATGTTGTTTGTCTTCCTGATGACCTTCCTCATGGCAATCTTTGCCGCGCAGCTGTTTCGCGGTCAAATCCCCTACGCGGATGATGAAGGAGAGTTCATTAGGATTCCTTTCAACACTATCTACAATTCCTTCCTTGGGATGTATCAGGTTCTTTCGAGCGAGAACTGGACAGATGTGCTCTACAACATCACCGCCTACACGACGCATTTCCACACGGCATGGATTGGTGCCATCTTCATCATCGGCTGGTTCATTCTCTCCTATTTCATTCTGATCAACATGTTCATTGCCGTCATCCAGGAGAACTTTGACGTGGGAGAAGACACGAAGCGTTTGGAGCAGATTAAGGCATTTCTTCAGAGACGGGACCTCGGCACCTCCTCCAACCTGGCCCTCTCCAAGGTCTTCGGTTTTGGCAGGTCTCGGAACCGCGCTGATCCATTGGACCACACCACTGGCGTGATAGACAAGCTCTTTAAGGAAGGGTACGTGCGCGAGTTCCTGGATGAGGCGATGGGTCCCTTACAGGAGCGAACTGCAGCGGAGAGCAAGTCTGCCCAACAGACGGCAGGCAAAAGCACCGGAAACTACGGGCCGCTGTCCAAGGTATGGCAGTGGGTAACGGCCCGGCTTGCTAGTCGGGAGCCGAACCCGTTCTACTCATCCAATGTCCAGTTTGCGGGGCCTATCGCGGCGCTGGATCCGGGACAGTTAGCTCGACAGGCGATGGGCGCATCAGCTGCTCGCCGCAGGGCGCAGAGAGAATACTTGATGCGTCATCCCAATTACAACACCTCGCTCTATATCTTCAAGCCACGTAACCCCATTCGACGCTTTTGCCAAAAACTCGTCGGACCAGGCAGGGGAACGGAACGCTTTGATGGCGTGCCCCCAAACAAATACGCCTGGTACACATTCTCTGCATTTATCTATGCCTGCATCGTGGCAATGGTTATCCTAGCTTGCATCACCACACCCCTTTATCAGAAGGAGTACTACGAGACTCACAAGTTCCGGCTCTTCAATTGGTTCGTCTGGACGGATTTGGCGTTCGCCATTGTCTTCACGATCGAGGCTGCCATCAAGATCATCGCTGACGGCTTCTTCTGGACACCAAATGCCTATTTCCGAAGCACCTGGGGTGTCATCGATGGCATCGTGCTGGTAACTCTCTGGATCAACGTCATCACTCTCTTCGCCAATGCTGGAGCCGTGTCTAGAGCGGTCGGCGCATTCAAGGCTTTGAGGGCACTGCGTCTGTTGAACGTTAGCGATAGCGCCAGGGAGACATTCCACTCTTTGATGATTGTCGGCGGCTGGAAGATTTTGAGTGCTGCTTTCGTGTCCATTTCGCTCTTGATTCCGTTCGCAATTTACGGCCTCAACCTGTTCAATGGCAAGCTTGTCGCCTGCAATGATGGAGAGGGCGTCATCAATCTGACCGATTGTATTGGAGAGTATAACAGCACGCCTTTCAGCAACGACTGGCCCGTGTTGGCCCCTAGAGTTGCCAAAAACCCGTTTTTCAATTTTGATGACTTCGGCTCAAGTCTCTTCATCCTCTTCCAGATCGTGAGCCAAGAAGGATGGGTAGATGTGTCCTTCGCCGCTCAAGCCATCACTGGCAAGGGCCTGCAGCCGGAGTCGGCCCCCCCCTTCAGAAACCAGGGAGCTGCTCTGTTCTTCGTTGTCTTCAACCTCCTGGCTACCGTCTTCGTGCTGACCCTCTTCATCTCCGTGTTCATGAGGAATTACACGGAACAGACGGGTGTGGCCTTCCTGACGGCTGAGCAGCGGTCTTGGCTTGAACTGCGGAAGCTTCTCCGACAGATCTCTCCGTCAAAGAGCTCGTACGACGACACGAAGAACAAGTGGAAGCTCTGGTGCCACAAGAGAGCAATCGAAAAACGGGGGAAGTGGTACACGACAATCACGACTGTGCTCGTTCTCCATTTGATCCTACTGCTGGCCGAGTTCGAATCAGAGCCGGAGTGGTGGACCAACACCAAGGAGGTCCTGTTTATGGTGTTTACGTTTATATTTATTGTTAACATCGTCATTCGGATCGTCGGCCTGGGCTGGACGCGCTTCCGGAGGAGTTCCTGGGACCTATTCTCGCTGGTGATGGTTGTTGGAACCGTCGCAACGTCGATCCTCTTCTGGACCGACAGGAAGCAGACTACGTACATCCAATTGCACAAGTTTTTTCTAGTGTCGCTCGTGCTGATGCTCATCCCGCGTAACGACGCGCTCGATCAGCTTTTTAAGACGGCGGCTGCCAGTCTCACGACGATTGGCAGCTTGTTGGCGACGTGGCTGGTATTCTTCTTGGTATTCGCAATTGCCCTGACGCAGACATTCAGCTTGACGCGCTTCGGAGCAGAGGAGGACGCCAACATCAACTTCCGCACGGTCCCCCATGCCCTTATCCTGCTATTTAGGTTCAGTTGCGGCGAGGGCTGGAACGAAGTGATGGAAGACTTCGCCCAGGCCAAGCCGCCGTTTTGCGTCGAAGGAGAAACCTTTTACGACAGCGACTGTGGCAGCACAGCATGGGCCCGGGTGCTGTTCGTCGCGTGGAACATCATCAGCATGTACATCTTTGTCAACCTGTTCATCTCGCTCATTTATGAGAGCTTCTCGTACGTGTACCAGCGAACCAGCGGTCTTGCGGTGGTCGACAGGGATGAGATCCGAAGGTTCAAGGAAGCGTGGCGCAGCGTTGACCCGTCTGGCACGGGCTATATCAGCAAAGAGACGTTCCCTCGGTTGCTTGGCGAGTTATCGGGCGTGTTCGAGATGCGCATCTATGACCCGGAGGATTCTGTGCCAAGAATCTTGGAAGATGTGCGCAACGATGGAGATACAGCCACCCCGAGACACGCATCCTTTGGCGGCGGTAGCCTGTATCCGACAGGAATTGACCTGGATAAGTTGAACAGGCGGCTATCCAGGCTTGACGTGGCCAAGATCCGCGAGCGCCGCCGGCGGTTCAACATCTTCTACGAGGAAGTAATGGTGTCGGCCGACCCTGAAAGAGGCATTTCGTTCACGACAGTGTTGATGATCCTTGCACATTACAATATTATTAATGATAATAAGAGTCTACGGTACGTGGCTTTCTTCCTAACGAACTTTTTTTTATTTCCAGGATATCTGCTGACGCAATGCCACAGCCTGGAAGAATTCCTCCGCCGTAAGCTTAGGCTGCAGCGTGTCGAGGAAGAGGTTCGGCGTCGGACGGTACTTGGATTCTTCAATATGCTCTACTGGTCGCGGCGTTTCAGGCGCCACTTGGAGAGCAAGAATGCCGGACGCTTGCTGACCGTCCCGCAACTCGACATTCCAGAGATCCTTGTCGACCATGACGAGCACTCATCCAACGATATGGACCAGAACGGGACTGGAAAAGACCAGCAGCAACATGCACCATCGTCACGGCCATCATCAATACAGACATCGCCAACACAAACCCGGAGTTATGGCCAAATCACTGTTGCAGCAGCAGAGTCAGGAGATGGATCTGGAAGCGCGTTGCTCTCTCCAACGGCCATTCGCGCCCCTCACCGTAGTTGGACTGGCATCAGCGGCGACATTGCATCCTACGATCCTGACTTTGGAAGCCATCCACTTGCCGGGCCACGCTCGAGCTCGCTCATCTCTCAACAGCCCGGCCTCCAGCAACAGCAAACGAGGCAGCGCGGCCTTTCCCAGCTAAGCGCATTCAGCTTCGAGTTATCGGCCCCGGAAGAGGATGCCTTCTTCTCTGACTTGGCCGGCGGCACAAGCAGCAGTAGATTAAAAGGCACTGCGGGTCGGACTGGTGACGAGATCGAGGACATTGCGACCAGCCCGCTGGGCCCGCCTGCTGGGGGCGGCGTGCTTGGCAGCGGACCAGCTGGCGGGAGCAGCAACGGTGCTGGAGGTAGCGGCGACGGGACAAGCGCCACAATAGACCCGGCTGTGGTCCGGGATATGTTAGATGACTCGGTCTGGGTGGAGAGCTTGAGACGGAGTGCGACAATGCGCAGGAGTGGGACGAGGAGGAGTCGCAGTGGGTGGGGCGGATCGGCTTGGGGGACTTAGAAGGTAAGTGGACGAGTGAACGAGTGGACGAGGATATGAGGTGTGATTGATGGGGATGCATGTGTTAGGTAATGTATTTTCTTGGGTACTTGGGCGCCGGTTGTTTTCATTGTTAGTGGCGTAGGTCATTATTGGGACGGCGGGGCGTCTTTGGTAAATATAAGAAAGAGGCCGGCGAGCTGGCGTTTTGGAGGAGCTCAGTTCAACGGGGGTTGGTAACATGGAACCTGGGTATTGGATCACATCATGATGCATATATTGTTTTTTTTTTTTTTTGTTTCTAGTTGATTCCCCTATGCTGGGAGGTTGCGGTAGGCAGGCAGGCAGGTAGGTAGGCTCGAGTCTAGAGCAAAAACGTGACTGGTGTTGGTGGCATGGACTCCTTCATGGGTTTAAAAGTTTCGGGTCACTGGTCAGCTGGTCGGGTTGGGGTGTAAATGGTTCTTGGAAGTCACGTATGTTTGCCATCGCCACAATGCCCGAGTCTCTGATACAACGTTGGGAGAGAGACTCTGGCTGGATAGTGCCACGGTGCAGATTAAAGGCTGACGGACTATGGCTGCTAGTAGATAATGGAGTGATTATAGGAAAGTAATGTTCTTGCGTATGCTTAGTCAGAAGCGATGTGCTCATGTCTAAGGAAAGAGTCATCATGCTGAAATAAATAGCGATAACAGAATGCCTTTGTAACCTCATTGCTAGATGTGTTTGCGAGGAATACGCAAGGTAGAGAGCTCCAGGTTCAATGTTGAAAGTTAACATTGGAAGAAACTGTGATCTCCACAGAAGCAAAGAAAGCGAAGGTAGAAAAAGATGAAACACAACCGCGAAAGCAGAACCTGTCCGAACGTTGCAGGGCCCCACTGCCAAGACCTCACCAGTGGAGATACTCCCGTATCTCTGACGACGATCAGACTGAGGCCCATGCTTCACCCAACCCCCCACTTTCCACTTCGGGTGCAATGCAAACTCTGAGATAGTTCGAACCCGCGAACACGAGACTCATGCCTTCAAGGCAACCAAGAGCCGATGTGACGGCATATTGATGCCTATGCTGATGGCTGGTGATCAGAGGGAGATGGAGAGACACTGACCGATTGAGGTCAAGTGTTCTTGTTGAGGTGAGCTGTTTGCTGAGTGGGGAGCCACTGGTCCTAGGATGACTCTGCCCTCTCACTCGAGGCCATAAAGCAGAAAGCCATCATTCAAAGTGATGCTCTCCTTGCAAACTTCCCCGTTGCCTCTATGCTATTGAGGTCATATCTTGATGTCCTGCTCTTAATCCATGGATCTTCCAGACTGATGTGCAAGTGAGCAGCCAGTCGAGCAAGCGATCGCATGAGCAGACCTTCCCAACGTGGCCGCAGGTACCCTGTTTTGCATCAACCAAACAATCCATCACTACTATGTGGCGTTGCCACTGGTGTACATATTACAGATGGTCTGGTCTTTAAAGTCGCCGTCTTCTCCCATCCATGATCCTGCACGGAACTACATTACTGACCTGAGCCCGCGGTGCTGCTTGCTACATGTAGCTATTTCCCCGATCCTGTTAACCACGTACTTGTACATCCATTCTTTTCAAGCGTAAACAGTGATCGTACTTGTAGGCTGTGCCTACTTAACTCCTTGCTGCGTGGTTTTTCTTGGGTGGTTTCGTCACCTTAGCCGTGGATCTGCCCCCTGTCTGGCGCAGGGGCACGCCCTGGCATATTCTCCGGCAGGTTTCCGAGCACAGCGATACCACGAGGCAGGGCAGTGAAACTGCTCTGTCCTCTTTGTGCTTGATACGAGCATTCCCCCCCCTCCTCTCTTCCATCTTTGATCGGAGTGTCTCATGCTTAAAAGTGACCACATCACCCTCCCCTGAACGCGACGACCATCATTGATTCACTTTCGTTTATCCCCCAGCCTAGGCCTGGCCTTAATGTTGTTGCTGGCAAGCAAGACCATTATCACCTCGTACTCTTGACGTTCTCTTTTGCTCTTCGATCTTTGCAAGGCATAGATCATCCTGTCATTTTCCCCTTCTCTCGACGAAGCATTATCCTCTTTCATTTTACGACATTCGCTTTATCAGGCAGTGCCTTTTAAGACCAAGAAACATCGTCGCGATACCGATACCTCTTCACTTCTACGACGCCGGGCTGCGCCAGGACGTTTGACTTTAAAACCAACTTCATACTTCTACGCCGACTGCACCAGTAACAACCAACATCTCAATATTATCGTATCATTGCCTTCTTGTGCAACGCAGACATATCCAACCATAAAAGCTTACCAAAATGCACTCATCACGCTTCCACGCCATCGCATCCCGCTTCTCCACCCTCAGCCTGCGGACATCCTTTCGTCGCGCAAGCACCTCGTCGTCGCGGTCCAGCAACGCAGATAGAGCCTCGCTAACCTCTTCCTCATCCTCTTCCACTGCTGTTACCTCGCCATCCTCGTCCAAGTCTCCATCGTCATCGGCGTGCCCCTGGCAGATGACCAGCTCGCCTGTTTGCGGCAGCATCAATAGCATCATCTTCCACAGGCACGGCATTCCGTATGAAGATGAGGATGATGATGATCAGTCGCTGCGCAGTATCCTCGAGCCAAGGCCAGCAGTGACGTTTTGCAGTTTTGAGGAGAGAATGTTCTCGCCACTTTGAAGGACGGAGCTTTTTGTGCCGACATACATGGATATGAGCTGGCTCGAACCCGGCACCTCTTTGTTTTGATTCTTGGGATATGACTTTTTTGGATGACAATACTTTTTTTTTTTTTAGTTATTACCAAATGGATGATGGAAATGGGTCATGAATGACTGGACTTTCTTTATCAAAAGAGATGATGCTTGGTGGTACTTTTTTTGATTTTGACGACATGGCCAGGTCTGTGAGGTTTGGAGTTTATGGGAGGTCGTTTTGAAAGACAAAGAAATGTGGCAAAATATTAGCCAGCTCAATTGAATATTTTTTTTGTCTGCTGGTCCATGCTTATTGCTTTTGGCTGTGAAGTTCAGGAACTCTCGCTCAATTCTTGAATTTTGGAGACCTAGAGGTCTGTCTTGAATCTTGATGACTTCAAGATATCACAATCACAGAACAGAGACATTGGTTGGCTCAGATACGCAACATCATGCATGTATTTTCCTCGCAGATGCATCTGTCCCATATCAGCATATCTGTGTACTTCATTTGCCATAACAAGTGGCGTCTTTCGTCAAGACCACCTTGGACTGGCTTGATGATCACCAGATCTTGCACGTGACGTGGGGAATATCTTCAACAGCCGATAATCAGGCATTGTCAAGCCGGGGACTTATTGGCAGGCTTGGCCCACTTGCCCCAGTCTTGTCCGCCGATTTAGCAGGGGGACCGGGCCGTGGGAGGTACCGCGACGGTGCTGACAAAAAAGTTACATCGACGGAGTCCGGAACGCCCAGTCGGGCCACTTCTCCGTCTCCCCATGTCTCCATCTCTCCATCTCCGTGCCGGGACGATGACGTACATGGCTCGTTACTTGCGGCTAGAGCCAGTTGCGGGCAATTGTTGTGACTTGTGAATGATTGGCTCTCACCGCACTTTGCCAGCGACTTTCTCGCTGCTCTCCAGGCCTCGGCTACTTCCCCCAAGCCCCATTAATCCAAGAATAACAGTGCATGTGGCTGCAATCAGACGGCGCTTCTGTAATAGGAAAGGACTGTGGATTTGTGGACAGCGCACTTGTCGACGTGGCAGACACAGCGCAACGGTTTTGGTGCCAAGCCACGTCACTCATTCTCCCCGCCATCCTCGCCGTCCGCCCTGCTCGGTGATTTGCTTTCACAAGGCTGAGCAGCTCTGTGCTGACTGGGTAACCTTAGCTCACAGCCCACATTAAGCAACCTTTGGTGCTAGCTCCTTTGGGAACTTGAGATCGGTTGGACGTTATGTGGACTGGCCGACGTGTGGATGGCCCAGACTTGCTCTTCATTTCATTTTGGCCTGCGCGCCATTCGCCGCTCGCCCTGCACTTCTTCCTACAATCGCATCTGGTATCCTGGTGGTCTTGATCTGGGTTAAAGACCAGGTAATGTGAGGGTAGCTGCGACATCCCGTATCATTGGGCACCAAGTGTCACGACGTCACCAAACCCAAGTCAGTTTTATGCTTGATATCTCTGAGAAAAAACGTGGACACAGGCGGACGTGTGCTCTGTTCGAACTTTTTTATTCAGGTGTCAGCCGCTGCAGACAGTTACTGGACCACGGGCTGTTGTTCTCCTTTTTACCTTTCCTCTCTATCTGTCCTGCTTGTGTCTCAACACCCAAGCCGGTCAGCATTTCATCATCTCTAAGCAAGCAAGTCCCATCGTCAACAGTTGTCATCACCATTATCAACTACCAACATGGCTCCTGTCATCATGGAGCGCAGCACGTTCTGCGGTCACTGCCTTCGACACTCACAGCTACTGCAGCTATTCTGGCGACAGCTGGGCGATAGCCGACTTCAAGCTCCTCGCGAGGGCCCTGAAGGCCCAACGCTCGCGGCAACGAAAGCGCCGTGCCGACCGTCCTGCCGCGTGTAGCGCACGCATGAGTGCTTCGACTGGCATTGTCAAGTCGAGTGCTTGTGTTGGATCGAAAGTCTCACGATTGTCACGGTCACAACGACTGCAGAAAGACCAGCAAGAAAAGAAGAAATGGGTTGCCGTTGGCGATGCGGCTGGTCCCCAACATGATAGGTGAGGATACACTTCTTGCTCTTGTTTTGAAAGTTTGATTTGCTACTACTCACTCCCACTTTAGTGTGCTTTGTTTGCCTGTCTTTACACCACTCACTTGGATGTTTGGTTGTATTTTACTGTTTTTTTTTTTTTTTGTGTGTGGCTACTGGATCTAGATTTTGGTGGTGACTTATACGGGGCTTCCACCACTTGGCTTGCCTTTCATCCCAACTCACTCTCCATCCCTCCTTTTGTGTTTTGGTCTGCGATTACCAAAACAACAACAAGCTTGGAGATTTCTCAAAAACTAAAATGCAAAAGCACTACACTCTTCATCCCCCACATTTCTCCTCCATTTGTAACTCTCATGAGTGTTGTTGTCCCCCACCCCCCTTTTCTCCGTGGTTCTCTCAACGGGAACTGCTCGCAACCCTTTGACCCTCATCCTCACTCACACTGTCTCCTTTCTCCTCACTCATTGCTTTCTTTTTGCCTTTTGCGCGCAGATTTCTGCGATTTTTCCAAAAAAAAAAACAGGAAAAAAAAAGCTAGCAGCCGGCTAACACATCCAAACAGATCCTCCGGCCTTTGCCGCAGCTGCTATGATGCTGGCCTTCATTCCGCTTAGCAAGCCGTTAGGTCTGCTGCAGTCCCGCGCTACTGCGACTACTCCTGAGTATCTCCTTAACCCGTATCAGTCGCTTCAGACCGGCCTGCGCGGTGCTTCTGTTGAGAGCATACTGGCCCGCGACCGGGACTGCTCGTTTCGCACCCGCCTGAAGGACGTCATTTCGGACAGCGACTCGGAAACTTTTTTTGAAGACATGAGCGACGATGAGCAAGACCTCCAGTTCGACGACCAGGGCTGTGTTGAGGTAAATCGAGCGATTGGAAAATTCGCGGCTGTTTCCAGACTCCAGCAGTCTCATAAAGCGCAAGACAATCAGCAGTCTGAAGTCGAGAGCGACCAACTGCTAGTCTCCAAGCCACTTAACCCCAACTTGTTCGCCCCTCCAGTCAATGATCAGGCAAGCGTTGACTACGACTCGAACTCTGACATCTCAGACTCCTCTTCCACCAGCAAACACATCGGCGATGTCCCCCAGATGGAGTCGCTCACTCTTCCTTTCTACTTCCCGTCTAAGCGTGCCAAGTACACTCCCATCGATCCGACCGATGTTCCCGACGACATGTCAATCATCTCCGATGCCGACATGGTCCCGACTTATGCCCCGAATGTTAAGAAGCAGCACGGCTTTGGTCGGTTGCCAGCCAACCTCAAGCTCGCCAACAAGGCACTGCTCAAACGCGCGCTTGTTTCCAAGGCCAGGGCGGCGAAGAAAACCATGAAGCAGTTCAAGCGGACTTGTCGAGAAGCCATGGGATGTGTATTTGATCCTGCGTGCACCGTTGCTTCTCCTGCCGACGGACCGCTTGGAGAGCACCAAGTGATGATGAGTCGGAACGCGACCAAAGGGACGAAGTGTGCCTCCGTTGGGAGCCGCAGTGAGAGGCGATGAGGATTATCGGTGTTAGTGACACCTGTCAGGAGTATTTGATCTGTTCTTTTTTGACGACAATTGACTCCAAAAGGACGATGATGGTCACCTGTAGCTCTTAAAGGACGGCAACTTAGGCTCGATTGCCTGTCGGTTGGCTGAGTGGGATTGGCAAAGCTGTGTTGTTGGCTCGCCGGACAGGTCCTTGTTTGGTCAACAAAGACTGTCTTGATAGCAAAGTGTCAAAATGGAGTTCCAACAACCCAAGGCTGCTGCTCCGAGAAGGAAAGAATATTGGTCACTTATCTTTATCGCAGCCGAAGGGTCGAACTCTCATTCTTTTGACATCGCCAACATGGATTCACAGCTCCACGGAACCCATTTCAACCAAAGAGCTGGTCCAAGGTTAAAGCCACACCTGACCATATCTATCCAGTCCAAAAGACACACCATCCCCAACCATGTGTTAGTCCGTCCCCTCACCAACTTACACCGAGGCAAAAAAAGGGTTTAACTGACCAACACCAGCCTCCCCATATTTACTACCTAAAAAGGGTACCCACCACCTCTTCAATGTCACATCTACCAATCAAACAAGCATCCTCGTTCTTAAAGGGTCAGAAAGCCGAGATGACCGGTGATCCGAGCAGGAGCGTGGAGGACTGAGTTAGGAGCAGGGGAAGACAGCTGATTAAGAGCTGACCCGTACGGACTCGTTTAAGCCAATCGATCTCATGGCAAGGATGACTTACTTCTTGGTTTGAACAAGATGGGAGGGACATTGAGAGCCGGGACTCGGATAATCATGATGATTCATCGGGTTAACAAAGGAGAGTTGGGATAATACCCTGAGGACTTACCCACAGAACAGTAACATTTTTTTTTTTAACTGGGAAAGACGGGGGTAATGGTAATTTGTACAGGGACGTAGGTAGTACATAACTTCCCACATCTTAGGTTTCGTCCAGTGTATTTGGATCCTTTAGTGAGAATTGCGGAGGTTGCTGCCTGTGGCGACTGCAGGAAAACAAGTAGAATAAGGAACATGAACGCATCAGCGGATATGATTTTTGATCGCCTGAACATCGTATCCCTTCAATTCTCCAAGCCAACATTTCTCTGTCTGAGAGGATTCTAGCGATATGGCATCAAAATACACAAGTATCCGACGAAAAGGCTGGGGCTTTCCAGCCGAGCAACGAACCTCCCACAACCTTCGAAATCGCCTCAACTGCCCCCAGCCCCCAACCCCATGATCCCACCGCCCGTCTTCTCCTTCCACTGCTTGGCCATAGCCAACAGATTCGACAAGTTCTTGGTCTGTTGCTCATCGGCAGGGAACACGTAGTCGACATACTCCTCCCACGTGTCCTCGTCGATACGTCGCTTCTTCTTGACCTCGCGCGGCATCTGCCGCCGGATGCGTTCCACGTCCTCGGCCGCGCCATGCGTCCTCTCAAACTCGAGCCACGCCCGCAGGAGCGCCACCCGCTCAGCCTTCAGGTCGCGCTCCTTCATGCTCTTGAGTGCGCGTTCGAAAACGCCGCGTGCGCGCGCCTTGGCTGCCTCGCTGACGGGGATTTCTTCGCCCTCGGCAGCCTGGGCCTCTGTCTCGGTATCGGGGATGTTGATCTCGAACTGAGCATAGCTGATCCACACCTTGGGGTGGTCCGCCTTCTGCAGCAGGCGCTCGTACAACGCGCGTGCGCGCTCGTACTCGCCCTCTTCCTCCTCGAAGTCGATGTAGGCCTTCCACACGACTTCGGGCATGTCCAACACCGGCTGGCTGATAGCTACCTCGAAGATGGCGCGGGTGCGGTCCAGGTCGTCGAGGCCACGCTCCAGCTCAGCCCACCGGATCCAGGTCTGGCAGTTGGCTGGGTTGAAGAGGGCATGCTTCTCATAGAGCGTGCGGCACCGGTCGAACTCGTAGAGTTTTTGCTCTATGGCGATGTACTCGCGGAAGAGCTTGTCCTTGGGACACATGCCGATCGCGCGGCCCAGGGTCTTGCGAGCGGCGGTTAGGTTGCCCTGGCGGATCTCAAAGTGGGCTTTGGCAATCCAGACCTTGGCGAAGGTGAATTTCTTATGAGGAATCAGGTTGAGACAAGTGTCATAGATGGCGCGGGCACGCTCAATGTTCTTGGCATCCTTTTCTTCCCATATCGCATAAAAGAGGAAAAGGAAGATGTACCGCCGCCAGTGGCGCTTCTCTTGTGTCGGGGGAACTTGGGCTATGGCGCGCTCGTAAACTTCGCGCACACGGTCTGGGTCGCCACCCATCTCTTCCAACCGGGCGAAATCGAACCATACATCGTAGTTTTTAGGGTTCTCCTTCACCTGCTCCTCGTACAGCCGCCGGCGCTTGGTGAGCACGACGTCTTCCACACCCTCCTTGTCGCCAAACTGCTTCTCGAACGTCGTGTACTGCGCATGCAGCTGCATCGACCTGGACCGGGGCAGGTTATCTAAGCCAAACTTGTAGATGGCCCGGGCTCGCTCATACTCCTTCTGGCGGGTCTCGAACCGCGCGAAGGCAATGAATAGCCTCTCATCTACGGCATCGTCGCCCAAGGTCTCGGCTATGTACTGGATGGCTGACTGGAACACATCGCGAACCATGTCGGCGGTTCCGAACTCCTCTTCAAACTTGGCCCATTTCAACCATGTCCTCGGCTCGGGATGGACCTGTGTGTAGGCGGCGAAAATCTGTCTCGCACGTTCGTACTCCCCATAGCGCTTTTCGAGCTTGATGTAGGCGTTCCACGCGTCCTCGTCCGGCTCCCACTTCATCCACCTATCGAAGACCTGCCGGGTACCGGGGATGTCCCCAAGCATCTCCATCACATAGACATACTTGTACCAAAGCTTGGACACACGCGGCAGTCGGGTGACCGCGCGATCCAGAAGGTTGCGAGCATGGTTGATGTTGCGGTTCTTCAACTCGGCCTCGATGTACCTGATCCATAGCTCTATGTTGAGCGGTGGTCATTAGTTGTCTGTCACGGGTCTAACATATGGGCAATGCTTGATAGACTTACGGGTATTGTTGGGATGCACATCGAGGGCGCGTTCGAAGATAGACCGGGCGCGGGCAAACTCCTTCTGCTCGAGCTCCCATTGAGCGTACTGGAACCAATTCTGCAGACGCAGACGGTTGCGGCGGATGTAGTCTTCGAACTCGCGGCGCTTCCGGCCCTGGTACTCCTTGAGTTCCTCAAGATCGGCGAACCGCTGGGTCGGCTTGTGGATGATGGTCTCCTGACGGTCAACGGCCTCACGCAGCAATTGCTCGGCCGAGATCTGGATGGGCGCTGGTGCCTTATTTTTAACCCTCGGCGGACCGCGCGACGACTCCATTGTGATGGCTGTCGCAGTCGAGAGGTTTAGTTTTAGGTTTCTGATTAGTTTAACTCCGGGATATAAAGAAGGCGAGATATCCAGATAGGATGGAGGCGTGCGAATCGCCTGTAAACGGCTGGCTAATTTCTTACAGGGAAGACTGGACGGCGTTGTGGTGTCGTGGCCGTGATCTCAGCGATTCATCGCTAAACTTGTGCTACAACAAACCGCCCTGGAAGCTGCTGTAGCGTTGGAGAGCCTGCCAAGCAGAGTGGACGCGCCAAGCTTCAAGAAAAAGCCAAGACCAGAACGCATACAGCCGGACCCACTTCTTTGTGTCGCGGTGATATCAACATCCAGCGGCTTGAACTCTAAAAGCCACCATTGGCTCGTCGAGCGCCTATTGCAACTTTCTGGGGGCATCCTCACGTCCAACATCTCCGTCGTCGCGTCGTCCAAAGAGCTCCCATCCTTTACAGTCTCTTTTTCTTGCAGCATTAAACAAGACAGATAAACCCAAGACACCCGGTATCCTGCGACTGCGGCCGACCACAAATATCTATACAGCAAATAGCAATGTCGACCCTAGCCGACGAGCTGCTTCAAGATTTTGAGGGCTCCGGCTCAGAAGCCGGGGAGGATCTCAATGAGGACTTCTTCAACGAGGCTGGTCTTCCCGGCGCAACAGCGGCCAATGGCGAGGACACAGCAATGGAGGAAGTGCGTGATGAGGACGAGGACGAAGACCAGGAGATGCAAGATGGCGACGCGAACGGCCTCGGGGACGAGAGCGGCGAGGATGCAAAAGCAAAAATCGAGAAGATGCAGCTAGGAGGCATCAAGGATGTCCGTAGCGTCGCGACATTGATGAAGACGCTGACACCTGTGCTCGAGGTTAGTACTCCCCCTGCCTTTACTTGTCGGCACCATCCCGTTTAGGCAGTAGGAAAAGCGTTTACATCTCTTCCCATGAGCATTAGCCCTGACGGTTTACCCCGATCCTCGCAGAAAATCGCATACTTCCAATCACAGCCCTCAACCGAGAACGTGGGCAACGTAGAAGACCATCCCGAGTACCATCTTCTGACCCAATCGAACAGCCTGTCCACCCAGATCGACAACGAGATCATGCTCGTGCACAAGTTCATCCGCGACCACTACTCCGTTCGGTTCCCGGAGCTGGAGACGCTGATTTCGAACCCCGTCGAGTATGCGAAGGTGGTTGCGATACTGGGCAACGGGCCCTTCGACTCGGAGAGCATCAAAAAGATCCAGACCTCGACCGATAACCCGCTGGGCGTGACGCTCAAGTCCGTTCTCGACGGCCCGTCTCTGATGATCGTCACGGTGGAGGCTACGACATCTAAAGGCCAAGCCATGCCACCAGAGCAGCTGCAGCGAGTCGTCAAGGCATGCGAGATGGTTATCGACCTGGACAAGGCCAAGAAGACCTTGACAGATTATGTCCAGTCGCGCATGAATATCTTCGCACCGAACTTGACAGCTCTCATCGGCTCGCTGACGGCTGCTCAGCTGCTCAACCAAGCCGGTGGCCTTACCGCCCTCTCCAAGACTCCGGCGTGCAATTTGCCCGCCTGGGGCTCCAAGAAGCAGGCTACCGCAGCGTTGGCAACTAACGTCGGCATCCGGCATCAAGGCTTCATCTACCAGTCCCCCATCATCCGCACCATCCCCAGCGACCTCAAGAAGCAAGCTATCAAGATGTTTGCCAATAAGATCGTCATGTGCGCCCGCAGCGACTGCTTCCATCAATTCCGCGACGGCTCCGAGGGCGAACGCTTGCGTGAAGAATGCCTGGAGCGCCTCGACAAGCTCCAGCAAAAGCCCCTCTCAAAATCGGCCCGGCCACTGCCCGCACCCGATGACAAGCCCAGCCGCAAGCGCGGCGGTCGCCGCGTGCGCAAAGCCAAAGAAGCCTATGCAATGACTGAGCTGCGCAAGGCGCAGAATCGCATGGCGTTCGGCAAGGAAGAGAAAGAGGTGGGCTACGGCACGGGTGACCACACTACCGGTCTCGGTATGCTGGGTCTCAGCGACGGCCGGCTGCGCGTTGCGCAGATTGATAACCGCACGCGCGCCAAGCTCAGCCAGAAACATAAAGGCTGGGGAGGCGTCAGCTCGATCAGCGGGAATGCATCGAGCTTGCGGAGCAGTCTAACTGGTGGTGCTGGCAAGCTCAACTTGGCTGCGGCTAGCGCTCAGGGGCTGCGGACGTCGGGTGTTGGCACGACGGTGGGCAGTGCGACGGGGTTGGCTACGTCGGGTACTATTTCTTCGCTCAAGTTCGCGTCGGCGTCGGGCCTGGAGCTGGTTGATCCGAAGCTGCAGGCTGAGCTGAGTAGGAAGAGGAAGGCCGAGGAGGATCGATGGTTCAAGAGCGGTGCATTTACGCAGATCGGAAATAAGAATAATAGCGGCGATGGGGTATTTAAGAAGCCTGATCTGCCGCCGAGCAAGAGGATTGATACTGGGGCGACAAAGTCGCAGAATTAAGTTGGCTTGGGTGTACTTTAGTGCGAGAACAATGGGTTTGGTATTCGTCTGACAAACTCTTCGAGAGTGCGGAGTTTTTATTTGGCACTTGTGCGAGCAATTTTGGCGTTTAAAGGAAGACTACACTACAGAATCGATCTCTTGAGTTTAACAAAACCTGGTCGAGGTATTCGATTGACCCAAAGTTTCAAATGAACCATTTAACATAAATATAGTGCCTTTTTTTTCTAATAATCCTGAGTCCAGTTAACTGCTGTTTAACCTTGGATCTCAGCGTCCCCTCGTCAAGTCGACTTAACTGAAAATCGCCTTTGGTATTCTTCCCTGACCGTGGGCTCTGGATCTCAACATCCCCGGGCCTGTCCAATCACTGTTGCCCTAATTCTCAGCTGTCTTTCGGTCTGCAACACACAAGCAACATACTCTTCGACACCTCGGTCCCTCACCACATCACCTTAATCTGGGGCAACAGGGACCGCTCATGCTCGCGGGTATAGCAGTTCGATAAGCTTGTAGTCAAAGCTCAAAGGCTGTTCTTTATCCACTTAAGCCCACAGCTTTTTTCGCAGCTGCCTCGGATTTATCGAAGACGCCCTGCCAACATCAAAGCGACACTCGTGGAAAAGCTTGGAGACAGGGGCCGCTTTGGGCGCTCGGAAGGGTGCAGGGACAGGGGCTTGATGCTCATACAGCGCGCTGCTCCCTCAAGCCTACGATATGTAGAATTTCCCCAATTACGTATCGGAGAGAACTTAATTTTTTCTAATCGCAGTGCAGCAGCCCTTGCTAGGCACGAATAGGACTCTTGATAGAGTAACTGGCAATCTACCTAGGCCTGGGCCTTCGACAGGTAGGATTTCGGTGCTCGAACTTCAACACAGACGCTGATATAGGGCAGAAAGGCCTTGAGCAAATAGAGGCTGGTCCGATTCTTTAGGCTTTTTTCCACTTGGAATGCAAAGCAATTTGTGCACTTGGCCTATTGATAACACCATCGATGCAAACATGATGCGCTGCTCTGATGCTCAACCTGATGAGGACTTTGGATACTTCAAAGCCACTAGTAAGTAAGAGGAGCACACTATTGAAAGTTCTCGAGATCAATTGACGTACCATATACTTGGAGCCATCCAGCTCGGACCCTTACTCCGGCAGCTCGAGCTGCTGCCGGCTGGTCTGGTGCTTGTCAGGCTTTGAAGTTCTCTGCCAGACGTTACGATCCGCTAGTGACGTCATCGCTTGGTTTGTTGTCCCAGTCCTCAGCTCATCATCACCCCGTGCTCCTGGCGGTAGTCCAACCGTCAGCAATTTTAATGGGCTTGTCCAGGCCTCGGTTAAGGTTGCCCTGAGAATTCTTGGGAATCTGGCCTCTCAGAAACCCCCGTACGACTTGTTTCCTTAAACAGAGGTGAGGTCGAGAGCTTCTAACGACTTCGAGAGCACAGTATCCTGAGTTCTTGAGCGCACTGTGTTCCTATCTGGTGAGCGAGCGGGTAAAGGACTTTTAACACCGCAAGGCCAAAAGAAGTTGGTTGGCTCTGTAGCAGATGGCCAGCAATGTTTGCCGTTTTTTTTGGGCCAGAATAGATGCTCTCTTATTCGTCGATGCAAGCCAAAATGTCACAGCAGAACCATGAGATTAGGTGTTTGAATCCGGGAACTGCTCAGCATCCAGGACCCTGACGCGGCAGAGCCCCGTTATCAAGTTTGCGTATCGTCCAAGGCGCTGAGATAGAGACCGATGGGTTCGGCGGAGAACTGCGTCCGGACAGTCTGGCAGGTGTACATCATGGAGAGCCCTGGTGATCATTAAACTCCCAAGCTCGATCAGCAGTAATTCCAACCAAGTCAGCATATCCATGCGCTCTCTGTTGAAGACGCAAAGAGCTATAACGACTGAATCCCATATAGAACCGCGTTTTTTTTAAATCTCATTCAGTCTAAGGTATGTCATTTCTAACAGAGGTCAGTTCCGTGAAGCCGATCGAAGCTCTTTTAAGGAGGCTGGAACAGGTCGCTCCCGCGAGAAGGAAAGTTGTCGAAGGATCCAGAGGCCCTGGTATCCCCACAAATGGAATGGTCCCGGTCGGGACCTCACCGGTCGCGTCTGCGGAGCGGGGGTAGCCAATGGACCCTACGAAGCTTCGACGCAGCAAGACCCCGCATGTCCCGTCAGGGACGGCTCTGTCTAAAATTCTACCTAGAGGTATGTACGGAGCTTCATCGAGTAGGATGCACCTTTAGCGTCGCTCTTCTCAAGATACTGTTTTTCACTCTCTGTATTTTGGGATCATTCCGTCTCACCATCCAAGCATGCTAAATATACTGCAACTGCAAACTTTGCGCATCGATTATCATGGAAGCATCGATTCGCCTGGACATATCCTGGATTCGAGCTCTGGCAGGATTCTCTGCAAAGGGTGCCCCACCGACAACGATGAGACGTACATATGTACCTTTCCAAGGCTTCGCGAAAGCTTACCGTCGGTCGTCCGGCTGTCTGCGCATGGCGCTTTTCTTGACTAAATTTCAGGCGGTGCACAGGTGTATGGTGTATCTGACATCGACACGACTTACACATGGGCTGTACGGGATAATAATCTTATAAATTATTCCGCAGATATCATTATATCCGTATACATAGAAAGACTAACATGGCATACGACGAAAACATGAACAAAGGGTCCAGAACCTGTCCAGCTCGTATGAAAACACATTTGCGAGGCTACCGGTGTGAAGCAGCTGCAGGGACCTCGCTTGCATCTTTGCCAGACCAGCCAACCACAGTGCTGTTAACAACCGCTGCTTGAAAACATTGCCCCCTCCTGATCTGCATGTTCTCCATCCGCGGACATCACTGCATCAGGCGTCTTTCCCTCCATACAAACCTGATAGCATTCGCAGCCATTTGCTCGCAATGGGTTCCAACGACTGTGACTTGACGGTTGATATCAGGACCCGACTGCACCCGGACGACCAATCACCAGATGGATCTTCAACTCCAAACTGGGAATGACCCGGCCCCGCTTTTCAAAAGGTGTGCGATCTTGGCTGCCCTGGAGCCATTGACGTCATCGTGTCGCGATCCCAGATCGTGCCAAGACAGTGATGAAGCGGGCCCAAGCCTGTGACGGCAAGCAGGGAGACACCGGGACATCCATATTGACAGCATGGTTCGACGAATTGTAAGGTTGGTCCAAAATTGACTTGGGCTTTGAAGATATTTGGGCGGTAACAAGATAGAAGGGTTCAACAGGGACGGATTGGACTCGGGCAAGAAGGAGGAAGACGGGAGGGGTCCTCGGATAGGTGGGTGGGCCGGCTAAGTTCCCCGCCCATTTAAGGCAGACCCACCGGTTGGTGTTTGGTGGAAAACTGGGCGTGTGGTTTCTGGCCAGGAAACGCTAGGGGTTCCTTACCCACTTCCACTCCTGTTCCATCCACATCAACACCCTCCTTAGTCAGCGCTCCGTGAGCCTCTGGCCGCGCGGGGACCTGGATCTTAGGGTTCACTCGGCCAGATACATCAACGACGAGATCTGGGCTCTACAAAAATGCTTGGATATGTACCCATGTAGTATCTTCTAGACAACTGCTAGCCGTTTTCCGCATCTTTATAGCCTTTTCACATGCCAGTCGTTGCAGAAGCATGGGTCAAGGAGTTCTGTCGTGGCTTGTCATCATCTTGAGAGATTGAGGGTATCTCTTGCAGTAGCAATGATGGAGTGAGGACTGAAAGATGACAAATGGATGTGTGCACTGGGGTTGAATTCACGGGCAATGAAATGTTCGACTCTTACGCAAGAGTCAATTTTCGACAGCGGCTGGCTGACAGTTGAACCGAGGGGGCCGAGGGTTGCTTCCAGAGTCCAGACCACAATGCGGGTCGAACACCATTGACCAATTTAATATCTATGCTCTGACAATACCCTGAGAACATCTCAATGCCGTCGTCTACAGACTATCTCACTTGAGATGCAGGCGCCAGGCCCTGGCATTAGATATCGGATCAAAGAGGGACTCGGCGTCCTTTCAGACCCCGCCACTTCTCTCTAGCATGGGCCTTCTACGTCCAAGTGACGAGATTGAAGACTTACACTTCACATGCACAGATCCCTACGTACCTAGATTGTACATGTATTGAATTAACTTCACCTGCAGAAAATTAGAGAATCAAACTTCTTAATTCAGCTATAATAATGCCTCCAAAATCACAAAAGATCACATGAAATTAGACAACATCGGACGAGATTTTTTTTATTTTTTTTCCTAGGATAAGCATCTCAGAAAGGAGGGAAAAGCCATGCATATTCAGCCCCTAATCAGAGAGAGAAAAAAAACGCGTACACGTACCGGTCTGCCTGGCCGGGCTGAAATAGGTGAACCCATCGACCGAATGGACCCAGGGTCACGCCCGGACACCCCAAGAACGAAGTCATCGTCACCCGCACACCCTCCCCGCTCAGAAACAGGCACAAGGTGGGGAGAGACGTGGAAACTGGTGGGCACTGATGCAACCAAGTGGAGTTCTTGCTAAACAAACGCCCCTCCCCCCCCAGATCATCGGGTCTCGTCACCTCACGGTGATGCACGGAGCCAATGCCGGGGTTAGGACAAGCAGCCCGGCATCCTCAGCGTATCGGTAGCTATGGTTGGATGTAGCGTAAAATACCTATCTTCCTGGCCGTCTGCTCTGTGTGTGCCTCTAATTGCCCGAGCAACGGGATCAAACCCCAGATCTAGACCACACTCAGATCTAGACCCATACGGGGCTTCGGGCTCAGACACCGAGGGTGAGGATGAGGATGAGGACGAGAACAAGGGCCAAATGAGATCAGATCGGATGTAATGTGATGCCATGCGGCTCAAGCTCCCTTATTCCCATTTTCACCTATTTTCTACATTCATTTCAAAAGCACGCGCGCGCATGCTCAAAGACGTCCTAGTTACGATCAAACGAATCATTTCCCTCTTTTCTCGAATCATAATCCCTAATCACAGGCTGGCCTGCGGGAGCTCGGGGCACACGAGCTTTCCTCAGGTAGCTCGTGCTGTACGGAACTCGTCCATTTTGACCCCTATTTAGTCCTCCTGGACTCGATTCTTGTGATCTAAATACCCTATCTGCCCCTAGTTGCCGAATCACCTCAATCTGAACGCTGCGCCCAGACAATCAAGTTGGCAGCTGATCTGTGATCCCTAACTCGACCTTCTGATCTCGTGAGAATCCTCCACATAAAAGTAATGCCCTTCCACCCGCTCTCTTCCCTCCTGAACTCCTAACCCTAACACGACCAACCTTACCCTCCTCTCACTCTCATCCCTTCTCTCGCTCCTAACCCACCATTCCCTATACCCTTGATCTGTTCATCGACACTGTCTTCATCCCCGCTTTGTCGACTGCTTTTGCGAGCTCTCTGTACGATGTCTGACAAGCAACCGCGCAAGAAGATTATCGTCACCTACTGGCCAAAGGGGTCCCGTATCAGGGTGGTGGACGCGAGCAGCATCGAAGAAAACACCGAACAGGGGTCCTCAGTTCGTACTCCTGTCTCCCCGGCTGAGTCCGGCGACGAGGCCGAGTCCAAGAACAAGAACGATTCCGAGGACAAGACCAAGTCCAGCGAGAAGACCAAGTCTAACGGCAACGAGACTCAGTCCCCCCGTCCCACTACTCTGGCTCGACTTTTCCGGACGCCACTGCCCACTAGCCGTACGTTCACCCCAATTAACAGCAACGGAGGTCAGGGAACTTCCTCTGCATCCTCTTCTCGCATGAACCTGCGCTCGGCCCAAGGCGGGCAGACTGCTACTCCCTCCAAGGCTGAGCCGAAGAAGGGAGAAATGGAAAACCAGCAGCAGCCATCTCGTGCTGTCAACGGACAGCGCGACACAGCAGCTCCCAAGCAAAAGAAGCGGTACCCGTGCAAGTATGCCCAGAAGCTGAACTGCGATAAGACCTTCACAACGTCGGGCCACGCGTCCCGGCACTCGAAGATCCATCTTGGCGTGAAGAACATCCTTTGCGAATATCCCGGCTGCACGAAGAAGTTCACGCGTAACGATAACATGAAGCAACATTACAAGACGCACTTCAGGAACGAGACGAACCAGACTGGCACTACGACTCGCTCTGCTCGCGCCTCAATCACGGTGAATAGTCGCCGTGCCTCAACCGATTCCTCCGTGACCCAAACCACCACAACTTCGCGCGTGAGCAGTGGGTCTCTAGCACCAAGCACAACACCAGGATCGGTGCTACCCACGCCGAGAATCTCCAATCCGCTCAGGACTGCGTCACCGTCATCGCCGAGTACCGCGCTAACCTCGCCTGCCTCGTTTCACTCGCCCCTGGTTCGGCCATCGCAACGGTCCCACTCTAGCGGTAATGTTAACGACAATGACAACAAAGAGTACTTCCCCAAACTGTATGGAGATATCCCTCCTGAGCGGCGCTTGCCGGCCATCTCCGAGATCCAGCGGCCTGGCTCCTGGACGACGGCTCTCCCTCCATTGCGCATTCCAGAGGGTCGCCCGGGGCAGCCTCCCCAGCTAGTGCAGGGGCATGGTTACCATGGTTACTATGGTTACCAGCCTCGAGAACCAGAACCGGCCCATGGCTACATCGGTTTCCGGCCTCGTGAGCCAGAGAACTGGCAGCCCGTTGGCTGGGGAACTCCGGCTTTCTTGTTGACCCAAACTCAGCGTGCTCGAAGCCCCTCGCCGAGCGACCGACTGCTGACCGTCCCGGACCGGCTTAGGCACTTGATGCCGGTGAATCGCCCGGCGAACGGTTTAGATATGTTAATTGCCGCGTGTGAGGAGGTGAACCAGATGAGGAAGAGGGAGTGGGAAGAGGAGAGCGGTGGGGAAGACAACAACGAGGATAACGGAGATGAAAATCAAAGGGGTAAACGGCGGAAGATGAACGGCGAGGCTGCCGATAAGGATAAGCAGCCTGAGTGGAATAACGATAGTGATGGCGACATCGTCATGAGCTAGAATGGACTGGGAAGGATAGACGGCGGCAATTTGGGGGCGATAATCTACGGGCGACAATATACGGACGGCAAAAACTCATTAACATCTAGGGTGCTCAATATAATGTTTGGTTTACGTACTTGTTCCGTTGTCGTTTAAGAGTAAATGTAAGGGTTTGCCCATATGTCGTAGTCGAGGGTCTGGTAACAGGTAGTCAATGGCATGCATGTTTTCCATGTTTTCGATCTTTTCGATCCTCGACTTAGGTCGAGTCTCGGCATCGTCGACATGCGTCGTAAGTCGTCGTGTGGGACTGCGGGTGTGATGTGTGCGGATGCGGGTCTCTCGTGGTCTTTCGGTCTCACCACCCCGAGGCCAAGACCAACAGTTCGGAAAGGTCCCACCAGGGATACCACTTGAGCTTTGTGATTGGTTGCTGATTGACATGTTCGGCATCTAATCAGTGTGCCAAGCATACGACGACGTCATCGCCAGGCACCCCTCGTCTGATTCTCCGCTCTCAAGGCAGGAACAAGAGTTGTCAAGTGTCAACGTCGCTGCCACCCAAAAGGGAAGTGAGACAGGAGACTCTTATGTAAGTCAAGGCCGCAGCGATAGTCGGGCAAGGGTAGACCGTCTGCCGCCGCCGGCCAGCCCAGTCCTCCTCCCCCTCCCCCCCCGTGTTTCCCACAGGATTTCCAGCCCTGGCAACCCACGCCACTTTCACTCCCCGTCTGCAACTCTCTCTTCGGCTTGTATTTCCCTTCCCATTTGTTATCGCCATCGCAGAAGTGTCAAGCCAAGCCAATCGAATGCCGTGCCATGTACGAATCCATGTACTTTTCGGTTTGTCTGCCGCCCACGACGATGCTACCTCCCTCACCTGACCGTCATGGCCATGCATATCGCCGCCCTTTCTGACACCTTCGCGAACATTAACACATCTAGATAGCTCTCATGAGCTGTTGATACGTGATAGGCGAAAGTTGAATTGGGCTGGGTCATGCATGGTCTGACGGTGTTTGTCGCCGGCGGCCGTGATTGCCTGTCGGGTGGTTGAAGAGGGAGGTGAGGCGGGTGGGAGACGGCATGTTATGATTTCTTGAGCTGTGGCTCGCTTGTTTTGGACGTCGTTCTACTGGATGGTTGGCATTGGCGAAGTAAATAAAGGGAGAGCCTGGCGGCTGGGAGACATGTCGATGAGAGTACGTCGAGTTCATCATAAATGAACAACCCGCAGTTGTCTATAGTTCAGCCGTAAGAATGAGAAAGATCATCCTCGCCGTCAACGCTGGCTCCTCATCCGTCAAAGTCTCCATTTTCGCTGCCGAGCCAGACCAATTCCCTGTGCAGTTGGCCGAAGCCCAGGTGAGCGGCCTGACTTCCCCCCCAGCCAAGCTCAAGTACCTCCGCAATGGCGAAGTTATCGTCAACAATCGAGCTGCCGAGGAATTTTCAGAAGAAGGAGGGCACAAAAATGTCACAGACCAAAATTCTGCCTTCAATCTCATCCTCAGCGTATTCCTCTCCGACCCTGATCTCCCTGACCTTCCCTCCCGAGACTCCATATCCTTAGTCTGCCACCGCATCGTCCACGGCGGCGACTATGCCCGCCCGCAGCTTATCACCGACGACACGCTGCACCACCTCGAGGACCTGGCCGACTTGGCGCCTCTGCACAATGCTCCCGCCCTTGAGATTGTCCGTTGGTGCATTGACGAGCTATCTCCTCCAGCGAAGAATATTGCCTGCTTCGACTCCCAATTCCATGCCACCATTCCAGAGCATATCAGGACATATGCCATCAACCCGGAGGTGGCGAGGAAGAAGGGGTTGAGAAAGTACGGCTTCCATGGGATCAGCTACTCGTTTATCACAAGGGCGGTCGCAGAGTATCTAGGGAAAGATAGGGACAAAGTCAACATGATCGCTCTGCATCTTGGATCTGGGGCTAGTGCTTGTGCTATCAAAGCAGGCAAAAGCTGGGACACCAGCATGGGTTTGACCCCCTTGGCTGGGTTACCCGGTGCCACAAGAAGTGGTACATTAGACCCTAGGTACAGTTTCCCCTCCCCCAAACAAAACCCCCTTTTACACGTCTTCGCTAACACTCTGTAGCCTAGTCTTCCACTACACCTCCAACGTCTCGCGCCTCTCCCACCTCTCAACCTCCCACCTACATCTCACCCGCGCCGAGGCCATCCTAAATCTCGACTCCGGCTGGAAAGCACTCACAGGCACAACTGACTTCGGCACCATTACCAAGAACCGTGACTCTAACCCTTCTATGCGCCTGGCATTCGACCTCTTCGCCAACCGCGTGGCAAACTATATCGGTTCGTACTATGTTGCGCTGGAAGGAAAGGTCGACGCGTTGGTGTTTGCTGGAGGGATAGGTGAACGCTCTGCTGAGTTGAGGAGGGAGATTGTGAAGTTAGTGGGATGTCTTGGGTTTGAGATTGACGAGGAGAGGAATGAGCAGATTCGTGAGGAAGGGGTTGTCGTGTGGGATGTGGGGAAGGAAGGGGAGAATGAGAAGTTGAAGAGGGTATTGGTTTGTCGGACGGATGAGCAGTTTGAGATGGTGAGGATGTGTATGGAGGAAGAGGGGGTGTGGTGAGATGGATTTGAGCGTTGGGGCTGAGGTTGAAAGGGAGGTTGATGGCTGTATATTGGTAACCCGATGCTGCCTTTTCTTTCTTTCTTTTCTTCTTTTTTTTTTCATTCACTTCACAACGGGTTCAGCGCGATTATTGAGTGTTTGTGTAGTAAGTACGTAAATGTGAGTGCCTGTCGCAACATACAGATAAGCGAAGGAAACAGCAGCATCATCAACCATTCATCATAAATGCTCTGATCGAGCTACTCTCCTTACTGCCTGTTATTGCACAAACCGGTTTGAACTATCGTAAACTATCTATACCGGCATATCTTAATGAGTCTATTCCAAGCTTTTTTTTTTTCAGAATAAATCTTGAGCGATCAGAAAAGGTCGTGAACCTGTGCGGCATGTCCCAATCTCAGAGCGCACAAGTTCCAAGGTTTTTGTTTTTTAGGTACCGACAATCCTCGGAATCATGTTCTGGTGTTACCCCAAAGTTCTAACTCTGGTTTATGTGACGTAGAGGCTATGCCAGCATGCCAGGAGATCGACGGGTGCCATGTAACACAGTATCCATCCATCTCATTATGGGTCTTATTAGCACAATTTGGCACATCTGACCTAGAGATCAGCCACTGAGACTAAGTACTTGATTTTGGGATATCCAGAGCTTCAAACGGCTCATTCTCGGGCGCTGTTGGCACCCAGGTCGTTTTTTTTTGGCTTGCTGAGTTGTATAGACGCCAGGGTCGTGCGTAGGAAAGCAGCTTGACCTTGGTGATATCATGTTTCTATCCAATACCAACTGCATGGCGTGTCTACTTTTCCAACTTTTTTTCCTTCCTTCGAAGATAGATCGACAAAAAGTCAACCCTTGAAGTCTCGTAAACTCAGTTTAGAGGCACGTAAACATAACTCTGGTAATAACCTTCTTGCTCCCCAAGACCTTAAAATACCCAAAAACATCCAGTAATTCAAATCGTATCTGTACTGAGAAAATCAAGATACACAGCAGCATGGATGGTATCATAGCTCTCCTACAAGTTTCCCATCTAACTCCCATCCCAAGAAATTTCAATCCCCTCCATACCAATCATCGACCGCAACATTCCCTCGGCAACCCCCGTCCCGGCCGTCATATCCGGCCAACCACCAGCACCACCCGCAGCAGCGCCATTCGCCCCGCGAGTGTCCCCATTCCCGAACGCTGCAGACGGATCGTTGCTGAAAAACGCCTCAATGCTCCTGTTAAGCTCACTCGTGGTAGTCGGAACAGCCGTCGCCGAACTACTGGCGGTTGTTGGCCCAGCGGTGTTAACAAGCGCGGGGCTGGTGTCGAAAGAGGATGTCCTGGCTGAACCGTTGGTTGCGGGGAGGTTACTCCCAGGCGTGAGCGTGTGGCCGTGTTGCGGGTGATGCTCAGAAGCTGTTGTGCTTGATCCTGGGGTAGGGCGATTCGACGATGAGGAAGATGGGCCATCCGGAGTATTTGCCGCGCCTAAGTCGGTGCCGGAAGTGGCTGCCGTGTCCAAGTCGGGGATGAAGCTCGGATACTGAGACGGGTGCATCATGTTATGATGGGTGGACAAGAAAGAGGAAGCGGTTTGGCTTCGTTCGCGAGTCGGAAGGGTTGTGGTTGATGGCTGGTGGTGATGTGGCATGTTTGGAGAAGGAAAGCCATGGTCGGGCACAACGACCGGGTCGACCTCGATCAGGTCTGGGGCAGTCGCCGGGTTGCCGTCATCGTTTGGCACTTTCATGTAATGGCATTCGTTGCTGTAGCCGAAGATACCTGGATTCTTGGACCGGTTTGCCAGGCCTGGTGGCATTTGATTTGGTGAGCTTGGCTGGAGAGTCGTTAGTACCATTGTCAAAGCATCCATGTGTGTAACGGAGACCGATGCTTACGCTGTCGGTGCTGCGCGGGAAGGCATTTCTAAGTTTAGGAATGCGAACACCAAGAGCCTCGAGGTCAACGTCCAACTGGACCAGAAAAGACTCAGTAAGTGGGTTTCGCCTCTTGAGGGCGTTCATGGCGGAGAGGAGGAAGCGCAAAGAGTCAGCTGTTTTGCTGTCGTCTGGTCTGCTCTTGAGATATTGAATGAACACTCGCGCAGAGACGTAGAGACAGAAGGCAATAAAGGGGTTCATCTGCCGAATCAATTAGCCGGGTGCTTCACACAGTTCCAAGCTTTCTTCCAGTATCATACCGATGAGAGATCGAGATGCGAAATCATCCTCATGATGCTTGCGATCTCGTTCGCGGCAGTGATACAACGAACTTTGCTTTCTGAGCTGACAGAAGCCGGCAGACGGTTCTTATCCGCCTTAAAGATGGCAGCTTGGTGCAAGCAGATGGTTGAAGTGTGGATGCACATGTTTGTGAACACAACGTTGGGATTGCCCAGGCCATTCGGCAACTTCAGCGACGACGGCAAGCACAACGAAGTGTTGAGCAGTATATTGTCCATCTGCCTGTGCCGCTTCCAGAACTCGCCGTTCAGGTCATCGTCGCGATCATCGGCATTGGGACGGTGCAGGTGCATCAAGTTCCGGCCAAATAAGCAAGCCATGAGTACTACGCTGCCAAATGGCGACAGCCTTCCTGCGCCCGCTGGCGTCATGGCATCTTCCAGTGTCGACGTTTGCTCAGTCCGGCTGAGCTCGAATGCTTCTTCAGAAGTGGGTAGGTTCGTCGAGATGTCCTTCTCATCAATCATCAGGGGCCAGCCGGTGCCGATGCTGGCGAAGCGATCCAGGCAAAAGGCCATCCAAAACGTTCTCCTCCGCTCTTCCCTCTCAGTCCAGTCTCGTGCTGGGGGTAGACATTGCTTAACATCAAGGCCAGCTCCATCGACACGATGAAGACCGATCCTGTTCAACCTGTTAGAAAAAACGCCTCTCGCTCTTGTTCTCAAGACAGCTCTGTGAGGACTCACATCTGTGCCAATCGAACACCAGACCCAGTGCTCATCCAAGCACGAGGGAAGTACATCCATTTAAACTCGTACACGGCAAGCAGGATATGGGTTTGGGCATGGGCAACAGAGATCATGTGCTCTCCGTACCCCTTAATGTAGTCAGATTCGAGGTACTTGCGAGCCCGTTGGTAGAAGAGGTCTTTAAGAGTATGCAAATTCTCCGAGACCGAACAAGCCAGCGTCCACATGGCGTAACGCAGGCACACGGGAGGCCGTTGTGTTGGGGCCCTGCCGAACAGGATTAGAAGTGTGTGCAATAGCTTTGTTGCCGGCGTGAAACTTACAGGTTCATGGCTGCGAGATAGCGGTACCTGTGGATCATAGGGACCGAGGGATGGATCTTTTCGAAGTAGATTTGGTGTCTGGGGACCCGGTCAGTCTAATATTATTGCAGAAAGTAGATGATATCGCTTACAGCTCATCGATGGTCTCTTGTGTGGGCAACGGCTCCTCCAAACCCAGGCTGATCATCTCCATGGTGAGGTTGGGGTCCACACCCAACCCCATATCCACGTTCCCGCTGAAGTTAAAATCTTCAGGAGCATGGGGAGAGTTGCCAGCGAAGCGCCAGCGGTCCATACCTGGACTGTTGGACATCCCGAGTGCCGGGTCCGTCACTCCGAAGTTTGGAGTTCCAGCCGGTCGTTGATTCGGAGATGGTGTCGCTATGTTGTTGACACCCAGGCCCAACCCTTTTCCGTCCGCATTTGATGCAGACGACAGTTCCTGGTTTTTTAACAAGGTCTCGACTTGCTCTACAGTTCAAGATTGGGTCAGTCGCACATATCATGATCGGTCTTAACGGATCATAGTGCTCAGGGCTAAGTAAGAGGAATTGGGGGCCAACGCACTCAGCCTCTCCTCCAACGCCTTCACATAGCCCCTTTTCGGGCCGCTCTTCCTGCGGACCTCATCGTAGACACACTTGTGACCGAGGCGTGCACACGTGCTGCAGCTGGGCTTAAGGCCGTCACACCGCAGCTTTCTCTTGCGGCAGAGCTGGCATGCCAGCCTCTTCGGCTTCGGCACATTCTGATTGCCCCCAGCAGGTGCCTCGACCGGGACGGTGTCACTGTTGTGGGGGGCTTCGGATCGCTGTTCTGCCGATACCATGATGGTATCCGGTGATGTTTCTGAAGAGGACGACATGATGATGGCTTGCGCAGACCCCTCCTGTGCGGTTCACACTTCTTTTCGAAGACAAGATAAGCCGACTGTGCTCTCTGTGTCAAGATGCAGGGCGACGGTGGTCGACAAGCTCAAGCTGCGGCTTATTGGTCGTTTTCCGGCTTTGAGTGTATGAGAGAAGTGCGTCCCATGCCTCAGGGGCCGTCGAATATTTTCACAACCAGCGCCGCACAGAGACAGCAGTCGCCCTGCGTAGTCTGTGCCGTCACGGTCCGAGTTTGAAGTTCTTTAGAGAATTGCACGAAGATACACGGTAGCCAGTCTAAAGCTAGAGCTGAAATGTTTTCGAGCACGAGTCGTGGAACAAAGATGGTGCTGAAGGATTCGCTACTTTCGGACTCCGCTGTATATGATTGGACCACCCGCTTGCTCCGTGTCTCCTTTGCCAGTCTTCCTGAGCTTCAGTGTCTCACACGTGTTGGTCAACCTTGGCAGCGTGGGCACGAGGTCTCAGACGGCCGAACAAAAAGTCGAAAATTGGTCGTCTTTGGCTAAGTTTGAATTAGGGAAACAATCTGTGAGACAAGAGCAATGCCATTTCTCTACTCGCCTGGGAGCAGCAATGTATAAAGGCCTGGCCTGAGATACAGGCGAGCAATCTACAACTGGATCAGATGGGAGGTTAGCCGCACAGTGTTGCTTCGAGACAGGCATTCGTCTCTTTTAAGAGCTCCACATGCAAGGTCAAGCGGGCCAATGAATATGTCACAAAGCGCAGCCTCCTTGAGCTTGTTGTGGATGCAAGGTGTACACGAGGGTACCAGGCCGTCATAGTCACGCTACGGCGATGTGGGGATGGATATGAGCGTTATGAGCGCTGTAGAGCTCCAGGCTTTTTGAACTAAATCTACACAGTATGGGATAGGCGGATAGGTTACTGTGTCCTTGTACGCAGTAGTAACTGCGTTGATATAGAGGTTACGTAGTTCTGGATACTGCCGCTATGGCTCGGAACACATTTAGCAACATGGCGGATACATTAGATGTATCGAGTCGGCATGTCGAGCAAACTGATACCTTGGACTGACAGCTATGGCTTATACCATTCGATGATTCGATCATCTGCGGTCAAGGCTGCAAGTGTTACCTACCAATCCGTACGCATGCTTGGCTTTGGGTCAGGGACTACCGTTTGTAAACTCCTGTTACCGGATAGGGTTGCATCTTGCCAACTTGTGTGGATTATTAATAGCACAGCCGGAAAGTAGTTCCAGAGGCTTCGCCCATCTGCGCATGGGCTGAGAAATGCTCGGTGAGCCTTACCGGTGTATTTCAAAGCAGTACATATGTTCATTTGCAAATGTCCATGGCGCATGCCTCAAAGTCTTGTTTTGACATCAGTTGTAATTGCGTGAGAAGCAAGCGTGGACGGCGACTGATGCCAAACATTGAGGGTAGCGTCTCTGGTCGTTCACATATCTGGCCGAAAATGCTGAGCGAACCGTAGCTGAAAGAAATTTCTGTGCCATAAACTGTAGTGTGGTATCGGCCTTGCTCTTGAGCTATGTCTGCAGCATTACACAGTACATGGCCGTCCTGCCGCATCTAGCTTTAACACCCAGCTCTTACAAGTTAGACTTTGAGACGATCCGGTGCTTCCAGCTTCGCTTCCACGTGGATTCTCAACGGCCCCGCGCGATATTTCCGTCCCGTCAATCTGGAGTCCACATGGGTAGGGGTGCACAGCCACATCTGGTATTGCTATTCTGTGGCCGTTGTTACAACATGGGCGGCTGCGATGGCAAGTCGGGGTGAAGTTCCTCCGTGCTGATATTCTTTCCTGCCCTATAGCTAACCCCCGCCAAGACCCTCGAATCGCGTCCACTCACGCAGGCTCTATGCGTTTTGAATAACGACTCAGCGACCTCGACCTAGGGGAATGTTTTGACGCTTGGGGTAAAAATCACCGCTGCATCCCAGGATCGGCAGACGGAATTGGAGTAGGTGTGACAACCCTGAGTCGAGTTTTGACGCCGACAGGGATGCAGGTATGCAGGTCTGCTGGACTAGAGATCCGAGCCACAGTATTTCGTAGATCTCTGCTCAAGAAATGTCAAGTGAACCGAGTGGTTCGAGTTAAAAATTCTCACCATATTCCATCTCGACCTCATTTGCGATCGGCGTCGAGGCCAATGATGCGAAGAACGCCTAGATCGCTGTAGGCAAGGCAGTATCTGGTAGGCGCCCAGGCAACTGCTTCACACGGGCCAGCGGTTTTGAATGTATGGACGTGTTCACCTGTCTCTGTATGGGTTACCTCCAAGCCAGAACCTGTTGAGCCAGTTAGGTGCCTATTTAAGAACGGTTTTTGCAGACAGGGGAAGTCGGGATCTCGCATACCTTCCTCGCAGCCACCAACGACGTAGCTGCCATCAAAGGTGAAACCTAAAATTAGATGAGCATAAAGATCCTAAACACTTCAGCTGTGAGGAGCGGGATGACATACTTATGCTCTTGACGGGGCCTACTAGGCACGAGACGGTTCGCTGGCAGATCCAATCTTTGGTATCAAACAGGGCAATAATAGAATCGGCTCCTCCTGTCGCGAGGTACCGCCCGGTAGGCGAGAGTTCAACTGTCAGACAAGGGGCGGTATGCCCCTTTAATGTGAACTCTGTGGACTCGTCTGGCTTGACGGCATGGTTGACATGGAGGACGGGCTCCAGCCCAGGATAGGATAGTATGCGAACCCTGCCCTCATTTGTCGGCAGAAAGACTTTGTCTCCAGTCCAAGCGAAAGCCATTTGGTTTGTTTCAACGGGCTGCTGGTGAGAGGAGACTACGGAAGACTTGGTTGGTAAGAGCTGGAAAAGTTCGCCAGCCTATGATGCCATGTTAGGTCAGCGCGCTTCTTCAGCATGGCCAAGCCAGAGCAGGAACCGGCCATGTAATGTGGAAGCCTACCCTGTTGCCTACGAGCAATGATGAGCCGTCAGGGGCCCAAGCAAGCGCGTGGGTATTGCCTAGTCCCTTTACCTCATTCACACATGCTTTCGTTCGGACATCCCAGAACTTGACAACGCCATCATTACTGACGCTACAGAGCTCTGCATCCTTGACTGGGTTGAAAGCAATTTTCTCGATGCCTGATGTGTGTCCTTTGAGCTCCGTTGAGAAGCGAACATTTGGCTTCTCGGGATTCCCTAACCCATCAATCCGCATCAGCTTGCCTGCTGCCGGGAGGGTCCCAAGCCCCAGACGTGGATGCTACCTCCTGCCTATGCACGACCTAGGGGAGAGACAAACTTACAAACACGAAGAGTCTTGTCAGAAGCCCCTGTTGCGATAAGGGTTCCTAAAGGATTCCAGGCAAGGGTGCGTAGGCTACAGGACGGAGAACAAGTTTCATGAGCCGTCAGCCTCCCATGTAGTTGCCCACAGTGCTGTGACTAGAGTCAGCTCATACCTGTGATGTGATCCTCCCCTCGAGGTAGAGTCATTGTATGGTTGGCTCTTGAGCGGACCAAAATAGGCTGAAAACTTCTCCTTCGGAATTCGGCTATACCGAGACCGAACTGGGGGCGCCATTGCCAATGTATATGATACTTGGCCAGCAAGGGACTGGAAGTGTTGTTGCGGTTATCGAACTTAAAAAGCCTAGATACTGTGACCTACCCATCGTGAGCAGTCCTCGGTCTGGCCCAGGAGGAGATGAAACATGATCATAAGAATCCAGAGGTTGCGAGGATTCTCAAGCACTTCAGAAGCATGGTGCTCTATGGACTTACCTAAAAGCGATATGAAGACTTATCATATGAAGAGCAGGTTTAAATAGTAATAGAGCCCCGTGGCAATGAAACCGGCAGAGAGAGCGCAGTGTTTGTTGAACACGCTCAAATCAACCGAGTTTTGACTCGAGAGGAAACGACAACTGGTTGGCGTTCCCTCACTGATGTCAAGCTGCCAGATATACAATTGAAGCAACGGAATAGGCGTAGGATGAGATCAAGAGACGTCCCAATCTCACAGTACAGACTCAAGTACTGAGGAACGGAAGGGTTTTGGGATGAAGCAATGAAGCAATGAAGCAGGCTGCGCGAGCGCGCCGTGCCGTTGATGAAAGGCTGCCAAGAAGCGGACTCAGGAAACACCCCGGTTGGCTGTTCGCTCTCTTGGCAGTGGAGTATTCGATCCCCATAGAGTGGCTCTCAGTGGACGATGGGCCTTTGACACATCTGGGTGCCCGGCCAAGTCCCAAGTTGCAGCTCCACCAGACACATATCCATCGCAGAGCCGGACCTCGGATCTCCAACCCATCGACTTCCTCTGGACCTTATCCAAGCCCCTGTCGCCATCAACCTTATACTATCTACGCAATCCAGGAACATCCATGAATAGGTAGCTGCTTTCCATCAACAACTGCGATGAATACGGCCCCCGATATGAATTGACTCGGCATTGAAACCTTTAAGCTTGTCGATGCGCTCACGAGGCCGCCGTGAAGGCGCCAGCTGCTGAGTGAGGAGCCATGTACTGGCCGCTGGGAGCCCCGCGCATCTATGCAATCAGCAGCTCCCGTAACGCCGATTTCCGCCCCATTGTGTCCCATGATGGCCTTTCCCAGCCCGATCACCCTGACCAACGCTCTGATGCGAACTCTCATCTGTACCCCGACTCGGCAGCCCCTCTCGATACCTCCTTTTCCCCAGTGACGCCAGTGACGCCTTTAACCCCCGGCATCAAGCCCGTTTATGATGACCAACCCGAGGAGAACGGTTCCGACCTCCCTGACGGGCCGGCGCCCCTAATCCTCCCTTCGCGGGAGCCCATCGTCGCGCTGCGCATGGCACGCCTTGGCCAGATGTTCGCCGTTATCACAGCAACGTCCTTGACCATATGGCAGACAAAGGTGGGATATTTCCTGTCTTACTTGTTCCCCCCAAACTGTTCATTCTGGTCTGTGGTGTCCATTGTCTGACTGTTTTCTTTGCAGCCGACCGTTGTCCTCGCCATTGTTGTCCGCTCTGAGTCCTCTCTCAAGACTTATGGGACGAACATCAACTTGCTGCTGCGCCCTGACTCGGCTATCCTTGTTATTCACACGAGCTTGGGATACTTAATAACATACTCTCTAGCCACCGATCAAGATTCGCGGATCTACCGACCGCATTTCCCTAACCATACAAACGTTCAGCGTCGGCGCCAGACCTATGCTGGAGAGCCAGGCCATGCCGCCCCCGATCAAATTCTCTGGGGACCCGGCGAAGGGTCAGGGGTAAGGGATGTTAGCGTTCGCTTCCGAATGGTCATCAAGGTGGACGCGGGGATTGAGAGCGCCCTGGCCCTTGATGATGAATTGGTTGTTGCAACACGCAAGCCAGCTGCTGTGCAGTGTATCCGTTGGAGTCCCGATAGCTCGGGCAACCAGACGAGCACAGAGTTGTTGAGCCGAGCTGGGTGGCTGGAGAAGAAGGTCACGATCAAGGAGATGACACACGATAGGCCCATGAACCTTTCGACGTGGATCACGAGCGATGGGAGGGCCTATGCGGTGCAGAGGCTCACTCCCGGCCAGCAGGACGCTGGCTCCAACGATAGCCCTTCTGATCCCAAGAAGCTGTTCAAAGGCTACTGTTTCCATATCCCCGAGACCGAGCAGGATTATGCTGTGCGGTGCATGATCAACGCTCGTTTCTCGCTTATAGCAGTGGGCTGTGCCAACGGTGTGATTCGCGTCTATTCTGCGCGCGACTACTCCGGCAATATTCCTCCTTCGCACATCCATACGCTTCCGGTATCTGCTGCGGTGTCCGGCAAACTAACCAGTATCAGTTATTCTCCTGATGGCTACTGTCTTTTTGCCGGCTACGAAAAGGGTTGGGCTACTTGGAGTGTCTATGGCAAACTTCTCTTCAACAGCTTTAGTATCGACCATTCTATCGCTTCCGCGAACGAAGAAAAGTGGCTGTTGGGAGTTCAAGATGCCGCATGGATTGGAGGGGCCTGCGATCTGTTGCTTGCCAGCAGGGAGCACGAAGCCGTGTGGCTGCTAGAAATGGCCCGAAGTGCCTTGACGGGCTGCTACAATCAGGCCAATCTCTTCCGCACCGTGCTGCAGAGCACGTCAAGCATCATGGTCTATAGAGGCTATGGCCTGCCGGACTTGACATCCATTTCTGCCGAACCGTCGCTCTGGCACACAACTCGAATACCTTCTGTCTATTTGCTCAACCAGTGGCCCATCAGATGCACAGCCGTTTCTTCTGACGGTCGCTATGTTGCTGTGGCGGGCAAAAGAGGCCTTGCTCATTATAGTGTGAATAGCGGGCGATGGAAGACATTCAGCAACGAGGACATGGAAAACGAGTTCCAGGTCCGGGGCGGGATGTGTTGGTACCAGAACATCTTAGTCGCAGCCGTTGAAACGAACAACAGAACATTCGAGCTGCGACTCTACTCTCGAGAGGCGTCGCTCGAAAATGGTACCGTCACCTTTTCGCTGCAGATGCCAGCACCCGTGGTTTTGATCACCACAACAGGCGAGGACTCGTTGTTGGTTTACACCTACGAAAATCTGCTTTACCACTACGTCTTTACATCTACATCCGGCTCAGTCCGTTTGGTCGAGGCGGGACACATCGCCTTCCATGGCATTGTGAGGTCACCGGCTCGAGTCCGAGGTCTTAGCTGGAGTTTGCCTGACCACCAACTTCTCGAGGGAGACCCCTCTCAAGACGTTGCTCACGCATCGGTCCTATTTCTTGTTGATGGCAAGCTGGTGCTCTTGAGGCCATCATACAGTGAAGGCAATCTCAAGTACGACATGCGCATCATTGCCCACAACGTCGAATACTATATGAACATGAGAGATCAGCCTCGTTCTTTCGAAACAACATCCGCTCGGCTTGATCAGTTAATGAGTCCAGTGAGAGGGAGGATCCTCGACAATTCCTTGTGGCTGTTTGATGGGGATGAGCTGAAAGTATGGGCAAATATCGAGCATGTCTTCGCAGCGGTGTCTGGAGAGTCATCGCGTGAACTTCCCTCGGCATTCTCGATAGCGTCCGACTTCTACCCCCTTTCTATCCTCCTCCAGAAGGGTATCGTGCTTGGAGTTGAGTCGGATCTGATTCAACGCCGTGATATTAACTTTTCATTCTTCCGGTTCTCGATCCGAGTAAGAGATTTATCACATTTTCGAGTGTTACTGGGGCAATCAAACTGACGACTTCGACAGACCCAGCTCTTCCTTCCTGATACGCTGCGTTTCCTGCTTAGCGCAGATAGATCTGTTGAAGCTCTACAGCTGGCACAGCAGTATGAGCATCTTGAATATTTCCCTCATGCTCTCGAAGTTCTTCTTCATCATGTTTTGGATGAAGAAGTTGATGCAAATCCTACGCCAACGCCTGAGGAAGCTCTTCTCCCACGTGTACTCTCTCTTTTATCATCGTTCAAACAGTATCTTGATATCGTGGTGCAATGCACACGAAAGACAGAAGTACGCTCGTGGCGCACTTTGTTCGCGTATCTTCCTCCTCCGCAAGAGCTCTTCGAGGAGAGCCTGCAGCGTGGTAACTTGAAGACGGCCGGTGGTTATCTCTTGATTCTTCATACGTTTGACGAGTTGGCAACAGCAAGTGAGCAGAGCGTGCGGCTGCTGAGTCGTGCTATGCTCGAAGAGGATTGGGATTTGTGCAAGGAGCTCGCACGATTCTTGGCCGCTCTTGACGACACTGGGAAAACGCTGCGAGAAGCAATGGAGCTGGCAACTGCTCGTGTCCAGCGAGGGTGCGACAGTGAAGATGGATCTGTCAGGAATGGTTTCATGTCAAGTTTGGACCCGCCCTCACGAGGGTTGGATGCATCTTCTGATGGGAGTCTCGGGGGAGCCGGTTCAGGAAGAGTTGCAGGAACCGATTCGGACGCGGATGGTCGGTCAGCAAGCGATGTCGGGAGTCTTGCTAGCATGTCATGATCTGACCTGAGAGAGTGATTCGCACCAAAGATCCGGGCTAAGATTGTGAGTTGGGATAGTTGAAGAGGAGACGAGACATGCCCAACGTTTGGATACCTCACAAACACGCTGAGTCCAGGTGTTTCCCGACAGCAAAGGCCGAATATTGAAGGATACAGTTTCCTCCTATGATATGCTATCTAATATACCGCCAATCAAACCCCCTTAAGGGTTACAACAAATCATCCTGGCTGATCCGACTGGCTGAAAAGGTGAGATGTGGGCTTAACATCTTATTCGTTGGCCTGTGCGTTCCATTGTGTGCTGTTCAGCTTACGGTCTACTGTATATGACTGTTAGCGCTCCCTAGACCATATACATCGCAGCGGGTCATCTCGTCACCCCATCCCCGCAGGGCTGCAGGTCGATCAGGCTGTCCACATGAGATAGAGCGAAACAACACTGAATGAAGCGGAAGTGCGAACATTCTGCCTCATACAAATGCCGTCCCCATTCCTATCTCCGATCTCTGGGTGCTCGAACGCTGCCGAGCCCGGGCCTTTTCATATACTGGACTTCGCTTCGGCCGACTGTGGCTCGAAAGCGAAACTCCCGCCATTATCAGATATAGGCTTACCAACTATTGGCGTGGTACCTGCAAGCCCGGCTCACCACCCTGAGAGCTTACCCAGCATCCCAATAGTATACAATGCTTCACCCATTTCCGTTACTGCTGGTCTAGTCCCTGTATCTCCGATTTCTCCCCAAAGTCCTCTGTCTCTCTCGGCTCCTCCTTTTCAACATGGGATCTTCGGTGAGATAGAACCGTTGTCATCAAGCCGTCCGCTGGATAGCTCGAGTCCACTGCCGTTGCCATTACCAGAGACTGGTGGGACGCTCCAGGCCAACATATCTGGCATCACAGCCGGCAACCTAGCACAGGCATTCGTACCTCAGCCGGAAGTTAATGCAGCGATTCCTAACTTGGATCTTACTGCGTCAGACGCAAATATCGATGCTCTTGGGTTCAAATTCAGGCAGACACGCCAGAGGCATACATCTTGCAGCGCGCCAGACCAACCCCCGAACCTTGTCGAATGGCGGACCAGGCTGTTCGACTTGGATGAACCCGTTATCATGAGCGAGGAAGAGTGAGTGGGTCCTGGATTATTCTCAGACAGCATGTTTCAAAGCCACATCCAAAACATCCTTTAATCAACCCCAACATCACTCACGTCCATAGCAAGTCATCATCAAGCAAGAGACCTCACTCACACAATGCTGCTGTATCTGCAATCGAAACAGGTACAAAACCTACTTCTGCTGGATCGACAATGTCTACTCGCACCGCTCCACACAACCACTCAAACGCGGCGGCGGCAACGCAACGGCGTATTACTACGACTGTCGGCTTAAGGGGCGGCCTGCAGGAGGAAGCCCCTCATCTTCCGCCAATAAGAAGGCCAACGAGGACGATGATAACAATCCTGGGCCACCAAAGAAGAAGCGCAAGCGCAAGTCCAGGCCCCTCAATCAATGTTCTGTCAAGGTCAAGCTCACACACTACCTCGGCGGGCCGGGCTGCTCCCTGGAGTCGTTGCTCAGGGACCATGACGGCGGCGGGCTGGCACCGGATAGTGGACCGGTGAAGGATGCCTTGGCCAGGGGAGTCACTGGAGAAAGACCGTTTTGGGTGATGCAAAGGATTGTAAACCATAACGGGGCCAAGACTGGGGAAGAGAGAGGGAAGGAGCAGGGAGATGAGGCAGATGGGAGAGATAATAAGAGAAGGAAAGCGAGCGATAGCACTAGACATACCCATACACTGGAACGTAGTGATGAGATTAAGAAGTGTAGCGTGCTGCGAGAGTTTGCTGCGCGGTTACAACGAGCCAGGAGAAGGGAGCGTGGAATATGGACACCAACTGGGGAGGCTGCGAAGACTGTTGAAAATAGGTCCCAGGAGGCACCTGTCAAGTTCTATTCAGCTTGTTTCTGGTACGTATCTTCTTTTCTCTACTTCTCCCATCTGTCATGCGCGGAAAATGTGAACACAGGGGCAGCTGACTCCTCGATTTGCGTTACTGGTTAGTCCTTTCTCACAGCGAGTCTGGATTGCTCTTGAGGTGAAGAAGCTCGATTACCAATACTGTGAAATATACCCTCTGCGCAAGCCCAAGCCAACACCCTTACTGGAGGCAAATCCGAGAGGCCTTGTTCCTGCCATACGTGAGGGTGACTGGGCGTGCTCTGAGAGCTCGGTAATCCTTGAATACGTGAGTATCACACTTGGATTCTCTCAACTGGTAGGAGAACCATCCACTGACAAAAAGCACACCATCCAAACCACAGCTTGAAGAGAGGCCCATGCCTGAGAAAGGAGGCGCAGTGCCCCCGTTGCATCCGTCTGATTCCAGGCTGCGCGCAAATTGCCGTCTCTGGATTGACTTTGTAAGTTTACTTGCAGGCTGACCAGTTCTTCGACGGTTCGACAGTGATAACTAACCCGTCATTAAGATCAACACGAGGATAGTGCCCTCCTTCTTCAACGTCATAGCAGCATCAACAGAGAACATACGCCAGGAAGGTATGAAGAAGCTGAAGCATGAATTTGAACAGCTCGTACAGGCTGCGGATGAAAAAGTAGGTTCTCTCACATTCCTTCCATTCCCTTTCTTGTTTCTAGTTGGTCTACTTACACGTATGAGTAGGGACCATACTTCCTAGGAGAGGCTATGTGTCTCGTAGATGTTCATCTAGCCCCTTTCGTCCTAAGGCTATCAAGGTTACGACAACCTTTTCGGGGGTGGGCATCTCCAGAACCCAAGGACCGGTGGGAGAAATGGCGTTCTGCATTCGAGCAGAATCCATACATTCGCTGTACCCTTAGCAAGGACAACCTATACGTCGAGTCAATGGATGATCTGATTAAAGGGTATCAAGGGATGTTGGGTTGAGTAGGTCCAGGAACTTTCACCATTTGTTGTTGTTGTTGTTGATGGGATGAGGTTCAAGAGATAGGGATCATGATCTTAAAGGCAATACAGATGATGGCTGCCAAGGAGCTGCGATGGAGTTTGTGCGTTTTCATACTGTTTTGATGGGAAAAGAGTTCCTGACATCAGCATAGGGATAGCTCCTCTTACTGCAGCATACTAGCAGTCTTGCGAGTACCTTAACGGTTGACTCAATGACTCGGAACTTACCACTTAAGATGCTCATTGCTTATCAGAAACAGAATCAACGAACCAACATCCTGTGAACTTACATCTTTGAAAGCCCCCTTTGCCCGTTTACACAGTGCATCCTTTAATCCGTACTGTTCATGCAGCGAGCCCGAGTGGGGACAACGACCCCCCACCAAGCCGCACTCCAATCCAGGACTCCGTGGAGGTGTACCAGGGCAGACGCTCAGCAAGGCAAAACCACCATCGGACCTGCACGCCTGCACACCTGCACAACGACGCCCGCCTGTCTCCCGTTCCCCAGAGCCACTACCCCTGGTATCATCTGTCTCGGCTGCCGACACCTGCTCGCTGCTGCGCGTTTTTGCTTCCATTGTCGGCCTCAACGTCTGCAACACAGACTACGTAGGTACAGTGGTTTTCGGCCGCACGCCCCGCTGCTTGGTCGCATCGCGAACCCCGTCGGCGTCGGCGTCGATATATCCATTCGCGCCCGCTGGTATCTGAGACACCCTTCAACCTTGTCTCCTTGACTGTGTTCTGTCAAGATGGATGAATACGGGACCGAGTCCGACAGTGACTATACCAGCTACTGGAGGGATTGGGTGCGTAGTCTGCGTTTCCCCGTGACCATGCAAAGCGCAAGGCACAATGATGTGCTTACACACTCTTGCACAGTTCATCTCATCCCGTGGTAACGAGTACTTCTGCGAAATCGACGAGGAATATCTGACGGACCGCTTTAACCTTACCGGCCTTAACACGGAGGTTCAGTATTATCAGTATGCCCTGGATCTGGTGACCGATGTCTTCGATCTCGACTGCGACGATGAGATGCGCGAGGCCATCGAGAAGTCAGCCCGCCAGCTGTATGGCCTTGTCCATGCCCGATATATCGTCACGACTAGGGGTCTAGCGAAAATGGTGCGCCTGCATCTGCATATACTTTTGTATATTCTCCAAAATGCTAACCCTTCCCCATCTAGCTCGAAAAGTACAAAAAGGCTGACTTTGGGAAATGCCCTCGTGTGATGTGCCATTCACACCCGCTTTTGCCCATGGGCCTGTCCGACGTGCCAAACGTGAAGCCGGTTAAGCTCTATTGTGCGAAGTGCGAAGACATCTACAACCCCAAGTCGTCGCGGCACGCCTCCATTGACGGCGCCTACTTTGGCACTTCCTTCCACAACATCCTCTTCCAGGTCTACCCGGCGCTGATCCCGCCCAAGAGTGTCGAACGCTACGTGCCACGTGTTTACGGCTTCAAGGTACACGCCGCCGCTGCGCTCATGCGTTGGCAGGACCAGCAGCGCGAGGATATGCGTCGCCGCCTGCGCAAGTTGGAGATTGATGACGGGTTCAAGGATGGCGAGAGCGACTTGGAGGATGAGGAGGAGGATGAGGATGATTTGGAGGATGATGAGGAGCAGGGCCAGGGCCAGAGCACTCGCGAGAGCAACATGCAGCTGGCTGAGTACCGGGGCAGTGGTGCTATTAGCGTTGCCGGGGCAAGTTCGTACGCTGGAGAGACACATATGGGCAGTGTTGCGTAAAGGCATCGCACGGAATTGGTATTTTCTGGGGTCAGGTTATGGCGACAATGATTCTCGTGGGCAAAGAAAGGGTTGCTACGTACGGTAGTGTGCTGTCATGTTGGAGGAAGGCCATGATTACAGTCATAGGAGGAGCATGTTCTCGGCTTCTCTTCTCCCCTTCCTCTTCTTTTACGTCTCCTTTTCCTTCACAATATTATCCAAGCTTTCTCGCTCAGGTCGTATGCGACTTTTTCCCTCCTTCGTTTCTGGTACTATCTTGGGATGTTCAGCTTTTCGTCATGATGGCAGAGGCGTAGAGGAGGATGGAATCAACGAAATGAAAGTGGTACGGGGGATCATTGGCCCGGATTGGCGGATAAGGGATGGAGAAGTCTGGTCTGAGAAATGATTGATTGAACATGTGGTGGTTTGCTTCTATGCAAACTAGGGAACAAAAAGACATGATTTGAAAACCCTTCAAGAAAACGATCCAACTGACCCGAAAATTCTGTCTCCTGTGACCTAGTCACAGCTGGACGGATGCCGCTGTTGTTGCGATTGTTGGTGCTAAATCGTATGCTTGTGGCATAACTTTCTCACATCGTTCTGCGGTGACATGAGGTTATCTGGCACGCGAAAACACGGTTACGATAGAAGATCACAGCAGATACACCTGCCAACCTAGATTAATATCTTTCGTGGACATAGCTACACTTCGCGAACCCTGGACAAACAAGACCTCGCCTGTGACCGAGAACCCACTGCTAAAACATAGTAAAGAGCACTAACAACTGATCCGGACTCTTGATCCCGTTTTGGCACTACATTGACGGACCAAAAAGCGACACCATACGTAGATTGTAGCTTTGATAAAACCTGAAAAAAGGGCAGCCCCTTTTAGTTCCCATAGGTATTTAGAGGCCTACAGGCCACCGAGACTAAAAAAGAAACGACACAAGCATAACTAGACACAAAGGCACAATAACCTCACCCCGATTCCCATCCCGTTGTTGATCCCGACGATGGAAAACCGAACCAACAATCAACCCAATCAAATGCCAATTCAATAGATGAATAGCTCACTGCAATGTAAACAAAGTTCATACATTTCCCCCCCTCCTCTTCATCTCCTCAAATCCTATCACCGGCTCCCCTATAACTTGTTTCTCGGCTATCTAACTCCAGTGTTGGCTTCCGTGACCCGGGCATGCTCATGGCAACCGACGAGGCAGTGCTGAGCCCTGTGTCACGGGTCACAAATGGAGCCGGATCCCTCTCTGCGTCACGGCGGTCACGCTGCTCGTGTTCATGGGTCGCCACAACGGGCAGAGCCTCCTCTTCGTCGCCTCTCCGGTACTCTCCACGCAAATGGTCCGTGGCATAGCTCGAGCTGCCAACACCAGCCCAGAACGCTTTTTCGGCGCTGCGTGGACCCCAGGCCCAACCAGCGCCCGTCGAGATGGGTAAATGATAGTAGTAGAAGGCGAAGAAAGCGCTAATAGTGCCGATGCCATACCCGAATAGGATATCGAAGGCATGGTGACGAAAGTCCCACCAGCGTGAGCCGGCAATGTATACGGATGCGAAGAAGGGCAGCACGGCCAGCACGAGCAGGTAGATGGGTGGCGCGGCGGCTTGGCGACGGACGGCGAAGATGGTCTGGTTATGGCGTGAAACGCCCTTGGGGCCCGGGTTGGACTCAAGCGAAGAGTTGGTATGGGTTGTAGGGTCGCGCGAGGTCATTTCGTAGGAGTCGGGGGCTGAGACCTTGATATTCGGGAGTCGGGTGCGCGAAGGAAAAGCTGTGAAGGCGGCTGCATCGGTGGCCCCGCTCGGAGGAACGAAGGGGATCGTGATGGCGAACTTGCTCGCGATGAAGAGGGAGAGGTAGATCAGACCTGGGGCAGCCGGTTAGCATGGACTTCCCGTACCAATCCAGCCCAAGAGTGAAATGCAATGGCGTACCTGCAGCAGCGGAGCTAGAATGGCCACTAGGATAGCTTCTGAACCCGTCATCCAGCTTTGATTTGTCTGGATTCTTGCAAATCGAAGGATCGACAAGCTTGCCGGCCATGGTCGCTATATCCCCAAAAGTCTTCGTCGCACTGATCAGATACTTGTTCAGATTCTCCAGGTCGGGCTGGCATCGCGACAGCAGATCAGGACGAGGCTTTCCGAACAGATTTTTCATGGCGTTGGTGATGAACCAAGAAGCGCACATGGACAAGGCCAGACCCAGAAGGCCAATGTGCAACTCCCAAAGTCTGCGCTGCCATATCAACCTCGAAGGCGTGCCACGGGGCACTGTCGCGCCGGGAACGAAGACGAGGGAGATGATGGTGATGAATACTATGGGCCCAAAGACGGAGATGATTGTCGCGAGCCACGCAGGTACCGTTTCTTCCTCGGTGAACGGGAAACTAGTAGGCGAGAGCAAATGTCAGAAACCCCTGAGACAGACGCAACAGACACCACACGGCTATGGGAAACAAGACGGCACGAAGGGAAAGGGGCAGGATGGATGAGCATACGCAATGTTGCGATCATCAAGCGAGAAGGGCCTCTTGTTCGGCGTAATGTGGCCAAGGACATAGCCAACAGCTCCGAAGGCCGCGAGGACAACCCAGTCGAAGACGTACGATGCCCCCACAACCCATGATGTCCGCCCCGGCCGGTGCACACTACCCCTTGGAAGATCAAAGTTGTCCATGGTGTGTCCTCGAGATGGGAATGTCGGCGCTGGCGAGAGCGATCGGGAATGGATGAGGGGGCGGATGGAATCGTCGGGCATTGGAAAGCCCCTTTGTTAGGGGGTTTTCGGGCGGGCGGTTGGGGGGAGGAATCGTAGAGCCCAGGAAGAAGGAGGACGGCCTGGAGGAAGGGGAGATCGGATGTCGGGGTATCTAGCAGGTGAGACGCAGCAGCACCCCAGGACCCCGGGTTGCGACGTTCTCAGCTGGTCCAGGGCCGCGCGGCGCTGAAGTAGGGGCCGAAGGTAACGGGCCTTGCCCCCCAACTCGGGTTAGACACGGCGGCAAGGCGCGCTAAGATGACAGGAACGCTGGGCGGGCAACTCCCTGAACTTCCTGAAATTGCGAACCGATTGGGCTCTTCCAAATGTTGTTCCACTGCCGCGGGCCACAGCGTCAGAAGTGTGGAAAACAGCGATGTTTGCTTGAACTTTTTTTTCCGGCGACGACCAGCGATGAGATGATGGATGCAGTGGATGGAACCTAAGGCAGTTTAGATGAACAGAAACTTTGTCTGCCAGCGCAGTTCTTCCCCAAGAACTTTCGTGCTTTAAGCAGCAACTGCAGCAGAACCACAGGCAGCAGCAAAAGCAGCAGCACCACTGGACTTCAGCCCTTCCTCTCTTGCAGCGCGCGGGAAAGCCAAACGCAGCGACAGCAAACGAACAGCGAACGCAGTGCTCCCAAAATCGCGCCTGAGCCCTCAGCATACACTTTTAAGTGGTTGGAACCAAGATCCTACGCCCTTGCCGCCGGGTTGCAAAAAGCTCAGCCACACAAAGGATCGAGATGCCCAGCATGCGAGTGGCTGGCTCAGGACGTGATCAAGGGCTGTGTGCGGTCCCGACTCCCCGAAGGTGAGCAAACAGTAGTTAAAAATAAGAGGCAGAACAGGCTGCGTAACGCACAGCACGCAAATCTTTAAAAAACAGCTGCCAGAGCCAAACTGAAATATATATCTGCACGATCAGGATCGTGAGAACGACCAGCGGCTATCCCCTGCGAGAATGGCATTCTTAAAACATCTCTTAAAACTCGTATGCCCGGATCTTGCCTTTGATTGCGGCCCATTCAAGCTGAAACCAGAAACAGCCCCATACAAAGTGCCCCCGTCCTCCACCTCCAGAGTCCACACCAGCAGCGATGCCCACATTTCGCAGCGCCCAGCGGCAGATCCAGAACATCCAGAGCGCCCAGAACGACAAGCACATAGCCCCACTTGACGGTTCCACTAACGAAAGGGATTGGCTGTCGATTCGGCACTTGGTTCCTGATCGGTAACACGTTTCTGGGCCCGAACGGACGAGCAGTGAACACCACTCAGGCATGGACTGCGCGCAGCCGAACGAGACGCAACAGAAAGCGCTCAAAGCACTGGTAGCCCGTTTGAACCTGGACTGGAGCGGTAGTGACATCCACGACATCCACGACGCCCCACGACCTGCCTGTCCTAGCAGATACGTGCTCGCAGATTGACTTCATGGCGTCAATAGTGCGTAATGACAGATTCCGTGAGACTCCCCAGTAGTCTCCGCCATTTTCATAGGAACTATCTTCTTGCTTGAACTCTGCAGCGCGGGGTACCAATATGTTGGGGAGGGGGGGGAGCTTTGCTCGCTTCTGTCCCCGTCCCCAAATCGCAGCCAAGCCCAGCCCAGATGCCCACACTTTTCAAACCTGCATGTGCTATGGTTGGTTAAAGTAAGCGGCTGAGTTGTTGCTTGAATTCCATACCAGCACCAGATCTCAGACGGTCCATATGGCAAGAAATACACGCATCCGTAAACCCGAGAGCCCAGGTGGCGTGTGTTGAAGTCCAGCTTAACAGCCGTGGTCTGTGGACATGCGAACGCGTGAAAAATACATTGCTGGTCTACATATTGTACAAGGTAGGTAATCCGACAACCACAACCTCCTCTCCCGTTGTTTAGGCGCTGGTCTTGTTGCGCCGCTTGCCCATGTTCCGGATCCGAGGCTGCACCACCCACTTGTTGATGTTGCTCTTCTTGCGAGTCTTGAAGCCGCCCTTGGCCGGCTGGCCCCAAGGACTGCACGGGTGCCTGTTGCCCTTGGACTTACCGCGACCACCACCGTGAGGATGGTCGTCTGGATCATGATGTCAGCGGCTGAGCAGCGCATGGCGAACGACATGACGGAGGGGAGTAGGGGGTAGTAGGGAAACAGAAGTGAGGTGAGAGAAAGGGGCAATGTGAAGCTCCATGACGTACTCGCGTTCATAGCCACACCACGCACTGTGGGCCTGATATTCAACAACCGGCTTCTTCCTGCCTTGCCCAACTGCCTGTACTGATGCATGATATTGCTGGCCACACCGATCGTCGCGCAGGCGTCCTTGCTGACCTTGCGCACTTCACCACTCTGAAGCCGGACAATGACGTGCTTGCCTGTCATGACCTTGGTACCGTCCTCGCGAGTCTCTTCCTCCTTTGAGATAATCGTGGCATAGGTACCCGCAGCACGGCAGAATACCGCAGGGCCATCAGGGCGAGAGCCAACGTTGTAGACGACAGTGCCGACAGGAATCATGTGCAGCGGCAGGCAGTTCCCTCTCCAACACGTCTTCGCAGCCAAGATACTGTAGTCAACAACACCGCCCATGCTCTCAATCAGCTCTTTTGGAATGCCCGACCGATAGCTCTGCACAACATCTCCAGCGCGCATGCCCTCGGCTGCCACGATATAGCTCTTCTTGCCCGTCGCCTGATTCGTGATCAGCGCGATGTGTGCGCTCCGGCCAGGATCGTACTCGATACGGTCAACGATATGCGGGCCGGGCTCCCAGCGGTAGAAGTCGACAATACGAATGCGCCGCTTGGCACCACCACCGCGGTGCCTGACAGTGATGCGACCCGTGTTGTTCCTACCACCCTTGCCAAGACCCTTTTTGGGAAACGTCAGGGGCAGGAATGGGCGACCCTTCCAGAGGTGATCGTTGATGGGACGTCTGAGATGGCGAAGACCGGGTGTCCGCGGCTTGTAGGTGCGCATCTTGACGGGGTCGAAATCGTTTGATGGCGGGGTAGTGAAAGTGTCGCTGCTGCTGCTACTGCTGCCGGCGTCATTGTTGGCAGTGGTTTGTGTCTCGGTCGAGGAGAACCGTTTCGAGGCGACGCTGAGGCGAAGAGCGCTCTGGTACATCGAAACCAGAGAGACGGTCCCTCCGACGAGGGGCCGGAATCGTTGTTGGAGCATCATGGGCGATGCTTTGACAGCTCCAGAATCAGGACCGAGAAACCGTCAATATCGGGACCATCGAAGCTACAACAGGTATCTGTGCGGGCCGGTAACGGCGTCAGGCAGCCAATTGGCTGCTGGGAGAGAAAACAGAGCTCGGCGTGGTGGGTGAGAGTTGGCCGTCGTCAACTCACTCCCACAAGCGATGTTGGATTTGAACGCCTGGGGAAATTTGCTGCAGCAGGCCATCACTAAGGTGCCCCGTGCGCCCAATGCATGGGCGGATGGTTCGTTTGATGTCGGAACCCAGAGAACGGCACCGCCACTGTTCCAGCCATAGCAACTCGTACCAGCCACAGGAGCCCCGAGCTTTGTCGCGCAAAAAAAGCGGAAGCGTTTTGGTGGCAGGGATGCTGCACGCCGTCGCGCCCATTCTCCAATCAGAAGCCCGTTGCTCCGTGGTTGCCACTGTTGATAGTGGGCTCTGAGAACAGCAAGCGCGACTTGACTGCGAGTTGCTCCAGCGCGTTGCCCCTCCACCAGCTTTCAAGTACCCCGTACCTCCTCGACAAACACTTGTAGCTTGGTGCTGCGTCTGGAACTGCCCGTCCATTGCAGCCTCCAATCTCGCAGAAAGACATTCCTGCTGTGTTCTTCTGCCCTCAGGAATTCCTCGCAATTCGTCAATTGTTTGCTGCATCACCTACTCCCGCATTGTCGGCCAATCCTGGCCCTGTCCTTTTTGTCGTCGACGCGTCTCGGGCACGCCAAGACCCACAGTTCAGGCGGCTACACGACGCAGGCACGATTCACGTTTCGGTACCCGGTACCTCCACAGCCCCAGCGAAGGCACGTCTGCTCTGATTTGAGCCCGGGTCGTCCCACTCTCCACGACCTCTCCCTTCCCTTCCCTCGCGCGAACCCTCTGCCCCATAAACTCTCCACTAACTCTTATTAAAAACAGAGAGCTCCTCTCTGCATCACCACCGCAACTCCTCACAAACTTCGCCGAGCACTCCATCATACCGCCACGCCCCCGGCATACGGCTTATCGGCATCCACCATTTTATTGAACTGTGGCCGGCACGCCGTTGTGAGCATAGATCAACTTTCGTGTGCCGCTGTGGACGAGACAACGCGTCGCAGGCTCACAGCTCTGATTCCGCAACGCAGCATCCGATAGACTTTGCGCGTTTTGGCGTCCGCCCTACCGACTAACTAACCCATATCAGCCCCAAGACACGACATATCGTCCTCATCTCCTCTTAGTCTTGCATCTTTGGTGAGTTGCCCTCTTGATTCCCTCGACGATTCCCTCGAATTTTGTTTACTCTCTGCCGCCGCGGCCATCGCGTCGGGCTTCGCCGCTTCACTATCTGCCGCCCATTGTATAGTGAGTCCGCTTCGACGCGCTCTTGCTGACGCATTAACAGCTTTAGCAACATCCGTTTGTGTTCTTGTTACCATACCAGTACCCAAGATGCCGGTTGTAAGTATTCCCCTCGAGAAATTACACGCATGCTGGGCTATTGCTCGAGTCATGACGCGCCTATCTCTTAATGTATAATCCGCCTTGGCCTCAAGGCATGCTGACAGCTCCCCAGACGCGAACAAGAACCCTACGTTCGGCAACGAACGAAAACGATGAGAACAGCATTGCAGCCAACGCCCGGGTGACGCGGGCAAAGGCTGCTGCCATGAATGCCGACGAGCTTACCATGCCCACCAAGGCTTTGCAGTCCAAGAAGACAACTACGACTAAGGCTACTTCCACCCGGACTCGCACTGCTCTCAATGATGTCAGCAACATGTCCAAGGCCGAGGCCGGCGAGGGAAAGAAGGCCCTCACTTCCAAGGCTGGCCTGGTCTCCAAGGCCGCCCAGCCCACTGGCATCAAGAAGACGACAACGTCGACCCGCTCTGCTCTTACTACCAAGGAGATCAACAAAAAGGTCGAACCTAAGCGCTCGGGCTCTGGTTCCGTTGGTGCCCAAAAGCGCAAGGTTGCCGCCTCTTCCACTACGACTGCTGCCAAGAGAGAGGCCCAAGAAGAAGGCGAGCCCACGCGTAAGAAGATTCACACTCTCGAAGCTGAGAAGGAGAACAAGGCCGAGCCTGTGGAGCAGCCCGTTGCTCCCGCTCCTGCCAAGGAGGCCCCCGTTGTAAAGAAGGAGCCTGAGGTTGCTCCCGTCGTTCCCCAGCAGACTAAGCGTCCGATTCCTGAGACTGCCAAGATCCTCGACAGCGAAGATCTCGATGACCCGCTCATGGTTGCCGAGTATGCCAACGACATCTTCGACTACCTGCGCGAGATCGAGCCCCTTTCAGCCCCCAATCCGAACTACATGGCCCATCAAGAGGACCTTGAGTGGAAGACGCGCGGCATTCTTATTGATTGGCTCGTTGAGGTTCACACTCGCTTCCACCTTCTGCCCGAGACCTTGTTCCTTGCTGTCAACATTGTGGATCGCTTCCTTTCCGAGAAGGTTGTTCAGCTTGACCGTCTCCAGCTTGTCGGCATCACCGCTATGTTCATTGCTTCCAAGTACGAGGAAGTTCTGTCGCCCCACATTGCCAACTTCCGCCACATTGCCGACGATGGCTTCAGTGAGGCCGAGATTCTGAGCGCCGAGCGCTTCGTTCTGGCCACTCTGAACTATGACCTCAGCTACCCGAACCCCATGAACTTCCTTCGGCGCATTTCCAAGGCCGATAACTACGACATCCAGTCTCGTACCATCGGAAAGTACTTGATGGAGATCAGCCTGCTGGATCACCGTTTCATGTGCTATCGCCCCAGTCTCGTTGCCGCCGCGGCTATGTACCTTGCGCGGTTGATCCTTGACCGTGGTGAATGGGTGAGTTTGTCTCGCATAAATAAGGAATATCTTCCTTTTCGGCAGCGTCTAACATTTCATGTGTTACAGGACGAGACTTTGGAGTACTATGCTGGCTACTCCGAGGCCGAGATTGAGCCTGTCGTGTTGCTGATGGTCGACTACTTGGCTCGCCCTGTCATCCATGAGGCCTTCTTCAAGAAGTACGCCAGCAAGAAGTTCCTGAAGGGTATGTTGGCGTCATGAACTTTTCCCCATGTTGCAGGTTTTGATTCGCTGACCCGACACGCAGCATCCATTCTGACTCGGCAGTGGGCCAAGAAGAATGCCCATCTCTACGGCATTAAGGATACCCACCTTTCCCTCGACGAGATCTCATAAAGGATCTCTTACACATCAGCATCACCACTAGAGCAGTATGCCTCTAGCCTTGTAGAGTCTCTCAGGATACCACTATGTGGTTGGATTCGCCTCCTTAACGACACCTGATGATCATTACTTTACGACCTTATCTCTGCCCCAGATTTGCTTTCGAGGCCTGGCTTGCTTTGTCTCGCTATTTCATTTGCGACAACATCCCCTTTAAGGCTGAAGGGGCGTCTCGGGTGTCAAGTTGTTGGAGTGTTGTCTATGGCATTGTGGGATTGGTTGATCCTTCGGTCTTGTATTTGGGTTCTTTTTCTCCGTTTAGTTTCCCCATTATCGTTTTCTGACTTTGCTTTCGGTGCGGCGTACCGGGTTTTTACAGGGTGTTGGGTTGGGTGTAGGTCGGGTTTGCTTTTCTTTTTCGCCCGCTACCGGGATATCTTGCTTTGGCATGAGCTTTCTCGACGGATGTGATGCTGCTTTCTCTCTCCCTTTTTCCGAGGGGCGTCAGATTCCCGCTAGTCCTGACGGACTTGACCGGGTAATCTCGACGAGCTTTTTCATTGCTGCATAATACCTATCAGAGGGATCCTGGGAAGCGGTGCTGGGTGGGATACGGGAAGGAATGGTGGTGAAGCAAAAGAAAAAGAAAAAAAGTAACAATGTTCTGGTTATGCACCGGCTTTGGGCGGGCGTAGAGTTGTGTACATACTATCTGTGTTGGTATTAGGCGATGATGATGGTTACTTAGGTACCTGGCATCGGAATGGGAGCATTGCATTGCATCTTTATCCTAACAAACGGCATCAGCATGGGAGCAGTGGCTCAGGGGGACAATGTATAGCATTCATAGCGTAGAATAACTGGAGATACATAGGGTAATTGCCCTAGTCTCATGCGTTCGTTTATGGCTATGTTTCTGTGTGTCTCATGAGGGATGCAAGTACGACATCATATCCCCCCGCAGGGCAACACCAGGAAGAATAGTGCTCCCATATAGAATTCCAACCCACTAAGTATCCCATACCGTCTAAATAAGTGTCGTCATCATTCTACTCATATTCCTGTCATGCTAGTCATCCATCATTGTCTTCATCCATATCCCAAGATCATCAGACGTCCAAATCGAAAGCCACCAACAAACGACTGCAAATCATATCCCATATATGAAGCATGTTCCTCGAGCCTCATCATATCCTCCTGTCATATCCTGAGGTCAAATTGGTATCTCTTCCCTTATACCATATCCAAGAACATTTACAACGATATGACATTGGGCTTCATTTCATTCCAAAACACATGGCTGAGCCAGGAGACTATCTGGGAGTGTTTCTCCCTTGGTTGCTGGGTAAGCCACTGTTTGGCTCTGGCAACCCCTTTGCTGCCGTTGGTGTTACTCGGGTACACAAAAGTTATGACTTCGAACGAGTGTAGTCGTTGGGGCAATTGAGGGACCCCGGCGCAACAGTTGACAACAGATGGGCTGATGTCATATTCCCAGTGTCTTCAGACCATCCAGTCAGTTAAGTGCTTAATAACGGCGGTGCTCGTCTGTAACACAGCAAAGTTAATATGCTTTCGTGTCTCTGGGAAATAGAAAAGGAAAAAAAAAAAAAGAGGTGTCTGACAGGTAAGGAAACAACAAGAATGAAGCGCCAGGGTCAGAGCCAGAGCCAGAGTCAGAGGGATCGCCTATGCAGCAGAGTGGCGAAGAAAACAGCACGGCAAGCCGCTTAGAAAGGGAGGTGCCAATCACCCAAGGACAAAGCAAAGATGGACGGGAGAGGTAGACGTGGCCCTTTGTGAAGGGTCATGCCGAATCACCACATAACCCCACTGGTTGTCATAAGGCAGCAAAAGTGGTTGGTGGCAGGTCGCATCTCACCGCCGCTGCTGTTGCTGACGGGCCTGCGCCAAGCAGGCATTGTGCACATATGGATGTGGCACAGGTTGACAGAAGAGGTTTAACAGAGGGTACCGGGGAGTGATCACAGGGCAGCACAGACGGAGGTCGATTGTGACTGAGAAATCAAAGAAATTGCGAGTTTTGTGTGTTTGTGTGTCTCTCCTGTGCTACCTCCTATCGGGTGATGTAGTGCCAGACCGAGGTGGAGAAGGAAGTGCGCTGTATGGGTTACCGTCGATGTAATGCGGCCCTTCATAGAAAGTTTGTTCGGTGTCAACCCCCGAAGAGTGAGCAGACCAGCTGCTAGCTCTGTGTCTGCGGTGCTGGTCGTCGGATTCATCGTCTGCATCGTCGTCCTCGTCCTCAGCACCGAAAAATCTTCGTCGTCTCTCTGCACGCCGACGGCGCTTTTCTTCCCTTTCCAGCTTCCACTGGCGGAGCTCCTCCCTCTTGTGCCAGGCTTCCTGAATCTCCGAAATGGCGTCCTTGATGCCAAGCGCGGCGATGCCAACAGCAGCGGCATCCTGGAGAAGAGCTTTCTTCTTGAGCTTTTCGGCCTCTTCGGGCGAAAGTCGGCCCTCCCTGACGGCCTTCTGCCGCTGCTGGCGCTTCTCTATGCTCTGGTAGACGCTGTGGGCTGCGTGGATGGTCGCCACGGCAGCCAGACCTGTACTGAGAATTTGCTTACCTCTCAATTTCTTTCCTCGCTTCTCGTCGGCGCTCGAGTTGCCCAAGTCGGCAGACGACGCCGAGCCGCGCCTCCTGTGCCGCGACCGGTCACGATGGTAGAAGTGGTCGCCGTCGTAGTCCTTGCGGCGGTCGTCTTCGTAATCTCGATCGTAGTCATCGTAGCTGTCACGGCGGCGGCGCGAGTGGGAATCATCATGGTCATCATAGCCGCGGCTGCGCCTATGTTCACGGCTGTGCTCGCGACCGCGAGAGCGGCTGCGGTCGTGGCGATCGTGGTCAGAGTCTTCGTCGTCGTCAGGGCCATTTCCAATGCCTATTCTAGCCAGGCCGCGACGGGCAGCATCTACTACACTTCGGCTCCTGCTGCTGCTGCTGCGGCGGCGGCGGCGGCGGCGGTCGGGGGAATGGTTCCGACTGTCGTGAGAGTCGACGCTCCTGTGGCGAGACCTCGACCGCTCGTGGTTCTCGATGAGCTTCTTCCCGGCAATTGCACCCAAGCCAGCGGTGGCAAGGGCGGCAAGCGGGCCCATACCACCGGAGCCATCCTTGGAACGAGCACGGGATCGAGAGCGAGACCGGCCAGTGCGCTCATCCATCTCGATATTCTTCTTGGACCCGTTGATCATGCGGTTGCCAAGAAGACCACCAAGGACGGCTTCGGCAAGACCAAGCTTGCTGCCGGCCTTGTCTGGATCTTGAGCTGCGTCCAGAGTGGCAGCACCAGCCGCAGCAGTAAGGATACGTTTGGCCTTTTCTCCCTTCCACGAACCGGGCTGCTTGGAAATGCGGAAGGCCTCAGTAGCACCGGCAATCAGAGACGCCATGGCTGCCTTCTGGATCTTGCTGGCGACGTCGTTCTTGCTGTCCCTTGAGTAACCGCTTGAACGAGATCGTGAGCGAGCGCGGGAGCGGGAGTGGGAGTGGGAGCGGGAACGAGAGCGTGACCGAGACCGAGACCGGCTGGCACGGCGGCTCCTGGTTTCGCTTCTCTCATCTTTGGAGCTCTCTCCGGTCAGTGCTTTAATAGCGCTGCCAAGTCCAGCAGCAGCAAGCGCGCTCTCGAGGAAGTTCTTGTGGCCCTTCTTCTCCTTCTCTGTCAACTCATCGTCGGAGTAGTACCCAGAGCGGTAGGCATGGGCCTTTCTCTCCTCCTTCTCCTTGTGCTTGTTGTAGAGCTCGGTGCCCTGGTAGCCGGCAAAGGCTCCAGCAGCACCTAGAGCGGCTGAGACCAAGAGGTTGCGCTGGACATCAGTGCCATGCTCCTTGGCCTCGCGACGGTCGTAGAGCTCCTTGCCGCCAATGGCTATCGCGGCACCAGTGATGGCAGCCAGGATCTGTTGCTGCTTGGACAGCACGCGGGCCTTCTTCCTCTTTTCCTCCTCGTAGTACCGCGACTTGCGGTCGTACTCGCGGTCATGGTCCCGGTCCCGGTCGCGGCTGTAGTAGGCGCGGCGGTCGTCGTACTCGGCGTAGTAGCCGCGCTCGGTCGACCGGGTCCGGTGCAGATCGCGAGTGGAGTAGCCCGGAGGGGGGAACTCGCGGCGGATCTCCTCGATGGAAAGCTCGCTCTCGGTGTGGGGCGGGCCCCGGGGTACCAGATCGCGGGAGTAGGTGTCGCGGGAGTCGTAGTAGCGCGGCTCGCGGTCGTCCAGGCGCTCTTCGCGGTAGTAGCGCCGCGTGGTTATGCGCTCCCGAGACGACGGGGTGTCGTAGTGGTCGTATGAGGCCATCTGAAGAGTTAAGACGGCTTAGAAGTGGGCGACTGTGATCGGCGGCGGTGTTTGATCTGATCTTAGATTGCTAGTCTTTTCTTCTGGTTTAAAAAAAAAAAAAAGGAGAGAGAGAGAGAGAGAGAGAGAGAGAGAGGTCGAGTTCGGGATAGGCAGGAAAGCAGTATCGCTTCACAATAGCTGCCTACAACAGTTGGAAGGAAGGAGCTGTGCGGGGCACCTTGTTATATGGCAGGCAGGCCGGCAGCACTGCGGCAAGGAGGGGGAGGGGCGACCAATGTCCATCGACCTTTCCAGGCATGTCAGCGGCTCAACAGAAACAAGACCCTGGCCGGGGGCATTACTTCAGTGCCCGCAGCAGCAAGTCAACAAGTTGAACAGCAGATGCAACAGAAGCAGGGCAGCCCGATTGCATGCAGTGGGGTGACGACACTATACAACACTGCCATCCAGTCGTAGAACCCAGAACCTTGGATCGCTGGTTCTCCCGGGCATGCCGCGCGCTAAGCCTCCTCCCGATAAGATGAACCGGTTGCGCAACGGGCAATCTATCTTTCCTGTTTGATTCATCATCTTCTTCCTGCAACACGTGGACACTCATTTCGATGTTCTAGAAAACAGAGAAATTCGGGCTATCCGGACAGAACAAGATCGGGAGCGACCGGCTGCGTCTCGAGCTTCGTGCATCCGAATCAGCAACCCCATATGTTGCTTCGCCGAGGGAATGGGTTGGGTCACAAGTTCGGCCTGACCTATGGGAGCGGCCCGGGTCGTTAGGTTCACCAAATGTGTGGCGACTCAATATAGTGTAAAAATCATGGGTTGATCCCCAATGTAAAAACGATGCGCCACAGAAAAATGGGTACCGCCCTTATATATATGGGGAGAGGAAGGGGGGGGGGGAACTTGGGCTTGCTCGGTGACCATGGGGCCGCCCCTTGGCGCCACCAACTCCAAAACAAGTTTCTTTCCATAGTAACCGTCGTCAAGCCAGCATCTTAAACTGTTGAGGTTCGTCTTCATAAAGAATACTCAAAAGCCTCTTTCATTAACATGGACTCGAGTCCGAGTCCTGCTGCTGGTCTTGCAGCCCAGAATTCAACTTTTCAATTTCCACCGAAATGGCTTCCCCTACCCCCAGAGATCTTGGGATTCCAGCAATATCTATACCCTCAAGAGGTTCAATGCTCGCCCTTCATCTTTTGGGAGTTAACCACAAGGTTGTCTCACGGGCACACCACATCCATCGCTGCTGTAACCATCCGCCTCATATTCTCACGCTCATTAGCCGGGCGTGACCCAACCATGTGGTCCATACAATGATGGTCTGCTTCATGAACTAAAACGTAAGTACGCCCAGGCCGTAGGTCTCGAGACCTGCCAGGCAGAGAGACAGCCAACCACAACAGCTGCCGGGCCACTAACCCAACCGATCACCCAACCGACCTAGCAGCCAACTGGCCGTCCATCCGTTCACCATCTACTGCATATGTCGGGCGTGTGTGGTGTTACAAATAACTAGCTAGTTCACCCTTCTCTGTTGTTCTGGAACTGGCTCGAAAATGCTTGCTAGGTCTCCTCTCTTTGCCCTCTAGCTAGGGACGTTTGGGACAGCTCGTCTCACAAACAATTGTGGTCGTCGGGATGAGATAACTGTGTGTGATCTTCCGTCCTCAATGGCAAGGATGATGGGAGACTAGCGACCCCGCCACATACCTGCGCCTTAACGCATGACCATTGCTCATTCCCACCATTCGCCCCATGCATTGCATTGGTCTACCTGTGTATCTGAGTCCGTGGTACCCTCCATGATCTTGGACCTTGGATAAGAGCTGCTTTTGGTGTGCCGAAACTGTCACGATATGTGCGCGACAAGCTTAAAGTTCACTTGATCCGAAACCCAAGAGTCTTATGATATAATTAATAATGATAATGGGAAGAGCAGTGATAGATGCATCAGCAATCTAAGACTCTCACTACACATATAGAAATACCCAACTAGCATCTAGGCTCTACCTTAACTGACATACCATCGCCGAACTCGAGAATCATTTTGCCCACACTACCATGCCGCTAATTGCGGCGGTATATCACGTAAGGCTAAGCAGGGTCCCTGCCGCATACATCCGCTTCTCTTACTCCCCCAATAGCTAGAATACACGGAATGAAAAAAAAACAAAAAAAAAAAACGGGACCAGCGCCCCTTCCACTTCCATCTCTGGTGACCATATAAGACAGCAACATGGATATTTGGGTGTTAAAACGTTGGCCAAGCAGTTGAAGATCGACATGGCCAGGTACGACATCACCATGAGCCCAAAGGCTGCAGAGCCGTATGTTGAAATCTGGTCTCTGCGCGCTTGATAAAGTGAACCACCAGCAGATATGGTTTGTACCAAGCCCATGAGAGCTTTTTATTACGCTGTAAACTGAGGGCGTCATAACCGCTGTCCTTCTCAGTCCTCGTGCATATTCATATTGTGAGCCATGCTACCAGAGACCTGATCGACATCATTATTTCAGCTCCGTAGGGAGCTTGATCAAAACTGTAACCAGGGGGCATGTGGTAAGAACCATGAACAGTGCGCTTATAGCCAAAAACAAGCTGTGGATCGAGAGCACCCTTGACAGTCCTGCCAATGACCCACGGAGGATTGTTGTAAGTATCAGGGCGGTCTGAAGATAGGAACCGGGACTCTCACCTGGCTGTGTCCTGATGGTGAAACAATTTGCCACATAGATGGCCAGAAAGAATTTCAGAGCCGTTTGAATGGCACCCGGTTTGCAGACCAGGTTGGGATCGGCATGATTCAAAGTCATGGTATCATTACCACGATCTGTAGCGTTGACCATTTCCGAGTCCATCATGTCGGGTCAGTAGTTGCAAATGTACCTAATGTCGAGCATGGAGGAGTATGCGTGGAGCCGTTACTGATAACAGATCGTCTGCGATTAGGGCTGTCTGTAGAAGAAAGTGTACGAGAGAAGAGATGAGATATCCTTCGCGCATTGCAGCCCTCTGTCGAGGAGCACTGAACAACCTCGATAGTCAACTGGTATAAACGATGTTGTTCCCGGGGCTTTTGGCGCCGGGAAGGGGGGGGGGCCGCCATGATGCACATCACTTCAGCAGCAGGAAGCCTTACAAACGAAGCCCGTGGATGAATGATGCGTTAACTTTACTTTAGAAATGCTTAAGGTTGGCGCAGCTTTGTGCCTACTGCCGTATGATGATAAGGCCACAAGCTTTTCTGGAGCTATGCCAGCTCCAGATCAATGAATCTTTATGGCAAAACGCTGCTCTCTATGGAGTCTTTACAGTCAAACCATGTCGCCATCGTTGCGCCTAATGATCTGTGGCTTCACTGTCCTACTTATAGATACACAGGAGTTTGCCTAACTTCTACCGGAAGGGGTCAGTTCATGGTGAGGTTAGGCTAAGTAAGACGTCAGTGATGCTGTCCCAGTCTGGAAGAAACCGGACCGAAGATTTTGTTAGTGTATTCAATTAAGATCAATCCCAGGTTTAGGTTGCTCCTGACAACAGAAAGGATGTATGCATGTATGGCACTGACCTGTAGCACAACAATAACATCAAACGCTTAAGCATCCTGCATTGTGTAAACCCTACGGGTTAAGCCCATTGGCCTTTTTTCCGGACACAGAAGCTTGGCTCCCTGGAAGTGTATGTATAAACGATGGGTACCGACAACCAAGTTTTCCACGTAACCCTATGAGCGAAAGTAAAGTGCGCGGTAGCTAACCAAACCGCGCATCTATACTGTATCGAGCAACCTCATCCCTAACATCCGAGTGAACCTCTACCCAAGCCTGCCATCCGTCTGGTTCATATACATATTTCCACTACCGTTAAACATAGCAGGCCCTTGGTTAGTAGGAAAGCCGGTATTATGCCCATTCATAGCATGCACCACGCCATCGCCGCCACCATCACGACTCTTCTGTAAGAACATAGCTGGTGCCGCGCCCGCCTGTTCCTGCTCGACGGTTGCCACGGCAGCAGCAACCAGTGCCAGGCCCCCGACCCTGTCATTATCAGGTGGGGTTGGGGGTGTCGGCTGTTGCTGAGGAAGCGATGGGGATGCTGTTGCTGATGATGATGATGATGAGTGCTGCTGCTGCTGCTGTTGTTGTTGTTGCTTCTCGCGGGCTTGTTGTTGTTGTTGTTGTTGTTGTTGTTGTACAGGGCGGCGTTGCTGAGGAGCTTGGAGCACCTGCTGTTGTTGCTGACACTTGGGATGAGGCCCTTTGCCCTGACCCTGGTCTTTTTTGCTTTCCTTCAAGAGGCTGCTGTTGTCGGCTTCGTCGAGCCAGCCGTCGGGGAGCAGCTCCAGTACCCTGGGATTGTGACGTTGTCAGTATGGCCCTTCCACTTACTTGCAAGTACAACCGAACAGAGAACACACATCTTGAAGGCCGAGTCCACAGTCAAGCCATTACGTTCAAGAACCTGAATCATAGCTCGCCGTTCCCGGAGCAATTGCTTGATGTACCCTACTGTGCCATGGAGGACGATGCCCTCAGACCGGGCTTGGCCCTCTAGGCCAGGCACAATCTCGGTAAGGCGGTCAAACCCTTCCCGGATAGCTTGTCGCCGTTTTTGCTCTATTGCTTGGCGTCAGCACTCGCTCAGACAGCAACCTCGGTTCGGGCTGTCACGCACCTGACGCGATGTGGTTCGCCTTCTTTTCCTCCTCAGTGAGGCGTGGCCGCTCCCTTTCCTCCTCGCTGGTGTGCTTCTGCCTCTGAGGAGCAGACACTGGTGGTGCTGGAGGAGATGCCATGTTTGTCTCAACCGGGTTTGGTTGTGAGGTTGTTTCTGGGGCAACGTATTGAAGTTGAAGTAAGAGCTGTTCGATTTCGTATGAGTTGGCTTGCACCTGCTGGTATATCTCGGGATCTAGGTCGTAGGCCATAGGGACGATAAGTAAGAACAGGAGACAGGGAAAAAAAAACAGGAACGATAGGATGGATGTGGGAAAGAGGGAAGAGAAACGCTTAAATCCGGAGTATATAAGTAGAAACTTGGGGACGAGCCCTCCAATGTGATTAGAGAAGATTGCTGGAAGCTTGAATAGGATCACAGGAAAAAGGAGTGCAGAAGTGAGGCGAAGGGATATTTTCATTTTCACAAGACAAGTGTCAGAAAAGGACATGGAGAAAATCAGGTACAGACGTGCTCCTCAATGTAAACCCAAGCTCAATCAGAGGAAAAGAGAAAATACGTACATCGATCGATAAGTGGATTGGACAGTGATCGTGCTGAGAACCGGTGTTCCAACAACGAGAGCGTCTATTGGACGAAAGTATGTTGCGTCTGCTTTATTTTTCTTCTCCTATGTAAAAACAGTCGAGGTGAATCAGTGCTGAGCGTGTTTTCGTGTTTTTCCAATATGAGCGCGCCTATATTGCAGATGGGACAAGTGCGAGCGCGAGCGTGTCTTTGCTCGAGATGGGATGAAATGGATGAATGGGACGGATCAAATCAAATGTTGGCATGTGATCGTGGCTCGGGGACACAGTTCGCTGCGGACAGTGGACGTCGACATGGTCGGGTGTGTATGTATTGGATGTGAGTGAGTGAGTGTGCGTGTGGCCTGTAGCAAGATCAGGTTCAAGAATCAGGCCGTCAGAAGATGGTGATGTCGGTCAAAATTGCGGCATTGTCGCCCATTTCTTGAAGCAAATGGGGCCGAGGGGTACCCGTGCTTGCTATATTGATGTAAGCGTTTATGTTGCACGTCGAAAGATGCAAGAACCTCTATGGATGAGAGCCGCTGCATTGAGAAGGAGGATTTGGGGCCGTTGGCTAGCCCGCTGTATGCACTGCGTAAATGGGAAGCGCCCCACTCATCTCACCCACCAAGTGCATGGTGCCATCCGTTGGACTGCTTGCAGCTCCGGCCGGCAACCTCGGTGCTGAGCCACCTGACCCTGACCAATGTCCACGTACCGTGGATGCCGTTCACATTCACGCGTCCTGCGTCTTGGTACGCAGATGGTTTAACATAGCATGTACAATTACTTGTTATGACAAAGGTCAAACATCGCCAGTATTTGGAGTAGGTCTTTAGTCTTGAAATTCGGTATCCCTAGGGTAGATACACACGTATAGTACAGCATCCCCTTCCAGACATCGTCATCGGCGTGATATGAGTTCGTGGGTAACCTGTGATAAGCCGTAGAAGCAGATCTCGTCCCAAGCAAGTCAGTCCTTGACGACCTTCACAAACTGCAAAACCCAAACCAACAAAAAAAATTTTTTTCGCCTTTTCATTTTTGCTGTCTATTTATACACTTTACAAACAAAATCAAGCACGCTTTTTTTTTCTTTCACTCTTCCCCAGTGAGAAGGCGGGACTGTGGCATTTCCCATGTTCTGGCCCGAGGTCCCCCGAAGAGCAGAGTAATCGAGTCTAAAAGTTGTTTGCCGTCCAATTCCCCTTCCCACCGTTTTCCATGACACCGTCATTTCATCAAAACAAGAATAAAACAGAACAGCCATGTTTTTGTTTTCCTGTCCGTCAACCCCTTAAAAGCACAGCAAACCCGGCTGTTGCCGCTGTCGCTGCTTTCGCAACAACTGCACAAGCAAGCTTATGACGCCTAACCTTTGATGTTATATTCCCGAATCAAGATGTCTTTGCCCGAAATGGCCCTCTCAGGTTTGGTTCTGATGAGTAAAACTCGTTCCGGGCCCATTCCATAACCCTGCCGTGCTTGATTGCGTCCCACATTCCTTTTTGCATAGTCCTCCATTGTTTCCGCGATGAGAACGGAGCAGCCACAAGCCCACACAGTCTCTCGGGAGTAGCCCGTATCAGAGAGTTTCGCAGGGGAGGAGGCGTGCTGGAGCCGTCAAGCGCAAAAGACTGAGGATATGAGCAATGAAGAAAAATTAGTGCTCTAGGACCAATCAGGCAAGGGGCGTCATTCTCGAAAGAATTGGTCGCATTTCTCGTCGTTCCTGCGGATCATGAATGTCCTACAAATCCCCCATCCTTAAACCAACCGGTCAAGAATGGATACATGGGCGAAACTCTGGAGGGAAGAGAAAGGAACCGAGTCGTCATTCCGGCAAACGGTATGAATCCATTGCGCCTTGCGATCCGCCATCTTACGGATCGTCCACTCTGGAGACGCTCTCCTGGTCGTCGTCGTCAACTGCGCCGAGGCTGTCGACATGCCTGGCGAAACAACACCGCTTCCCGCCCTGCAGGACTGCTTTCATGGTTGGTTACGATACTCGAATTTATGAGCCGCCTTCTGAAAAAGGTCATCTGATCCGGGAAGTGCCAAAGGTGACGCCATTGCAGACCCTGGAGTAAAAAAAAAAGACCACCAAATACCATAACAAATCCGAAAAAGAAAATTAACCCATTGCTTGGGATGCTGTAAATGCTTGCCAGACCCCAACTGAATCGCCATTATGCGTCATATGTCGAGTAGAGAAAATGTCGCCGAGAGAAGTGATTCGATGATGCCGCCTCGGTTTGAACAAGAGAAGCAACGAGGCAGGCGAAAAGTCTTCTCAAGAGCGCCTGAACGATGTACGAAAAACCCAGATATGCTCCTGAATATGTTAAGAAAGCAACAGTGGTCTCGGCAAAACCTCCGTTGTGGGGTTGTGGCGGCCAGCGTCCAAGGTGTGCACCAAGAGAAAACGCTGCCAAGGGCAGTGCAGTCGCTCACATTCAATTGGCCGCAGTAGCTGCGGCAGCCTCCTTATCAGCGAGCTTCCGGTCGAGCTCGGCGGCCTCGTGGAAGTGAGTCGTGAAAATCTCAGGCACAGCACGGTCCTGAGGCCACGGCTTGCGAGTGTTGGTCTTAAGCAGGAGTTTGTCGAAGAACTCCAGGAGATACTTCAGACCACAGCGGGATGCCGGTTCCCGAGAAGCATCCTCCATGGCGAAATCCCGGAACTCGGTGTAGACCTTAGCATTGAAGTCGTTGAGCAACATCTGAGACCAAAACTTGTAAAGCTTCTGCATTTCCTTTGGGGTCTCACCAGGCTGCGCCTTCTGACGCTGCTCAAGGGCAAGCTTGCGGATTTCGACATAGGGCTTACGCTCCTGCTGCTCCTTGGAAGATCCGGCAACCCAGACGATACCACGCTCCGACTGGGGCTCGGTATTGGCCGCCGCAGTATTAGACGCCTCCTTGGTGCTGCGGAACATGTTAGCATGCGAGCAACGAAATGCCGAAAGCTGCGGGTTTTCTGGAAGCTTACCTCTGTGCCTCAGCAGAGATGGGAGCATCCTCATTTGGAGCAACCTCGGGCTTCTCGGAAACGTAGCCGGCAACCCCCGACTCCTCCTTCTCCTCGTAGCCCAGGATCACCATCATGTTCTCCACTTGAGCATCCGAGAAATTGGTCATGCTTTCCAGAGTCACGGGAGACTGGGGCGGAGCATATTCCGGAACACCAGCAGACAGCCGAGAGTCGTGGGGACCATGGACACCGTTGACATGCGTACCGTTCATGGCGATAGTAGGATCGTAGTGAACCCCGTTGCCATAGGCAACCTGAAAGAGGGCGGGATCCTCAGGGTAGGCCGGGAACGCACCGGGAGCAGCGACCGGTGGGTAGGGCTGCGCCATGAACGGAACGTGGTACTGGATGGCGAACTGAGCGGCATCCGGCTTCATGTAAGGCACAAAGTTGGTTGGTCCGTTGTTGCGGTAAGCCTCCAGACGCTCGTGAACAGGCAGGACGAAGTGTTGCCACTTTTCGCGGATGCGCAAACGCTCAATTCCGTCCTCGCCAACACCAAACTCAATCTGGTCCGAGAGCGAGCAAGCAAAGCGCAGGAGTTCCAGCTCCTCTGTCACCGCCTTTATCCGCTTGAATCCGGCAATGGTAGACAGATGAACGAACCCTTGGCCATCCATGTGCTGGCGGAGGTAGTAATCCTTACAGAGGTTCTCAACAGAGAGGTAGTACTCGACCTGGGCCTTGAGGATGGAAATGGTCGGGTCGTAGATAGGAGTGTACATGTACTGCGTGTACTGAGGAACGGTAAAGTCGGCGACCTGAGCCGGCTTCGGCGGGAAGCCACTCACGCTGTGGTTGCCACGGCCGGCCGACTGGCCAGCACCGGCCCACTTGTTTCCTCGACCCCTACCAGGGTGGCCGAAAGGACCAGCATACTGGCCCGAGAAAGCAGGAGGGCTGTGAGGGTTGTGGTTTTGACGAGACCCGAAGGCTCCCGGAGCTGTGTAGTGTCCGTTGGCGGCATAGGAGCCGGATGAGATGTGCGAAGAGGCGCCGTTATGGCCTCCGCGGGCACGATAGCCACCACGGCCACGCTCAGGGCGACCGTCTCTCGCCGGGTACTGGCCGCTCGTGTTGTTGTGGTTGTCACTCCTACCCTGGAAGTTGGTCCTCTCCTGAGGAGCTGACCGGGCAGCCGCCTGGCCGGCCTCGGAGTTGACACTACCGCCGTTCTCAGTCCGGATGTCCCGGGTAGCACTGCTGCGCTTAGAGGCCTTGAAACCTCGATTAGCCCCTGCTGCGAAAGAAGACTGGCGGTTGTGTGGGGCAGGGCGGCCGCTCGCCTCATGCGGATGACTTACAGAAGATGCGTCAGCGCTAGGGGCGTCGCGCGCCTGGTCAGCTGTGCTGTTGCTGTTTGCCGGGGCGGCCGGCTTGCGCTGCTCCCGAGAAGGGCCATCGGCCGGAGCGCGCTTGGAAGGCTGGGCCTGCTGAGACTGAGGAGCAGAACGCACAGGAAGACTGCCCTCGCGGGGGCGAGTAGTCGCAGGTCTCGCACCAGCCGAGACACCAGAAGATGCCGACTTGTCGTTCACAGAGTTAGAAGTAGAGTGAGAGGCGCCACCAGATGTGCTGGAGTGGCTGCCGCGCATTGAGCCAGCCTCACGGCCACCGCGCGCGCCACCACGGGGCTTCGAACCGCGGATGGGCAGCTGGGTCTCGAACACCACAGAGGGGACAATGTCAAGCTTCTCCCAGGTCTTCTTGCGGGATGGAGCGGACTCCTCTTGACCCTTCTCCTCGGCATTCTCGCTCTTCTCATGCTTCTCAATCTGCTTGTTCTTTGCCTGGTCACGCTGCTCAGCAGCGGCTTTAGGATCGGGCCATGATGCCGGATCCGCAACGGGAGGAAGCGCCACGGGGGGCTTGTCGTCCTTATCGTTGGCACGGCCACCACGAGGACCATTTCTCCGAGCAGCCTGCTCGCCGGGCTTCTTCGCCCACTTGTCGCCGTTCACGGTAGCACCAGCTGTCTCTTGAGTCTTAGAATCGCCGCCAGCAGCAGCGCTGGAAGCCTCTGACGCTTGTTGAGCAGCAAGTTTGGCCTTCGCCTTCTGAGCCTCCATCCGCTGAGCCCAGGGGTTGACGGTCGGCACAGGGGCCTCAGTGAGGATGACAGGCTTCGGCGGCTCCTTCGCCTTTTCGGCTTCCTCTTCCTGGTTCGGTTCGTTTTGCTCGTCCTTATCACCAGACCGGCCCTTCTTACCCTTGCGGCCTTTCCTGCCATCTGAGCTATCGTTGACCCGTGAAGTCCTGCTGGTCGAACGGGAGCTCTTGTCCTCGCTGTTGCCGCCGCGACGGGATTCAGGCTGCTTGCCACTCTCGTTGGCATTTTTGCCAGTCTGCTCTGTGGTTGAGGTTGTCGAAGGAGCGGGACCGCCTGCGACTGACGAAGCCTCAGACTCTTGTTTCACGGCCGCACTCTCGACTGACTGCTGAACATTCTGCTCTGCTTCCTTAACATCGGTGCCATTGGCAGTGACGGAGATGGCTGTTTGAGAGGGGACGTTGGCCGGGGTCTCGTCCTTCGACTGAGATCCGGTCGTCGAGGGGGCTGGGCTCGTGGTCTGCGGACTCGCTTGCGAAGTGGTGCGGCCTCTCGCGGCTTGCGCGTAGGAAAATGGCGTAGCGGTCGACATATCTGCAGAGGGGAGGCTAGGCACCGGGATTGTTGCCAATCGGGGTGCGCGACAGAAAAAAGAAAGATGGATGGTCGTCAGACGTCACGTCGTAGCAGTCAGCAGCAACGGCTTGCTGATGCCTGCTAGAGAAAATGGCTGCAAAATGCCTGCCTGCCAATGCCTTCGTTGGAACGAGGCGATGTCCGGAGAGGTCGATTCAAACCTCCCCGCACCAACGGAATGCTGGAAGAACCGAGGCCCAAGGGAAGGACGAAGCGACCTTCTCAACTTGGGGCTTGAGCGAAAGTCGGCTACTCCAACCACCTGGAGGGGTCAACCTGACAAGCAGCGAGAACCGAGGGGCGATGCGGGAGATGGACGCGAACACCGAGAGTAGGAAGAGTAGGTGCTGAAGTTGGCGGGCAACAACACAACCTGGAAACTTTGGCCTGGCCGGTTTCAGAGGGCTTGCTGTATCGTTTCGAGGTCGATGGGCAGCGCGCGCGCAGGTATCGATGTCTCGAAGCGGGCAAACTGTCTGGAAGCCAACACAGACCGGAGAGACTGTTGAAAAAGAAAGAGACGGGCAAACGTCACGGGAGATGCCAGGACACAACAGATTTTTGTCTGTCGGCTGGCAATGGCACCCAGACGCCGTGCAGGTGGTCCCGATCTCTCTAACAGGGCTGGCAAAAAAGTCCGCAGACAACCGAAAGACAAAGCCCTAGTGACCGACCTCTTCAAAAAGAGTGTCTCGCGTGCACGAGGGCAGAAAAATGGCAGTGCAGAGTGAAGGGTGGGGGAGTGGGCAGGGAGGAGAGAAGAAAAAAAAATGTGTCGGAGGGGAATGCAAGAAAATGTGGTGGTGGTTCGCCAGGGCGAAACGTGAACAAGATTTGTGGGAATAAATTTTTCTCGGTTCAGGTCCTGCTAGAAAACAGTGGAGAGGGGAGCCCGGCACAGGCACTGAGTGGCAGACAGCGGCAGGTGAAATGTAAATCGTAATCCGTAGCGCAGAAACATGTAACTGGTAGTAAGAGGGTAAGGTACCTACAGACAATACCACGCTTGTGCCTCTCACTACGGAAGATCCAGCAGAAAGGTCCTGCGCATTTAAGGCCCACCTACACAGCCCACAGACCCTTCAGTCTTGTATTGGAGGCACAGATTACATGGTTTCCTCTGTAACAGGCTCATATGCATGTACCGACTATAAGGCGGATGTACTGGACAACCAAAACACCTTACCTTCCATGCGTGTGCAGCAGGGCAGAGGGGAGAGCCCGGACGTGGGACGGTGGGGTTGCGCGAATATAAATCGGTTATCGCGCCGGCTCACAGGGACTGGTAATGCCTCTGGACAAAAAGAGCAGGCCAGTAGCAGATAAAAAAAAAATCACAACTTGCTGCAATCTGTTCCACAGAGATCGCTCTTGCACATGGGGAGTGCATGTGCTCGGGTGTTGGTCAGCCGTAATTGTTGTTAATGCTTTGCTGGCGACCCTCTCTGTATGGTAACAGCTGGAACTGCCTAACAAAAGCGGGTGCCAGGCCAGGGTAGGTTTTCCTCAAGATGGATCCCCCAGACTCTGTCACCTCACTCTTCCGTAACGACCTTGACACGCCTGCATGTCCGCATATCTGCACGCACTTTACGGAATTGTGCGGTCTTAGCCGCTTCCATTACAGGGCAGAATAGGTACCTGGTTCTTCCCCCCTCGTTCCTAACCCTCTCTGAGGTTACAATTCCTCTGTCTCCGTGTTCTCTCACCCTTCCCATCGCCAGTGGCGGCCTTAACAATTTCAATCGATAAACTGTACCCCCGCCCGCTCTCTCTCTCTCTCTCTCTCTCTCTCTCTCGTGCAACGGATCTCGGGCTCCACTCATACTAGCGAGCCAGCCAACAGCAATGTGCCGCCGGCAAGGGCCACTTCCCTGTTGAGGTGGTGGCCCTGCACATGACAGATGACACTGACGTTCCCTCTTTCTCTCTGCCTGTTTTTGCTTCTTCAGGGCCAGCCAGCATCCAAAGATGACAGATCCTGGGCCATTGCCCCTTGTGGTGCCTGCCCGCTGAGACGCATGTAACTCTGCTGATGAGTACAGTATCGATTGGGGCACGAGTTTTGATAGTCCTCATTTTAGTCAGGGATGGAACTCGGTGCATTTGGACATCTGCAGCAACCAGACGCCAGCCCATCATAGGCAAAGCTCCTATTTTCTGTGTCAAGGTTTGGGGTCTAAGTGCCGGTAGGGGCGCCACAAGATACCCAAGTAACGATAGGTACTGCTGGCACCCAGCTCTACACAATATTGGATCCTAGCCAGCCAGTCAGTCAGACTGGTTGCCATGACGGGCTCTCGCAGTCCATCCATCCATATCTATAGGCGGCGGCGTCCCTACGCAATGCACAGCACAGCATTACTGCCCAGCCAACAGTCAGCCAGCCAGCCAGCCAGCAGCGCCAGTACCCAGCGCCCAGCAACCAAGCCTCCTGCCCCAAATCCATCCACCGGACGATCCCCGATGTTGCACACATTCACTGGGTGCGGGAGGTTCCTCGTCTTAGCCTTATCCCGGTCCTGTCTCAGTCTAAGTTCACTGAAATGAGCTTTGTCGTGGGCATCCTATTACGATCTAATGCACCAACTTCCTTTCTCAGGTACGCTCGAGCTGAACACCTCGACATGGGCCTGGGATGTGTCCTTAAATATGAGCAGCAAGAAAATTGATAAAAGATAGCGTTGGCATGTGGTTGGTGTAAGGCATAGCGAAAACGCTGTTGATGGGCATGTCGCATGTCTCACATCATCTGTTGTCGCTGGTGTTACTGTTTTCTGATGCCGCAGGCCAGCGGAGCCACTCGCTTTTTGCCTCGATAGGTACATAAAATGCGGGTTACTTGCACTAAACCGCACCTCTATGCCAGCAAAACGTTGTTCAAAATCGAGCCTCTGGGCTAGCGCCTTGGTTTATCGGCAATGAAGCGTTTTAGCTGTCCTCTCTTATATATCTTTAGGATTCCTAGGCTGGGAGTCGCTGGATCGAATAAAATTCGCAGTCATTGCTTGTAAAGTTGTGGGCGATGATGGCAGGTGCCGAAACCCTTGTCCTGGTGGAGTCATCGTGTCATTACCGCCGGCCCGCGTTACGCCGGTGACGATGTTTGCAAACGAACCCAACGCCAGCGACCGTTACGGCAAACACTCCCCCGCAGTCCATGACATGGATCACCACATCCTGCCCCAGCCAGGAGGTTTGGGATCAAGGTTGCAGTCTTTGCGTGTGCTTCCCGGTTTCCAATGTGAAGGAAACAAGAGTCATATCATCACTACGCTGAAAATGCTTACATTATATAATCAGCTATTTCCAATATCGTGGAAGGTGAGATGGATGGAATCTTTTTTTGGCCGGTGACGGAGTGACATGAAATTCGCAGCCGACATGACAAGGTCCGACGGAGGGGTTGGCCGAGCCGGGCTCCACATGGGCGTTTGGATCCATGCAACTTTCCTGGTGATGTTCTGGAAGCTCCCGGGGTTGTGGACAGTAACCATCGCGATCATTTAGACAAGATGCTGCTTACTCTGAAGCGCACCATCGAAGTTTGGTCGATTCGTACAGCAATGTACCGGACTGCTTGCCAGCCCTAGAACGGATATCAAAGCAATCCCGTTATATACAGTGCTGCTTGGGACCACGGCCGGTCTGCCCAAGGGCTGTTGTCTGGGGAATGCGAGCAGATCGTAAAACATGATAGATCAGTTCATCTCCAACTCCAACGCCACGCGGAGCGTTCCAATCTAATCATGACGATGCCGCTAAAGTAGACGTAGACCTACGTAAGTCACAGTCCTGAACGATTGCCAGGGCTCAGAATCCATAGGGGCAGCAGGAATCGGCCAACTAGATCGTTCCGGTTAAAGACCGTCCCACCGATCATGGTCCTTGTCCTGGTTACTCCCGTCTTCACCCGTGATGGGAGGATGAACGGTAATGCAAACAGAGACAGAGGACCAGTGAGTCGAGGAAATAGCCTGGAAACCCACCAACACAACCTGCCTGCCTGTTTGTAGAAAGCCTTGGAGGATGAAGTTCACAGTTAGGGAAATTGCGTCTACGATGAGCGCCAATCGACCGTACACTGGTCACACACAGAGTACTGAAGCTCCTTCCAGCTTCCTAGACGCTTGTCCAGGACAGTAATCATGAGAAGTATACAGCACCTCGATGTGGGTGGTGTCGAACAGCAGTATAAACAGTGGTCAGATATGCAATACAGCACTCCGCTACTCATCCAGTCATCCAAGTAGCGGCCCTACGAACTCCAAAAGAGCCTACAGCACGCAATCCCGTGGAACCCATGGGGAAGTAGCTGACCAAGTACCAAACCAGGCAAGCGAGTTGGATGATGCCCGAGAAGAGAGTGAGGATCGTGCTTTGCAGCTATCAAAATCTCAGCATGCAGGAGTTCAAGCAATCGAGTTTCAGTTCCACTTACGCCAATGGAGAAGTAAAGCGTCAAGGCAAGCGAGCCAAAGTAGGCAGAAGTGAAAGGGAGTCGCTCGCGCGAGGCTAGGTGCCGAAGGTATGCCCATGGGCCCATAATAGCAGCCCAGGAGGACAGGAACAGGATAGAGCCCGCAGTCCATCTAGGCAGCAATGTTAGTCACTTGCCAACTTTTCACGACTCAGACAGCAACTTACAAAACGACCAGCTTGCGTGGTCTCCCGAGGGAAATAACAGGGAAAAGGAAGAAGCAGAGGAAGAAGCATAGGGCTGCTCCCAGATTGCAAGCTCCAAATATCAACATCCGGTCCCAGCGACTCACTGTCGCTTGCTTGTTAGCCATCAGCAACAATAAGAGACACTAAAAGGCAAGCACCGCTGCGACATAAGAACTGCACCCCCCGGGTGTGACAAGGCTGAAACACGGGACCACGCACGACCGGCACATGGTCAGCTCTGATTCTGGAGATTTCTATCTCCAGACCACGAGGCAGCTTGCAACGCAAGTAGGTGTCAAGAGACCCCCAACCCGGCCCAACAGGCTAGCAGAACGAGGCGATGCAAGTGATGCGGCTTATGCAGATGCACAAGCGGAAGCAGGAACAGAAGCAACCTAAGTCCCAGGGAACGGAGGTGACTCACAGTTAAACCACCCCTCCTCCTCTTCACGGGCGGCCTGGGTCTCCGTTGTCGGCAACTGAACATAGCCGCGGTTCCCGAACGGGTTGAGGGACTGGAGCGACGACAGGAAACCGCCGTTCTGCCGCGATGTGTTCACGGGGATATCGGGATCGCGCCGGGACCAGCCCAGCGCGCTGAGGCCGTCGCGGAAGGATTGCGAAGCCATGAACTTTGAAAGATGCAGTGACTATAGCTCACGTGAGGGATCGATCTAGGCGGGGACGGGGATCGTCGACAGGCTGGGTAGACTCGTGAAGTGAAGCTTGGAGGGCACAGAACGCAAAGGTCAGGGAAATTGCGAGAGTTGGCAGGCGTTCCAGTGACCGCGTTGTCTGTGCCGGATACGGTATAGGTGTTAGTCAAATCACGAAGCCGGAAAAGATGGGCTGCAGGCTGGAGCAAAATAGGATGTGTAGGGCGATTTTGGCCGAAATCATGACCGAGGCGCAACAAAAGAGAACCAGCAGTGATCCAGAAGAGGGTGGGCGCGTGGGACGCGTAGCCAGCCCTGGCTCTCTCCTCTTGCTTGTCCTTTCCACCAATCCAGTTTCATACAGGGGCGGCGAGCTCGGTACTAACAGGTATACAAGTATGGAGATAAACGACGCTCAGATGATTCGGGCTGTTGCTGCTGTCGTTGGTACAGCACAGGTGTGGGCTTTTAGCGCAAAACGGATGGCGCTGTTTTGAAGGCTTTCGTTGCGATTTCGCGCCCGCTGTAGCCTTGCTGTTGCTCTGCCGGATGGTTGATGTACGCGGGCTAATCAGGTATAGCTGCTGCGAACGGATGTTGCCGGCGTCTTCTGGAGTAATGGTTGCGAAGTCGAGCAGAGAGGTCGTCTCGGACCGGCTGTGTGAGCTTGGAGTAGGCTGACACATCACCCAGCAGGACCCTGTCGCTGGTATCCATCATCAACCCATGGATCTTTGGAAAAGGTGGGGACACAACGGTGGACAGCCTCTTGCCGATCAATGAGTACCTGTGATTGGCTCTAACCCGGATTCTGACCCACAAGCCTGATCACGGACCAACTCTGGAGGGTGGCATCCAAAGGGCAAGAAGGTGTGAAGCTCACCCTTTCGACGTGCGTTTCTCCACGTGAAAGTTCATCTGCGTCCGTTGCCAGGACGAATGGCCGGGCAATCCGGGCAATCTGAGCCCATAGAATTGCGGCACAGCATCCAAGTTTGCTGAAATGATAACCTTTTGAGCACATTGAAGCCTACCTATCAGCACATGAGAGTTGGGCTCTGCCAGGAAGACGATCTTATCATCTTCTGGGCTGACGCCATCCCGCAGCGGGCCTGCAACCTCAGCCGGGGTTCGCCTGTTGAGACACTCGCAACTGCTTCCACGCATGACAAGATCTGAATCCTTTATATGGCATCTGCTGTAGTAGCGTAGTGTACATTACAGACAGGGGCTGGTATACATAAGGATCAGATCTCGATAAGCCTGCATCAATAAGTCAAATTAGGTCGCAATCCCGCTGATCAGACTGCTAGGGGCGCCTCATGCGCGGACTTGGGCAACCTTCTTATCTCTAACGGTTTGTGATTTCCATGTTGGCCGCGATACAACCGAAAAGCGGCACAAAAACGCGAGAACACCTCCTCATGGAATCTCCAGGCCGTGGCATTTGATCTGTGTGCACATGGCTCTGCGATATTGGCCCTGCTTCCTGACAGCATGGAGCTATCAGGTTTCAAGCTGCACTGGTGGTCCTATATTCCTGTTCTTGGCACCTCATCAACCACAATGCTTAACATAGAAACAGGCACTACAAATCACGTACATCACGTACCAAAGCTCGATTTGGGCGAGGCGGAGAAGTGGCTGCGCACCTCTGTTGGTGTCTCATGCGAGTGGCACTCGTGGCTAGGTAGGAGAAGCCAAAGCCTGGAAAAGTATACTGGAGGTTCGGTGAAAAGGTGGGTGATAGGTGAGAGCCAGGTGGACAAGCCACAGCCCGGACATCAGAAAGCACACCTGTGTTGGAGAAGTCTCCCGTTCACCTCCCCCCACCCCCCTTCTAGTTTTCCGCCCACCAAAGCTGGACTTCTATGTTAGCCAGCTAGTTCCGGAGTCAGACGACTCGGGTTGACTCAGAACCAGGTCTAAACCAGTTTGCTGGCTCGAGGCCTAGGCAGGAAGGTCTTGATTATAAATATCCCCGATTTTTCCGTCTCTCTGCCTTCGGTCTTAGGTTTCCTGGGCCCATATGTCTTTCACACTAGTTATTTGCTTGCCAGAATTGATGCTCCTACAGTTTCACTCTAGGAGCTTAAGAGCGTGGCTTATACCATCTTCCTGAGCTTCCACTGACTACGTTTGTCTCGACTACTTGGACATCCAGAATAAGATTGCTGCGTCAACAGTAATTCTATATATGAGTTTTTGGGCACTCCATGTACGTCAACAACAATCAGCATGGCATATACTCCGTCTTAGCAGAAAACGCTCACGTCCAAGCTCAGCAAGCATTCCCTTTGACACAAACCATCGCGGAACAATTACAAACGAAGTGCTAACATCTTGCCGAGAACCCCCAACACAACCTTCTACCCCGCTGCGCCGAGCTTCGGACCCGGAGAAGGAGGGGTAGTTAGTTGACACTGTCGTACCGAACACAGACTGGATCTCGAAAGCTGCTTTTCTTTCCGACGAAGCTTTTCCGAGACTTGGGACGTGTCCTGGACCGTGGGCAACGCCAACTCTGTCCTCAACAACGTGCCTGGAAACCGTGCGCTTGCAAGCACTTGCAGGGGCTTGTCGGTTTGTTTCGACGACTCGGCGCCGTTAAACGTCAACGGCGGTAGTTTACGGTAGGTGGAGGAAGCCACCTCTCGGCCGGCGCTCCCCGCTTCCATCTTTCTCGACCCCTCCGTCCCCTCCTTGTGCGCGCCGTACTAGCGGCTGCCCCTCTATCCAAAAAGGGTTATCCGACAGGACGCCAGCAAACTGTAGCCGCCGCTTCTGCGCCTTATCGATATATATTGAGCCATTGCTCTTCTCGGGCGTCCACTCTCGAATCTTGGACGACGTCGCTCCTTCGATCCTATCCATCTTCGGCCTCGTCCCAGGTTTCTGTTGTGGAATCGACTGAGCGAGCATTTTGTTTCGATTGCCAAAGTACAATACCCTTTCACGCGTTAACTGTATTAACCGTTGTTGTCGCAATTGTTGTTGGTTGCGTTGGCTCCCGCCACCATCAACCCCATTGACAAAAACCTGGAGCTGAACTCATCTCGACACAATTCGTAGCCCTAGCCTTTAAGCAACGGCATAGGTTGCCAGCAACAGCGTTTCATCCACGACATCGGCGCTCTATCCAAACCTTGATCGAGCTGACTGCCACGCTTTACCGCTCTTCTGGCGCTCTTTCTCAGTGGTTGGGTCCACCTACAATTCAGCGCCCAAGCGACCTGAGAGATCAGCTCCTCACCGTTCCGATCCTCCCGCCGCTACAGCAGCGATCCACTCACGACTCGCTGGAACCCTGCAAACACAAGCTTCCCCAAACCCAGGGCAGAACTCCTGCGGGCGGGCACAACCCCAACTTTCCACGCCCAAGCAGTCGCCTCATCTCATTGGTGCCCAGACGCGCTTGGGCCACAGAGTAATTCTAGAGTACCTGACACACACGCACACTGCGCAGCGATTCTGCATCTGCCCGCTCGCTTCCCCAAGCCTTGGAAGCAACGCACGCACCCCCATTTGCGGCCCAAATTCTCTCGCTTCTCGCTCGCTGCCTCTCCCCGGAATCGTACAGGCCTGTGGACCGACCATCCTTCCTTTGCAGCCCCAGAGTCGCGCACCAACAATCCATTAGTCCCGTTGGACATAAAAGACAAACTATTTTTGATCGCTCTATTCGTACTTTTTTTTTTTTTTCCCTCTCTGGCCTTGTCGGGCGGCCTTGCACCCACTTTGCCATTTCCGCAAGGTTGAGGGCAAAGGGGACCCACTTCCCAACAAGGCTAGCCGTTCTTATTGTTAAGCCCCGACCACCCCCACTTTGCCTTAAATCGCCCACTCTCACGTCTCCAAGTCGCAAAACCCACCACCAAACCAAGTCCGAGTCACCTCAAACGCTACGGCGGCCCACCCTCTCACGGAGCAAAAACTCGCGCCGTTTCCTTGCCTCCTCACAGGCTCACAGGCTCAAAGTGGTTCTACACTGCCCAGAGGTTCGGTTTGGTTACATTTACAACTCAATACATCACACAACACTTACCAAACCTTCCGCATTCGCACGCTCGCAGTCCACCGTCATAGTCATAAACCAAGCGCACCGCGCCAAGTGCGATTCCAAGTCGACGTGCAAGTACCCCTTATCTGCTCGACCGAGAACTTTCTATTTTCTTTCGACTTGACACGACACCACCAGCTTCTCCTTTGCTGAGTTATCCACAGTCCAACTCGACCTCGAGTTCGAGTGCTATTTCGCCTCTCTCTCTCCCCCTCCCTCCTTCTCCCTCCCTCCCTCTCTCCCCCTCCCTCTCTCTTTTCCCCACTCATATGGGGAGTTGCCCCTCGTCGACGAGACTTGAGACCTCATCAGTCTAGGTACGTGCAGCGTGCGTCTATCTGCCTGGGGCGTTGCCGCCACGCAGGAGCTTGATGGTACCTATTTGGGGGTGTCAGGTCGCCAGGCTGCACAGCCACGGCCTACGTCGGTAATTTTGCAGGCGGTGACCCCGATTCTTGGCTGCGTGGGACTCGGGCTGACATACCTCCCTCCCCCTCTCATAGGTCTGCCAACCCACTTAACTTGGCCAACGACATCACTCCGTCCAAGGTCAAGACCGTACACCAGCACAACTCCTTGGTCGGGGAGCCATAACCTCACCTCCGTAATATACCCTACCTCCCTCTGCCAGTGAAGCGCACATAGTATCGTTCTTTTGGCCAGGATGGCGCAACACGGTTTCCAGATGAACGGTCCTGGAGGGATCGACCCGAACGATCTTGCTATGTCTGGTAGCATGCAGTCACCATTCTCGAACAATTTCCCCGGGGCTGCCCCAGCAACCTTCTCAACTGGCTCTGCTGTGTTTGGAGACGATGAGCTCTTGGAGGGTCTCACCAGCCCAATCGAGCCGCAGGGCGGTATGCAAAACCAGGCGCAGGACTTCGGCATGAACGACATCGGCATGAGCTTCTCGCATGGCGTATACAGCTCTCACCACGGCTTGCCGATCGATGCCGGCAACAATTTTTCGAGCACTCCAGATGGGGACCCGATCCAGAGTCCCTTCGTTCACAACCTAAACCAGTACCGGGGCATTCAGCATGCGCAAGCCTTCGGCAGCTCACTGCAATCACCTCTTTCCTACACAGGATCTCCTCTAGCAAAGTCCGATTTGAATGACGACCCGAATTTCCTCAGCGCGAAGGCACGCTCGGCAAGAATTCCTCCGGCAATGCAACGCAACCCATCGAACCCCGCACAGAAGACCGGCTCCGTGCCGGGTATGCCGATTGGCACGCAGTCGTTTGGCGCACAACCCATTAGGACAGCGGGCGTGCATCACGAGAAGACGCACTCGGGGCAGTGGATCCAGACACCTAACAGCATCTCTTCATTCCCGGGTTCAGGTTTCTCGTCGCCGATGCAGCCTGGTCTGCAAAGCGCCCAGATCAACGACATTATCCTGAAGGGTGGTGCCTCGATGCCGGCTAAACTTGGTGCAACTGGCCCGGCAGCAGCGGCCGCTGCCGCTGCCGCTGCCGCTGCCGCAGCTTCTCAGGAGGCTCGGAGAAAGCGCAGGCGTGAATCTCACAACCTTGTCGAGCGTCGCCGGCGAGACAACATCAACGAACGCATTCAGGATCTAAGCAAACTGGTGCCCTTGCACCGTTTAGAGGATGAAAAAATCCGAAAGGCCATCCAGAACGGTACCCCGTTGTCGCCATCGCTGACTGGGACTTCGGCTACCTCGGGTCTTGCTGGGCCTGGTGCTCGCAGGGCGACTGGCAGCGTTGGTAATATTACCACGGGTCTACCAATTGAGGAGAAGGACAAGGGCCCTAACAAAGGCGATATCCTCAACGGTGCCGTAAGCTGGATGCGCGATCTGATGTGGATGTGCCATCTCAAGATCCAGCAACAGGAGGAACTGATCAACGCGCTGCTAGAGCGTGGCGGCACTTTGCCCTTTGAGATCACTGATGACGAGCGTCGGATGCAGACTGAACTGATGGAGGCCATGGCTCGCATCGATGAGGCAACAGGAAAGCCGCGAACATTCTCATACTCGCGCACAGCGGGGTCTGGTCTCCGGGTGCCCCACCATACAGACTACCGTGGCGAGCCGCTTAACGGCAACGGCAACAGCAACAACAACTCGACGGCACAGTCTTCGGTTAGCCCAGCCGGTAACAACAATGGGCAAGGCGACTTGAATAACAGCAATAGCATGAATGACCTTGCCGATCACGAGTTTGTGGACTTTGACGAAGATGACGCCAACGGGGAGATGACGTTCAAGGAGGAGGACGAGTACATGGATCTGACAACGTAGCAGGCTTAGCGTCTCAGCTCGTTTTATTCCTCATTGTGTTTCTTTTAGTTTGGCGTGTATCTCGGCTTTGGTTCTCCAGGAGATCTGCATCTTGCTGGCATCTGCGTCTCTGCATGGCATGGCACATACGGATCCGGTCTAGTTATTTGATTTCGTCGGTATGCACAGCATCGGGAAAGGTTTCTTTTCTTTTTTTCCCCCTCTTCTTCTTTTTAAGACTGCTTTTTGCGGGGCGCGGATCGGTCGGCTCATCGGCATTTATACTCAGGAAGTTCACCAGGTTGGCGGTCAGGGGTTATCTGCGGATGGATGGGGATATACCTTGAGACACCACATGATGGACTTGTAAACCCTAGGGAAGAGTTTGGTTGGCCTTCGGGGAATATTACAATTCGGAAGTTACCATTCCATGCTCAACGTACTTCTCTCTGTTACGTCTTGTTTCCTGATGATGCTTCTACGCTCAGCACTAGCTTATTCGCTTACTCATATTTACCCCCTAATCTTTCTTTTGTTCTTTGATGATACCTCGGTTTTCTGATGAAGGATGGATTTGGCATGACATTGCACTGCTATACTGAAACGAGGAAATGCAGACATCGCATCACCGTTTGCCAATCTATATCAAATCACTTTACATACCTCAGATCCGTACCTGCCTATCCACCTTCCTACCTTGCTATCCATCTGCATTGGTGTCCTCCAGTTCACAGTTCCCGCATGGTTTCGGTGCTTGAACTGATACCTCATAATTCTAAACAACATTTTTCTTAACTGCGTCCATCACTATGATCATGTGTTATGTGGGATGTAGTAATAAGAAGACTACTTGATGGCTACTCTGATGATAATGGTCATGATAAGAGTACGGCGATTGTTTTCGGTGGTTAGTGTGCACGCATGGTGTGGCTGTTGTGGCGTGTACTCTAGCAAGATATGGAAGCTTTAAATGCATGTGGTTATATTGTTTTGTTTTAATTTAATAGCCTCTCCTTTCCATACATACGCACCACCGCAATTATCGTATATAGTCCCCTTTACTCCTGGCTCGACCATCGAAAAAAAGAAGAAAAAAAAAACATACTAAGTACGGACGATATATAGATATATGCCTCTACACATCCTATACATACATCTCGGCAGTACACATTACCAATGCCTCACACAAAGCAGGTACTCGCTCATGGCCGTCAACAATGTCCACACGTCCTTGCGCTTCATGTCTTCTTGCAAGGCGATACGTTCCAAGGCTGACCGGCCGTTGAAGTACTTGCAGAAGGCGGGCCAGGCGTCAGCCACGCGCTCGTCTAGGTCGGCGGTACTGTCGCGGTATTTGGGGGTTATTCTTGAGGAGGCTTGGTTTGAAGCTGTTGCGTTGCTGTTAGGATGTAGCATCAGGTTGGTTGTCGCTGCAGTTGTGGTAGTCGTCGCGTCTTTGACTCTGGAGGATTGGTGGCCATGGTAATGATGCTGCGGCTTCCCGCTTCCACTACTACTTCCGGTTCCACTTCCTGACCCTGACTCAGCCCCTGTTCCCAATGCCGAGCCCTTCTCTCCCCTTTGTCGTCTCTTTTCCTCAGCCTTGAGTTTGAACCTCCTCTCGATAGCACTCAGGTACAAACTCTCCTTGCCCGTTGCCCGCTTGGCATCAAGGATGATATGAGGCTGGATACCCTCCAGATGTTTGGCATGATTGACACTGGGGTGAGGTGTCACCTGGGGAACGGGCTTTCGTGAGTGGGCGAGAGCCCGCTCGGCGAGTTCGCGGGCGGCCTTGTCAGCTATGCGCTCAAGACGGGCTTTCTCGGCTGCCTGTTCGTAAGGGGTTGGTGTTGTTGTCACTGGGGCTGTTTGGGGAGGGCAGGTGGCAGTTGTTGGGGTATGAGGGGTCGGTTGGAGGAAGTGGGGACTGGGAGTTGCGACTGAGATGGATAGGTGATGGGGTTGTTGAGTGGACGGGGGGAAGGATGGCGTGCCAGGAGGGATGGAACATGCTTGGGAATGGTGTAGGATGGGCCGGTTGAGGGCTATGGATTTGGATTGGGCGTGGGTGAAGGGAAGGTCGCAGAAAGAGGTTGAGTCGGGGGTGTTGTCATCGGTCAAAGTAAGAAAGCCTGAGCCAAAGCCGGCGACGGCTGCATCACCCAGGGCTGCCACAGCAGCGGTGGCAGCAGCGTCATCGCTTTCCATAATCCCAGAACTTGATCCAACGGCAGCAGAAGCAGAAGCAGCACTAACAGCAGCAACCGGAACGGCAACAACGCTGCCAGCACTGGTACTCGTGCTACTGGGCTCACGAGGTACGCTCTGCGCCTTCTTGGCCCGCTCGATCTCTTCAGGCCTCGAGCTGGTACTCCACCTCATAGATGATCTCTGGCCAAACAACCACATACGCAAACGTACAGAGCTGTGTAACCCAACCGCCACGCATTAACCAGGCCAGCATGGCCATGTAGACTGGGCGATGCGCCTTGCTGGGGCAAAGCTGCTTATATGGACGCGGGCAGACGCTCAGTTCGGCCAGGAAGTTGGGTAACGGAGGAGAGAGGGGAAATTGGCGGGCCCAATGGACGCTGGCTTGAGGAAGTTTGCGCAAGTTGCAGTTAGGACTGAGAATGTAGGTGTCACGAGCATGGAGAGGGGGGATGGCGATGGCACGGCGCCAGTAGATGAAATGCTGGGCGAATTTGCGGACTTGGGATGGCGTCAGGACGTTACTGGATTGTTGGCAAACTTGGTGGAAGCTAGGCAGTTGTTAATACGAGTCTACGGGTCAGGGAACCAAGGGGGTTAGACATACGAGAGTGTCGGCTTGCAGTGGCGCACAAACTCTATCATGGCCAGAGTCGTCTCGTCCGGATCGCTCTCCAGCTCGGCAATGATGCGCTTCTCGTCCATCATGAGCAGCAAGGCGAAATTTTTATCAACGAAGCCTGGGGTCTCGGCAGCCTCTTCTGCCAGCAGTGAGTTGGCTGTCGTCAGCCATAGCCCTGGATGGCCCTTTTCTCCCTCTTGCGGCAGGTCAGAGACGTGGAAGGGTATGGGAATCTGCACTGAGTGCGTCACAGTGCCCTCGGCGGTCTCCAACTGGATGGCAGCGATGCGATTTTGGGAGATTGACTCGTAGATGTCTTGCATGGATGCGGCGAGCGAGGAACTGGAGAGGATTTCCTCCCAGAGCTGGCTCATTTTGCGTCCTGAACTCGGTCAGCACCAAGCCCCTCTCGTCAAAGAAAAAGAAAAAAAAAAGAAAAGAGAGAGAGAGAGAGAGAAATTTTGGGGGGGGGAACATACGCTCTTCGCGCCCTTTGTCCTTGAGGCGCAGAATTTTCTTAGACTCTTTCCGAACAAAATCGGCACGCTGCTGGCAGTACTTGTAGGCCTTGTTGACCTTCTTGATGATGTGGGTAAACATGAGGTCGATTAGGTCGCGGGTCTCATGCTTCTTGGGATTGAGGAAGAAGACGAGGTTGAACATGTCCATGCTGCTTTTCTTCTTGTCCTCGGGATCTTTCTTGTCTTCGGGGTCATCCATTGCTGGTAACTTGAGGCCATCGTTTGCCTCATCCTGATTCTGGGATTCGGCCTGCACCTTCTGCTCGTCATCACTCACATCCTTTTCCTCACCACTCCTTACAGAACCCCCCTGATCTCCGACTCCAGTATCTTCACCTGGCCCACTGCCACCGGCATCGTCCCTCTTCCTCGACCCCTGGCGCTGCACATCCCAGCCCTTCTTCTTCTTCTTCTTCTTCCACACGCCACTCTCTGGCACATAAATGGGATACGACACGCAGTAAAGCGTATCCAGCGACACTTGGAAGCGCCGCTTGTGGTATGGCCGCGCAGGCGCCAAGAGGTGCTTCAGGTGCTGCGTCGGGAAACCAGCGACATACTCCCAAGGAGCAATTTGTGCACCATTGTCTGCAACTAAGTGATCATCGTGGTTCCAGTTGGCCAACTCAGCTGGGCTGATAGCGGCGTCGGCGCCCTCAAGCGGCAAGGCCTCAAAGTGCGAGGAAGAGTCGCGGGTTGGGCGGCCGAGGATGTCGTCATCATCGAAGTCGCCAACGGTGGTACTTTCAGCATTCTTCTTCTTGCTACCGGGAGGGGCAATGTAAGCTGGATAGTGAAAAACGAAGCATGGGCCTTCATGGGCGCGCTTGATGACAAGGGCCACGCCCAAGAAGTTGTCGGGGTTGGGGAGCACGGGAAGGGCCATCCCCAGCTGCCAGTCTCTTTTTTTTTTTTTTTAATTCAGGAGGGTTCTTATTGTCTGCCAGTATTTATTCTGCTGTGTACTTTGACTCGCTTATTTTTACGGATATTTTGGCGGCCAACATTTCATCGGCCGTTGAGCTGGCTGGCGCTGATGTCGATGCTGATGCTCCATCTGCTGACGTTCCGCTCTGATGGTTCAGCACATCGATGCCAAGGCCAGATGGAGCTTTTGCAGGGACCACTTCAAGCGGGGCCGTGCAGCGTGGGGTTGCTGGACCAGGCACGCTCCACTGGACCTCCACCCCAAACACACCAAGTTTAACAGTGGGCGAGTTGCGATGCTTTGCCTGAGAGGAGGGGCACTAAAGGGGAAGGAGAGGGAAAAGCGGGGCTCGGCTTGTGATGAAATCTTAGGCAGGCAGGGGACTCGCAGCGCAGCATGTCTCGCCCACTGAAGAGATGCCAGGCCCCGTGTCGCCCATCGCCCCCCTGAAACCCTGAACCATAACCAAATTCCTATCACAGTGCACCCAACAACCACTGGAAGGGCAACTGATCGTATGAGACGCGGCCAGGCCACACACACACACACACACACACACATATTACATACATCCCTCAACTCTGTACGCGCGTCTCGTGTGCCCTGCGCCCCTCTGCGGTCCTTTTTTGTCTTCTCTGTCAATTTGTCTGACCTTGCTTTGTTTCCCCGCCGCTCGCTTCGCTGTTCCTTCAAACTGCAGATTGACTGAGAACGGACCCCTGGACCTGGGACGCTCGCACACTCACCGCCCTCCCAACGTCCCCGATAGCCTCAGCTTCCCCTAATTTATCACAGACTCTGCCGGTATCAGGGCCTGTCATACCTGCGATTGGAGTCTCACTTAACAGTCCCTCGCTGCTCGCGACAGACGAAAAAGACGCCATGGCTACCAAAGGCGAGAACGGCGTACACGCCATCCCCAACATCAACAACGCTACCAACGGCGGCCTACCATCCCCAAGCCACATCCGCTTCATCCCTCTCTCCTACGATAGCTCCAACTCGCGCGAATCGGCCCTGCGTCTGGTCCTGTCCGTTCGCCCGGACTGGTCCGACAGCACCTCGACCATCGAGTTCGTCCGCTTCACCGACGGCATCACCAACACCCTGCTGAAGGCCATCAACAAGCTGCCCGGCCTGTCCAAGGATGATGTTGACCGCGACGCAATCCTGCTGCGCGCCTACGGCCACGGCACGGACCTGATCATCGACCGGCACCGCGAGACGCAGAACCACGAGCTGCTCATGCGCTACGGGCTTGCTCCTGAGCTGCTGGCGCGCTTCCAGAACGGTATGATGTACCGCTTTATCCGCGGCAACGTGACGCACCCGGAGGACCTGCGCAAGCCGGCGATTTACAAGGCCGTTGCGCGGCGCCTGGCTGAGTGGCATGCCATCGTGCCGTGTATCCCCGGCCGGACGGGCCACCATAGTCGGCAGAATTCGAGGAGCGACGTTGTGAGTGTCACGTCGGAGGACGAGCTGCAGAGGAAGATAGATGGTGTGGCGCCGGGCAAGCCGCCGCCGAATGTGTGGACGGTCATGCAGAAGTGGATTTTTGCGCTGCCGACCGAGACCGAGGCCCAGCGCGCGCGGCAGGCCGAGCTGCAGCGCGAATTTGAGGGGTTGGTTGCTGAGCTGAGCCAGAGGCCTGGCTTGGGCGAGAATGGGGTATGATTTAACCAACCTCTCTCACTTATTATATAGAAACAGTCACTTACCATCTGTCCTAGCTCGTCTTTGCCCACTGCGACCTCCTCAGCGGCAACGTGATCGTGCTCCCCAACAGCGACCCCAAGACATCCGATCCGCAAGTTGCCTTCATCGACTACGAGTACGCGACCCCTTCCCCGGCTGCCTTCGACATCGCCAACCACTTCGCCGAATGGGGCGGTTTTGACTGTGACTTCAGCGTGCTCCCCACCCGCGCCCAGCGCCGCGAGTTCATCGCGGAGTACATCCACGCTTACTTCAATCTCCTACGCTCCCGGAAGATATTGACCCAGGAAGTTGACGAGGAAGCCGAGGTTGAGAGGCTGCTGGACGAGGTCGACCGGTTCCGCGGCGTGCCTGGGTTTTATTGGGGCATTTGGGCTTTGATCCAGGCGACCATTTCAGAGATTGAGTTCGATTATGCGTCGTATGCGGAGACTAGGTTGGGAGAGTACTATGCCTGGAAGCAGGAGGTGACGGGGGAGAGGGCAAGGCTGGGAAAGGAGATGCCGCTCAGGGAGAGGAGGTGGGCGCAGGAGCAGTGAGAAACTTTCCAGCATGAGTGTCTGCTCACTGGGTGTTTTTTGTTGTTGTTGTTGTTGTTGTTGTTGTTGTTGACCTTTGTTTTTGTCAACACCACATGGTGACGAAGGGGATGCAGTTCAGGGCAGGAAAGGCGCTTGGGTACAACTACAGTCATTATCGTTATTCGGCATCATTTGGGTTGGTTCGCGTGGTGGAAGTTATTTTCTATCTCTCCTAAGATTTTTCTTTTCACTCATCTTCATCTGCATGGGTAGAAGGGCGAACATTCAACATGGGCTCGGTCACGTCGTTTTTCTCGTTGTCATGGATAGATACCTCATCAACTGGCATGGCATTGGAGTTCATCAGGGGCGTCGCAAAGAAAATGGATGTTCCTAAAGAAAGGAAACGATGGGCAATCCGGGTGCGATGGGATACAACAGAGATGTAAATAAACAAAAAAATTATAAAGGATTCCTTTTTTTCTCTTTCAACAAAAACAAGCTAGTCTCTAATTTCGATACTTAAATCCCCTGTTGAAGCTCCCTCTAATATAAACCCTTGTTGAAACCCCAAGGTTCCTGATATCACATAGCACATAATTGCAATTCTAACGGTACCATCATGATTGAAAACCCGACGCCATGACGCTACGGTGTTGAAGACCATCCATCCGTCCACCCTTTTATCTCCTCTTTGTGTCACTTCTTTTTCAAGTCACCCATTTACTCGTCCTTAAGCGGACTCTCCCCTCCAGTACTTGTTTGGCACGAACGGCATCTTACTCACAACAGCCTTCTTCGGTTTCCCCCGTACGACGACCTGCACCTCAGTGCCAACCTTATGCAGCCCCTCCTTGATATACCCCATGGCAATGTTCTTGCCCAGACTTGGGCTGGGGCACCCGCTGGTCACAACACCAACCTTCTCTCCCTCCGCAGTAACAATCGGATACCCTTCTCTTGCGGGGGCGCCCTCGACAATCAAGCCAACCCTCCTCCTCTCGACACCCTCGCCGCCCTTGGCCTTGGGAACGAGCTGTTTAGCAATCTTCTCAGCACCATAGTACCCCGCATCGGGGCCCCTCCTCTCCTTGGGGATGATCCAGCTCAGCGCACCCTCCACGGGGGTCGTGGTATCATCCAGGTCGTGGCCGTACAGGCACATGCCGGCTTCCAGACGAAGCGAGTCACGGGCACCCAGGCCGGCAAGTTGGACCTTCTCGGGGCCGCCGGCCGACAGGATGGCCTCGGTGATGGTGACGGTCTCGGCGGGTGAGGGGATGGAAATCTCGAAGCCGTCTTCGCCAGTGTAGCCGCCGCGGGAGATCAGCACGGGAGAGGTCTGGGTGTTGCTGCCGGGGAGCATGAGGGGCGTGTAGGCAGAGTGGCCGAAGAGAAGACCGCGGAGGTTGAAGTCCTTGGGGAGGAGGAGGGACAGGATCGGGGCAGCCTCAGGGCCCTGGAGGGCGATCAGGCCGCTCTCGGAGAGCTGTTCCTCCTTCACCTGCAAGCTCTCATGGCCCGGCTCGGCGTTCCACTTGGCCATCTCCTTCCGGAGGTACTCGTTGTCCTTGTCGCGGCACGCGGCGTTCGTTACAACATAGAACTTGTCTGCCGTCAGTTTGGTCACAATGGTATCGTCCACGATGCCGCCCGACCCATCGGCATGCATGATGCAGCTCAGGGTACTCCTGTGCTCTCCCAGAGCCGACGCAGCGCTAGGGGTGATGCGCTCGAGGAACTGGGCGGCACCGGGCCCGGAGAACAGGCGCTGCACCATGTGGCCGACGTCGAAGAGGGAAGCATGCGAGCGCGTGAAGAGATGCGACTGGATGACGGAGAGGGAGGAATACTGCACAGGCATGTGGAAGCCGCCGAAGGGGACCATCTTCGCGCCATACCGGAGGTGCAGATCGTAGAGGGCGGTTTTTTGGAGGGGCGCGTTTGAGGAAGAGGAGGCATAGCTGCGACGAGCTTGAGTCCGAATCTGCGTTGGGCGAACAGCCTGCTGGCGAACGACGGACGCAGAGAAGCTACTCTTCGGTTGCTGCACCACCGGGGCAGCAACTACAGTCGAGATAAAGCGCCGGACGGCGGCATTGCGAGTCCAAGTCTGAGTCTGGCTGCGGCAGACGCCCCGGAGGGCGCTGGCAACGGCAATTGACCTAGAGCGCTGCATGGCGACCGCTTCCAGATTACTACCTATTTTAATTATGGTGTTTAGAAACGAAACACCTAATATCGAAAATTTGCAAATGTCAACAAGAAAGGACGAGGAAAAGAATGGGACTAAGGGACCAAGGGAGGTGGACTCGTGCTGGGCGCAAGGTGACTGATCGGATCCCCGTCCACGATAAAATGATAGCCGATGTTGGCCGAGTACCCGCTATCGGCTCCGCCTTGGCAACTGAACTTTGAAAGAAACTCAAAACTCAAGTCTGAGCAACAAACCGCGGGCCGGGGGGCTGATATGCGACCCTCCGACTGGTCCAGCCCCTATCGGCCCGTTCCAGACCGTCGCTGATCGGTTCCGGGACGCTGACTCGAGCACGGGATGGTTCACATGCTTCCATGACGACGACCATCATGATAGGGCAGGCAGGTTGCCATGACCAAAAACGGAAAAAAGAAAACAACACGTCCATTATGTATACGACAGCTATATATACGTGCCCAAGAAGATTACTACGCCCATCTCCCTCTCCTTCTAAAAACCGATCCCTCCTCTCTTTCTCACCGGCTTAACCACAGCACCAACCCTGACAACCTTCTTTTCGCCAGCCTTCTTCTTCCCCTTGCGTGAGAGCTGCAAACCTTCTTCTTCTTCCTCCTCCTCCTGTCTCTTCTTCTCCTCAGCCCGCTTCCTGTCCTCGGCCATCTGCGCCTCAATCTCCATGCGCCGACTAAACTCTGTCTCCGTGATCCTCTTCTCCCTCACCGAGTACCCCTTCTCTTTGATCGAGTAAAACACGCCGCCCAACTCAGCCAACCAGTGCGGATCCACGGCCGTCACCGTCGACATGTACTCCTTCGACGTCAAGATCAGCTCGTGGTAGACGACATAGTCGGGCAAGAAGCCGAGCCCGTACAGGGCGCTGGTCGGGTGCAGCTGCACGGTGACAGACGTCCGCAGGTTGATGTACTCGCCGATGCCCTTCACCTTGGCCGCCTGGTGGTAGTAGCCGGAGCAGATGCACTTGCGGATGATGTCCCAGTCCGTGCCGCAGCTCACCATGCGCATGTGCTGCATCTTCATGATGTCCAGTAGCTGGTCGCGGACCTCGCGCGCACGACGGAGCGATTTGGAGTGCAGGAAGTGTCGCGCACACCACGCGTCGCTGTAGCCGTTCGCCTTCCATTGCGTGTAGACGTGCAGGTAGGTCAGGTGGTCAGACTCGGGCACGAAGAACTTCTCGCGGGCCGCATCGGACTCCTCTTGCCGTTCCTTGGGCCGGTAGAAGACGTTCGGCACCGACAACATCGACACGATGGTCACCATTTCCTCGCTGCAGCCATATTCCTCCGACATGATGAGCAGCTTGGCCAGCGGCGGGTCCATGGGGAAGGCATTCATCTTGCGGCCCAGCTCGGTCAGCTCGCCCAGGTTGTCGAGCGCCCCAAGCGCCCACAGATCGTACAAAGATGTTGTAATGGTGTCCTGCGGAGGGGGGTCCATGAAGTCGAAGTCCAGCAGGTCCTTGACGCCGAGGGACTTGAGAAGCAGCACCGTGTTGCTGAGGTTGGTGCGCTGGATCTCGGGAATAGTCTGCATGTACATCTCGTCGCGGAACTGCTTCTCCGTGTACAGCCGATATGCCTGGCCTGGCCCAGTGCGTCCAGCACGACCAGCTCTCTGAGCGGCGTTTGCCTGAGAAATCGGCGTAATCTGCAGCGTGTCCATGCCCATGCGCGGGTTGTACACCTTGAGCTTGGAGTAGCCGCAGTCAACCACGTACATGATACCATCGACCGTTAAACTCGTCTCGGCAATATTCGTAGCCACGATGCACTTGCGCACCCCGGGAGGGGCACGATCAAAGATCTTGGCTTGCAGATCTGCCGGCATCTGACTGTAGATAGGCAGCACGCTGAGCTTGGGCGGGTCGTTGAGCGCAGCCAGCCGTTCCTGGATCAACTCGCACGTCACCTCAATATCCTCTTGGCCCGTCATGAAGACCAGGATGTCGCCGGCGGGTTTGCTGACGTGGATTGCCAGCACTTGCTGCACCGCCTGGTCAACGTAGTCCTCGACGGGCGAGCGATGGAAGAGGATGTCGACGGGGAACGTGCGTCCGGGGATCGTGAACTCGGGCGCGCCTCCAAAGAAATCTGAGAAGCGCTTTGAGTTCATGGTGGCCGACGTGATGATCAGCTTCAGATCCCGCCGGCGCTGAAGGATCTTTTTGAACAGACCCATCAGCACGTCAGTGTTCAGGGCACGCTCGTGAGCCTCGTCCATGATGATGCACGAGTATCGGTCCAGATCGGGCTCGTTGAGCGACTCGCGCAGCAGCACGCCGTCCGTCATGTACTTGATGACAGTCTCCTTGCTAGTGCAGTCCTCGAAGCGGATGGCATACCCGACCAGCGTACCCAGCTTGACCTCCATCTCCTCGGCCACACGCTTCGCCACGCTCATAGCTGCTACACGACGCGGCTGCGTGCACCCAATCATGCCCGTCTTGCCGTAGCCGTCTTCATACAGGAACTGCGTCAGCTGTGTCGTTTTGCCCGACCCTGTCTCGCCGATCACGATGACCACCTGGTTATCGCGAATGACGCGCAGCAGATCTTCGCGCACGGCGAAAGCCGGCAGGAACTCGCGCTGCTCCTTGAGCGTCTTGCTCTGGCTGAAGTTGCTGGCGCCCTCTTGCTTCTTGATGGCATCGCTGAACTTGCTGGTGCCACTGCTCGACTGGGCCTTGGACGCATCTTCGCTCGCAATCGGCACCGCGCTGTCCGTGTCGTCCTCCTTGACGCCCATCAGGTTGCCCAGCGCCGTACCGGCCACGTTGGTAGCAGCCTGGGCCTGACGCTGGCGCTCACGCTGCTGCCGGCGCTCCCTCACCACACGACTGCCCTTCCGACTGAACACAGCCATGTCGCTCGTCGGATCGCGCACAGCCGGCACGGGATCAACCTGCTTGGTAAAGATGGTCCTCCCATCCAGAAACGGCGGACGCAGGTCATGCACCAGCAAATGCACGCGCGTACCTTCCTGGTCCTCCTCAAAATCATACCCAACCTCCCGGCGCTGGGCCACACCAGACGTCAGCATCCGATTCGTCTCCCACGCATCCACATCCTTCTGCTTCTGCAGCTGGCGCGCGTTCATCATGCCCCGCGACAGCATGTTCATCTTCTTCTCGGCCAGCGCCGCCTCACGCTCCTGCGCCGCCCAGTAGCTGTCGTCGCCGAACGGATTGTGCGTCTCGTCGCCGAAGGTGTGCCCGCCGAGGTCGTCATCGCCGCCGTACCAGTCCCGGTCGAGGGCGTTTTCCGCATCCGCGTCGAAGCCGGGGCTTAATTCCGGACCGTCATCGCCGCGATGGTGTGGCGTCCTGGCGCCCTCGAGTCGGGAACCTCGGGGGGTTGAGCTGCGAGATTGGAGCGAGCCATTATTCCTGTTGCTGTGGGAGCGCGCGGGAATGTCACCAAAGCGGTCGTCAGAGCGAAGGGGATTGAAATCGAGCTTCCGCCGCTTCTTGCTGCGGTCGTCGTCGTAATCGCGGCCCATGTCGACGGCAAGCTTGTGTTTTCAAGTTCGAGCTGTTTCTGTGGGGGAAAAAAAAGGTTGATCTTTACACTGGCATCAGTCTGCATGCCGAACCAGTCGACATCGATGGAGAATTCTGATAAGCCGCGACCGATTACTTGGCGTCGGCTGTCAGAAGTCAACAAAAAAAAAGTCGGGACAACGAAACAGCGAAGCAGCAGCGCAACTCGTCACAAGCCAAGACCTTGATGGCTCCGGGTCCCACCGCCAAGCCTTAGCCAAGAATTACGATAAGATAAGATACACCCCGCTAGACAGCCCCACTAAAAAGTTGACGGGACGAAATGGAATTGAAATCTTCGATTTTTGCGACTGCCGACCGCTCGTTGACGCCAACGCTGAAGAGCCCCGGTCGGTCTGTTGCTGCTCCTGCTCCTTATTATTTTTTTCTTTTTTAGTATTACTTCCTCAGGATCTAAGTCGCAGCCAAAATGTCCATGATCACGACAACGGCCTGGGTGCCGCGCGGGTTTGCGGCACCCTTCCCGACCAAGTCCAAATTCGACGAGGCCGAGTTCCAGCGCATCGCGAACCTGGCCAAGCTGAAGCTCGAGGGCGCGAAGGAGGACCTCGAGGAGGCCGAGGCCGCTGAGGCTGCTGAGGGCGACCGCATGGAGGACGACGCCGAGGAGAGCGCTAAGGAGAACGGCGCTGGAGCTGGGGTTGATGGTGGTGCTGGCTCCAAGAAAAAGAAGGAGAAGAAAACAAAGACGGCAGAAGAGTTAGTGCAAATAGGTTTTACATGTGTTCAGAGATATCAATGCTAACAGCACACTAGAATCGCCATCGATGAGGAGCTCAAGGAGTACGACTTTGAGCACTACGACGACTCAGACGAAGATGGGGAGGGCCAGCCGCTAGCCATGTTCGGAAACATCAAGTCGCTCGCCTACTACGAGTCTAACGACGACGACCCGTACATCACGCTGAAGGACGACCCCGAGATGGAAGAAGAGCGCGAGGATTTGCAGATCCTGGCCACCGACAACCTGCTGCTGGCGGCCAAGGTCGAGGACGAGCTCGCGCACCTTGAAGTCTACGTCTACGAGGACGAGGCCGACAACATGTATGTTCACCACGACATCATGCTGCCGGCCATCCCGCTGTGCCTGGAGTGGCTCGACATCCCGGTCAACAAGGAGGGTGTCGACAAGAACGGCGTGGGCAACTTCGTGGCGATCGGCACCATGGACCCCGACATAGAGATCTGGGACTTGGACACCATCGACTGCATGTACCCGAACGCCATCCTGGGTGCGGGAGGCGATGTAGAGGCCGAGGGCAAGAAGAAGAAAAAGAAGAAGAAGTCCAAAAAGGCCAACGATGAGTACCATGTCGACGCAGTCCTGTCCCTTGCCGCGAATCGCAAGCATCGCAACCTCCTCGCTTCCGCCTCTGCCGACAAGACCATCAAACTCTGGGACCTGCACACAACCAAATGCGCCAAATCCTACACCTACCACACCGATAAAGTCTGCTCGATCGCCTGGCACCAAGTCGAATCAACCGTCCTCCTCAGCGGCAGCTACGATCGGACGGCGGCCGTAGCCGACATGCGCGCTCCGGGCGAGCAGCCGCTCCGCGTCGGCGTCGAGTCGGACGTGGAAACCGTCCGGTGGGACCCGCACGACCCGAACTTCTTTTACGTTTCGACAGAGCGCGGCATCATCCACCACTTCGACGCGCGCACAATCGGGCGGGACCCGGCTGCGAGCAAGACGGTTTGGAAGCTGCAGGCGCATGACGAGTCCGTGTCGTGCTTCGACCTGAACCCCATCATCCCCGGCTTCATGGCGACGGGCTCGACGGACCGGACGGTCAAGATCTGGAATATAACGCCCGATAATGGCCCGTCTCTTGTTGTTTCCCGTGATTTTGGGGTTGGCAAGGTGTTTTCGACGACCTTCGCTCCTGACAAGGAGGTTGCGTTCAGGTTGGCTGTTGCCGGTTCCAAGGGTGTGGTCACCATCTGGGACACCAGCACGAATGCCGGTGTTCGGAAGGCGTTTGCCCACCGCCAGGCTGATTTACCTTCGGTGGAGGGCAAAGAGGAGGATAGGCTGGTGGGGCTGGCGGAGGATGAGGACGAGGAGGAGAGCAGCGATGAAGGGGAGGATGGTGTGGAGGGGAGTGACAGTAGCGAGGATGAAGAGGGGGCGAGGTCGGGGGATGCGATGGATGAGGATTGAGTGTGATACCTCGGGTGCTGTGTAGAGTCTCTGTTGCTCTGTTCTCGGCTGCTTGATTGACTACCTTACGTCATTTTCGTACTCCATATTTGCTTTACCCGGTCGTATATAAATCTGGCGTTGGTGGGTTCCAAATCTGTTCCGAGCTTGTTGACAAAAATCTTGATCGTGTGTAGGTAAACAGCATATGTATCAATGCGTATTTTTGAGAACTCGATCCAGCAGCTTGCGTATCACTCGTTAAACGGCGCCGTCTCAGCTTGATGACGAAGCCCTGCGGCAGAGACAATGCTTCTACGTCTCTGCTTCTGCCGTTTCCAAAATTGGATGGTATGATGTCAAAGCCCCTCCCCTCTCCTCTCCTCCCCTCCGAACCCCTCCACTGTCGTCTAGGTACCTACCCACTCTAGGCGGGACGGAGGTCCAGTACCGTTCGGCTTACAATGTGCCATGTTTACCGTTGCCGTCTTTACGCGCTTGCTTTGACGCGTCAACTGGTGCCAATCTGAACTCACCGAAGTCCAGGAAATACTTGGACACAAAAAATCCTTCACGTGAGCGAGGTATGGCCACCAATCTCCCGAGGCCCGGGCCATCGAGGGCTGCGGGGCCGAGCTGTGCTCTTCTGCTGTGTAGTGTAGGTGCTAGCGCAAGTGAATGCAGAAGCGTGAAGGTGGTGGTCCGAAGGAAGCACAGTGGCTTTCTAGAACCACCTGACAACAAGACAACCTGCAGATGGATGGGCTGGCGACGCCGACGCCGACGCCGACGCCGAAGCCGTTCACCCGAGTCTTTGAACAGCACAGACTAATTGTATGATCTCAGTGGACACAACACACAATGTCAAAGACCTCCAGCTCTACATGTGCGGTGTAGAGCTTCTATGTACTAGGCACATCCGTATGATAAGGTATGGTATGGTATGGTATGGTAGGAAGTCGGAAGCTAGCTGACGAGAGCCGAGAGCGGAGATGTCGTGAAAATCCCGCTGCGATATGTAGAACATGTGCAAGAGGCTTCCATCTGCCTTCCTTCTACAAACAAACAAAAAAAAAACCATCGATCGCCTCGCCTCATTGTTGCATGGACTACGGGCACGGGATCGGCAACCCCAGCTCCAAGCCCACGGAAGGACGATCGAGCCGATCCAGAAAAGATCAGACCTGGTGGTGACAGCTCCGAAGAAGCTGGATCTTGGTTCCAACTGGACAGTCATCACTCTCTGACGTGTGCTCAACAAGCCCTACCGGTACTGCAGGTTCTTAGCTGAACTTGTCTTCTCGGCGACGTTCTTCCGGAGCTTTTCTCTCTTGGTAGTTTTCCCTCTCCACGCTCGCCTATACGGAATGCCGTTCGTCCCCCGCATCATCTGTGCTGATGTGTGTGTATGTTGCGGCACGCAAAGCCGTTCGAGCGGAGGGTTCCCCCTTGTCGCAGAATCTCCTCATCGAGTTAGCCGCCGTGGAAAGGGGACTGTTGCATTGGCCTTGGCTTTCTTCACCTCACTGGCTGGATGGCCGTCGTCTGTCTGGGCTTTTTTCTTTTTTTCTTTTTTTTTCTTTTTTTTTACTTTCCTGTCTCAAGAGTGTTTTTGTTGAGAGTGTTGTTGCAAGAAGTTCCGATAAGCTGAAAAGAGCTTTCCTTCTGCCGCTCCGAACACTAGTGTATCCTGATTCACATCGCCATCGTCATCCACGTCCCGCGACTGGTGTCACTCCAACCGCGCGCCAGCTTCTCAGCAACAACGCCGAACACAGTCCAAGATGGCAATTTAGACGGACAAGAGCCTCCTGGTGGCTCGCTCGTCGGTTTCAGATTTCCAGATGGACCAACATGCCTATTGCCCAGGGTTGGACCGGCTGGAAACACGTAGCCAATCAGCGGCCTTCCAGTCTCCCAACGGCCTGCTAGACAAGCTGGTGTCGGTTGGGGTCTTGCTTCATGGTTTCAGGACGGGCATCACCAACTAGAGCATGATGGCCCGAGCACTGCTTTTCCCTCACCAGTTCAGTCTTTACTTCACCTGCCATCCTGGTAAACTGGTATGATGTGCACGCCGCGCGTCCACTTATCCTAGCTTCCCAGCCGCAGCAGGGCTGCGAAACACTCGGGATATGTGCCGCGGGGGTGATCGACGAGCGGAGACTTCTCGAAGTCCTGCTACGGCCTGTGCAGGTTAAGAGCGGCCAGAAAGGCCCATCTCTAGCTGAGAAGAAATCCTGCAATCCTGCAGTTTGCCTCGATTGCCTTTTCATCACAGCAAACGTGGACCAGTTTGCACCTAAACACGTAGAGAGAGCCAAAAAAAAATAAAATAAACCAATGCAGGTACGCTGCGCCGCTCATGCGAGGAGCCCCAGTTTGTCGTGGCTTCTGGAGGGGACTGAGCCAATGGGCTTCGGCGAAGGCGACAGCAGAGTGATTTGCATCACGCCAAACCCGCGGTATTTTTGTATTTTCCTGTCAGGCACATCCCCGTACCTGCAGACCGAGCAGCCTGGATGGGCTGGATTATATCGAGATAAATTGATCAGGCCCTACCGTCAGGCACGCCATCTCGGCAGATGCCCGATGCAGATAGAATGAATCGCGTGGTGGTGTCTCGCAAGCTGGAGCAGTGCTCGTGTTGGAGCCTTTGGGGTTTTTCCTCCAAAATTCCAGTGTAGTGGATGACGATAAAGCTGCATCTCGAAAAAGCATTTCATCTGTAACAGCGTTACGACTGTCACTTTAACGGACGATGAAGAGGAAAGCGAAAAGGGATGAGGTTACACTTCTTTTCACAGGCCAAGCCGGTGCGCCGCAATCGGGGCTCTCTCATTGGCTCAAGGTGTAGCAGCTAGAACGAGCAAGCCCCACTAGGAGGGGCCAACCAGCGGGCCGGCACTAAAGCGAGCAAGGTCCACTGGTGGGGGAAGCAGGGGTGCAGGGCTTCGATGGAGAAGACGGACGCCTTGTCGAAACGGCCCGGTCTGCCCTGCAATCACCGGGAACCTGGGCACCACACCATTAGGCTATAGTGGACAGACAAAGATATCGCCAGCAAATTTTGAACTTCGAAATTGCTGTCCGTCTTGCAGTCTTACATGTGGCTCTGCTGTCCGCAGGCGTCGAGCTGAAAATCCGAAGAATCCGTAACATGCCTACTGTGTGCTTGTACAGGCGAGCATATGCAAGAAAAATTATTTGTTGGACGAGCAATCATGATGAATATATGGCAATCAGATGGAAGCCAATCCATCAGCGAAATCACGTAAGTGGCTGAGGACTTCAACCTACCATCAGTGGCAATAAAATACGGTACGATACAATATGTACTTAGTAAACGACATCAGGTCGCGGAGGGAACATGGGGCCTGTCATGATCCAGGATGCAACAGGGCGCTCTCCCTCCCCCACCGTGCCCCTTTGTGGTTCATGCCATCCATCCACGGTCCATGGATGCCCTCCTCCGGGCCCAATCCAGCCAGATGCCCAGAAGAATGCTGGTCGACCTAGTGTGTAGCCGTCTAATCCCCTGTTTTCTACGATGCGATTGTTACGCACTTTCCTTTCCCATCTCCCGGGTTTTCCCCTAGCCAAACGACATTCTCTCCTTTCTTTATGCCCGCCCTCGAGCTCTCCATTCCTTAAGCTCTAGTGTAGCTGGCAGTCTCCATTCATTTGCCTTGCCTTGATGGCCTTGGTTCGAATTTCCATCTGGTTTTGATCTCAACGAGCTTCCGTCCCAGGTTCTCGGCACTGAGGAGTCACACAAGCTGCTCGCGGTCTCACTCAAGCGCCCCCCTTTCAATCACCGAGACGCACACACACACACACACACACACACACACACACACGTACACACATTAGACCTCAGGTCGTGGGCGCGGACACCAGATCCTCCTTTGGCTCACATTCTCTCTTCATCAGACGACCTTTCCTTTCGACCTTTGACCTCCAACGGGCTTAGACCGTTGTTGGCCTCGTACCTCGTTCCATCCCATCGGACTGGATCCACTGCTCGACAGCTTTTCTGCTTTTTTTTTCTTTCTTTGAGTTCATCGACCGTCCTTGTGTGGCCTTTCTTTGTGCTGAAGCCTTACTTGGCGTTCCGTTCTCGCATCTCACTGCAGCTCTGCATCACTGCATTACTTACCCACAACCTTCCAGTTTCTCTTCTACCTTCCGGCTCCATCCTCCGCGTCTTTGACTTGGCGTTGCATTTATAGCGACGAGGTCTTTCTACCGGCAGCTGGATTCTCGCTTCTGTCACATGGTCCCTCCCACTCACGCTGGAACTGATACTGGGTACTGCTTCCCCCTCCTGACTTCCAAGCCCTGTACTCCTGGGAACGCCATCGCCATCCACAGCCTCTGCTTTGCCGAGCTCACATTGTGATTGCCTGGGCAACGTCAAAGAGTGCTGAGAAACCCTCCTTATCAAGAAAAACTAGGCCACAAGCCCATTGGCGCAACGTCACACTGAGTGACTGGCCTTGCATCACACGACTCCGTTCGCCGTCACGCCGGTTACATCGTCCCGGTGTACAGGCCAGCTATCACTGCTCGCGCTGGACAGCCCCTCCTCTTTGTTCCTACGGTAATTCTACACTCTGATCGTTGAGCTCTATCATCAATCTTCACCATATACCCTCACCTCCTGATCAGCATTCGCACGAAGTTGTGAAAAACGGCCGTCATCCTGCCCCCTCGTCATTCAGCTGTGAGGGCGCAGGTTCTGAGACCTTCTTTCAGCCATAATTTATCTCTCTTTTCGTTTGCTTGACAGCTCAGCCGCGAGCATGTCCATCGCAAGGGCATTCACGACCCGTAGGGTCAAGCAGAGTCTGGAGAGCGCCGGCGTGGAGCGCAGCAACTCCACGAGGGGCGCTTCCTCACTGCGCAACAAGATCTCGAGCCCCATCGCTCTCACACATACGACGAACATGCTATCGTATAACGCCCCCGACATCCACACACTGACATCCCCCTCATCAACAACAACAACTTCTTCCCCCAGACCGGACGACGACTTCTCCGACGGCGTCGCTACCTCAAACTCAACTCCCCCTACCAGTCCCGATATCGACTCGTCTCCTAAGTCCTCTAAGCAGTCACAACCACAGCAATCAGCAGTCCCCAATCACCTCTCATCATACTTCACTCTCTCTGCACAATCCCCCGAAGCCACAGCCAAATCTGCCCCTACCCCACCTGCCATTCCGCGTCGTTCTCCATCCCACACGACGAAGCCCTATTCTGGCCTCAGCAATGGCGGTACGACACTCGAACGACAACGCTCAACCTCGGGTATGTCGCAACAGTCGCAGCGCACAGCGTCAACCAAGACGAGCTTCTCCTACTCGCGGTCCAGCTCAGCGAGTACCAGCACCAGCGCGACATCGCATAATTCCGGTATCGTTGCGCATCATCACGTCAAGTTCTCTGGTGCTACCACAGCGAGCACAGCATCATCGCCGCTTACGCCACCTACGCCGCCGTCGCATGCCCCATCATTTTCAGCCGCTTCCTCGACCCTCTCATCACCGACAGCCAGACACCAGCCTACGTTTCCTCAGCAGCAGCAGCAGCAACAACAACAACAAGAAGAAGAGAACCGTGGTGAACGGCATAGGTACCAGCATAGAAAGGACTCTTCCAACACGACGACCGGCAGCCTGAGCAGTCACCCCTTTGGCAAGGAACTGGCGCAGGTGACGGAGATTGCGGAGGAGTATGGGGTTAAGGAGCAGGTCGTGAAGGTTTCGGCTATCACCACCAGCAGCTCGACATCACACAGTCATGGAGTAGTGTCTGTGGAGGCAGATGAGCAGGCTATGAAGGCAAAGGGGCTGAGAAAGTGTGCGCCGGAGGAGTATCTGAGTGATGTAAGAGGGTTGTTTGCCAGTTTCTTTTTGGGAAGTGTTTCATCGGGAGCTGCGGCTATGTTACCGCCGTTGATATCTCCGCCGCCAGCGACAGCACTGCCGACACCGCCGTTAGCAAGCAGGGGAGGTGCGCATAGCCCCCCGCAGCCGGTGCATCATGTGCCATTGCCGATTGCGGCAGGCGGGGAAACTTGGATTTAAGACTGCTGGGGAAGGTATTAAGTGGTGAGAAACTCTAGGGGCTATAATTTCACTTGTATATAATTTCTTATATGTTTTGGCATTGGGTTTGGGTTGATTCAAGTTTGTCCTCTAGCAGGCTGAGCGACGACTCCCTCTATTCACGATGGGGAGGATGAAGTTTTCTTAGACACGGTGATTGACATACCCCCATCTCACCGTCATTTGTTTAAATACCCAGATACTCTGAGACAAGAAAAAAAAAGGGGGGGGGAAAGGCTAGGAAGAAAGGAAGGCAGACAAAGTGCGAAGGTAGGAGTTTGGTCTTGGTTTGGTGAAAGACAGCATCCAAGCGGTGGAGTCATGATAAGAAAGGATACCAACAAATTGAAGGAACACAGAGGTTTTTGGGATTTCTTGTTTCATTACGTTTCATTGTGTTGCTGGAGGCAGGCTTGTGTGAATGCGAGAAACAAAAAAGAATATCGGATGGGTTGGATATTATATGTGGGATGTGGTGTACAATGTAGGCTGAGATTGTCTGCCTTGCGGGTCAAGAACTACTTTTATGTAGCTGTAGGATGCATATGGGAGTTGACGATTGATGATGAAGGATGGTTGGTTGCTTTTGAAAAAAAAAAAAAAAAACACAATGCCTACCTACCTTGCCGCGGATCTTTATTCTTCGGCTTTGTGAGTGTGGGTTCCTGGTGTCTGCATACCTACCTCCCTGGCTAGATGTCTTACCAAAGAATGCGAGTCAACCGGATATGGTGATTCACCTGTAGACTTTCCCATTCAAGATGATCACTGTCTACGTTCCTTTCGTGTAAGCTTTCCTCGATGTATCTACGGCCGTCGAGATAGCGGTCTTGCTGGTATCACCTGTCACAGAGGGATGGTAACTGGGCTGCATCAACAGGCCACAAAAGGACAAACAGTCGTGCAGGCTCAAAACTTGGGTTCTGGTAAGTCGTTGGTTTCTAGGTATGTCCGTTTTAGCTAGATTTAAGAGTTCGTTGTCCTAACTGTCTACCTAGATCACGTCGATTCTCTAATACCATTAATCTCATCTGCATACAGCATCAAGGAACTGGAATCATGTACTGCATCATACGCAGGTTACACTCATCTTGCAGAGATATATTGGTGGGCAGGTACCTAAGAAGCCTTTTAGATAGTACTCATCGTCTAGATTCTGCTATATTAGGGATAATGCACACATATATAAGCTAGGAGCAGCGGGACTGGTTCCGGATGGGGTACAACGTTGGGATGTTCATTAGCCTGGTGTTGTGCATGTGTTGTGCAGCTGCGGGGAAGCAGCAAGACTGTGATTGTACTGACGTTCAGAAAAACTGTGAGAAGAGCAAAAGGGAGAGATGTCAAGACACGGCAACGGCCGGTGTGTCCCCTGTGGCTTCGTAAGTATAAGGTAGTTCCTGAATGGACGACGTTTTACCAATTTTGAATGAACTATGACATAGAAATACCGCGATGGACAAGCTTAAGCGATATTCCATCTATCAATTTTGGCTTGTCTATTTCATCCGAAATCGGGTCAAACTCTAGAGATCCCCGTCTAACCAAAACTGCTGGGGTACATGTTCCACAGATGAGCTGATCCTTAGCAATCTTATTATCATGAGTGGCCCCTAAGAAAGGGCAACTTCCATTCTCAGAATTCTAAAGCAGCATCACGATGAACAGGTTGCTTCAATTTCCACAAGTCCAACAGGGTTGGTTATTGTCAGCCATTTGTAACTAATGGAGGGCAGTTGGCCTCTCTGCCAGCATCAAGTACGGCTCCCTCTTGTTGTCCATCAATGAGACTAATTAGATGAACTGAATCTAACAAATATGACGTCAGCAGGTCCGATGCCACTTGAAAGACTTTAGATCAAGCCATGGAAGTCCAACTAAAAACTTCAGGAACAGGCAGCTGATGGCCAACGGAGCCGGGCCGAGGTTGAAACAGTGACCTTCGACTAATTAGCGGGCCCGTCGAGCGGCCAAGATCCCATCAGCCGGAGACCGAAGATCGAATCTCATGTTAGTTGGTCCACAGACCTGTCGGGCTGGCTGGCCATTGGTGGGGTAGTAGCTACCGGGGGAGTTCAGAAACCGGCTAGAGCTGACTCAGGTTGCCCTTGGTCTTGGTCTTGGATTTTTCCTTGAGTTATAGGCTCAGATGCTGATTCATTGTGAGAGATAATAGGTGTGTGGAACTAAAAAGTAGCAAAAAATTGCCAAAAACATACAACACTGGGGATTCCCCAGTCGCCTCCGACCTGAGTACTAGCCCGGCCCTCAGTGGCTTGTCTATGGGAGAGCGGACGGGATCCCGAATTTTCCACTGGGTATGGTCGTATGTAACATATTGTAGTCAGAAAGGGGCCTTATATAAAAGCGATAGCCAATAATAGCTTGTCTACCAAAACATGGAAAAGGGGAGGTGAGGGAGGAGTGTCTGCCAGTGGTCATTTCCCAAACTGACTTTAACCATCAATATTGTAAGCCACTCCTTTTGTAATTTGTTCTTATTCTATCTCAAACGTATTAAAACTATTGTCTGTTCCACGGATAACCAATCACTTGCTCTTCAGAAGAGGTTTCATCTCCGGTTGTGTGTCAGATCCTGTCAATACTAGAAAGTAGAGGCAGTTGGTGTGAAAAAGGCCACTTTGAAAAGAGAAAACAACATTTCCTTTATAGTGCTGTCATAATCAAGATTTCATGGAAAGTTAAACAGTTTCACATGAGTGTTTATGGTCTTAGGGAGGCGAAAAGCGTCCTTCCAAGTTACATGATGTCACTTCTGCACCAGGGTTAGGGTTAACATGCACGCTCGCCTCAAGTGGGCCTGGTACCTTCTTGGCCTGCCCAAGTTCAACCGCCAATCGAGTTCTCGTCAGCGCTTTTGCCTTTGAAAGCCAACAAGCCAAACCAACCGCCATGGCAACCGCCGACTCCGAATCAAACCCAGCCCCGCAAGTAGTATTTCGTACGAAAAAGAAGGCAAAGCCATATCGCCAACACACTGCGACTACTGTTGAAAACTTGGAATCATCATTCGCTACAGCCAACGCCAGCGAACTTACGAAGGAAGAAGCCTCTCCAGCTGCGACCTCAGCTCCTGCTGCTAGCGGGATTGAAAGCACAAGCGATGTGCCGGCTGCAGCAACCAGCACAGCTCAAGACAAAAAGAGCAGCGAAGAAGATGAAGAGGATGGGCTCTCCGTGACAGAGCTGTTAAAGCTGCGCAATGCACGGAAACACAAGCTCGCTGGCGTGGGCTTCCGCGCGACAGATGAGAAGCCTTCTGCAACCGGGGAGGAGCAAAACAACATGGATGGAAAGGGGCTGGTAGTGCGCGCCGCTGCTGGTCTAGCAGGATCCGAGGTCGAGCAGCTCATCGGCGGGATAACGAAGCGGTTTGCGCCGCAGACGGGGTTCGTGGGAGACTTGGTCAACAGGCATATGTGAGTGCGATCCCCTCATAGAGAGAGCAATCGGGAGAGCGTCGCTTTGGAGCAGCTACTGATCAAGCAAGGGAGGAATACGTAGAATCCGAGTTGGCTAAACGAAAGCGGCTGGCTGCCGAGGCTTCGGCGCGACAGCAGCAGCAGGAGCAGGAACAGGAACAACAACAACAACAACAAGAAAGGGCTACTAGAAGTAGTCTACTAGGCGGTAGTCAACTCCTACAGGCCGCCGACCCGGCATCTGGACAAGGCGACGCGCAGCGCGTGCTGCATGGAAAGCTCTTCGAGATCGACCTGGGAGACGAGGCGCGGGCGCGCAACATTGAGATGACGGAGCGCGCGCGTCGGAGATTACAGGGCCTTGCAGACGACGAAATGCAGAACGACGGCAGCGGCAGCGGAAGCGGTAGTGGCAGCGCTGGCACTGGTGGCGGGCTTAGCAAGAAGCCCCGTTTGGGCAAGGGCCCGCGCAACCGGCGCGGCAGTGATGATATCCAGAGGGATCAGATGGTGGAGGCTTTCTTGAGCGAGAATAAGCGTATGTTTACCTCATTCTCCCTGATCAACTTTCACTTTCAAACTGACCTTGCTTTTCAGTCGACGTGTATGACATCCCTTCCCAAGACACGCACATGGGCCCTCATTCAGGCGACGAGGACGAAGGGGCTGCCGACGACCGGATCGCCGAGGAATTCCGGCGCGAGTTCATGGAAGCGATGGCGCAACGGCACCGCCGCCGGCGGCCGGCGCAGAACGCGGCGAAACCGGGCGCCAAGGGCCGCGCCGCCGCCAACGAGCCGATCCTACGTGGCCCGAAGCTTGGCGGCAGTCGGAATGCAAGGGCCGCAATGCGCGACTTATTGCTCAAGGAGCAGGCTCAGAAGCAGGCGCAGAAGCCGCTGGGGAGGAGGTGAGGGTCTGGATATGGATATGGAGTATGGATTGGTTGGTGTATCGCTCTTTGTAGGACGTAATGATCATCGGATTGATAACCCGGGGAGTTGCAGAATGGGTTTTTGTTTGGTTCTCTAGACAGCTGTAATTACTCCTGCATACAACAGCCTCATTTCTTTCACAACGCTAACAACGCCGTTGCTTTCTCGAGAATCCGTCCGTCAGGTATGCCCTCTTATACCCGTATCACGTGACTATCTGTCAGACACCCGCTTAAGCACGTGACCAGACTTTGGCAAGAAAGTCCCTTGACCACGACGAGACACAAGTTACTCCACTCGCTCTACCGGCGCGGCTCCGCGGAAACCTCATGGACCGCGATCCTTTCAGCCGCTCTTGTCGAGAAGCTCCAGGTCGGATTGGACATGAGAATTGCTGGATCGACAGTCGCAGCCGCATCGTTGCTCCTGCTTACGAAACGGCAGGGTTGCGTGGTTGTAGGGTCACATCTGCCTGGCCAATATTTTCTCTCATACCTTCTTTTCCTAGTTGTTTCGCTCAGCAGCATGTCATGTGGTACGGCGGCGACCGGGTCAACGCAAAGTGTAACAGGGGATATCTGACCGTTGCCAGACCGGACGGGATATTCGAGAGTATTTCTTTATACCTTATTCTTTGCCGCCGCTGCTACTTTATATGTGGGGTGGGGATGGTATGCCTTTTTTTGCTGACGGGAGGGGGTAGTGTAGTTGATAAACTTCTCACAATCTGACTTTGATTGCCCATCTTACGGCTTGGCCCGCAAACAAAGCAAAGCAAAAGCAGAGACAAAAAAAAAAAAAAAGCCAAGCAACTCAAAAAAAGCCTGGGAGTCGCTGGCACGCAGCCTTTTATTGCACACTACCATCCGATGCACACCTGCTGCTATTGTTAGAGTCTTTGTCATGTGCAGTCGGCCAGACAAATGGGGGCCGGGTGCAGCGATCAGATGTTCGCAGTTGGCGAACGTTTTGCTACCTTCAAAGAGAAATAGAAGTAAAGAGGATGCGACCAACAACGGAGAAATCTGCTGACATGGGTACTTTTTGTGCAATTCAAGGGAAACTCAGCGTTTGTTCAAGACTCGGCCCCGGCCATCGCGCACGGCTCAGTCACTCTCATGTTGCACTGCTTAATAAGAGAGAAGCAAGCACATTGTTTGACAGCGCGAACACGGCCGTTGATTAGATTTCGGGTGCTCCATAGTGATATAGAACAAACCATGTTGATCACTGACTCGAGGCTGGGAGATCGTAACTTTATCCAGCTTATCAGTTACTGGTCCAATCCATATCTACACACTATCCCACACCTCACCCATCGCCCAGCTTGCCTCTTTGTCGCAAGTGTGAAAGCGTCAGAGCACCCAGGCGGGTAAATAATAGTGTGGGTAATGTCCTGCAGCAGATAGCCCCTCTGAAGTGTTGCGTGCCACATTTGGAATGGCGTACGCTGAAGAACAGGGGTCTCTGGTTGGTGAAGCTGCGCCTCCAGCCTCAATGTAGCAGCAAAGCAATAGTGGGAATGGTTGCCAATCCAATAGTTGACGGCCCTTCACAGCCAGCCTAGCCGACCCAGCGAGAACGCCCAGCCCAGTGGCAGTGGTACTGCTGACCCGGGGGGTAGGTTGATTGGACCAGGCTGGGCTGGGAGGGGAGTGGCAATAAGCAACCATTCCTGAATCTCGTGCCCAGTCGGGAGAAGACCAAGAATTGGCTGCGTGGGCGGGCTGCGAGATGTTAATGGATGAATAGATGGATGAGCGCAGGAGGGGGTTGCGCTGCTAAGTGCTGACTGAAGCTGGAGGGCTGCAAAGCCTTGTCTCTGTCTCTTCCCATCCTTTCTCTTCCTCATCCTGCATCTTTTCTTCACCTTTCCTGTTGCTCACACAATATCGGTCTTGTTCTTGTTTTTGCGCCGGTTTCATTGTCTTGCTCGCCTTTCACGGACGGAAGGCTAGGATTTGACAACGCACATTACCCCCTTGGTCTTCTGCAACGTCACGCTTCCCTAGACATACGCGGTTCTGCTGTCGCTGCGATGGGCTGGTGATTCTGAACACCCCTTCAACTGCTGCTTTGAACTACCGTCACGGAGGGTTTTTTGTGCCCGCCCACGAAGATGAGGATGTCAAGTACAGGCCGGCTTGCCACAATAGTTCTGTTCCTGGCAAACCAGGTGGTCTGCACCGCAAATCGGGAAAACACAAGGGTTATATTCAACAACGAACAGTTTATCGGGGATTTGGATCCAAACTACGCAATATTCAGTGTATCAGCTATAAGCAGCCATTCATTCAGCTGGACTACTCACGATGCCTCGGTCTCGGAGATTTTCCTTTTCAAGGAAATTCAGGGTGAAAGTGGGAACCCAGGCAGTGAACCCGTGGCCTCCATTTCTGCTCGCGGTGATTCTTCTCTGAACTCAGTTTCCATTCATACACTGATTTGTGATTTGAACGCTCGTAAATCCAAGCCGGATGTTATAAGTTCGTCTTTCCTACTTCCATGGGCCTGCCACAACAACTGCTAATACCAAGACCTTACTGACCTGTGAGAACGATCTAGTGTATCCGAATAACTTCGAAGGAGGCGTCCCCTGGTGCTCACAGAGTGAAATTAATCTTGTCGATGTTCCGCTTTATTTTGAGGCTGTTTGGAGAAGCCATACTCGGAGAGATATGGGGCGAAGTTATAGCAGACTCTTCACTTTCGCCCACAACTTGAGTGAGATCACCAACAAGGAGAAGTATGCTGACCCACTGCCTTATCTGAATGAACGCACACATTCAGACAATACAAGCACTGCTAATGGTAGTCCCCCAACCACCACCGAGTCCCCAAATGGCTTAGGGACACCCGAAACAAGCACTCCGGTAGGAAACAACTTCTTGGGAAACAGTGAGAACAAAAATGGTGGCCTTTCTGGGGGTGCCATAATCGGTATTGCGGTCGCAGGCGGTGTGATCGGTCTTCTGCTTGTCTTCGCACTTGTTTGGTTCTTACGTCAGAAGTACCTCCAGAAACAGGGAAGAGTTGGCAGTCCGGGCACTGAGGTGAAAGGAGGTCTCATGGCTGAAAAAGACGGTGGTGTGGACGGCGAAGCGCACTCTCCATACTCCGACGAAGCTGCACCGCAAGTGGCACCAGCACCGGTGCTCCCTCACCACCCCTCTCTGCCATCCGATACTCCTGTCCAGTCCTTCCCTCAGCATTCCTGCAGCAGTCCATACTCGAACCACAGCGTCCCTGTTGCCGTGCCAGCTGTCATCCCCGTCTCTGCCCCCGGAACCCTCAGCGTGGGCACCGCCTCATCGATCATTGCAGGGCCCACAGCCGATGAGACCCGCTCAAGTGTGCCCAGCACGGCAACAACCGCGGCATCGACTCCTGCACCGGCTCCTGCCACGACTGCCCCTGCCGGGAGGGCGTTGTCGACCCCGCTGGCGCATCTGATTGAAGAGGGTATGACAGAGGAGGACATCCGGCGGCTGGAGGAAGAGGAGAGGGAGTTGGATCAGGCGATTGATGAAAGACTTGGTCCAAGAGCGAGGAGAGTAGAGTAGTTTGGTGTTTGGTTGGGGTGAGGAGAAGAAACGGGGATTTTGAGGCTGGGAGGAGTGATATGATGATGAGCGTATATTATTTTGAGATGGTTATTTTGATATGGAAATAATCAGGATTGTCTCCGAATTTATGGGGTACTGAGTTATCTCTGAGTTGGCTCGTCTCTTCATTCTCTTATGCGTTGGGATGCGACCATGGCATTAAGATTTGCATTGGCATTTGCGTGGTTGAGCAGAGAGAGGGTTTGCTAGGATGCGTCACTCGCTTTGATGCTCTTTGCAGATGGTTTTACGCTGCGTTTTCCTTGAGGAAAATGCACTGTTCTCCTGTAGCTGTCTGGCAAAACGAGAGAGATGAGGAGATTGCACAAGAACATATTTCAAGGCCGTGTATATGTTAAAAATCCGGATGATGTATATGGCGGTTTCCGATGGTTCATCTTACCAACCTCAAGCTAGCTGGCAGTTTGATAACCCTTACTTTAAACACCGATGATATCTTTGATTTGACTCATGCCTCCGCCAATGTCTGGCTTGGGCAAATAACACCGTTATGGCCACCGACAAGGCCTCGAGGTATCCGTAAGCCCTTCCCAGCCTCACAACAGACATTCACAGCACTTCCGGCGGACTCTGGGTTATCACCAAGAGCCCCTTTTAGCCATGTTGATAATTAAAAACATAATTACGACAAGGAAAACTACGAAACACCGTGCCCATCCCATTTTGATCCCATATCAGCCCATCGACCATATAAATGGTACAAAGCGTGCTCACCTCCCAAAGATTCTGCCCACCATTCTGCTCGCAATGTTTCCCGCAAGACCTGAAGAGCCAAACGCGCTGCCTGCAAGGTTCGAGGCCTGGCTGAACTTGTCGCACCGCGAGAAGGCAAGGCTGTTGGTGATGGTCAAGACAAGGGCGATCGCTAGCATACATAACACAGTCAGTCATCCCCCCCATTCTAGGCAACCACCCCCAAGACAGGAACAAGATATAAACCCACCAACAAGCGGAAGCCAAATGAACATCAGCCTAACCAACGCCAATATCGCGAGCGCAACCCAAAACAGTGGCTGCACGTAGATGGCCAGCCAGAAGAACCGGCTGTCTGTCGGGTTGACTACCTTGGTGCCGGGCTCGGCGCTCTCAAACACCCAATGCGAGTCCCCCGTCGCCGGGTCGACTTCGTTCCACCAGCGCAGGCCGACCAGCCGGCGCCCAGCAATATTCTTGAGGTAGTAAAAGTCTGCGGCAAGGAGAAGGATCGTAATTATGAAGATCATGACGCTTCACGAAGAAGAGGGAGGAAGACAGGGTCAGCTCTAGGAGTTCACGTTTGTAGATCGGATAGGATGGGACAAGAGAGGCGTACAGGTTCTGTGTGAAAAGCATTCCAAAGAGGTATACAAGTAAACTGGCTATAGCATATCGTCAGAATTGTCCAAACCATCCCATAAAATCACTGTTGACGGGCGCGCCGGTACACCTAATCGCAGAAGGGAGGGGACATATACATACAGACCCGGAAGGCCAGGAACGTCAAAAGCGTAATGGGATGTGAGCTCAGGCGCCAACTTAGGGCGCCCGGCGCGGGCTGTGCCTGTTCCATATCGCGAACGGGCAGAAGGGCCTTGTCGTTGTCGTGCTTGCTGCTTGATGGGCGTTGGTGGTGAGAGCTGCACTGGAGATGGACAGTGGGATGAGGTGCTTGCGTCAGGGTCCTGCCGCTGCGATAGTGAAGCTGGCCTGAGCTGCGGTTGCGCCTGATACGTGGTGAGAGCCCCACTCGAGAACTGTCATGTGTATCTTACGGGCTGTGTAATGTGTAATTTATGAAATGGAGCTGAGTGCCAGTTGGCATCAGCTGACTGTCAAAGGAGCAAAATCCCCCCTTGAACCTCGTCTCCCAAAACTTCTACCAGTCACTTTTTAAACCAACCTCAAAGACCAACTTCAATCATTTAAGGTTCCTAAAAGTTTCATTTGCTTAAGGATTGCATAAACCTGTCAGAATTACAGGATATTCGTAAAATATATATAAAAAGCATGAGCTAGTATACAGCTAATTTTGCATATCCCCTGGTTGCCCCAACGAGAGTCATCACAACTACCCTGCCTCCTATATTACATATAATGATCTCCCTCCTACAATCATCCGGAATCTGTTAGGCTACACATGTCTATCAGACTCCATTGTGTCCCTGTGTGATGCTGAGGGTATCCCCCGATGGAACTGAGCGAAGCTACCTGATCTCTCGAGACACTCAAGTTCCTACCCTCCTGTTCTGGTTGAGCCTGGTTGATACCCACTAACATCTCTCTTCTCGGCAACGTACCTCCCTTTAGGTTCAGATTTGCCTGGCTATGCGTTTGGCTCAAACCATGCTCTTTCCATGCCTGAGAATACGTCGTTTTTTTGGTCGTTGTAGAGGCTTGCCAAGTTTCTTCAGCCTGAGCTAGCTTAATCGAAGCTTCCTCTTCTATTCTGTGAATGAATTTTTCCAGGCTCTCAATGGCGGGGTCGTTCGTTAGTATAGCCTCAGAATTATCCCGACAGAAACCAAAGTCGTGGCTGTTGAAAGTTGCACGGCGTCTTAACACCGCGGGAGGGAGCAGGAAGTTATTGTTAGTTCCGGTTGTTGCATTTCCGACGAACGACAGCTGATCTGAATGACAGACACTTGGTAGGAAGTTATTCCTCGACTGTGCAAGGCCACTTGAGCCTCTCCTGTGATCGACGTAATCAAATGGTACTGTCTCCCTAGACATCAAGTCTTGCACTTCTACTTCCCCATACTCAATTGTGCCGAACTGCGGAAGGCCATAGATTTCATATCGGTCTTCGCCCTCTGTTTGACTTCGTAAGAGTTGCAAAGCGGGGGCGAGATGTGGCTCAGGTTGCGTGCTCGTTGTCTGGGTCCGTCCTGGCCTGTGTCCTTCGCCTCTTGGCAGTACAGGGTTTCAGAAAGGATACTTCAACGACCCTGAGGTATGTAAAGGTGGTTGGACTTGTGGTTCCTCGTCAAGATCAGTTTGCATGCCGACGTCTCTGCATTCATTCTTCGTGATCGCCATGGGTTGAGTTCTTCGGAAATCCGTATCAGGATTGACATTATTGTTAGAGCAGGATAATTCAAGGGACGCGGCAACATCTCTCAGCTTGGAATTTGACCTCTTCGAAAGACACGATCGCGAATCTTCGTCAAGAGGGAGGTAGGAACGTGAAAGTGAGCGTAAAGGGAACGGGCTTCCGCTACTACTGCTGCGGTGGAAACGGAGATTAGGGTGGTGAATCAGATTGCTTGCGGTCGGCATCAGACTTGAGTACCCAAGAGGTCTCTATTTCACGCTCGATGCCATCATGCTTGTCTCCGTAAGATAGCCGAGAACCGTGTGATGAAGCACACCTTTGCGTCTGGTTGTCATAAGGCATTGACCGAGGCTGAGCGTCGTGGGATTGATGACGGGTTTGTGTTTCTGAACCATAACGATTGCTGGACCGCCTTCGTGAGAAGAACGCAGAGATCTCTTCTAATTCTTTATCTTCCTTCTGGCTCTTGCTCCTCGGTTTTGAGTGTTGTGGGTCCGATCTTCCACGCGTCAAGGCTTCGGTAATATGGTAGGGCTTAGATGCCAACTCGCTTGCTGCATTTCGTCTCGTTAGAAACTTGTAACCATTGTGGAAAGAACAGCATCTTACTTCGCCTAACCATATACGCCGGAGTGTTCTCCAAGTCTTGATGATGTGGCTAGTTCTCACACTAGCCAGAATGTTTCGGAAATGGGTGCACTTTTCGTTTGCTAACCTCAGTTTTACCTCTGCTCTTGGACTCTTTGCCCCTTTGCACTATTCTTCGTGCGCTTCTTCTCTCCGATCTCTTGAACCCGGGCAGGTTTGCGGCTGACTGGCAGCTTATATTCATACTTATCCTCATGGGTCTTGTAACGTGCTCTCTTCTCGAACCGAAACTTCTCTTTCCTCAAAGGTCTCGTCTCCGACTGGACGACACTTTCTGGATAAGACGGCGATCTCCGTCTTTTCTTGTTCTTTTCCTCTAACTGAACCGGAGAGCGCACCCTCTCACTCGAATAGTCGTTGTCCAAAGTGTCTCCCGGACGGTCTGGATGAGCAGCACGTCCTGTCCTCTGCAACCAAGATTGGGTGTATGTCACCTTCGAGCGAAGCATATCTGTGTCTTCGTGTTACATCGAGAAACTAAGATATGCGAGTTAGTTTGGTGACTTGAACAACCGAATGGAGGGAGTTTGTTCCCAGGAAACGTAGAGAAAAATAGAGAGAAACTCTCGATATGGACGTGGCGTTGTCGTCAATCATGGACAGCCAGTCGCGAAAGAAGCACTGCAAAACTTATCAGAGGCCAACCAAACAACTGAAGCAACGGCGCCCATTGAGCGCAATGACACTGGTGTATCGTGAGTGATCGTTTAACAACAAGATGGCAACTAATGCCAGAAACGCACGAGATCACCGAGATGTGACTGTCAAAGGGCTCGAGGACTGATCCTGGAAGGCACGCTCCGTTGCCACTTGACCAACCCTAGGTTCATCTGCACGACGACAGAGCAAACTGCTGACTTGCACACATGCATACGAGTGGAGGAAAGCCCACTGCGAGTGGCTCTTCAAAGTTCCATGTCTCTCCGAGAGCCGGGCAATTCGGCCTGGAACGGCCCGAGCAAGCTTACCAGTCTAGATCAACCCTCAACTGCAATCACGACATTAGTCACCAGCATCAACTCTCAGTTTGATTCGATTTCAATAACAAACCCTTTCGTCAGCCGGTCCGTTCTAGGGTTCCGTAAACTAAGACAATCAGGGACCGGACGCTTATGTCATTCCCCGTCTGCACATCATCATTTGGCATCTCGACTCCCTCTCTCAGAACGCTCCGCTGGAGCCCTTCATCCTGGTACTCACATTGCTTCATGTCTGAATTTCCATGGCCCCCACTTGCTCGTTCGGTTGTCAACCGCCGGCCATGTATGCACCATTTGGAACTATCTTGGGTCTTATTTCTCTGTCTTCCAACTTTCCCAGCCGAACCGGCCTGTGACATCCCCGGTGAAGTCAACGATATGCGAGAAGATGCAGTTAAATACCTCCGGGCTATTTTCCGAGAGGCTCTCCTAGTGCTGGGCTGGAAATCATTTAAAGTGAGCCCGGGAAGTTACTGTCTGTTCGATCTCCCTTTTCAAGTCCTCATATCACTCCATACCTCCAGGTACAGGGCTAAGCGAGTGGAATGTCAATGGGGAGAATGTTCCCTTCACCTGTCCAGGGGATTGGGGACTCGAAGCGTTTGTCCTCTCCGGGCCTTAGTCTGTCAATTGTCTTTATTGAGACTCGGCATTGTCAGACCTTCCGTCATCGAGTGACTCCTTACTACCTGCGAGGTTGGAGCGGTCTATACCGAATGGTTCCTGAGCATATGCTGCCTCTTAGAGTTCCCGACTGCCGAAGGTGTTGGGCATGAGATCGTCGCCACTAGAATGGCTGCGACTGCTGTCACTGCTCGCTTCCCGTGTTGGATGCCCAAGACGAACAGGAGATCCTCAGACTCATGGACCGTGCGCTTCTTCCATCCGAACTATGCATGCTGCGGCGGCAGGGATGCACGACCACAGACTTTAGAGTGGGACCCCGCCGTTGATAGCCTGACATCATCAGCATTAACTGTATGCAGTTCCAAACTCGCGACAACATACCTCAGAACTTTGGTTATCCCTCCAACGTCTAACCGATCATTGAACTTGCTGGTTGTTGATGGCTCAGATGTTAATGAGGTTGTGTCATGGAACACGGAGCCTTGTCGGCCGATCCGGGGAAACATACATCAACATGCCAGCTTCAACCCGGGAACAGAGTCGGCCTTTTGACATTTTTCATCAGTACCAGCATAGTAGCTTTGCCAAGCATGACTATGAGATGGAAGAAGCCGAAGTTCTGAGCTCTGGAGCTCGGAAAAGACCTCTTTGTCCCCGCGCTCGGCTACCTCCCGTCTTGACAGGTACAGCGCGGCTAAAGGATGATCGACAACAGGGGTCAGGGAATCGTACAGTTCCAGAGATCGCTTCTTGCCAAAACTCAAATACTTGTCGATCCGTGTTCTCATTCTCGAATGTGTATTTCCAGTTTGCTATCAACCCTCGAGACTTCAGGCAACGCCTTGCGTCTCAAACCCCTTGTACATTTCCTTTCTGGGAAGTCATACCTTTTGCCAAAGCATACCAAAGTATGTTCGCATTTCAAGTTCATCCTGTGTAAGCGATATCCTGCCACAGACTAGATTATAAGTGCCTTTTGTGCTCGAAATATCGTACCTCCTTGACTCTTTGACGGTCTTGAGATCCGCCGGAGTCAACCTAACCGTCTTGGGACCGAATGCAACTGTAGTTAAGATATAATGTCAAAGTATTCCTGTTGTATTTATGCAGATTCGATGCCACGAAGCTCCTCTGTCCAGGATCTTCTCGTGCAACTACCCATACCAACACTTTCTACCAGGGCAAATACTTGGCTCCCGAACATCCGGTCCAAACTCAGCTGTTAACGACCAATGTTCCGAGTTTCATGTGCTTTCCGGTCAGCTTCCCGATGAGTTCGGTGTACTTGTAATGTCAGTATCTGAGCCTGATCAGCAGTAGGTTCCTGCATCGGATTGCCGAGTGTATGAGGTACAGGTTGGGTGGGACTAGAACACCATAACTCTATACTTCCCCTTGCCTGTGGACTGACGCAAGTCGCAGAAGGTGGAGCATAATTATTGTGCTTATTTTCCAGTACAGGCAAAATCATGGCCAATGCCATGGATATGTGGACAATTCTCTCAAGTCCCTGACGTGCCTACTTGAGCAAAATCTGAATCGAAACAGCGGTGTACTCTTCCGTTTGGAAAAGTAACAGATGTTCTGAGACTATTGTCATAAAATAGAAGCTTGCAGATGTACTGTCAGATGCAGTTCTGGCCTTACCATAGAAGCAGCAGTTGGCTACATGTATACGTATTATATCTCCGGACCTATAATACCTGGGCAACCCCTGGAGGTGATCTCCCAGGCTTGATCCGTGAGCACTCATCAGACTTGGCTCCTACCCTATTGGGGTCTGGGATCTGAACTTCCAAGGGCGAGCATGTGGCTAGTAATCTCGAGACTTTCCAGATTCTTTATATGTTTGCGTGGAAGTGTTCCATTCATGCGAGAGCTCCAAGGCAAAAGCTAACTGCCCTGGTGTTGAGCGGTTTCTTTGGCCTGTTTGATACTTGTCTGGGCCCAGCCATGCTGTCAGCATCATGCTCGTTGAAACGAGCACCCACTAGCAAAGACAACCATGGCCATGTGGGTAGTAAGCTGTCTGTCTAGACAAAGATCTGGCGCGCTGGTGCTGTCTCACTCGTGATCACCGTGAATTTTACGCGAGAACATGCCATGTGGGCATGTCTAGTACATACCTGGCCGTGTGAATGCTAACCTTTCCGTTATCATATATAAGCTGACTGAGGGAAGACGCTGGCTGCTTTAGTTCTCCCTTGTATCATCATACTTCATTCACCAAGAAGCCATTGTGATCGGAACATAGGCTCAGGAAAGCCTTGTCCACTAACCAGTATTGACCAGTACCACTTAAAGCTGCTGTGTTAACGCCCCCACCGTCTCCTCAATCACAATCAGTTATCCTCCTCTTCCAGTCTTGTCGTCCTGCGCCTGGGCGAACCAAGTTTCGTGCTCCTGGATTCGCTAGAGACTAGTTCCTCATCTGTGACAGCGTGGTAGCCACACCAAAGCATCCCTCTCACCCAGCCGAGTTCCTTCCTCAAACCAAACCCTTTCTGGTCCGGATATTTTACCACAGCACAAACTCCCATCAACAGAAGCTAACTGGCGCGTGACTTAAGTCTTTTCAGACTAGAAAACTTCTTCAACAATGTCAAAGCTATTCATTGGGTAAGGATATTTCCCTATCTCCATCAATGTCAGGTTAGGGGTGTTTAGAGCTGATTCCGGAACAGTGGCCTCGCATGGCACACTGAGGATGCCACACTGAAGAAAAAGTTTGAGGAGTTTGGTGTTGTGGAAGAAGCGGTATGTCACTCAACCCCTTTGGTGTTTAGTATTCCCAATAGCTCGAGCGATCTACATCTTGCTATGTCTCCTGGATTGTTAGCATCGCGGACTGGATAACTCACAAACACCAATCAACAGGTTGTCGTCAAGGATCGTGACACAGGTCGCAGCAGAGGCTTCGGTTTCGTTCGCTACACCAACGAGGCTGATGCCCAGAAGGCCATGGATGCGATGAACAATGTCGAGTGAGCACTCATCCCATCCACACAGATGCCAGATGCTTATATAAATGGAAACATACCTGCATACTGACCTTTTCCGCCCAACATCAGATTCGACGGCCGCCAGATCCGTGTCGATAAAGCCTCTGACACAGGTCCGAAGGGCGGCACTGCTGCACGCGCCTCAACGTCCCCTGCCGCAGCGACATTCAACAATACCAACCGCAGCCCTTACGCGATCCCGATGCCGGTAATTAGCAGCTCACCGATGTCTCCCATCGCGTATGGCGCGCCACAGCCGACCCCATATGGCATGCCGCCTGCGACAACTGGCATCTACCCCAACTATCCCCGCGGTTACGTGCAGCCGGGGTATCCTATTCCCGCGCAAGGTATGTAATGAAGGGAGAAAAAAAAGGAGAATTCCGATGGAGTGCTGACAAGTACTTAGCTTGGGCTACTCAGCTGTACATGTATCCCGCTCCCGCTACCCAGCAGGGCCAGCCATCTAGTCAGGAGCCTTCGGCCGGTCCTGGCCGGTACTGATACAAGGTCGGTCTCCCTTCGGGTTATAGGGAGAACTAGACCACCGTTCGTGACATTGACCATGTCATGGATGTGTCTTCCGCCGGGAGCAGCAAGGTGATGCTATTTAGGGAATTGTGAAAGAAAATGGGGGGCGGGGGGGCGGAGGAGGGGGGCGCAGAATGACCCATAACCCTTTAAAATCAAATACCTTTTGCAAGTGGCAACGCCCTCCACATGCCACGGGAACACCAGTATAGTTGGGCATCTCTTGAGTAAAGGGGTTAGGTTGATCTGGGGATGTTGGGACCCGAGATCCGCTTGGGATTCTGCAGTGGTCTGGATGATACAAAAGGCTCGCGAGTTTAAGAGAATCTGGAAAGATATAGCTGCAATAAGCATGATTGGGATTTACTTACACCTTTCTCTCTCTCTTTTCTCTCTTTTTTTCGGGGTGGGGGGGAAGGGGAGAAATGGCGTCCGACTTTGACTTCGTTTCTTTCACTTAGCACTCTCCAGGCCGGAAACCAACAGGTAGGAAAAATATTCGGTCAGAGGAAGAGCATGAGCTTGGAGGAATAGAATGGTATACTTTGGTCACAGGTGCTTTTGATCCAAATTGGTAGGCATGGAGTTATTCTGCGAAGTTCATGCACTACAACTGTCGTGCAGTAGGACACAAGATGTTCACATATGTGAGAATAGAGAATCCACGAGAGTTTTTTCTCAAAAACTTCAATATATACTAGATCTTTTGCTTCTCACTACCTTCTATTTCTCTCAGGATTCTACCTATTCTTTCTTCTCCGTTTCCTCTTCCTCGTCCACACTAGTAACTTTTCTAAACAAATGTGGCTGCTCATGATGTCTCCTCTCCTTCTCCAGCACCTTCTCCAGTCCAGCCAACACCTCAGCGGCCTTCCCTTCTTTCTCAGCAATCGCTCTCACACGGTTTGCCAGATCCGTGACATGGTCGTCTCCGCTCTCCGGGCTCAACTCATTCAGGGCACGCTCCAAGCCCCAAAGATAGTCCCTATTTAACCCGCTAGGCCCTTCACTCCGATAGATATGCTCTGCCAGCCCTTGGGGATCCTGCGGCCCAACGAACTGGTCGTTGTCGGGGGTACCGATATACACCAGCGTTTTGAATGGCTCCCGGCTCCCGTTGGGCAGCTGGGCAGAGTCGACGTCCGGGGCTGGGTAGAAGGGTGTGTAATGGATGGTATATCCGTTAATCTCGCGAATGTCGAGATACTCTTTTACCTCAGCGACCCGTTCTGGGATAATGCGGTAGGCAACTCCCCAGACTTTGTCGGGGGGTTTATCATGGTGGTCAGTTAGGCTCTCCCAGTAGGAGCGTTCGATTAGGGTGACGACGCGACCGGGGGCTTCAGGGGTGCCGCGGTGGTCTTGGCTGTTGCAGAGGGAAAAGGTTAGCAGATCTAAGGCATCGATGATTGCTAACACTCCCAAATTGACTTTGAGTTACCTTGCCTAGATGATAGGTTAGTCAACGGTATTGAGACATTGTAAAGCATAGCGAACTGGGATCGAAGTCTGAGTCACTCGGCGGGCCAAATACCAGGAATAGAGGCGCAGCAGGAACGGGAGCGCAAGAAAAAAGGAGTTTGATGTTGACATGCACGAACATACCTGCCAAAATCTCCGGACATAGCCGGTGACCCAGCCTGGAATCCTCCTATCTGTGCCCCAGTTAGCACACTGACACCACGTTCCCGCCCTGGTAGGCGATCACGCCAGTGGGTTGGGCTGAGGGAGTTGCCGCTGAGCCTGCCATACGGGAACCGGAAGTGCTCGGGCGTGACCAGGCATCCAGAGCTCAGACGTCAACATGGGTGAATGTCATCCATACCAAAATGCGGTGGCGGTTTCCAGATCAAACTCCTACACAGCCTGAGGTCAGTCATATGTATTTTTTCCAGAGCCTTGCACACTCTTACACACTTGCGTGTGTTGATACTGAGGCTTACCCATATCCGAATATCCAAAACTCGCTGCCCTGGTCTGCTAAGTTGTTGTCGACAGACATTGCTACGAGTCAAGGCTTAAACTGGGCAAAAATGGGGCAGCTCTTAGAAAGAAAGCAAGCTGCAATCTAGTGGCACTGACAAGCTGAGCGTGGCCAAGGGTTTGATCTTCTCTCTTAAGACTTAAGCGAACAGCGAAGAGCGACAAGTCAAACACTGCATATGACGTCCAGGTTGGGAGCTGAGCCCGATGTTGGCAGCCGTGCTCCGTACACCGTACACCGTACACCGTATACCGAATAGGCGATCCCGGTCCAATGGTATATATAATATATAAAGGAGATGGTGAAAACCCAATCTCATTCCGAGCCCGGGACCCCGATCACACATCCACGATAGTGGAGCCGTGGGTGGGGCCGACCGGGAGCATGCTTCGGCCCGCCCATCGCCTTATTCATCGTCCAATCTCCAACGTCGCCTTGTAGGTTTCCCCTGCTGCGTAGGAAGGCTAAACGGATCGCCGGGTACACTAAAGAGCTGGATGCTCTAAACATGCTGCATGCTTGAGGCTATGTGTTGCACGGCCACATTTTGCATGAAGAAAGGAATGGGCAGGATTTTTTTGTTAAGGACCTGCTGTGTCTCGTGTTTTGGCGTTGAGCGGTAACCATGTTGTGTCACTTGAGCGATTCCCATGAACAATCGAAACCAAGGCCTCGCTTTCGATGGCAAAGTTAAAAACAGGAAAACTTCACTTTAGAGAGGGCTGTGATGAAAAAACTTGAGAGAGATGAGACATCAAACCGTTGTGGAGCCAGCGCGGGGCTTTCTCAACAACAGTGCAATTTTACGGATGCGCGCACAGGATTCAAAGCAGGCTCGAAAAATACACCGAGAGCCTATCAAATTGACCGATCATCGCTTTATTGCTCGGTGTCTTGCTAAGTTAGGATCAGTAAGCACAATGCAAGGCGACGTAAACATTAATCTCAAGGCTAGGTACCTTGGCTGATTTGACTAAAGTCTTTCTATTGCTGGACCTTGCCCGGGTATGGTATTTTACGAAGAGGTGTCAGGCTTCCCCTAAAATACGGAGAAGCCCCGCCATCATAAAGCTCCAGAAAACTGGAAACCAAACCTGGGAGTTGATGCACAAAACCATTGAGCCCCAATGTCGCACTTGATTTAAGCTTGAAGCATACACGTTCGTCTTGCCCCCGTACGCGACGAGCATCTGACTGCTGCTGACAGTTCCCATTTGTTGTAACACCAAGCGCAGCGGGAAAGTGAAAGCCAGAAGAAGCGTTGGACACAGGGTCTTCAGTGCACCGAGAAGACCCCTCCATTGCGCCAAGCAAGGTCACCCCACTTGGGGTCCCCCTAGAGTTCAAGTTGGACTTGTCAGGCAGACACACCCTCATCAAAACGCGACCCGGGCAAGCGATAACAAGATTCTCCCCAAATCTTCACTACAACTCTCGCGCGGCTGTTCTGAATTGCGGTGACATTTCTTCTCCACTTTCAGCGATTGCCAAGGTGGTCGCCACGAGTCGTCCTGTCAGATTTTGCGGCTGAGCCTTGTTGGCGCGCGTGGCCTGGCGTTAACTTGCGTTGACTGGCGTCGCACCCAAAGAGCTTAAATACTCCCTTCTCGGAACCGTCCCTGATCCTGCGGGACCTTCAACGTCCCCCTTAAAGTCTAAACCTGACACACTCAGGAGCACCTCCCTGTCGCAGTCGCAACAAGTCGACAACTACTTACAGCAGAAGACATGGCTTATAACAGACCTTATAACCCCGACGAGCTGCCTAGGTAAGAAACACAATTTCCTAGATACAACTGCCGCGGAGCGAGAGGCCCGGTTTGTCGGCAGGCGCAGCGCTCTTGTTGCGCTAAAACACCCTGCCATCGCTGCACAACCGCTGCTCTCAGGAGAACTTGCAGGGTTGCTGACACTGTCCCCTTTAGATTCGCGGAGCCAGCTACAGTAAGCCCCGAACAACCAACTTATTATCCTACCTCCCGAGTCAGGAGACTTAACATCCTGCTTCCAGTTAAAAGAGCCCGGCCCCGGCCCCGCCCCCTCCCAGTACCATCACGCTCCCCCACCACAACCCCCTCCGGGCCCTTCACGATACGAGAATCGGCCGCCGCCGCCTCGACCTCTTGAGCATAGAGCCCAAACCTTCAGCGATCTGTACGGCGCACCGAACTACCAACAAGGCCGTCTTTCACCCCGCATGGCAGCAGCACCGCCGGATCGTGAGCGCTACGGAATGAGTCCTCCACCACAGGCTGCCCCTACGCGACCGCATCCCCAGAACCTGCCACCGACGAGCTCGCGCCCACCGCCAAGCCCCACAGAACGCGGCAGCTCTGCTGATCCAACGTTGCTGCCTCTTTTTAGAGCTGTGGACAAAGATGGTGAGTTCCAGATCAGTTCGAGTCATTGAGAATGCAAATGAGCTAATGGGAACAGGCACGGGCCAGCTCTCTGAGCGCGAGCTCTCAGCGGCGCTGGTCAACGGCGACTGGACGGCGTTCGACCCACAGACGGTGCGCATGATGATTCGCATGTTCGACAGCGACCGCAGTGGCACGATTGGCTTCGAAGAGTTCTGTGGACTCTGGTCCTTCTTGGCCTCGTGGCGCTCGCTCTTCGACCGCTTCGACGTCGACCGCTCTGGCAACATTAGCCTGGACGAGTTCCGCAACGCCCTCGTCGCCTTCCGCTACCGCCTCAGCGACCGCTTTACGGAGTTGCTGTTCCGTACCTACGACAAGCGTGGCGAGGGTGTTATGAGCTTCGATCTCTTTGTGCAAGCGTGCATCAGCCTCAAGCGCATGACTGATGTGTTTAAACGCTACGATGATGACCGTGATGGGTACATCACACTGAGTTTTGAGGATTTTTTGACTGAGATTCTGCGCCAGCTGCGGTAAAACGGTTGATAGGAATGGAGTTTGGTTTGGAGTTGGTCGAGAACCATGAGCGACGATGATTTCTTTTGGTTTGTCCAATCCAAATGAACTTGAAACATAATACCTATTTTCTTTGAGTTCATGGCATATTTGTAGCTCTTTTCCCAGTCTTTGGTTTCAGTTTTTCCTTGCGCTGTGTTTTGACGGTTTGACTTGATGCTGTGGATAGATGCGCTGGACCTCAGGTCTTCATACTATATCAATATGATACCCTGAAATTCAATCACCTCCCTTTCTTCAGAGGCTTTCCAAGTCTTTTTGAGTTCCTTCTATCTGTTCTAGACTCCCTCTATAGATAGCTTACTTGTACCAAACCATGCGTCTTTATTGCTTAGGAGATCAGCTAACTCTCAAATTCGGAGTTTGCTCTACAGATCCTGGCTCTTTCCCAACTCTAGTGACAATACTCTGCCACAAGCTATTCAATTTGGGATGGCTTCCTCCGCCCCCCATGTTTTCGGCCTGAGTCGGCCAGACCGGGCACTCGAACTCCATACCGTCTCGGTGAAGACCATGGTTAGGACCCGGCTATGCCAAGCCTGCCCGCTCCGCCTTGTGGCAGCCCCACAAGGCCAAGCCACCCGACAGCACGTTAAAGGCCCCACTCTTGGTTAGACCCACCTTGCTGCAGGCACTTTCCAAAATGCGGGGAACAACACCAAAGGGAAAGCAAGTAGGATCTGACAGAAGAGAAATGGGCACAGAAAAAGCACAAGGCATTGTTTTCTGTTCGGAAAAAGTCAACTCAAAATTTTCATAAGCGTCAATTCTCCACACAAGCAACACATTTTAACCGCCAAACCAGACCTTGTTTCAAACCGTCGTGACTGCGTTTCTGCCCATGCCGATAGCTCTTGCCCCAGCTGACGATGACGTCCAATCACATGGGCGTTTGCCATTCCCGCGCAAGCAGGGACAGGACCCCACCGCTCCGAGTCCCGGATCAGTCGCCATCCGCCTTCCTCAACCGAGTCGAAGCGAGTCAGGACGACCAGCCATCCGTGTCTTTTTACATCCCTTCTCGCTGAGCATTCGGCCAACAGCTCCATGGAGAGGTCACTGGCGCTCCGGACATATGGCGCCTATTTACAAGCTGCTTGCCCACTCGACAGCCAGGGGCATCGGATCAGGCTTTCGGATATCGTGATGGCCCTGTGCTTAGAAGCCATTCCCTTGCTGTGAAAGGCGACCTGTCCCTGCTCCTGCTGGCGCTGGTGCTGCTGCGCCGCTTGGTCTTCTGCCGCTCATGTCATGTAGTCGACCTGAGCGCACAGCAACAATCCCATCAGCAGCCAGGAACAAGTTCATAACAGATCCTGATACGCGTGCATCGACGGCGCTCACCTCCGAGGGCGTCATCCGTAGGCGTAACTCGCGAAACCTTCGCACCTACCGCAGCCGTCGATTGCTCCGGCGGCGAGTCCGGCCTGCCATTATCACTTCCAAGCAATGATGACGCTGTGGAACTGCAACCCGTTTCCCCCGCCGCTCGGCACAGTACAGCGCACACTGTATTAGACAAAAGCTCGAGCTGCTCTGCGGCACGAGCTCTAGAAGCTAGGAACTCGGTGTTGGGGTTACGTACTTGCAGACCCTAAGGGTCTTGCGATCTGGAAGCCGCGTAGTTTGTACAAATGGTCAATTGATGCCGGAGCACCCGTATGCTGCTGTATCTGCTGTTTCCTGAGTGAAACCATGGATGAACAAGACAGATTTCAAGCAGCTGGGCGGCGAGTTGTGTTAGTTTAACGAGCGCGGGACAAACTTGGGCATCGCAAGATGGACGCCGAGTCACCAGTTCCCTTGACCAGGAACATACTTGCAGCTCACCCCGCTCTCTCCCCGCTCTCCCATTCGAGCAGATCCTCATCCACTCGCACTTGCCGGTCGCCAGGCAGTCGCTGGAAGTTACCGCTGTATTGGTTGCTGGTCCTTTTCCTAGGCTGCCCAGACCGTCAGACGGCCTGCGGCCCTGGGGGCATTCACATTGCCACCGACCTGCGCTCCCGCTCTTCTAGACTTTTCTTGTTACAACCTGCAAGCGCAAGACAACAGGAGCTTGGAGCTCTCTCCTCTTGACTGCCGGTTCCCCCTGAGCACCCAGTCTCCGGAGCTTCAAATCATAGCACAAAAAGATAAGTGCAACGGCTGCTTTTATATTGCCTTTCGTCCCTCCCGGCATCTCCAATTGGAGCGCTGAGTTTCGATCCCGCTTCCACTACTGTCTCATTTATCGACTGGTCAACTCATCGCCATCTTTCCCCGCTCGCGAACCCGACCGCTCGACCAGCCCTTTGCCAGAGAAGTCATCTTCGCGTGATGGGGTTTGAATCAGCACAAACCGCAAAGATGCCGCCGCGGTCAAACCTCACTACGTCTTTCCCAACTACGGATGCCAACAACGAGGTTGTCTGTCCGCTGCGCAATCAAGATGGCTCCAGCTGCCGCAAGCGCTGCATTGGCGTAAGTGACTGTTTGCCCATTCTTCGATACCAGTGTCTTGATATTGCTGTCGCCACCCGATTTCGCCTTTGCACAGCTGTGCGCAGTGCCACAAGCCAGATGCATGAATGGCGAGGCTAATGAGACGTAAACTTTAGGAGAAGCGGTATCGTTCCATGCAGGAGCATATCCGTCGCGCACATCCCGATCATTATATTCCCAAGTTGCCAGCGACGGAAGAAAGTTTCCTGCTTATGATAAGCACGCCGCCGAATGAGAGGCCACATCTTCAACAACAACAACAACAACAACAACAGCAGCAGCAGCAGCAGCCTGGCCAGCAGCAATCGAATCAGTCGAAGGGTATTGCTCAGGGGTATCGGCGTGATGAGCCTAGTGCACCAGTGACTCCTCGCCGGGTCGACGACTATGCAAGTAGCACGATGCCTGCTGCTGCCGCCCTCGCGCAACTTCACAATCATAAGGGTGATCGCGGGTGGGAGTCGGATGCTGTAAGTCAGAGATCTTCGCTTTGCTGTGTATGGGAGAATTCTCGTAATGACTAACATGTACAACGTATAGGATTGGTATTCTGATACCGAAGGGACGAGGCGGCCAAGATCGTCCGTCGAACTCCCTCCTCTTCAGTTCAAGAGCAGCGATGTGACAAGCGTACCACTACCGAGTCTTGAGGCTAGCAGACAGCGCGGGCTGTTACCGTCGATCATGACGCAGTCGCCGCCCGGTCGCTCGTCTACGTTGCCGCCTCTTCCCCGGTCGCTAGGGACCAGGCCAAGAAGACAGTCTATAACTAAGAGGGGCCATCACAGGAAAAAGTCCCGAGCCCCCGGACCCAGCTCAGAATGGCTTCGTCGTATCCAAAATGACAACAGCCATGACATGCTGCGGCCAGGCTCCTATGACAGAAAAGCACTCTCGGCTGAGCCATCGGCCGACTACGGTAAGAGATGGGAGGATCTGATCGACGCGGCGGCTTCGGCAACGGAAGACATAGATGAGGACAGAACTCCAGTGAGCAGCAAGTTCCCTTCGATGGTCGACCCGCGCCTGACAAGCCAGGTCCCGCAATCTCCTATATCCATCCCGCGGGCCTCCCTGCCGCCCTTTTCCCAGAATTTCACCAGCTATCAGGCATCCCCCTTGCACCAGGCACTCACGCCGCCTCCGTATAACCCTGATGCCCCCGAGCCGTTCCCGTCGGTCGAGAGTGGCGAAAGCGGAGATAACTTCCATCTAGAGTCTCGCGTCCTGTCGGACTCGTCGCCGAGCTATTCGTCACAGAACACTCAGATTTATTGCGCTGCCTGCCAGGGCATTTCGCTGCTGAGGGAGTCGTATGCCTGCACCGAGTGCATCTGTGGTCTGTGCCAGGCCTGTGTCGATGTCCTGATGGGCGAGCAGGGCGCCAGAAGGAAGTGCCCGCGCTGCGCTACCATTGGGGGACGATTCAAGCCTTTCCAGTTGGATATCCGGTAGTTGCCTGAGTGTGATTTAGCCGGGAGCGGGATATGTTGTTTATCTTTCTTGTTTTCCTTCTTTTTCACCCTTTTTTTTCTTTTTTACTCTTTTGATTATCTTGATTTGCAAGATGGTTTCGACATTCACTTCTTGAGTAGTAGCTTCTCGACATATACTTCAATCACTTCGTTAATTCTGGCAGCATGCTAGAGTGGTAACACGGAAGCTGAGATACGACCGCACACACACACACCAACATGGGCTTCAAACGAACAGTACATCAAGGCGCACAACATGACATGATCGAATCTCGCTTCTCCTCTTTCCTTTATCTGAATTACTTATGACATCATCCATTATCAGAATGGAAAGGAAACGGTCTTTTTGCATCCACGGTTTCTGGCGTACTCGGCTGGGCTTCTCCTCTTTGGAATCTGGTTGTTAAGGGGCTTACAGGCCGGAAGGGCGTTGATACGTCGGCGGGATGCTTTACGACTTTTGGATCCTGCTAAGTAAATTGGTTCCGGTTGGTTTAATTCGTTTCAAAGGCTCTTCCAACAGTTTATATAAGGGGCAGACACGTTTAGGGTGTTTACCTCATTTACTTTCCTTTATGAAACCTTCCTCGCAGCTTATGGAACCAAGGCTTTGGTGGAGAGCCATCAGGATGTTTTATTTCGTGATGGCAGGCCTGGCTTGGGGTGCTCAACACTGCCCCAACTCTCCTATCCTATTGTCTTGGTTAAAGTAGCTGAGAGGTTTTCCCGAGAGATTTTTTTTTTCGCATTTGGTTTAGACTCTCAGATTTATTCCGCAACGAATAGCGTAGGTTTTGGATGCCAGGTTGAATGAAACCAAGATGCTTTTCTAGCTTGAGTGTCAGCAGATCTTATGTAGTGAAGATGGGGCTTGGGTCGCAGCCTGCCTACCTTGGATGAAATAAGTGCCGCTTGTCGGTATGTGTGTGAAATACCTTACCAGCTGGCTTTTCATCTCATGTGAAGTTGAGCATGAAAGAGATTTTGGATGCTATGGCTTTGGAGAATGTGAGTTCATGGGTACGTTTGGTGAGCTTGGCATGACCACCAGAGCTATTTCTTATCACCAACAGCTGGGATCTGATTTTGAATCCAACAATCAGCGATATAGGTGTGGAGTTTGTGAAGATACAAAGCTATCTACTCCCTGCGCTAGTGTAGAGTAGAGCATGGTAACGAATATAAGGAACCCAACATCCAATTGGCAAGGCTTCTCTGCATATTCAACATGCAATGTTGTGATGCGATCATGCAGCAATAGCATATTGTTTCTAGATAATCTTAATTCTGCTTCTTGGATTGTGTGGGTGGTGTACAGCCTTGTCAAGAACCATCATATTTTGTCAAAACTCAGGGGCAGATGGCATGACTCCTTGAGCCAAGCTTGCGGGACAGGTCTGGAGCTGTCGACTTGCTGTGATACAACCCAAGCCTGAACCGATGGCAAGTACTCAAACTCTAAGCTTAGGTGCTTCCTCATCTGTATAATATCCCTAGTCTTCACTTCAGGATTGAAAGAATCGCTGTGAAGTGGGATGCTGGGCGCGTTTTTGAGAAGTAGTTGCAAAGCTTTGACCTGATCGCCAAGACCAGAAGTCCTTGGAGACAGATTGTTGTGCACAAATCACAAAAGTTGCAGCACTCCATCGTTCCCTCTCGTCTTCGTTAGCCCCAGGGATTCACGCACAGGCCACACTAGCTCCGTGAAAGCTTGCTAAGCTGTTTCATCTTACCCCTGGTTCTCTTTATACGAACTGAGAGTACTCGATCTGAAGCTCAGAAGTCAAACTCAAAGCTACACATAAAAAAAGGGAATTAGCCGCCTCCCAGGCGCTTGTATTCAGAGGTTAACGTCGTTCTGGTAGCTCTGGTGAACATAAAAGATGCTTAATTTTCCAATCCGTAGCGCGGACCACCTTTTTGGGGAAAAGCTTGCTGATGACGCTGCAATATGGATGAATAGTCCATGCACAACGCTCCAATCGGGAGGCCGCGCAACACGTCAGCAATTCCTTCTCCTCCCAGGGCTGAGTCAACCACAGCTCCGCGCGCCAAGGAGAAGGGATGCGGGAGCCTTGTCGCGAAGGGTTGCAACGGGCAGGGCACCACGCTGGCGGTGCGCTTTTGTCTTGTCTCTTCCTTGGCCTCCGGGCGATTTTACCTTACCGAGCTCGCCCGCCCGCGATCCGATGCAAGAGCCCTCCATCCCACTCGGTCGTACGGCTGTAATGAAAATAAATGGAAAGAAAGCTTTTCGATTGCGGAACGGAACAGAAAAACAATCTGTCCAAGATGTGGGGAATGTAGCAACGACAGCGCCGAGGACAGAACCCTAGGGAACACAGGCTTTCTTGTATGGGGCCTACCCACTTGGCCAGTCGACTGCCTGCAAGGGCATACGCTAGCGAGTTGTCAGCTGAAAAATTGCAGGGTCTGTTTCTGCAATCGGGTTACAGTGATTAGTCGCGCCATCGTGTGGATGGGTGTGTGGTTTACTTTATTAGCTATGATCCGAGCCTGTGGCGTGCTCCTGTCGCCAGCCGCGCGGTGCATTCTCCCTATATCTCACGCAAGAGAACCCGATTTTCCCTTAAGAAAGGGATGGCCATTCTTTTCAAATTCCTTGTCTCGATGGTGGTTTGACCTTTACACCTACAGCTCACAGACAAGATCGTCACTCATTAGCACAACGCATTCCCCCTTACCGTTAGCTTGCCCTCACGAAGTTTCCTAGAACCCTGTCTGTTTTCGAGTGGCACGCGGCTTTAAGCTGCCCAACCTGTGTGACAACGCAGTGTTACTTGGGTTTTGATCTCTCAGTCATCCTGGTAAGAACAATCGTTGTCCCCTTGGAGATTGCTGGTTCGTGAGATCCGTGGGTCCTGTGCATGCAGCCATCCGGCACAGTCAGAGTTAAGGTTAGAAGAAAAGCGGCATGTGTGGATAAGAGCTTTCATGGAAGCCTTCTCGTCATTCGTTACACACCTTCGTATTTCGAAGCGCGATCTGGCTGACAAGAGTTAAGTAGACCACATAGTGGATCAGAGCTTAATCCCAGCCGAAAGGTCTTCAAAAACATAACACATCTGGACAGAAATAATTCGACACTCCTATAGAGTATCATGCCTCAGTCATTTACCACTTGAAGTCTCTCGTTATCAGTAAAGCCGAAGTTCATAGTGATCATCCACCGTTTCGCTAGTCTTGGTCGACAAAATGGCCGACAAAACTTTCTTTATATCGTGGGAACTATGGCAGAAGATGACCTTTGTACGACTAAGCACCCCACTTTATCGAGACTTTTGACCGAACTTCCGGAGCTGTTTTGCTGACACCGTGCTCCAGGTGCTGGCGGGAGCCATTGTGGTCGTCTTCATCGTGGGATTAATAAAGTCGTGGTGGACAGGGCGGATGATGAAGAAACAAGAGAAGCTGGACGCCGAGAAGAGGGCCCGGTCTGAAGAATTGAGAAAGTCAGGAATATCTACAAAGCGCGGCCATGACGTTCCATTTGGTGTTCGAGCCCTCCAAAGTGGCATTGAAGTCGAAGGGATTTGGATTTGCGACCCGAAGAGCGAGTCTTCCAGCAACCTTCTCGCCGGTATGGAGTCTGATTCTCAGAGGAATGGAGGGCAACGGTACTCCGATTATGACGACGGAAAGATGCCTTCCGCCAAAGCCGCTCACTCTCCCAACGGCTCGATCTCTCAGAGACCCGCCGACGCCGCGTCCATTCATAGTGGCCGTTCCATCCCCCTGCACACGTTCAGCCCTAGACGACCAGCCTCGAGACCATCCTCATCACGTTCGGCTGTCGCTCCCGACGTCAACGAGGACACTTTACGCAGGCTGGAAGGCCGCTCCACACCTGTGGCATCTTCGCTACGCAACCTCTCGCATGGCAGCACCGGCTCTGTCTCTGGAGACACTGTCGCCCAGAGCGATTCACAAACGAATGGAAGCAACCTGCTTGATGTTCCTCGCCGGAGCCCACAGGGCAGTGTGAGGTCTCTGCAGCAGAAGCAGTCTCAGAGTGACTTGCCTGCCCCAAATCCGACGTTTGGGCCTGGAGAATTGCATTATAACCGGGGTTCTGGATCCAATTGTCATGCTTAGTTGGTGATCGGTTTGAAAGATCTCAGGTTGCTGCGAGACGTGAAGCATGGGTAATACGGTGACTTGAGCGTTGTTGGAAACCGGGGTATGTTAAGTTTACGATTCATTTCTGTATAGATCTGTGTCGATGATTTCTGCCGTAAAATGGTCGTGTATATTGGTTCGTAGACTGCAACTCACAATCATAATGAAGAGAGTCGAGAGGAGGGATAGTGGAGAGACGAGTGCGCAGTGAAGGTGGGAATGGCGTGGCGAATGTGCTGTTAACTAATATGTACTTTCAAAGTTGGGTCCAGGAAGGTCAAATAAGTAAAATATTAGCAACAGAAGCCGGGTTCATGAAATGTTTGAGTCTTGAATCATCATTTAAGCACTTCCACGACAACTCGAAATGAGATGGTAGAGTGAGCGAGCCCGGGGCTTCTATAAAATACGAGAGGGTTACGCTGTTACATACGGCATGTTATGTTACGCAGACAGATCACGTATTTATTGTATCGTACATAAGGCTGTAATGCCAAGCCTTACAAACCCAAGTTGTGGATCTGTTGCCTGATTGCCATGATCGTTGGCGCGCTGGTCACGGGTTCGCGCGTCATCGCACCTCGCCAAAACGCGTCCGCTGCCTGACGGATTTTAAACTCTGTCAACATACCAACTGCGACACCCAGTTTCTTCCCTTGCCTGCCTTTTGCCACGACATCCCGTCTAACAGAAGTCAACGTTTATCCATAATTATAACCATGGCCAACTCCGAGAACGAGGAGTATGAGGAGACGAATAATGTTGAAGAAAGCGGGACAGCCGTCCCTGGCGCTCCTACCCCGCTGAGCGCTCTTGAAGTGAGTAAACGGACTCTACCAGTCGTTGAGACGTTTGTGGAGCGAGATGATTTGCTGATGCGTAATGTCAACTCGACAGGGAGTTGGCGGTATCACAAAACGAGACATCCAGCTCATCACTCAAGGGGGGTATTATACTGTCGAATCGGTCGCGTACACTCCCCAGAGAGTGCTTGAGCAGATTCCTGGTATCTCATCAGCCAAGGCAGGTCGCATTCTTGCAGAAGCCTCCAAGCTTGTCCCAATGGGCTTCACCACGGCTACGGAAATGCACCAACGCCGAAGCGAGCTCATCTGTATCACAACTGGCTCCAAGAATCTCGACAACCTCCTTGCTGGTGGCATCGAGACCGGCAGTGTGACCGAGATCTTCGGCGAGTTCAGAACTGGCAAGTCCCAAATCTGCCATACACTCGCCGTAACATGTCAGCTACCGTTCGAGATGGGCGGTGGTGAGGGTAAATGCTTGTACATTGATACAGAAGGTACCTTTCGCCCTGTCCGTCTCCTCGCCGTCGCAAATCGGTACGGCCTCTCTGGCGAAGAGGTCCTCGACAATGTGGCCTATGCCCGAGCATATAACTGCGATCATCAGCTGCAGCTGCTCAACCAGGCGGCAGCCATGATGTGCGAGACACGATTCAGCCTCGTGATCGTTGACTCGGCTACAGCGTTGTACCGGACAGATTTTGTCGGGCGTGGCGAGCTGAGTTCGCGGCAAACTCATCTTGCCAAGTTCATGCGTACTCTCCAGCGTCTTGCTGACGAATTTGGTGTTGCGGTTGTTATCACCAATCAGGTCGTCTCTCAGGTTGATGGTGGTCCGGCGTCCATGTTCAATCCAGACCCTAAAAAGCCCATTGGTGGCAACATCATTGCACATGCTAGCACAACACGGATCAGCCTGAAAAAGGGCCGCGGCGAGACAAGAATTGCCAAGATCTATGACAGTCCTTGCCTCCCGGAGAGCGATTGTTTGTTTGCCATCAATGAGGATGGCATCGGGGACCCGAACCCGAAGGATCTGGAGAAGTTCAAGGACTGAGGATATGATGTGTCGGTATGGGTGGCAGCAGTTGCTCTGGATGTAGATGGCATGAATCATGGCACGCATGGCGTAGGTATGGCTTTGGAATGGGACTCTAGACTCTGGGAATGTACATTTTGGCTGGGGGGAGTTTGAGACTTTGCGCTGGGACACGCATATGGCATCTACCTAACCGATAAAATAGCTGTTTATGACAAAGGCACCGAATAATTAGCTTGATAAATGTGATTTCAAATTAAGTCGATGTGAGCAGGTCTGCTTCTTTTCAATCTTTGATGTGCTGGTAGGAGAGCATTTTGAGGCTTCGATGAGCTCTCAAACCTGTGCCTGAGGTAAACCGCCCTGTGTGGTCAATGCGTTACCCGGGCAGCAACAAGGATGCGTTTGCAGGGGGGTAGTGCTCGCCAAGAAGCAGGACCCAGCAATCGGATTGAAGCATTGCAGCGCTTGCAAGGCGGCCAGAATTCTGCCCTAGAAGCTCGAGACCGCGTTTCCGACTCGACCGACGAAGTGCGACAACGCCATCGTGCCCATTGATTGTCACAGCACTATCCCTCGTGGGCTCGTCGGTGGCAAGATGGCCTTCGACAACTTTGAAATTCTTTACAAGGAGACGCGACTGAACCTCGAGCCCGCGTCGCCGTCTTCCGTCGTCCAGCTTCGAGTCGCGCCTACAAACGCCTACGGACGCTCGAGCTTATCCTCATCATCCTCCTCCCGTCCTGCCAGCGCCACTGCCGACGACGAGAAGGGCTACCGCACCAAGAACCTCGCTACTGCCTCATCTATCTACTACCGCAAGCATCACAGCTCTCCGCGCGGCTTCTTGTGGCGCGTCCTTGACAACAACACCGTCCTTAGCATCCGCGTCGCCGATGTCTGCAGACAAGAGAAGGTGGCCGATGCGCCACTAATCCTAAACCTCCGCTTCGCTTCCCCGCTGCGCCCGGCCTGTGTAGGCTTTGCCGACCACGAGGACCACGATGCGCTCTTTGTCTACGCCATCGACCAGAGCAACCAGCTGTGGTCCATCATACTGCGGCCGGACCACTTCCGCAAGAGGAGTGCGACTGAAGGAGGGCTGGGCGATGCGAGCAGGGTGTATTCGCCCCCCGGATTTGGGTTCAAGCATCCTCACAGGCTGGCGGTTGTCAGCCCCGATCAGCTGATCGTCACTATGCACGATGGCGGCATCCTGAAGTTTGACCGAAACAAGAACCATGAGTGTGAGTTGATGAGTTCTGACGCTTGCCCAATTGAAGAAAGGGAGAAGCTTTTGCTGACACCGAGGTTTTGTTCACTAGCACATGGGTCACCATGGAGAGAATCGATTTACAATGTTGCCGGCTGGGGCCAAAGTCTACGAGGCTTGGTCCCCTTTCAGCGCAACCCAACCGTTCGGTATGAAAAGATTAACATGGAGCTGACCGCAGCCGCGTCGACAGCCGTAACAACCATGGGGCATGCAGAAACCGCTTTTCTTTTCACCATCTGCTTGGACCACAGAATGAGAGTGTGGGACGTGCGAACTGGCCAGATACTCTACACCGGCGACATCTTGAACAACACCAAGCGCGACCCTCAGGAGGTCGGCAAGTGGACTGTTGACCCTTCACAGAATAACTTGATTAGGATACTTGACAACGGCCGCGGGCAATGCTTGGTTGTGACATACTCGCCTGTCGGTGCTGGTGAATTCAAGTTCTGGAAAGTTAAGGCGAACGATCAGGGGTCGATTCATGTCACCGATTGCTTTCCTGATGCACGCTTGATGTCTCCAAACCCAACATCCCTCGATGTATGGACTCTGGCCGATTTTGCCATCGCACAGCAGCCAGACGGCCCGGAATTGTGGGCGTTGTGGAAGAACAACACCAGCTATCGGGTCAACAGACTGCAGATTATCCCTCGGAACGCCACGGCACCTTTCGCAGACGGTTGGAAGGCAGTGTGCGTCGAGAGTCCTGGCCCGACCCCGCGCGCATCGGGCTCCTGGAACCCGACCGACTCGACGGAGAAGTGGCTGGACCTCATCTTTTCTCCAGGCCGCTTCTCTAAGTCTACCTTGGAGACAGCCTTGGCGATGTATGAGAAAGGCCTTGGCACCTACAAGGAGACGGTCTCGAGGTCTGGTAAGGGCATCGCTGAGTCCATTTGCTCGGTCATTGGCTCTACTACGACTCTGGATCGGAGTTCGCAAGGTGGCGCCGACTACGACCAGTTCCGCAACACGAGCGAGACCCAATGGATGCGCTTCTGGCGCCTGCTGCTGGAGCTCGACAAGCAGAGAGGCGAGGCGTTGTCGCTGGTTTTCGACCAGTATGACGGCATGGTCTGGGTTACTTGTGCAGACTTGCTTGCTGCAGTTAGGCAATGCAGCGACCTAGAACGCCTTTACCACAACCTTCAGTCCCCTGAGAAGAAGAACGAGGATGTTGCTGCGCTGATCTCGGCCGGCCTCACCTTTGTCGAGACCTTTTCGGACAGCATGCACCAGCTGTGCAAGGCTGCCCTTAGGGCTGAATTGTACGAAAACTCCGCCCTGTCGGACAGAGAACGCATGCAGCTGTTCCTCGATCGTGCGGGCTTTTGGGTCACAGATGAGGACTGGGCCCAAGTGCTGGACATCGTTGGGCAGAACTACCAGATGGTTACCTCCAGGCTTTACGAAGATCTCTTCGACTTAATCACTGCCACCAGCGAGGCCAATTCGCAAGAGCTCCGAGAGCCATTCACAATATTTGGCAAGAAGGTGGTTGTCCGTGCTGTGCAAGAGACTGTCGAGCTCCACTGGCAGATCCTCTTCAGCCAGCTGATCCTCCTTGTCAATATGGTAGACAGCGAGAGTGAGGAGGCTCGGCCTCTGCACACTAGGTTTGACGTCGGCTCTGTGTACCGGCGGTTGATCGATGCTCTTAGGAGGCTGGAACATCTGAGGTGGATGACAAAGACGGAGCTGAGCGTTTCACCCTCAAAGAGCCGGTCAGGCTCTTCGTCACCAACGCTTTCCAAGCGCGGTCAGGACGAGAGTTACACCAGAACGGCGTTGGAGGAGTTGGCTGGTCACCTGTTTGGCCTGCCCGAGAGCAATAATATGCCTCTGCTGTCTAGCATCACAGATCTTGTTCTCGACCTCTGTGCACCTACCAGCACAACTGTGCTCAACACCTGGCTTATTCAGTGCTGGCTTCTTAAGGAGGGTCGACCAGATCTTGCTCTCGAGCTCATGCCATTCGCCGAACAAGACCCCTTCTCAACGTATGTTCAAGGCCGCGTCTTCCTTGCACTGAGGGACTACGACACTGCCGCTCAGCACTTCAGGAAGGCTGCCATTGGGCTCAGCATCCCGCTCAAGCACGTCGATCGGCACAGCGCCGGCCTGCTTGACGACACCGAATGGAACCTCCTTAACAGCGGCCTTCCAAACTACTACGCCCACATTGTTAACTTGTACGATAAGCAAAAGGCGTACTCGTACGTCATGGAGTTCTCCCGGCTCGCCCTGCAGTTTGCCCAGACTAGCAACCAGGACTCTGCAAGCATCAAAACAGAGATGCTCAGCCGGCTCTTCACGGCATCTACTGCCACTTCCCACTTCGAGGAGGCCCACTCGGCGCTGCTCGCCATGGATGATGAAGCCCTCCAGAAATCGTACCTGCGCAAGCTGCTCGAGCGGATGTGCGAATCCGGCCAGAGCAGCGAGCTCATCAGCCTGCCTTTCTCGGGTCTGCAGAACAAAGTCGACGAGATTTTGGCCGAGAAGTGCCGCGCCACGCGGGACGTGCTCAACGGCGTGCCTTATCACCAGATCTTGTATGCCTGGCGCATTAGCCACAATGATTACCGAGGAGCGGCGGCAATCTTACTCGATCGGCTGGAGAAGCTTCGTCGCTCGGGCGAGGGCGATAAGCTTGGTGCCGAGGATGGCGAAAACGGAGCTGGCAATGATGCCTTGGACACTCAGGTCACCCGCCAGTATTTGATCGTCATCAACGCGCTGAGCTGTGTCGCCCCGCAGGAGGCTTACATCCTTGAGGATGTGCCACCTCCAGTTCCTGGGAAGGGCACCAACGACGAGGAGTATTCCCAGACCGGCAGCAAGCGCAAGCTAGGCAAGCTCAACGCCACTAGCGGCGAGGAAGACCTCGACAGCCGGATCGAGGAGCTCGCCCGCTTGCTGGACAGCGAAAGCGCCGGGGACAAGAAAGCCAGGCCTTCCTCGTCGAGTGAGGAGGATCAGCAGCTGCTGGAAAGGATGCAAAAGTTCTCGACAGCAGTGCGCCAAGAACAGGGCCAACAGACGCCTAGGAGGTTGCTCCGACTGGAGGATCTGCGTAAGCAGTACCAGCAAGAGCTGGATCGGATTGTGGCGATCCAGAACAACCAGTTTGCGCTGACGGCAGATGGGGAGGATGAGGATGAGGACATGATGGATATCGCATGAGAGGGCAGGGAATAGAAGTGCAAAGCTGTGGTTGAGCAGGCTCGGAAGGTTATTTGGAAGTGATTTGCAGTGTACCGTGAGAGAATTGCACACAACAGAGAACATGGGGAAATGGGATACCTATACTTTTTTTCAGAGAGGGCGATGTGGTTCAAGGGTGCTTAGTTTTGATTGCTTTATGTATTACTGTAGCAAGTCTGAACGGGATAACGGAATCACATGTGACAAGACAACAATTTTTTTGTTCAAATCAACGTGTCTGAGAGTGTCTGAGATCTCAGTGTAATCATCGGGTTATATTAAGAGTCCAAAGAAGTGTTTCCCTCTCCTGTGGACTTGGAAGACGTCTTAACCAACGCCGCGCCCATGCTGAAATTATTAAGGCGAGATACCTGCCCGGCTCATACTACGTAAAGTTCATAACTCCCACAGCAATCCTAAGAATATAAACGTAACATCATACGTGTCTCATGCCAAAGGCGCAGTCACCTGCTTTTGATCCGGTGGCGGGGGTAATAGCTGGTTGTCGTACTCGGGTGGTTGCCGGTAAAGGATAATTTCTGACTGCTTGAAGTATCTTCTTGCATCTAGAGGGGTTTTGGTTAGCCTCATTCTGCAAAAAGATAAAGAGAAGGATTCGTCTTACCTTCATCGATTAACACTAGACTCAAATAGTATCTTGTGGAGAATTTCTTGTTGACATCCCGGAAGGTCGGGGTTAAGTCGAAGCCACCCAGGAAGAGGCGAATTGGTATCGTCTCTCCTCGTGAGGGCGAGCCATCCATGATCTGTTGACTCAAGTTAGTCAATCGCTGAATATTAAAGCTCTCATATTCTCAGAGCATACCTCAAACCGCACCAACGTCTCACTCTCATTATACTGGTTTGGAGCAACGCCAGTGGTCTCACGTCGGATGATACTCAGCTCCATGTGCTTGATCTTGAGCCGGACAAGCAAGAAGTAGATCCGACCGACAATAACGTCCTTGAGATGGTACTTGCTCTTGCTGTATTCAAACTCAATGTGCAGGCAGTCCTCAATACCAACATCCATCTTGATGCTGCTATTAAGCTCGGGAGGGATGCGGTAGCTGTACACCCAAATGTCCTTCTCGCGGATCACATCGGCCATGCGCCGTGAGACCGTCACGCGCACAAAGTACCGCAGCTTCACGTTAATGCCGTTGTACGACTCGTACTGCTTCTCGACATTCTTGAAATTAAAGTCGAAGGTCTGCGGGTGTTGCAGCTCGCCGGGAGCCGCCAACTCTTGGACGAGAGAGAGGAACTCGTAATGGTTACCCCGATCGAAGAACATTTCTATAGGGTGTGTTAGCTGGCGAGCCGCACACAGGCTGTATACGAAATGTTGCGCTGGCAGGATATACCTATTGTCCCAATAAACTGGACTTTGATGCCTGTATGTTCTAGGCGCTTGCCGTCCTTGGGCCGGACAGTCACGCAGCCCTTAACGGACTCGCCGTCCATGTAGAGGGGGACTTTCTCGCGACGGTTCTTGTCCAGCTTAACGTCGACCATGGCTCTCTTGTCGGCGTCCGCGAGGACAATATCTATGTCCACGGGCGTCGAAAAGAAGTACGACATGGTGGGTGGTGGTGTTGGTGGTGCCGGAGCTGAGCTATGGGCAGGCGATGCAATTGGCTATGCGAACTGCGCGCGATGCTCTAGCTAACAATCGAGGAACAAAGGACTTGGGTCCAGAACAATCAACAATAGCGAGGCTCGAGACTCGGTCGTTCAAGAGGTGTGTCGACTGTCGCGAGCTCGACTCTAATGTGGAAAGCTGTGGTGTTGAGCGACTCTGGACTGGTAAACTTACGTTATCTTCGGGGGATGTCGTTGCGGCGGCACAGCCAGGCAAGGGGTTCGAGGTGGGGCAGATGTCAGCTCTGCCCAATCAAAGAATATACTTGGCACTGAGGTACTGAGGTACCTTAGCCTCCGCATGTGACGTCCAGCGACTTGAGACTTTGTCTATCACTCTCAGTAAGCAGAGCAGCCCTAAGACGCGCGTTATCAGGATTGAGAGTTAAACAACAAGCTTGGGAGTCCTATGCATGGCAAGGCATGCATTCGATGTGTGAGGTTGTTGGGATGTCTTGGGATGCCCACAAGTTTATGTAATTGATTCTCGACAGAGAGGCAACAAGTCACAGTCCCCGAATCATCCTTCTGGCCAGCTTGAGAGAGTGCTTCGTGATGTAGCGCATGTAAATGTTTACTTTTTGAAAACAGGATAATACGCGTCGTGTTCTGAGAGAGGGAGAGTGATTCTTGCTAGCTGGCTGTTTAAGTCAAGTGAGTCGGCGAATACATCGGAAGGCGTACACAGCGCACTCTGACTAAACAGACCCCGCATGCCAATGTCATCGCAGCACGTCAATTGATATTGCCCATGCTTTGTACATGCCTGGCTAGACGCAATGCCACAATGAGGAAACCACATTTAATGAAGGGTATCGCTGGAGTCAGTTAGGTGATAGCCATGCATTTCAGATATAAGTCCAGTGTGACTAAGTGCTGACTTCAAGTACTGCAAATACTTGATAGAAATCTTTGCCAACCCCTTCAACGAGTTCTTTGTTGGTTTGCTGGAATCTTGGCTCGAGAATGCAAGTTGGACTTGTTCTCGTGGGGTCCTGTTGATGTGGTTTCACTAGAGGCTTGGCATCAAGACCCCCAAGCACTGGCCACTTGAACCCCACATTGCTCCAGCCTCTTGGGTTTTGACCAATGACGGCGCCGCCTGCCAATCTGCCCTAACAGTAACTGCAAGGCGTCCGGCGCACAACTCGAATTATTCCGCGTCCGCAAAATCGTCGTTTTTTCTGGGCCTTACTCCGACCCTCCGTCCACCTCGACGACGAAGAAACACCACCTCCTCACTTTTCGGTCCTATCGCCAAAATGCGCTACATTCACAGTGAGGAGACCATTCCGGTCCCCGAGAACGGTACGTTTCGCAAATTCCGACGCAATGACTACACCTTTGGGAGGACGCGGGGACGGGAAAAGAAAAGGGGAACCACCTCGTCGAAGATTGGCGAACTCGACATCAACGGGCGTTTGTGACGAAATGGGGCTTGATTCTGGAAATGGTCTCAAAACACAGCTCGGAGGAGGCAATTTTTGGGATTTTTACAGCCATTATCGGTATCAGCGCAGTTTACTAACGCCAGTGTCCCATCCACAGTCAAGGTCTCGATCAAGTCAAGGCTTGTCACCGTCGAGGGCCCCCGCGGCAAGCTTCAGAAGGACCTTAGCCACATTGCCGTCAACTTCTCGGTGGTCAAGAAGGGCGTCATCGGCCTGGAGATCCACCATGGCAGCCGCAAGGACGTTGCCGCCCTCCGCACCGTCCGGACCATCATTAACAACATGATCATCGGCGTCACCAAGGGCTTCAAGTACAAGATGCGCTACGTCTATGCCCACTTCCCTATCAACGTCAACGTCGAGAAGAACGCCGAGACCGGCTGCTACGAAGTTGAGATCCGGTATGTGCCAATTGGCAACCTATCACAGGCTGTTGCATAGTGGTTGGGAGAAAATTTGGAGGGGAAGGTGTTAAGGGCGCGATGGAAGCAGGGGAAAACTTTCTCGGATGACTCTGGTTTGAAATAAGTGGGTAAACGACAGGCTGACGGTTATGTCACAGGAACTTCATTGGCGAGAAGATCGTCCGGAAGGTTGTCATGGCCCCTGGTGTTGAGGTCGAGATCTCCAAGGCCCAAAAGGACGAGCTGATCCTCAGCGGTAACTCGCTCGAGGCCGTCTCCCAGAGCGCTGCCGATATCCAGCAGATCTGCAAGGTTCGGAACAAGGATATTCGTAAGGTAAGTTGTGACAAGAACCTCTTTTGTGCTCCTGAGCGTTCATGGGACTTGGACTCACACTTCGCAGTTCTTGGACGGTATCTACGTCTCGGAGAAGGGCAACATCGTCGAGGATTAAGTGCACGCGGCCGTGGGTTTCTTTGTGCGTTATGGGTCTACCGGAGTGGCAAGGGGTCATGGGCATTTGCATGTTTTGTAGCGTATAAATCGCTACTGCAAAAAAATGGGCAACCTTTTTACCACGGGCGTTTTGGTGTTTGTCGCCAAACCGGATACGTCGCGGGTCGCCTTCGCAATAAACGAACACACCATGCTCCACCGCATGTCTCTGGATCTGTCTTCCCCTCGCTCACTGGTGGCTGCGAATAATCGAGGGATTTGACTGACTGAGTGGATGTATCTCGGCACTTGGATATTGGGCAGATTGGAAGGACAAACTCAAGAGTGCCATAAGGTCTCCCTGCAAGTCAGAAGGGCGCATCGCCAAAGTGCTGGTAAAACCCAGGTTTCATTAATTGTTCAATGCTCTTGATATTACGTTCCCTTATGAGAACCATGATTCATCCTTTTGCCCATGGGATCATTAACGAAAAGCTGGCCCGAGCCTGAATTGTTTCTCAGGTACCGTTGTTGCCTTGTATATCTTCATTTGTCCATTCCATCACTTTGTCATCACTCATGACTTCATTCATCCTGACTCATATGAGAGGATATCGAAACCGAAACAGATCGCCTGCCTTTCATTTCTACCCGACTCCCTAAACGCCGGTTAAGATAAAAGCAAATATATACGAGAGAATAGCAAAACAAATGGGGGAGACGCAAGGGAGCGAGGGAATCTACATCGACCGTTATTGTTGGCCTTGGAAGTCAATAAGGGTTTGACCGAAAACCCTTCAATCCCTTGGCAAGCGGTGGGATCTCTGGGATTGAGTGTGCGAGACACGAGTATGGGTATACGTGGTACGCGTCCCCCGGCTTCCAGCCTGACTGCCATGGCGCGAATGACTGACACGAGAGCCAGAATGGTGTGACCGAATGTGTGAGCGCGAGTGTGAGGAGTGAGAGGTTGAGCTGCGGGTGCGGCGGTCGCTGCTCGAGGAGCCTGGTTTGAGGTTAGTCATCAACCTTTTCAGAGAGCAAGGATAACTTGAGGGGTACCCACTTGAGCTAGTATAATACGAAATATAGCCCGAGCTAATCGTGGTCTCGCTGCGAGGAGACCTCGTACTAGAGGCAGCTGGTGTAGCGCCCTGCTTATCTCTCCTGAGACCCAGCAGCAGCGCCAGCCCGCCCAGCGCAGCGCCCAGTCCTATCAGACCCGCACCCTTGGCCTTCTCCTTGCGCACAGCTGACGAACTTGGCTTACCGCCGTACCACGAGTCATGCTGGGTCCGGCCGCCCTCAACGTTGCTGGTGCTGCTTCTCTTCGTCTTCTTCTTGATCAGATGAAAGATCGCCCCAATGCTGCGCCAGATACCGCGCATGATGCAGCACGCGCAAAGCATAAGCAGCAACCCGACGCCGGCAATGGTACCAATCACGATACCCGCGATCGCGCCGCCACTCAGGCCGCCGCCGCCGCCTTCCACGGCCTCAGGGTCATCGGTTGGTTCCGGAATCTCGCCTGTCGCCGTCGGCGGGGGGATCTCCCCTCCCGTGCCGCTGGTCACCCGGTAGGGAGCACTAAACTGGGTCGTGATGGTCACGCCGTCAGACACCAGCGTCGAGGTGATAATCTCACCGCCAGCGCCATATCCAGCGTTCGGAAGACACTGCCCCTTCGAAGCGCAGTACTGCCACGCAGCGCAGCAAATCGGCCCGCAGGCGATCCAGCCGGATCCCTCAGGGGGGATGCAATCCTCGCCAACAGCGGTCGCAGTAGTTGCAGGGAAGTAGGAGATCCACGAACTATAGATGCTGGTGTAGGTCTTGGTCTTGGTGACGGTCCACACGGTCGTGTAGTAGATCCAGCCGCCGCCGGCAGTGGACGAGCAGCCCGCGAAATCGCCGACCGTGTAGCATTCAGTGCCCGCTTCGCAGCAGATCTGGTTGTTCCAGCCGCAGTAAGTGGCGCATTGGCGAGGCATGAGCTGGTTGAGGCCGACGCCGCGGAAGCTGCTGTCGCGCGGGTAGGGGACCGCGGTAGTTAGGGGGAGGGTGCCGAACAGGTAGAAGAGGGCTTTGGAGCCAAGAGTTCGGAGGGGGGATTTTACTGGTGTCATGTTTCGTCGCTCGTTGTCGATTTGGCTACTTTAGACCGTAGAATGGGCTAGATCAATGTTGTTGTTGCCGACGATCCACAGTCGTTCGGGAGCAAGTAAACAACCCCGGGGCACGGCCGGTGTTGTTGTGGGGACCAACACGGAGAATGCGCAGACGGTCCGGGCTCCGCAGCGGGACCTGGAGGAAGAAAATCTAGCGCTGGAGACGAGATCGGAAGTGACCAGAGCCGATCAAGCAGCGGTCGCGTTGGTCACTTCTCTTCGAGCAAATTGGTTGTCGTCGCGTCACGTCGGGGCGAGTCAGTTAATTCTCTTTTTAATTTGGTGAGATCTTGTCAACTCCCCCTCCTCCTTTTTTTTTCCCGCTCTCTCTCGCCGTCAACTCGAGCAATTCGGGCAGCGAAGGAAAAAGTTGAGGGCTGCGCTGAGAAGCGGCCGGGGCTGTCAAGTCGATCACCAGATGTTAGACCGTGGGACAGGAGTTCCGGGCAGGTGCAAAAGAGAAAAAGAGGAAAAAAAAAACAAGAAAATTGGCGGGGAAATTTTTGGCAGAGGATATAAGACTTGCGCAGGTACCTAAGGTACTTTAATCCGTAATCCGCAACCCAGGTATTCCAATGGCTGGTGACGGTGATGGCGCCCTAAAACCCAGGCCTGGAAACCGTTGTGCTTGGTGAACAATGAGTGGTCACTGGTCAGGCGCAACGGGCGCAATGGAGTCGCTGTTCCCCTTTTTCCTCGTTGCCCAACCTCCTCTTGACGGAGCAGAGCGCCGTGTCGAGCCGCAAGTCGCAACCCAACCTCTCGATTTTTTTTGGCTCTACCCGCACGACGACCACAATGCTAAAGAACCCAAACCACTCACAGCCAAGAACAGCCCTTGTCAGCCTTGGACCAGAATCTATGCTCGGTTTCTTGTTTTTGATGATTGCTTGCTGTTCGCAAGATGGAATGCTGCTTGCTCTGTATATGCTTACACAAACCGTAGGTACCTTACTTCTTCCCCTGCCGTGGACTCTGATCTTCAGGTGCGCCGTTTGTCTTAAGAGACGACAAGACAGCGGTGACGGCAGTGGACCAAGCATGCTGCGCTGGCGTGCGCGGATAGCTACTTTTGTGCATGCCGCAGTAACGTGCGAGACCTGCCATTTACATAGTACTTACCATTCACCTAGGATTTCAGTCGCAGCTCATCGACCGCCTCATCCGGCCCGTGTGCTTCTAGGCTGTTCTCCTGTTCGCTTAACCAGCATTTTCCATTGTGCACACAGCATCACTTGCAGAACCGGTTTGCGGAATCATGCGTGATACTCCAGCGCAGGGTTGGGCCCGAAAATCCTGGAACTCTTGTAAGCCAGGGTTTTTGCGAGGGGCGTGGGGCAGCCCAGGGAAGACTCTTGGCGCCCAGAACATGACAGATCGGTCACCGGTGAGGCTCCAACCCCAACCCTTAACATCAGCATGGGCATGCCGCATGTCGCAATCGAGAAGTCTCCACTGTGTCGTTCGCCAACTGCGTTACGGGACTGCGTAAGTAATTACGTAACTTGACGATGAGGTGCTGGGGGCCCGGGGTGGTGGCCCAGCTCGTGATTGTGAAGCAACAACACCTCCCAAGTAGCAACTGTGGGACCATCCATTTGATTGAGGGGTCCCAACGCCGGCAAGGCCAGCAGCAGCAACATCCAATACCGAGGCAGGTTACTAAGACCTGCTCCAAGCAGAGTGACAACAAAGCCAATCCCTACGCAGTCGATCAGTACGGATTATCTGTACCTGCATGAGCTGAGCTGAGCTGAGCTGAGCTGTCCCATCTGTCTAGAGCATTACGGCATTACCCAAGCCAAACAAACCATCGAGCTCCCACCGACATCGCCCCTCCAGCTCCTACCACTCCCATCATGTTGCTCGACCCGCCAACTTACCTAGCGTCGCTGCAGACCAACATTCGCCAGCGCCCGATCCCGTGGGACGGTGCCGTGCGCGCAGGTACTCTGACAGAAGAGCAGCTGGCCCGCATCCGCTCTGTCGACAAGCTCAAGCGCGATGCCCGCAAGGAAGCCGTCGAGGCTGATCTCGACGCCTACGTCGCCCTCTTCGTCGGCAGCGGCAGCAGCAAGGGCGTCCTTGAGCTGGCTTCCAAGCGCCAGGACGTTGTACAGTACGCCCTGGTGCTGCTGAACGACCTGTTGTCAGCCGCGCCCGCGCTGACGAAGGCGTTCCTTCGCTCGGGAGACCCGTATCCGCATTTCTTGCCGCTGCTGGCGCGGTCGAATAATACCGATGATCCCATTCCTCTGCTTACATCGATCGTCCTGGTCAATCTGATGGCCGGCGCCCGCGACGAGTCCCCCATTACCATCACCAAGGCCCTGCCCGTCGTGTTCAGCTACTTGTCAACCCTGACCAAGAGCACTGATTCCGCACTGCAAGACATTGCTGTGCAGGCTTACTCGTCGCTGCTCTATAGCCGGGCGCCGAGGAAGCAGTTTTGGAAACAGAGGAGCGAAACTGTGACGCCCCTGATTGACATCCTGCGTGCTGCTGCCGGTGTGAAGAATAGCAATGCTTCGGCTAGTTTATGGAGCGGTACAACAGCTACGGCTAGGACTGGGTTTGAGGGTTCCCTTGGTGGTGGTATTGGGCTGCAGCTCCTCTATCGGGTCTTGTTAGTTATGTGGCAGCTGAGCTTTGAGGCTGCTGAAATTGGCGATGATTTGAACGAGTAAGTTCTCCTTGCCTTTACAACGTTTTTTTTTCTTTCTTTTTTTTGTTTTAAAAAAAAAGGCACCTAGACGTGGCTAACAACGACAAGTGAATACGACATCGTCCTCCTCTACACTCAACTCCTGCGCCTATCCCCCAAAGAAAAGACAACCCGTCTCCTCGTCGCCACAATCCTCAACCTCCTCACTGCCAACCAAAACACCCTCCTTCCGACTGCCGTTCTGGCCCGTCTCCCCTCTCTCCTGCAGAACCTCCAAACCCGCCAGTGGGCCGACCCAGACCTGCGCGAGGACATGGACCGCTTACGCGAACTGGTTGAGGAGTACACGCGCACGAAGACCACCTTCGACGAGTACGTGGGCGAGCTGAACTCAGGCCATCTGCGCTGGTCCCCCCCTCATCGCAACGCCGTCTTTTGGGCTGAGAACGCCCGACGCATCCTGGAGCACGAGAATGGCGCTCTGGTGAAGCGGCTCGCCGAGATCATGATGAAACCGTGGGATAATGATAAGGCAGTATTGGCGATCGCGTGTAATGATGTTGGGTTTTTGGTCAGGGAGGTGCCCGAGAAGAGGAGCCAGCTGGAGAAGTTGGGAATTAAGACGAGGATTATGGAATTGATGGGGGAGGCAGATGAAAATGTGAGGTGGGAGAGCTTGCGGGCGCTGGGCGGGTGGTTGCAGTATAGCTTTGATACGAAGTAAGAGTGGGGGGATGTAAGAGCGGTTTAATTGCTGTTTTTCACGGCACTGGTATGATGGAGTTTTTATCTCGGTTGTCTTGTCTCTTGTCTCTTGTCCTGTTTCCATTTTCAAGTTCAAGGGCACGGGTCTGGTTATGGTTGCTGCGTCTTGGAGCAATGGCATTGGGACGGTTCTTAGACTGGCTCTCGAGTTTTTTACTGTGGGTTTGTTTAATACTCTCTGTATGCGACATCTGAATATTACTTGGATGTACTTCAAAACCTATGACTATCGTCACAGTCTCTTAATTATTCTGTCCAAATCCTCTCAGGGTAGCTTGCATGATGCTGGTACTATCTGTGATCCGAGACCGCGAAGCCCATACCTCGCCCCACCTCCGCCCCTTATCTTATCGGAACTCCCATCCGGATTCCAACTTCTTAGACCTTCTTGCTTACTCAATCCACTTTCTTCTCGTCACAGACAGGATCACTTTACAGATCCTCCCAGATAGATAACCCAGATAGCCTTCTGTGCTCCATTACCAAAAAGTTCACCTTGGAAATAAACACATATCCAGTCGTCGATCATGGCACTGAAACGGGTACGTAGGCGTCGCCAGTCATCGGCGAAATGATGAGCAGTGAGATTCATGATTCATTTGAGCGCCCAATGGCCCATATCTAACCCAAGACTTGTGTCCAGTACTACTTTCTTGTCCATGGAAAAGTCCAAGGCAAGTCTCATCACTGCACATCACTGCACTGTCGACTCTTTGAGCAACTGCTGGATATACGTCGCTGGATTGAAATATCTCACTAACTGTCGGTTTCCAGGTGTCTGGTTCCGGTAGGATGTGCTTCATTTATCCCACATGCATGCATCCTCATCCAATCCCTCGATATGACCTCAATGACTTTGCGATAAATTTTTTTTAAAAAAAAGAAAAGAAAAAGAAAACTAACCACCAATTCAGCGCCTTTACCCAAGAACAAGCTAACTCTCTGAGTATTACTGGCTGGGTTCGCAACACCCCCAATGGCAAGGTTTGTTGGAAATACTAGCTGAGCTTACAGTTGGCATATGACAGAAAACTGAGCAAGTCTGGAACTAGGTCGAAGGCGAGGCCCAAGGCTCCGAGGAGAACATGACTGCCTTCATGATGAAATTGCTCCAGGGTCCAAAGCTGGCGCACGTGGTCAAGTTGGACAAGGAGGAGAGGGATGTGGTTGAAGGAGAGGTGGGGTTTGAGATTCGTCGTGGAAGCCACTAAGTGCTGAAGGAAGGACGTCAGTCAGAAAGGCTCATATTGAGTTTAACAGGGCAGGCATTTCTTTCGAAAGGGAAAGGTCTTATTGACATTGGACCTTTGATGAAGAACTCCACTTATGTTCCTGCCAGGATCACTACTGCGTTGAGATTTGAGAGGTGTGTTGTGAGGATAACAAGAGGGGATAGTAGCTGACAGAAAATAGTACCAAAACCCATAGTAATTGATGCTAACCAATACCCATGCATTATACCTATGCTATGCAACATACCTATGGAAGAGACTCCTCATCCGCTCATCACCCTAAACACCAAGCAATGCAGCTTATCCTAAAACAAGAAGCCATCCATCACCATTACTAACCAACAAGGCCCCTCTAAATCGAAGCATCCCAACCCAGAGGCTCCCTCCTTAGAGCCCATTCCCAGATTCCGCACAGCTAGTCATTTAGAATGTGCCCATGCGTCCAACAATTCATCCCATCGTGTATCAGCCCTCAGACCATCCACAACTTGTCCCACGCCTGCCTCGGGTATCATCAACAAGCATCAGCCAACGCAACACAGAACACAACCGGCCCTCCCAAACCGATTACTACCATTATACAATAGCGGGCGGCAGCCGACCTGCCCAAATCCTCAAGCAAACGTCAAAGAAATTTCTTTTTCCTTTCCAAACTCCTCATCATCATCATACCCCGCATCCCTCCATGGATCCGCCAACGTGATATTCGGCACTGTCGCGGGCTTTGTCAGACCCAGTATGCTCTCAGGCGGTTGCATGCTGCTGCTGTTTCCTGCACCGCTACCGCTGGCGTCCGATGAGATCCCGGCATTCAACGATGCCGGCTGAGGCGAGAAGAGCCCCGGCCCCGAGTCCTTGTCACCTTGTCGATCCCGATCGTCATCGAACCCCGTGTCAAACGTCATGGTGATACCATCATTGGCAGGATCCTCTGGCTCGCCATAGTTGACATACCCGCCACCGAAGCCTCCGAACCCGTGGCCATAAGAGCGGTATGGGCTGGATGTGCTGCTCGGGGTGGTATTGTCGACCTTGCTGCTTGGGAAGGTAGGGGCTCTATCTCGACCGGTAGGTTTTGGTGACGAGGTTGATGTCTGATGGCTGGAGGAGGATCGGGACAGGTCGGTCATGATGCTGCCGTCGGCGAGGCTGCAGCGAGAGGATTTCGCTTTGGCTGTTGGCGGCGGGGGTGGGGTTGTGGTCGTGGGAGTATTGTTCTTGTTAAGCTCGACCTTGATCGGCGGCAGGGTGCTCTTGATCTCGCGGATCTGGAGCAATTGCTCATCGAGGGGGTCAATGCCTCCCTTATTTTTTTCCGTTCCTTGGCGATCTCGGCGCGGATGGCATCGACGTCGAACAACACGCCGTCCTTCTCCTCCGACTTGCCCTTGTTACCGGCCTTCATTGTGTCCTCGTACACCTCCCACTCCTGCCGCTCGGGAACCTTTCTCCGCTTCCAGAAAGCGAACCCACTGCTCTTGTTTTGCTTGCTCTCTTTCTCCAGCTCACGCCTAGCCTCCTCGATCTCATTAATCAGCTCGCGCTGGCGCTCCCTGTGTCCGTCAGGATCAGGATCCTCGATCTCAGTGAACTCATCGCTCTCAACCATCCATCCACACTCGCGCAGCAAGCGCGGCATGGCCGTGCGGTAGTCCATGTGCCCGACTACGAGATCAGACACGTCCATGTTCTCAATTCCTGGAATGTCCTCAATAGCAGCGAGACCAGCAACGCGCCGGATGCCGCCGCTGGTCAAACGGAACAGGTATCCCAAGATCCAATCGTTGCGATTGTACCCATTCAAGAAACGACCCGACACCACAGCGCGGGCACGGAGATACTCATCCTTCTTGACGACGATGGGGCTCCCGAACAGGTAGACGTTCTGAACCAGACCGAACGCCCCTTTCCTGGCCAGTTCCTGCAGGCAGGAGAAGATGACACGGCTGCCCAAAGAATAGCCGACGAGAGTGACTGGGCGAGTGCCGAGGTTCCGATCGATGAGCGAATCGGCCAGGATCAGACCAGCCATTTCAGCACGATCGAGAGAGACAGCCCAGGGGTTATCGATGAGATAGGCGAGTTTCGTGAGGATTACGGGAATCTGGATGGCAGCCATCAAGCTCACGAGGATAGTATTTCCCAGAAGTTGTTGCAGGCCTTGGGTCAGAGCCTAGAGGGCATTTCTGTTAGCACATCGACATCATTGTCGCATCAACCATGGCTTCGAACATACTTCAGTTGCAAGAATATTAATAGTAGCACCAATGGTAGCCAGCATTTCGGGCTCCCAGAGAACTGAGTAAATGTCGCCCATAATGGGGTCAACGGTACTGAATGGCAGACGAACATCGTCAACCTTGCCTGTCATCCACCCCGAGACCGTGACGATCAGGTTCACGCGCTTGTTGTTGTTCAATGGGCGATATTCGAAAGTCTTGACGGCACCCGTTCTCCTGTCAGCCGCCCTACCACCAATGACACTACCCGATGCTGCCGCCGTCGACGTGATGATAGCAGCGCCACCGGCACCAGCCAAGAAAGTACCTGTGCCACTGACACCGATTGCCGTGAATCCAGCTGCCAAACCAGCACCAATGACAGGAGCAAGCAAACCGGCCGACAAGCCGATGACCAGACCACCGCCAACTGTGGCAAGGCCCACCATCATGTACCGCTTCTTGAGAGCCATCTTCCGGCGGTTCTCCATGTGCTCCTGCTCATTCCAATTCTCCTTATCAGCACTCTGCTGCATCTCTAGCGCGTCGGTCACTTTCTTTTCGAAACGGCAGATGTCGAGCCACGAGATGTCGAGGTCCTTAGCCACTCGCTCGAGCAGCGTCCTGGATCTCGCATCATAAATGGAATCAGCAACAAGCACCAGGAACAGATCGCAGAGAACAGTCCAGCGGATATCGATGTCAATCTTTTGGGTGGTGGGCATCTGAGACGGCGTCCTGACCTCCTCCTTGAGCTCTGAAGTATCCTCAGCCGAGTATGGAGGGGGCGAGTCAGATCTCGGCTCCTTCTCAGAGCCCATTACAGAAGACGGCCGGGATGACGAACTAGTCCTGGCAGTAGATGACTGGTCATCGTCTACAACCATGGGATTCTTGACCCGAGCATTCGCCATCAAAACCGGAGTCAGGTCACGCGGCTGAACTCCGTGGGAGCTCAGCTGCTCGATCATGACCTGCTCATCCGGGCTGATGTCCATGTGCGTGTAAAGCCGGATCATCATTCGCTGAGCCCACATCTTCATATTCTCGGCCGCCATCCCCACATACTTCTTGACCTTGGAGGTTGGCATCGGCAATGATTCCAGCTCCTGGATCATGGCATTCAGCTCCAATCTCGTAAGACCCACGTAGGCAATGCGCTGGCCCTCGGTGAGCAGCTCCTTAGTGGCCTGCAGCTGGCTGACGGCATCTCGTTGCTCGTCGTCCATTGCGCTCGTGCTAGGGCCCATTTCTTTGAACAGGTACTGCATGTTCTCGTCCATGCTCGTCACGGACTCGGCATCATCGTCGAGAATCTTGGTGTATCCCTTGCCGGCGCCGCCGAGAGCCGCATAGCCGTACTTCTCATCCTCGGACTCATGGTATTCTCTTGCGATTAGCTTATTGTTGTCGTCGTATATGTCGTACGGCGCATACGACGGCATGTCCTGCCAACCCCCATCATCGTCCTCCTCGTCCTTCTTCTCGGCCGGTTGATACGAAGTAAGCTGCTGATGCGAAGCGCTCGATTCATCACGTCTATGACCGGGTACCATCCCCAGAGTCTTTTTGCTTTCGGCAATAGCCTGATCTTCTATCGGCTTCGGCTGCGAAGCACCGGATTCCCCGGGCACGCGTTTATTCTGGGTGGTTGCATCTTCAGTCTTGGGCTCTGCGGGCTCTACCTCTGCGAGGGACGCAGCAGCCTTCTCCGTTGCGGCGGGGTATTTTCTTACGGGCAATCCAAAGTCGTCCAGCTCAACAGTCATGGTCGTTGCGAGTGTCTCGCTTGCAGAAACATGCTGTTGCTGTGTGGTGGTTGAGTTCGCAGGCGTCGCAATTGGGTTTAGCGGGGCCTTTTGGTGGTCACTGCCAGCCGAGGTCCCGTCAATGCTCGGCATGGCTGTAAATTCAGGCTACTTGAGGTGTTTTGTCCTCTATCGACAAACAGCGCGGCCCAAGCTGAGATGGTTGAGCGCGCGGAATCTGGGATCGGTAGGGGACGGATGGGGTGCCGGTGATCAGGAGTTGGTGTTGATGGGGGAGCTGGGAATTGTTTCGCCCAAGGGGGGAAGTTTCGCGGACGTTACACGCCCCAGTGGGCAGTGGCCTTTTCACGGTTGCCTCTTAACGGCCGACAGGGATCTTGTTAACAGCAGACTATCACTTGCCGCACCATCACTGGCCACGATTATTGTCGAATCCTCCCTACGCGCCGCAATCTGTCACGAAAGATTGATATAAGACATGGGCATTTCTTTGTCCCGGCCATGAATTGGGCCGACACCCAACTTGGTGCTTTGGGTTACACTGCAACGGTGGCCGGTATCTGGTACTTGCTCCGGGCCTGTTCTTATCCACTAAGGGGTATTTCTTGGCATCCGTTATGATAACGGATAGGCCCGCCAACGGTCGTGTATTTCACGTTACACGCATGATTTGTGTTATCGATAACACTCGAACTCGCTGGGCGGTCATGTAGGGAGACATGTTTGCGGTTCTTCAAGGAGCAAGTCAAATCGTGGTACTTATGAGGGCAGGCGCTTGAAAAATAAATGAATAGCAAATGAAAACGGCTGGGCTAGTGTCTATTTGCGCAATTGTTCCCCAGAACAGGCCTCCCCAAACGGTAGATGAGTAAGGAAGCATCACAAAGTCCTGAATCCCGAGTGGCCCTAGGCCCCTTTGAACCTTCAGTCACACCCCTCTCAATCTTGAGCACCGTCACCCGATGCATGCACTGTTTCCCCTTGCAGCTGGCCATGACCGCCCTCCGAACTCCCGCCCCCTTCTGATTTCTGCTTCTTGCGCCTCTTCCGCTTGGACTTCTTCTCCCCTGATGCCTGCGACGGCGGGGGCTCATCCTTCTTCTTTGGCGGTGGCGGCTGTTTCTTCTTGGGCTTTTTGACTGCCAATGGGTTCGGTCCCTTCGGGCCATACCGTTTCTTCTTCTTCTTTTTCCGCTTCTCTTCCTCCCCATTCGCACTGGCCCTATCGCCTTCGTTACCACTCTCTTCACCTTTTGAGCCCTCGTCATCGGAGTCATCCTCCCTCTTTCTTTTGTTGTTTCCTCTGATGATGCCTCCCAATAACCTGAAATGGGTATTAGTGATCCCTAGCTGCCGGATATACTTCTTAGGAAATGCTTACTTGGCGCGTTCTTGCTGATCCCTTGCTTGCTGCGTAGCTGCAGACATAGGTTCGAGGATCTATCCCACCTAGTTAATTCATTGTTCCGACCCTTTCCAACATTGCCACTCATCACTTACCATGACACTCCGATGCACATACATCAGCGGTGTTGGCACCACTGAGCGTAGCCTGCCCCTCTACGCAACCGTTGAGTCAGCTAAAACATTCGTGAACGCAGGCATTGATATCTAGGAACACACCAGAAACTCGTCCTGTGTGACAACAATGTATCTAAACTTGTTCTCCCCCTTGCTCTTAGGGTCGACACAGGACATCACACACTCCCGCTCAGGAAGGGGGTCTTGATCCATGAGATGGCCACACCGGCGCCTCTCGAAGGTCTTTGCCCGGTCGATGGCAGCCACCACGGCTGGGTCCTTATTAGGAGGAACATTTTTTGCATACAGTGCTCGCTATATGTCATCACTGGTTAGCCATTGATCTTCATCTCCTGCCAGAATGTGATCAGACCCACAATAGAGCACTGAGTGATCATAGGCTTGAGGTTCTTGCAGGACAGTGTCTTCTCGAACAGGTGCATCAGATCGAGTTTGATGGTGTCAAGAATAACATCGCTTGTCAGGAGAAGCTGATAGGGTTCACGGAAGCCCAGCAGCTGGAACTGCCGCATGAGCTTCCTGTACTGCTTCGTGCGTTTACCCATCTTGAGATGTGGTAATGGCCCTCAAGCTAGGTCGGCTTCGATGAAGATGGCGGAATTGATCCCTTCCAGTGGGCTGGTTATCAATTAACTAACCGGCAGACGTTGTTCAGAATGAAAATTGACTGAACCGTCTGTCGGTCTTTAGCAGAAAAAAAATGAGATGAACAATGGCTGAGTGATGACTCTGTGGTTTCGCTCATGAAAGCTTGATAACATTAAAAACGGTCGCTGGGGCTGGCTCAAAAATTTCCAGAAGGTTGCAGCCCCACCAGTCTCTCACTGCTGCAGCCTGCAGCTCAAGCTTTCTGGGGCTGTCAGGCCAGCTGCAGGACCCACCACACATCCCTGTCATTGGTACTTGGCACTCTCTTGTCGGTGTCGGTGTAGGGGGGCGTGTGCTGAAAGAACATCAACCCCCATTTTCGCTCTTTGAGATTAACATATTTGGAAACATTGCTCATTTAAACAGACTTGGTTTATGTGATATTCAACCATATATGCAGTCCTCTATGATAAACGCCGGGCCATTCAAGGAAAAGAGACACCAGACTCCAGTCCAAAACTACACTTGCTTCCGTCGAGCCCCTCACACCCCTGAATCCCCATCCCCAACTGCAATGACCCATTGGGAACAAACCGCTAGTCTATATGCCAGAACAGGTAAGAAATGAAGAACGCGTGACAATTGAGAAGCCAAAAAGTGGGAGGTTCTCATCTTGCTAGATGAGACAAGGGAGGAAGGGATATTTGAGACTCAAGCCGCAAGCCGCGGGATAAGACCCCCTGAGCAACCCATAGAAGCCATCATGGATGATATGGCTTCAGTCATTCCGCCTGCAAATCGCAGCTACGACACTGATGTCGTCCAGCTTGCCTGTTACGGCTAGTTAGCACATCAATCCATTAAATCTCATACACAGGCCCAAAAAAAAAAAAAACTTACCGCCGCCACTAGCCAGCCCCTCCTCAATCGCATGCTCCATGAACGGGCTCTCAGCAAACGGATCGACAGCAATCGCCTTAGCCGCCTCCATTAATTCCTGCGCGACATACCACATACCACTATCATCCCTTCTCCTCCGTCTCCTTACTTGCCAATCATCGTCCTCACTCACTCCCGCCCCTTCATACAAATCCGCCTCGCACGGTTGCCTATCGAGACCCCTCACTCCAACCGCCCAATCCACCGACACCTCGCCCCTCTGCCACTTCGCCAGACTCTCCGTCACCTTAGCTACGATCTCGTGCGCCCACAGGTTATCGATGACGCCGTCCGACATGGCCAACACAATGTCGCCCTCTTGGATAGGCACCGCGTCGACCACGGCACACTCGCTGGGCGTGTCCGGGCTGTTGGTGCCTAACTGTCGTGGGCAGTCGAACCAGTGCCATTGCTCGGCCGACTTGTAGATGACCTCGCGCGTGGAGGGGCGAATTACCATGACTTGGGAGTCGCCTAGGTTCGTGACGTAGAGGACGGGTTCGACCTCAGAGGTGTCACAGGGTGATGAAGGTGATTGGGAGTCAGCAGGGGGCGTAGACGTGGGAGCGCTAGAGTCTTCGGATTGTGCAGCTGTTTCGGAAGCTTGCTGATTACTTGGTTCCTGCTGCTCCTTTCGTTCGATCCGACGATAGTGCAGCTGAGCGCCTGTAGCTGTTGTAGTGCCCTGCCAGTCATTGGGGGCACTTGTGGCTTCGATAGTTTGCTCATACGCGCGCTGCAGGTAGGCGACCGGATCAGGCTGGTAACCATCACCCTGGCGGAGTGCATCCTCAAAGATGGCCGTCGCCCAAAAATGCAGAATCAGTCTCGCCCATAGCCTAAAGCGAATCAGTAAGCAACCTCAATCACACCCCTGAAAGTTCACACATACCCAGCATGCCCCCTGGGTCTCGTGCTCCAGGCACCAACCCCGTCATTCGCACAAATAAAATAGTCACTCGCGAAAACCGCGTCATCGCCATTGGTAAACCCCTGGATCAGCTGGCCGCCCACATATGCACGGCTCCGGTCGTGCGTGCTGAGCGGGTCGCTAAATGAAGCCGACGGCGGCGATAAGAAGGGCGGGGGGAAAGGTCGGGGGGTGCGCTTTGCGAATAGCGCAATGCCCGTGTCGAAACGGAAGGGGAGTTTGGGCAGCGCAGATGCATCGAATCTGCCGCTTGCATCCACATAGGGGGGAGGTGACGGTGTTGTTGATCTTGTTGGTGTTGCCGCTGATGATGGTGTCGGTGATGCTTGTATTGTCGTTGGAGGTGAGGGTGAGGGCTGTTGCGAGGGCTGTGATGGTGGTAGTACTGGTGGTGGAGAGCCAACGTCGCTGGCACGGGAATGGCACGGTGCAAAGGAAGCGCGGGATGATGCCGATAAGTGCCGCCTAGGTTGGTGCCATGATGACCACCGCAAAAGGCCGTCATGGCGAACGCTGTGGTAGCCGCGACAAGCGCCAGACCGCCATGATGTTGCTGTTGATGCTGATGCTGATGTAGATGCTGATGATGACGACTGTGAGATCAACGAGCCGCACAGAGAATGCACATATCGAGCAGTCACACGGCTAACTGATGACAAGCCACTGCTGCAGACGGTAGCAGTGGTGTTAAAGGGGACAGACGTCGCTGCCCGCAAATAGTCGAGCCGGAGCGATGCTGCTGGAGCTAGCAATGACGAGTGCGGAGCTACAAGTAGTTTTCTCATTCCAGCATTCCAGCGGGGCGCGCGCGAGATTAGCCGTGGCGCTGCGAGACAGCATTCGACGACAAAACCGGAGAACCGCGATGCTAGAGTCGCCAGACTCGTCTTGGTCGGTCAGGTCGGGATCGTGTGGCAGGTCAGAAGAAACAAAGGAGGATTTTTCGAGCGAAAAAAACTCGAGGGATGAAACATTGCATCAAGCAACCTCTGGGCTTAGCTCAGTCGGGCAGTCGGGCAAGGGAGTGCAGGAGAGACGCTGCCTACAGCGGCCTGCAATCTGCACAGAAGCCCACTCGGCCGTATCGTACGGATGCAACTACTGTTACCTGTTACGTACCTTGCTGGGCCTTATCTTATCAAGGAGCCCAAGACCCCCCTGCTGTCCTGGCCCACGAGCGATCGACGAGTGCGACGGATGCACGGCTGCGGCAACGCCAACGCCGTTGCCGGCAATCTGGGATCTGGCCTTCCGGAAGTTTGGCATTTTGGAACCCTGGAACCAGCCTGGCCGGCCTGCCGGGGGGAACTATCTAGCCTCAAGCCACCTCCGCTGCTCGGATCGTGCCGGGAATCATGCCCGATCCCGGCGCATGCATATGTACGTACCTACCTAGGAAGATATAGATGACCGTCCCGGTCGAACCGCATCGGGATCGTATGGGAAAAACCAAGAGGTCCTTGCAATTCTTACATTACGTGGTACAAGTATGGTAACAGGTAGTGCACACCAGCGTCGTCATCCAAAACAGGCTACCTTAAGACTGCAATATTAGAGGTGGTCCAGTATCCAAACATCCGTACAACCATTACTGTAAGACGGAAGGCTAAATCAAGAGAATAAATCGCCAAATGAAGAGAGACCAGGGCGGAATCAACACTTGTACATATAACTGCTTCCATACACTAAGTCCATACAACTCCCATACATGTGCCAGGTATTCGGTTTGGAAATACCTAACCTATATCACCGACACGTCCCAGGCTCTACTGTGCTCGAGTTACCAGAAAAAAACCGGGCCCAGAGAGTCCAACAAAACCCTCAGCACTCCAGAATCCGCCTTCATGCCACGCCTGACATGCCTGTATATGCAATTCAATGCAATAACCCAGATAACAAGATACACCACCCATCCACCAATGCAGCCCAGCCAGCTCCATGATTCATGACCAGAAAAGTGAAAGTTGTGATGTGACCAGCCCCCAGAACCCTCTAAAATGCTTCCCATCTCTCATAATAATCAGTGATGAGCAAGAGGAGAAGCAAAACTACACGGGACATCACTGGTATGCGCTTGCAACCGTGGTAATCCAAGACATTCTTAAGCCTTGCAGGAAAGAGAGACATGGTCGGGAAACTTGACCTCGAATCCAGCCAGGAGACGACGAATCGGAACAAGTAAAAGAACGCTAGATATGACACCGAACACAGTAATCAACATCTGTTCGTTTCCGTCATACTTTGACCAAGAAATTGTAGTATGAACGGAAAGAGCTCAAGAACAGGGAAAAAAAACACTCGACCAACAACAACACTCAACCAGAAAAAAAACCCATCCTTCTGTTGCTGAGGTCAATGGAGACCGATAAATCACCATGCCAGCTTTGACCAAAAGAAGGGAAAAAAAAAAAAAAACCTAGGACGACGCATGACCTAGCATCGATTTACTCCAATCCGGCAAGTAGGAATTCTGACCGAACGAACCAGTTACACTACTTGGTTGCCTATATATAGAACCTCTCTCAGAGCCCATACTTGCGCATGACGGCTTCCAAGCACTTAATAAGCGAGTCATCGTCATTGGCACCTGTACCTAGATTACCCATTCCGAGAGTAGGGACGGAAGACTCAGCCTGCTGAGGAGCCGAACTATCCTTCTAGAAAGCTTGGCCCTGGTATGGCATCATCCTTCCCGGCGTTCCCGGTCGCGGTCCTCCTGCTACTCCGTACTGTCCCGGAGGGGGCGGCATCCGGAGCCCATTGGGGGTCTTTGAGGGCGGCTGCTCGGCCTCACGCCGTGGCCGCTACCGGCAAAGCTAGGAGATGGAGGGATCGGCCCAGGTGACATCATTGCGGGTGACACTGGGCCTGGAGGTGGTGAACGAATCGGCCCTGGGGGGGGTGAACGGACAGAGCGACCCATGTTGTTGTTAACCATAGGCATGGTCCAGCCAGAACCCCCAGAGGGCGGTCCATACCCTCCCTGAAAATGGCCAGCATAAGGCATCTGCTGCTGAGGGATCATAGGCGGGGGAGATCGAGCGCCTGGACCCATGCCCACGCCAGGCCCGGGGCTCATGCTGCGGGGAACCATTGCAGCAGGCATGTTCGGGAGATACATGGGGCCAGGACCCACGCCACTCATGCCAGCCGGAGTCTTCTGGCCACTTGCATATGCATACTGCTGCGCAGTATATTGTGCTTGTTGCTGGGCATACGCAGCCTGAGCAGCCCTCTGAGCTTGCTGTTGCTGTTCCCGCTGCCGTTGGTCGATCGCCTGGATGACGGCCTGATTGCAAATACCATCCTTAATCTGTGCCTTCTCGCGCTCCCTCTTCTCAATCGCACCAACGAGGCCGTTCTGGGTCGGTGAGGGGCCCTTATTCCCCGCCAAGGCGATCAAAGGAGTACCCGTAATTCTAGCAACATGCTCCTGCTCTCGAGCAGACAAATGTGATGACAATTCACCACCCGACAGGGCCATTGCAGTCCCCTGGCTCCCAGGTCGTCCGGTTGAAAGCAGGTCAATCGAGCTATGGCGAGAGTGAGAAGGCCCTCGGCTGGTAGGCCGCCCGTACGGCGATGATGGCGTTGTCGGTCTAACGTCCAAAAGCGTACCTGTGGATGAACTGCGATGATGTGCGTACTGATGAACCGCCGCAGCTGCCCGTTGCTCAACAAATTGCTCTGCGGATAGGGTATTACCGCCATCTGATGTGCCCACAGCGGTTCCCGGCTGCCAAACAACACTACGGCGAATAGTATCACTTGACTCAGAGCGGTTGTGCGAATAGGCTGCTGCGGGCCCTGGAGATTTTCGTCCAGTTGCATGGCCTGCGCGAGATGAAGAACCATTAGGGGGGATTTTGTTGACTGGCAGCGCAGCATAATTAAGCGTCGGCCCGAAATCGATCTTGGGGATATCGAAATCCGAATCCACGCCATTCGATTTCTTGGATAAAACTGCGGGATCAGTACCAACGGTTTTAAGCACACCAGCACGTGGTCGCTCTTGCTCGACAGATTCTTCGGTTATGCTAGACCGACGGGTGCTAGCATAATCGGGACTAGTCGTCGAAGAAGCATCATCGTAAACTACAGCCCTTAGTGTGGCCTGTCGAAGAGGATGTTGCGGCGGGATTGGCGGAGGAGAAGAGTCGGACGACTGGAAAGGGAAAGTCTGAGGAGGTGACCGAGAAGCAGGAGTAACGTCGTCCTGGCTATGCGCGAGGCTCGTTGATCTTGTGGGAAGAGGATTCCTATTAGTCGGGCCGGAAGGAGGAGACTGTGGAGACTGCGATTCGGGGCCGGGAGTTCGGCGACCTGCAGAGGTGAGGCTACGGTTGTCGGAAGACGACCCTCCATGGGCACCAACAGACGGAGGGTTTCCAGCGACATCCTGTGCTCCAGACGATGAAGGGTTGCGATCGGGTTCCATCGAGGCTGACGAGGATCCTGGAGAAGCACGGGCAGCATGGGGGTTGGCAGAGGTTAGAACTTCAGGAGATCCACAGAGATTAGCATTCATTCCCACGGCATCGGTGCTGGTTTGTGTCTGTACCGCTGGGTTGCGCTGGTCAGTGCGTCTTTGTGCTGAGCCTGCGCTCTCCTCTTGGTAATCATTAAGCAGATCGTCGTCCTTGAAGGCAGCTGGGTCTATGCCGCTGGCCTTGGCCAGCTGTGACAGGGTTGTGTGAGAAAGGCGCTGGGTTCTCCTCCGCATTTCGGCCGTGTGGTAAGGCTGTGGCAACGACGGTCGCGACGGTGTGTTGTGTGAGAAAGCGGGAGGTGGGTTCACTGGTCCCAAGTTGTGTACAGGCTGCATCATCTCGATTCGCTCAGCCGGGGCTGTCCTAATCGGGCTATCTTCTTCTTCGTCGCTGAGCCGTTCGGGGGTCGAAGCTAGATCGCTCGTAAAGGGCTGCCTAACACGTTCAGGCAGGCGCATCGGAAGGGCCGCCGGCTGGCCGTTTTCCTGACCGTAGGGGTGGTATTGGGGCTCGTTAACCTGACGATCGGGGTAAGGAGGTTGGCCGTAAGGCCCGTCAGGACCTGCGGGCAACGGCTCGCGATTTGGATCAGGCGGTACCGACTCATTCCGTCCGCCATGTCGTGGTACCGACTGAGAGCGGCCTGGCTGGACCGGCCCAGCTTCGTCGGCAAAACCTACCCTCGGGCGCGAAGAGCCCGAACTCCCAGCCCCGCCGCTCAAGCGCTTGCCGTTGCGGCTTGCACTCCTGCTCTGCGGAGCAGAGTTGGCAGCATCCTCCATGGCGGCCATGCGCTGACCCGTGAGCTCCTTCAGCCTCTTGCGCCATTCTCGCTCAGACCAGGAAGAGCTCCCTTCGGTCATGATTAAGTTGCTTACATCACTAAGCTCAAGGTACCCGTGCCTCTTATGCTTCGGCATCCCAAACATCAGGGATCGCGGGTCAAGAACGCTCGCCACTAGGCGGCCGGGCCGACCGTACAAACCAAAAGTATCCCACGTCGGAAACAAGAACCGGAGAAGCATTTCGAATCCAGGAACAGCGGGGTGCGTTTCAGGCATGATGAACACAAAACCTTCCGTCGTCGACGGCGGTTCGGAATGTATCGTGATGTCGCCCTCGATCTTCAAGAGTGTTGATCCGTCAATCAAAGCTTTGGCTTGTGGATAGATGGCATAGGCCGAGTAGGCATCGGTGATCGAGGCGATCGGGCGCTGATGCTTCTTCTTTTTCTCGGCATCCTTCTTCGACTCGAAGAATTTGATCTGGCCTTTCAAGATGGGGCCATGCGAGCGGTCGTATGGGTTCTTCTTTTTCCACTCCTTTTGGGCTTTCTGGTATTCCTTCTCGCTGGGGGGTTCAATGACACAGTAGCAGCGCTTCCAGGGGACACCAGCACCAAACCTTACGCGTACCCACTCGGAGATGGGTTGTCTGGCACGCTCCATGATAATGTTAATGCTGTTTAGGGTCTTGCCCTTGCCGGCAACTAGCGAGCCAGTGTAGGCTTCTTGGAGCGTGGCGTGCTCATACATGGCAAGCCGTATTCCGGACGTCCATTGTATCAGCGAGTGGTGCGAGTTGAAGTGCAGCAAATAGCGGTTCCGACCGGCCGTGCTGATGCTCAGGATGTTTTGTAGCGGTTGCTCGTCATTCGACTTTGTTGGGAGCGACTCGATCTGTTGCACTGTGTTAGGGTTCGGATTGCAACCACGTCGAGCCAAGCAAACTGCATTGCACAAACCATCTTGATCGACGCATCGGTAAGGTTGATAAACTTAGGTAGCACCTCGCCGTCCTCGCCGGCCGCGTCGAGCTCGGCAGCGTCCCATAGCGACAAGACGGTGCCAACCAACTGAGCAAAGCACTCAGTCCATGTTCGATCGGGATTTAGGTTTCCGCCTGGCGAAAGGTTAGTAACTCACATGCAAAAGGGACCAAGTACTGTGGGACGGATGGGGGGGGCCCAGGCAAAAGGCGTACGGATGTCTTGGTCGTCCAGCTTCAGGAAGTATCCTTCCTGGTACAGCTTGTTTGCATGGCCGTTGAGCAAGCTGAAGATGGGCTGCAGCTCGGGAGGAGTGTCCGAGTTGATGTCCATGAGGGGCGGCTGGTAGGTTTGCACTAAAGACAGAGGTCTTGAGCTCCTTTTTGGTTTTGCCGCGGGGCTTGATGAGGATGAATTGGGTATTACTGAAGACTGCGCAGAAGCGACATGCTCGGAGTCGCGGGAGGTAGTTGCCGACGTCGATGGCGCCGAGTCACTGGTGGCGTCGCGTGCGGGAGGAGGAGCTGGAGACGGAGTGGAGGATGTGTCGGGGTCGAGATCGGGTTTGAGCTTTGGCCTGTGGAAACCTAAGCCGGAAGGGCTATTGCTGTTATGCTTCGGGCTTTTGTTGCTGTCGTTGTGGTTGCTGGAAGTATTATTATTATTATTATTATAATTTTGCTGGAGCGACGACACAGGTGCAGCGGCCGCAGCGGAGGTTGCTGCAGTTGTTGCGGTTTTCGAGTCCCTGGCAGCAGGCGCTGAGAAGTGGGCAATAAAGGACAGTACTTTTAAGACAGCGCCGGTTGGGTAGGTGTCAGCAGATGGGTCGACTGGGACCACTCAGACTTACAGGGGCCTGGCCCCAGTTGAGTCAGGGAAAGCAAGTGGGCTTGGGAAGTGCAGCTGAAAGGTGGAACGAAGGAAAGAGGGTCGATGGTAAAAGGACGACAGGTAAGAAAGCAAGGAGAACAGCGATGCACTGATGCGATCAAGTGTCTTATTTCCCGCTTCCTCGCCAAAACACCAACCAAAGAGCAATTTAATTTTTGCAATAGCCGGGGCAGCGCGACTGCATGCCGGTGGCTGATGCAGGATGTTTTGTGTATTGTGTGTTGTGTACTGTGTGTTTGTGGCGTAGTGTTGTGTTGCAACTTGCAAGCATGAGGCATGCAGGACTTCGGGAGCTGAGAACCAGAAAAATGCTACATACCTCGACTTCGATTTCGGCCCATCGTGGTGGGGTCGGCTTTCCGGGGCCTTTCTGGGCGCAAAACGGTGTGAAAGGACCGTCCGAAAAATTACAAGCGCCCGGCAGGGATCTTCAGGGCACTACTGACGAATGTGCGATCGGGCCCAGTCTTTCCCTCTTTTCAATTTTTGACTGTTGTGGCTTTTGGTGCACAATACCGGGCTCCCTGTTGACTTGTCTGCTCCCCTCGAGCAGAACGGTACCGACGATGGGACTGAACAGGCGAAGAGCCCCCCTTAAAATTTAAGCCGATGGAAATTCACCAAGTCTTTCTCTCGTCGCAGCAGGCCGGATTTTTTGTCTGATTCTTGTCACCTATGAGATATTTGCAAGCAGCCCCATCCGGGCTAGGCAGGTCGCCCAGCGGTTGTGTATTGGTCCAAGGTTGTTTAGGGGTCGCGGGAGGTTCGGGACGAGAAGCAACGAAGCAGCGGTGGGTGGTAGCGCAGTCCAGGGTGTGGTGTCTTCGTCACCACCGACTTTACCGCGGCAGATCACGCACGAATCTGGCACTTTGCAAAGCGTAAGACGACAAGGGCTGCGCAGCCGGCGACTAGCGGCTAATCGCCCGAATACCGTGCGAAGTTGTAGTGTAGAGAATATAAGTAGGGCAGCGTTCCTGGGATACAGGCAGACTGCGAGTCAGCGTCAAGCTCTGATTCTGGGCTGAAATGGGTTTGTCCCTCGAGCGCCGGACGTTGGAAGAGGGGAAAATAAAGGAGAAAGCGGTCGGATAACCGATATCTATAAGTGGTGCAAGGCCAACGCTGGGTGTTGGATCAACGAGCGGCTTGACCTCATCGGCATTCACGCGTCATCCATGGAGCGAGCGACAAAATCTGCGGCCGCGGCCTCCAATTCCAATCCCAAGCAATGCCCGTCTTCCTGTCCAGTCTTCCGACTACCCCTGAATCTTTTAAAAGAGAGCCGCGCTTATGGTGCACACCTATGGAGTGTAGGTTGTAAGCACTCGTTACGCGGGCCGTGATGCACACCTGAGACTTGGAGGCAGTAAAACCGCCAGAAACAGCTGGAGCTTCCAAGTCTCATCAGCAAAGAGTTAACCCTGGGGTTCCAGTCGCCTGGATAATATGCCTTGTTGCCTCTTCCAAGCACATCTCAGTGCCTCGTGTCTCGATTGCCATTTTTGGCAGCCGACCCTTCCGGGGGTGGGGGAATGGTGTAGCGCCGGGCGCTTCCATTTGCTCACGTTTTCACCTGGCCAAGCAACCTGATGATGTCACGGTACGTACCTCTTGACCTCTTTTGGTCGCCCCAAGTGCGCAAAATGCCGGAGCAGATTCGTCGCAGGAGATGGCGCCGGGCTCTTCAATCTCTGTGTTGATGCGAGGAGAATCTAAATTTTCGCCGTGGATCGGGGCCACGAGAAACGGAAGATTGGCAAAGTTGAGTATGTATCTGCACGCTGATCTCAGTATCCCAGGTCCCGGGTGACCCAACGATCCGTATCCGTATGCGTGATGTGTGAGTGTGGAGGTGGTCTCTGTGGAGGGGCCAGAAACAGGGTTTGAGTGGTTTGAGCAAGTTGATGGGCGGTCATCTGGGCTTCTCTCGTATTTGTGTCTTCTGCTCTGGCCTCTGCTTGACGGCTTTCACGCTATCGGCTCTCGGGGCCAAGCGAGCTGATTTCATGCCCGAGACTCCGCTCTCGAGAACTGCAGAATTACGTACGGCAGGACGCACGCTGCGGTGGTTGTGGAGGGATTGTTGGGACTGGCTTTTTTTGCTTCCTCCACTTGTCGGCGGGGTGGCGGACTTGATATGCAGTGCACATACATACGGCGTATCGTCTTGCGGAGGATTTCTCTTTTGTCAGATCCACGATCCGTTGCCTCAATATTTACTCACTTTCCGCCGTCTTATCCAGCCCATGTATTGCTCCGAGCGTATGTACAGAACAGATCTACCTATGAAAAGGCGCCCTCGCATATATTCCATGTGTCAACTTCCCGGTTGGTTCTGCTGATGCAATCTAATCCAAAGTGTTAACAGTATGGCCAAGCAGTCTACACTCAAGACTTCACACCACGAGCCATCTCCAGCCATCCACTCGTGGCATGCCACCGTGTTCGAGACCACCCCCACAGCATGACCTGGTGAACGGGTGTTCGAAGAGCTTGGCAACACATCACCAGCACACCATTGCACACTCAACACCTGCATAACACAGTCTGGTCTACTTGGTCTACTTGGATATACAGCTGTTGCTGTCCTGACAACACCGCGAACGAAAGAGATGGTGGTTGATATGATCATCCGGAAGATGCTATATCTGTTGCCACTGTTTCACTGTCAAATACAAGACGTCTATCTAGAGTATCCAGGGTAACATTTGGCCGAAGTATCTGCGGTCCGCTGACGTTGCCGCAACATCAGGGACGTGGCGCCCCAGACAGACGATTGGCCATTATGCTTGCCCGGCGAGAGGACTTGGATGGCGGGAGGCGCCCGAGGCTGCAGCGGCAGCATCTGGTCACCTATCAATGATCACTCACCACTCGACCCTTGGCTTTGCACTTCACTTGAGTATGTAAGCGCATCCAGGCGTGACAAGCTTCTATCCAGTGCCTCTTTGCTGGCTTTCACTTGGCATTGCCCTCACATAAATACAATTCCGCTCTTTTGACCTTGTGCTGGCCAATGGAAGTATCTGGAAACCAAATATGGGCTTGCACTACAGGATCTCCAATGCAGAATCTTCAACACTCACCGACTCTGACCCCTCCATACAAGCTTAGGCTGTATGGTCTGATGTCCAGCAAAAAATCCGATGTGGAAAATCGACAGAGCGCTTCTCTGATTTTTCAAAGATTACATACTCGTACTCTAACCGCCAGAGAGCACAGCTCAGTTTCAAGATAGGAGTATGCAGCAAACAGCTGAGGTAGCCAGGATGGTGAAAACCGTTACTCTGCATTGGGTAGCGGATGCATTGCTCGAGCGTACACTAAAGGTACTGGGATCAGATACGAAGAACCTGGTGGCTGGATGATGTGAAGGCAGTAAAGGCTTGGGTTGGCTGCAAGTTCCAGCTCCCAACTCGGAACGTCCAGAAAACCGGACCAGCGCAACATCGCTTTGAAGCATTGTGGGGACCTGGAGCCAAGACTTTTCTTGCCCCGCACTAATATTTCGGTTGGTTTGGCATCATGGTGAGCGCTCCGCTGATTGATCGTTCCGTTCGTGCAGTTTGATCACTGTTAATCTATCGGCAGGCAGTGCTCGTCTTGATAGTGAAACAAAATATTGTGATAAACCAGAAAGTGGCTGGTTCACTGTGTATGTGTACATGTAACTTATTGTGGGTATAATGAGCAGGGCGAAGTTGAATCGCAGTTGCACGGGCGACCCCCTCTCTTGAGACTGTAATTGTGGACACGAAGATGCTGCAGAGGACAAAGAAGCACAGCCCCAGGGACGATGAAACCGAGTGCAAAACTTTGTATGATGTTTCCTATCTGAATATCACCGCATTTCCTACATGTACCTGTGCAAAGAATGAGACAGGAACGTTGCGATCAACAAGCCAATTCAAGTCTCGGGTGGGTAAGCACGGCATGCCTAAGGTACGAAGAAAAAGTTCAGCCCTATGATGGGCCGCGAAAATTACGCACAGCCCTTGCACCAGGCACGTGTTACGTCATTTATCCTGCTTCTCATTTTAAACCATAAGCTTCGAGAAGGCTGCCAATCGAAGAATCCCTGTTGTGGAACGACGCGCAATGAGCGAACCGAGAAAAATTTGCATCACCGAAATTAAGCTAACCATATGCTACTCTAAAGTGTCTACGGATAGCGGATTGCTTTTTTATACAAATTGCCTAGGTAGGTGCCTACCTCCTTGTGTGGGTTAGGTATATAATCAGATCTTGTCCATCATCCCACCAAGAAGTTTGTCAATCATGTCACGATACTGAAATCCTTCGTCAAATAACAGCATCATTCAACCCTTTTTACGTATGGATCTCTTCCTGAGTGTATATGTTGGAGCTAAACTAGAGCCTTCAAATTTATTCGTTTCCAATTCCCCCTGTCTTTCATACTTCCTCTGTTCTTCCCTCCTTTTTTTTTCTCAAACTCCCTCTCACTTATGACTATACAATCGTGACTAGTCTTGATTCAAGCCAAGGTAGGTAAGCCAAGCCAATCGCAACCGTTGTAGCAAGATCAGTTAAGCGAAGGCATTGGACCAAACGTGCTTGATTTGTCGGAGCGCTGTTCCTACACATGTCTCTATCATGTCAATCAGTGTTTGAAGTTGCAGGATGGCTGTGGTTATTGACCACTTTAAGCAACAGTGCACTGTGCAAATAGGCACATACAATTTCAGCGGCCTATAAATCAAGTTATAGTTTCTGGGAAACTTGCAACACTCTGTTTTGTGTTTACTACCCTCAGCTGAATAGTCCATTTTGCCTTTTCCGTAGGCTACCCATACACTTAGAGCAGTTGCCAGAGAAATGGTAATTTCCGTCACATCACGGTTCATTTCCCCAGCTGAAGTCCACTAGCCAACAGCTTGCCAAGTTCCTTCAGCTAAGTGCTTACATGGTGAGAGCCCCGCCAGAACTTCCTCCACAGCACCATCACATCAGGAACAATCGTGATCACGATGACCAAGATCTCGGGCAAAGATGAACATGTCCGACAGAACTCGGACACGGTACTTGTCAAATGGCCTATCAAATCCCTGATTTTAGAGATCCACGAGGCCAAGCGGATGGGCTGAGAGAACACGTCCCTGCATCATGTGTGTTCGCTAACGTGGTGAACCCTGGGGTAACACAAGCCACAGGCCCCGCCCATCTCATGGTCTTTAGGTGTTCACACCCGCAGTCCCGCACTTGACCGAGCAATGGTGATCAGCGTGATAGAAGGGACCAAACATTCTATCTAATCCGAATATATTGATACTCAAAACTTACTTACATTGCTTGCCACACGAATGCATCAGCTTGCTTATACGAAATTACAGTGTACATAGCATTGTTGATTTTCTTCTCTTTTCCTTTTTTTCCCTATTTTTTTTTATTTTGTTTGCGAGTGTGCTCCTACAGCACGAGAACCTGCAAGCAGCCGGAGATGAATCGCGCCAAAACGCGCTGGCTTCACGCGAACGCGACAGCCTGCAGCATCGATTGAGAGAAGGTTGCCCCAGGCAGGCGCTGGTTAGTCGCCGGCAAGGCATCCGTTTCGCTGTTGTCACCTGGCAACCAACCGCCATCACCAATCCCCAGCCTGCAGGCCCCATCTCTGAGCTGTAGAGTGCCCACAATCTGCAAGCTCGGGTGGGGCTGGCTGCCGCGTCGTCCCCTCAGCAAAGTAGTGACTCGGCGACCCGCTCTGTATCCAATCCTCAACCTCCCATCCCAGCGCGGTCCGACGCGACGAACTTTCTGTGCCTGCCTAGGTACGTTTGCGCCGTCCGATTCCCACACACAACCTAGAAAAAATAAAACAAAGATACCACGCGATCCGATGCGACAGCGAGCGCCATCCTGTCCACGCTCTTCGCCTGTTATAATCGCCACTATCGGCCAGTGCCCGTCCACGGTCGCCTAGACGACCACCGAAGAGCAGCGCGCAGGGCCTGCTGCCTGCGAACAACTTTCAAGGCCAGGCGCAGGAGCTCTGAGGCACAAGAAGACGTCCACGAGCCGACACTGACAATTGTTGAGCGTCGGTTGTCGATTGTTGACTGTTGATTGTTTGGGGCTTCTATCCCGTGAAGCCGTGAAGCTGTCTCGTAAATTCCTTCACAACAGCAACAGTAACTGCAACGACAGCCGCAATGGATCTGGAGAACAGCCAGGCCACCCAGGAAAATGCCCTCGACCCACGGCGTCTGGGTGGCCAGAATTCTGGGTTCTCGGACGAGGACATCTCTGATATCATATGTCTTCTGCTCCCATACTCAGAAGCAGCCCGCCGGCAGCTGCGGAATATCGCCGCAACCGAGAACGCCAACCGCATCGTCGAGCGCGAAAATGTCGGCCAGCTAGACCTCGACTACGCCCTGGAGGAAGACATGCGCGATATCGCCCGTATACAGCCTGTCCTTGGCGAGCACTACATCGCCCTGAGATTCTCGACGCCCGTAAAGGATCCCCTCCAGGGATTTACTTTTGGCCGCAACCCCACCCTCTGTGATGTTTGTTTCCGCAACGACCCGCGCCGTCGCCTGAGCAATGTGCACTTTCGCATCTATCTTAACGAGTTTGGCGTGCTGATGCTGGAGGACTTGTCGACAAACGGAACCTCGGTCGACGAGGTTCTGCTAAAGAAGAAAGACAGCCCGGCAAGGGAGACAAAGCGGACGCTGCAGAGCGGCTCCAAAATTCAAATCTTTATGCACCAAGACAGCATGGACCTCGTCTTCATTGTCCGCATTCCCATCCGTCATGGCGCCTGTCAGGAGGCCTACGAGCGCAACTTGCAAGCGTACATGGCCCAGCGCGAACGGCTGGCAAACGAGACAATTGTGCCTGGGCCAGGGGGTCGTGTATGTGTGCTGTTTGCCCCTTCTTTCCTTCATCCCTTGCTTCCCGTCCTGCATTGTGTTTGCTGGGTCGAGCCTGATTCATTGTCGACTGACTGACTGGGACCCCTCCAGGTTGACATTTTTAAGCCGGCAGCCCAGAAGAATGGAGAGCGCAACGTCAACAAAGTTGTTGCTCGTCGAGAACAAGCTGACGGCATGCCGGTTAAACAGCCCTCTCGCCTCCGCACAGAGGCCATTCCGCGCCCCTGGAATGGATCTAACAAGTACAACCGGGTGTGCGAGATTGGCCGAGGTGCTTTTGCCACTGTCTACAAAGTCACGCTGAAGCTCACTGGTCATCCGTATGCGGCCAAGGAGCTGGATAAGCGCAGGTTCATGAAGAACGGCGTTTTGGACCAGAAGGTCGAGAATGAGATGAAAATCATGCAGAAAGTCAAGCATGTAAGCAACCTACCTTCGTCTCCTACTCTTCTGGATGGACACAGACAGGGCTTACATTTCTGAAGCCGCACATCGTGAACTACATCGAACACCTTGACTGGGATGACCGGCTGCTCATTATCATTATGGACTTTGTTGGCGGCGGTGACCTTGGCAAGTTGATTGCTGAGCATGGCCCGCTCTCTGAACCTGCTACAAAGATTATGGCAAGGCAACTGCTGGATGCCCTTGGCTATCTTCACAGCATGAATATCACTCACCGCGACGTGAAGCCGGACAACATCCTTGTCCAGTCATTCGACCCCTTCGTCGTGAAGCTGACAGACTTTGGCCTGTCCAAGATGGTCGACAACGACCAGACCTTCCTCCGGACTTTCTGCGGCACCCTTCTGTATTGTGCCCCTGAAGTCTACTCCGAATATGCCGAATACGATAACCATGGCCGGCGCCATCCCCGGAATCGTCGGCTGCGCCCAGCCACTGGTCCGAGATACCACAACGCGGTCGATGTGTGGTCTCTAGGCGGCGTCTTGTTTTACGCCTTGACGAAGACACCGCCTTTCCCTGCAAGAAATGGAGCAAGCCACTCCGAACTGCTGCATCAGATCATGACGAAGCCGTTGAACGTTGAGCCGCTCAAGCAGGCTAACATCTCAAATGAAGGCATTGATTTCTTGAAGCGCATGCTGAATCGCCGTCCTGAGAATCGAGCTACGATTCCAGAGCTGTTGAATCATCCATGGCTCGAGGGTGTGGCTCTTCCGCCTATTGATCAAGTGGCAGATGAGGAGCTGCCCGCAAACGCGTCACAGCTGAGCCTCGAAGATAATGCGAATGAGACGGAAGGAGCCGACGATGTTGAGCTCCAGGTTCCGAGCGATGATGAAATCAATGATGAGGACGACGAGGAGGTCGTCCGCCAGACCGACCATGAAGATGAGGGTGAGTCAGAAAAAGAAAACCAAACCCTCGGGCCTGCCAACGGCCGTCAACGTCGACTATTTGGTGAAGTCAACCCTTCCGCAGTTGGCTCGTCCGGTGGCATTCGGGCAGAACGACTGAACCTCCCTGTGACGGCTCCGAGCTCCGAGTCATCAAGAGAAACAGAAGTTCTCGAGCGTCCTGCCGAAATCAAAGACAGCTTCGAGTCTGACAGTGATTCCACACCTCGTCAGCCGACTTCAAGGCTTCCTCCGGGTGCTGGGGGAAGTCGACGTGGGTCACTTCGTTCAATCAACTCGAACGAGAGCAGATCGGTTGAGGAGCTCAACAACATGACTTTTGACGTGGCCTCGCAAAGTTTGGGCGGCGCTGAGTCAATCCTCGGCAATCTCAACATGAAGTCACGCGCCGCCTCAGCTGCCCCATCCCATTCCATCGGCGACGTAACCTCAAGCAAACGGAAGCCACCCTCGGATCTTGGTGAAGAAGGGGAGGCTCAAGCTACGGAATCCCGGCGTACCCTCAAGAGGCTGCGCTCTCAACCTGCCGCTCCCCCGGCCATCCTCGACCTTCCAGTGGCCCCGGGAGAGTATGAACTGCTTGTTCAGGTCCCATGCATCCGGAATCACTCATGTCGGCAGATCGATAATCCTGTGCATAAATCTACGTTCTGGTCGGCCCGGGACAGATCGACGTGGCATCTTAACTACCCAGAAATGACCCAGCTGCAGTTTGACGCTTTCAATATGGCAGCAGCAGCAAGGAATGAGGAGTTTGGCCCAGGTAAAACTCCCCTTTGGAGCCTTGCCGTTAAGTACTTCCCGCCCACGAACCGTGAGCGTGTTGGAGATAAGTCAAGGGTACCCCGCCGCCCCTTGGATGACCTCAGGCTCCCGCCAACGGCTGGCCGGAATGGCATCTCTGATGATGTGCCAGATACGCAGCGGTGCCAAGATATTCGCCCTCCCATGCCCATATTCTCGGAACCTGGCCGGCCTGTGATCGCATGCCTTCAGTCAGCGGCTGTCTCCGCCATCCAGGGCATTTCGGTGCTGATCACCGAAGCCATGATATCATGGGGTAGGGCCATGAGCAACACTCGCTCCTACATCCCCCGAACTGAAGGGAAAGTGCCCAAGAACGCGTTGAAGATCCTCCTCTGGAAGCCCGGCTTCGACCCAGTGAAGAACTTCCGCCCGTGGAACCGCCAAGGCGAGGATGAAGAGTCTCTGTATTTCTACATCGCTACCAAGGCAACGCAGGGCATCTCGATCAACGGCGTTCCCCTCCCGTCTTGGAATCCCAAGGCGACCGACGATGCCTGCCGATACTGGATGCGCCTGCACGACGGCGACCGTATCACCGTCTGGCAAACCGCCGACGGCCTCACGCGCACCGAGCTCATCTTCTGGTGCGGCTGGGGCGGCAGCTCAAAGCCGCGCGGCTCGGCGAGCGTCAACCGCCCGTGCCTCGTCGCCGACGACATCGCCCAGCAGCTCGACGAGGTGTGCTACCGCGCTGAACGTAAGATGCGCGGCTTGAGCGAGCACGACCTCAAGATGGAGGAAGCCAATCACGACCTGGAGGTCCGGCTAGCCCACATCGATGCCGAGCGCCAGCGTTCCCGCGACTTCGAAGTGCGTCGCCAGGAGGCTTGTCGTGCCCTGGGTGTTAACCCACATCGTCGTCACAGCCCGCCTGTTGGCGTGGGCCTGACGATCTGCAGCGCCGCCGCTGCTGCTGCAAATGGTGAAGGGTCCTCTTCTGTTGCTGGGGGGTATTCGTCGTATAATCGGACTGTGCCGGCACTCCGTCATACCTCCCCTCCTACAGCGTCGGACTTGCTGAGGGCTGCCAGAGGAGGTTGAGCAGCGTTCAGTTTCCTACCTCATTTCATGATTTCCGGTCGTCTGGTCCGCTCAAGAGGGGGATATGGTCATTTGTGCTGTGGTCTATACGAGTGGTGCCTGAGGCTGTATTCTGAGGCGGTTTATTTCGGTTCTGGACTCTCTTTTATCTGCCTCGCGGCAGGCTAATTTATCTTAGGATTTGACGCGATGGGATATGTACGGGTTTATGGAGTTATTTAGGCTCTGTATCTTCTGGGCGGTTTTGGCTTGGGAATTATGTCTTTAGGTGAACTTGTTTAACGATCAGGGTGAAGGAAAGGCATACAGATGTTTTTTTTATCTGGGCGTTTGTGCATATACCAGCCATACACTGCAAGTGTGTTTTGGGTCCATGTTAGATACCTCCCCTTTCCATCCTTCAGCAGACAGAAAAATCAGGTGTTTATTAGCTAAGTTGTAGAGCCCACTGGTTTGCTACCTATTTGAGTGAGCCTGTTTCCGCACCCTTAAGAGGGGAACTTGCAATGGCTGATCTGCTGCGAGAGGCAGTTGGCCATGAACACGCCCCTTTAAAATTACTTCAGGTTCGGTTCGTTTCGTTTTGACTTGAAAGAACAAAGTGAATGAAACAATCGTGCAAGCAAAGGCAGAAACATGCCAACTTGAATCTTCTGAAGATGACTCCTTCCGAAAGGTAAGCTCTGAAACGAGCATCGAGCTGATAAGACTGACCCCATATTGGACTGTTTTCCTCCCCTTGTTCGGAATAGCCTGAGCATGATAGCAGCCAGCAATATTACTAGCCCGAAAGACGGTCAACAGTACTTGAAAGGAGAAAAAACAAAATCAAGAAAAAACAAGGCGCTCAGCATCAGGCAACAAAGAGCAAGTCTGCTTGCTCCAAGGGTTTGCCCAATGGTCAAAGCAGCAGGCCCATGACATGGCGTGCCGGTTCAAGGAGGACGAAATAGTAAGCGAAATCGAACTTGCAAACTTCGCTCTCTGCCGGAAAACGCTCTGTCATCACAATGCGAGCTGTAATGGCAAGAAGCAGCTCAAGTTCCTCAGCTAATACTGGGTCGGGCCTTGTGAGCCAGCAAGTTCGCACGGGCTCGCTCAATTTCGTCCTCTTCGTCCGAGGTAATCTCCCAGATACGGTCCTGCAAATCAGCAGCCTCCTTCCCGGCGTCGCCGTCAAACCCATAAGTCGCATAATAAGTCGGGGAAGAGGCAGCAGCTGAAGAGAAGCCGGTCGCACCTGCAGCAAGTGTGGCGTTGTTGTGGTTGTAGTGGCCGCCGTCTGTAGCGTAATACTGGTGGTAGTAGTAGTAGTACTGGCTGAACGCGAAATCATCCTCTGGATGAGGGTAATAGTAAGAACTGGACCCAGTGCCGATAGTGTCGGCGGGAATAGGGGCAGCGTTGGGAGCGGAATTGGAGAAGTCGTCATCTGAAGAGGTCCAACACCGGGGCGGTTCGTACTCACTCTCCTCGTTAATCTTGTTCTTGAAAAAAAAATTCAGCTTCTCCTGCTCCTCCTCTCGAGACACTCGCTTATCCTTCTTCCCTTTAGGCTTCCTCTGCTTGCGCTTCGACCGACGAGTCTCGCCATCGTCAAGCTCAGGATTCAAATCCTTGTTACAGTAAGAATCAGAATTAAGGTGGGAGTCTGGCATGCAAGTTGTGTCATAGGTTGTCCAGACGCTTCTCTCGTTGTTATATTGACCATATAAGTCATAGGAGCCAGTCTCGTTGTCCGCAGTGAAGGCCTGCATGGATGGGAAAGAGGAATATGCAAATTGAAGGCCACCAGCCTCAATAAAAGCTTTTTCGGCCTTGCCTTGCTCCGATGCCCAGTACATGTCCGAGAGTCCCATGACCTTGGGCTTGGGGTTGGTAGCGTGCTTGGGCCTGTCTTTGGATTCAGGCCCGATCTGGGGTTGTGCTCTGGACTTAGGAGGAAGCGTATCCCTCTGGTCCTCCTTCTTTTGAGACCCCTTAACAGGAGCATACGCAATTTCATTCCTATCCAGGAACTCTCCAGGCAGCTTCAAGACTTGCTCCTGGTGAAGCTCCAACTCTGCAACAGTTGAAGCCTTCTCACTGTAGCAACGATCAGAACGGTTATAATCATTGTCCAAAGGCTTGGCAGAAGAAGCATCGAGCTTGTGTTCCTTAGTAGCCTGCTTCGAGTGACTTGTATCCTGGATCTTGTTCCTCTTTTTGTTGGTGTGATTACAAGTGCCTTCCAGGTCCGTATGATAATTTCTCAGAGTTGACATATGCTCGTGACCATTATTCTCGGGCTTCTTGCTCACAATGTTTGAGGTATTTGAAAATGAGCAGAGCGACTTCTGCTGGTCGTCCTTGACTGGAGAACGGATATCTCTCTCTTCCTCAAACTCGGAGAGACGAACCCGGACCTTGACTTCCTCATATTGTGCAAGGTTGTCCCAAATGCAACTATTGCTCGGAAGGCTAGTAGTCGTAGCCGAAGGAGTGATAGAGCGAGCCTGACCTTGAACGAACTCTGTTTTGCTTTCAAGTAGGTGAGACCTCTGGGCGGTTGACGTACCGCAATGCGAACCATCGCTGCGATCCAAGTCATACTGAAATCGCATAACGCGCTCTTGGTCCAGGGTCTCGAGGTACAATCGAACCAACTTTTGCCGGCCTCTCTGGACGTCTATGGCAGTACAGTTCCCACAGTATTCAGAGAAAGGGGGAAGGCGACCTGACTTGTACATCTCATGGTAGCGGTTCGATCGCAGCACACCGCACTTGGCACACCACTGTTTGTCGTCGACATGGACTTGAAGTCTTGTGATCCGTCCGCACTGACGGGCGCCGTTTTGAGCTCGCTCCTCAATTCGCAATTTCCTGTCGCGGCGACAACGGCGACAGAGACTCTGTATGAGATCTCTATCAGACCGAATCGGATAGAGCTTGTGAAAAGAATGAGAGCGAGATTTCCCACAGACGAAGCAAACATGTTTCCGCTCATAGCTATCGTCGGTCCTCTCCTTCCTCTCGACAGCATCTCTTCGCTCTGATTGGGATTTTTTGCCAGAGCGCTTGCCGTTGGAGCTCACTTCGAAGGCGAAGATGAGGTGATATCCTTTCCTTCCCTTACCCCCATTGGAGGGGCGGGAGAAACCTTTCTCATCCTCTGAGGTGCAATGGAATTCCTTAGTCCTAAGATTTCCAGTTAATGCCTGTGTTGATACCCAACAACCGACTTCCATTGCAGTGTAGACTACCGAACATGACGAAGATTAAAACACGGATAGAACTTACAGCCGGAAGTACATTTTGCAAGATCAGCTCAGCCTTTCTGGCCGTAATTACGTAGTTGGGTCAAAAAAAGACAAGGAAAGGCAAGGTGAACGAATGAGTGGAAACAAAGGGATAACCTAGACGGATCGGGACCGACAGAAGAGGATAAGGAGGAAAGGTTAAATAAATAAAACAAAAGGGAAAAAAGTTAGTCTGCGGCGACTCAAGGCAAACCATTGGGGTTAATTGCCCTCCGCTATGATTTCGGATTAGGGCAATGTCACAATCAGCACACCTTGGTGCCGAGATCGCACTCTTGCGCTTTCAAGGCGAACAGCTGGGTGTGTCTAAAAAGAGATACAATCAGAAAAGAATCAAGTGGTGTAAAGAGATGGGAAAGATTAAGGAAGCCTCAGCAATCTGGAGATCGAAATATATGATTATGGTCCAGAAATCTGGGCTGTATGGTTTGTTGCTGGCCTCGGAGATTTTTCTGATTTTTTTTTGCAGGAGATTTTGTGGTATTCCAAAATGGAGTATGGCAAGAGAAAGTCGAGAAGAAGGTTGGTGTGTTCGGTAAGTGTACGCATCCTTGACGCATCTTAATCTTTGTGGGCAAGTTTTGGCCCAGGTGTAGGGACTTACCAGAAGACAATGGCAGGAACCATATATCAGCTCAAGGACCTAAGTTTCGTTTGACCTTAGAGTGCTCTCAGTGTCAACTCAGGGAAAGAACTCAAAACTATCTTTAACCATTCTACATAGAACCAAACAAAGAGAGATCTAACATACTCTTTTATACACCACGCCCTTTCCATGACCAATTCCTTCAATCTCCTATTCAACCCGGAGCACCCGGGGACCACGCTTTTTCGTAGCCTTCTTCTTCTTGTGCCCACGTTCAAACGCAGCCGCCGATGCATGATCACGCCCAAGGTTGTCGAGGTCCTTAACTTTGTAGATGCGGATAATCCAGTTCTCACTGGTGAAGGCCTCCTCCAGAGTGTTCAGAGTAGGCCCGACTTCGGGCAAGCGTACGCCTCTCATACGATCGACAGCCTGCCCTGGTGGGAAGAGATTGTTGTAGTTGTAGTAGCACATCTTGTACCTGTGGATTCAGTTAGCATACACAATTGGTTATGTGGTTCTTGCAGAAAGCCTTACATTAAACTATTCTTCATGGTATCAGTGGCCTCGGCATCGACGCGGTACTCGCCACGAGGAGTGAAGAAGGCACGCTCGCTGACTTCATCAGGCCAGATGCCCTCAGCAATGCGGACCATCCAGAGGAATTTGTTGATATCATCGCCAGAGTAGCCGAGGAGACCACCAAAGACGACCAGAACGTAGTCAACCTCATGCTGGCGCATGATCGGATAACTGACTTCCTCACGCGAAGCCATTGCCTTGCCAACCGTTGCGATATGAGTGTTGTTCCACGTATTGTTATCAACCAGAGTCGGGCGGTCAGCCATGCCTCCAATCTGGTAACCGTAATCCCACCACGACATGATCTTGGCGTCCTCGCGGGTATTCTGTCGCAGCCACTGGTACGCCTCACGATAGTCATCGATGATGTGTTGGCTGCCATCAGGGAGCCTGCTTGCTAGGACGACCGAGGGAGATGAATATGCGTTAGACGTAACCCATGTGCAGTGCAAGACGAAGAGCAACAGGTAGATGGTCAGACCGCTGATCATCATTGTCTTGCCCCACAGCGCATAAACGCCCACAGCAGGCTTGCTTGCTGCCTTAAGCCCCGACTTCTTCTTACCGGCATCCTCAGTGGCTTGTGCCTGCCCAGGGTTGGGAGTCTTAAGGTTGAGATAGGTATCAAGAAGAGACGAGAAAGCAATCGCAGCAGCAACACACACCACAGGAGTGAGCGTGAGCATGAGACGAACCATGACACCGGCGAAGTAGCTACCAAACAACGCATAAACGATGATGAAGACATGCTCATCGCCAAGCTGCTGGAAGCAGAGATAGACGCCGACAGGAAAGAGCCAAACCAGCATGTTGAGGTCAAAGAAGAACGCTGGCCAGGCAGTAGGCTGATGCTCCGACACTGATGCGATGATGGGGATGTGGATTTTGGCATAACCTGTATCCCAAAGTGAGTAGAAACGGCCGCTCCAGGGGGCAATCAGCCCGGCGCTGGTGGCAATGACCAAGCCAAGGAGACCAAGGCCGAAGATGCCGCCAGCAAACAGCCACAAGAAGGTTTGGAACTGTCGACTGGAGATGGTTGACCGGACATAGTCCAAGAAAGCCAGCAGCTGCAAAAAACCAAAGATTCCTAGCAAGATCAGCATATTGTTTTGACTATATTGGCTTGTCAAGCTGAGGACCTACCGAGGGCTGGCATGTGCTCACTGGTCTTGACAGGCAAGAACCCAACGAAGGGGATCTGCATGCTGGCCAGAGTACCCAGAGCGTACCAAGTGGTGTACGCAACATAGAGCCGGGTACTGTAACGGCCCATGCAAATTAGAACGAAGGAGTGAAGGGGCAGGAGACAAGTAATGAATGCGTAACCTCCCCAGGAGGCCACCATGTAACCATAGAAGAGGGCGCAGAGAGCACCCCAGAGCATGGAGCCCTGCTTGAGCGCCTTAATCCAAAGGAAGAAAGTAAAGACGAGCAGAAAGATGGCAATTGCCTCGTTGTCATAGCTGCCTGCGACCGAACGTGAGATGTAGCCAGGCGCAATACCCATGAATGCAGCAGCGAGAAGACCGGCCGAAGGGGAAGTCGTCATTTCATTGGTAAGCAGGTAGGCGGCAATGGCAGTTAGACCGGAGAATCCAGGTGCGAGCAGGACGCAGATGTTCCGAATATCGACGGGAACAGTGAGGAATCGGAGAAGGTGATAGATGACACCACTGGTGACCATCAGGCCGGGATAGAGGGTGCCACCGGTAACGCGGCCAAGGGGGTGCCATGTGCGGTCGTCAAACCAGTCCCAGAACTTGTAGAAGCCATTCGCGACGAGATACTTGGTTGCTCGGAAGTTAAACCATGGATCGACTGTCCAGGAACATGGCTGTCAGCATCATATGTAGTGCATGAGAGGGGCAATTGATCGAGACTTGAGACTGCGGGAAGGCAGAAGTTTTAGGTACTACACACATTCGTGGATGATGCTCTCGAATCCTACATTCAGAAGCTATTAGCACCACATCCATAGAACCGAAGTCAGTACATTCAGCACAAAAACACAGCCAGCGACGTGAAGGATCCGTAGTTGGCCGGGTTGTCCTGGAGAAACGAAGGGACACGTACGGATCACAGAGAACAAGCGACTGGCAACAGCAGCGCCGGCAATAAGAACAAGGATGGCAACTCGCAACACACTACGAGTGCTTTTCCCTTTCCCCGCACTTGCGAGGAGCTTGAGCGGTTCGGCGGCCGACATGGTGGCCTCTGATGGGTTGCGGTGCTGCCTCTCTCGCCTGGTGAAGTTTGGGCCCTTGAGGGAGGCTGCGACGGGCAAGAGAAGCAAGCTGTTGGAAACGGAGAGGACAGTCTGGAGCTTCTGCATCATCGCCCAGGGGTCATGTCTTGGCGCCACTGATTGGAGCCAGAGACCCACCTTTCCCGCAGCTCAGGTTCTGCCGGGCGGTCAGAAAGTTAGCGTCGCCTAGCTCCAACGCTGGTTGAGACTCGATTTCGATCGCTCAAACGTGGGGTCTCCATACCAAACGTGCAGCACTGGACAAGACTGCACCGCGCTTCACGCTGGTGAGAGTGGTAGATAGACAGTGCCGGTCCTTCGCTGTAAGTCCTATGAGTTTTGTGCAAAATGCATTTGTTTGAAATGCACAGATCTGCCAATTGAGCATGGTACCCTTAGAAGCTATTGCGGGCACATCCAGCCTTCATCATTCTTCGGGGCACGCATTGGATCAAATCACCATCGTTGTATCGGGCAATTGTTCATAGTCATGTCTGGTGGGGGTATACTGTAAAAGATGGGCCAAAACTCCCTGTCTACAACTGGGCTAAATTGAACCGCGTCAGAGCCCAGGTATCCACAAGCGCATCTAGCACCCAAATCCCCAGGAAAATCACCGATAGGGTTGGTCGAAGATGGGTGTTCAGCGTAGAGCTTTTTCATTCGGGCAGCGGTTATAGGTACCTGGCCGCTCCGAGAATTCATTGACCTCATTTTAAACACCCCAAAACCCTGAAAGCAAGATTCCCTGGGATGATGCATGCGTTGAGTGCCAAATCTTTTAGACCCGCGCCGCCAAATCCCCAGATACGACCAATCCATTACCCATGATGAAAAAAAACCCTTACGCAGCCTAGTTACCGAAGTCAGCATTTCCTCGTTCATCATACACAACATGTTTGGCCGCGAAAGCTGTCTTCCACAGATTCTGCGTACCTTAACAGCATACTTCCGCTGGGGGAAGTGAGTCAGGCGCTTCTTAGTCTTCTCAAGAACCCGCGAGGCGTCCTCCTTAGACAGACGGCGACGGAGAGCGCGGGTCAGCTTGGGCCGGAGGTCGAGAGGCAGGTACTTCTTGTTCTTGTAGAACAGGCGGAGCTGAGCGCGTTGCTTGGCGTTGATGACGGTCAGAACACGGGCGATCGACTTCCGGAGGTCGTGGCTATCGCGAGCAAAATCGAACTTGTCAGCCAAGTCCATCCCTAACCCATGTCTCCATTTTCCACCTCAAACCACCTCTGGTGTTCATCGTTCCGCGGCGAACATCGAATCGACGTACATCTTGTTGAGCTTGGCGCCCGAGGAGGAGATCTTCTGGATGCGAAGCTGGCTCAGCTCCGTCTTGAGCTCACCAAGAATCTTGGTGAGCTCCTCCTTATTCTTAGACCATAATTGGCCCGCCTTGACCTTGCCGTTGGAAGACTTTGAAATATAACAGTCAGCCACTGCACAAAGACTGCAAGATTTGGGCTTGAACTCGAAGGGGAGGATCAATGCACCGAGACCTGACAATGCAGGACACTTTGGTGATGGTAACGAGACATGTCGACAAAAAGGCGCCGTTGTATACTTACCATTGTGAAAGATGTCGGTGTCGAGTCAAATGGGCGATGGGCGACGAATCCTTTGACAGCGACGGGGTCTTCGGGTCGTTGGAAGGGAACAGCCTCTCCTCGGGCTCTCAATCAACAAAATCTTGGACCTGTGGATGCTCAAAATGGTAGGCAGGGCGGAAAACCCTACAGCCGAAACCTGGTCCGTGCACCTCATTGTGGCACCCCAGCAGCCTTGGCACATTCCAAAAAAGGTTAGCTTGGGGTTTGGTGCTTTTCGAACTTGCGCACAACCGGAGTCCCTCGCTCATTTCAAAATCTCGAGCAGCAGCAAGACAACGTTGACGACCAACCAACGAATTTACTAACCCACCACACAGCCAAAGCGCTCAAGATGTCGGCTGCTCCCACGACAAAGACCTTTGGCAAGGGGACTCGGACGGTGCCCGCCCCGTCTGAGAAGGCCCAGAAGTGGTACCCTGCTGAGGATGAGGCCCAGCCCAAGAAGGTACGTCAAAACACATGCATTCTTGATATTTACACGGAATGTTGCGAGGAAATGTGAATTGGAGAATATATGGTTGAAATGGGGTGCAATTCAACAGTTTGGGGTGTTGCATGGTCGGACATGCAGGCAGAGATGTCGGGGAGCACTTAGAAGAAAACAATGTGTTTGAGCGAGTGGCTTGCTGGGGAATTGGTTGGCAGTTGTGTTGGAAATACTTCTTTAGGAGGACAAAACGACACGACAAACTTGTTTAAATAGGTCGGTTCTAACTTTGTTTTCTTTACAGGTCCGCAAGGCCGTCCGCCCTTGGACTCCTCGCAAGTCCCTCCAGCCCGGTACCGTTCTGATCCTGCTCGCTGGTCGGTTCCGCGGCAAGCGCGTTGTTCTCCTCAAGTGCCTCGACCAGGGTGTCCTCCTCGTTACTGGCCCCTTCAAGATTAACGGTGTTCCTCTCCGCCGCGTGAACGCCAGATATGTGATCGCCACATCAGTCAAGGTCGACCTCACTGGTGTCGACCAGGCTAAGATCGATGAGGTTGCTCAGCCCAAGTACTTCACCGCCGAGAAGGCCAAGGAGAAGGCTAGCGAGGAGGCCTTCTTCAAGCAGGGGGAGAAGCCTCAGGTACGGAGTTGTTATGGAGTTGGACCGTAGGGGAGTAGGCAGATGGGAGAGCTGACAACGATTACAGAAGAAGCCTGTTTCTAGCACTCGTGCTGCTGACCAGAAGGCCATCGATAAGGCCCTGATCGCCAACATCAAGAAGGTCGACATGCTCGCCAGCTACCTTGCCTCTTCGTTTAGCCTGCGCAAGGGCGACAAGCCCCACCTGATGAAGTTCTGAGGGGTTGGCGAGTTGGGAGTGACGGGCAGTGGACGGCGTGGGTTGCGGTTGCATTTGGACGTTTGACGGTTCTCGGTCCATTACGGCGTCTGTAATGAGGGTTTACAGTCATCAAAGATCCCAAAACACCGGACTTTGCAGAGGATCGGAGCCATGAGCAACAATCGGGCTTTAGAGCAAACTGGGTTACTCCTGGGTGAAACACGGGATATGCGTGAGAACGCACTGGACAGGACAGGACTACGGCCGGGCACAGCGGGAATGAATTTGATTCCGGTGTGTTGACGCGAGACCAGTGACGCCATGGAGAGGAGCAGGCAAGACGCTCATAATCTCGCAGTTGCAGATCGTTCAAATGGGATGCCCATGTTTACCGCTGATGAGACACGTGGAAGATAGTCGGACTGCCTACCAGCTGCTTGAGAAGCTCTCCCTTAAGCCTTCTCGGCTGTTTGTCAGGCTGCTACCCTCGAGCAGGGTTCTCAGGCCCTTGCCCTTCTCTCCTGTAGACTCTCCGAGAAAATAAAGTAAGCATAATAGGTCTGGTGCTCTGACGCGTAAAAAAATTCCTTTGAATCCCCTCTCCCCTCTCCAAAATAAAAAGTTGATTTTTTAAGAATACTGGCGAGTACATTGTGTTTGCTGGTCAGAAAGATGCCGAGTTCCCTACGAGGAACCTTAACCCCAACCCTGATGGTCCGGTCACATATTGTGGCGTTGTGTGGTGTCAAAGCCACACAGTACAAGACTCTCACCGTGCGACTTACCCCACATTGCATGCCACCTGTTACACTTCACACTGGCAGCGGATCCGGTCAGGGCGCGTGAGCGCTTGCGGCAGCAAAAGTGGAACCTGCTGAACCGCCAGGGACCTAAAACGCAAACGCCACGCGACGTCAGCGATCGGATGGTGGTGCTGGCTTCCGTTGCGGCCCCTTGTTCCTCGTCATCGCAGGCAACATGGCGACAACGGCAGGACAGGGCTGGGCGCAGCTGAGGCAACAAGCGCGGGCTCTAGAAGCGCAGGTCAGTGAAGAGCCCCGTAGCTGACGAGTTGGTGTGGAATGCTGTTGTGCTAATGGACAACCGAACAGACCGAAGCGTGCCTTCAGACATACTCGCAGTTCTCGAACCGGTCGAACATCCCCCCGAAGCCGACAGAAGATGAGAAGGCTGCGGAAGCAAGAGTCCAGGAGTTGCTAGACAAGGCAAGTCTTCACTGGAAGCATCAGAACACTACAGAGTACTAACAATGCATTGCAGAGGGAGACGGTCATCGCCCAGCTAGGCCGCCTGCTCGACTCAGAAGCGACCTTGGCGTACTCAGCGCTGAAGCAGAACAACCTGGCGCTGCTGCGCGATAAGCTGGCGGACCATCGACGCGACCTCGCGCGGCTGCGCAGCACGCTCCAAGAGGCTCGTGATCGGGCCAACCTGCTGGGCAGCGTGCGCGACGATATCTCGCGATACCGCGCGGAGAACCCTGCCGCTGCCGAGGCTGAGTACATGCTAGAGGAGCGAGCGCGGCTGGACCGCAGCCACGATGTGGCCGACAGCGTGCTGAGCCAGGCGTATGCGATACAGGACAGTTTTGCGCTGCAGCGAGAGAGATTAGCCAATATCAACCGCCGTATCACGCTCGCGGCAAGTCAAGTCCCCGGAATCAACGCGATTATTGGGCGGATATCAGCAAAGAGAAGACGTGACGGAATTATCATGGGGACGTTTATTGCGTTTTGCTTTTTGCTATTTTGGTTTCTATCTTGAAGGACCGAGGACGAACCGATGGGATGGAGTGGTTTTACAAATCAGCCTTTATTATTCTTCTATCTTCAGCTCATCACTCGGGGCGATCGCGCGGGATTGGTGTTTGGGAGTCTGGGGTCATTTACAGCCAGGGCGGTCAATTTTGTGTCCACATCCAGAGGTTCTCACAAGCCGTCAATGAGAAGAGCAACGTTCAGGTCTGGGAGAAAGGGCATCTCAGCATCGTAAATATGTATGATGGTGGAATGGTCAGCCATTAGGCATGTTCGATAATAACCCAACCTGTCTATACCGAGGCCTTGTGTTGTACAGAGAGTCCCGAGGTAGTGTTACATGAGTGGTCATAATATACATCGAAAACTAAGGGGTATCACGCACAATTCGACTTCATCCCACCCTCCGTCTACTTTTTCTCCTCGGGTCTTCTTGCCTTGAGTAGCGTCTTTCGCACATAATGCTCGCCCACGCCCTCCTTACGCATCTCCTCCAGCACCCTCTGTAGCCCCTTGATCAGCCCTTCCTTCTCATCAGGCTGCGCTGGCCCGCTGCCTGCCCAGCGTATCCTGCACTCATGATCAACGAGATAGGTGTAGCCGACCTTCCTGTTCAAAACACCGATCGACTCGCGAATCTCCTCGGTGAGACCCTTGCGCACCAGGAAGTACTTGTCCCAGTCTTCCTTGGGGATGCGCTTGCGAATCGACCACGAGAACATACGAACGAGCATTGCCTTCATCCAATCCTCCTCCACGTTGACCTGAACAAGCTGGGCGCGCCCCTTATTGGCACGCAGCACTTCATGCAGAGCGGGATTATTTTCCGGGGCTATGAAGGAGCGCACCTGATTCTCGGCCCACATGCTGCTGAAGATAGAGACAATCGAGGCGCGACCTTCAAGTAAGGGTGTCGTATCAGCGGCCTTCGCCCCGGGGGTTTTGGCCAAGGTACGGCCGTGCAGGTTGGGGAAAAAGAGGGACACATCGGCACGAAACGGTCGAGGAGGAGCGAGGAAGGTTTTGCCCTCGTGAAATTGCAGATTCCGCCAGTCACGGAAGTACGGGCGGGAGATTTGAGATTTTCTAAGGAGTAAATGGTCAGCTTCGAGTTGTCTGACATGTAAGGGATGGGCTGGTGCACTCACAGATATTCCCGGCGTTGCAGATGCTTTTCATAATTGGTGAAATCAGCGTGGCGCTCCTTCAGAGTACGCTTGTCGACGCCTGTGTTCTCGCCAGCTTGTGGCGGATAATTCATGCCAATTGGCCTTGCCAGCGGCGTGGGAGTAAACTCCTTGAGAGCCTTGCCATAGGCTCGGGGGGCATGGGCGAGTGGCCCCTCCGGCACGGGGGCAGCTCCCGGGGCATTGACCGGCGCGGTGGCCCCCAATGCGGCCTTGGGATCCGGGCTCGGGGCTGAAGAGACCGGAGCAGAAGGAGGAGGAGGAGGAGGAGTAGTAGTCGAGGGCTTTTCGTCGACAAGACGACGATACGATGCGCTAAATGAGCGCCATTGGCACAGCAGGCAGGTCGCCGACCGCGCACCCGTCCGAAGGCCTGTCTGGCTGAGCATGGTAGGCGAGGCGCAGGGTAAGGAAGAGCAAGCGGATGACACGGCTGTCCGAGTGGGCAGGAAGCCGAGACGGGGTGATCTCGTGAGCGTTATCTCGGGCGAATGCCAGCGGAGTTGCGATCCCAAGAAATTTCCCAGATCCCGTCTGGCTTCCAGATCCAATCCCACGCAGCGCGGCAGCTCAGTGCCCCACATTCATCCGTCATGCGGTAGTGCCCTGGCTCCCCGCATCTGTTAGCGCCTGTCCAGACCCCTACAAGGACGCTAGCGCTCGGTTATCCGCGGGGCTGGTGTGCCCCTGGCTGCTCGGTCCCGACGTCATCATCCGGGGCCATTAAGCCGTAGCAAGCCATGCGTTCTTGGTTCTTGTAAGTGGCCAGAGCATTCTTTGAAGACATCCGCACCAACATCAATTGAACCGCAAGGTGTGATACAATTTTCAAACTTCAGACCGTCTGTATCTTTGCGTAATCGTCTGAATGTTTTTGAACAACAGTTCGCGCGTTCTACGCCAGCAATGGCGCGTCGTCAGAGGCCTTGCTCGGCGGGCCGCTGCGCCAACATCAACAACACCGTTGTCTGTCCTCTCACCGCTCTCTGCCCAAGCATTCCATGCGTCAAGAACGTTGCAAGTCGTGAAGCCGGTATTGCTTGCAGATATTGGAGAGGGTACGTAATGGATTATTTCTTGAGTATGATCTCGTTGCTTCTGGCTAACGCTGGTTGCTCCTCTTCCCTAGGCATCGTGGAATGTGAGATCATCCAGTGGTTCGTCGAGCCCGGGGCTCGTGTCGAAGAGTTCCAGCCGTTATGCGAGGTGCAAAGTGATAAAGCATCCGTCGAAATCACAAGCAGATTTGCCGGTGTGGTCAAGAAGCTATACTACGAGGCCGGGGAGATGGCCAAGGTTGGGAAGCCATTCGTTGATATTGACATCGTCGACGGAGTCGTCAAAGAAGACTCATCAGCCACGGTACCGATAGACTCAACACCAGCACTGGACAAAACCCTAGAGGCACCTGTACGTCCTCCTGCTGAAGGGACAGCAGAGGCGCAAGTAGCTACAGCTACCAATGAGCCCACCAGCCCATCAAAGTCCAAAGGGAAGTGTGCCACACTCGCGACCCCTGCGGTGAGACACCTGTCAAAGCAGTTGGGTGTGGACATCGCAGAAGTAGATGGCACAGGGAAAGATGGGCGAGTGCTCAAGGAAGACATCTATCGGTTCGTTGAGAGGAGAGAGGCCGCAGCCAAGCAAGCGCCGGCCACCCAGCCAACAGCAAGCAGCCCAACCCCGTCCAGCATAACATCGCCGGTAGAAGGGTCCACTGCTGGGTCACAGCAGGAGACGCCAGTTCCCTTAACCAGGACACAGGAGATGATGTTCAAGACCATGACCCGCTCCCTCAGCATACCGCACTTCCTCTATGCCGACGAAGTCGACTTTACTAAGCTCGTCGATCTTCGCTCACGGCTAAATAATGTCCTCTCCAAGCATGGCATCAACGACGGCCAGTCCGTCAAGCTGACTTATCTCCCTTTCATCATCAAAGCCGTATCCATGGCGCTCTACCAATACCCAATTCTTAATGCCCGCGTCGAGATACCGGAGAACGGCAATGGCAAGCCAATGCTGATCCACCGCAGCCAACACAACATTGGTGTGGCTATGGACACGCCTTCAGGCTTGCTTGTCCCTGTCATCAAGAACGTAGGCAACCTCAATATCTTGGGCATCGCGTCTGAGTTAGCGCGGCTGCAGAGCCTGGCTATGGCCGGAAAGCTCACGCCGCAAGACATGTCTGGAGGCACAATCACTGTCAGCAACATTGGCAACATTGGCGGCACCTATCTGTCCCCCGTCATTGTCGAGCGCGAGGTGGCCATCCTCGGCATCGGACGCATGCGCACCGTCCCGGCCTTCTCGACGGTCCCTGGAGAGGAGGACAAGGTCGTCAAGAAGCAGATCTGCAACTTCAGTTGGAGTGCAGACCATAGGGTCATTGACGGTGCGACAATGGCCCGCGCGGCGGAGGTCGTGAGGTCGATTGTCGAGGAACCGGATGTTATGGTGATGCACCTTCGATGACGTCAGCCTTCTGATCAATATCATTGTGGCTGAGCTGAGAACGCAGTTGGGACTTGGAGAAACAATGAGGGAAGGTAGGCGGTTCAGAGGACAACTGTGATAAGGAGGTCTACAGGTCTGCGAGGACCCGGCTCAGCCTCTCGATTGTCTCTCCCCGTCCCTTCGCCCAATTGACGCCCGCGAGTGTACCAACCTGGTTGTGGGAAATGGTAGAAGACAAACAGGAAGCACGGTCGAAAGCAAAGCAGGCATGCGGTGATGACAATGTTAGAAATACCCATTTGTTGTGGCATTTACACTAGCAAAACTTGGACGAGCGAATCGGTTGCTGTTGTAAGGCCAGTGATGGAGACGTTTGGATACGTACATCTTAGGAAAACCAGTGCACCGACGCTCCGATTTTCCGCGGCCAACGCCATGTCCGTCTTCTGTGATTGCTTCTACTGTGTTCTGTTGTTGTCCATGCTGATATCTTGCTGCATATACTAGTGTGATCCTCCGAGGCACATCACAGGTACTCCCACGCTGTTCCAGACCCTCCCCCAATGGCCCATTTCGGTTCATATTCCCTGGTTTCACTTTTCTATGTTACTTGAGACAGCCAGGTGAGTGTTTTCCCATGTGGTCCGCACGCCTGCAGACCGACAGCTAGGGTTTAACAAGCGAACAGGCTATGTCACGGAATGGGGTAACTTACCCCTCCCCCTCACATACATCCGCTCAAATCGATTCAGCGATCTACAGAGAGCACTTAAGCTGCTACACCGGAGGATGCATTTTGCAAAAGATGGAGAGTCCCATGTACATCAACTGATGCCCAAGTGTCACATGCTCTACCTCTGCAGGGAGTCAACTTTGACGTAGCCTAGTTACTTGCTTCAGTCACATCATCACAGCTTCCATTATCAAGTCAGCAAGCAGCCTTCCCAAGATCATGCAGGTTTCCTAAGAATTTCCCGGGTTTGCGCCGGTTTCCGGTCTTCCATTTGTGCTCCCGCTCTTCCCTCAACTCAGTCTACCAAATTGAGTGGTATCAACGCTACATCTGGATGTCTGCCTAAGTTAATATATACATATAACTGTTTGCCACGTAACCATCTACCGGCGGGCATTGAAATGCCTCAGTCTTAGATGCCTTGCTTCTCGCTTTTTGCGTAAGCATTTTGCATCGACTGTTTCAAAAAAGACGAACAAGACAAGGGCTCAATAACAATTCCGAAGACGGAGGCAGCCCACAAAAAAGCCGAGGTGACATGGGCCACGTAGGAGGACAGCACAATTGCGAGGCCAGGCTAAATTCCCCATATTACCGCGTCTCTTGTGCCAGAACAACTGACCAGACTCTGTCTGCGACAAGCTTTACCGAGAACACGGACTGTCTACTCACTCAATCACACATTGCCCATTTTCTGAGATGCATGTTTCATTGATTGTCACGAAAAAAATTTTTACTCCTTATTTTTTAATTGCATCTGGGTTAACTTGAAGGTTGGATTGGATTGAAATGGAGGATCGTATATGCCTCAGCGTCGGAAAAGGGGTAGGTGCCAAGAAAGTCAACACGGCCTGAGCCGCTCACCAGGCAACGCCTGGAGGAAAAGGGGGAAGCAATTCCACATTGATAGTCCAGTTCTTGCACCATCGCATTGATACGTTTTGTGCATTTCTCAAAGATTGAGTAGTTTCTTCAGTAAAGCATTCACGTCAAAACCATTGAGAACTGGGGTTGTAAGGGATCAGGGGTGGTTGAATGTGTTTCGGTCTTGTAGGAGTACTGTACATATAAATGACCACAGGTTACAAGTGTCCAGAGTGTTCAGCGAAGACGTTATGAAAATAGAGGATGACTCAATCACGACATAGTAAATGCACCCGTATATCTTGAAAACTCAACACAGTAATTGATAGCTAATATATGAGACATCTCTGATTTTACCAAGTTATGGGAATGTATTCCTTTTTTGTAACGCCAAACCCAATACAAACCAATGCGTACTGTTGTAGCTTAAAACCCGACCTATTTCCACAGCCGCTTGATGCCGGCAGTTGTCCCATGATTACCCGTTTCCCGCTTCCCATTTTACTCCCAAGAGAGGTAAAGAACAAAACAACGGTGTGTGAAACAAAGCAAATACCCAAAACCCAAGACACAAAGGCTTCCATGTTGATAAACCCAACGCCATGCCCAATGCAAACAAGTGAAGCCTGGCCCAGTCCAACCACATCACTTGAGATAAAATGAGATACGTAGTTGAGCATACCGCCCATCTACCTCATGCCTGTGGGGGCTGTTGGTGAGCAGCCATGGTCTGGAGAACACGGTCGAGGGCTTCTGCGGTGACATCCTCAAGTGGCTTGTTAACATTGATGGTGATGACGTCCACCTCATCTGGACGTGGCCTCTCCAGCGCCTCAAACTGGCTGTGGACCATATTAGCACCCATGTAATGGTTCTGGCGTGCCCGAACACGCTGGACCAACAACTCCTCGGGAGCATCAAGGTAAATGAAGTGGAGATAAAGGTTCGGCGTGAAGTAGGGAGCAACGCGAATGACATCGCGGTACTTGCGCTTGAGTGCCGAGCAGGTCAGAACGACTCCCTCATTGCCCCGATTGAGCTCCCGGATGGACGCTTCCCGAAGGGCTGTTAGCCAGTCCCAGCGGTCTTCGTCCGTCAGGGGAATCCCTGCGCTCATCTTTTCGATGTTTGACTGAGGATGGTACTATAAACACGGAGTATTAGCACATGGACGGTCCCATCTACGGATCGACAAAGAATCTGGGAGACTTACTTCATCGCCCTCGATATAGGGCAGATGGAGAACATCGGAGAGGTATTTGGCTACGGTACTTTTTCCACAGCCGGCAGGCCCGGTCACGAGCCAAATGTGGTGTCCCTTTGCTGCCATGGCGTTGCTGGAATTGGCGCTACTCGCGCAAGCGCTGTTGGCAAGTCCTGGGGCCGAGAGTCGACCAAGTTGTGCAGATGACGGAATGCTCTGGCGGCTGGCTGAGATGCCTCCCGAAGATGGGGGCTGTTGTCCGTTGACAGACACGGAAGTATTGTAGGAGAGCATGGTGGAGAGAGTATTCTTAGAAGCTACCGACGAGTAAAGGCGACTTTATGGGAACGACCCAACCAAGCAGGCACAAGGCAGTCTGTGTTCGCACAGCTCCTGAGTGAGGCTTTCTCTGCTCAGACTGACGAATTGTTGAAACAAAGGAGAGGCAGGTCGAAGGCTTGATCGGCGTGAGGTTATACAGAATGTGCGACCCGAGGTTTTGTTGCCTGCAAGGGAAGAGCGTGGGGGAAAGCCGTGGACGTATGCTGACCGAGAAGTGACGGGAGAGACGGGATCGGTCTAAGTCCAGTGTGACCCGGAGAGCGAGCCAACAAGACGGGAGCCCGGGGGGAGGAGGGTATAAGGGTGAAGCAGACCACACAACTGACAGACGGGAACCAGGCCAACTCTACGAACCGAACAAAAAAATGCAGGGCGCACTCGATCAGCGACGAGCGACCATTGAGTGTTATAAAGAACAACTGAAACTGAATTCAACCGAATAAATGGGCGGCAAAGTTGGAACAAGTCGGCGCAAAGCCGGTGGTGGGTTGTCATTGTTTTATAGCTGACTGCAGCGGGAAGACGACTTGGAAGACCCGCAGCGATGACCTAACGTTTTCCCATCTCAAGGTCCAAAGTTGCGGGCTGGGGCGGGGTACCCAGCAGTAAGCTACCTGGGGCCGGGTGTACCTGTGAGGTCGTTTCTCGCAGCGCGGATCGCTGAAACAGTGGATGGATGGCCCTGGCCCTTTGAGGCTGGACCGCTGCCCTGGCCGCTGGGGAATCCAGACCGGCGGGAGAGGGGGTGGTTCCATGACCCAATCCATCCAGATTCCCAGAGTATCCTCTAGCTCCCGCCGACGCCGCCGTTCCCGTTGGGGTTGCCATGAAAACGAGCACTCATTCCTTTTCGGTTGTCGGTCGTCAATAAACCCGAGCCATGTATGGACAGCGCCCAGCTGCGTGGTTGCTGCAGCGGTGGGAGCATGACGGCAGCAGCTCAAAGGCATGGGTCCAATTGGTGCCCAGTTCTTTGCGAAAAGGGCAAGTTGGTCCCGATGCATGCTGCCATGACAGGTCGAATCCCACCAGTGGCAGCCCGGCAAGCAGGGAGTGGGCGCTTGAAAGGGGTAGAGGTAGCACTAGCGTGTGTACCTCGTAGCCACCACCACAGGCCCACAGCCCACTGGCTGCTGTTTTCTAAGAATTGCTACATCTGCGTAATAACCTGACATTTTAAGTCCCTCATGTGGAAAGGCGGGAGTGCCTGTCCTGGAGCAAGATGCGTGGGATGAATTTAAGTGTTGTGGGGGGGGGAAGGGGGAGACAAGAATAGGTACAAGCACCGCAATGGAGTACAATGAAATACAGATTCACAACCTTCAGTAGGACAGCTAGCCGTAGCGCGGTCTCGAAAGAATGGATGGAGGGCGCCGCACGGCGAAGTCAGGTCGGGAACTTCGATGACAAGATCCCGTGACTCCCCCGGGTTCTGTCCCAAATTAATGGGTGGTGCCGAGAGAATAAATACCACGAAAAAAAAAGAACAAAGATCGTCTGTAGCATGCGTTCATCATCATACATGTGGCGGCAGGGTTTTCTGCTCGTCGACCATTTGGTTGCCTGCCCAGAAATGCAAGCCGTCGGAGGGGTGTGTATTCAAGACCAACTGTCCGCTGGGAACCATTCGGGAGCCGCGGTGTCTGGTCTTCAGAAGGGCGGGATCTTGCTGGGACACAGTGTCACGAGAGTGTACCATGGTACTTCCCTTCCAATACTCCCGGACCCAAACTGCTGGTGCAAGCGCCGAGATCTGGAAGAAAGGAATATGGAACGCGCCCTAGAACCAGAGATACAGCTTCCCGAGCTACGATGGAATCGGCATCCCGTGAGCTGCACAGCAATCTCGTCTCCAAGCTCGTGGGAGATACGTCGACGATTGGGAGTACATTCAGGTACCTCGACGATCTATTTGCTGCTCGCCAAGGTTGGGGGTGGGCGTGGGGGGCGCCTTTGCCGGCTTTCAAGGGGGACCCGAGAAATTGTGGGGATGGCAAAAAGTCTGTGCCCTAGCATTGGGATCACACCAGAAGAAACCTGATGGGGGTCATGCTGCCCGGTGCTTGTGCCGGTACGGAGCATGCCCCTCTCAATGGTGTGAAATGGCTCCAACGAAAAATAAGATATTCCATCGTTCAGACTTCCAGACAACTTGAATGAGAGTTGGCTAAGCAGACGGGATGAGCAGGTATCAAAACGGAAGTCAATGCGGTCGCCTTGTGTGTGGTGGCACAAAACCACAGTTCTTGTCCTCCCACTTTCATGATGTTGCAACTTATTGGCAGTTCGTCTCTTACGGTGCTCTTGGCGGCGCCCCAGGTTTGCCTGCACAACCCTTCGACATATCCCCAGCATGGTAGATCCTGGTGACAGACCTCGTGACATGCCGTGTTTTGCGCTGCCCCGCTGGAGCCGCTGGCCTTCTCGACTGTCTCACACAGTGCCCCGGCCCGGGAAATTGGTCGCTGTGGACTCCTCCACTCGGCTTGCTTCCGGAGTCATTCGGCGGAGAGGTCACGAGACCGGGCCCGCGCCCTCTTTCCATCATCCATTATGTTTGAGGATGTTATTCCCGGTGCAGTGTTTCCAACGAAGGTCTTGTAGGTACCACTTTATACACTAAACCATCAACCTTACGTATACGCTGTAAGAAGCGCCGTGCCTGGTCGTTCGAGAATATGCAAAACTTGCATCCATCCATAGCGGCAACAGCTGCAACTGCAGGCACAAAGTTGGCTCACACACTGGGCTGCTTTGCTGGGAAGCACTAGGGCTGTCCAGCTGCCTTGGCAGTGAGATCCGGGAATAGTTCTGGGGAGCCGTCATCCTGCAACAGAGACAATCGCAGAGGGAGTATGGCATCCATGATGCCGCGCTCCTTGCTCATTCGGCCTCTTGGGGCCAAGCTGTCACTGGGTCGGCCGCCCGTCATTATTAGCCTCTTCACCGCTCATCTACAATTTCCTTTTTCATAAGAGGGCAACAAATTATTTGGAGCTCGAACCAGTCAAGGGCAAGGCCATCCTGCATGTATCTCCGATTCATCGAATTGCATACAGCAGGCGTCAATTGACTGACCGGTGGCTACAGCCCGACCGCGTGCAAGCTTACATCATCACCGGTGAGCCAACATTGTGGACAATTATATTCTACAACCTTGGTAGGTTACGGTCGTTTATCGAGCAACTGTCCAACTCTGGAAAAGTCCTTGTTAGTTTCTTAGAGCACAGGCTTTACGGTCCGCACTACACGGCAAACACGAAGATATACGTAAAAGGGTGTAAGATGAATGGTTCTTCGGTGAACAGCAGCTCTCATGACTATCGATACCAATTTTATTTTTAGGGCATGTAGCGATCGTGTAAAGGAGTCGTCCTCGCAGCAGCTCTACTGCGTGCGGTATCTCAACAAAAGCGCTACCGAGGAGTAAGTAAAGCTCTTGAGGAGCCTTGGTTGAACTGAACAAACAGGATAGAGTTAGCTATACTTCAGTCATCTTAAACATACTTGCGATGACGTGAATGCTGTTGTTACGGTGACCATATGCCCTCAATCCCCTCCTCATCCACGCACAAACTGAGCTGGAGAGTAGGAAAACTTCGGTTCATGCATATTACAGCATGCCTGTGGTACCAACCTACCACCAGTGCTCTAGGACTGGCGAGTTGCTCTGTTATACTGACGCATTGAGAGCCTCTCTGGCTGAGCTGGCGAAAGAGCTCTGACACACACTCACGTCGACAGGCTTCCAGGAACACGCACGCTGTCTCCGCAGCGTGTCGTTTGGCTGACTATCACCGAGACCCCTCCATGGTTTAAACCCCACCTACCGTTTTGGGGAGGCAGCATCATACAGTTTTGGTACTCGGATGACGGATGGAGATTCAGAGGAGACAAACAACCCGCAGCACATTCCCCCCCATTACTCCCCCTGCCGGGGGGGGGGCTGGCAGATTTAATTTAGATTGCGTTCGAATGGTATTTCGAACCAGCGCAGACTCAAGACAATGCGCACCTAGTCTCGCTGTTTCAAACAGTGGATGCTGGAACAAATTCCAATGCCTGAGGAATGCTGCCATTGTTCCCCTCCTCCTGTGGCTAGAGGTGGCTTGATGTTGCCGGCAGCTTTCCCCGCCTCCGCAGCCGCGTCTGGCGCCTCGTCAGCTAAAAGGAGAGCCTTCACGTGCCTGCAGTGGGGTACTGACCAGTCACAGAGGAGCTCGAGCTGCCGTTTCAGGCAGTTGAGACGTACGTAGGAAGGTGCTCAAAAGTTTGAGCCGATGGAAGCCTGGAGTCTAAGGCGTGTGTTCGAATTGCGTTGACGCTCGATTTCAACTTCAATGCGTCTTCCCTTAGCCCCGAGAACCCTACGTCTGGGACTCTCACGGGTGCCTAGTCTGTCCTTTTCTGCATCTTCACTTCGCGCAACGTCACTGCCTGTCATCAATCAATTTCAACAAGCTCAGATCCGCCGTCTTGCAACCATGAACGCTCAGGAGCTCTCCCAGTATCTGGCGGATGCCCCGCCCTCTGTCGTTAGACTTGAGATCGAAAAGCACTTCAATGCCCTGTCGGACAAGCAGAAGCGCTACGCTCACTACATCAGCAAGTAAGAGAGCATCTTGATACCCAGCCCCACGACTCTTGGTTTTGGCTGCCGAATGTCAATCCAATCTCAGCATTCAAGTGGGAGACATGGCATGTGCGCGGCCGTCCGAAGCCATATTTGACTGTCGTTCGTGCTCACGGCTATGCTGCTGCTTGCCATGGTTGTCTGCCAATCGTAGCCTTTTACCCATCGGCGCCTGTATCCCGGACATTGACCATAAACCCCAGCCCCGACGACTGACACTGACCCTCCCTTTTCTCTCAGGGCCTCGTTTGCCGGTAACCGCATTGTGCTCCGTCAGGTTTCCCCTGAGTCCGAGCACATTTATGATTTCATCCTCTCGCTGTACAAGGCTTCCGGAGGTGACTGGAAGGCGCTTGCCAAGAAGGCTGGTGTCGACGAGGAGGGCCTCACGGCTTTCCTGCACTATGCGGCTCAGTTCCTGGGTAATAGCGGCAACTACAAAAGCTTTGGAGACTCCAAGTTCATTCCTCGCTGTGATGAGTCTGTCTTTTCCGCCCTTGCTTCGACCTCTCCCGAGGCCGAGAAGCACTATAAGGCCACCAACGGCGCCATTTTCGCGACTGACAAGCCGGGCCTTCTGCATCTCGGCTTCACAGATGATGGTCATATGACCACCTATTACCCTGACTCTCCAGACATCACTAAGGATGAGATCAGCGCTGTCAACAAGTGGATGCAGGACAAGGGCCTGCTTCCCGAGAATACCAGGCTGCGAAAAACCGCTGACGGTGTGTATGAACTGCTGATCGCCTCAGCCAAGACCGCTGTGCCGGAGAACGGTGGTGATATTGGCAAAGAGACTGAATTTGTGGTCAGTGAGGGGGTGCTGGCAGGCAAGACCATCAAGCTGGTCTACGGAGACTACTCTAAGGAGATGGAGGCCATCACTAGCTACATCAGGAAGGCAGCTGATAACGCTGAGAACGAGACCCAGAAGAAGATGCATCTGGCGTATGCCAAGTCTTTCGAGGAGGGCTCTCTCCTGGCTTTCAAGGACAGCCAGCGGCACTGGATCCGTGATCAAGGCCCCATGGTCGAGTGCAACATCGGCTTCATCGAGACCTACCGTGATCCTGCAGGTGTGCGCGGAGAGTGGGAAGGCTTTGCGGCAGGTAAGCTTAGCAGCTCCAGATGTTGGCATAGTACTAACTGGATTACAGTTGTCAACCGTAAGCTTCACTATCAACCAAAATCTAACATAACAGCTCAAACGTCGAGTAACACTCACAAATGTGTTATCATACAGTCGAGAGAACCCGTGCCTTTGGAGAACTAGTCCAGTCGGCTCCTTCTCTGATCCCGAAGCTGCCATGGTCCAAGGAATTCGAGAAAGACAAGTTCCTGTCTCCGGATTTCACGTCACTGGAGGTGCTGACCTTCTGCGGTAAGTCTCGAGATGTCTCATTGCAAAGTGTCTACAAGTATGTTGCGGACACAAGTCCTGACTGGTTCACTTAGGTTCCGGTATTCCCGCTGGCATTAATATGTAGGTCTTCGGTACGCTACCATGTTGAGGGCGTTATTATCTCTAACTATACTGGCAGTCCGAACTATGATGACATCAGGCAACAAGAGGGATTCAAAAACGTTAGCTTGGGTGCGTGTCGAGGATATAGTAATCACCGGGCTTTCTTTGCTGACGTTATTGCAGGCAACGTTTTGAATGCGAAGCTTCCCGATGAGAAGCTTCCTTTCCTTCTTGAGAGCGATATCGAACTGTTCAAGAAGTACCGCGATGCTGCTTTCGAAGTCCAGGTTGGCCTTCATGAGCTCACAGGTATGTCGTCCCAAATTCAACTTTCTGGCGTTTGCAGATGTATGCTGACACTACATACATAGGCCACGGGTGTGGCAAGCTGCTCCAGGAGACTTCCCCTGGTGTCTACAACTTTGATATTGTGAATCGTCCAGTTAGCCCTCTGACTGGGCAGCCAGTTACCACCTGGTACAAGCCCGGCGAGACCTGGGGCTCTGTGTTTGGTGGTCTCGCTGGCGCCTACGAAGTATGAGTGGTGTTTTTCTTTCCCAAGCCCTCGGCACATGCTTACAGGTTATCTAGGAATGCCGTGCTGAGCTGGTCGCCATGCACTTGAGGTGAGATGAACCAACCAGCACCCAGGTGTGTTTGTTTTGGCCATTGAAGCTAACCCGCTGGAAGCTGCGAATTCGAGACTCTGAAGATCTTCGGTTTCGGTGACGGCACGGTCGACATGGACGGTGTGGCTGGTGACGTGCTTTATGTCTCATACATTGGCATGGCTAGAGCAGGCCTCACCGCCGTCGAATTCTGGGATCCAAAGAGCCAGAAGTGGGGGCAGCCTCATTGCCAGGCTCGCTTTGCAATTTTGAAGGTTGGACAACAGCACCTCTTTGGTCCATTTGTGCTATTCCCATTGCTGACAGTGTCAACCATAGGCGATGCTCCAAGCTGAGGATAACTTCTGCAAGCTTGAGTACAAGAAAGAGGACCTTTCTGATCTCGTTATCCGCGTTGATCGCTCCAAAGTCTTAACCAGCGGCCGGAAGGGTATGTATTCTCAACATTTTCCATTTCGCCTCTTAACCGGAATGCTGACACTTTCCAGCCATCGCCAACTTCCTCCAGAAGCTCCACATCTACAAGTCAACTGCCGACGTTGAAGCCGGCAGCAAGTTCTTCACCGAAATGTCTTATGTTGATCCTGAGTTCTGGGGCACAAAGGTTCGCAATGTGGTCCTCGCGAACAAGCAGCCGCGCAAGGTGTTTGTGCAGGCAAACACCTACCTCGATGAGGCTACGGGCCGGGTCACGATCAAGCACTACGATCCTACCCCTGAGGGTATGATCCAGAGTTGGGCGGAGAGAGAGCTTGAGGCGGCCAATGGCACTGCCTCGCGGTTGTAAAGGAGTAGTGTAATGTTCCCCCCCCCCTTCTGCTCAGGGGTGCTGGTGGGATCTCATGTAAATATGGCCTCTTATAGCATGAAGGCTTAGGTGTTTTGGCTGTGAGAAAGAGCTTAGGAATTAGTAGTATCAGTGAAGATATGTATGAAGCACAATGTGAAGTACTACGCCGGGGGTGTGGAAGAGTACACTCTCAACTCAAGAAATAAATAAAGCTACTTGCGTTTTGGCTGTTTTACATTACCAAGTGGATGCCTATCTTCATGGCATGCTTTTTACATACGTCACAAAACTATGCGGAACAGGGCTGCCATACCTCAGCTACGCCTGAGCACGTCCGTCTTCCTCATCAACATGAGTCAAGTACTTTTTCGTTTCTTTAAGCTAGGACGTGGTATCAAAAACAGAAGAAGAAGAAGGAACAAAAAAAACTTATACAGTCCGAAAAGTCCTCGTTATACACATCGTTGCCAAGCATACCACCCGTGTCCTTTTTTGTAACTCTTTCTTCCCAGTTTTTTAAGTGTTAGAATCAGCATCTCTCCATCTTCCTGGCCCCCATTCCTTCTGTCCTATTATTCCCAACGTTCCTTTTCTCCACATCCACGGATTTGTGAGTTTGTAACATTGTGACTTGCCAAGCAGTAAATTATGTTGCTCAGCTATCCCAGCTGCTTCGCTCTTTGTGCTCTTGATGGAATCCATGAACAGCCGACAGAAATGGCTGTCTGTGTATGTGTGTATTTGCCAATGGAGGATTGGCGAACATAAACGCCATTCCAGGACGTGTCACACCTACCCGACTGAGCAACTTCATGCTAACAAAAGCAGCACCCAGTTGCTGTCAGTGACAGAGCCGGGTAAACCAACCACATCGAACCTGACATTCGGACGAAACAGCTACCCCTGAACAACGCTCAACCCCTGGGGCTCAGGCACAACAACAGGCGGTGGTGGTCTGTTCTCACCGCCTCCTCTTTGGTGAGTTTTCATATGCCGGCGGAGTTGGTCCTGCCGATGGAAGTTTCGGTCACAGCCCGGAATAGTACACGTAAAACGGCCTTTGACTTCGTGAGTGCGCTTGTGCTTGGACAAGTTAGACGACTCGCTGAAGCCCTTGCCGCAAACTGGGCATTTTAGGGGTTTCAGGCCGGAGTGAACACGCTGGTGCATAGCTAGGATGGGGGATCATGTCGTTAGAGTGTTTTTATTCTTAGCAAAACGGATAAGAACAGAGGGAAGCATACTCAGTGCACTCGGGTATCGGAATGCCTTTTGACATATGTTACAGGTCAGGGGCTTTTCGTTGCTGTGGATGAACATGTGCTGCGTTAGAGCTTGCTTTGCCGAGAAACCCTTGTTACAGGTTGGGCAGATGTGAGGCTTATCTAGACATGCCAGATACGTCAGTGACCACAGATCATTACGGAACGAAGCATTGAGGTGAGGCAGGCTTACGGCCAATATGCGTCTGCATGTGCCTCTCGATCTTGCTTCTTTGTGGGAACCCGGCAGCACCAGGTTCACTACGGGGGCAGTCATCCCACCCACAACGGAAGCCTTGTGCTCCCTTTTGGGCATTCTTGATATGAACCTCAGAGGTATGCTTGAAGAGCTCCTCGGCATCGGCAAATAACTGGCCACAGACCTGGGAGCTTCCATCGTTTCTCCACAGACACCGATGCTCCTCTTCGACACCGATATCGACAGAATTACTAGCAAAAGAGGCAACAGATGTGCCGCGGATGTGAGGTGAGCATTCTGGTTTCCCGTCTGACATCTCCACACTATTGGAAAGAGGGGTCACTGGTGATGGGGTATTGGATGACCGGCAGGAGTCCGAGGTATCGAGAGGAGTGATAGGAGAAGACATTGACTCGGTGGAAGGCAAGGCATTGCTGGCCAGTCCACTCTGTTCGCTCTGCCCGTTCTGCACACTCTGGCCGGTCTGCCCTCCATGCCCCCCTTGCCTCGGTTGCGCGGATTGACTCGAGAAAGTAGGGATGACCAGACCAGCTGACGTGAATTGGGGTCGGTGCTGAGTGTTGAAGTGCTCCAGGAACGACTGGGGATCGTGTATCTCAGCGCCACACTCCACAAATGCCTGGCCCATTTGTACGTTTGAGCCAACGGAGTTGTACTGATCGAACATGCCGGGAGCATTGTACAAAGGGAAGTGGCAGTAAGTATAGTTCTGTGGATCATCTAACGGACATGGTCTTGTGCAGTTAGGGTTCGTCGGGTCGGCATGAGCGACGAGTATGTGATTTGTTATGTTACCCAGTGAAGGGGGCAGAAGAGCTGTTGGCAGCATGAAGCTTTCTTGAGGCTGGTTGGAGAGCCCAAAGCTCACGTCGCTCATTACTATGACCGGGACGTGAGCGAGGAAAGATTCGAACGATATAGGAGGGGCAAAGCCTTACCTTGCTGCTGCATGCTGAAGTTCTGCTGATGGTTGCCTGGAGCATGGTTGATAGAGATGAGAGCAGCCGCTCCGTTAACTACCTCGGATGAATGCTCGAAGCTGGGCCTGGAAGGGCAGTTCTGATCGGTGCAAGCATCCTCGGTGTTGGCGCAAGCCAGGTCAGTACACTTGCCGGTCATGGTGCACTGACTGTCGCAACAGCTATTCATGGACTGGCAATCCTCGTCATTACATTGCACACTAGTAGTGAGATGCTGACTGAGCCAGGACGGGAAGGAATCTGAAGCCGACGGCGTGAAGCTAGTCTCATGACGATACTGAGCAGGAAGCGCGCAGAGGTTTGTGGTTGAAACAGTAGAATAGCCATACTGGGATATGGTGTTTCCACGAGCCCAGCGAGACTGGAGTGAGGGGTTGCCGCCCCGGTGGTTGAACTGCTGGTAGCCATTGTAAAGACCCACGCCCATGCAGCCATCGACGCAGAGATCGTCGTGAGATTCATAGGCATTGGCGGTAATGGGACCAGAGCCGGTGCTGGCCCCGGCATGACTGTTGACACTGACGCTACCGCGGCTGCCGCTGCTGCTACCGCTCGTACCGATGTTGGCAGCAGAGGGGCTGGCGAAGCGGGAAGGCTCGACGGTAGACGAAGAGCCCTGATGAGAAGAGCCGAGGGCAGCAGAAGACATCATGTCGGCAAACCCAAGACTCATGTGGTTGTGATTATGATTACTGGAGCTCAGCGAGTGCCGATGGAAGCCATCTCCGTTTCCAGAAAAGCGGCCTGTGGGCTCGAGAGAGCCGTTCATGACGCGGAGCCAGCTGCGAACTGCGTGAGCGGCGATCCAACAGGCTGGACTGGACGGGCGCCTGGGAGCTAGAGCGTGGGAAGCGGACGAGAGGGCGTGTGCGATTGACTCGACCGGCTCAGAGGAGGGGGGGGGGTGGGTTCACTCGAGTCTGGAGGCTGCTGTCTAGAGTCTCGTCGTCCGTGATCTGTGATCGGCACGTCGACAGCGACGCTTCGTCACCCTTGCAGTCGATCAACTTGAAGGTAGACAAGGTAGTCTAGTGTACCAATGGCGTAGTGCCGAGAGCCAGCTATGCGAAGAAGACGTCCCGCGTGCCGCTCTGGATCTGTCTGTTCCGATTCTGGTTGTTTTCGGCCAGCCCGTGACTCGGTATCTCGACTCGACGATGAACAGGAGCCGGTTGTGGGCCGGAGAGCCGAAAAGGTTGATATTATTTTGCAGGCTGCGAGAACCTTGACGGCCCAGCGGAGCACTCCCACCAAGCAAAACCTGGAGACCTAGCCCGAAGACCCAAGACCCAGCGCAAAGCGCAAAACGGCCAACTGTGAGTGTTACCGTGTCAGCTACCCGCTGGCCGCTGCACTGCCCGTGCCGTCAGAAAAGGAAGCTCGTTACCTGCCTGGGCCTTTTTGACGGCCTGTGGAAACCGAGGTTTCTCAAAAAGAAAAAATTACCTGAGAGGCGTCTCCGTCTCAATCGAGTCGCAAGCCAATTCCTTTCAACGCGACAGCGCCAGGGCCCTACTGTGTAAGCTCCAGGCTACTTCAAGTCCCGCGCGGCTGCTGACCCGCGCCGCAAGCGTCTACGAACGCCGAGAAGCCGCCCACAATTCAGTTAATCGCTGGAAATCCCAAATCCCGCTTGTGCGGCCGACTGCAGCTTCTGATTCGTTTCCGCACTGTGCGCAGAAGGTGATGGTGGGGCAGGGACTGTCAATGACGAGACCGTCCGCTGCAACCGTCAGATTGGCCGCCCGCGATGCACATGCGAGCATTGGCGGAGCCCTGTGGATCCGTCTCCAGGAATCCACCTGGTATTTTAAACCAAAATTTGGTAATTTACCGATTTACGTTACGATATAGGTAATGACTGAGCACTTTCTGCCCCAGCAAGCCACAGCAAGCGCGTGGGGGCTTGGGCCTTTGGGGCTTCGGTGCGTGCTAGCGTGGGATGAACCAACCGCTGTAAGTTACGGTGTGTAAACCTTACCTGGAGCTCGTAACATCCCTAACCGAATGATGTGCGTACTGTGTAACACCGCGGCCAAGGCAAGCGCAACAATAAATGACAACAACGGCTCGAGCCGACTTGAACAGCCAAAAACATCTTGCACAGCCTCGGGGAAACTGTACTCTTTTCTCCTCTAACCCCTTCACTAATTGCCATCGCATCCTAAACCGGCTCCAGCACAAAAGAATGGGAAACCTCTGTGGTAAGGAGTCCGATCCCTTCTCCAAACCCGGGCGCCGCCTGGGCGACGCTCCCGCGAGACCCTCCTCGGTCTCGGTTCCCGCCGCGGCTACCTCATCATCACCGTCTTCCTCCCGAAAGCCGACGGGGCCCGGCAGGACCCTGGGTACCGCCGGCGGCTCGTCCAGTCAGGGGGGCGCCGACGATGCACGGCAACGAGCCGCGGCCGCTGCTGAGGTGGGTGAACCTCATATTTCCTCCCCCCCCCCCCCTTTGACTCCTGATACCCGCCATATGATAGGATTCATGGAATATGAGACGACATCTTCTCAAGCTCAAACTAACACCTAGCCTTCTCTTTTTATTGGTCCTTACCAACTATACAGGCTCGCGCGCGACAGAATAAGCAGGGAGGCAAGCTCAAGTCACAGTTGAATGAACAGCGTGCAAAAACCGACACTCAGGTGCTCAAGGAGGAGAGCGAACGCGAAAGGCAGTATCGCAACCTGGATAGGAGCCGTGAGGTCATGCGAAACGACTGATTTATCCTTTCTTCATCTCCCCGGGTTATGTGTTGATTCTAGCGTACGGGATACCAGGCGTTTGGTGGTATCATTCAGTGGTTGCTTGACTTTGCGAGTATCTCCTTTGTTGAGATATGTTGAGATATGTATGCACTTCACAATGGACAATCCTTGCTTTCAGACGTGGGTTGCATGAATAACTCTTTGGGTTCGCGTTGCCAATCGGACCAAACATCATGGTAAAGAACTATAGATATTTGTTTACTTGAGCTGCTGTGGGATCCCCAGCTACCTATCACCTATCCTATTACACTCATCAAGACACAACCCAAGTAGTTCCCACCAACCGACCGACTCCGCTCGCCCATCTATGTATCTTTTAAGTTGGTAATATTATACGACAGGGACCTCGATCGTCGTATACAGTACCAAGCAGTTTAACATTCACAATAATAAAGATAAGCCAACAAACCTTTTGCAAATTTCAAGCTCACGACAATGACCTGGAGGACCGTCTTCATGTGATTGTGTACCTGCCGCTGACCGGCGCGCGACTTTCGATCTCTGCCGCAGCCAATGTGGCTTCCCTGAGCAGGCGAGTGAGTTCCGCCAGTGCCTTGCTGACCACAATCTCGGTCTCGCCCTCGATGAGGATGTACAGCTTGGGTTCGCCGCCGGGAGCGGGCTCTTTGCCTGGCGGGTAGTACGTGCCCTTGGTCGTGATAGAGGTGCCCGTGGCCTCGAGGATCTTGGCCACGTTGGTGCGGTTGGTGACCGCCCAGCGTGCCTTTTGTGGGAAGTCGTTAATTTCGAGCGTAGCGTGGAACGCGCCGGCATCGGGTCCTTTGTTGTCGATCGGCTGTCCAGCGCGCAGTTGCCCAGCGCGGGCCAAGCGAGCGTTGATCTCGCTGATGGCCGACGCCGCCTTGTCTAAAGCGCCACCTTTGCCAGTGACGATTGGCGTCTTGATGTCGCCCTTGATATCTGCGCGCGGTGCGTCACGAGCAACAATGGCCGAAGCGGCAGCCTCGATAGCCGCGGTCGCCCTGTCCTTAACGGCATCCTCCGGCTTATCGTCGCCAAAGTCGTCATCCTCACCATCAGCTTTGTGCGACTTGCGTTCGCGCAGACGGGCTGCCTCGCGATCCTTGTCGAGACGCTCCAGACCCTTGCCACCAAAGCCTGACGCTTCTTTAACCTTGCCAGCCTTGACCTTCTCACGCCAGGACTTGCGCATGGCGTCCACACGCTCAGGCACCGGCTGTCCACTCTGCTCGAGCGCTTTCGCGATGCACGAAGCGCAATTCTCCTGTTCCTCGGTGATAAAGGTAACGGCTGTACCTGTGTTACCGGCACGTCCAGTGCGGCCCGCGCGGTGCACATAATCCTCAAGGTGGTTGGGAGCGTCATAATTGACGACCAGCTTCAACTGCTTAACATCGAGACCGCGCGCAGCAACTGACGTGGCAATGAGAATCGGACAAACGCCTTTCTTGAAGTCCGAGATGGTTGAGTTGCGATCTTCCTGGTCTTTGCCGCCGTGGATCGACATGCAACCGTAACCACGCCGCAGAAGCTCGCGCAGCAGGTCGTCAGCCTTCTCTTGCCGCTCGACAAAGATTAGGGCGCGAACATCGTCGTCGTTGGCATACAGTTCTCCAAGGAGCTCGAGCAGCCGCACAAATTTCTTATTCTCCTCGATGACCTCGACAATCTGTGTGATCTCGGGAGCTACAACACTGCGCCCGCCGACCGTAATCTCTACGGGATTCCGCAGAACCTTCTTTGTGAGCGCGTCGATGATCCTGGGCATCGTTGCAGAGAACAGAATAGTCTGCCTGTCGGGTCGGACGTTGGCAAAGATCTTCATGACTTGGGGTTCGAACCCCATGTCGAACATGCGGTCGGCCTCGTCCAGCACGATGTATGTGGCGCGCTTAAGGTTCGTCACACGGCCCGAGTTGGCGGCAAGAAGATCTATCATGCGTCCCGGAGTGGCAACGATGATTTCGGCGCCACGCTTCAGCTCCGCTATTTGGTCCTTGATGGCATTTCCACCATAAGCAGCCACGGCACGAAGTTTCAACACCTTGGTGAAAGGGAGCAAGTCCGTGTAGATCTGTGTGCAGAGCTCTCTGGTGGGGGTCAAGATCAAACCAATCGGGCCGTCATCACCACTCACTGGATCCTGATCTTTGATATGGCGGAGCATGGGAAGAACAAACGCCATGGTCTTGCCTGATCCAGTTTTTGCGACACCAATCACATCGCGGCCAGACATGATGACAGGCAAGGCTTGCATCTGGATAGGCGTGGGCTTCTCAAACCCGAGCTTCTCGATCGTGTCGAGAATGGGGCGAGTCAGGCCGCATTGAGACCACTTCTGCACAGGCTTTGGCACGTTCTTCCCGGAGACCTTAATGCCGTCCAGCTCCATGCGCAGCTCGGCCACCTCCTCCTCGGTCATCTGGGCAAGCTCTTGTGGTTCAACCCAGAAGTTCTTCCTAACAGGGTTGAGTTCGATCTTGCTGTAGTCAATAGTCGGGATATCCTTCTTCTTTTTCTTGGCTGCCATGGCGAGTATAGCAGACGGGTCGGCATTCTCGGCTTCATAACCGTAGTCGTCGTCGCTGAAATATGCTTCTGGTTCGAAGGCTTTCTTCTCGGCTTGGGCTTGGCTGCGCTTGACCATGCGGTCTTCGGCAGTATTCGTTTGCTCCAGATTGGCCATAAACGCATCCAGAGGATCGAGTTCCTCTTCCTCAACATCCATAGCAGTGGGCTCATCCTTGGCCTTGCCATTGACCGGCTCCGTGTCGATATCCATTGCCATGCTTTCCTGAGCGATGCGTTCGTCACGTCTCTCTTGAAGAATGCGGTGAGCCTCAGCCATATCCTCTTCATTATTCCTTGCCATGAGCAGTTCTAAGTCCTGTTCACCGTCCTCATCTGCGTCGCCATCAGCATATGGAGTGTTATCAGCATTCTCCAGAGCAAAGTCGGGCAGTTTAACGAGCTTGCGCTTGATAACCTCCTCGTCATCCATGTCGAGCTTACGCTTTGACGAGGACTTCTGAGCGTCATTTGCCTTGGCAAATCCGAATGCGCTAATGGCTCTGTTGGCGGGCAGCGCGCCGCCAGCTTCCTTTACACCTGTTTCAGATATGGTTGCAGCGGATTTCGCGCCAGGGACGCCCAAGGGCACATCGCCCAACTTTGCGGGGGACTGGGCGCGGGTCGCTCTGGCGTTTTTTGCAATCGCCTTTGGGTCAAATTTTCCAGCGAAAGGAGTGGAAACATTCGATGGTGCCGATGAGGGGCTTGCCGCGGATGCTGTGGCGCTAGTAGCTGTACCAACTTTCTGGTCCATCTCAGCAAGCAGTTGCCTAGTGCTTCCAGAGGTGACATCGGCCTCCTTGGCCTCTTTAAGGGCATGCTTCTCTTTCATGGCTTGGAGTTTGCGTAGTCGCTCAGCCTTTTTCTCAGCCTCGGACAGGGCTTGGGTTGGTGTAGACTTAGCTGGCTGAGAGTCCTGGGAACAGGTTAGTTTAGGTCCAACGCCTGGGCTGGGAGACGGAGAAGCGACACGTGCCTCATCTTTGGCCGTGACGGTGTCTTTGGAGCTCCGGGGACGAGCATCATCGCCTCGCCGAGAGGCGGAATCTACCGAATCATCTCGACGACCCCTCCGGTCGCGTGAATCATCCCGGCGGCCACGGTAGTCTCGGCCTCGGCGATCTGGTGACCTCGCTCTATCGCGCGATCGATGGCGCTCACGATTAATACCGCCATCACGACGGGAACTTCGATAATAATCATCGTCTCGGCGGTCTAGGGAACGGTCTCTCCAACGATAGGAATCGCGGTCCCGGGGATCGCGCCCGTAGTCGCGGTCACGGTCGCGATCGCGGTGCCAACGCTGAGGGATGAGGGCAAAAGTAATTAGTCAGAGGCCCAGGACTGGTGCTTGATCCGCAGGTTAGACAAACTTACATCCGGACTGCGTGAGCGGCGACGACCGTCGCGGTCGCGGTCACGGTCACGATCCCGATCCCGATCCCGATCCCGATCCCGATCTCGGTCCCGGTCCCGGTCCCGGTCCCGGTCGCGTCGCTCATCATCTTTCCGTCGTCGTGCAGCATTGCTTCCTGCAGGAGATGGTGAGCGCGAGTCTCTGGGCCGAGCCATTCTGAGTCTTGGTGACGGTGGCTCAGCGAAAGTCAGTGGTGTGGTGAGAAGTACTTCTGGCAGCAGTCGGACGCTGGTTAGTGCATCAACAGAGGGAGACCAGCCTGCTGGGTCGCCAGGAATTAAAAAACGCCTGCGAGACGGATGATCGATGTGATTCGATTGCACAGCGCTGGGAGATGCGATCAATGAAGACAGGATATGGGAAATAGATGGTGATGGGATGCTGGCAGATGGATATTTGCAGAAAGTTTGGCAGGCCGCAGGCGATCAGGACGCCAAGCGGTGGAGAAAAAGGGACGTTTCCTGGGGAAAAAGTTCATGGGCTGGGGCGAACATCGAATGGTATGGTACAGTGCAGAGAGTCCATGACAGGAGAAGCGCGCACAGTGTGTCACGGCTCTTAGGAGCAAAGCTCTTGGCACTGAAAGCCTTGACAAAACTCTTCTAAGATCGAAAACGGTCGCAAGGCCAGCGATGACGTTAGGTGGGGTAAGATATGAATGATTTTTATAATTTACCTTTTTGCTAGGTTGCTAAACGTTGTCGCATTGTGCCGATGCAGTCACCAAGTCATTCAGATATCACAACATCGACCGTCTAAGAGCAATGTTCGTAGTGACAGCATGTATTGAAACCAAAATTATATTTCAAAGGGTTGCGCAAACCAAGCAGTTATTGCTCTGAGTGTTCGAGCATGGCTAAACTGTACCCGGACCTGCGGAGCTGATGGATTGAGGCCGCGGCACTCAGACTCTTTACCTTACCACAACAATCCGATGGGCTGGGCTAAGACATAAAATCTAGTCATGCATGTGTAAGTAGGTAGGTAAATAGAATAGAGTTGAATGGTGTGGTTGAACAGTCAGCCAAGCACATTTCCTCTCGATTATCATGCTCCCGAGCGGTCCCTAGCTCAGGTAGGTTTTCTTTGCCAGCTAAACCCATAGAAATACTAGAAATGTGAGAAGCAGACCACAAACTGGCCCAAGCTCCTCCTCACCTAGTTTCGCCGACCAGCGGAAGTGGAGGGCACAGAGAAACTGCAGTGGAGCATTTGGAACCAGAAAGCGGTAGCTGTTGTCGACCGCTGCATGGTTGGAGCTCTCGGCCTTTCTACTTACCAAAGGAACGCAACTGGCAGGAAGAGCTTTGTTTTGCTGCTGCACCAGAGCACGAGCCGCCGGGCAGCTGCAACTAGCAGAACCACCCAGACAGAAGAGCAACCTTGAAAACACCTGCAAAAAAAGGCCCACTTGCCCTGCCAGGCGCCTGCCCGGCCTTCCTCCCCCCTCCGTCCAATTTTCTGCACCTGCCATCCATTCTCGTCCCTCAGTTGCCAGAGCCACGCCGGGTTCGTGAGCCTCTTCAATTGCCTGCACCACAGCGATAACGCCCCCGCCGATCTCGAGCTGCATCGTCACGCACGACCGAGAAAAGCAAAAATCCAGCCATGTGGTCGACAATTGGTGCTACAACCGCCCGCCAGGCCCGCGTTGCCGGCAGCCTGCTTGTTCGTCGCGCTACCCTGTTTGCGCTGCAGGCTGGCGCTCGCATTGCGACTACTTCCATCGTCCCGAAAACCGTGATCGTTCCGACCAGCGCCCGCATCCCAGCATTTGTCGTTCGGGGCTATGCGACTAAGGCCTCAGCCAAGACCCGCAAGACGACCAAGCGCGGTCGCGCCACCAAGGCGAAGAAGACCACCGCAAAGAAGGCCGTTAAGAAGAAGAAGAAGCCTGTCAAGAGGGCTAAGAAGACCACCAAGCAGTTGACCGAGGAAGAGAAGCAGGCGCTCAAGATCAAGCTCCTCAAAAAGAGAGCGCTTCTGAAGGAGCCCGATCGCCTGCCGACGACCCAATGGACTGTCTACTTCAGCCAGCGCGTTAAGGAGGAGACAGCGGGCAAGAAGAGGGATGAGGATCTGCCGAGCCTTAAGAGTATTATGCAGAAGATTTCTGCCGAATACAAAGCTCTGTCGGCCGCCGAGCTGGAGGTAAGAAGATCAGGTAGTCTCCAGGATGTGCCCTATCCAAGACAGTAACTTACCGACCATCTTCTGAAAACAGAAACTACAAGCAACCGCCGACCAGAATAAGATCACCAATGACGCCGTCTTCCGCAAATGGGTTGAGAGCCACACGGCGCAGGAGATCCATGATGCCAACTATGCTCGTGGTGTCCTGAGGCGATTGGGCGTCATCAGGAAGCCTACCATTCCCGATACCCGCTTCCCCAGGGCTCCGCTCCGCAGCTTCTCTTACTTCATGAGGGACCGCTTCAATGCCCCAGAGCTTGCCAACCTGCCGGCCCCGCAGAGGATGCGCAAGATTGCCGAGGCCTGGAAGAAGCTAAGCCCCGCAGAGCGCAAGGTATGTCATTGTACATTCGCTAGTTGTCTCTTACCAGAATCCGTTGCTGACCTGGTGGCCTCTTTACAGCCGTATGATGAACACCAGGCGGTTGATGTGCAGAGGTATAAGAAGGAGCTTGAGACTCTGCGGAAGCAATAGAAGGCGGCTGTCGCTGCCTAAGCACACCCAAGTAGTGGCCGTGGCTCCATCGGGAATGTCTGGTCGGCCTTGGGAGTTTCGCCTGTTGGCGTGCAAGCTTCCCAAGGATGAGCTGTACATTCTTCTTCCTATCTGTAGATCCCAGGAACAGGGCTAGGCTTCCTTGTGTGTAAATTCATACTGATGTTATGGACTGATTGATGAACCCCATGTGTCGCCACGGACCTCGGTAACTGGATCTAGTATATACACTTGGACCCCTTTCGGTCCAATTCCTTCATACAGAATATTCAATTGCGTGTTAGACCTGGCATGATGCGCTCGCTAACCACTAAACCAAGAAACAATGTAACAGGGTATCAGCCTCTATAACTGCTAACTGCGTTGCCTAGTCCGCCCTGTCCAATGCCTGCAATCCAAAAGGAGCCTCCTCCAGCTGAAGATAAGAAAATAGGCACAGAGACTTAGGGCGTTCAAGACCTTCTCCTCACGTGGCGCTCACCCTCGGACTAATCACCACAACAGCCGTCCCGTCTCCGGCAACCCACTCCATACCTGTATGCAGGATTCTTCTTCTGCTGGCTAGGTAGAGAACCAAGTACATATGTCCTACGACGCAACCCCAGCAGTACAGCCGTATCCACGAGAAGGCTTCATCGCGCCGACATGATGTCCCCCAGCCCGCCGCGCCTCTGCCCAGATAATCGGTTAGGAACCCCCAAGCCGACCGCTTCAGCTCGGGTTCCCACGAAGAACAGTCTAGTCGCCAGTAGCCCCTCTCAAATGGGCGCAGCTCCCGGGTCTGTAATGAAGGCTTGAATCGCTTCTCAAGATTTAACTCGCGGGCTAGGGTGCCGAGAACCTCGGTGATCAGATCGCTGGGCCGTAGCTCTAGCTTGTCGGTCGGGGGGGGAGGAGAGAGGATTTCGAGACTTGACGGAACTTGACGGGAAGTGCATGTTCGTAGGATGTTGCTGTTGCTTGATGAAGAGCGCGGTGCTATATACCTTCTGCTTCGAGTCCAGTTGCCATCCCCGGAACCACGAGGGGCGTCGTCTGTTGAGAGCTTAGGCCGTTTTCGGGCAAGAGGCGGTTCTGGCTCGGCTTGAGAGGAGGATGCTGTCTCTGCTGGGTGGCTTGGGTGGGACGGTGCGATACGGGCATCTTTAACGACTTGATCAAGCTTTCGGGCTGGCTGGCGTTGACTACTTGTCTTTGCCAATGATGGTGAATGAGTAATCGTAGCTTCTTGCCCCTGAAGTAGTCGCTGCTTTCCAGCCGCATGACTACCGTTTTCTAAGTTTCGCTGACCCTGATCGGCTGCTTGCCTTGTTTCATCATCATGCTGCCTTCTTCGTGACAGAGGAGAGCCCGATGCCGGAGAACTGCTTGGGGCTGATGTGTAATGTTCCAGTATCCGTGTAGGAGTGCAGTACAGGGGAAGGGCGATGCTGCCGTCTGACATCGAATCCTGAATGACACTCGGGGGAGGTCGCCTTGATTGCAGGGTGCCATACAGCACGGGATCGGGAAGCACTCGGAGACGCGGAGAACTCAAGTTGTCGATTGCATCCTGGAATGAGAGTCGTGGAGATTCGAAAACGCTTTGGGACTCGTTTAACGATGGCCCGTTTGCTGAGGGCAGTGCCTCTTCTTTTCTAGCATTTACTTCTGGATAGTGATCCCTCACGAGAGCGTGTGCTTCAGCCTCTCGACTGACAATGTTTATCCGCGATGTCAACTCAAACTCCAGATAATTAGCAGCTAGAAGTCGGTATTTCTTGTCATCGGCTACGCTCGCGGGTGCACTGATGTGAACTAAGATCTCGGTTTCTGGCCTGCTCATCTTTTCGGTGACGATACTGGGCAGGTTGGCATGATGACACAAAGATGACTAGGACCGGAGGGACTCCGATGGGTATTACGATACTCAAGTCTTAGATGCCAACTCGGCTTGAAGATGAGTGAAAGGATTAGGGAGCATATATAAGTGAGGGACGTCAGTCGTAAATGTGACAATGAGATGCTCAGATAATGATTTAAGTGACAAACAATAGGCCCGGGTCAGAATGAGGAGGGAAAGTGTATCCACAGTGTATTCGACCGTCGCGTGTCAAAACTGCTTTCCAGTTCCGCCCCCTATTGGCGAATGGCACAGACGTTTGTTTTCTGCAGCCATTTACCATGAAACCCTCGACATGGGCTTCATGGCTTCACGGACAGTAGTTGAGATTTCTGGTTGCGACTAGGAGTCTAAGGTTGTAAGGATGCTAGTAGCGCGTATCGCGTAACGGAACGCCGCTGCCTTGGACATTGTATTGTAACGACACATCAGAAAGACCATTACATGTTCCTGGTAAAACGTAACTTTACAGACATCCCGTAAGCTTCGATATCCTGGTCTATGGAGCCCAAGAAGAAGACCGGAAAGCTCTCATTGGATAGTTCGACATGTGCCCTGGAAGCCCGCTTAAATGTCCAGCTCCGCAAAGAGCACCGCTCCCTGGATTTCATCACAAGGTGGACAGGTGGACAGAGAGCCTCGAGTGCTCGGTAATCGCTGAGGAAAACATCCATCCCCTCAACACATTACTCGGTCCCCAACTGATTTCCTTGTCTCTGGTCTCTCAGCTGGTCTCAGTACCCCAGAAGCTCCCTCAGCACGAATACACAATGGCCCAAGAGAAGAAGCCAGACCTGGGCAAGGTCATGGTCATTGGAGGTTGCGGCTTCCTGGGCCACCATGTTGTCCGTCTGCTCTTGCGCGACTACACCTGCTCTGTGTCCGTCATCGACCTGCGCTGCACACGTAACAGGAGACCCGACTCGGACGGTGTGGCCTATTTCGAGGCCGATATTACCGATGCGCCCAAGGTCGAGGCCATCTTTGAGAAAGTCCGCCCTGATGTTGTCATCCACACTGCATCGCCGCCGGCGCAGGGGAACGACATAGTCTCCCATGCCCTGTTTAAGAAGGTTAATGTGGATGGGACGACAGTAATTGTCAAGGCATGCCAGAAAACTGGAGTCAAGGCTCTGGTGTACACGAGCTCAGCAAGCGTCGTCAGCGACAACCAGAACGACTTGATCAATGCCGATGAACGATGGCCCGTGATGCGGGGAAAGGACCAGAGCGAGTACTATTCAGAGACAAAGGTAATGCAACGCGCTTCTTCGAGCCACTTTGCCCAAGTCTATCTGTGTTGTGAGCGGCCAATGCTGACTGATTGACTCCTGGCTTCCAGGCGGCTGCTGAGCAAATAGTCCTCGCTGCCAACCGTGCGGCAGAAGCCCCCAAGCTGCTGACATGCTCGATCCGGCCATCGGGTATCATGGGTGAAGGCGACATGATGACGCTGTACCACATGATCAATATCTACCGTCAAGGACGGACCAACGTTCAAATCGGCAACAACGACAACCTGTTCGATTTTACCTACGTCGAGAACGTTGCGCATGGTCACCTGCTGGCTGCACGTGCCCTCCTGGCCACGGCTGCGTCTAACATTATTCCTCTCGATCACGAGCGAGTTGATGGCGAGGTCTTTTTCATCACCAACGACAGCCCGGTCTACTTCTGGGACTTCTGCCGCGCCGTCTGGGCTGCTGCCGGCTCTCCCCACGGTACAGAGCACGTAAAGGTGCTTCCCAAGAGCGTCGGGCTGGTGCTTGGCTACCTCAGCGAATGGTTCTTCTGGCTGATCGGAAAGCCTCCCACATTCAACCGACAGCGCATCATTTTCAGCTGCATGACGCGCTACTACGATATCACCAAGGCCAAACGGCGGTTGGGATACAAGCCGCTTGTGCCCTTGGATGAGGCTGTTAGAAGATCGGTGAAGTGGACTTTGGAACAGGAGCAAAAGCAGCAACAAGAAAAGAATTGAGGACCAACCACAAGTTGTGGTTCGAATCACTGGAGTGGGGTGGTCAGCTGATAAGCCTTTATTTTGTTCCACATCAAGGCAGGAGTATGCCTGATGCTTATGGACGTGCATTCGGTATGCTTTGTTCTTCATGTGTATGTAATATTTAATGATGACAGGGAGTACGTACCTACGTCTAGCTAACAGGGTTGGAGTTTGGATATATGGTCGAATTTAGACGGCATATTTTGCACACAAAAACTCCCCATCGTGTATGACCATGACTTCAACAGTGTGAGCCATGTTATATGTCCGTTTTGTAAACAGGGATGGCTTATTGGTCATCTCGCAAGGGAGGGAGGAGGTTGGACTAGTAAATCTTTTATTACTTCGCCACTATCACAGTACTCCCAGCATCAAAGCGACAAAGGCTGAACCCTCAATTGCCATGTTTGCATTGGTGCAAGGAATGAAAATGACTCCCGCCTTGCATCATTTCATGGGTTACTAAACAAGTGCCCCGTCGTCTTTAAGCTCATCCCAAATGCCATGAAAGGGACCCTTCTGTGTTGCTAGGCCATTCGATGTCCCTAGCATAAGTCCATAAAGTAGCTCATCCATGAACAGAATGCTGTGTCCAGAACGTCTCTTTCTGAACATGTCTTGCTAAATAGCTCCCCCCAAGCCCCCGCAGAACTGGCCAAGTTTGCAGAATACTAGTAGAATAAGGCAGAAGCGGACGAAGAAAGCACTCCATTCATTCCCAGTATAGTCATAAAACCCGACCCCTGCCTATCTTTCCCGCTAAGAAACAATCCCACGCTGAGTATTGAAAAGGAAAACAATGGTAGTAAAAATTTAACAGTAAAAGGGGGGCAAAGGGGGAGAAATGGTAGGATGCCCAATCATCATCGACCAAGAGGAAGGGGATGCAGTGTATCTAAAAAAGAACACAGCGCAGAGGTGCTTGTGCTGCGTTGCAAAAGTGAGCTGTGCTATCCGCAATCGCATTAAACCTCACTTGTTCTTCCGAGATCTAGCTCCAGTACTCTGAAGGGGAGTAGTATGGGATCGATCCTTCATTACTGGGCCGACTTCGAAGATTCTTCTGGCGTCTTCTAGACAGTACCAGTGGTCAATCCACTATTTTGCCGGCTCCATGCCGAGTTGCGCCACTCCCGTTGCGGCTGGTCGTTCTTGTTATTGTTACCCGGAGCGCCCCCTTGATCATACTGACCATACGGAGGCTGTTGAGGAGGTGGACCATCATAGGGTCCTCCACGCTTTGGTGACGAATTCACGGGGGTATTGCCGTAAGGTAGTGTGTTATCCTGCATTGGACGAGCACTGCTCTCCTGATGCCAGTTCGTCGGGTCACTCTCCATCCTACGGGGAGCAGGCCGACTCGGGATGTCGTGACGACCCACAATTTCTGTGACTTCTGCGTACTGCTTCGGACCCAACCCGTTAGCAGCACGGTCCGAGAACTTTTTGAGGATCTCCTTGGTGGTCAATTCTCCGCTGGTGCCGAAAAGTGATTGGTCGTTGAGCAACTCAAGAACATCATCAGGGACCTAACAGCAATTAATCAGTATCAAGAACAGCGAAAACCATCATGACTTTTCATGGAAGTATAGTTCAGGCGGCAACCTACCAAGCACATCTCCTCGATGTTCGCGATCAACACCTCCACAGCCTCGATGGCTAACATCGGGTCGCTGTCAAGAGCGGAAGACTTATTCCTGTCAAACAAGACGTTGGGAGCCATGACGGTCGCCAGGTTCTTGATATCCATCTTTGATCCAGACTCATCATCCACCTGATGGAAAGACCCTACCCATTTGAGGAAGCAAAACAGGATCTCAAGACAGTCGCGGTTGGGTTTGGGAAGCAGACAGCAGATCAAATGGATGCAGTGCTTCATCTTCTGTGGGTCCTGGATTTTCGCAGCTGCGAGCCAAAGCCGGTAGAGTTTTTGTGTCATCAAGGGATCAGGAAGGTCTCGCAGATACCGCTTGAGCAAAGCAGCAACCTGCACGACATGTGTGGAGCTGAAGTCCACTTGTTCCTCCTTATCTAGTTTTTCTACCAGCTCGCCGAGTTTCTTGATGTTGCCGTTCTTGCGGAAAACGCCCTCAACCGACAGGTCCATCTGCTTCATGGAAGAGATGATGTCGTCCACGACAGCAGGGATCCGTAATGTTCCGGGGCCGACACCATCTGTGGATTCAGCTCCATCACGTTCAATGATAACCTCCAACGGAACACCAAAGACACCCTTTTTCTTGACATTCTTCCGACCGTCATTTTTGAAAGCTTTGCCGATATTTTTCCAGAATGTGGCTGGCTTTCTGCTCTCAATGAGGCTCAGAAGCTCTTCGAGAGTAAACTCTGACTCGACCATCGGATGCATAATGAGGACCGCGAGATGTCTGACAATGAAATACTCCAGCCCTGATAATTCAGAGAAATACCGACGGGCACGTGGCTGAGGAGGACCGGATCCCTCGCCGACGGCGCGCTGTCCTTGGTTCTTGCCATCTGACAGGCTCCTTTGGTGACCGCTTCCTCCGGCGGGTCCAGCTCCCGGTCTAAGGTCATTAGGTGGAGGATGGAACGAATCATGACGTGGAGGAGGGTACTGCCGCTGCTGGCCCCTAGCTGCCTGCTCGGCGGCGACAATTCGGGGAATATCATCGAGAGTTATGGCATCCTGGTTTGGGAGCATCATGTCTGCCTCATCCATGGGCGCCCGTTCCTCAATGATTTGGAACCCCCTCGTGACTGGTCTCTCCCCGGCTCCGCCGCTGGTAGATCCAGGGTGTGCGCTGCTGCTCTCGGGACCATCTAAAATCCGGGAAGTTCGAGCCTTCCTGAAACTCGAGGACAAGTGCTTATCTAGGCGGGTACTCTTCAATCTCCGAACATCATTCAAGGCACTCTCGTATGAGGATTCCCGGCGATGTTGTGTGTTGTCTGACCCATATGATCCCGGCTGACCATCTGCTGGACCATAGCCACTCCCACCACGATCTTGCGAAGGGTTGTTGTTAAGAACCCCATTTGCCCGAAGAATCTCCAATAACCTGGCGAGGGCTACCTGAAGCAGGAAGACGTATTGCTGCAGTTTGGTGATATGCTCAAATGGACCAACATTTGGCTGGCTTTCGGGCGCACAAGTGCTGCAGATAATCTTCCCATCAGGCTGAGCCAGGCGCGCGTGCTGGAGGTCACGACCGAGCTCTTTATTACAGCGTGCACAATGGGTACAAGCAATATGCCACCTGTTGTCGCCATGCTTGGTGCATTCGTCCTCGATGGATTTCCGGCACAGAGTACACTGGTCTGAGTCATGTGCTGAAAGTCGGGAAACTCCAGAGGTCAGCTGTAGAGTAGTAGTTGAGTTATCTTCCCTAAGTGCATCCAAATTGCTGATGTCGTCCAGGAAGTGAAAGAGACCTTCAGATGTGTTACGCTCTTTTTCTATGCGCAGAGCTCCTTGAAGGCATATCCGGATAAGGAGCTTAAGGTAGTGCGCAAGACCAGTGACCAGTGTTAACAAGTCTTGGGTAATGCCGGGCTTTCTGGAAGCTTTATCTTGTGTTTTTGAAAGTAACGAGAAGAAAGCAACAATTTTTTTTACAGAGCAGCTTGGCTTCTCGTCCATAGGAAAGGGCTACACAAGCTGTCAGTAAAGTTCTATGTAACAACTCACCATCATTGCCAAGGAGAGACTGACCTTTCATCTCCAACTTATTCATAGTGGCTTCCAGTCTGTCCGCAGAGCGGAAGAGGACATCGACATGGAATATGAATCGCTTAGCAACCATGACACCATCAAGATAGGCCCCATTGCTCACATGCAACAGCATGTCCGAGATGCATGCTGCAGACGACTCTTCAAATGTTGACAGAACACTCCAGATGCGGTACACCTTTTCCTCCATGCGCTCTTCCTCTTCGCGCACACGCTCACGACCAGCAGTATCGTCGGTAATGGGCGTACTTGTCTGTGGAGGAGGGTTGAGTCGGACGTTCCAGAATTTGTGGATCATGTAGCACTCAGGATGCCAATGTTGGTTTTGACCGTTTCGAAAAATCTCAACAAACTGCTTCAGAATAGCAGCCTGGCAACCACTGCAGCGCTGGGCGAATTGTGTAGAGTAGTGGTAATGGCAGTAGACCTGGCCCTCATGCTCGTAGTAGCTATCCTGGGCACCAAACACAGTTGGGCACAGAGAGCAGGTGAAGTGGTCAACATGATACTTGCGGTCCAGGGCTGTGATATATGACCCACGAAGTGCCCCGCCGCATTTGAAGCATATCAACCCAAGTCGACGGAAGTAATCTGTTTCGCAAAGGGGATACTGGCCACCGCCATTCTCGTCATCTGCAGGGAAGAACTTGGCAGCTACATTCTCACCGCAATCCTATATGCAAAGGACAACATAGTCAGTAGGGAGGGGCTCGAGGCTACAGCATCATGACATAAAGAGGGGAATAAACTCACACGACATGTGAAGCAGTCGAGATGGAAAGTCGCCTCGAGAGCACGCACGTACTGGCCCTGCAGCACTCCTCCGCACACATGACATGTGTGCACCTGCGCATTAGCAGGCTTTTCACCCCGTGGTCTTGACCGGTTCCTCTCCATGCTGCGCCGAGACTCTGTGTCTGTGTTATCCCCAGAACCCAGTACAGGGGATGGGGGCGGTCTTCCATTCTGGCCGCTGGGGTATACTGCAGTTCGGGAGTTTGGACCAAGACCTGTTTGATGTTCTTGCTCTAGCCGATTGTGCCCATCACCACCGGATGGGAAAGCATAGCCCCGGTCACCTCCAGGGCCGCCGCCGTAATCATAGCCTGACATGTCGACTATTTCTCAAGCTCCCTGGCTGTGTTCATTCAGGTTTCAGGCCTGAGGAGCCTCTTTGTCAGGGGCGTTTGCAGCGATGAAGAAACCTCGTCGGCCGTAGGGCGTTAAGATACAAGGATGCAGGTGGGAAGACAGGAGATTTGAAGGTTCGTTTGTTGTTGGGGGTAAACAGGTGAAGGAAACAAGGCAAGTTGCTGAATTGTTGAATTATTTGGAAGAACCCGCAGGTGATCGCTGTCTCGACATCCAGTTGGTGTTGAGGATCAAGTAATGAATAAGAATCAAGGGATATAAAGGAGACACGAATGCAGTTGCTGGCGGGAAGACGCAGGAAAGCGTTCGTCGCAGTGAATTACTCGTCGGACGTGGAGGGGAGAGAGAAGCTGGGTTAGTACGACGAAGCCAGGGTTCAAGGGGATGGAGTTGGTTGAGTGGAAGGGTGAGTCGGAATGTGGAATGTTGATGCTTAACAGTCGGCTGGCCGGTCGGGCAGTCGTCAGTCGTCAGCGATCGGTCTTCGGTAGGTTGTCGGTCACTGGCGCGGTCGAGTTGGGCAGCTTAGTGATCTCAGAGCGGCTGTAGCTCTTCTCGTTTCGCTATTTAGGCCGTTTCTTTTGTTGTCCTGACTTGGGTCCTGCTGTTAAGCAGGAGAGCGATCGGCAGCGCAGAATGGATGTAGGTAGACTGTGGGTGTCACTACGAATGCGGCGCGCTGGGATGGTTGTAGATGAGTAGTGGAGGATTAGAAGTGACGCCCGACAGCTCAGAACGCAGCTCCAAAGTTTCAGACCTGGGTCCAGATAGTGACGGGAGAGAGTGTCCCAGGGCACCGGCTGCCAGTTGGGTGTGGCCTGGAGGTGGTGTACCGATTACAGAACAGTACGGTTTACGTACGCTGAGAGCAGGTGGACGGCCTGTCTACAGTTTACAGGGCAGATTATCAGGAGGTCGGGATTCCAGGTTGTGCAATCCGCTTGCTGGGAGGTCCACGGGTTAGGCCAAGCAGGAGGGCAGCAAGGAACCTGGTAGGAGCGATCGACAAGCCCCCGCCACGGCGGAGTGCAATTTCCAGAGAGCATCCTCAGAAGCCAAGCTCGCCCAGCTTAGTGGACAAGGGGCCAAAGGAGAGCCTAAGGCGTCACCAGCCAATGAAAGGGCAGCATTTTGCCTGGACGGTGGCCCCCTTGTGCCGTGGCTCGTGTCCTGCAACGCGAGAGGCTGAGAGCAGCCAGAGTGGCCCCCTCCAAGCTCCCGTTCCCTTCAGGGACCTAAACAGTGTCATGTAATCCGTAAATGTGTACGGAGAGGTTACAAGGACTGTGGTCCAATGTAATCCGTACTTCCTGCTATAGGTAACAAGTAATATGGTGCCGCATTATATTGTTGGACACTCATATCCCAGTAAAATGCATTGTCCAAATGCTCCGCGCTACGATTCTGTGCTTGAGAATAAACTACAGTGTTTGATGAATTTATGTATTTACGCAGTCGGTAATTTACACTGGCGGGACCCTGTTAGGCTCCCGTTTGCAGGTGATTGAGAGCCGGCACCCGGGCGATGTCCTGGCAACGAAGGGGCGAATCCGCGAAGTCAACAACCAAGCATCTGCTGCCAAGATTCGCGAACTGCCACAAAACACAGAAATACAGTGATGCCGGGTCTCACAATCACAACAAATGTTGGCCAGCCGGCCGCGGCAGGGTCTATTTCGGGTGTCGAGGGTGTGCGCCGACGATCCTCGACGGCTGTTTCGCCAGGAACTCGGACGTCATCGCCGACACGCCCGCCGGTTAGTCCGATCACCCCAAAGTTTGGCCCAACACAGCTGCCCAGCGGCCCCGCTTCCGATGCTGCCCATGCAGCCACGACAACGGGCACCACATCGGCCGTCAGCGAGCCCATTCCCGAATTTGCGCTCGGCCGACCGACCTTTACACATACCACACAGACAGACCAAGTCGGGATTCCTCCTCCGCCAGCCCAGCCTATAGATTTTGAGGAAAATACCGATGTGCTCGCCCTCAAGAGCGCAATCACAATTCTCCAGCTACAACGTCAGCGAGCGATAGCTGATATCCGCAGACTGCGAGATGCAAAAGAGGCAGCGCTCGCCAATCCAGAGGCGTTCATAGCTGACCTCGCCGCTGGGAAGATCCAAATGGAGGGAGCAGAGCCGCGGCTTCCTGCAGGAGAGGACTTATCCCGAGAAGATTCTGATGACACCGAAGATGATGATGTCGGCAGCAACGGTACCAATGATGATGGCGGGGGAGAGGGCACTAGTGGGCAAAAAGGGAAGCGAAAGTCCGTTACCAAGGATTCCGATCCAGCGTGGCGAAAACTCCCAAACCGCCAAAATATTGTCCGCTGCCCGCCCATCAATTGGGCAAAGTACGGAGTTGTCGGAGAGTCCCTCGACAAACTGCATGCTGAGCAAGTGGCGGCTCCAACTCCCGGCGCACCATTGACTCTCGGGCCAAGCCTCATTCCTAGTGATTTTAGGACTGGCAATAGTGTTGCTGGTGCTGGTGATCAAAACCCCGGTGTTGGCATGGGAAGTGGGAGCAGCCAGCAGCGAGGGGAACGCTTGGTTGGCGTCGCAGCACCCTATGATCCGATGCGAGATAAACTGCCGGAGAAGAAAGGCAAAGGCAACAGGCGCTGAATATGACTGCTCTACGGCCAAAGATTCTGATTCTTCCCAGAGCTGTTCTATTCGACCTGCGATGGTATCTCAGGTAATTGTGAAATTCTCTCACGTTCAGAAGATCACTTATGAGTAATGAAGGGCGGTGCTACGTGCTTTCATCAGTTTAAAAATGCATAGCATTGGCGTTTGGAATGGTGGCTAGCAAGGATTGTCATCGTCAGGTCTAGATTGGGATGTACTTTGGCTTGGGGATACCTTGAATGTATCATGACAGAACATTATCACAAGCAAGTTGCCTAGGCATCATCTTGATGGTTCAAGAGTTATGCAGATCCAGCTGAGTATTGTCACATGTTCCCAAGTTGTCTGCCATCGCATCTAGGCCGTAAACCACTGCTTATCATATTCCATTGATGGCGCACTCATCCTTCTTGTAACCGACTTACGGAAGTCACCGTAAAAGCGGCATTATTGAACTACGTCTGCACAATGAATGGGTGAGCAAGAAAACACAGCAATCAAAAGCCCTTCCATAAAAGTAGGTATCTCGTGAAATGTCCGAAGACAGGCCAAGGAAACAAAAAAAGGTCAAAGAGTTGACTCGAACGCCCTCCCATATTATCTTGCCTTTCCCACGCCGTGTCCGAACGCCTATTACCATTGGTCTGGATGTCTCAGAAGGGAATATCTTGCATTCGAAGAACACAAGAACATAGTAGTAATCAGATCACAGCAAAATCGGTCATGCAGGAGAGCTACAAGCAGTCCCTGTCTTCTGTCAGTGCGACAGGATGAATGCCTAAGTCTAGGCCAGACTTACTCAACAGACTGCTGAACTGACCGGCGGAGACGACGGTTGTACATCTTGCGGTCTTCCTCAGAGCCCCAATATAATTTGAAGGCCTCGGGCCGAACGATCGTTCTAGGGTCATAAGGGGGGTTCTCTTCCTCCAGTGAATCGATAACCGCTTCGATGTGGGCTTTGACATCTTCACGACGATTTGTGGGCGGAACATAGCAAGGAGTTCCATCCGAGGCAATTCTGTGATGAAAGAGGCGAGTCTCGAATCGAATGCGAGGCTGCTCCTCAGGAAACCTAGGGCTGAAGGAAATCCGGATTTTGAATAGGCCTCCATCCAAGTTGGTCATCGGCTTGCCAAAGTAGGTCAAGATCCAGACAAACGGATTGCCGTCTAACAGTTCGACGCTATGCGGCAGATCAGACTGACGGAATGACTCAACAACCTGTTCATACTGTCGCTGAAGGTTGACTGCAACTGTCGTTTCCTTTGCTTTCGCCACCAGACCCTCGGCAGCCCATGATTCGGTTTCAGCATCGAGGGCCCTCTTGATACTGTGTAGGCGGCGTTCGAGTTCCGTGTAGTTGAATTTACCCTCCATTGTATTGCTTGGGCCCTCGAATGGCATGCGGGCAAAAGGTTCGCCATCTTGAACCTCTTGCTTACCCTTTTTGACAGCCTCGAGGTACGAGTCAAAGTACCACAAAAACCGACGTTTGCACAGATCCTTGAACGGTTCAAATGGTACGTTTCTGTCATCCTCAATGGCATCCATATCGAGATCGTATTCCTCCTTTGAGTTGTTTTGAGGAAGGGCCTGACCGTCGGGTCCAATCCCCAGATACTCCTCGAGGCGCTGGATAACGGAGATTCGGAGAGTTTCATGGCGAATCTGAGTAGCACTTAGTCAAAATCCAAGGAACAAATAACAATTGGTATTACCTTCTGTATATAGTTCTTCTGATTCCTCTTATCGGAAGGCTCGTTGGCATCTTCGAAACCAGGCTCGTTTTCGTACGGGTTTGGAGACATCAGGCTTTGAATGGACAGAAGAATGGATTCAAGACCCTGGGCTGCAGACCATTCCTCTCCACGCTCGCCACGCCATGTTCTAGACATCGTTAGCATCCCATCGCCTAGGACATCTTGCTCTCCGGAAGCAATGACATGGTATTACCCTAAGATCGACCTAGAGCCTTGTTAGCATCAAGACGTGAAGAGGGCCCCTAATAAGGTGTCTAAGGGTCTGCTTGACTTACAAGCAGACCTTGCCATTAGCATAAATGTTTGGGTTGAATCTGCAGCGGCCTCCATTTGTTGTGATCGCTGTTACGGTCGGTGACTTCCGGGGATAGTCTGTGATGAATGTTGGCACTCCAAAAGGTCGGGATGACTCGAGGATCAGGAGTCTTACCTTTGCCGATTTTGAACAGAAACTGAAGGCTGTTAGCAATGCAGGACAGCATTTGACCATCGAATTACAAGCTGACTATACCTCGAAAAACCCAAATTCATACGGCGTGTCGTGGGGCCCAATGATTAAGGCCTTGACGTTTCGGACATCGATATCACGACAGGCAACAGCGAGAGCTGGAGGATTGGTCAGACCACACGTTTGAGCACTGGGAAAGAGAAGCAGCAAAAACAACATACACAAGTCGGAGTTTCGTTGAAGGTCGCTGAGCTCCTATAGCAGCCAGGTGAAGTCAATAGCACCATCCCAGAAGATCCAAGCGCAGGGATCATTGACAGGACCAAGCCGCCCACACAACCCACCTTCGTGATGCGAAATATGGATTGATCCATCGTTGCAACTCTGTCGATCAGCTTCGCGAAAAGCTGGATGATTTCGAATGATAGAGGAGAGCGATGTGCTCTGAAAATATGCGTAGAAGAATGATGCTGGTTGGGGACTCTTAATCACTTGGCGACTGTTTGTAGGATCTGGTTGGGAGCACCGGGCGACAGCTGTTGGTGCCTCTGGACGGTTTGCAGCCTAGGACGCTAGAGGCAGGTGTGCGGGGCGGCGCAGCGGAGGGGCCAGAAATATCAAGGCGCGCAAGGCGCGGGGCGGGTAATGCGACCAGGCACCTGTTTCTCTGATTGGATGCCTTCTTTCGTATGCAAGGAGTTGGAATGACTGTTAAGGTGGGGAAGAAGAAGAACAGAAGGTAGCACTAAGAATGATCTCACTCACGGGGCTGCGGGACATGTCACAGATGGATTGGAGTGACCAGTCCAGAAAAAGTAGAGGAGCCTTTGGACGACATTATGTATACTATTTTTCATTGCAACCTCAAGTCGTACCAAACCAAGATCAAAGAATCATACATCACGAGGCATTTGAAAACGGAAATCAAATCACAACTCTACGAGAGACAGTGGAAAAGTGCTAAAGTGACAGGAAAATTGACTTCATGTCCATCTCGCTGGAGCGGTTCCTGTGAGTTCTATGTTTCTGTTTCTGTGTCAGTGAGACGGCTATATATGGGATGTATTACAGGCAATTGACAAGTAATTGGTGTCTTGAGTTGGTAATTGCTTTTTCCTGGGAGGAACCACAGTGTATCCAAACCGCCGTTTGCTAAGGAAGTGAAACTGTTTAGTGTCTGGTGAGATGGTAGGGTTGGTATTTGCTCAAGAAGGCCAAGGCAGCATTTTACATTCGGGTTTGATTCCAGGTGATGTGATGATGCACTGGCAATTGGCTCATAAAGCGTAATCCGGGGGAACATCTAGCATCAGGGTTCCCAGGCACACAACATGTACCGGATCATCAATGAGTTAGAGATTATCTTGAGGCCCATTTTCCATCTGAATATTGATGATAGATAAGATGCTTTCCTGGCTGTATCATGAATTCAGAAACGGCTACACTAAACATAATATCATACTCTTAGGCAGAGCGCTCCAAATGAGCCCGAAGGCTCAAGACTTGTTTTCGGAGACTTCGTTTTGTATGTCAAAGATGCCCCCTCTTTGGACAACTCGATGTGAAGGTCTTGGGGCTCATTATTGGATTGGCCGTGACACTAGGACAATACAAGTACAGGCAGAGTTGGAGAATCCCTGCCGAGAGTGGGGCTCCATCAGCCGGGCGGAACATGACGCGACATACAGTGCCTTTTAACGTTCGGCGCGTCTCGTCTCACTTGACGCGTCAAGTGCACCAACTTGTCCGGGCTTGACTGGTGCAGAACTCCCATCTGCGAGACGGCAATCACCTTATTAACAGGTCACAACAGCACTTCGCCAACTCCATACCAATCATTCTGTGATTAATTTTAACAGGGCATTTCCTTTCTCTTCCTTAACAACTTCCTCGTCTCCTGCAGCCTGTCGTTGCCATGGCAAACTTCTTTGACCTCAAGGCCCGCCGGGCAGCGCAGTCAAATGGGACCGCATCGACAAGCACCGAGAAGCAGACTGCCGAACATACGAGAGCTCAGCCATGGGTTGAAAAATAGTATGTCGACTCACCTTTGCCTTTTGGGGCAAACGAACTGATACTGACAGAGACCAACAGCCGCCCGAAAACACTCAACGATGTGACGGCGCAGGATCACACTGTCAGCGTCCTGCAGCGAACCCTCCAAGCATCTAATGTATGTTCATAGCTTGGCTAGAGACTACCCATAACATACTGATAAGTTAACTCGTACAGCTTCCACATATGCTCTTCTACGGCCCCCCAGGCACAGGCAAGACGTCCACCATCCTTGCCCTAGCCAAGGAACTGTACGGTCCTGAGTTGATGAAGTCGCGGGTGCTGGAACTCAATGCTTCTGACGAACGTGGTATTTCGATTATTCGTGAGAAGGTCAAAGACTTCGCCCGTACACAACTCACGAACCCACCCCCTGGATATAAGACAAAATATCCCTGCCCTCCATTTAAGCTCATTATCCTCGACGAGGCGGACAGTATGACACAGGACGCACAGAGCGCTCTGCGCCGGACGATGGAAACATATAGTAAAATCACCCGCTTCTGCCTGATCTGCAACTATGTCACACGTATCATCGATCCATTAGCCAGCCGTTGCAGCAAGTTCCGATTCAAAAGCCTCGACCAAGGGAACGCGCGAAAGCGGCTGGAGGAGATCGCACAATTAGAGAACGTGGGACTTGCAGACGGTGCAGTGGATGCCCTGATACGATGCAGCGAAGGAGACTTGAGAAAAGCGATCACTTTCTTGCAAAGTGCTGCCAGATTGGTCGGGGCCTCCCAGGCAGCGCAAGGTGATAGTGAGGATGGTGACAAGATGGATGTTGACAAGACCCTGGTAACTGCCAAGATCGTTGAGGATATCGCCGGAGTAATCCCTGACGATACGATTCAAAAGCTTGTCAAGGCGATGCGTCCTCGCGCGACAGGAGAGACGTACTCGGCCATCGCCAAAGTCGTGGAAGAGATGGTGGCAGACGGATGGAGTGCAGGGCAGACCCTCGCCCAGCTCCACAAGGCTATCGTCTACGATGAGACTATCCCTGACACTCAAAAAAACAAAATAGTCATGGTGTTCTCTGAAATCGACAAACGGCTGGTTGACGGTGCCGATGAACACCTTTCTATGCTAGATTTAGCTCTCCGTATTTCTGGGATCTTAGCCAGCAAATGAAAATTGCCCGAGAGCTTTCATCTCCGAGGTCTTCCGTATCCTTTCGAGAATGGGATAGTAGTTCAGGGCCCATGTCGGCAGGTAGGAGACAACGATGCATAACACAGGCAGACAACGTTACAAATACCAGCGGCGTTGGGGAAAGGGTTGTGTTTAAATAGAAGGTTTCACTGATAATGCTAAGAAAAATTTAATTTCCGGTATCTCAACATTTAAGGCAGCCCAAGGCCCCCATCCAGTGTGTCCCACACGGTTTTGAGAGTTGCTGGCTTTTCAACTTTGATTGTATTCCTCTTCGACCCTAGGTGTCTACCAGTTGGCTGGTCTTTTGCTCCTGAACCCTCTGCTCCGGTCGCGCGGGCTTGTTCGGCCGGGCTCTCTTGTTCTCCTATGTTTGCGCTGGTCCCCAGAAACTCGTCTATTTCACCGAGAGTGCGCATGGTACCTTCCAGAGCAAGTTGACCTTCATCAATTTTCTCTGCCACTGCTTCCAGGGTCGCAATTTTAGCTGAGTCTGCAGCAAAGACCCAAGGCTTGACCCAATTAGAAGGGCCAGAAATATCAGATGTTCCTATAGCGCCGGAAGTGAGTGTAGGAGGTCTTATTCCCCCAGGCATCGGATGAGCAGGCATCAAGTGGCTCTCTTCTGCTAGATGGTTAAGGACTTGGTTGCTCTCCTTGAGTTGTTTCCCAATAATTGTGTACAGATGCGATTTGTGGGCGATAAGTGTCTTTTGCTCATGGGACAGTGCAAGGAGTTGCTGGACGTAAGGGGCCAGCAAGTACGTGATCGGAGCTGGGGAAGTTGGTTGGCACAGCGGCTTTTGCTCTTCTGCTGGTGACTGCACAACAGGCTTGGGTTGCTGGCTGACAAGCTGTAGAAGATATTTGCGGGCCTCGAGATACTGCGCATACTTTTCCTTGATGCTGGCGAGTTGCTCATCCAGTTGAATTGAGATTGACTCTCCATGCTGCTTATGCCTATTTTGAATTTCTCCCTCGTCTTCCTCTCCTCCCGCTTTGCTGAGCTCGGATTCGATCCAGTTGATGAGTTCAACCCTCGTTTTGTTCAAAGCCTCGAGCTTGTAGTTCGGGCTAATCTTTTCGGGGCTAGCCGTTGAGCGTGATCGGACCTTTTTCAGGAGCTGTTCCTCACGTTTCAGCAGTAGCTTTGCCTGAAGCACATGCTTCTCGAGTTGGTTGCTGAGATCCCTGAGTTGGAGGGTTTGGTTTGCCTTGTTGACAGTGATTGCGGTGATCAAGTTTCTCGGAACTTCTGGAAGAGGCCTGGAGTCTTTAAACACCTCACTTGAATCGAGGAATCGAGGCGATGCTGCGGGCTTTTGTGATAGGACGTTGAGTCCTTGCGCAATTGCCTGAAGTTTGTCAAGCTTTTGTCGCAGCCTGATTGTTGTGATGAGATCCTGTAGACGATTTAGACCTCCATCGTCAATACTTGGATTGGGGCTTTCGAGCGTGGACTCGGGTCTTCGTTGAGAAAGTGAAGAGAACTCCTTCCGGGCCTTGATATTTGCATCCAGTGCCTCCAAGTAATCTTTATGAAGCCCTTGAGCTGCAGGGGATAGACTGGGGCTACTTGTGTTGACAAGGGCGAGTGCTGCTGCACCGTCTTGCAGGCATGAGTTGAGATGGGCAGCCAGGATCTGGCGAATTCGTGTCACTTCTTCCCGTGGCCGAATGTATGGCTCAAGCGTTTTTTGAATGATATTAGCTATGTCCTTGCTGGAGCCGTCCATTGTGCAGTCACTAATGTCATCTAATCGGATATCCTGATCCTGTGAACAATATGGCCCTCTGGTCGGATCTAATCGCTGGGTAAGGATATGCACTCCTTTGATTTGCTGTAGCAGAATTGTTTCACTAGCAAGTAATTGTTTTGACAGTTATTCGAAGGAGAAGAAATGATTTAGAATACCTAGCCGGGAACTAGGGATCGAGTTGAGTCGGATAAAGCAAAGGGCGATTGTGTTTACTAGTCGGTGAATGCAGCACTCCTGATGTTAATACGTGACATTGCCCACATTAGGTGAAACATATACGGCCCAAACTTCGCGGCGTTACGGATCCTTGTGGCGCAGTGATTATACTTTACTTACCCTGTAAATCTTACGTATCCGTATTTACCATTCTTACCACTACCCACCCCATCTTAAATACGTGACGCTTCGCCGAAAATGTTTCAATGCAGCTGCAGCCTGATTGGTAGCCTTTCGTTGTAGCGCTGTCCTCATTCGCCCTCATCCGCCAGCCGAACGCGACGCTTCCTGTCAAGTGCAAAGGCAAACACCAAACCCTTTGCTACACCGCGCATACTTATTACTCTCCTCGATAGACTCGGTTTTTCGATGCGACGGTCTGGCCATTGCCTGCACGCTATAGAGACCGCAGTCTTTTCGGGGCGGCGGTCGATTTGAGAATCGCCACCTTTTCAACGGAACTGGCACGCGGCTGCAGCAAAAAGTAAATCTATCTTTACTTACTGTTCAGGCAGTCAATTGTTCCCGACTCCTTCTCAATAGTCTTTCTTTCCCTGTTCATGTAGCGCGCTTTTACGACCACAACGATGTCGAACAAGACGACAGACTACCATCGCGATGTATCGCAATACAAGTACTCGGCCATGTCCAACCTGGTTCTCCAGGCGGACCGCCGGTTCGTTACAAGGCGAACTGACGAGCCCACTGGAGATCCAGAATCTCTGGCCGGGCGCCTGACGGTTAAGGACATGGGTTCTCGGGTCATCCGGAGCACCGCTCCAAAGCCGAAGAAGAGCGCCATGCCAGATGTCGAACGTGGAAGTATACGGGAGGGCGCCGATGTGCTGCAGCAGGTGAAACAGAAAAGCAGGACAGAGACGCGCGGTGGCGGTATCTTGTCTGGCGCCGATGCTTTGATCGAAGGCATTCGGTACCGGCCTCGGACACAGCCTACCCGCGACGCTTTCAACCTCATCTTGACCATCGTTGCAGAGCACCTGGGCGATGTGCCGCATGAGGTTGTGCGCAGCGCGGCCGATGCTGTATTAGAATACCTCAAAGATGACGACCTGAAGGACTTTGACAAGAAGAAGGAGATCGATGATATCCTCGGCGTGTCGATGAGCCCAAAGCAGTTCAATGAGCTTGTCAATCTCGGGAAGAAGATCACCGACTATGACGCCCAGGATGAGGACGAAGAAGGAGATGAGATCCAGCGCGCCGGGGAGGATGAGATTGACGGGCGCCAAGGCATTGCCGTCGATTTTGGGAATGAGGATGACGATGGCATGGTTGACGTCGTCCGCGACGAATCCTCTGAAGATGAAGAGGAAATGGATGGGGAGGACGAGGCCGAAATTCAGGAGATGGCCCAAGATCAAGGAAACGGTGAGGAGGCTGGCCTGGCGGATGATGAGGCCATGGTTATCGACTCGGCCCCAGACGGCAAATCCAAGTCTCAGGACAAGAACTATGTCCATGCCCGTGAAATCGATGCCTATTGGTTGCAGCGTCAGATTGGACGAGTCTATCCAGATGCTCACATTCAGCATGACAAGACGACGTCAGCTCTGAAGATTCTTTCTGGGGAGCCAGACGAGCCCGGCGGTGACGAGAAGCAGCTTCGAGACATTGAGAACGACCTGATGGAACTCTTTGATTATGAGCATCACGAGCTAGTTCAAAAGCTCATTGAGAACCGTGACAAAGTTGTTTGGCTTACTCGTCTGGCCAGAGCCGAAAGTCGTGAAGAACGCGACACGATTGAGAGGGAAATGGCGTCTGAGGGACTCCGCTGGATTCTTGATGAGCTCTACGGGAAACCTAAGGACGATCAGAAGAAGCCCAAACTGGAAATCAAAATGGATATTGACAAAGATGCCTTTGCGGCCAAAGAACAGGCCCTGAAGCAAGAACGCCCTGAAGGACTTGTTGGAGGGCTTCAGCCAAAGAAGCTGGTCAACCTGGAGAATCTGGTCTTTGATCAAGGCAATCACTTGATGACAAATCCTAGGGTACGCATGCCAGAAGGTACCACGAAGAGGGTCTTCAAGGGCTACGAGGAGATTCATGTCCCTCCCCCAAAGAAGCGGAGCGACCCAACCGACCAGAATATTCCCGTCACGGAGCTCCCGGAATGGGCTCGAATTCCCTTCAACACGACAAAGACCCTGAACAAGATCCAATCCAAGTGCTTCCCGACCGCCTTTCTGGACGATGGAAATATGCTTGTCTGCGCTCCCACTGGTAGTGGCAAGACGAACGTTGCCATGCTCACCATGCTCCGAGAAATTGGCAAGAATCGCAACGAAAAGGGGGAGATCGATTTGGATGCTTTCAAGATTGTTTATATCGCCCCTCTGAAGGCTCTGGTCCAGGAGCAGGTTGGCAACTTTGGGAAGCGCTTGGAGCCCTATGGTATCAAGGTCTCGGAACTAACAGGTGACCGTCAACTCACCAAGCAGCAGATCTCAGAGACCCAGGTCATCGTCACCACTCCGGAAAAGTGGGATGTCATCACGAGAAAGGCGACTGATATCTCCTACACAAACCTGGTCAGGCTGATCATCATTGACGAGATTCATTTGCTGCATGATGACCGTGGCCCTGTTCTGGAGAGCATCGTGAGCAGGACAATCCGTCGCACTGAGCAGACTGGTGAGCCGGTCCGTATCATTGGCCTTTCCGCCACGCTTCCCAACTATCGCGATGTGGCCAGCTTCCTTCGGGTAGATTTTGAAAAGGGCCTGTTCTATTTCGATGGCTCATACCGTCCCTGCCCATTGCGCCAGGAATTCATCGGCGTCACGGACAAGAAGGCTATCAAGCAGCTCAAAACAATGAACGACATCACGTATCAAAAGGTCCTTGAGCATGTCGGTCAGAACCGCAACCAGATGCTTATCTTCGTCCATTCCAGAAAAGAGACGGCCAAAACTGCCAAGTATATCCGTGATAAAGCCTTGGAGATGGACACTATCAACCAAATTTTAAAGCACGATGCTGGCACCCGTGAGGTCTTGCAAGAGGCTGCCAGCTCGGTCAACAATACGGATCTTAAGGACCTCTTGCCTTACGGCTTTGGTATCCACCATGCAGGTATGAGTCGAGCTGACAGGACCGATGTCGAGGACCTCTTTGCTAGTGGTCACATTCAGGTCCTTGTGTGCACGGCAACCCTCGCCTGGGGTGTCAACCTTCCTGCCCACACGGTCATTATCAAGGGCACTCAGGTATATTCTCCTGAAAAGGGTAGCTGGGTTGAGCTGAGCCCGCAAGATGTGCTCCAGATGCTCGGTCGCGCGGGGCGCCCGCAATACGATACCTACGGCGAGGGTATCATCATCACTACCCAAGGAGAGATCCCCTACTACTTGTCTTTGCTCAACCAACAGCTCCCGATCGAAAGCCAGCTTGTCAGCAAACTGGTCGACAGCCTGAACGCCGAGATTGTCCTGGGCAATGTCCGAAATCGTGACGAGGGTGTTGAGTGGCTGGGATATACCTATCTCTTTGTCCGCATGCTTCGGTCGCCTGGCTTGTACAGCGTCGGCGCTGAGTACGAGGATGATGTTGCGCTCGAGCAGAAGCGGGTAGACCTCATTCATTCTGCTGCGATGGTGCTGAAGAAGTCAAACTTGATCAAGTATGATGAAAAGACAGGCAAGATGCAAGCTACCGAGCTGGGCCGGATCGCCTCTCACTACTACATTTCACACGAGTCTATGGACACCTATAACAAGCTGATTCATCCCGCAATGAACGATGTTGAGCTCTTCCGCGTCTTTGCCCAGAGTGGAGAGTTCAAGTATATCCCGGTTCGTCAGGAAGAGAAGCTTGAGCTTGCGAAACTCCTCGCTCGCGTCCCTATCCCGGTCAAGGAGAGCATTGAGGAGCCGACTGCGAAAATCAACGTTCTTTTGCAAGCATATATCTCTCGACTCAAGCTTGAAGGCCTCGCACTCATGGCCGATATGGTCTATGTCACTCAATCTGCCGGCCGTATTCTCCGAGCCATCTTCGAGATCTGCCTGAAAAAGGGCTGGGCGTCTGTCGCGAAGCTGGCTCTGAACATGTGCAAGATGGCCGAGAAGCGCATGTGGCCAACCATGTCGCCTCTCAGACAGTATCCTACTTGCCCGGCGGAGATCATCAAGAAGGCCGAGAGGATGGATGTGCCTTGGAGCAGCTATTTCGATCTGGACCCGCCGCGCATGGGCGAGCTGCTTGGCATGCCGAAGGCCGGCAAGACTGTGTGCGCCTTGGTGTCCAAGTTTCCGCGCGTCGAGATCCAGGGCAATGTGCAGCCGATGACACGGTCAATGTTGCGCATCGAGCTCACGATCACGCCCAACTTCCAGTGGGACGTTGAGCTCCATGGGGTTACCGAAAGCTTTTGGATCCTTGTCGAAGATTGCGATGGCGAAGAAATTCTCTTCCATGATGTCTTCATCTTGCGCAAGGATCTCGCCGAAGCGGAGGAAAATGAGCACACTGTCGAGTTCACGGTGCCTATTTCCGAACCAATGCCGCCAAACTACTTTATTTCCGTCATCTCAGATCGCTGGATGCACTCTGAGACCCGGATGCCGGTGTCCTTCCAGAAGCTTATCCTCCCCGAGCGATTCCCGCCACACACAGAGTTGCTTGATCTGCAGCCTCTTCCTGTATCTGCCCTGAAAGCGAAGGATTATGCTGCACTCTATCCCAATTGGCAGCAATTCAACAAGATACAGACGCAGACCTTCAACTCTCTGTATAATACTGACAATAACGTCCTTGTGGCCGCGCCTACTGGAAGCGGCAAGACAGTTTGCGCCGAGTTTGCTCTACTGCGTCACTGGGCCAAAAAAGATGCTGGTCGCGCCGTTTATATTGCACCCTTCCAGGAGCTGGTTGATCTCCGCTTCCAAGACTGGCAGAAGCGCCTATCCCATCTGCGGGGTGGAAAAGAGATTGTGAAGTTGACTGGAGAAACGACCACCGACCTCAAACTCCTGGAGCAGGGAGACCTTATCCTCGCCACTCCCCTTCAGTGGGACGTCTTGTCCAGGCAATGGAAAAGGAGGAAGAATGTCCAGACCGTGGAGTTGTTCATCGCTGACGACCTACACATGCTCGGCGGGCAAATGGGATACATCTACGAAATCGTCGTCTCCCGGATGCACTTCATCCGGACACAGACTGAGCTTCCCATGAGAATCGTCGGGCTCAGCGTATCTCTTGCCAACGCTCGCGATATCGGAGAGTGGATTGACGCGAAGAAGCATGACATCTACAATTTCAGCCCACATGTGCGCCCAGTTCCTCTGGAGCTTCACATTCAATCATATACAATCCCTCACTTCCCTTCGCTCATGCTTGCCATGGCCAAGCCTACCTACCTCGCCATCACTCAGCTGTCCCCAGACCAGCCGGCTATTGTCTTCGTTCCGAGTCGGAAGCAAACAAGGGCCACTGCTCGGGATCTCCTCACGGCTTGCCTGGCTGATGACGACGAAGACCGCTTCTTGCATGTTGAGGTTGACCAAATCAGAAAGCTTCTGGATCACGTGCAGGAAGAGGCCCTTGCTGAAGCTCTTTCCCACGGTGTTGGCTACTACCACGAAGCGCTGAGCCAGAGCGACAAGCGCATCGTTAAGCATCTCTACAACAACGGAGCGATTCAAGTCTTGATTGCTTCTCGTGATGTATGCTGGGAGCTTGACTTCACAGCGCACCTCGTTGTTGTCATGGGCACGCAGTTCTTCGAGGGGAAAGAGCACCGTTACATCGACTATCCCTTGAGCGAGGTCCTTCAGATGTTCGGCAAGGCCCTGCAGCCGTCCAAGGACGGTCGCAGCCGTGGTGTTCTCATGCTTCCGGCTGTGAAGCGGGAGTACTACAAGAAGTTCCTCAACGAGGCCCTGCCAGTCGAGTCGCATCTCCACAATTTCCTCCCTGACGCTTTTGTCACGGAAATCAGTACCAAAATGATCGAGTCTGGCGAGGACGCAATCAACTGGGCGACATTTACCTACTTCTATCGACGCCTCCTGGCCAATCCTAGCTACTACGGCCTGCAGGATCCGACACACGACGGGCTGAGCCAGTACTTGTCTGACTTGGTCGAGACAACGCTTAAGCAGCTTTCGGATGCAAGGATCATCGAGATGGATGAGGACGAGGGCACCGTGGCGCCACTCAACGCAGCCATGATTGCAGCGTACTACAATATCTCGTATATGACGATGGAGATGTTCCTTCTGTCGCTGTCCCACAAGTCCAAGCTTAGAACTATCCTCGAGATCGTCACTGCGGCGACTGAGTTTGAATCAATCCAAACCAGGCGACATGAAGAAGGCATTCTCAAGCGTATCTATGACCACGTGCCCGTCAAGATGAACAACCCCGTCTGGGATTCAGCTCACTTCAAGGCATTCGTCCTGGTTCAAGCGCATTTCTCGCGGATGAACCTGCCAATCGATCTCGCCAAGGACCAGGAAGTCATCCTGCAAAAGATTCTGAGCCTTCTGAGCGCAATCGTCGACATCCTGTCCTCCGAGGGACATCTAAATGCCTTGAACGCCATGGAAATGTCCCAGATGGTCGTGCAGGCCATGTGGGATCGTGACAGCCCGCTGAAGCAGATCCCAAACTTCACTCCCGAGGTTGTCAAGGTGGCCAACAAGTACGGCATCAACGACATCTTCGACTTCATGGAGCAGATGAACCCAGAGGAGAACCCCAACTACGCCTCGCTTGTCAAAGATCTTGGCCTCACCCAAGCTCAGTTGGCGCAGGCTGCGAACTTCACCAACAACAAATACCCGGACATCACTCTGGAGTTCGAGGTCGACGACCCAGACAACATCCGGGCAGGAGAGCCGGCATACCTCAAGATACATATCGAGCGCGAGCTAGAGGAGGACGAGGAGTTCGATCCCACTGTGCATGCGCCCTTCTACCCAGGCAAGAAGTCGGAGAACTGGTGGCTGGTTGTGGGCGAGGAAAGCACCAAGACACTGCTCGCCATCAAGCGGGTGACTGTCGGCAAGGAGCTCAACGTAAAGCTCGAGTTTGTCGTACCTTCTCCGGGCAAGCACGATCTCAAGCTGTTTTTGATGAGCGACAGCTATGTTGGTGTTGACCAGGATCCTTCTTTCTCAGTCAATGTTGCGGAGGGTATGGATGTTGATGAGGACGAGGAGGAGGAGGACGATTGAGAGGTATCGGTCCAAGAGTGTTTGGTATCCTAGTAATGTCAGTGGGAACGTGGGCAGTGTGAGTGGAGACAGATCTGATTGTGGACATCTGTACGGTTTACAAAGGTGCTGGTCGGGTTAATATAAAATGCTTTTGTATTTCCTGTATCCGTATCTCATGTGCTTGATTTTGCTCCTGTGGCGGACAGCTGTTGCTTTTCCCACGCCAGAAAATGCTCCAACGGGCAGGCTCATTAGGCTGAAATGGCAAGCAGGCGGTCTGTGGGATGAGTTTCCCGTCTGGTTGACATGCTATGAATCAGCCACGAGGAGGCTGCCGCCCGGAACCGGGACGGGGACCTGCCAACCGCGCTGTCGCCCACCTTGGAGGTGCGTGAGGCATAGCGGCAGCAGAGGTGGCGAAGAGACTGGGCAGGGATCAGGTCTTTTGGCTCATCACGAAAAGGGCTTCAGAACGCACATAGTCATTATGGATCTGCTGCACAAGGTCTGGGTCTAAGAATGGGTAAAGGGTAGGCTCGAAAATGGCCAGCCGAGTATTGGCAACGGATACAGGCGTACATATATGATAAAAGGCATACAAAAACGGGATGCCGACCCCCGACCTCGACCATAGCTGCCAACAGGCGATGATGCTTGCGATGGTGTCGGAGCTCAGAGCCGGGACGGAACGGAGGAAATGATCTCTCGGAATCTCGAATCTATCGGATTGGTTTTGTAAACAGAAAGTCAAGGGTAGGGCCCGGAGTGGTTGGAGGCGTCCTGGAACCCGACTCTGACTGTGGGAAGAGAGGATAAGAAGGCGGCTGAGGCCAAAGTCTTCAGGCCCGGGGGCCGTGTGGGAAGAGCGAAGGTTGTGAGGAGATGGAAGGTTGCGAATGTCTTCCTCCGTATGTAAGCATGCTTCATCTCGAAGCTTCATCCCTGTTCCAACTCTATCGCTCATCTTCGCTCCGTGCCATGCCTCAGGTACCTCAATCCTCAGTCCTCAGGTCGTCATGTCGAGTTCCAGTCCCCCTCCAGCCGGGCATCCTCAATCCCGCAAAGCAAGACTACGTACTCACCTACCTCTCTACCTGGCTGGTAGGTAAGTACCTAGGTCAGGTAGGTAGCAACCACTGTGGTAGCAGAGACCTAAGGGAGGTACCTGCTGGCGGCGCTGGGCAGGTGGCAGTAGCAGCCCACTGAGATGCTCCGCCGCCGCGATAACTCGCGAGTCGCAGTGCAAGCCAAGGACAAGCTTCCACCACAGCACATAGTACCGCTGCCGCAGAGAACCGTGGACCACCTGGAGCTCCCGCTCGTCGCCTGCTCGGACGCTCGGGCCAACGCTTGTGTGCTGCTGCTGCCCCAGAGCCCTCAAATAATTTCTCTTTGCGCGAACACCACCCTCCCCAAACTTTGGCGCAGCCTCTCGCAACCTATCCTTCCATTGCCCGGTGCCCGCCTCTAACAATTGTCACCCGACTTCCCATCGGCGCATTCCATCCGCATTCATCGTATCGCGCAGCCGAGTGTGTGTCGCGTACCTGCTGGCCCACTGTCGCGCGAAGAACGCGTCCGTCGCCCGGCTTCTTCCATTTTGCTTGCTGTCTTACCCCAATCACAGCATTTCTGCTGCCCACAGCTTGTCACGACCCGGCGCGTATCCGTATCCCGCAGCGCAGCATATCCTATCGAGCCTATCTGACATCACATCGCCACTCGCCTCGCGACCAGCCCCCATCATCGCATTCCACATCAGCTACATACGTGTCTAGCCAATCGACCATGTCTGGCGACAACGCCCAAACCGCTCCGCCTTCGAACGAGGGCGCGGCGCCTGCTGTCGAGAAGAAGGAAAACGCGAGCGCGACCAACCAGGCGGAGCCCACGGAGAAGTCTGCCGCGGAGCCCAAGGCTGCCGCTGACACGACCGCAGAATCTGACAAGGCCGCTGAAGGTATTGTCACACCGCGCAACCCAACCTCTACACTCGGTCTTCATCTGTCTACTGTCCTGTCCAAGAAACGTGTTGCTGACTCGAGATGCCATCTCGCCCCGCAGCTTCTGCTGAGAAACCTGCCGAGGAACAGGGCGACAGAAAGCCCGATGCCGAGATGACCGACGCCGTCGCGCCCTCTGAGACTGCAACCGATGCCGCCGAGGGTGCTTCCCAAGAGAAGGTCGAGGAGGCTGAGGATGCTGCCGGTGCCAGTGCCAGCAAGTCGAAGGCGAAGCGCAAGTCAATTGGTGCCGGAGAATCTAAGGGTAAAAAGCTTAACAAGAAGCAGTCAAAGCAGCGTGTCCTCCACCTAGACGCAAAGCCGGGTGAGCACTACTTCGTGAAGCTTAAGGGTCATCCACAATGGCCTGTTATCATCTGTGATGAGGACATGCTTCCTGCTTCTCTGCTCAAGACTCGCCCTGTGACTGCCAAACGTGCCGATGGTAGCTATCGCGAGGACTTCGCCGACGGCGGTAAGAAGGTCGCCGATCGCACATTCCCCGTCATGTATCTGGAGACCAACGAATTGTGAGTTGACCCCTGCACACCTCTATTATTGACGTATTTACTACATCTGTTTACTCACGCGCATGCCTGATTGGGCATGTTCGGCATTGGCCATGGTCAGTCTGTTTGGCATTGAATGCTGACACATAGTTTCCAGCGGCTGGGTGCCCAACTCGGAGCTCATTGACCTCGACCCGGCAACCGTCCTCCAGGACGTCAAGCTGGACAAGATGAAAAAGTCGCTGCAGGCTGCCTACAAGCTGGCTGCCGAGAACCATCCTCTATCATACTACAAGGAGCTCCTCCAGAGCTTTCAAGAGGATCTCATTCAACAAGAAAAGGCCAAGGCTGCTAAGGCTGCTGCCCCCAAGGGCAAGAAGGGCAAGGCAACAAGCGAAGAGGATGAGGACGTTGAGACGGAGGACGCTCCCTCTGCCACTGAGACCTCGGCCAAAGATAAGAAGAGCAAGAAGAGGAAGGCCTAGGACAATGCTGAGGTAAGTTTGAGTGCAGGCTCGAGAAATTGGGGGTTTATTGCCCTATGTTGACCTTCGTAACAGACGTTGAACCGCACGGAGTCCGCGAAGAAGCCCAAGATTAAGCTCACGACGAGCTCCACGCCCAAAGCCAATGGTTCCACAGCGGCATCTAAGTCCAGCGGTAAGGGCGCTGAGACCAAGAGCGCGAAGTCCAAGACCAAGAAGGGTAAGGAGGAGGAAAAGAAAGTTGAGAAGGAGCCTACGACTCCCAAGGAGCCAGAGCTTACTCCTGAAGAGAGACACCAAAAGAAGGAGGTAAGCAATAACCATGACGTGAGATGGTGAAGGGTTCCTATGGTGCAACAACAGCTGACACACGCCGACAGAAAGAGGTTCTCTATCTCCGTCACAGACTTCAGAAGGGTCTCCTCACCAGGGACCAGGCCCCTAAGCCTGAAGAGATGAAGCTCATGTCAGATTACATCACTAAGCTTGAGAGTTTTCCTGATCTTGAGGTCAGCATCATTCGGGCTACCAAGATCAACAAGGTACTCAAGGCCATCCTCAAGCTCGAGAGCATTCCGCGGGAGGAAGAGTTCAAGTTCAAGGCCCGGTCTCAAGTGCTGTTGGACAAGTGGAACAAGCTTCTGGCTGTCGACGGTACTCCCACCGCCGCTTCAGCTAGTGAGGTTAATGGCGCTAAGTCATCTGCTAAGGCCAATGGGGTTAAGGAGAAGAGCGAATCGGCCGAGCCAAAAGGCAAGGACGAAGAGTCAAACGAGGTGGTGGAGGAATCCAAGAGCGAGACCAAGGTGTCTGCGAAGTCCGAGAGCGCTTCTGAAGCGAAGTCTACAAGTGAAGAGGCAAGAATCCTCAGTTCCCCTCCCAATTGACACAGTGGTCGGAGAGTAGGAGATTTTCGCTAACATGACTCAAGGCGAAGGCAGTCGAGGCCTCAGCCTGAGGAGCACATCCTAGATCATTTCATATAAACCAACAGCGATGGAGCGGACTTTTGCTTCTCTAATAAGACTAGATCATGTCCATATAGGATGGAGAGCTGCAGTCCGCAGGAAATTAAAGAAGGCAAACAAAGGTTTAAGCATAGGGTTTTGTAAAACTAGGTGGGCCTTTTATCATCAACTTTCCTTTTCTTTGCACTGGTAAATCTCAAAGGGGAACTTTTGGGGGTGTTCTGGCTTCCAAATACTATGCAGCGTGCTTTCTTCTGGTCTGGTTTTTGTGGACGGTGTTGAGGACGGCGAGGAAGAAAGGGGGAGGGATACTACTAGTTACTCTACTTCCATCGAGGCTGGATCTGTGCGGCCGATTGATTGGTCGAGGGAAGGATCTGAGGAGTTGGGAAGGAAGGGCATCTCCGGAACACAGCTGGGTAACCTAAGTGCAAGTTTGGGCGAAGAGCGTGGGAAATGAGAAAATGACAAAACAACAACGAAGAGAAACGGAAGGGCGCCTTGACTTTTCATTCTTTCATTTTACTGCGTAAACTACCTAACCTACTCCACAAGAATTTAGGCGCTTGATGTTGCAGTCACGTAGTATAAAAATTAGGTACCTGGGGCAATTAAGTTCTTTTTGAGTCTTGAGAGGTTGTTCTTGTCAATTTCTTTTTTTTTTTCTCTGTTCTGTTTTTCAAGCCTTATCCCGCCGTTCATTTCGTTTCAGGGGCTGGGGGAACAGGCATCCAAGGGTCCCACCACTGTGGCGTATTAAAAGAATGAAAGCCGACCAAATGCGGCTGGTGCCACTTACACCCCAACGCAAAGGAACGTGTCAAGGTGAACGTTCGACGCGACGACGCGACGGACGAACCAGAGATGGCCCAAGTACACAGCAGCACTGTCCCATTTGAAGAGGACGACCATCGGGTGTGTATTCCTGATGATCGGTTTTGATTCACGTTTCGCTTGCCTAATGGACTTCTCAGGCAGCATTCATCTTCAGCAGCGGTGAGGATGACAGGCAACTACCCACGGCAGCATCCCGACCCGCAAAGAAACGCAAATTAGCGGGCGCTGGCAAGAAGGCAGCGTCTCAACCGCAGCTCCAGCAGCCGGCTTTCGGCTCCGATTCGACCTTTATCCCCCTTTTCAATGGAGCAGAGAGCCCTGAAGCCGTAAACCTGCGCAAGGAGCTCTTTGAGGCTTCATGGCCCGTCCTGGAGACACGCATCCAGGTTGGTGACAGCCAATCCCAGCTGCTCATATGGATTACTACTAAGCTTTGGATTTCTGTTTTGTGTAGCATGTCTTGAGGGAGGCCAACCGCAGCACTCTTGACGAAGTAACTGCCTTCTTGCAGCAGGCTGCGCAAGAGAAGACGTAAGAGCAGACTTTGGGCCTTCTAACACTGCCTGACTGACTTCCTGTAGTGAGAAAATTACCGCGGGATTCATCATCACGGGTCCCAACATTGTCTCTCAGGATCTTCTGTTTGAGCAGCTATCTGAAAGGCTATATACCGAAATTCGGGCACGGGTTGTCCGTCTGCGGGCGTCTGAGGTGTCGAATCTGAAGGCCGCGCTGAAGAAAATCATACGGGATGCCACGGCAAACGAGTCGGAAGATGACGATGGCTCGGTCGTTGTTCCCAGTACAGTAAGCAAAGCTCTGTTTTATGAAGCTGGCGTGAGAACCATGGATGTTGACCCGAAAAAGGGAAGGAAATACCTCGATTATGACCTCGATGTCCTGTATGTCTTTCTCTCTCGGCAGCAGCAACAGTCTCGAAGAGTCGTGATCGCATTTCAAGACAGCGAGGCATTCGACAGCTCCCTGCTGGCTGATTTAATTACATTATTCCAGTGTGTCTCTCTGTCTCTTGGACAAACCTGTGGAACTACGCTAACCTGTTGATAAGCTCCTGGAGCGATCGCATCCAGTTTGACGTATTGTTCGGCGTTGCAACCTCAGTTGAGCTGTTCCAAGCCAGACTGCCCAGGTCAACAGCCCGTCTACTCTACGGTGCGCAGTTTGATGTTGTGCAAGCCAACTCGGTTCTCGAGAGCGTCGTCAAAACTGCTGTTGCTGGTAGCCGAGCGACTCTGCGAATTGGGCCATCGTTGCTGCGCAGTCTGGTAGACCGCCAACAGGAACAGGTAGCTGGCATCCAGTTGTTCGTCAGCTCAGTCAAGTATGCATATATGTGCCACTTCTATGCGAATCCGCTGAGTGTATTACTTGCCAAACAGTTGGACCGCAAGCTGTTACAGCCTGAACATCTTCGAGCTGTGCGGATGCTGGAGTCCTTCAAAGCCAAGGTCGAGGTCGCGATAGATGCTAGGCAGATGAATCATGCTCAGGCCATGATCGAAGATGACGACTACCTCATTGCGCAAATTCTGGAGCAGCAGCAAAAATGCGAGGACTACCTCAAACAGCTCCTGCGCACTCTCCATCTCATCAGCTCAACCGGTTTGAGTACGGTTTCTTTCACGGAGCTCTACATGACAGCCCTGAGCAAGGGTATCGACCTGGAGCAGGCAGATGAAATGATCCGCCCGGCGGAAGTAGTAAGGCGGATGAACGCTGATGAGTTCCTGAACTTTATCCAAAAGCTGCTTCATGCCACCGAAACTGGCAGCCCAGAGCTGGAATTGCAAGGCTGGGCATCGGAGGCAGAGGAGTTTGTTGATGCTGTCACAGAACTCCGCGGAGAAGTCGAGGGTTTGATGGAGCGGTCCAAGCACAATGGCACGACTCTCAGAAGCCAATACAGTGCTCAAAGCAAGGTCTTGCGCACCACTGTCGTTGCGCAAAAGGTTCAACTCAGCCAAGACACGGCAGCCCTGACCGAGGAGGACAAAGCCTATACCAAAGCGATCGACACAATGACGGCCTTGTTGTCGCAATACCTCCGCTGCGAGCCCATTAACAATCTCTTTCTCCACGAAATTTGGGTCTATGACTCGAAACTGCCGTATCGTGAAGTCTTTGTTCCCCGGCCCGGTGCCGCCTTTGCTCGCGGTCTTTCGCGTCCCCACGACTACCTCGCCTGCGCATGCTGTAGTAAGGTAGACGGCGGGCTCTCGTCAACCCTGCCTACCACCTGTATCTTGTACCACCTTTACCTTGAAGCTGGCGCGCTGATCAATGTGGCGGATTTGTGGTCTGCATATTACGGTCTGGTCGGTAACGACGATGACGGATCGATGAACCGCGAGGGACTCGATGAACGAAGCGCTCTCGTTTGTTTCTACCGTGGCCTGGCGGAGCTTCGAATGATGGGGCTTGTGAAACAAAGTAGAAAGAGGGCAGACCACATTGCCAAGTTGAAATGGCTATGATCAAGTGTGAACTGTCAATGCATATTGTTGAACGAACTAAATGATCTTTGAATGAGCGATTCCTCTGGAATGTCAAGTCTGAGAACGATGTCTTGGTCATGATCCTGAGTGCGGTCAAAGACGACCATGACAACTCTTGTTTCACCCGCTAACGATAGCGCCGGCCGACAAAGACACGGCTTAATAGAACGTTTCCGATGCCTTTTTGCCTTCAGGTTGCTTCCAAAGGGCGACACTGTTCTCGGGGTCCTCTACAAGAGCGCCAGACTTCCTCCCCCTCCCTATCCCGAAGATTTTTTTACAGCAGTCTGCCGAACGTATCACCAGACTTCCACCAAACTAAGCTTAGGAACAGTTTTTTTTTCGTCATCCTGAGACGGCCAAAGGCCAGCACACGAAGAAATTATTGTATTCTGTTGCCGCTGCTGTTCACATCACAGCGGCCACGTTAGCACAAGTACCGCATTCCCCTAGTCTTTACTGTTCTCTTTCGTTCCCATTCCGTTCGATCCAGACAAATCAGTTCTTGTCCATTCCCATTATATTTTAAGGGGTACCCTCATCCACTGTTCTTACTATTTGTTCTTGCATTGTTACGACTTGACTGATACTAAAACCGTGGACACACTATCTACTTAATCCCCTTATTGCGAACGGTGTTGTGTACACGGTCGAGCAGCTTTGGGCATCAAGGGGAACAGAAAGAGAAGAACGAGGCCATCACTGCACCACCAGAAAGCGGAAATAGCCTCAGGGCAGAAGACAACACAACACCATACCATCCATAATGGAACATTCATCACCGCAGCAACCCAACAGCTCCAACGACTACCAGCCCAGCCCTACCGCCACAAACAGCACATCATCCGTGGCCCCAATGACATCAACAGCATCAGCATTGTACGCCCGTCGGGCGGCCAAGAACCCCCCCTTCGAAGCCAAAATCCAACATATGTCCCTCAAGCTTGCCCCCCTCGTCCAGCTAACAACGGGTCTCGTCCACCCTAACTTCCCGCGCACGCTCCTCGCCTTTTGGCTATTAACAGAAGACCAACTAGACGATCTGGCACACTTCTACCACCAGCGCACGCCGTGCGAGTGGACGCAGCACTACCCGTGCCCCGTGTCGTGGCCGCCAGGGCTGACGCTCGAGGAGAAGCGGAGGAAGCTGGGCAAGTTTATTGGATTGAGGGGGTGCGATACGCCTATTGAGCAGCTGGTAAGGGACGATGTTGCCAAGGCCATGGAGAGGAGTGAAGAGGATATCGAGAGAGACGCTGCTGAAGTCAGGAGGAGGGGAGGGACGAGCAGTGGTGATGACATGGATGAGATCAGGAGGAAAATGGGGTGGTACTAAAAAGTTGAAGCAAATAATGTCGGTGACGTGCATGCTATGGTGTTGGTATACATAGACGATAGAACTGGCATTGTGTTGATTGATAGCCGATAGGGATGCATCCTCAGGGAAGCTGTATGTATTAGTCCAGCAGCGTTGAGTTGCCGTTTTGGATGTTCTCAAGGTGTTGATGCCTTGATAGAAATAATCTGCATTCATCCCCAAACTCGCTGGAAGACGCCGGTTTAATAAAGAGGCCCCTGGTCTCGCATTGCTGGTAGACTTTGTCCACCACGGAGTAAATAAGGGAAAAAATGCCAAAGATCAAGAAGCGCTCTGGGAACGCGAGGACGTCCGAAGGATGGTGCAAGAAAAAAAACATGTGTCAATGGATGCCCCAGAACGCCCGAGGATAAGTCTTTCCATAGCAAAACGGTACACCCCAGGAATAGTCACGACCCAAACCCACTTAATATATACTATACATACAAACTCTAGCGTCGAAGTTTAGATTTAGCCTGGCGAGCAGCCGCCTTCTAAGCGGCGCCCTTCTTGCCTTTCTTCTTCTTGGATGGTGTAGCCGACGGCGTATTTGTCTCCACCAAGACAGTGTCATCGTCGCTAGCAGTCTTGTCCCTGTTGGTTTCCTGTTGCTGCTGCTGCTGCTTCGGTTGCTCCTTTTCGGTCTTCGCCTTCTCCACAGCCTCCTCAGCATCGAGCTCCTTCATAAACTCACTCTTGATGGTCGCCCGGCGCTTCTCCCACCATTCCTTGTCGCGGGCGGTCTGGGCTTCGATCTCCTCCAACCTGTCGCGGAGCACCTTGTTGGCAGCTATTTCGTTTGCCGATTGAAAGATGATCTGGCCCCATCCGGGAACCAAAGCGTTAGCCTGGAGAGCAGGTGGTTAGCTTGCGGTTGCCACCAAGTTGGCATACTCGTTCATACCTCCATAACGACATCCCTTAACTCGTCCTCCATCTCCTTCTCGGCACGAAGAAACCGCTGCCACAGATCATCACCGACGCTTCCCCGTTGCAATAAAGTGCTGCATGCTGCCTTCGCGGTGCGAATTTGGATGATGCGGTGGATGTCCTCAACAGCGCGCCGGAGCAGCGCCGCCCTAATGACGCTGTCTGGGACCTTGGGGGCTTTTTCTTGACCCTCTTCGGGCTCCATATGGAGCAGAGACAGGTAGATGTTGCGCTGGAGGTGCGGAGGGAACCATGGGGCCAGGTTTGCGCTTTGGACTAGACAATGGGGGTGTATCGGTTAGTCTGGCTGTGTCTGTGGTGCTCGTCAGGCTCAGACCCTCGTTACATACCAGCCTTCCTTTTGCGATAGACGTAAGAAAATGTCATAAAGGTGCCGCCGAGGACAGCCAGGTAGGCCAGAGGGAGTAGCAGCCCCCTCCAGTCGAACTCGAACATGTCGCTATGTCGTCAGGGCCACGCGATGTCAAAGGTTCAGAAGCGACTGCGCGGGTCCAGGTAGAGATGGATACAAGATTGATAACAGGAGGAGCCAAAGGCGCGTTTGGGGTGTCGCAGCAACAAGAATGCCAGGTGTGAGGCTGCCGCGAGAGGGTCCGCTCCAGGTGTTCGAAGTGTTGTCGAGGTGGCCGCCAGGGCTGATGCGCCGACTGCTGGCTGTCCTGGCCACTTTCTAGGGTCCTGCCGATCAGAAAGAACAGATTGAACTTTTGGGTCTTGGCATGTCACCTCGTCCTTACAGGGGCAGGGCTGGCCAACCAGGAAACATGACGCATAGTGTCCCTAGATATGCAGTTATCAGGACCATCATGGGCAGCGATAAGCATGTAAGCGACATGTCCAGGCTATCAGTCATTGTGGGGCAGAGGGGCAACAGCCCTCAAACGGTTCCAAGGCAAAGCTGTATGACGACGGCCCAAAGCTACCGCTTTGGAAGTCCATGGAGCTGCACATGCACATCATTTTCTTCACAACATCCGGGTGCCAGTTGACTCGCAAAGTTTCATGCTCCCAAAAGATTGGCCCTGATATCCAGTTTCCTCATTCTGCATCACGAAACACTTCTTGCGTAGCATACTGATTGTATGAAGGGCGTGAACCCTTGACCAGCAGCTCAACACTAGATTCTCCCCCGCAATCGTCGCACTGGCAACAAACACAGCAACACAGCTCCAAGCCTCCAGCAACCATTCACGATCAAACTTTTGCCATACCGGTCTGTCAAGATGCTTCTACGAATGCGATGCCCTGATGGCATGTTCCGCCTGACGGTGGAGAAGGACGACACGTTTGGTGAACTTGTGCGCCAGGTACATAGAGAAGCGATAACCGAGTACCCCATCTTCATGCTATCTATGATGGGTTGCTGATTCCTCGCGCAGCTTGTGCCCAAACTTCCCCCAACGGTCGACCCCAAGTCTATCACTCTCTCAAACCACCCGAGCGGCGGCGACTCGAAAAGGATCGATGAGATCGCCAGATTTAAGATTGGTCAGGTCGGGTTAAGGCAAGCTCCTTTCTGTCACACCCTATCTCATGCTGGTTTATGTGAGCGCCCGGAGCTGACAACTAATGCACAACAGCCATGGAGACCTCATCTTTGTCAGGTATCAAACCAGCGACACCGTCGCCAACGGTCGTTCGGTCGACATCTCGTCCCAAACTGCCGGACTGTCGTCATCTGCAAACCGACTCAATGGCAAGCCCGTTTTGCCAACTGAAGACCACCCCATCGATCCTCCTCCAAACACCTCAGCCGAGCGAATCAAGAACCCTTGGGAGGTTGTCCGACAATCTCCGTTGGATGATCGGTTAGACAAGCTTGATGGCAAGATCCCACGAAAGAGGGGCGCCATGTGCCGGCACGGGCCGAAGGGCATGTGCGACTATTGCACACCCCTGGACCCTTTCAACCCGCAATACCTGGAGGAGAAGAAGATCAAGTACATGTCGGTCCATGCGTATATGCGCAAGATCAACTCGGCCACCAACAGGCCTGAGCTTGGCAGTTCCTTCATCCCTCCTCTAGTCGAGCCCTACTACCGCGTCAAGCGGGACTGTCCTTCTGGTCATCCTCAATGGCCTGAGGGTATCTGCACAAAATGCCAGCCCAGCGCGATTACCCTCCAGCCCCAGCCGTTCCGCATGGTGGATCACGTCGAGTTTGCCTCACCTCAAATCATCGATAGGTTCCTTGATGCATGGAGACGAACTGGTGTTCAGCGGCTGGGCATCCTTTACGGCAGATACCTCGAGTACGATGCTGTACCCCTGGGCATCAAGGCTGTTGTTGAGGCCATCTATGAGCCGCCTCAGGTGGATGAGATTGACGGCATCACACTGAATCCATGGGAGAACGAGCAAGAGGTGAACCAAGTCGCCAAGTACTGTGGATTGGAGCAAGTAGGCGTGATATGGACGGATCTTTTAGATGCAGGCAAGGGTGATGGCAGCGTTGTGTGCAAGCGGCATGCCGACTCATACTTCCTCGCCGCACAGGAGATCGTGTTCGCTGCGCGCCTGCAAGCCCAACATCCAAAGCCATCCAAGTGGAGCGATACAGGGAGGTTCGGCTCAAATTTCGTGACATGTGTGGTCTCGGGAAACGAGCAGGGAGAGATCTCTATCTCGGCCTACCAAATGTCCAATGATGCCGTCGAGATGGTTCGAGCGGACATCATTGAACCCTCTGCTGACCCGACCCTTATGCTCGTTCGTGAGGAAGAAGAAGATGACGGCTCGCCCAGTAAAACGCGCTACATCCCCGAAGTGTTCTACCGCAAGATCAACGAATACGGAGCGAACGTGCTTGAGAACGCAAAACCAGCGTTTCCTGTTGAATATCTCTTCGTCACACTCACACACGGGTTCCCCGACTCTCCTTCTCCGCTCTTCACAGATAACATCTTCCCAATCGAGAACAGGGAGTATGTCGGAGAGGCGCAGGAAGTCTCTGCGGTTGCCAAGGCTCTTAAAGTGCACGAGGCGGACGCTCCCATGAACGTTTCCGATTTCCACCTCTTGTGCTTCATTCACCAGATGAGCGTGTTATCGAAGGTATATTGTTCATGCTCCGTTGTATTTGGGACTCTTCCAAGAGAGCTAACTCCTGAGCTTAGGAAGAAGAAGCACTTCTCTGCCGCGTCGCAACCCTTCATGACCTCGCCGAGTCCTTCCAACTGCGATCCACAACTGGATGGCAGACGTTGCACATGATTTTGCAATCGACTGGTGAGAGAGTCCCCAAGCGTCCCCGATTCTCTGATAACGTTCCATCCTCGTCCCAGGACACCCAGGAGGCCCTTGGTGGCAACAACCTCGACCCCGGTGAACCTCTTGCTAAGCGTTTTGCTGCTGTCAGGCTGAATGAGAACAACCAGTCGTCGCCCAAACCATATGCTCCGTCGCGGTGGAACCTTTGACTAGGCCGGCCACAGGGGACACGGTACGTGGAAAGGCGAACATACGAGGGCGTCTAGGACACATAAAGTCCAGTAACGATGGCATGGCGGTGTGCTCATGGGAAAGGGAAATAAAACGGTATTGTAATGGATAATGCTCAACGACGAAGAGTATGCTGCTTCGAGAGCAATAAACGATAATTGCCTACTATGATGATTCCAGCCTAAGTTCGGATTATGTGTAGTTTCCGGTTGGTTCTCTTCTTCCCGTTCCTTACTATTTAATTATTACAGTCTTCCATGTTATCCCCCTTTTACTATCTTATCCCCTTTTCTTCTAGTTTCCCGTCTGCCTTCTTTTCATCATTCTCTCCTTCTATTCATTCTTCCATTCGTATCTTATACTGATATTTTCCTTTTTCGTCTTACCTTCGGTTGTCCGATTAGGAGCAAGGTCACCCAAATCTCTGCAGATTACGACTTTCAATCCCAAATTTCTCTCTATGGCCAGCCTATCTACGACATGGCCATCTGAGAGCTGTCATTAAGACGCATCATTGGTGCTGTATTCAGAGCAACTTGCAGGTCCTTTTGTAGCAAAGAGAGATAATAGTGGACACTTTCAACGCACATACAACATAAAACAGTCGCCCAACCCAATGCTCACGGTGCTTCTTCGGAGGAGTTCGTCCCTTCGGCCTCTTTCCAGTCATAGTCCCATTTGGCAACGTTGGACCTCACGTATGTTGAGAGCTACCGGCTCAGAGTCTCCTCCCACATCAAAGCCATGGAGCACGTCAAGACGGGCTATCTGCCTTATGCGGGCATCTCCCCACTGAAGCTGTCCCTTTCTGAAGAAGGGTCCCACGACCAAGGAACCTGATCGGGCCAAGGCAATGAAGGCTGTCGACAGAAGCAGTTAGCTGGCAAGGGTACAGGCGATTGGCTCCCGGATATCGCAGGTGCTCGCTTCACTTGGCTCGGATGTGCCCACAATCAAGAGCTTCAGGTGGAAAGGTCACGTCGTGGCCCACAAAACCCACTTGCTGGATAACGAGCCACCGGTTGATCCGGCAACGGCTAAGCCCACAGTCGATGCTCTTCTAATGTTTTCTCCCATTCCTGAGCCAACCTGGACTGGATTCCTGGGAAATCAACGGGGGGCAAGTTTCTCGACCGATTCACCCTGCGAACTTGGACGGCAGTCAGGCGGTGTACAAGTTCTACCTCCCCGCCTTCAAGGCTGCCAAGGCTACGATCCCGCAAACGGCCATCGATATCTTTGAGTTGTAGATGAGCCACACCCCAATCATCTGGTGTACACCCAAGTCGCCCTCCTTAAGGTCTTGCAACGGAGTTCTGGCTATTGCGGCCTGAGGACTTTACCCCGGAGCCTGGGATGAAGACGTCTCTCCCTCGAGTTGGTTTTGCATGAGTGGCTCGTAGTCGCTCATTTGTATGACAGTTCCCACCAACTACATCAGCTGGTATATTATATCCACCCCTTCAGATGTATAACAGTTATTATCCAGGCCAACGCCGCGACAAAATGCCTCCCCACTGCGCCAAGTACCATCCTGGAGGAACTCATTTAAGTCCCGGTCCCTTTTGCTAACAAGCCAGTTGGGACTTTCTTCCCACCCTATTTTAGAGGGTCCTCAATGCCAGATTTTGCCAAGCTGCCCTCAGAGGGACATCTCCTATTGTGATGAGAAAGTGCTGGCAACCACCAACCAGTCAGATTGAAGATCTTTATGGTTCCCAACACTGCCAATCTATCATCAGTACTACCATGATGCCATAACAAATATGGTGGCATCCGGAAAGCTGATGATCCCGTTCGCTTGGATCCCCCCCTCCCCCCGCAGTTGGTCAAGGCTCTAAGGCCTAAACCTACAACTCCCAGAGCAAAATCCAGATACCCCCGGCCCGTCAGAATATGTTGGAAAAAAATGAAATCTACCAGCACAACTTCGGTTTTAGACTATCGCTCTGTAGAACTTTCCAGGAAGACTAGGCAGCCCATTTATGGGCCCCTGTTCAGATGAATGGGACAGCCATTCTGACCCTCCCTTTTTGGCAGCTTTGGCGAAGAAGACGGCTGGATGGCGCCTCAACCCCAAAATGAAATTTCAATTTCCTGCGCTATCTCGAGAGTCGCCCTTCCCAACCCTGACGTAACCTTAAAAGACATCACCTGCTTCAGCTACCCAAACCGACAGTAGCGGCCAGAAGGATGGGAACACAACGAAGGACACTGCCAATCCAGCCTAAGGCCCCACTATCTGTTCCGCTGGCTTTTCTGGGGGTGGTTGTGCCTCTCCTTGCAGGGGTTTTTAGCCTGACCATCGAGGCTTTCATGTCCCTCATCCAGATTGCGTTTGTGCGCAATTAAATGGCAGGGAGGATTCAATGGGCCGATGACCAAAACATCTCTCTCGATATCATGACGATCAGCAAGCACATAGGGCTACCAGTATTCCATGGTATGGACAACCGGGAATTCGTTCCTTGGACTTTCAGGGTGGTCACCGCTCCGAATGGAGACGAAAAAAACCAAGGCACTCTGGATCGAATTCCTCGAGGACCTGAAGCCGAATGGGAAGATCACTTACTACTACAGGAAAACCTCTGCAGCTGTGTCAGCATGGATGGATTACAGGCGCCGAGAAATCCACCGAGAAAGAGTGCACAACCTAGTCGGTATCTTAGCATCCGATGGGGGGGTTTCCTACGACATGTCGTGCCTTTCCACATTTTTGCTATCATTCTTGGTCTTTTAAACAAAGAGGATGGCAACATTAACTGCGAAACTTACCTGAAGGGCCAACGGGGCAAAGGTGAGATAACTTAGGAGGACATTGCCGACTGTCTGAATGGCTGGTTACAGATAAGGGCTACAGGGAGAAGCTCGAGCATAAGATGGTGTAAGTTCAATACTTCGCAGTCGAGGCCAAACGCGGCTTACAAATTCCCAAAAAGAGATTGCCACACAGGCCTGCCGGTTGTCCTTTACCACCTCTATCGGAAAACCCAGAATGGGTCTCAACGTGAATGGCTAAGGTGGTGGATGATTTGAAAGGCAAGAACTGGGGGTTACGAAGAGTTTGATAGCATTCTTCCGGATCTTAACACTGATGGCAATGAGCCACCAAGGAAGCGAGCCAAGACCATCGAGGATCAAACCAAACGGTTGCCGGATGGGTTCATGAACTTCTGAAGGAGGTATCCAGAGTGGATGATAGGCAATCTGCAGTTGATCCATAAGGATCCAATTGTTGCTTTATACTTGTGGGTTTGGGATCGTGTTTACATGGTTTCGTTTTGGCTTTCTGCGGTTCTGGTTCGCGTCGAGCTTCAGCTCAACGGATCTCTACCATGCAGACTCCTGGTATAGCGGCTTTCTGCACTCAGAACAGTTTACAGTTGGAGGAAGTACGGGTTAAGACTAGCCCTTGCATGGCTTTCGAAAGAAGCTGGATGGGCTTGGCTATCTCTAATTAGATATCGAGCCATCCTGGAACGGGAGATTCCATTGTGGGTAATTCAATACATTACTTAGGTTGATATTGCACATTTGGTCACTTAGTAGCACAGGAATGAGTAGTCATTGTCTTGAACCATCGAGCTCAGTGGGTTATAAGGACTACCATAAGTCTCATGATCTGCTGGCATCATAGAGAGTTGATCTTATGGATAACATTGTTTAAGGTTTAAAGTGCTTCAATGCAGCTCAAGTGACGGGGTATGATGACATAAGTGATCCCCGAGCAAGAACTGAGTGAAGAAAACTTTGGCTTTTGCAGTCCATATTCTCCGTCTCCTATTCTTGCGTTACTATTCGCTTACACCTGCACCGCACAATCACTATTTTCCTGTTTGTTGCAAAGCGCTGGCCAGAGCGTCGGAAGTCAGACAGGTTAGTTCAATGATGCACCAACTCCATGTCTTGACAAGAGAGGCAACGTTGTGTCAACGAAATGCCGGAGTATTGCAATTCCATCTATCACAACTCAGGTAGGTCGTTAAAGAATGACTATGGAGGAACCGTTATGAAGTCGGGTCGTGGACATAATCCCATATCTTGGAGTGACCCAGGATACGATCCGAAGAGACCATTTGATAACCTAAGATAGCGAGTCTCACTACTAAAACAAGCAACTAACCAACCTCGAAAGTGAGAGACGAAAACAGATAGATTAAAGAACCTGATATGTATATACTAGAAGCATGAAAAGCAAAGTTTAGTGTACACTCAGAGGGGCTTTCCACCAAGGAACTCGGACCATCTGCGGACTTCAGAGGGAATACCCGAGGGACGAGGAAGCTTCTCGCTCAAGCATTGCGCGAAAAGGATGGCAGTCTTTGGAGTAAACAAATCAGCAAGTTGACTCTTGATTCAGAATAGCGGGGAGGGACTATAATTACCTGAGGTTCCATGAAAAGAGGGACGCCAAAATCGACGGCATTGCGGCGCATCACATAGTCGACGTCATGGATTGTTTTGCCACGCGCCTGGGCAAGGTTGAAGACGCCGCGGATGTCGTACTTTTCGAACACCTCGCGCAGCGCACGCTTGTCATGGGCGGGGAACTCGATAACCTGAACACTGATAGCGTGCTTGGACGTCGATTCGAGATGCTTCTTCACCTCTGCATCAGCGGCGTACAGCTTGTAGCCGAGAGGAGCCAAGTAATCAACGACAGCCGTGAGCCAAGGCTTGCTCAGCTCGCCGCCAAAGAGGAGACCCTCACCGGGCTCGGGGACCCGAAAGTTCATGGTCGACTGGAGTGAAGTCCAGTAGGCCTCGACGAGATCCTTGCCGAAGCAGGCCACCTCGCCCGTAGAGGCCATTTCGACCCCTAGGAAAGGGTCGGCGCCAGCAAGACGCGTCCAAGAAAACTGCGGAACCTTGGTCGCAAGATAATTGCGCTTGACTGCCATCAGATCCACGGGCTCCGGAACGTTCTTGCCAACAAGCGCCTTAGTCGCGACATCGATGAAGTTGGTGCCCAAAACCTTGCTAACAAAAGGGAATGAGCGTGAAGCACGCAAGTTGCACTCAATCACCTTGAGTGCCGGGGCGCCACCTTCCGGATCATCGGCCTTAATAACTTGCATGTTAAAGGGGCCAGTAATCTGCAGCGCCTTGGCGATTTTCTGAGCGATGTCTTTAAGACGCTGCATAATATCGTTGTCCAAGTTGACGGGAGGGAGAACGAGGGTTGCATCACCAGAGTGGACGCCAGCCTGCTCGACATGCTCACTAACAGCGTGCAGGATCAGATTGCCCTGGTACGCAACGGCGTCCAAGTCAATCTCCTGAGCACCTTCGATGAACTTGCTAATCACCACCGGATGGTCTGGTGAGACCTCGGCGGCAGCTTCTAGCTTGTCCTTCAGCTCCTCCTTGCTCCGGATCACGGTCATGGCAGCGCCAGAAAGGACATAGCTGGGACGAACCAGAACAGGGTAGCCAACTTGCTCGGCGAACTCCTCGGCTGCTTTCACGGATGTCAACTCTTTCCATGCCGGTTGATCAACGCCAATACTGTCCAAAATCTCGGAGAATTTCTGCCTGTCTTCGGCTCGGTCAATATTGCGAGGGTCCGTCCCCAGAACATTGGCGCCACCTGTCTCCTGTAAACGGAGGGCGATGTTCTGGGGCAGCTGACCACCGACAGACACCACAACACCACTCGCCTCTTCGAGCTCATAAATGTCCATTACACGTTCATAACTGAGCTCTTCAAAATATAATCTGTCAGCATTATCGTAATCTGTGCTCAAAGTTTCCGGGTTCATCTAAAATTACAGTCATGTTAGCATTTCCTGGCTCATCTTCATCTTGAACAACAGCAAAGAAAAAGCAATGAGCAAAAGCCATTAAAGTCCAGGGAAAGCTTGAAGACAACCCCACAAGGAGACGGTCCACAATAGCCACTATCTGTAGCAAGCCTTCGAACCACTCTTCGAAGTAAATGCCCACATGGGAGAAAACAGATCCATGGTCTCAAAACTGAAAAGACGCATAAAAGACAAATGCCCACAATGGGTCCACTCCCAACAGCAGAAAATTCCAACTGAATCACGGCCTTGGGTATTCCATGCCGGGGAGGGAAGAGTACACCCCACTCTTCTTGAGAGCATTGATATGCTCCAGGTGGCGGTCAGTTCGCCTGTACCTGTGCCAGTTCGAATTGCTGGCGAGGGTGCATTTGCACAGCAGACAGAAGTACGGCTGCTTCTCAGGAAGGGCCATACGCTCGCGGGTGCAGGTGCCGAATGTGACTCGTGTAGCTGTGTTTGTACTTGGAGGCTTTGTCACAACTGGCTGCAGTAGCACTTCTCCAAAAGCCCTTTGGGCCCTCTCCCTAGCACGGGCTGCGCTCTGGCCCGGATTATTGGCCCTGGGCGGCCTAACACACTCTCTCAACGCAGAAATATAGGCTTCCCGGTGAGTGGCTAGTTGGTGTCGATGCCACTTGCGGTTCCATTGCCGCTTAACCTCAATTTGAGCCTTCTCACTAGCTTCAGCGGCAACATCAAGGGTCTCTGGATCATGAATATTAACCCCATGAATTGAGTCCCGCATGCTGGAGTGGCTGCACAATCCAACATTTTCCAGAGAGGCCGGTGTCCACAAAGCTAGTTAGGCCAGGTGGCGGTCGATCCACTTCTCGGTCACCCAGAAGAAGTGGGTGAGAGCGGCTTCGACTGCATAGAACAGGGCCCGAGAGGAGAAACGCATGGTTTTGGGCGTTCAACTCAGCAGAGCACCTCCTCGTGGACAATCTTGTACCCGTCATTGAGGGCCTTCTCCACTAAAGAAGGAAGCAAGAAGCAGTCGACATACTACTTCAGCCTCATGTACATTCCGCGCATGGTGGGAATGCCCTCAAATGAGGCCTTAACCAATGTAGACACAGGAAAGATTACCCCCTTCCCGGGCTTTTCAAGAGCTAGAATATAAACCCCCCAGGCGAGCTTGAACGAGGGTAGGGTAGGCCTTTGAAGAAGTCCACTGTGGGTGAGGTGGCGCTCTTCAAAACCTCGAAAAGGCCGGACGCAAAATTAACAGAGATGCTGGCCCGTAACCGCCTCCACGTCGATTTTGTCCTTGAAAAATATGTCGAAATAAAGGTTTTTCAGATGTCTGGAGTGTCCTTGATACGCATCCGGGTGGCCCCCATGACAGCTTGGAAAGCACTCTCCCATCCAGGAACAAAAGAAGTTATTGTAGATGATGTGGATGAAGGCAGACTGTTCAGGAGACAGGGCGACTGAAAGGAGAGACAGGGCGAAAATACAGAAAACGATGATCCGGGTGGACGAGAGCAAAGAGTGAGGGCCCCCAGGAAACTTAAAGAGACTCTCAGGCAGACACTTGCCTACATTTGAGCCATTATGGAAGTCATAATCCGCACCTATTCTGTTGAGAGTCCACAAAAAATTGTGAGACTTTTAGGTAAGACACTCGCCTTCATTTCAGCCATTGTGGCAGTCTCAACTCACTGTGTTGAGATTCTGCTGAACATTGAAGCAGCATGGTCCGGGAAGGAAAGAGATGTGTAGCCGCAAGTTATGGACCATCGTTGGTAAACACAAAAACGTATAGGCAGCAATCTTGGAATGGAGGGAATCAACAATACTGGGGTGAAAGGAAGTATCACGACTTACATTGATCACAACTGTCTTCTCTCCAATCTTTCGCAAAGCTTGGGTGGCACTGACGGCACACCAATCGAATTCGACTGAGCTGCCAATACGGTAGACACCGCTGCCCAAGACGATAGTGCCCTTGTCATCAAAGGTGACATCGTGAGATGAGGCGTTGTAGGTGGTGTAGAGGTAATTGGTATCGGCAGGGAACTCGGCGGCAAGTGTATCGATCTTCTTGACCCACGGACGAATGCCAAATTCCAGACGGCGAGCCCGGACCTCGTCTTCAGTGCTACCAACAGCAATGGCAATCTGCTTGTCGGAGAAACCCAGCTTCTTGGCCTTGAGGATGTGCTCCTTCTTCAGAGCGCTGAGGCTACCAATCTGCTGGAGCTCCTTGGTGCAATCGACGATGTTCTGGAGCTTGTAAAGGAACCACTTGTCGATCTTAGTCAGCTCGTGGATACGGTCAACAGTATAATTCTCGTGAAGCATCGCTTGACCGATCGCCAACCAGCGGCGGTCAGTCGGATTCTGAAGTTCATAATCAAGGTCCTCGAACTTCGCTCCCTGGAAGCCAACAAATTTGGGGTCGACCATGCGGATAGCCTTCTGGAACGACTCCTCAAAGGTACGGCCGATAGCCATGACCTCTCCGACCGACTTCATGGCGCTGCCGATGTCGCGCTTGACGTGCTGGAACTTGGACAGATCCCACCTGGGAATCTTGGTGACAATGTAATCCAGCGAGGGCTCAAAGTTGGCGGTCGTCGTCTTGGTGACGGCGTTGGGAAGCTCCGGCAGGCTGTGGCCCAATCCAATCTTGGCAGCAGTATACGCTAGGGGGTAGCCGGTCGCCTTGGAAGCCAGAGCAGACGAGCGGGAGAGACGAGCATTGACTTCGATGACACGGTAGTCGAGACCGTCGGGTTGCAGGGCGTACTGAACGTTGCACTCACCAACTACGCCCAGGTGACGAACAATCTTGATGGCAGCCGAGCGCAGCATATGGTACTCCTCGTCGCTCAAAGTCTGACTGGGAGCCACGACGATAGAGTCACCGGTGTGGATACCCAAGGGGTCAAAGTTTTCCATGTTGCACACGGTGATGCAGTTGTTGTTTGCATCACGGACGACCTCATATTCAACCTCCTTCCAACCCTTAAGAGACTTTTCGACCAGGATTTGCGGTGAGAGTGTGAGCGAGCGAGCAGCCATGTTCCGCAGCTCCTCCTCGTTGTTTGCGAAGCCAGACCCCAGGCCGCCAAGCGCATAGGCAGCACGGACGATAATGGGATACCCGACCTTGCGAGCGGCCTCCAGGGCCTCATCGACGGTATTGACAGCGATCGACTTCGCAATCGGGATGTTGATCTCCTCAAGAGCCTTGGCGAACAGGTCTCTGTCCTCGCTGAGCTCGAGGGTCCTGATACTGGTGCCAAGGACCCTGACGCCGTACTTCTCGAACAAGCCACGCTTCTGCATCTGGACGCCGAGGTTGAGAGCAGTTTGACCGCCGAAGGAGAGGAAGATGCCATCGGGCTTCTCCTTCTGGATAACGTACTCGACATATTCCGGAGTGACAGGGAGGTAGTAGACCTCATCGGCGAGGCTATGGTTGGTCTGGATGGTCGCAATGTTGGGGTTGATGAGTACCGACTTCACGCCAGCCTCCTTGAGGGCCTTGAGGGCCTGCGATCCTGTTTGCGCGTGCCAGTCGTAGGTCAGTCATCTGTGTGCTTGGGACATGCGCACACCGCGCGGTCTTAGGTGTGACTCATTCCGTCGCCTTCAGGGCCAAACATACCAGAATAGTCGAACTCGCCGGCCTGGCCAATGGAAAGACCACCGCTACCAATGACCAGCACCTTCTTGACATCGACGTGCTCCTTTGGTTTTATGACACCGCTCTCGAGGTACGCCTTTGGGTTAGGGGCCTGCTGGGCCACGGCGGCCATGGCGGCCGTGGCCGAGAGCAGCCGCCTTTGGGGTAACCTAGACGAGATAGCGGCGTCGGCCTGTGTGCGGAATGGGCTGGCATTCGAGCCCGTGACCAGCGGCCTCAGCTGCGAGGAGGCCACGGGAACACGGCGACCATGACGGAGGACGGCAGGAGCGCGACCCGCCTTGTAGACGGCCGACAGCATGTTTCGTGGTTCGGAGAGCGGCAGGCGATGGGGCAAGAGCCTCAGTCGGATTCCCGCTTCAAGGTGTGTAGGCAGCACTCCGGTCCTTCGTACGCGCCAATTGACAGAATCACAGGTCGTGCCTGGCCGCTCTGGTGGTGGAGGGGGTTTGGGTTCGGGGTTGGAATGGAAGATGGCAATATGTGAACAAAACTCGGGGCCCCGGCGGCGCTGGAACCAGAAAAAAGTGTTGGAGACGGGCCGATGTGGGGTTCGATAAGAGATAAGGTGTGACTGTTCTGGTCCCTTGTCGGCCGTGTCTGCAGCCGGACCCTAGCGCAAACAAAAAAAAATTTTCGGACGGCTGCTTCCGACTCCGGAGGGTACTGGGAAAATGCAACGAAGCATCCTGTGGTGCAAGCAGAGAACAGGCAGTTGTCGTGAAATGCCATGTGGCCTGAAAAGGCGGGTTCAGATCCAGAGACCGGCATCACAGGGGTTGATGATTCTGTGACTTCATCACTTCCATGTAAACTTACGGGACACCAAGTCCCTGAAACGACGACGGTCCATTTGAGCAGGCCATTGTCCTGCTGCGGTCTCACAGGTGGTCTGTTATCTTGATTCTAGAGGCTTGATATGCTGTCCATGGGGACTGCAGTCAATATTTTGCGTAGTTTAGATAACAAAATCATAGCCATGTCTATGTGTTGCAAATTCAAAACAACCGGGGAGCTCACAGGGGAAGTCTCCTGGAACAACCCTAACCCCCGCATCAGCCGTGGATTCATGCCAAGACTAGCAGTGATCCGCGGCGGAACCTCAACCGAAGCCCTGTCACAGTTGCAGGGGTGCGGGATACGTCGCCCCATCGTGCTCCGTCCCCATCGAGCGCGACGTAGCGACAGCTGAGCGTCGTCACCTGCAGACACGACACCAGAACACCACACGGCTGCCAACTTCAGACCGGCTATGTCCGGCGCGCTTCTTGAGCTCTATTTGAACTAACTCTCAGCTCCCAGCCCCAGCTATGTGATATTACCACAATTCGCTCCCAACAATCTCACCCAACCGCGGCGAGCTATGAACCATGATCCGGGCCCGAGCTCGAGCTCCGCTGCCCGGCAGCTACCGCCACGGCCCGACGTCCATCGCGCCGACGACACTGACGGCGCGGCTGGTTCTCGACTACGAGACCGACGTAATGTACTTCCCGAATACAATTTTGGCGACCGCGCATCCGGCGGCCCGTCGTCAGAGTCGTGGCAACGTGAGAAACAGCGCGAGGGACTGGCCAAGAAGTTGGAGTTTGTCAGCCATCTTCAGAAGAGCCTTGACATGATTGTTATTGTGTATATGTGCATTATTTACTATCTGGAGTGAGTCATACATCATGAAATCCACGCATCTTCCGGCGCTGACAACATCTAGATGCTCACTGTTCCGTTTTCTGCTCCGCCTCATACCACACTCCGCATTTCTCACTCCCAAAGATGGTCTGCTTCTGCCAGCCGAGCAGCCACATATTTATGCCATCTTCCTACCGGGTACCCTGTGTATCCTTTCACACGCCTTCTTTTCTTTGCCGCAAGCGGGAGAGGCAACTCGCGGCTACCTGCATGGCGGCGTCATCATCGACTTCATCGGCCAGAAGCCTCCGACAACCAGACTGACCTTGTTGTTCTTCGACTTAATGATATTGGGCCTGCAGTGCCTTATGTTGGCAGTCCATCGAGAGCGCGAGCGGCTTAAAAAGGCAGTCTCTCCAGGCTTACCGACGATTGGTCCAAGTATAGATCGGGCAGAACAGCCTACCACTGCTCAGGCAAGCACAACACAGGACCACGATGCTGAGGAGCGAGGCGTGTTGAGAGACAACCCGTTTATCGCAGACGGCGGCGACAGCATCGAGCTTCAGCCTCTTCCGGAAGCATGCAATGGCCGAGAGGGAGGGAGTGGCGATGAACATAATCGAGGGGGGAACGCATACTCTTCATCCAGGGCCAACGTGGATATGTTGGACGTCCTGAGATCGGGCAATGCTGTGCTGTCCAGTTTTCACATCATTCATACTGTTCGGGCTGTTGCCAGTGGTGTCCAAGCTCCTGGGCCAGCGGCATATTCGCTGCGCACGCTGGGTTACAACGCCACGCTCGCCGCCTTGGCTGCAGAACGCAGGAGAAGACTTCTGAGGGGGCAACAGAGACAGTGATAATTACTCGCCTGTTTTATCTTGATAGCATATCATCAAGATCTTTTGGATGAATCTTGTTCTATTCATTATTAGATGTAATAGCTGGTTGTTATTATGCAACCTTGCGCCCGACATTGCCAACACCTGTACCCTTAACCGACACTATAAGATCGCCCAATTCCCCTTCGGCATCATCTTCATCGTCTCCGGCATCTCGTATACCCCAGCTTGCTGCTCCAAACGCTTTCAGGTCCCTCGCGAGTTCTAACAACTCTGGACTCACCACTCTCCTACCCAATCTTAACCTTCCCACATCTTCTGAGCCCATGGCCATCAGCGTAAGAACAGTTGGCGCTGATGCAGCCATGACACAGCCGCCCTGAGCTATCACGTCCAATAATTGGTAAGCGCACTTCTCGCCAATGTCTTCAGGCACCACGCCGCCTTCTGGAGGAGCCACTTCGTCAGCAGCATAGATTACCCCCTCAGCACTCGTCTCCGCAACTAAACTTAACCCAAACCCAATTCCGGTCTTCTTTTTCTGCGTAGTGCCCTTCTCCGCCACCAGAGGGGCCGGGTCGTATTGGGCGGCGATGTGTACATCCGACACAAGCTGGTTGAGCACGCCGCGGGCGGCTGTGATCATGCGGTTGTTGTGGCTCGCTGCGACACCAGTGCAATAGGCAACGCCGCGTATGCGCCGTACTTTTCCAGGCCGACGGTTAAGGTGCAGCGTCTTGGGTAGGCGCACTTGACTCGCAAAGCGCATCTCAACAATTCCGCCGCCGCCCTTGCCCCCGGGTCCAGCGCACGATCGCTGTAGCACCCGCAGTTCAATGCGTGCTGGAGGGATGCCAAAAAGGCCGTATAGCGGGAGCACAGCGGTACGGAATGTGTCGATTGAGAGATCGCGGGCGCCATGAGTGGCAGAGGTGATGACACCCGGACCAGTGAATCGCACGTTCAGATGAGCTTTGGAGAAGGGCGCGAGTAGCGCTAATGGAATCAGGAAGTATGTAATGCCGCGGGTGTTCGTTGCCGGAATCACGTGTTCAATCGCGTCGCTTGAGAGCGAAGCGTTCATGCCTGGGACGGTGCCTGTGATCAAGCCCGGTTGGTAGGTAATGGTTGTGCCGCTGTACGAAACATCGATGATGCTGCCGTTCGTCACAGACTCGAGAAGTCGCAGAAAGGAAATCTCGTGCGGCGCAAGGCCTGGGTTGGTTGCCGATGAGCTACGAATCTTGGAAATGTGTATCGGTCGGCCGTATAGTGTCGCGAGCACCAGGCGCTGTGTGAAGGCGCGGTGGCCGGTGAAGCGAAGGAATTCGGGTTTGGGCTCTGCCATGGCTTCTGTCACGGTATAGTTTGGTTGAATAGGCTGCCTCCATTACTAGGCAACGAGATTCAATATTGCGTGCTGCGATGGCATCCAATTGCTGCTATCACAAGGTCGAAGGACAGGTCAATGGTGATCTGGAGGAGCCGCAGCCCCAGAAATTTTGGGAGGATCCGACCGATTCTGCCGGGCGGTGAAGTTTTATCGGAGCGCTGATAAGAAATCGGGTGGGTCGGCCCCAGCAAAAAGATGGATGTGAACGTCGAGCCGACCAGAACAAGGGGAGGCAAGATTGCAAAGCAGCCGCCGTCCGGCCGTGTTTTTGGCTGCTAGGTTTTGATTCATTCATATTAGGTTCCTACTACTGCATCTCTTGTCGTTATCCTCGCAAGAAACAGGATGGAATCAGTGAAGCGGTCGTCGCATTTCGATTTTAATTCATGATCTGACCGACCGAGCAACCAACAACCAGCAACCAGCATCCCACTACTTCCCCATGCCGCCGAGGACCTTTTCACTCGACATCAGCCGCTGCAGCAGCTATGTCTGTAAGTCGTGTCTCGACTCGCTGCGACCTGCCAATACACGACCGTTCTCAATCACTGCAAGGACATTTTCGCGGCGGGCTCTTCGGCTCACCAAGCCCCAGCCTCTGGCTTCCCGGAACCACAACACGGCATCTCTCGACTCTAAGGCTCTCCAAAAGTTCCTTGAGGAGGAAGATGACAGCCAGCCAGACAACGTTGAAAACAATGACAATGAACCCCTGGTCACATACTGGGAGCAGGATGCCACTGGAAAGCGTCGGCCCCTTCGCGACCTCGATGAATTCAATATGTCGGCCACAGGCCTGGACGCGGACGTTCAGAAACGCATCAAGAACCTGGAGAAAGATCTAGAAACCACCATAAGCATGCTGCAGCAGCTAAAGAACCAAGAGGATCCCCAAAAAGCAGACGAGTTGTACCAGCATTTCAAGAAGATATTGGCAGTCCGATATAAAGGGAAGATAGGTCCAGAAGGCGAGGAATATGGCCTTCTTCGCATTCCAGGCTTCACGGGGGCTCACCAACGAACAGTTCGTCGCCTAAACACATTTTTCACCCGCGACACCCTTGTTCTCGGCGGCATTCCAAAATCCAAGGACATCGCCGACTGTTGGAAGTTCTACTCGTCAGCACGGAAAGCACTCTCAACTGCCTGGGAGAATGTGCCCTATGAAGTGTGGAATTTTTTGTGGACGCTCCTGTCGTACGAGGGCAATGGAGTAGACAACCCAAACCGCATGCAGCACATCTACATTTTGTCGAAAGATATGAAAGCAGCTGGTGTTCCTTTTCGTGACTCGCAAAAGCTTCTCGCCATTGAAGCCATGTTTATCGAGGGTTGGGAAGAAGAGGCCATTGAGACGTGGAAAAAGTCGGTTGCCACTCTTGGTTCCAATCCCGAGACGTTCAAACAATTCTATGAGCTAGGAATCCGCATGCTGTCTCTTCGCGGCGATACAGACCGGGCTCAGCGTGCTGCTGACACTCTTCTGCAATCTCCCCATTCACCAGACCCTCGGATCCTCATTCCCCTCATCCGTGCACTCATGGCAAAAAGCCCGCCCGAATCTGATAATGCTTGGAACAGATACCGACAGATGAGGGCCCTTCTTGGGGAAAAGATGACCATTGAAGACTACGACGAGATCATAGCCATGTTTCTGGCAGGCGATTGCATGGAATATGCTCTACAGGCTTTCGTCGATATGATGTTTTCTGGCGCCATCGATATTCGCGGGAAGACAAGGTTGCCAATTTTCGTTGGCAACCATTTCTTCATTGGGAAATGGTTGAAACGCCTGATTGGCGCAGGAGACCTTGATGGTGCTTACAAGGTGGTGGTATATGCCCAAAGTCGAGGCATCACAACCCCTGCTGTCCAGCTAAACGGCCTTATTGGCGCATGGATGAGGTCGGAAACGGCTGAAAATCTTCAGAAAGCTGAGGCACTAGCATGGAAGATGATTCAGGCGCGTTTGGCTTACGTCCATGCTCGCAAGCATGGCGTAGAACCCGAATACGACAAGCCCTTACCATCGCCAGCCGAATCTGCTATTAGCAGAGAGGGGGACCAGCCAGAGTACATCTGTCGGACCAGAGCATCGGCAGAGACTTTCTGCCTTTTAGCAGAAAGCTACTGCTCTCGCAAGCTTCATGGGCGCTTGTTGGAGCTCTTTGCGGTGCTCAAGGAGGCCGAGATCGGCACAACGAGCTTCCTCATGAATCAGTTGATTCGGTCATACTCGCAGAATAACGACAACGAGCAAGCGATTGGCTTGTACAACAGCATGACCAAGGAACAGGGCATTCGACCCGACGGGCACACCTTCTTAACCTTGTTCAATTGCCTTTCAGTCAATCGCCTCATCCAGCGAGACCCTGTTCTCGCCAGGAGAGACATCAGCCTTGCCCGGAGTTTCTTCAAGGATATGGTCGAGGCGGATTGGACGTTCGACTCCGCGGAACTCTTCGCTCAGCTCCCTCGCACCATACTTTTCTCGATGCTCAAGGCTCGCGACTATTCCGGCTTCATCGTGGCTGCCCGAGCCATGAAGGAGATCTTCGGGTTTCATCCACCGGATGCACTCCTGTTGGAATTACTCACTGGTATTGGCGCATTCCAAGCCCGCACTATGCGGAACGCAACCCGAGTGGTGCAGGGGAAGAAGGTGCTAGATGCCATGATCCGGCAACACAGAATGGAGCTGATTCGGCAGGGCCACAAAGGTGACGAGCTCAGCGAGGAAGAAGAGCTTGAAGAGAAGGAGGCTATTTTGGAGAAGATTGTTGTTCATAAGGCCAAGCAGTATTGCCTGGATCTGAACGACATAAAGGCAGGAATGGATGAGGCTGCTCATGAGATGGGTGTATACGACATTGTGATGCTGAAGGACCCAACTGTTATCGAAAAGCGCCTTAAGTTGCAGAAAATCCGCGGCGAAGAAGAGAAGCTCTGATGTGTTTCTGTATACTAACCTGTACAATATGCTTAAATCTACTACCAGCTGCATGAAGATATCCTTGGAGTTAGAGTTCTATGGCCACATCTGTCAGATAGAAAAGCGGTTATGAATGTACATGTGATATGGACTTGGAGTCTAAGCAAGAGAATTGTTTTATTTTTTGAGTTTCTACCTTTATTCGTGATCCTCTTCCATTAGCCCTGGACAACCCTCCATCTCCGTGTCTGGATACCGATACTTGCACCAGAAACAATAGTTGTAATTCTCGCGTAAATATAAGACCACTCGGCGCAGTTTTTCGTCTGGGGATAACGCATTGAACTCCTCAAGCTCCGGATCCTCCTCATCTAGATCATCAGCAAACACATAAGTTGTCTGTATCTTGCTTAAAGCCGTCTTGTCGTCGTCCTCCTCCTCTGAATCCTCATATGTCGGCAGCCGCGACGCCAGCAACCCCTGTTCTAGGTCGTACCGCATCTTGCGGTCGCGCTCAGCCTCCTCACGCGCCTTGACCAGCCCCCTCCAGACAACAGGAATGGTCTTGAGAAGTGGACGATGTCCTGAGGTGGTCTTTTTTGCCTCATCGCACACCATCTTCTTGTCTTCTTCTTCCTCAGCCATTCGCTCCGCAACCTTCTGTGCAGCCGTGACCAACTTCTCCAGCCGTGCTTCCTCCCGTTCTCGCCGCATTCGTTCCCGATATTCGCCCTCATCAGCCCGCGCCTTCTTCGCTCTTTCCCCTGCAGCCTCTGCCGCCTCCCTCAGCTTTCGTTTCCGTTCACTCTCCAGCCCAATACCTTCCCTGCCGTCCTTGATCTCAATCTTTAGCGGTTCTGGGATTATCTCCTTGCCCTCGCTGCCGTTATCGCCAGATCGTCTCCCCAGGGCTCCGCCGGTGAAGCCCATCTTGGCCATCATCGCCAGACCTTTGCTCTTCGGATTAGCCTCTAGCAGCGATCGCGACAGGGCCGCTTCACGCTTGGCCTCCGCTTCGGCTTCAAGCTCGGCCTTGGATTTAGGTCGAGCACGAGCTTCAGCTTCGCGGCGCAGGCGGGCATGACGCTGGAGGGACGTTTCATGTTTTCGTGTGCCACCATAGCTGCCGGTTGCGTCGTCATCGAATGTCATGGTCATGTAATCTTCTTCCTCTTCCTCAATAGCAGCCCCATTGTTTTGCAGGGACTTGGTAGGAAGTTTGAAACTCATGATGGCTGAAATCAAGAAGTCAATCAAGATTTTGTTCTGTTGCAACGTCTGGATTCCAGCCTCTACGCTTCCAAATTGACTCTCGTGGTGATATTCCGAGTTATAACATCCAAGAATTAATACACGTCGTTAGCGGGGGCTGTGATTTGGGAGAGACGTGCTCTTCCGATATATCTTGAGAATCGTCTAGGAGGCGTTGACTCAGCCGGTCAGACAGAGATGTGGTGACAACCAAGTTGAGGTTGTCTGTTCGAATCCCCTTGATAGATCTTATAAGCACAATTCCCGAGTTATTATTGGGCTTATTGAGAAAAAATCTGGGTATCATTTGAAAGCGAAGATCTGGCAAAAGTATGCGGGCAAGTATTGTTCTAAAGCTGAAACTCGCACCGGAGCTCACGCGGCCCGGAACTCGAGATAGTACGATCAGTTAGGCTACTTCAATTAGGGTTAGGGTTAAATATATGTGAATCCAGCATCATGGCAGCGATCCAAATTACTGTGTAAACCGAAGTTGGCAATAGTCCATAAAATGTCTACATCACCTGCCACGAATGCTCGACTCATCGGAACAGAAGGCGATCAATGTATATTGAAAGAGATCAAGCGCTTTACAGGTAGGGCGAGGTTACGTGAAAGCCCTTTGTTGACCCTAGGAATGCCCAGTTCCTTATTTTATCTCTAGAAGAGAATACCACAGAGCTACTCTCAGGTTCGAGGCGAGGAAGCTGGGCAATGCCTAACACTCTCTACACGCACGTGAAAGAATTGGCAACATATGAATTCTAGATCGCTCACTTTGAAACATGCACTCAGTCACCGGAACAATTTGAAATTCGAGCGCGGCATCAGAGATTCTATAGAGATGTTGCTTGCACCACATCAATTCTACAGCAAAAAATTTGATAAGAATACACTCGAAGGGATCCTGATTTGCAGACAACAGCTTGAATCATTTTAATACTAAGTACTTATGATATTGGGTAGGGGCGGAGTCACCCAGACGATGGCTCTGCCCATGCTGACTGCCTACTGCCTTGAGGTTTTCAGGACACAACAACCTACACCACATAGCTCACAAACTTGGCTATTTGATCGATCTGGGCTTTTCTGCTCGAATTCATAAGCGAATCGTTTGCCCGAAAGCCGTTCTTTTGGGAAGCCGGAATTTCTTTTACCACCCTCGGATCGCAACTATGATGCATATCCCGGGACCATTCCGGGGTATGCAAGGTGGCATTGCATTTTTGGCTCCGGCCGCGGATGAGAGGCGAGGCAAGACTGCCGGGCAGGGGATGACACGGACCAATGGCCGGTGTTGGCTCTACTGTGCCTGCGTCAAGGTTCGCGACGGCTGCAGACACTGCCAGGGCGTTCTCTATGGACATAGGCAGGAAGTACATACAGTAAGTACATATACTAAAACCCACACAAGACGGGGACTTGGGGCCCAAGCCCCCCCTGGTAATGGATGGCAATGACAGGCGCGATGGTTGATAGAATGCAGGAAGCTAGCATAGCATGCATAAGTAGTGAGCACCTAAGGCGGGAAAAGCAGCACGGTATCATCAGAACTGGACCCGACATGCATCTCCATGCCGCTGTTTACAAGTACGCGAGGTCGGTAGACCGAGATCCGTGAGTGATAACTAGGCAGACGGCGGCACTTGCGTGGTGCTCCTCCAGTTGCATGAAACCAGCAACAGCAACGAAAAAGAAAACCGGCGCGCTGCAGGGCTCGTGTGGCCGATATATGCAGGTTTCGTTTTTGTACGAAGTTTGAAACGGATAACGTATTCCTGCTGGCTAGGCCGGATATTGTGGCAACCGCTCATTAAAGAAGCCTTATAAGTGACGTATCAATTGTAAATTAAGTCAATCGAGTGAAGTGCACAGAAGTCGAGACAAAGTTCTGGGAGCTCCCAAAAGAAAAGCTACGATAATTGTCGCATCCTACAGTTCGCATAGTTTTACAATATCTTACCACTCTCACTGGAATAATCCGTATGCGATCAGCCCATCAGGCCAGAGCTTATCCATTCCTACATCTTATGTGATGTTGAAACAGATCGGTCGTTACTTATCGCTGGTTGATGTGACTTGAAAGCTGAAACATGAATCAATCGATCGATAACCAAGCGTTTTGAAGGGACGCCCCACGCAACCCAGCAAGCAAGCAACTTGACAAGCATGCCACGTCGTTGAGGGCCTTTTTAGGAACAGAATCTTATCTTCTGCGGCAAACCCCCACAGGTGTGTGTTATCAATATTTAGAGTTATCAAGACCAAGACCACTGCTCCGGCGTCGTGGTGGCGACCACAGAGCCAAATAGGCCGCCAAGAATCAAGCCAACTTCCAGCGGTGGGTTGGGTTAGTGAGTGAGCCTATTGTGCACAGTCGGTACTGTGTACACTTGGTCGCCTTCGCTACACTTGTAGAATCTCCCCGACATCGAAGTGTAGCTCTCCCTGGGCCAGAACTTTGGCTGGTAACTGTGGAGATGCCGAGGTGCTTTGTTAGACACTAGCCTGGTCTGGCTCCAAGTCCATGGCCCGCGCTACACCACACAGAGCCTAGCGTTAGTGGATAGCGCGACAAGCGTACCAGATTTCGGAGTATGTACATACGGAATTGTCGCCTTATGTAAGAATATCGTCGATCACCGGAAGCAACAACGGCCAGATGAAAGAGCAATCTTTGGTGATGGAACCTAACCTCATTGACCGCCATTTTGGGCTTTTTGTGGCAGTCCAGCCAAGGTCAAATCTTCCCAAGTTAGCAAACCAATGTCCGACTGATGTATCGTCCTGATTTCTCCAATTTAACAAACCGAGCGTGGCTCTGAGAGGATTGGAGATCATAGTTGCGCTATCTGGAGGGCTCTGATATGAGTCAGGTTGTCTGGATGTTGGCGTCTCCGACACTGATGGCGATTCATTGCCGCCGGCTCCATTCGTGGGAAGAGAGGCCGGCTTTCAGATGGAACCTCGACGGCTATGAGACAAATATGGAAAGTCTATTTCTCCGTAATTCGCAGAATGAATTGTGAGGTGGCGTTTTCATGCAAAAAGCGAGCAGGAGACATTCGAGAAGACCCATCCAGATGGCACACAGAATCGCCAATTGGTGAACCAGGTGTGTTCCTGCGTCGGTGGGGCCAAAGAGAAGGATGACTGCGCCAAGCCTTGTAAGTGGGGGCACTCAGTGGGGTCAGTTTAAGCAGTTAATTGGCCAAATCGCAAACCTATCTGGTTCGAGCTGCTGGCTTCGAACTGGGATCACGTTAAGTACCTACCTCCAGAGCATGTCTTACCGCTGACCAATACACACTTATCGCTAGATATTACCTGTAGTTCGAGGCACACACTCCCTAGCTTGTCTATGATACCGAAAGCTCAGTTGAAGAAAACTTGCTTCACGACTGTGATACAAATGACTGTTCTGTGTATGGCTGGTATTGTGAAGAGGCAGGAGTTTTCAACTAGCAATAGGCTCTGTCACTTTTGTTCCATCTGCTATGCCTCTGTGTAACAAACATAAGTAAGGATAATCTTTGATGTTCCATCTACCTGTTAACCTACTTCTAGCAATGAACAAGGCAAGAAATACTCTGTCATCAGGCTATCGTTCACAGAGTACTGGTAGCATTGGTGTCATCACTACCAATTCCTGTGTAATCCAGATATTGACGACTGTTGTCAACTTTTCTAAGGTGGGTGCATCAGCCATGCAACAAGCGACTTTGGCAGTCCATGATATGCCCACCCACGTGTTTTTGGATAATGGAAAGAATTATCTTCGAAATGTCATGCATCCCGCGTGCGGCTGTGCCATTTACAGATATGGAGTTCCTGCATGTCATGTGGGGGACGGTTAAGCTACGTGGACAGCTTTTTTCTGTAGGTACATCAGGTATGTACAGACCGGCTCGATATGAGTCGACAGTGACCTCATGCACTTTGATACTGGACATTCAAATCAATCCTCAGTGACAATCACCACTCTGTGGGACTAGAGAAGTTCTTTGCTACAGCCCAAGCTAGGAGGAGTCGCGCAGACAGTTTTTCCCAGACTGACTGTTCCATTTTCTGTGCCGGACTATGTACTTGTGAGGGAACAACATGAGAAGATTATACTCTAATAAACCTTAGTCCATACTTGTAGGTAAGAAGTACGAATTATAATTCAGATATTTCACGCTTTGCTCGACGTCCATCCATGTACCACTTTCTTCGTCAACAGCCTCTGTATAACTACCCAAAAAGGTTCCACAGATCAGACCAGTTGGATAAATCATGAACCTTGAAGACAAGATCCACGTGCTCCATTCACGTCATCGGTCTCAGTTTTCGTTTCAGCAGAGGGATGATCGCTACATTGATGTTCCATCTTTAATTAGATATTCTTTACTCTGCAACGTCTCCCTTTTGAGACGTGATCTTGGCCAAGCCCAAACAGAGCAATCTGATACTACCACCAAAGCCTCTGCCCATTTCCGATTCTCATTGACAATCACTTTTGCGACCCGAACTAGCGGTGGCGAGGTGTGAAAAGGCTTGTTGGTAGGTTGCAAGTGACAGAATGTCCGATTCGGTCCTGGCAAGGGTTTCAGATGGGCTCGCCATCGTCCCGGATCAAGATGCCGCCCGCGTTCGAAACCGGAGAGGCCCACACAGGTCGGAGAGTTTTGGACTCTTGGGGCAGCCCTGCCATTAGGTACCTCTTCCTCTATGTGCATACACTATGCAGAGCTTCGGTCTTGGCTGGTCCGTGCGCTCTCCCCGAGGTCGATGTCTGCAAGCCGCTCTTGTCTGTGACAGGTGACATTGCTGGCTGTACCTGCAGAAAGTGTGAAGTAGCCATCACAACTGCAGGTCGCAGAAGACAAAAACCAAATGTCGTCAGCCGGATCGTTTCATACACTCTCTGCTTTCTCTGCTTGCAGCCTTGCAGGTCCCGGCACAAGAGCCTCGACAGGAGAAGCGCTGAAGCAGCCTTAGTTAACTGCCTGCAAGTGAGCTCAGATGTTGGTGCCATTGCGTTCCATTTTTCGAAGATGGGCAACTTGTTGCCGACAGGTAAGCAGACCACTCTTATGTTACCGTAGCTTTGGGAGATGTGGCTGTGCCCAACACCAGGGTTCGTCTCGACTCCGTGATTTTCCTTCCTTCCCTGTCAGTTACAGGAGTCATGAACTGCCTGATGAGGAGCAATGTCCGATGCGTCATCAGTTGCCTCTGGCCTGTGCGAATAATGGCGTCCAAGGCACCAGAAACACCGCGGACAGTGTGGCAGCTGCGATGTATCTCCTTGCTCGAGTGACCTCAGCCTTCTGCCAAGGAAGGTGGGGTTGTCAGCAGGTGTCAGCAGCTGCTCACAGCCTCGAGAACTCTCTCGCTGAGCCTTGGAAGCCCAACGATATGTCGAGATGGTTCACAACCAACATAAGTTACGTACGTCCTGTTGTGTGCTGCTAATTTTACCCGGGGCTAACCCATCATGAATTCCACATTCTTTTCTTGCAGGTCTGAAAATCTGGGGAAGATTGGTGGAAGGAGCGCTAAGTCTCTCTTGTCCCGCTGCACAGTCGGCCTTATTCATCAGAAGAGGAGGGACGGCCGATGTTGATGTGTCGCGTGGCACCCATGAAGCTGTCACCACAGCATGGAATTTGCCTCGAAATTCCTAATTCTCAACTCCATATGTCATCGGCGACGCAAGTTTCGGCGTCATGGACTTTGACTTGTTACTCTCTTGCAGAAGAATGGAACGATCTGGGTTCCTTGCGCCCGGGTCCGCAGATCTAGACATGAGCATCTGCCATCTTAATCCTTAGCGCGAGCGAAAGTGTGGGGTGCTGACGGCAAAGCATGCAACATCAACGTCTTCAGACATGCAGCGTGTTTGACCTTACCTAACAAACTTCCTGCCCTCTACCAACATCTTTTACCTATTCCCTCAAGTGGAATGGGCCAAACATCTCCGCTGACTGCTAGGCAGCCTTAGCCAGACAACAGATACGCCTAGCCAGCTCTTCCAACCCAATGCCGGAAAGCTGAAGCAAGATGTACGAAGTACTTGTGAACAACTAGCACTAGCAGTTGAATAGGTAGTCCCTCAACACACCCGGCACACTGAGCCGAGAAGCAACAGGCTTGCCTCTCATGTGAGGGCTCCTTATTCATGATCTGGGCGCTCTCGCCGATTCAGCATTGACATGTGAACAGTGACGCAGTTGGTAGTGAGGGGATTTGACATTGTGATTGGGAGCAGAGAAAACTCAGCCATAACAGGCAAAAGGGCAAGGGTGTATCGCCTCCTCTCGTCCGCGAATCTGTCACTTGCATCGAGATCTGATTCGATCTCGATGCGTGTCTCCGCTAGGTGCATTCGTGCTGCAGGACTGGAGCATGCTTTAACCTCTGCACTTGCAAGTCCAAAGAGGAGTTCTGATGAGTTTTCCGACTGGCTGCTGTTGAAGCCTCGTGGCAGAAGTCTTCCAGGGTCTTGGATGCGAGTGGCATTCCCCATTGATCCGTATTCCGTTGCCAAGCAACTCAACAGCCTTTCGTTGACGACACCGAGAAACCTCGGGTTGGCGAGAGGTCGAATCACCAAGTCGCTGACGGATACTTGTTTCCAACGATACACATTTTTACGATAGGTAGTCGAGGGCCTGGCTGCATGTGGTCTACCTACCCTATGCATGACTTTTTGCTGCCCAGAGAGCAGCATCCTTGGAATACATGTCAATCAGTCAATAAAGTGGTTAAGGTGATGCAAAGATTTTTGTTTCCTTGCCGTTTCCAACGTCTTAACCGCTGCCAGTTAAGGCAGAGAATATTCCGGGAACTTACGGGCGCGAATTCTGGGTTACATTGACAAATAAAGAACATGATTTACCTGACGATCGAGCATGATGCCGGTTGGGCGAACCTGCCTGGTCAGGTTGCTTAATGCTATTCCTGGGGAGCCCTATATTGCACAGTATCACCGAGTCTAGCAATCCGCCTCCGTATGCAACCCGACATTCTACCAGCCCGGGGTTGTTCGGTGAATATCTCTGATCCGGACCGTTTCTATGCACATCACGGCCGGGTTGCGAGCGCAATACTTGGGTGAGCCAACCTACCTAAAGTACGATGTGATTCTGTGCCGTGGTTACCCTCCGACGTATTAGGACCTTACGAAATGCAGCTGCCAATCGCTCGGATAGGTCGCCTCGGATTCTCAGCGTTGTTGTCATGTTCGGTATCGATCAGCTAGTGCATTCATAATGTTATTGACACTGTTCATGTCACATAGGCTGTGGTCAACACCAATGGGGACACGCTGTAGCTCTTGGTGTCAGGTCTTTGTGATGTGGGTGGCCTCTGAGGGTTTGCAACACGGCGCCTGTGTATTGTTAGTGGAGGCCGGTTAAGGACGAGTCGTCTGTGTGACTCGATATGCTTGCAACGAATGGGTGAGCCGACCCAGAGGTTTACACACCAACTCGACTGGAATCCCTCAGTAATCCTTTGGGCTGTGCCGGTTGTGTGGGCTCTGTGGAGGGCGCGTTGCTGGACATCCAGCCTATCAGTTCTCGCAGAGGGTACTGCAGCTCTCTTTATGCATGTGCTTGCGCGCCGTCGTTGGTCAGAAGGTCTGCAAAACGCCCGCTCACAGAAGCCAAAAGCCAGCTTGCGCATGTCACCCTCGTTCGGATTGGGCGCCATCGACATCTTGCGCATTGCTATCACGGTCTCGATGGCAAAAATTGCCAGAGCGTGCAGACAAGTGGAATAAATGGATCAAACCGCTGGAGCCATTAGAGCGGCAACAAGTCGGCTCTACTATTTGCTCTCGCAGAGCCAGGCGCTCAACTGCCGGCAGAGTCCGAAAGCAGCAAGAGGCGGCAGAATCCAAGTGTTCACCGCAATCTGTTTTTTCACAGACAAGGTTTCAAAGCGGAGAGAGTGTCTGCATCTTCATATTCCTAAACTGCAACTCATACTGCATATTTGTACGTACAAGTGCTTAGTAGGGCTTTGTCATCTCAAGTACATGGCCTCGGTTGGGCTCGATGCAGACAGTGCATGGCCAGTGCAGGCATCACCGCACTTCCCATCGATGGATGAGAGTCACAGGAGGGCCAATGTACCTTCAGTCGTGCGGTACTTCCGAGTGCATGGCCGAACCAAGCCCGATTTAGAATTCCTGCTAGTCGCTGCGCCATCCTCCACCAGGCCAGGGACCCACCATCTGATGTCGGCTCTCCATTTTGCCCCAGAGCATCGAGACAGAGCCAGCAAGGACCAGGTGGGGCAGTGGGTCCAGTCGGTGGGCTTGGTGACAGGGAAAATCCTTGTCGGTCAAAGCGAGACGGTTCTTCGCTGCGTACCCTTGTCAGTGGCCTGCATAGTGGGTATGTGGTCCCTCTCCCCATCCCTCACAGAACCTGGGAGGGCGGTTGGGTCGAAAGCACCGGGTCTCTCCCGCCGACCTCTCACGGTCGTGTCCATACATATGTCGGCATCCCATGGCCTACACCTGCGCAAGGGCTTCCCTTGACCTCTTCTTCCCACATACCCACATGGGCAGATCTGTCGGAGTGGACGCGTGATCTCTCTTTCGTTCTCTATATTCATATCGGGCGGTTCCTGTTTCTTTGCGGTCTCGAGGTTTTGGAACTACGATTCCTTCCCTTCATTCATATACAAATTATCATCTCACAGCTCGCTCTTGGTTGGACTGATTCCTCCTTGCCTTCCCTCGACCTAGACTCCATGCGACGATAGTGCTAAAACATCCCAGCACAACGAACTCTGACAACAACTCATAGACGGACGAGGGCTTGTGTATGAGCTAGACGACCGTATCATTCCTTAAAAGAAACTGAACGAGTACATGTCCTGTACAGAAACGACTCTCCTCGAGACACTTAACCGGCCAGTTGTTTGATTCTTGTACGATCACAACTGCCATCCATTCCTTACTTCGGAACCGATCCACACGCCATCCTTAGGCCAGTGCCGCAACGACGTCCACGATACCCTGTATAAGTGCTTCGGATATATACTGCCTACGTAATATCTAAACTCAAACACACGCGCAAGCATCACTCACCTGGTTGGTAACCCGAGGAGCTCTGGACGACGGTGGAATACATAGACATAGGACTGGGTTGGCTGATATTCGGTGACACGGCAGCATCAGCATCAGGAAGATGGAGACCATGATGCCACAGTCGACGGGCCCTGCTTTCCTGTTCTACAGCCCCGACCCCAACCCCGACAGCCGGCAACACGGCCGCTTTGTCCCTCAGCACCCAGCAATCCAGCAGATGACAATGCTCCCCATTGCTCCAACCGTTCCCTCGACACCCATCTATGCGCGTCCCGGCTCGTCCGGCGCTCAGCCGCCGCTCTTGCCGAAAGCTTACCCCAGTGCTCCCGTTCTGCCGTCGGCGCTGACCCCGGTGGCCTCGCCGTCCCCCATCCATGTCAAGCCGACTATTGTGCTGGATGCGGAGTTGTCCGAGGTTGACGGGCTTTTCACTCCTCCCACCCCACCCCTCACTACCTCGAACAGCGTCATTAGCAGCCCTGGTAGCTGTGAGATGCTCCAGACGCCCCTGAACCCCATGTTCTCTGGCCTTGATGACGTGCAGCTGGAGGGCAAGGATAGCTGCGAGAATGACGGCGAGCTGGAGCGTTTCCCTTCGCTGGATTGGCCATGCGCCTCTCCTCCGCTGACACCGGGTAAGTGGCGTCGCTGCTGATCGATTTGTTCCAATCGCAATTTTTTTCCATGCATAATCTTTGTGGTTCTGGTGGTTGGCACTTGATTGTGAAGTTCTGTTTGCTGGTTGCTTTGTTTTTAGCACTGGTTGAGGTGGCCCTTGCGTCGGATACGGGAGCCCTGAGCTTGGGTTTGTCAGAAGCTGGGCAAATTTTACAGGGGTGGGATTGCAGCTAACTGGAGCTTCGTTAACAGTGTACCTTCACCCGGGCGCCCCCAAGATTGCTCCAATCAACACACAACCGGCAAACGACCTTCTCTCTCCTCCCTCCTCCTGCCCCTCTCTCTCGCCGTCGCCCTCCCCATACGCGAGATCCATCTCGTCGGATGACGTCGACTTTTGCGATCCCCGGAACTTGACTGTCGGCAGTGTCAATTCTACTCTCGCTCCCGAATTTTCTGCCCTTCCCACGCTTTGCCCAGGCGAGGACGAGGACCAGAAGTTTGTTCTGCGGGGTGCGACTCCTGCCATCTCTCCAAGCTCCTCCTTTGATTTCTCCGCGCAATTGTGCAACGCCACGCTCCCTACTTTTGAGGACTTCTCGGATCTCGATTCCGAGGACGGCCTTGTTAGCGGCCTCGTCACCCTTGGCGCCTCGACACACCCGACCAGTCGGTCGCGCTCCAGCTCCGACGCGCTTTCGTTTGGCTCTGACGACTCAGAGTTCGCCAGCCCATTTGGTGCCGACGCCCTCCTTACGCCCGTGTCGGACGAGGACAGCGACGCGCCCAAGACTAAGCGGCAAAAGAAGTCTGAGGAGGAGGACGCCAACACGCCCACCATGAGCACCACTGCTGACGCTCAGCCGGCAAGCACCCAGACCCAGACACCACCGGGCAACAACCAAGATACCAGCAACAGCAGCACAGTGTCGGAAAGCAAGGCTGCGCCATCGGAGTCGACCTCGGGCTCAGAGAACCAGTCGGCTCCCACACAAATGCCCGCCCGTCGCGGTCGTAAGCAGTCGCTGACTGAGGACCCGTCCAAGACCTTTGTGTGCGACATCTGCGGTCGCCGCTTCCGTCGCCAGGAGCACCTCAAGCGCCACTACAGATCCCTCCACACACAGGAAAAGCCGTTCGAATGCAGCGAGTGTGGCAAGAAGTTCTCTCGCTCTGACAACTTGGCCCAGCATGCACGCACTCATGGTAACGGCATCCCCCTCAACATCATCGAGGACCCGGAAGCCATTGCTGCTGCTACTGCGGCATCCCTGCATCCCGTTTACGCGCATCCGGCGCTGATGGGTACGCCCGGCTTTGTCGGAGAGGACTACCACACCCTGGGCAAGACACTGTTCCATATGGCCTCTGAGATCCCAGGAAGCAGTTCGAGTGAACTCTCATCCTCTTCCTCAGGGGATGAGAGCAGCGATCAGGGCAAGAAGAAGCGCAAGAGGTCAGCTTGAAATGCTTTTACTGCCTTAAATGTATATCCATTCCGCTTCGCTTCTTGTTTCACTCTTGACAATGCCGATGGCTTGCGCATTCTGGAACGTGCCGTCGTCATTGGCACTTGATCATTTTTAACGATAGTGATGACGGGCTTGGTGTCCTTGTTGAAGGCCAGCTCATACACAGGGTTCTGCACTTGGTGGGAATTCACATAACATAGCATTTGGGCTACGGGATTTCGCTCCACTTTTGGGAGAGATGGACGCCATGGTAATGAGATTCTAAAGGAATATATATTTTCGGTTTTCAACTTTTTCAGGAACTATTATGGCGGCTTTCCAGCTCTTGCGTCTCAGCATGATTGTCCCTGATATCCCATAGTTTTTATGTGCTTGCCAAGGGCCATGCGCTGTTCCGTGTTCCTTCTGAGGACAGTGCAATGTTTCACACTAGCACACGAGGGGAATTTTGGGGGAGAAGATATCAGGATCTTCATAGTTTTTTTCCCTACTGTGTTTATTGGTTTCTGAGCCTGTTTCCGTCGAAAAGAAAAAGTTCTTTTATCAGTGTTGTAATTTGTTTTCCTTAACAGACGGCAGAGCTGGTTCGACCGTCAAATAGCTCTTGGCTTGCTTCCTCTGTACTGCTCTTGGCCTTCTCTTGCTGTCGTTTTTTCAACCTTTTCTTTCCTTTGTTTCCTGGCTGTCTTCTACAACCTAAGATTAGACTTTTAAGTCTACGATTGCCCAGCTATTGAGGAGTCTAGACACGGACAATGGAAGCATACCAAATTATGATCCATCTGTGCTTGTGACAACTCGGACCACGCATCTCTGTTGGCTATGTCTCAACATGTTTGTCGTGCTAGTTCCCGTTTCCCAGCTGTGTAACTAGGTGCTCCATGCATTAGCTAAACGGAGGGTCCAGGTCCTCCTAGCACTCGAGCATCCAAAAGAAGCATCCACAGATACTGAAAGTCTCACCAGCTTCATGTCATGTCGTCTGAGGAAGTTGATATTGTGACACATCAAGTGCCCAAAAGCGCGACATAGAACAATGTCATCTATTTCCCAAGACAGCAGGGCCATGGCATCCCGGTTACGTGTTCCGGTGAGATAAGTAAACCCGATAGTCTCCTCCCGGTTCCATATTAAGCTGTACAGCTGCCAGCTGCAACACTACAACATGGACCTCGCCACTCAGGGCTTTGACCTTCGGTTTTTTTTTTGGCTGTCGGCTATGTTTCCTGATGTGGATGGGTTTTAACAGACTGGGAAAGCTTGTCCGTGTTCTATGGCAGCTTCTTTGCCATCAGGCGAAGCGCGTGGACCCTAGGGTGGGATGGGTATTTCCAAATGCAATCGCTGAGATGCACACAACATCGGAAACCCGAGAATCTCGAAGGCTTCTATGGTTGCAAAAAACGGACCGAGACGAAATTGCCTGCAGGCTGCAACATGGAGCTTTCAGGAACCGCCAGGCCGGCGCGGGCCCACTTGGGCCAGGCACTAGTGGGCGCCGGAGCCCACCAAAATGAATCGATGGGCCAGCAGATCTGGCGCCATTTTGACCCAAAGATTTCGTCGGCCCAGGATCCATTTCAAGACGAGAGCCTCAAACACCGTCCCAGATCCGTCTTTAGCACCCTCGCTCACCGACTGAAAAGCGCGAGAGCTGAGCTGGACTCGGAATCTCTTCCAACCAGATACCTCAGGTATACACAGCACATTCGAGATTCCCGGTCCTTACCTACCGCAACCCGCAGCCGGCAGTTGCGGAAGCCCCAGAAGAGCCCCAGAGGCATCGCTTCACGCTCGTCCGACACGAAGGCGCGTCTCTGCTCGCATCATTGGCCCGCCAGCAAGCTTGCGCAAAGCTGATTGCCAAAAACGAGACTCGTATCCACGGACGGGACGACCCGGTACAGGTTCCCCTGCCTATTCTTTTTTCCTGCCTGCAGCCCTACCTGGCAGAAGGAAAGCCCGCAAGCTCAACTTGCCTAGGAGTTGGGCTTGTTTGGAAGTACCTCTTCATACGGAGTACATTGCTCTATCCGCTGGAGAAATCGCGGTGTACGTGGTGCGCATTCTAAGCATTTACCTACCTTACCTAGGCAGGTACCTACCTGTCAGTCTGCATAACATGTATTTGTGCTGTGCAGTGTATAATCCGTGCCTTTTGACGTTGCGATATTTGGACTATCTTCTTACGTGGTGGCGGTGTCTAGGATACCTATCGCATAGAAACACTGTCCTCTGCTGACGTCTTGGTCTCATTCATTGCCGAGACTCCTTCCAGAAGACATCTCACACTTCGCTCTCTCTCAGCTGGATACGGAGCACACTCCGACGTGCACAACATGTCAGCCTCAGATGCCGGCCTCAATGTGATCGGCCTGGTTTCAGGCGGCAAAGACAGCTTCTTCTCGCTTCTTCACTGCCAAGCCAACGGCCACCGCATTGTGGCGCTCGCTAATTTGCATCCAGAACGCTCGTCAATGCCTGCGACCTTGGATGGCACATCATCCTCACCATCTCCGGCTGCGGCCCCAACGGCTAGTGTTGCCGCCTCCTTGGTTCCGGTCCTGGACCCTGCTGGCAAGGTTCACAGTCCAGACCAGGATGAGTCTCCAGCAACCACTTCGCCGGATCATCCCAGTGGACCGCTTGCAAATGAAGCCGCTCCTCGCCAAGATGAGGATGAGAGCGACCTCAATAGCTTCATGTACCAGACTGTGGGCCACCAGGTTGTCCCACTTTATTCCGAGGCGACTGGAATTCCGCTGTATCGCCGTGCTATCACCGGCCGGGCCACGCAATCCGGGAAGGAGTACTCTCACTACCGACGGCCCACCTCATCCGTGACGGAAGCCGGGGCCGGCCCGGCGCCAAGCCCGGACAATAAAGAGGTTGGCTCCGGGACCCAAGGTTCTGGCCAAAACTCCGGACATGGCGCTCCTGGAGCTGAACTTGAGGAAGACGAGACGGAATCCATGATGCCACTGCTCATGAGAGTTAAGGAGGAACATCCGGAGGCCAATGCTATCTGCGCCGGTGCCATCTTAAGCACCTATCAACGTACCCGCGTGGAATCTGTGGCAACACGGCTTGGGCTAACCCCCCTGGCCTATCTCTGGAAGTTCCCTGTGCTTCCAGCCCCAGCGTCTTTGGACCCTGCTCTGGGATCGGATGCTCAGCTCCTGGATGATATGGCTGTTGCGGGCCTAGAAGCTCGCATCATAAAAGTCGCCAGTGGCGGCTTGGATGAGTCGTTTCTCTGGACCAATGTGACCAGCACTGCTGGAAAAGCACGGCTCGCCAAGGCAATGAGACGATTTGGGACAGCCGAGACCGGTGCTATCATCGGCGAAGGGGGTGAATTTGAGACATTGGTAGTGGATGGGCCACCGTCGCTCTTCAAAAAGCGTATTGTGGTCGATGAGAAAGACCAGAAAGTAGTTAGGGAAGAGGGAGGCACAGCATGGCTTAGCCTCAGAAACGCGAGGTTGGAGAGCAAAGATATTCTTGAGAATGATAGCAAGCCTGATATCAGAATCCCGGACCTCCTTGACCCTAGATTTGTCGGTGTGCTGGACACTCTCCTGTCACCACAGACCTCTGAAGGTACCCTTTCAGATCAGACGTATGGAGACAAGCAGGATATACCCTCTTCACTTGACCTCCAAAGGCTGAAAATAGCTATGAGCACCCTCCACGAATGGGGCTTTGTCAGCGACAAGCCGGCGACAATCGAACAGGAAACTCAGGATCTCGTTGAAAAGATCCGTCAGAGGCTACAGGAGACTTCCCTTTCCCCTTCAGCAATTATCAGCGCCACTATACTTCTCCGGCATATGGCCGATTTCCCAACTGTAAACAGAATTTACAGTTCCCTCTTTGATGCTCCAAACCCTCCATCCAGAGTCACCATTTCCTGCGGAGACGTCCTCTCTGTGACAACAAAAGGAAGCATTGCCATCTCCTTGACTGTGCACACAGCTCTTCAGCCAGGCCAGCGCCAAGGACTGCACGTACAATCCCGATCCTATTGGGCTCCTGCCAACATCGGTCCATACAGTCAAGCCATCACAATCCCAGTCATGAGCCTGGCTTCAGCTGAGTCCCTTAATGACTCGACTTCTTCAACTGGTACCCTCCTTGTCAGCATTGCCGGACAAATCCCTCTAGTCCCTGCCACCATGTCCCTTCCGGCCGTTCCACCCAATGGCAGCAACCTCGAGCTCCAGCTTACGCTCTCCCTTCAGCATCTCTGGAGAATTGGTATCGAAATGGGCGTTTGCTGGTGGACCAGCGCAGTCGCCTTTTTCCCTGCTTCGTCTTCAGGCGAGGACATGGACCTGAAAGTCCGTCTTACTGCTCGTGCATGGCAGAGAGCTCACGTCGCTGAAGATGAAGACGATGGTGAGGAAGAGGATGACGATGAGGACGATGGTCCGGACCTCTGGGATAGACGGTACAACCCGGCGTATACGACCTTTGCCAGTGCCGATGAAGGGGGCAGGAAGAAAGGGCCCTCTCTACCAGATCGTTCAGTACTGTCACCAACTGTTCCGAAGGGGGTCGTGCCGCCTGTGTTTGTAGCTGAAGTTAACGAGTTGCCGCGCTCCGCTAGCGTGGAATGGCATGCACACTGGGGCGTCGCTCACGCTCCTGAAGGGGCTGTCAAAGTCACAAGGGATGTTTTGAAGGCAGGTTCCAGCGCCACTAAATGTGAGGAGAACAATCAAGAACGCCAGTTTTTTGTCTCGCACGTTATTATTTCAAGCAATATCGAGACGTCAGGGTCATCAGCTCCTTCAGAGGTCGTTGTCGTGCAGACTATCGTGGCCGAGAGGTTGGTAGACACCACTGCTTTCACGGTTTTTAATCCAAAAAGCCATGCTCAGATAGCAAAATCTTCGCTCTCGTCGCTGGGAATTGTAAGCGACAAGGACTTAACCTTGATGATGAGATACGCGGATGTAAGGGCGCTTAAATCGGGAGCTGCCAATGAATCCTCCGTTTTTGGCCCATTGGTGCCATGTCGATCGTTATGGGATGGCGCAGGAGAGAGACTGGTTGCGCTGTCGGTATTTCAGAGTGTGTATATTAAGGAGACATGAGAGGGAGAACCCAGGTTGGCATCTGTCTAAATTTCGCTTAATGCATGGTTGTCTGGCTCATGACTTGTTTGACCGAGTTTGACAAGCGATCTGATTTGTTGTCGAATCAACTGGCTCTAAAACGGCATCTGTATTCCAGGCTGATGATGGTATCTTCACCTTACTTCTTCTGCCTCATTTTTTCACCTAGTCCCAACCAATATTCGCACCTTTTCCTTTCGTCTGGAGGCACCTCTTCCATCCTTGCCTTCCCAGGACTCTCAAATACCAGCCTTCTCCCCCATCTTGCCCCCTCTGTCGTGCTCTTAGTCGAGTCCCAAGTCTCCCAACTGGCGCTTCCCTTCATCCGATACACATTCACATCCAATGCCCGCACAAAGCTGATGTAATACGACATCATCAACGGCACCACGCCCGCGTTGTACGTGCGGTAGCTCACACGTACTCGACCCCCGTCCACGTTATCCGGTCCAAAAATGGCCGGGGCATCGAAGATATGTGGCACCCCTAGGCCTAATGCCATGTTTTCATCGTCACGGACGTTGTAGCGGTATGCGAAAAACTTGAGTCCTGCTTCGTCTGTATTGTTATAAGAGGACGAAAGCAAATAGTTGAGTACGTTTGTCTGGGGACAAATAAAAGTGGCTTCTCCATAAGCCTGACTCGCGGTAGGAAACCAGTCATTGTGGCGTGGTACAGGGGGACGCTTGGGATAGAGGGCAAGAATGGTGTCGGTGTCGTTGGGTGTCAGGCGTGGGTAATTGTTCGCCAGGAACATGGCTACATCGTCTTTCGTGGCTGCATTAATGGCGAAGACAGTGCCCTCTGCAATTTTCTGTGTTAACCATCTGTGTTGGGGAGTGGGCACATCGTGCGAAAGGGGATAGCTTTAGCATACCATCTGTAGAAGTGCCAAACACCATGGGCACGCGGATGAACTGACCCTTTGCAAACATCCGATAAGGAAGGTCCTGAAGGAAGTCTCCATCTACACAAGGCGTCCAGTAAAACAGTGGCATCGGCGGTTGCGAACGTCCAGGAAACGGCTGGGCAACATTCGCAGCTTGTAAGATCGCCACGTCTTTGCCACGGAGGCATGCCATTTGATGATCTGGGGGCTCGTGGGCGCAGCCAGTTTGACTGACCAATCGATCGAATTGATACTCGAGTTCTGAAACAAAGGGCTGTGATGGGAAGAAGAGAGATTCTGCCATGCCGCCGATGAAGAGGGCATCATCTCGACCGCCATATGCCACAAGATGCATCGCGACAGAGCCAGCTCCAGCTGAAGCGCCGTGGATAACAACATGGTTAGGATCACCACCAAACTGAGATAAGAGTTCAGTAAATAACTTAAATCTAGCATCTAATGGAGGGCACTCTTACCTCATTGATATACGTCCTCACCCATTTCAATAACATCCGTTGGTCCAACAACCCGACGTTCAAGTCGCCATCAGCCCTCACACGCTCACTAGCCAGGAAACCCCAAAGGCCAACGCGATAATTGAAGTTGACCATGACGATGCTGTGTTTCGATTTTTCCACCACTTCAGCACCATCCCAGTTGGCGTTGGAGTTTGTGACATATCCTGCCGAAGCTTATTAGCAAGAGCGCTTATTCATCAAATAGAAAGAGCCACCACAAGACCACATACCGCCTCCTTGAATAAACACCCAGACCGGTAACTTCGATGACCTCGTAGCATTCGCTGGCATCCACACATTCACAAATAGGCAGTCTTCATCCTGTCCTGGATGGGGATAACCTGCGCCGATACCAAGACATATCGGAGGGAACTATCACAGGGAATCGCTCAGCATCAACTACTCCTCTTGAGCGCGAGTTTCTCTCGACATACCTTTGATGCCGGCACAACCCTCCCAGTAACTCTCTCAGGCTCGACCGGCGCCCGCCAGCGCAAGTTCCCCAGCGGCGGAGCGGCATACCGCATGCCCAAAAACGCATTGACCCCGTTCGACAAGCGCAAGCCCTCATAGGTGGTGTAGTTGAGATCAATGATAGCAGACCCAACAACGGCGGGCTGAATGAGGAGGAGACATGTTTCGATTAGCCTTCGTGAAATCAACATTGAGGGACCAACCAGAATAAGGAAAGGTGAAGACGAGGAGGGAGGGGTGGGGAGCTCAAGATGCTTGGACTTCGACTTCAGAAGGCCAAGTTGATGGCACCTCCGTTGCTGTGCGCGGCAGTATAGTGATAGACGCACAGAAGTTGCCACGGCCTCAAGCATCGAGCAAGCCACTTCACCGGTACATGGAAAGTCCGTTTTTCTATGTTCTGTCTTTTGCCTGCCCGTCTTGTAGCCCTTCAATGAGCAGCTGAAAAAAAAGGGAAGTTACAATGTTGAGTGCGATTTCAAGAATGATGAAAGTGTCTGGGAGAAATGCGAGGACCGAGGTCCATCCGCAAGGCAAACTGACGGGAGGTATAGTGATGACTGTCGGAGTAACTCAGACACTTGAGAACAGACGTTACCATAGAAACGGAATCGAGTTGACGTTGCTCTGTTTCGACTCACCTTCTTCCATCCCGATGATGCCGTGAATGGTGCAAAAACCAACACCCAGACACCAAACTGGATCGCTAGCGCCACAATCAGGACCAGAAACATGATCAACACGGCTCGTGCTCCATCTGCCGAAGCACTTGTCGTCCGTTGAAATGGCCATATCTTCTGCTGATGCCAGCAGACCTTTTGTATCCAAGATACCTCCTCCCCCCGTCTCTTAGGAGTTTTCAAGTCATCATCTTCCATCTCGCCTTTCGTCTTTTCCTTCATAGAATCCTCGGGACCATACTGGAGATCGGATCGCCTGTGTTCTTCCTCATTGCCAATTACACGCTGTTCTTCATTTCCCTCCTGCTTACAGCTTCCGTTTGTTCTGTTCCACACAACAGAGCATCCAAATGGAGATCCCGTATGGAACGCTTCGCCTTCAGCTTCCACCTGTTGTTGACCAACGAACTGGTTCATGCTGTCTCAAGTTCTCCATCCAGATTTGGTACCCGTCGAGGAGTGAGCCTGACACTCGCCGCTGGCTTGAAATGACGTCGAAGCACAGCGCATCCAGGTATTGACGATGTGAACTGGAAAGTCCACGAGATCACACGGACAGCAGTGATAATTTGGGATTTCGTCTATGAAGGAGCAAAAACAAAACCTGTTGCTACAAGGATGCCGAGGAAATCAAAACGGCCCGGACTGGCAGCAGCAGCATCAACGCACAATTTGGGTTGTAACTGCAAAGATGCGGTGGCCGCGCATGAGGCAGATAGGTTGGCTGTTGTCTTGCTCAAAGCTGCTAGCTGACGCTGCTGTGAGCGAAGGCTGCGTGAGACAAAAAGACTATTATTTGTTGGTTAACGACTTCTTCAAGGACAGGACCCGAGGGTTGGCTGCTTACACCACAGAAGTTGGTAGGCGAGCGGGGATGGGATGTACGCTTGGCTATCGGTTATCGAGGCGGGGGAATACCCCTGAGAGGGAAGTTGTCACGGGGGCTGCTGCAGATGTTGGCGCCTGATAGGTGGCAACTGAGAAAAACGAGAACTTGTAAAAATGAAGAGCCCATTTGCAAGTGTCACCAATTACAAGCAACAGAAGCTGTCATGGTTGGGAATTTTTTTAACAAAAAAATAGGTAAAAACGAGAAAACCAAAGCACGATGTATTCACCTCCTTTCCCGCCTCTCCTAGACCATCCAGCGGGCAACGTCTCTAGCCCTGTCACATCGCAGATTATACAATCCGCATTTCCGCAATACGATCCTTGGCAAACACGTCTTTGTAAGCGTCCCACAACCTGACGACTTCTGCGACATATTCCATGTGTAGCTGGTCGACATAGTCGTCTCGGATGGCATCTTCCTTCTTCTGGACGACCGGAATAGGCTTGCCAACTACCACATGCACGGGATGGCGGTAAGGGAGGGTGCCAAAATCGTCGTTGAAGATGCCGCGTCCACGCAAAGCCGGGAGCGTAAAGCGCACCATCTTCAACATAGCATTTTGAAAGAAGTGCATCCACGGATGCCGCTCCTGCTCAGCCTGATTGTACAGGTCGTTCTCCCCGAAGCCAATGACAGGGACGAGGTCAGCACCGGTGCGGATGGCCTGCCTGATGAAGCCTTTCCTCTGAGATAGGTAAAGCTTCATGCGCCCAGGCTTGGCCTCCAAGGATTCTCTGGCACCGCCCAAAACGATAGTCACAGACCGACCCATGCCCTCGCCATTGAGCCCACCCTTCGTCAAAATATTGTGAATAGACTCACTAGATACCGACTGCAAGCCCATGGCCAGGGCGTAGTCCCTGAGCAGCGGTATCCGGAAATTAACATCCAGGGTACACAGGGAGTTGGTGATGCCAGGGAACTTCTCAGACCAACCGGCACCTTCCGTGGCGAGGGCGGCCACAGCACCGTGAGAGATGATACCGTGTGGGTGGTAGCCGAGGATGTACTTCCGAGTCGGTAGAAGATCGTGTGTCTTGTAGAGCCGGACAGGGAAGTAATCGGCGAAATGCCGCCACATGGCGCAGCGACGGAACCACTCCGAGCGCCCTCGCAGCGTGCCATCGGTGCTCCGGCTAGACATGGCCAAGTGAAGCAGGTAAGGAATTACGACCGGCCAGAAGATGGGAACACCGCAGAAGAAGAAAGTGCAGGCAAAGGCAACAGCCAGACTCGACATGTGGCACACAACGGCCAAAGTCTGCAACAGACGCCGATAGGGTACTTTCCAGTCCACAAGGCGGACCCAGTTTCTGTGTCGGGAGTCCACGCCCTCTCCCGTACCGTCCACTTCTGCTTCGATGGCCAGCGGAGGGTACGTTGTGGTTGAGACGAACGTGACCACAAAGCCAGACTCGTCCTTGGTCCTGCCGGCCGGCTGGACAGGCGTGCTCGAGGAGGGCTGCTCGGTTTTCACGGCTAGAGCGCTGTCTGGGCTTGCTAATGGAATGGGATCGGCAGCAGGGCGCTCAATGCCAACGCCGGTGGACTCGGGCGAACCAGCACGCTCCCAAACGGGCTCGACGGCTGTGTAGGGAGGGGGCGGGGTACTGTGGGCGTCTGTTTCGTCGAGTAATGCCTATTGGCCACAGCACGTCAGTCAAGCACGGCAGACAAAAGGGGCATTGCAAAATACAAGTTGCTCTGCTGTGACAGCAACATTGCTTTTCTCCTCGACTTCGGTCCCGTCTTGGGCGTTGACGGTCGGTTCGGCATCCATAGGCTCGGGCTGCTGCTGCTTGGGATATTGGTGGGAGGACATCCCAAGGGCGTTTGCCTTCTTGGCCTGAGCCCTCCGGCGGGCATTTCTCTTCCGGCTCGCCGACGGCTGGGCACTACTCGAAGCAGAGCGGGTGGTTGCTTCGAAGTAAGGCGGCGCTGGCATTTTCGGTTACAGAGTCAAGTCTCCGGACCTCGAGTGAGTGAAAGAGCGGAAGAAAAGAAGAAGCCGCAAAGAAAGTTCAGGTCCGGGAAGAGCTTGGTAGGTACCGGTTAGAAAATGATTCCGAGTTTGAGCTGGGACCCGGATGGAAGAGGAAGTGGTCTCGTTCTTCTTCTTTCTATATATATATATATATATATATATATATTCGTATTTCCGGGCTCCGGGGGAAGGAACCAGCGATCAGGTAGTCGCCCCAACACTGGCCGCCGAGTGCAAGTGCCGCCTTCGGAGCGTGGCCTGGCCCAAGCAACCTTGAGAAAAGAGTAAGTTTAGATCCTCCGGACGGTCATCGGTCAGATTATGAGCCTGTGAGCTCCAAGCGTGACGAGGACATGGACTCGGAAAGTATTACAGAGCGTAGGAAACTGAGCACCTACTGGAAAATGGACACATGTAAATGAGGAAACTCCGATTGGTATTTCACTCTCGAAACAAAACACGGTTACCTCGACTCGGAGCCTGGGCAAACCCAGGAAAGCTTGGATTGCCCCGAGGTTGGCAAGCGCAGGGAATTGTGCTGTAGAGAGGCAAAAGAAACGACTTATTGACGATGGATGGATGGCCGGAATGATGGAGGCCCCTTCTGTCGCAGGGAGTGCTTGGACACAGTGATTGGTAGTTGTAGTAAGTTACCTAGGTAGTCCATAAATAACGAGGGCTGGGCCTGGAAGCGAGGGACAAACTTGGCCTTAAAGCAATGGAAGATAGGATTTTCGAAGGCCCCTCAGGTCCGAACCAGAAGTAAGTTACCTAAGCATGTAACAAGACATGTAGGAGGCCACGAAGCAGAGAAACACGCAAATGTGGCTCGCAGTTCACTTCATGGAAGGAGGCACCCAAGTTACAGTAAGGTACCTTAGGCATTCATCCAGACCCAGGTCGTCTGCAGGCACTGTCGAGGCGCGCAGCGCAGGAAGACCGGATCGTATACTGGAGTGACCGTTGGAGCTTGGCGAGAACGTCAGGTCCCGCTGCTTGCGGCTTTCAAAAGCCGAGACTGAGTGGATCGGCTCGGCCCAAAACTGGGGCCTGGGTGTCTGGCCTCTGGGCAGGCCAGGCAGTTGCTCGGTGCCGAATGTCCGGGTCGCGTCCCCTCCGCAAGGACACTCAGCCTGCGTGTTCGTAGCGTATAAATCGAACCGGGGTGCAACTTCCACAGCATGCAAAAACGAATTGGCAATCCCGTACAACCCGGATTGCTATGTTGCATGGGCGAGGCCAGGTGATGTTAAGGTGGTGGGACCGCTATTTGCCTGTTGCCAGGATCGGCTCAAGACGCCACCATTGTTGCGCCAAGCCCGGCGGCATGTGGCGCGTGGCTCGCGGATGGGAAATGTTGCGCTGATTGTCGGCATCCCCACGACCGCCAGTACACATCTACGTATATGAGTGTAATCTGTACCTAAGTAGCGAACGCGTACAGAGCAGGGCCCAATATCAGTCTTAGAAGAAGGGATGGCCAGCACGGCCAGGCGCTCGCGGGCTATTAATGACACTGACATTAATATCGCCGTATCAGAGGAGTTAGACAGGACTGGATGTGTCACGCAAGCAGAAACGCATGGTCATTCATGTCAATTGATGAGTCCTCCGCGTCATGAGGGTGAGGAGAGAGGCTCGACCGAGCCCCGATGATGAAAGCCGCAAATCCCGTCGCTAACTAAGGAATCCGCAGCCCGTGGCGGCAGATTAAGCTGAGCTGCGTTGAGTTGCATGCATGACTAGCCACCCTGCCCACTACCCGCTACCCATCACCAACTCTACCAGTCTTCCCACTGTCCCCCAGAGAAAAAAAAACATCACGAAGTTGACGACTGTACTGAGTGTCCCATTTCACCTCTCATTTTGACCGCCACCGTCCTACCGTCTTGCGCCTGAACCATTCATGCCGTCCCTTCAGACTCTAGAAACCTAGCAACTTCCAGAATAGGCAGAGATGTGTAAATAGCATCGTCAAAATAACCGCCGCAATCGCAATGTGCCATGACACATCGTCTCCATAAACGTCCTTGTTCCCATCGCATCAGTCCAGCTCCTGCCTGTTGCCAAGGTAGGACGTCTCTGACCCAGCTCCCGCTTCTGCAATAGCATGACCGTACCCCCAACCATCCTACTGTTGGGGTGCCGGTGCTGCAGCTGCTTCGCCAGTCGCGTCGCTTTCATTTTGTGGAGCTAAAACCTGCTGCCGAAGTCTCGCAACCTCGGATGACAAGTTCGCGATCTGTTGCTCGTGCGCATCGAGCTTTTCCAGAAGCTGTGTCTTGTTCCTGATTTCCGCTTCCAACTGGCTTGTGAGGTTCTTGACCTTGTTCTCGAGGTGCTGAAAATACGCCCAGAGGTTGAGATCCGGTGATGCATAGTTAGCTTCGCCTTCTGCACTTGCTCCCGATGGCGCCGCGGTGCCGCTTGTCGATCGACCCCGTCCGCGACTTGCGCCAACAGCAGCTTGGTCGGCCACAACTGAGTTGCCTGTTGCTGTAGTCAATCAGTAAGCGGACCGGAGCTTGAGGGGAAATGCCTGTCTTGCTTTACTAAAAAAAAAAAGAAAAGAAAAGAAAAGAAAAGAAACCTTACCGTGCGAAGTGATATTGTTCAGCCCATGAGCAAGCTGTTCAGCGGCTGCCCGCTGTGGTCCAGTGGCGGCGTTAACCTGAACACCAGCGGGGCTAAGAGACTTTGGACTCTCGGTCATGCCGGGCTGAGGGTAAAGGGATGTGCTGCTTACGCTTACAGGCACGGAGGCAACACCTGTATGCGGCGTGTGGTTGTTGGGAACGCTCGGCGCAGCATTCGAATTTGCGGACCCGCGGTCGGTATTTGGGGGATAGAGCCCTCCAGCAATGGCTGGTCGTTGGTTGCCTGTGGTATACGAATTTGCGTGGGCGCCGCCGTACCCTTCTGTCGCAGACGGCCCACCAACATGTTGCGCCTTCATGCTGAGTCGTCGCCGCTCGTCTTCTGTTCCATCTGCTGCAGCATTTCCATCGTACATTTCGCCAGAGATTGCGGGATCCTCTGTCGGACCAGCAGCCGCCGCTGGCGGGGCTGCCGGTGCGGTAGCCGCGGCATTTGAACCATCAAAGCTCTCTTTGAGGGCCCCAAAGAGACTCAATGTCTGTCGTCTGCCTGCGCATCCGCCTGCTCCTTTGCTGTGTCGAGCTAATGCGTCTCCACGGGCGAACTTCCGGTCGCAATTCGGGCAGACATGGGGTTTCTCGCCCGTATGCAACTTGCTGTGACGTTTCAGGTCATGAAGACGACGAAAACGCATTTGACAGGATTGACAGACATAGGGTTTCTCTTGGCTATGTGTAAGGAGGTGGCTTTTGAGGTTGTGATGCCGTGTAAATTCCGTGTCGCAATAGGGACATTTATGTTTCTTGGTGGCTGACGACGGTGAACGGGGGACCATCGTGCTGGGAGAAGATGTCTGAGGATGATGGAGTCCCACGGGCATAGTCATTCCTCTCTGAGCCGGGGAGGGTACCGGCATAGTTCCGGGATACTGGAGTGTATGTGCGGTTTTGTTGCCATCCTCCATCTGGGCTTCTGGTTGTGGCGGATATGCGTTTTGGTCGTGGCGCTGGTCGATATCCATGGCCGCGGGGCTATCAACTACTTGCCCATCGCCGTCTGCCAGGGTAGGCCCGCTGGCGCCGCTTTGCGGGCTCACGTCTTGAAGCTCCTCCGTGGCAACATGGCTTGGTGCCGGTAAAGCCACAGAGCTGAGCGCTCTCGCAGCTGCAGCCGCCGCAGCTTCGATGTCGGTTTGACCCGCGTCCGGAGGTGTTTCTTGGGATCGGCTGTTTATCTCAGTCGCAACGCTGGCCATGAGGTCGTTCAACGCGTTTTGCGTCGCAGGTTGGGCGTCGCTATGTTCTAGCTGGCCCAGCGGCTGTGGCTGCGGCGGGGCAGGCTGATGGTACTGGTGTTGTTGTTGCTGCTGGGCCTCCTCGTCCTGCCCGCTTGCCTCGTCGCGGGGCGCGTCAGATGGATGCGACTGTCTCGCAAACCCGACCAGCCGGGCGATCTTGGATGGCGACATGTCTCCCCCAGACTCAGCATCTTGCATTGGTGGAGTCGTCTCACGTGTGCGCTTGAGCGACTTCTGTCGAGATGCATCGGCGACGGCGGCAAAGGTAGTGTTTACAACAGGCTGCGGCGCGGCCGAGCCAACTCGCGGACTTTCCGCGTTGGGACCCCGATCGGAGGCCATTTTGTCGAAAGACAGGCCGTGCCAAGCCAAAGGAAGCTGTCCAGAATCAAAAATGAGACTGTAGGCTCATTTAATACACACTCTGTTGCTTGCACAGCGTCACCGTTGGTCGACGAGCATCACCAAGGTGACGGCCGGCTTGGAGGCTTTGATGTGTGGCTGGAGAATCGTGGCGAGAGCTCCCCGAGTGCAAGGCGACGGAGCGTCAAATGAACGACGATCGAGGGGCAAGTCAGTCGGAAATAATTGAACAATGAACGTCCACCTTTTCCGGTACTCAACAAGTCTACTCGGGCTCAGTAACCTATGTGGTTCGCACTTGGTGTGGGAAACAAATCGTGCTTGGAATTGAGGTTGGCGTTGGCTGTGATGGCCACAAGGTGGGAAGCAGCCCCAGTGGAAGACGAAGGTCGAGGCTGAGGCGACGGGGCAGGCCGCAGGAGGAAAAATGGAGAGCGGATGCAGCGCGACGCAGTGCTTTCCAGCCCGCCCCGTCGCTGCGGCCAGCAAGCAGCAAACACCAACCGTAGGAAACAGGGTCTTGAGTGCTTACACAGTAAGCTGTTAATAGGACTATGTGGGGTCAAGCCAAAAGTACCAGCTGCCAAGCTTTGATGGCTGTGCAAGAACGCCACAATGCAGCGGTGGGTCTGTGCTCCGAGTCGGCGTCTCCCTTCTTCGAATCAGGATCGTAAGAGTGGCTGAAGCTTGTTTATTTAGTGAATCACACAGTTAATCCGCGCAATGTCTTGTTCCATAGCAAAACGGCCGAATCGACAGGCTTGGTCCAGCCTCACCAACCGACAGGTGGAGGAACTCAAGTCGGAAACACAAAACACTTCCGTCAAGAAACATTCGCAGGAGAAAAGATCGTCATAGCGTCTGCTTATATTTGCGTATCACTAACACTTCAAGTACTATCATCACACAAACGGCAGGTAGCCAGATGCTGAGCAAGCCCGAGGAGCCAGGACAGAGAAGGTCGCTGTCCCAGACTTCAAATTGGTACATCTGCTCTCGCTGGCTACTGTGCGAGCTGTGCTGTCCTCTACATATATCCGTGAAAAGCACTATGCAAACGGATAACGAGGCGTAGGGCGTCACTCAATGCGCAGAACCAATCCAAAATCGCTACGCAGTTGATACTTAGGCAATACGGTTCCTACCGTGCGTTTTTATATGTGTCACAATGAATCACGGTGGTAGTTGCCTGCTCTGGTGTACATGAAAAGTTTGAAAGGCTTTCTAGTTCCCTAAGCTGAACCACATTCCTAATATAGGTACTGTTGCCAACCCCGGATCATCTGCGTGATATTCGAAGGGCATAAACACTTCAGTTCTCACCTACATCTTAGCTAACTGATACCCAGTACGCAACCTCCAAAGTATGCAGAAAGGCTGGGCTGGGGCGCCACGCATGGGTCAGCCAAAAGAGTTTTACGGCAATAAACGCTTAAGTTAGGCATGCTCGACGGGCCATGATCTTAACTGTCGGGAATTGTGTTGGGGTCTCCGAAGATACAAAGTGGTTTCTGGAAGTTTGGACCATCAATGTTAGACATTCCAAAGCGTTTCTATAGATGTGGCAAGAATATAATGGATAGTATGATTCTGCAAATAATTGCGGCCATTTCTAACACTGTCCTGAGTGATACCGAGGTGATTTGAGCATGTCATAACACTGATGAGATCCGTGGGAACGATTGCTAGTTAATCTCAGGATCCCCGTATTTTTCGGTTACACTGGTACTGGTTGTTCCCGACTGTCCAACGGTATCTAATCTGGAGGCTCAATGGCCTGGGTGATTCAAGAGTCCTAAGTGCAGAGCACCATGCGTATCAAGGATAGCGCACCTTAACGTATTTTATGACAGCGTTTGTAATTCTCACTTCGAGCACAAAAAGCGCAGTGGTTGTGGAGAATCCAACCTGAAGCTAAAGCAAATCCACTTCAAGCCAATGGCTCAATGATACCTATTCCACGCGGATTCACCTAGGTAGAAACTGTCCCTTATCACAGTGGCCCGTACGCCCATTACACCATAGGCATCATACAGTCTTACTTAGTTTTCTCTCGAACATTCGTAAAGAACTTTTTTCCCTTGTTTCCATTCTCATTTTCTGTTTACATCACCCTCACGACTGGCAGCTCGTGATCATGTGGAAGCTTCAATCAATCTCAATGAGATGGATAATGTTACGTCCTAGATGTGGACCACCAGCCGTCCCGGGTAGTGGAGGAGGACCAATGAGGAACCCTCAAGTAGGGGCAGAAGACAGACCAATCACATCCAAGGAAAGATTGTTGCTGCCAAGAACCACCAACATTCGACCTCTACCCTTGATGATCCTGAACTTTGGTCGATGATAATCTGAATGGCAGGATAGGCATACCAAGGATTTCCGACTATAAATGTGTACCTAGAATCTCCCATCCAAAAACTATTATGAGGACTTCCTCAGTCAGTAATAGAAACAGTTGTCAGCCAACAACTGGTGACCACAGTCGACCACTTACTCTACTGTGTGAAGACCCAGTCCCTTAGGTTCTACAACCCAAGCCACTACCTTCGGGCCCATCTCAGGAGGTTGTGAAATCGTCACAGACAATCCGTAGAAACAGACTATCAAAAATCATCAGAGTATGCTCGAGGGGTAAGAGTATAGGTTGAATCGCGACGTGCATGGCTTTAGACTTGTGTTCGAACGTAGTGGCCAGGCTGTAGAACCTGAGGGACTGGGGTCCTCACACAACAGGGCATGTGATTCACTGCGGTCACCAGTCGTTGGCTGAAAACTGTTTCTATCGCTGACTGAGGAGTTCTCGTCATGGCTCTGGGAAGGAGCGATTCTATTTACATACTTATACTCAAGAATTGTTGACATGCCTTCTCTGTCATTCCAGTTGTCACCAAGCACTTCCTCAATTGTCACCAGGTGTTGCGCTCGATCAACAGTGTTTTCTTAGCATTGATAGTTTCCCACCCTTCTAATTGCCTGATGTCCTAATCGTACCAAACCTCCTCTTGATTGGCCAACATCATGGCCGTAACACATTGCATGGGTTTTCTCGACGTCATCATTGACCGGGGGGTTAAGATTAACCATGAGAGTCCGGATTGGTGAGGACTTCTACAAGTTTGAGTTCTCTCTAATATACGAACTCAGAGGTAGAAAACTTTTAACTGATGGAAACGCCTCCTCTTTCGACACATATGTAAACCTCGCCAATGGATTTTATGGACCATACCAATGCCTTGTAACTGGACACGATGCCAAGCTGTATTGAGCAACCTGACCATTTGTTCATTCTTTTTGAGAGTGCTTTCCCTAGATGAACTGCAAGCCAAGGCAAGGGAAGATAAGAGGGCGTTTCCACACTCATATGACAGCCTAATGCATGATCCAGGAAGTCAGAAGTGTTTTTGTTAGACCACCATTGCTCAATGACAGTATCACCGAACAAGCTAATCAGCAGGCTAGCTATCCTAGATCTTATGTTGTTTGAGCAGGTGCTATCCTCCGTGCAAATAGGGTTGTTCATACATCTTAGTGATACCTGCTTCTTGTGGTTTTCCCATATACTCAGGTCGACCTTCGACTTCGAACCCGAAAATCAGCTCCCAAAACGATAGTATTGACCAATGGTCCACTTAAGTTTATATACTTAGGTAAGTAACAAACGCACGGAAATTGACAATTATTTTGCACTGTGTACCATCTCAGTCTTCAAGTCATGTAGGATGGAGGGATCACGAGACAATTTGCTACAAACCAAGAAAATACTGAAGGCCAAGGGGGTTACATGATTGTGTAAATAATGCCTTGCTTGGAATCAGTAGACCAATCGCAAATCTATGAATCCGATCAAGGGCTGAGTCCTCTCCCATCGCAGATTTGGTATCTCCGGCAAAATGCCGAAGCTATCGTTTCATTGGCTCCCAGAAAATGCACCTCGAAACTCTTCATTTCGAGAACGGCAATGGATGATGCGGAGTAAATACCCTCCTTTTTCGTTACACTTGATGAGAACGATTGTTTATGGGGTTGTCTACAAAAGCGGCAGATCTATGTATAGCGTGCAAAAGTCTTGACGTAAGCAGGACTTGAAAGAAGAGAGGGAAGTGCGATGTGTTTATCCAGCCGGGACCGATTTGCCCGGCTTGTTTGAGCTCGACTTTGTGGAACGCTGATGTAGGCAGTTGGCGGCTAAGCCAAATGGTTCGAGATAAGCTACCTATCTAAATAGGGAGCACTTTGATCTTGAGAAAGCAAAGCACTTCGATGGTCCGGGAAAAGCGGTTACTTATTGTGACAGTACTCTCCGGTGGTGTAAGATTTGGTTTCGTGTTTTTTGTGCTTGACCAGCATTTTCAAAACCCATGTGCAGTCTTGGTGTGGACACTTCGACGGTGACCATGTTTGCTGATCGTTAGCAGGCGATGGCCACGAGAAGCCTCATGTGTCATTGCGTCCTCGAGACTTAAGTTGTACCTTTGGTACAGTGTGTTGCACAGTGAGCAAAGTCTCCGGCTAACATAACTTTGGATCGAAGAACTCCCCGAATAGCATGCTTCGGAATTACACCGTTCAAATGCACTAGCACTTCACGATATTGCCCCATACTCAGGTCAATTTGGTGAGTACGACATGGCATTTGGATGGAATGATGTAAGGGAGTGTGAGCGCCACACGGTGTGGCCGCAAAACTTGGATGTACTTCCTGTGTAGATCAATTCTCCAGCGGGCAGACTGGACTTGACGAAACGGGTGATGATGGTCAGAGCAGCGGACAGCATGTTCACCGGACTTTGATGAAGGGAACAGTAGTACCGCCTTATGATCACCGCTTATACAGTGTGATGTACTTATAATGTATGGCTCAAAGGACAGAGACCAGATGCAAGCCTATCGTTCTCTTCTTCTAGCTTAAGCTGTTCTCTGCATGTCAAGGCGCACAGTCAGGTTTTTTTTAAAAATTGCATATTTTCCAAAATGATTTCTCTTCCCTTTCTTCCCAGCTGGCGTCCTTGTTTTTGGCTGCCATTCCCTGGCCTTGCACCATGGTACCTGCAGGAACCACCAGGAACCGCCCTTCTTCAGGGGTTTACACAATCTCGCCAAGCGGCACCATCCCAGTCGTTGCCCTGGTCTTGGCACGCTCTAGGCAAAGCATCCCGGCCAGGGCTCATTTCGCTCCCCTTTCCTCTCGAGTTGGCCCACTTCCCTCCCTGGAGGCCCTGTCGCTGGCTCATCACGCACTCTTTTCCACGTCGTCCTCCGCGCATTCTCTTTCCTCACTCTTTTTCCCCAACCAACCGTCGGTCGTTCGTTTCTCTCCCCTTTTTGCGGCGCCGATTCCATCCAACAGAGAGTTTCAGACTCTCTACCACATTCCTTTGGAAACCAGACATCAATACAAGTCAAATACCCGACAAAATCCGCGTTTTCCGGCCAGCGCGCTTGATTGCGCTTAACTCCCACTGACTCGTGAGAATCTAACGATCCATCGGCAGGTAAGTTCCTCCACCAATGCCGCGGGAGTCTCAGCCGAACAGCAGCCCCCTCATGGTCGAAACGAACACCACGTGTCGAACTCTGCGCTTGTGTGGATCGTTGTGCTGTCTAGCACTTGGGCGGGTGACTGGCGGTTGATACTTTGGGCATCATGACAATTATGCGCCGACACGACACTGATGTAGACAACGGGCAATCTAGGAAGAGTTTCCAATCTTCGAGCGAAAACCGCCGTGTAAACCATCAAGATGAAGAGGTTCGTTAAGACTGCCGTTGCGGCGGCCGCGGTTGTCGGCGTCACCGCTCAACCTCATCACGGCCATCGCCATCTTCACGCCAAGAAGCACGACCATCAGCACCTTCAGCAGCGCGATACCGTGGTTGTCACTAAAGTTGTCCAGGGCCCAACTGTCACCGAGTATTGGCTGGATGGTAAGAAGATCGATGCTGAGCAGGCGGAGAAGGGCATCGAGAATGGCGATTTCTACGTTGTCGGCTCGTCGAAGCCGACTTTCACCGCGCCTCCTCCGATCGTTAGCACCTCGTTGGCGGGTCCTGAGCACGGTGGTCAATTCTTTGAGAAGGCTACATCTGAGCCAACGACGACGAGCACCTCAACCAGTACCAGCAGTACATCGACCTCTTCGACACCTACTCCTGAGCCTACCAAGGAGGCTCCCAAACCGTCGGGCCCCAAGGGTCTCGATGCCGATTTCCCCAGCGGCAAGGTTCCATGCAGCAAGGTCCCGACTGAGTATGGCGCTATTGAGATTCCCTGGTCGGGCACCGATGGTTGGACCACCATCATTTCGGTTGGAAAGCTGATCAAGGGCGTCGCTCTTGACAACATTTATACAGCTGTGAGCGGTGGCTGCAAGCCTGGTGACCTGTGCTCATATGCCTGCCCTCCTGGCTACCAGAAGACTCAGTGGCCTGAGGAGTCTCAGGGTGCTACTGGCCAGTCCGTCGGCGGCCTGTACTGCAACGAAGACGGATTCTTGGAGCTTACTCGTCCTAAGTACACCAAGCTCTGCGAGCCGGGTGCCGGAGGCGTTTTCGTCAGGAATGAGCTTTCTGGCAATGCTGCAGTCTGCCGTACCGATTATCCGGGCAATGAGAACATGATCATCCCGCTCGACACGTATCCCGGCAACACCTACCCTTTGACCAACCCTGATTCGAAGACGTACTACCGCTGGAAGGGCATGCCGACGACTGCTCAGTATTATGTCAACAACGAGGGTGTCGAGGTTGAGGAGGCTTGCACCTGGCGCAGCTCCAAGTACCCCGAGTCTGCCGGCAACTGGGCGCCGACCAACATTGGTGTCGGCAAGAGCGAGGACGGCATTACGTATATCTCAATCTTCCCCAACCTCCCCACCAGCAATGCTGTTCTTAACTTCGACATTGAAATCATCGGTGACATCTCGGGCACATGCTATCTCAAGAGTGGCAAGTACTACGGCAGCTCGACTGGTTGCACGGTATGTAGATCCCATCTTATTGCAGCGGTAACTTTTGCAGTAGAGAAGCTAACATAGTGAACAGGTCGGCATGCGCGAGGGCGGCACGGCCACCATTGTCTTCAAGAAGAGCTCTTGAGGTGATGACTCGATCAGGATCTTTGGTCATAGCTACCTTCCATTCGTACCCGCTGCTGCAGGCCCACGGCGCTCGCAGCGTCCGATGGTTTGGCGCTTCCCAACAACTATCGCAGCAATTTAACGGGCAGGGACAGTGGGTGGGGAGTTAAAGTCGCATTTTATTCTCGAATGTGTGTATGCCTTCGGATTTCACTCAGAAGAGGGTTAGTAGCCCATTGACGTACACATCCCTTTCTGCATGCGACAATGGCTGCCCTAACACCCTGTTGGGTGGCATCAACTTGGCCGGACGACGCGATTTTTTTGGACAACTTTTTTTTGCTTGTACTTAGAATTTTTAGTTGAATTGTTTTGGCGTATTATATGACACAGACTGTCTAGAAAACAAAATTCGTGGTATATCTGCTTTGTTCTAGAGTTTGGATGTAAGGACACTATCTAATTCATTACCTAATCATCATTGTACACCTCCTCCTATTCACAGCTCTGCCCCCACATTGTCAATGATAGGTAAATGTTCAAGTTGTATGTAGAGAGCTTTTTACTTCGTGTGGAGTTTCTTTCTGCTTGTCTGCAGTTTATGCTTGCATCAAGTATGACGTGCTTAAGTTGGGCCCATCAACCAACTTCTGCTACACAGTGTCTGTTGACGTTGCCCCTTGGCTTATCGGTTATCAAGCTTGTGACGTGCTGTTATTGGTGAGCTTTGTTTCAGCTTTCACCCAGCCCGCCGCGCAAGGCACTGGCTCAGGGTGGCATGAAATGGAAGAATAAGACAGTCTAGACCTTCCGATGCAGCCATGTGCCATCAGCACTTTGCAGCATGCTTGATGGATTCCTAGCAGCCTGCTCGCGGATGCATTCTCAACATTGTGGTTCCTGAATCATCGACGACCCAAAGTACATAGTAACGATCTTGCGCCAGTTGCAACCGTAGAGGCTCCACTTGCTGGACGAACGAGCGACGCGATAACGCAAGCACGGCGAGGGGCGCGGGGAGCAAACGTAACCTACCTACTATCGTTCTTCCATCCTGCTGCCTGACCCGACCTTTCACCTCCTTGCGCTGTTTGCGTGTTGGATCTCGCTTGCCCTTCGCTAACAGACATCCTGCTCCATCAATATCCCCATTCATGACAGCTCAGCCTGCACATAGCGCACCATGAGGGCCAGGGGAGCTCTACAGGTGGCGGCCTTCCTGGCGTCTGCCCTTTGGGCAATACCTCTGCAAGCGAAAAACGACAGGCCGAGCTTCCATACCAAGGCCTTTGAAAACATTCCCAAAAATTTGAACTACTTCCCTGACTCCGACGTCGTGCTCTTCCAAGATGTGGACGACAATAATGTCTTTCGCTCTGAGGACTCGGGCGTGACGTGGGAACGCGTGCGCGATGTGCCCGATGGGAAGGCCTGGATGCTCTACATGCACCAATTCGACCCCAAGCGCGCATACATCCTCACCGAGGGAACCCGCCACTATCGTACCAGCGATCGTGGGAAGACATGGCTGAGCTTTGACTCAGGAGCCGAGATGAGCATGTTCCGTCCTGACATCTTGCAGTTCCACGCTTCCGACCCCGACCGCATCATATTTAATGGCATGGCTTGCCAGGGCATCTTCTGTCAGGAGGTTGCCATGTACACACTTGATGGCTTCAAATCACCAGCCAAGACACTGCGTACCAACACGGATGGCTGCTGGTGGGCCAAGTCCTCAGAGTTGTTCACCACAGGATCCGAGGACCTGGACCGCAACCGTATTCTCTGCATCGCCCGGGATGCCTTTTCCCCCTTCAAGCAGGATCAACGCTTGGTTGTCTCAGATAACTTTTTCAAAAGCACAAGCGAGAGCAAAGACATTCAAGAGTTTGAGCCCAACTTGGACACCGACAAGCCGGTTCAGGGCGTCGTGAACGTTGCTGCTGTCAAGAAATGGATCCTCGTGGCGACCACATCCGTCAACACAGATGAGATGGCCCTTTTTATCACTGGGGACACCAAAAAATGGCACCGGGCCGTTTTCCCAACTCCCCGTGACAGCCATGATCATCGCGTCTTCCAAGAGGCTTACACGGTGCTGGAGAGCACCAACTACAGCATCCAAATCGATGTCATGACAACACGTCCTTCAAACCCCATGGGCATCCTGTTTACCAGTAACTCCAACGGCACGTTTTTCACAGAGAACATCGAACACACAAACCGCAATCGCCATGGTCACGTTGATTTTGAGAAGATCAGTGGCATTCAGGGTATCTTTCTGGTGAACAAGGTCGCCAACTGGGAGGAGATCGAACAGAAGCCTGGCTCCAGGAAGAAGGTCGTGACTGAGATTACGTTCGACGACGGCAGGACATTCGAAGATGTGACAGCCGAGGGCAAGAGGATCCATTTGCATTCCGTCACAGAACTAAACAATGTGGGTCGTGTCTTTTCTAGCCCTGCTCCAGGCTTGGTCATGGCCATCGGCAATACCGGAGACTATCTTAAGGACTACTGGGAAGACGGCAATCTTTATGTCTCAGACGACGCGGGTAAGACGTGGATCAAGGCATTAGATGGCCCCCATAAATATGAGTTCGGAGACCAGGGATCCATCCTCGTTGCCGTGCGCGATTCAAAGGAGCCTGATGTCGATGAGATCAACTACTCGCTCGACCATGGTCTGACCTGGAAGCAGGAGAAGCTGCCGGACGGCTTGAAGATCCAGCCGTACATTCTGACGACCACGCAGGAATCGGCCAGCCTGAAGTTTATTCTGATTGGCCGAACCAAAAAGGACCCTCAGTGGCAGGTCATTGCTATTGACTTTGAGGGCTTGCACGAGGCAACCTGCAAAGACTCTGATATGGAGGAATGGTTTGCGCGCGTGGACAAAGACGGCAAGCCGACCTGCTTGATGGGACACACCCAGAGCTTTCGTCGGCGGAAAAAGAAGGCAGAGTGCTTCCTGAAGCAGCCGTTCAAGCACCCTGAGCCTCAGACCAAGAATTGTGATTGCACCGATCTTGACTACGAGTGCGATTTCAACTTCGTTCGGGAAGATGGCAAGTGCATTGCCAAGGGTCCTGTCATACCACCTGAAGGTGTGTGCCGCGACGGCAAACCTGATGCCACTTTCAAGGGAACATCTGGGTATCGCAAGATCCCTGGCAACACTTGCAAGCCCACAAAGGAAATGGACGAAAAGTACAAGGACGTGGAAAGGAAGTGTTCCGAAATCGTGGGTGGTGGCAAGCCATCTGTTCCCGCGACGGATAAGATCGAGCAGACACAAAAGGCATTTAGCGACTATGATTTCCTGGAGAAGCACTACTTGGAACGTGGTGATTCCAGCTCGTCCAACGATGAAACCGTTATTCTGCGTGGCTGGAAGGGGAACAAGCCAGGGCGCATTCACATCACGAACGACCATGGCAAGACCTGGCACGCCCCCAAGGAGTTGGATGACGACGACATCACAACTATTATCCCGCATCAGTATTTCAAGGACATGGTCTTCTTCATTACAAAAGGCAAGACGGTTTATTACACTGCCGACCGTGGCAGAACTTTCCATAGCTTCAAGGCGCCTAGCAAGCCCGGCGACAAGAGTCCGCTGCCTTATCCCCTGGCTTTCCACCCAGACAAGAAAGATTGGTTGATTTGGATGGGCGAGAAATGCGACCGTGACGATGAGGATTGTTATCCTGTTGCTTGGTACACCAAGTACCGTGACGAAGACTGGAGAATCGCAGGGCGATATGTCCAACGCTGCGAGTTTACCGGGTCTAGTGCGTACAAGTATCCAAACCGCAAAGAGGAACAAATTCTCTGCCTCAAGCATGAGCGGGAGGATAACAGCAGGGACAACCCGTTGGTGCTTGTTTCATCGAATGACTGGTTTGAGACGGAGCACATCCGCAGCAAGAATGTGAAGGATTTTGCCACCATGGCCGAATTCATTGTTGTCGCAACGGAAGACACAGTCAACAAGACCCTAGAGGCCTCTGCCAGTCTTGACGGGACCATCTTCGCCGAGGCCAAGTTCCCATACGGATTCAACGTTCCGCATCAACATGCATACACGGTCTTGGATAGCTCGACACATGCCGTCAACCTGTTTGTCGCAACAGAGCTGGCTGAGGGTCGCACACGTGGCACCATTTTGAAGAGCAACTCCAATGGAACGTCGTACGTAGTCAGCATTCATGATGTCAACTGCAATGACGAGTTCTACGTCGACTTTGAGAAGATGCTTGGTCTGGAGGGCGTGGCGCTGGTCAATATTGTTGCCAATCCCGACGAAAAGAAGAGTAACGCGCCTAAGAAACTACAGACCAAGATTACGCATAACGACGGGGCGCGTTGGGCTTACCTTCCGACTCCCGCGCATGATGAGTTTGGCAGGTTCCCGTGCCAGTCACAGGGCAATGAGAAGTGCGCGTTGCATATCCATGGATATACGGAACGTAAGGATCGCGGAAAGACATATTCGTCCCAGGGTGCTGTTGGTCTCATGTTTGGATGGGGTAATGTTGGCGACTCACTGGGTCATATTGGAGACGCCGACACATTCATGACCGCCGATGCTGGTATTACATGGAGGCGGGTGAAGAAGGGTCAATGGACGTGGGCCATGGGCGATCTTGGCTCCATTATTGTCCTGGTCGAGACTACCACAACCGGTCCCAAAAAGACAAAGACACTCTCGTACTCACTCGATCAAGGTGCTACCTGGCATGACTATCAGTTCTCGTCCGAGGAGGTCGAGGTCTGGGATGTGACGACATTGCGGTCCGGCAGTTCTCGCAATTTCTTGCTTTGGGGCCGGGACAGCAAGGGCACTTTTACCATCAATCTCGACTTTTCCGGCTTCAGCGAGCGCGTCTGCAAACACGATGACGACCCGAAGAAATCAGACTACTATCTCTGGTCGCCGAAGCATCCTTTGCAACCAGATGGCTGTCTATTTGGCCACATTTCGCAATACCTGCGTAAGAAGGCCGACAGGAAGTGCTACAACGACTTCAAGCTACAGCCCTTATACGGAAAGTTGAACTGCACTTGCACGAGAGAGGACTTTGAATGGTGAGTCCATGCTCGCTATGTAAATCATTTCATCTACGCCGGAATCCAATACTGACTCATATCACAGCGACTACAATTATGAACTCGATCCCTTCGGGCAATGCAAGTTGGTCAAGGGTCTAAAGCCAAAATCCCCTGAGGTTTGGTGCGCGGAACATCCAGATGCCATCGAATACCACGAACCGACCGGCTACCGCCGGATCCCTCTGACTACTTGCTCAGGCGGCCTGGCTCTCGACACCGAATCGCCTGTCCATCCATGTGCCGGCCATGAGAAGGAGTTTGAGAGGGCCCATGCTACCTCGCCTGTGGCTATATTCTTTGCCGTTACAATCCCATTCGCTATCGCCTTTGCCGCCGGCTGGTATGTCTGGCGCAACTGGAATGGCAAGTTTGGCCAGATCCGGCTCGGCGAGCCTAACGGTGGTCCTTCAGGAGCTGTGTTTGACTCTGACAGGCCCTGGGTCAAGTACCCCGTCATTGCGCTCAGCGCTGTCGTCGCAGTCATCGGTGCCATGCCTCTCGTCGTGGGGGCATTGTGGAGGAGCGCAAAGGGCTATACGGAGAGATTGGGCCTGGGCGGCCGCGGCTACTATGGTGGGGGCCGTGGAAGATGGAGTCGACTTGGGGGTACCAGGAGGTTTACCACGAGGGACAGCTTTGCCAGGGGAAGCGGGGATTACGCGATCATTCCTGATGATGAAGGAGAGCTGCTTGGGGAGGATGACAGTGACGAGGAGGTATGAACCCAAGACCGGTAGTAGGGTGGCCTAAGTATATCGGGTACGTCAAAGAGTTAGCGACTTAGATGGGGGACAATGGTTCATGCCTTAGTTTTCTGGTTGCTTGGGTCGGTCTTCTCTCTTATGGTTTGGAAAACGTAGAGAAGTGGTAAGGGAAGGAAGTCATCTCTTTGCAAAACCAAATCGCAGGGTCATAAATGTATTTACCTACCCCTCTATGTACGTGTGTCAAAAAAAAAGTTCGAAACATATAGCGACCTCGAAAAGCCAGAGTCAAACTTGAGCGCAGCGAGCTGGATGATTCTTGGTTCTACAGAGCTTAACTCCATTTTTTTTTACGTTGGCATTCAACTCCTTGATGCTCATCATTCAATTTCACCAGTCAAGCAAGAGGATCATGTGCTGTATCTATCACCAACATCTTTTCAATTCATTCCCACTTCCGCTACATAGACTTGATCCCTTCAAGGTTGGAGGCTTGGGGTCCCCTTTTTGAAAGACTCCGGCCCCCTATCCTCAACAACCAAACACTGTAAAGGTGGATGGATTAAGCACGCACAACCAAGGTAACATCAGGCGCTTAGATTGATCCAAACACTTGCACTTTCTCCCTCTTTGAGTACATCCTCCCCTTTTTTGGTGTCATCTAAACAGCCGATACCACCAAGTCCCTTGGCGATAGCTACATTCATGCCACTGAGAAACTGTGCAGTTCCATTGACCATGCGTCAAGCAGAGCTTGGGTGCAATCGGCAGAGAATGAACACAATGGCCTTTGCTACTATCCCACCCTCACCTGCATACGCTTGAACCGATGGAACGCCGGCGAGACAAGAAAGTTGTTTAACAGCAGGTCGCATGCACCGCTAAGCATCTCCTGCAGGATAAGAAGTAGTAGATGGTAATATTGTTTTGCATGCAGCCGATCATGCATGACTCGGTACAGAGCAGTTTTGTCGACTGCTGTAGGCACGTATGCTCTTGGTGCTTGGAAGAGGTCAACCGTGGCTCTTGTCCATGACCACCACACTAGTAGTAGCAGCTTGAAGAGACACCATTGCAGCATCAAGCGACAGGAGCATGCATTTTGCAAGAGATAGTTAGCATTCCTGTCTAGTGGTAAAGGAGGTAATAAGGAGGTAGTATCCATCAACCAGCCCAAGCAAGTGAAATGTAGCGTTCCTAGCTGATTTTTCATTAATAGTGTGCAGCCGCGCACCGACATTGGGAGCAAACATGCGTCTGTTCGCAGCTCCATCCGCCACGGGGTCCGGCCGCAAGCGAAGCGGGGGCCAGGAGGATATCCTTGGGTCATGAGCACGGTCACCGCAGGGTTCTCGAAGGGGGCATGCACATGCAATAAAGGTACGCTAGAGCGAAACCTGTAAGGACCTGATTACAATATATGAGGGGTCACCAAGTAAAAACAGCTAGATAGGCAGCAGTGAGCAGTGTGGTCTTGCTTGCATATCTTGAGCATCATATCTACCTATCAACACTGCGTTCTGTGAGATGAAGATTGGTGTCTAAAACAAGGACGGGAGCGGACAAGGAAGAAAGTGGTTCATCGTGAGATGGCAGTTGTAGAGGGATGTGATGTGATTTTATATCAATTGGAGCCAAAACCACCGCCAAAGCCTACCTTCCCACCCACCCACCCAAATTGCCAAAGGTAAACTTGCCATTAAAACCTGGAAGAAGAACACCGCCAACGCCTCGCTGCCGAATGGAAGAAGGAAATGAGAAGAACCCGTAACATAAAAGAGCGGACAGGTTTGTCAAACACAAGCCTAACACAACTATCCTCGTCTTACCCTATTCCAGATCCTCTTCACAGGATTTACCCCCTTCTCCCCTGACCCAGCACTGCCATTCCACCGATAGTCCCCGTAATGGTAACCCTCCGAAGACAAGGCCGAAGCTGCCAGGGCTGTTGGTCTACGGCTGTGCTGATGAAACGCCCTATGCTGTTGATGGTACTGCCGTTGCTGCCATCCATAGATCTCCTCCTCTTCATGTGGGGAACGCAGGTCCGGCCGTGTGAGAGTCATGCGCAACGTCATCTCGCGTGAGGATGCTGGGACCTGCGTATATACATCAGGCCCATCTCCTAGCAGGAATTTCTTGCCACTCCCGCCCAACACATCAGCCGAGGCGTACCGAGCGTGATGATGGTGTCTTGAACTAGGCTTTGGCGTAGCATTATTCGCAGATTCGAAAGGCTCTGGGGTCTTGGGGGAGTCCGGCTCTGCAACAGAGGGCTGGTCGCTGTTCAGGGTAAGGTTGTCATCGTCGTCATCGGCAAGAAAAGTACCACCTAGCTTCAAGGAGCCGTCTGAGTCTTGCTGAAAGTGGTTGTGCTGCCGTGAGCGGCTCCGAGCATTCCCGAGAAAGCTGCCGTTCCCAAAAAGCACGTCAGTGGACGGGAAGCCGAACCGAACAGCCTCGTCAAACTTTTGTGGAGAGGCGAGGTAGACGCGGAGCTTCAAGCGAGCCTCCGGGTCCTGGTAGTGCGCTGCTGTTGGGTCAAATGCGCTGATGGAGGGCTGCTGGGAGTGTTTCGGAGTGATGAGTGACAGGGCGCGAGACTTGCGCTTGGGGGCAGGCATAGGAGGGCTTGCCACATCGGGAGCCGGGCTGGAAGACGGGACCGGTCGGGTTGTCGTCGTTGACGAAGTTGCTGTTATTGCTGCGTCGTTTGTTGCTGGCCGCGTCGCCGAGAGCGAGTTTCGGCGACCAAAAGGAAGTTTGTTTATGGACAGGTGCCGTCGAAACGAAGGCCTTTGTTTCCCGCTGACCACGCTCTCCCGTAGATTGGCATGGTAATCGTCCAGGTAGAGCCGGAGGTCAAGATTCTCCTCCTCATCCAGCCACCGAAAGCTGTCATAGAAGGACGGGGGAATGTAGCCTTCACCTTCTCCTTCGCCATCGCGATCGAGCGGCCTGCCTGGGCCGCTACAAGAATCCATGCTGTGCCGTCTCGCAGAGGATGGAGGAGATTCCGGCGGGTTAAGCAGCGAGGAATTTCTGCTCCCAGTCAACCCTCTATACACAGCTTTGTCTGTAGTGTCGGAAATCTCGCTGGCCAGTGACCGGCTCCTAGCCCCGAGACCTGGGTCTCGCGGAGAGCCTTCCGCCGATTCCTCAGGGGCAAGCGACGGCGAATCAGATCGGGAGGAGTGAGACTCGGACACAGACCTGCGACGCGCGTGCCTGTAGTTTGTGATGTCGTTGTAATGCTGCGAGACCTCGTCGATAAGGCACGACTCTTGGGCAAAGCGCAGGCGCTCGAGAGTCGAAAAGTACTGGAGCGAAGCCAAAGTTTTAGTCCCAAGCTCGGCAAATAACGGGATATTTCATTACATGGCCAAGGGAAAAGAATAGAAGCAAATACACTGAGGTGAAAAGATATCGGGTGAGGGAGGTGAGGGGAGAAGTGAAGGAAAAAAAAAGAAAGAAAGAGGGGGGGAGGGGGAGTAGGGCAGAAGATGATAGCTTGACAAGACTGCTGTGGTAGCTTGTGGTGAGCGCGGGTGCTGGCAGCTAACTATCTAGCAACTAGCAACCCTACACTACCTATCAAACTATCAATCTGTTATCCTGATATCCATAATCCTGCTATCCTCTGCATGCAAGACACGAGGCGCTGCCATCACCGCACGCGCGATGCAATGCCAAGTGACACCAAGGGAGACCAAGGCGTCTCGGCGATGCTGCAGACTGCAGGGAGCGACTTCGGCGTTGTCGGCGTTGGCGTTGGCGTCGATCAGAGCACGCCTCGACGCCTCGACTTTCAGCCCACCGCTTGAGTGGGAGAAAGGAAGGCTCGTTCGCATGGATTTGCATATTTGGGCAAAAGCAACAAGCGTTGCGAGAGACAAATCACCACACTATGCCATGAAACCGCCACTCGGCAACCGCGTGCAAGAAGCAAAATCCATGAAAACTTTCCACGGATTGACAGTAGATCACCGCCCACGCAGCGTTTACCACTCATCACAATCCACAGCTCTCCTGGGTAATCCTAGGGTAAGCAGCAGTCATTGCACGTGGTGTTGTGATCCCTAGTGTAAGTGTGACTGCATTGTCGCAATGCATGAGGTGAAACGGCCACACCCATCGTCCTCGCCATCACCACGCACAGCACACAACACCCATCACACCTACACAAGCAGGACGGCACATCGCGACACGTCCAAATGCCCGTCTGTCGCCAGCTCGTGTGCCTTGTACCTACAACGGCCCGACGCGTGCCAAATCAAAACGAAACAGAAAAGAATAGAACACAGTATGGAATGCGAGGTACACAGGGGATACTGGGATGGGCAACTCCCAGACCCATGGCCCGCCTTTCCTCCAGTCTATGAGAGCACACGGAAGCGAATTTCGAGGATCGAGATGCTGCGTTGAGTGTGCCATTCTTATTGGCTGTCGGTGTGCGCGGCGCGACAGTGAGAACAGAGCTAGCCGCGCAGTAAGGATGGAACCTGGAACCCAGCACTTGCGGGGAAGTGACTTCAATGCGATAACCCATGCTTGGTGGCTGTTGATTGAGTCCCTGGCCTGGGCTGGCTGAGGCTGGTGAGGGGAGGGGCTGGCGAGAGGCCTGCCCAAGTGGTGGTAAAGGGCTGGGACTAGACACCTGGACACGGGCCGTTGTGCCCTGACCCTTAGCCTCCCGCGAGGACTTGGTGCTTGGTGCCTGAGACTCCGTCCAGTGGTATCTTCCGTCGCCACCAACAAAGAAACCGCCGGGATGTGCGCGTGGAGAAACGGCCAGAATTGCGATCGAGGTGCTGGAGTGTGCGTCCCTACACTGGTTACCTGAGCCCTGGTTGGCTGGCCGCAGCAAGCCATGGATGCCAAGCTCTCTGGCCCAGCTCCGCTGAGGAGCGCAGCTCCAGCAACACCACAGCACACCAGCGGCCAGAAAACTGGATCGTGATGGACTGTTCTGACCAATTCCCGTCCATGGAGATTGTGCCAATGGACTTCCCTGAATGATCCGAACAGCCTGGATTTGGCAGATAAAAACATGCTCCGACAGTGAATAGAACTTTCGAGTGTGACAAAGAAAAAGAAAAATCCGAAATGAGATAAACCAAAAACATCACACACCTTTCTTTGGATTGCGAGCGGCAGAGCCTCGAATTCTTCGCGCGTCATCTGCGGCATTGCCGGTGTCTGCGGTACCGGGCTCTCGATGTCGTTGTCCTTCACACGAGTCAATCGCTTCGGCTTGACCTTGGGGTTCGCTTTGCGCTCCGTCGAGGGTCGGCTCAACTCCCTCCACCGGTGCGTTGATGTCTCATTGCCGTTGCCGTTGCTACTGCTGCTGCCATTGCCATTACGTGACGGGCTGCGATGGTGCGCTTGGTGCTTCTTCGTCCATCGAGAAAACAGCAGCGGGTTCCCAGCACGTTCACTTGCCCGGTTACTGCTTGCTGCTGAATGAGGACGCAGTCCGGTCGCATTGGTGGATGTCGAGCCTCGGGACTCGAGTCTAGACCCAGGCACTGAGCCGTAGCCCATCCTGCTTGACGCCAGGAACCGGTCTGCTGAAGCGTCGAAGGCGGCTGTGCTGGGCATGATGATCTCGTCGCTCGTCGGTTCGCTGTCGCAGCTGTCGAGGACCGGTTCCTCCAGACTCGAAACAATACTCGATCTTGATACCGTGGGAGAAAGATAGAAACTGTTGAGGGGCTGTAGCAACGACGCTGGCGACGGTGACGGCGGCAGTGGTTCGTCGCGCGACGACAGCACGGTGGTGGTTGAGGGGCGTGTCTTCAGACTGTCATGATCCAGGAAAAGACACGAGGAAAGGCTGTGGTGGGATGTGCTGGAATTGTTCCTGAAGAAAGAGAACCGCCAGCCCGGACAGCAGCCGCCGGGATCGAAGCCGAACGCTGTTGTCATCCGGGGTCTTTCCCAATGGGGGAGTGCTGATGGGGTTGCTTCCCCTGGCTCGGGTTCTTGGACGAGGTTCGGCATCCACCATCCATATCCAAGCTCACGCTGCTGCTCCGGGGGCCAGTTGTTGACTGGTCGGTTGGGCGAGTTGGCTCGGCTGTCAGCGACCATGTCAGCGCCAATGCCGTCCATCATGGCCATCGTGGGCCCATCGCAAGCCGCTGGACGCGTCCCTGTGGAATTGACAGTGGGTTTAGCGCCGTCATCCGTCCTGGAAACAACGCGCTCACCATCACCCTGTCCGCTCTGTCTGTCCAAGTCGTCCACAGACTCCATCTCGTCCATCTCGCATGTGCCCCTCGTCGGTGGGCTCGCCAACGACCAAGACAACCAAGACGAGACGCGATCTGCCCCTGCCACGCCACCACCCTTCCAGTCCGGGCGCTGGCCTGGCCAAGAGCCCCAGAATTCCGCAGGGGGGCCGCCCTCCAAATGGGAACAAAGCGCCGTTTCAATCCTGGCCGGACCCCCAGAGACTGCAGATTGAGCCCAAATCCGATTCGCGTACCGTCCAAGTCTCGCTTGTTATTGAAGCGCGATGGAAAGGTTTTTTTTCTTTCTGTCTTGGAGTCGCCGCTGCGAGTCTGTGGCCTGTGTGCTGGCAGTCCCGCTTTGCAGAATGCCGCAGACAGGTTCGTCGATTCTCGGAAAATAGACGAAGCCACGGGCTTGGCCGTCCCGTTCTCTGCTCGTCAGATCATCAGATCGAGATCTTGGAATGATCACGGGACAAGAGAGGAGAGAAAATCTGGGAACATGAAAAAAAAGCCATCTTCTGCTTGTTGCGAGGGTGCTACAACAGTGTGAATGTACAAGTATCCGTCCATAGAGGCATAAGTAAGGTAGGTAATTACTCCTGCATACCGAAATCCCGGCTGTGGCCCTCCATCCTTGGGTGACATCAAGGTCGCCAACGATACGATTTTGGGAATTTTTCATGCTGTCGCAACTGATTGCATTACGCTTTTAGCTTTTTACGGATCTTATAAATTACACCATACAGCCTATCAGGAATGGTAGGGAGCAATCCGTACAAATTGATCCCTAAACTCATGCGTGTATTTTCTCAAGGACTGCACACGGCACGGAAAACACTGGTTCTCTGCAAGCAACCGCCATGAAAAACCAGGCTCTGTGCTTTGCCGAAACCTTAAGACGGCAAAAGTGGGAAGCCAAGCCGGATTATCTGCTGGAAAACACGGAGCACTCTCATCTACCAACCTGCCACTCGCCACGGGTGTGTGTAGTGTAAAGCACACCGTCTACGGAGCTGTCCATGGCAATTTTGATTTGCAGGTTGACGAGACACTTCATTCTCAGCACAGGCACACAATTACATGTCCACATTCAACTAACGATACTTGCAGGCAACTTCTGTTTTGAAGAATCGACACTACAGATCCATTGCGCACAATTTCTCTTGTGGTTTGAACAGTGATCTAGCCTGCAGTACTGCACAGAAGTGGAAAATAATCATCTCGATGGCCTGACCTGTGGAGTTTGCAATACCAGAAGCCCACAATGAACCTCCTCCCGAGGGCAGAAATACGGGGGCCCATCGATAGCATCATCACTTTCCCCACAAGAAAATCCAGACTGGTAGGCTCAAGAAAAGAACAGGTCACTTATTTAGCGATGCGCCGCTCTCCTCGTGGGAGATACCGACGGGTCCTTCTCCGATTGCACCCGGAGCTCCCACACGTGGCCGGCTTCCACGCGCCCCCACTCGCAACCTGAAACACTGACATGGACACTCACACCGACAGGTGAACAAGAAACTTGGGCGGGGAGTCTTTCTCTTCTGCCTGCACCAGTGGTTCGGGCGAGGGGCCATCGTTGCAACCTGACAGCAGGCTTCTCAACTTTACCGCCATTTAAAGTGCGGATTAGTGCAACTAGGCATGTGAGTCGCCCCTCAGTCGGAGAGAATGAATACTACATACACTGTACGTGCAACGGTCTGAATGCTGTGAGGTAACGTCGTGACGGCACCCTGAAGGAGTTGGCAGCGTGAGGGTATGATAAACCAAAAGTGGATGTTTCACCGTCAATTGCAATCCTTACCTACTTACTCTTAGGGGTTCAAACAAGGAATTGCTTACTTGCGCGCTTAAATTTAGTCCGAGAGACAACGATGGTGATCGGTAGAAGCCGAGATCAACTCGGCTCTGGGGGGGGGGGGCTTTACGAGATAGTGATAGGCGCACACTACCACCTTAACACGAAGTTTTGAAATTACTTACACTACAACTACCTATCTGCACTAAAAGAAGACATCTGTTTTGTTGTGCACATGCTCTTCAATACTTCGTTTTGCTTCGTCGTCTTTCCCGTTTATCTGGAAAACGCTTTCTTTTGAACCATGAGCTCGCCGTAGATCACATTCAGCTCAAGTCAAAAACTCTTCATAACCAAAGTTTACCCGCCGCTGCTTCGCCTTGCACAGTCTCTGCGAGTTCGCAATACGTAAGTCTACCAGCCATTTAAGCACAGCAGGTAGGTAGGTATCTGGACCTACGCCCGGAGAGTTCACGCTTCTCACAGTGGGTGGTTGAATAGTGGTACGATGGGGAAATGAAATCATGTGCATCTCCGCGTGTCTCGGATTAACCAATCCACGCCGCTGTGCAACCGTATGTGTGTGCGTGTGTATCCGTGGCTGAGACTGTGGATATCCGCAGAACCAGTACGAACGCCTTTACGGCAAATGTATGTATAAAACACTAATTTCATAGTAGCGCTGCTGCTCGCTGGTGAGGAAACCGCCTTGCTTACAATCTTCAGCCTGATGTCTCTCGATGAGCCCTGAGACTGGGCAGTTCGTAATGCTTGTAGGTGGTGATTGGAAGGTTGGGTCCGAGAGATTTAGGACAGCGCTCAGTATCGGAAATGGCGCCTTGAAGCTGTCAGGTACTTGCCTCGCCTGGTGAAAGCCGGTCCCATGGCTCTGGGAGCCAATCACATCTCCAGAAACCGTCAGGTACAATGAAGTTGTTCTCCATTTCAAGCCCCACCATCCCCAGGTACAGATTTACCTACCTACGTTACGTACCTTGCAGTGGGGCCAAGACATCCTCCATTTTTCACTTGCTCAGTGGGAGGGTTCAACAAGAGTCTAGAAAGTCCCCTATCGTGTGTGAACATACCTACCCATCCGCCTGTGGTCATTCACTACAAACATGGTGATAGCCAGCTTTTCCTAAGGAAACAGTTTACTCAATTGCACTACAGGTACGCGCCCCTATCGGACTCCCTTCCCACTGCCTGCGACATGATTGCCTACCTACCCGGGTGGGTGCACAATAAAGTGTCTTAGCCAAGGTAGGTAGACTATGGAAGCTCGTTCACCCATCTCCTCTGTGTTCTAGCATTTACCTGGCACGTACACAGTAGTGCCCTTTGGCCATGTTTCCTCACTTATTTTCAACAGTCTGCCGCCCTTGAGAAGACAAAGTAAAAGTAGAAACGAAGGCCAGGTCAACAGTCAACCGTAATCTTCCGTACAATGTGGGTCGTGATCCCGTTTATGTCAGTCCAGTCATCTTCATCACACACGTTTCACTCTGCCAACTGCAACATTGATCGAACAGAAGAGTGATAAGAGAACCCAGGCTTCCCTTCCCGCCCCTATAGCGCTCAACATATGTGCCTCTTCCGCTCTTTACTTCAAACTCCATGCTCGGAGTCAATTCTGTGTACTGGCGGCAGCGATGGCGGAATCTTTAAGACTAATGAGCAGGGAGCCTCAAACTTCACCGACACACTCGTCGGTCTTGGTCGAAGATGCTCCCGGAAGCGTGTCAATAGGATCGTAGTACTCATAAACCTTGTTCTCTTTGTCTCGGCCCTTGACTGCGGGGGCCGTATAGCGGGAGATGCCAGTTGTTCGGTCATAGGACTGAAAAGAGCAGGCAAGCCGCTTTCCGCCCCCTCCAGGAAGGTCAACGACAAACGAAGGCATCATGAACCCGGCAATCGTGCCCCGAATCTGCGCTTCCAGATCCAGGATGGTTTGGAGAGGTGTTCGCAGATGTTCAACTCGCTGTACCATGTCGCATTGGTAGACGTAGTACTGCAGCTTGATCGTCAGAACACCAGATCCTACGCGTGAAACCAACAGGAGCAAAAAGTATTCTTGATAAACTCACCGGGAAAATATTGTTGTCTGCAAGCGTCCGTATCAGGGTTGACATAGTCTCCAAGTCATCATTGACCCCCCGGAGAAGAACAGTCTGGTTACGAACCATTACGCCGTCCTCAAACAACCTCTGGCTGGCCGCTGATGTGATCCATGAGATCTCATTGGGGTGGTTGAAGTGCGTATGCAATGCCATCGCCTTGCCTGCCTTCTTTGCCATGTTAGAGATGTCAATTAACGCATTAACCCAGCCATCCGACTCGTCGAGGATGCGAGCGGGAGCGACGGCAAGTCCTTTGGATGCGAATCGGAACCGCTTGATGTTGGGCATGCTGATGAGCCTTTCGCCAATGAGCCTGATGTGCTCTGGCTGCAAATAGTACGAATCACCACCGGAGACGACGATATCTTGAAGCTCAGGGTGTTTCTCTATATACGTGAAGACTTCTTCCCACCGTTTGCGTGTCGGCCTAAGTGAGGCCTTGGTCACGGTATCTGTGTCTGCCCCCACAGCGTATGAACGAGTGCAAAACATGCAGTACGTCGGGCAAACCGATGTTGCTGTTTGATTCTCAGTAACCACCCTTCAGTCGAACCGGAAGATGCCAACACTTACGTAGAAACAGTGCCTTGTCGGGATACCGGTGGACAAGCCCCTTAACTGGCGAGTCTGCCTCTTCGTGAAGCGAGTCCAGAGCAAGCTTTGGGTGGTCCGGCAGCATGGCTGATTTTAATGGGAGGAACTGACGAACAAGAGGATCGTGACGTGGATCCTTCCAGTTGATCCTGCTCAGGATGTACGGACTTGGAATGTCAGCATATGAGGCACAGCGCTATTGAGGGTTTCTTTATGCTTGGTTCTCACGTTATCCGAATCGCCATAGTCGCGGCTGTCACGCCATCAAGCACATCCTTGATGAAGTCATCGCGGCTTTGCATTCTGGTACCCGTCTTGTCACATGGTACCTCTTTTGGTAAGACGGCTTGGAGAAACTTTAGGAGTTTGGCTGTTCCTTGTACAGTGTTTGCGACCTGGTCACCAGTTCCAAAGCATGAGCTTGCCGCTTAACCACCGAGTCATTGTTTGGTTGAGGACCATTGCCGCTGTACTTACACTCCAACGATATGAGAGAAAGTCTTGAGTGGACACATTTTCCCACACTGGTAGCTTGCGCCAAAACTCATCATGATGTGTAGGCATTGCATTCACGACTGGTCGTATGATAGCCAGCGTAGCCTTAGGGGCCGGTCTGTGGTTGGCGATGAACGGGGGAATGCTACCCTCTTCATGCCTGAAATCCTTGATTACTTCGACCACTTGAGCCTGGAGCCGAGGGACAGAGCCAACTGCCCTGATCGAGTTCCATCCGGATAGTTCTCTTGCGCTACGGCTGGAGGCTGTTCGTCGAGAGGCCGCCAGGAACATTCTGCGCTGCTCTGTGTATGATTCGAGAAGTAATCTTACTTCAGGCTTCCGGTCTCTGCTTTTTAAGGTGACTCATAGATCCTGAGGACGGACTACGCAAATCCAAAGCCCAGTTGTTTCACAGGGGCTAACAAGCTGTAATGACTGCTCAATGAGCCTCTGACCTGATGACTGCCTATTTGTTCTCTCCAAGTTCAATTCAAAGGCGTTTCCCCGGATCTTTTGCAGAAGGATTGCCAACAAGGCCCTCCTTGAGGGGCCTTGCTGCTTAGAGACGTTCTTGGCCAAATAGTTATCCGGATCTTTAGAGCGTTGCTCTTCCTGGCAAAGAACTGAACCTTCGAGCGATGCTGCAGAACTGGCAGAATAATCCGATGCCTAGCTATGGTGAACTCTTGTCAGCAACTATTCATTGTTTGCCCGATCAAGATATTGACAAGCTTACGACCTCAGTCTCCAAACTTGTATGTAATGTTTAAACCAACAGCACCACACACCTGACAATGAGATAACCTGTGTCTGCTTGTGTCCGTGAAGTCAAGGCCACAGCACCGGTTCCGTTGGCTTTTGGCTAGGAGTTTCTGTTATAAATATCAGCTTTGTTTTCCCTCGAACATCCTGCTCCGGAAGTTCCAAGTGAAAGAAATGTTGCTTTGAATGGAGATGGGTCTGCTGGTATATTGGCCTAGGCCGGGACTTGATTGCACCTACAGAAAATATCAGAGGTATAGATAGCTGATTTTTTGTTGATGCTCTCAATGAAGTTGATGCGTTCCTGTGCCGCTCGCGTCACCACTATTGGGCGTCTAGCCTATCTACTGTTGTTGTAGAGGTGCAGTCAGTATAGTTGAGCCCAATTTCGCCATGCAGGTTTCTTGAGGATACTCTGCACAATGGGAGGTACTTACCGGTCGTTTAAAGCTCTTCAACTTCCTTAATGCTCCGGGAATTAATGTCTCCTTTGATCGAAACCTGAGGATTCAAGTATATCACCACTGAGTTCTCAGTTCTGGGTTCCTGACAATCTTCACTCCACGGTCTTCAGCAGTTACTAGGCTTTATTTTACACGAAAAGAAACAAGACATGGTCTTGTTCATCTTCAGAAAGGATCTGGGAGGTCTTCCTGTTATAGTCCTGGCCAGACCCTGCCCCCAGGTTTCAGAGTTGGGGAGCACAGAACGATCGTCAAGGGACCGATCAGGAACAGATGACCTGTACGATATTCTTTCCCGCAAATGAGCAGAATAGGAGAGGCAATGAAAGTGATAACTGACAAAGTCATGCCGTTCTCACTCTAGTTCTGATGCGCCTGCATTTGGATCTCTCTACTCCATTCCGACAGGAGCAGGCTTCGCCATCGACGCAACTGTGTTGTCAATAAGGCCTAAACATATAGAAGATGCACCTCTTAACCATGATCTTGCACAATTCGATGTTGGCTGGAAGCTGTGAAGTTGTTCTAGGCTGTTTTTGTCTTACACTTCCCACTTACGGACTCGTGAGCAGCAGTAGGCTTATTCAGTACGTACTGACGCCAGGATATTCTTCAGAATCATTCAGAGAATGACATATCGTGGATCATCTCCGTATTCGGCTCTCTCAACCTCCTTTTCTGGGGCGCCTGGGGTGTCATGTTCGACAGCTTTGGCTCAACCCGTCTGCTGCCCTTGGGCAGTGTGGCCTACTTGGCCGCATTTGCATTTGTTGGTCCAGCATCTTCTTCAACGTACAGCCAGTTTTTAGATGCATGTTAGCTGCAGGTGTGGCTGCTCGTACGTGCATTTACTCGTCAGCAAACCCTTCTCGTCGATCTTGCTTTTTTAAAACCCGGCACGTACATGCTGACCTAGGACAATATATGCATAGCAATTCTGACGACCATCGCATTCAGTGCGGTGAACCACTGGTTTAGGAACAGGAAGACATCAGCGACAGGAGGTGTCTCACTGGGCACTCCCATCGGCGGCGTTCTTTTCCCTCCAGTCCTCAATATCTTCTTCTACAAGTGCTCCTGGAGAACATCAGCACTCACTCTAGTGGCCACCACGACCACTTTCTTATTGCTGGAAAACCTCAGCATTGAGACAAACTTGGAAGCATTAAGCGTAAACGGAGCAATGAAGGATAGACCCGGATTTTCAGAAATTCCTGCCAAGTTAGGATCAAGTTTTGGTTAGCGGCTTATGCGACATTTGGTGAGTGATTGTGCACTCATAGAAAGAAGAGAAGGTTACTGTAGGGCGTCTTTATCTAACCACACCCCTCCTATAACTGTACATACGTCCAGCTTCCGAGGTTGCTCTATCCATCCAATGGGGATCTATCCGTTCATACGTCGTATCAGCCGACTTTGGTGGCTCTCAGCTCTACTTGAACATGTCGCACAACATGTGAGGTACCGTTGAGATTTGTCATAGCAGATCTGATTGCTAATAGAATCCTGCCCATCAATCAGCGGTGCGCTGATTGGACGGATTCTTCCCTCCATTCCCTCCTGGCTGTCCGATAGTTTTTCGGGCTCATGAATAGCTTGATCACGATGAACTTTTTGGACCTTGTTAGCGGCTGTGACAATTTTGCTTCCCTTCGGAGCATCATGTGTTCCAGTGCCCTTTGCTGTCGTCATATTGCTTGGAGTGGAACTGGTAGTCTTGTTTCTTGAAGGAGGGGTATGTACAACAAATACCTTTGACAAGATCGAGCAGTTAGAAGTTATTGATCTGGTTAACACCATGCTAGCATCAAGTGTCACTTCGCTGTTCAATCCAGCAGTTGTCGGGACATGGCTAGGCTCGGTCTATAGTATGTCTGTCTGCTTTTGCGCAAGTCCGTCAAATTAGGCAATTGGTTGACTCTACAATGTTTGACTTTGACCTACGGAGCTGTCAGGAATTAATTGAAAATCCAGCATCGGAAGCCATTCTTGCTCGCTACCATCCAAGTGGCTTGGATGTTTTCCTTGCTGCAGTCCTTTTCTCAGGGATGATCAGTGCAGTGGTACTCTGACGAATTCATCAAAAGTTTGGAATCTCGAGCTTAGGGTTTAACTGATAGTAAACTTCAAACGCTACATCGAATGCATGTGACAGCGAGTCCCGTCAATACAACTCAGTATCATTCCCGGTCCATTATGGAAAAAGAAACTTACCGTTACCTCCAACGCTTTACCAAAAACAGCACGCGAAGACGTTTCGTTTATGTTGTTTTTATTCATTTATCGTCGCAAGGATTGCCGCCATATGCAGAGTAGCCCTTATCATAAACGTAGAATTTGGTTGAATGTTTAGGCTGAACCACCGAGTCTCCATGTTGTCGACTGTGACATAAAGAGCCGAAGATGACAAGCATACCTCTCCCGATATAAGACATGATCCGAAGATGATCTGCAACCGGGGTTGCACAACAGTTCCAACTCCCTGGTCGTACCGTAAAACGTTACTCCTGCGACGTAACACACAACTACGGGCAATATGGGGTAAATGGAAATTGAAATCGCTTCTCAACTTCCCAGGTTTGTGTCAGAATTTGTTGCAAGCAAAGAGGTCGAATGTATTATCAATCGAGATTCCACTCCAGGATGGTTTGCGGCAATGTGAAAATGGGATTTGGTTGCTTTTTCTTAAGACACATGCAATCGATCGCAGATGTACTGTGCAGGGTCGCCTTCTAGACGTCACAATGTCAAGAAGCAATGTTGTCAGAGATCTTGTGTAACTTCGGAACTATTAATCGTTGAACCAGGCTTGTTGAACTTATTCCTACCCTCTGTTCTTTATAAGCGTATCTTGGGAGTACTGTTGTCTGGATCTGAAAAGTCCTAACAAATAACTTCATCATCCTGCCGGCCCTGTCCCCTATTCCCCCGGCATTTGGTAGGTAGGTGCGAAAGGCAGTACCTCTGCAATGAGGTTCGAAATTTCCAAGTCAAGGTGTAATGAATGAGAATGTCTCAACGTGTGCATCGAGGTTTGGTGATCTCCAGCTCATATCGGACTGTTTCTGATTTGTGGATACAAAGCTGTAGAAAGATGGGCACTTGTGCTGCTGCTGTCGATCGAATGGTTCACCATCAGTGTAACCTGAAACGCTACAAATATTGCGATGCATATAGCTGCACACAGGAGGCTAAGTATCTGTAGTGTATGTGTATAAATATCGTGGCAACACATGATCTCCAAAAGATCTCCGACGGCGGAGGATCGACATTGATGTTAGAAGATCACAGTCCGGGCTCCAAACACGTATTCAGAAAGATGCTGGTAGTGTTCAACCCTGGCAGAAGTTGTGAATTAAGTTTGCTGCGTAGATCAGTGCTTAGGTCTGCACACAGACATGTCACATATGCTATGTTTTTCCACCTCTCTCGTCGGGAACTAAGACACGCTGATGGACAACTCAAAAAGTGACAAAGTGGGTTGGTTAAATGGTATAGCCGAATAGCATGTAGAAAACCAAAGTGGGAAGATCTCCCAGTTGGGCAATCATCCTACTATGCACATGTATGCATCTTGTTTATGTAGGGAGCTGTATGCATGCAAGTTTTGGAGCGCGAGCGGACCGCGCGCGGATGTGGATGAAGAGTTACAGCTGGTATCATGGCGAAGAAAACCTTACACATGTATCGCAGTTTTTTAGGGTAGTAATCAATAGATGAGGGCTGAACTATGCTTAAAATGATTATACGCAGTTCCATGCAATGCCAGACGGCTGGATGATGGTATCGACGTCGAACTCACCTCGCAAGATCAAGTCTAGCGTAGAAAATCCATTCCTTCGAGTTCTATTGTTGTGAGTGTAAACTACGGTCAACTAACTACTCCACGTTCATCCAGATTCAAGTACTGGCTTGCTGTCACAGGGTTGTTGACACCAAAAGGCGGAAGCGGGTGAGAAAAAGTAATTTCGAAAGCAGGAACACCGAAACTTATCGGGATGTCTATCACTGAATAGAGCACCTAGCCGCACTTCGGTTAAGCGAGCACACGCTGACGAGTTCGATAACTACTCCACGTTTACATCACAGATGGAACCGCACTTATGCAATTGGATCTATCCGGCAGGCAGACAAGGGCCAAAAGAGCAACATGCTGCTAAACCTGCTACATAAAATGCTTGAACTCTGTAGGATGTGCAGCAGATATCTCCATCCCAGCACCTTCAGGTGTGAGCAAGTAGCTCGAGTAAGGATATTCCAGAAGTCATTGAGTCAGCATAGATCTTGATTGGTACTTTCAGTTCCTCATAACTGCTTGAGCTGTAGTTCATATACTGGCTACGTGAATTGGCCAGGAGATGAAAGTGGACATGCTTAAGCCGGCCAGTGTAAATTATACGTATTGAGGGGATTGGAAGCCAAAACAAATGGATGAAGCTGGCAATGCTACTAGTCTCAACTAGTTGATCGAGAGTCTAAGACATTATGCTGGCTCAATGATGAAGTCAAAAAGCTCCTTTTGTTCTTGTGGTCCTTGTTTTGAAGGTCGCCGGGTCGCTATGGACAGATGGCAATTGCCACTGTTCTTTTCTCGATCAAAAGACGACCACCCGTCCATCACTCGGATGGGTGGTCTTGGAGAGTACTCATGGAGTTACCCTGTATGGACTTGTGTGCCAAGTGAGTAACGTATGTCAGGGAAACTCCCCCAAAGCCTCTTATCACCGATGCTGTAGAGCACACAGTTTGGTATATGAGGACGCCAGTGCTTTAACACACTGGTCCGGCATCTGCTTGGCTTGTTATGTCATCACGCTTGGAGACACCTACGATTTGTATTAGTACCACGTATTGGCGGTTTGCTGGGTCTAAGACTTAGTAAAGAAGACGTACCCCAAGAAGTCCCCGTTGATGGTGCCAATAGCCCACATTTCACCAACTTCAGTCCTCAGGCCGATGATCTTGACACGCACATGTGTGCCTTGTTCGATTACGATATCAGCATTATTGGTGAATTGAGGTGGGGTGGCACTGGCATCATATTTGATCTCGTCCGGGATAAGCTGTAGCAATGTTAGTAATGGTGTATTCAAAGCAAATAAATGTTGAATAGCACGCTATCTCATACATGAGTGGAGACGAACAGCCGGAGAGGGCCTGCTTGGGCAAAGAAGCCGTGAGGATTAACAGTGGTAACGATTGCGTCGATCTAAAGGAAGAATGTCAGTTAAATAAGTAAAGACATATATACCTATCCTCTTGGCAAGTCCTGATGCATGGGATCGGATATATGGCATACCACTTCGTTCTTGAACGGCCTCCAAACGACAGCACGATAGCCAACGGTGAACTCAGCCAAGCCGCTGCCGGGAAGGATACGCCCCTCAGATATATCAAATGTATCCATAATGGCGATCACATAGTAGTCGCCGGCGCATGTCCCTTCGACATCCTTAACTAGTTTTGTGGTGACCAACTCGTGCATGTTCTTGCCGAAGTAGGATGGGTGCAGCGTCACCCTCCGCTCAAGATTGTGGAGAAAGAACATTTTCGCAGTGGCAACGGAGATGCGACGGCACAAGGATGGTTCGCTATGGCCTCTCGTAGGCTTTTCTTGGAAGTTGAGATGCAAGAGAGGATAGTCGCAAGGGCAGGACAGACGCTGGCGATAAGAGTCGGCCTGCAAAATGCGGTCCGACTCTACAGATCTCCGACTGTGAGCGGTGTCGAAGCTTCGAAATCGCCGATATGCTTGCGACCTTTTTGCCGCAGATCCTCTTTAATGAGCCAAAATGTAACGATTATTTTGAAAATAACTGATTTAAGGTCGAAATGGTGGCTCCAAGTTATTGTATGCAATGAATGCAATAGAAGCCTTGCCAAGCGTTGACGCTGGATAAGCTTTGTTGATACGATTGCGATGCGCAAGTTGGAGTGAACCCGGGGCTGTCTGTGGTTTGAGAGGTTCGACTAAGCTATTGGTCTGTGCGCAGCTTTCGCTGCAGTAACTCTTGGGGTGTCCTCCAGCCCAGGTCCTAGGGCCAAGCAGGCCGTGGGTGGAGCGGGAATTTCACATCAGCTTCAAGGTTCCTGAATGATGAAGCTGAATCAATGACCTGCTTGGGGATTTTCATCGTTACAGGAGGGTGTGCTCCGCTCAACTAGTCTGACACATTGCGTTGGGAACGTCCTCAAAAAACTTAGTATTTCCCAGCACTAGCTTGTTTTAAAAGTCGCTCCACAAGGTGCTTTATTGAAATCCTTGATCCGTCTCCCAGCCACAACTTGCCCGCAGGAGCTTGAACACCCATCCTTTAGCAACTGTTTTTGCCCTTTTAAGGCGAAGGATGATCGATGTCTAACTTCCAGGGAAAAAAATGATGTTGAACTTCTTTCGTTTCCCTGTAACGCTGATAATCTGATATCTAAAAAATGCCGGTCTTAAAAGGGGTATCACTGATACTTTAGGTCGTTGTTGAAAGATGTTCTACCAATGCAACTTGCCCATCTTTGCAATGGATGTTTTTTCGGACTCGCATTGCAGCATCGCCCCTGAACAATTACACACTTCAACCACATCACCAACGAAATGTCATATAAGCAAGAGAAAGCCAAGCTTTGAATACCTATCGACTCATTGCGACCCAACAAAAGCCGCACACATTTTATCATCCCGCATCCCAGAGACCCATGTAACAATAAAACAAAAACGACAAAGGTATAAAGTCTATCCGCCCACCCAGGTTTGTTGAAGACCGTACGCCAGCAATGCTTATCCGTGGAGATGCCGTCATAACGCAACATAAAAAAGGTGCAAATGTGTATCAATAAGTCGTCGAAGACGAGCGAGAAACATTATCGGCAGTGAGAAGTTGAATCTCCTGCGAACTTGTTATCTCACTTAGAACTTGAGCTGCTTGGGCTTCTCCCAAGGGAAGCTCTGGTTGGAGCCGAAGTGGCCGTTCTTCGCCGTCTGGAGGTAGATAGGCTTAGCCAAATCCAGCTCCTTGACAATGACACCGGGACGCAAGTCGAAGTTGTCACGGATGATCTTGACCAGCTCAGCCGAAGTCTTCTGAGAAGTGCCGTAATGGTCGACGTAGATGGAGAGGGGCTCGGCAACACCGATGGCGTACGACAGCTGGACGAGGACACGACGGCAGAGGCCAGCAGCCACCAGAGACTTGGCAATCCAACGAGCGACGTAGGCAGCAGAGCGGTCAACCTTAGAGAAGTCCTTGCCCGAGAAGGCGCCGCCACCATGGGCGCCCCAACCTCCGTAAGTGTCGACGATGATCTTGCGGCCCGTCAGACCAGCGTCACCCTGGGGGCCACCGATGATGAACAGGCCGGAAGGTTGAATCTAGAATTGTGGTTAGCGGCGTTAGATCCGCATGAACCCCATTAAGGGGGTAAAGAGAACTTACGTGATAAATGGTCCTGTCATCCAAGTACTGAGGAGGAATAGTGGTCTTGATAATCTTCTCCAAAATCTCCTTGCGGAGCTCCTCGGTAGTGATATCGGGGCTATGCTGGGCTGAGACGACAATGGTGTCGACGCGGAGGGGAACGACCGCACCATTGTCGTGCTTGTACTCGATGGTCACTTGAGTCTTGGTATCGGGACGGAGCCAAGGAAGAGTGCCGTCACGGCGGGCCTTGGCCATAGCGGCATTGAGCTTGTGGGCAAAGAGCAGCGTCAGGGGGAAGAGCTCAGGGGTCTCGTCCGTGGCGTAGCCGAACATGATACCCTGGTCACCGGCGCCGAGGTTCTCGAGGCGGTCATCAAGGTGCAGACCCTGGGCGATATCGGGCGACTGCTCCTCAATCGCGACCAGGAGGTTGAGAGTCTTGTAATCGAAGCCTTTCGACGAGTCATCGTAGCCAATATCCTTGATGGTTTGGCGAACGATCTTCTGGTAGTCGAGCTTGGCCTTGGTCGTAATTTCACCAAAGACCATGATCATGCCTGTCTTGGTGGCCGTCTCGCAGGCAACCTTGGAGAGAGGATCCTCTGCCAGGCAGGCATCGAGGATAGCATCCGAGACCTGATCGCAGATTTTGTCGGGATGACCTTCGCCGACAGACTCGGACTGCCAAGGCGGTCAGCATCGGTTAAGCATAACCGGCTCCGAACCCGGAGGGAGACTCACAGTGAAGAGGAAGGTTCCCTCATTGTAGTGCTTCCCCGCGCTCACACCGTTGGAGACACCGTTGGAGGCCATTATGGTGGTCTATGTGTGGGATATGTATTTCTTCAAACAATGTTAGCGGCCGTTTACACTATTTGTGTATGTGGCATGTAGTTGACAGGAGGTAAGTTCTTGAGCTGCAGAGAGGGGGAGCGCAGCGTCCGTCAGGGTACTTGAGAACATGGACGGAGACGGGAAACACGTGTCGGGAGGACAACAACGCAATCAACTCGCATTCCAAAACGCTCAATCGGAGGTTTGGGATGAATTGGTCCTTCAAGTGTTGACAAGGCAAAAAAAGGGGGCAGTAATGTTGAGAGGTCGAGTTAACGTTTGGCTGCGTCGGCCTTACTCACCTTCTACAAAAACAAGAAGCACTGAAAGAGAGTCAAGCGAGGAGCGTCGCTGGACGAGGATATTGGTATTGGTTTGGGGAGAAACAAGAAGTGAAAGACTCTGTTCGCGGGGGAAGTAGGAGGTATTTGAGGAAATTTGAGGTCCCTGAAGGGTGGCCGAGCGCCGGCCCTTTTTTCACCGCATGGCACAGGAAACCAGACAGGGAGGGGGAGGGGGAGGGCCTACACCCTTGTCATCTACTCCGTACACAAAAAAATGTTCGGGGCGACCTGAAGTTGGTTTCCAGCCGCCGATGCCGCCCATGGCGATGACCGCCCCATTGTTTTGGAAACACAGAAGCCTTTTTGCTCTGGAGGACGACGTGTATCAAAAGCTAAGGTACCTGGAATTTATGCCAAGGCCTCCTTCCAGACATAAGTAACAATCGATTGGCACCACTCCCAAGACTAATAACATGTAGACTTTGTCCAATACCTTGGGCTATGGAGAGGACCGAGGACTTTTCTGAGAAAGCAGAGAAGGTAAATTTTGTACAAACGTGGCTTTTCGGCGGGGGAGGCGGTACTTTGGTATCAGGCACCCTGGCCTAATCCGTTTTTCTTCAAATTGCGCCATTGCTGCCCCCGCCGAACGGTCCCTTCTCTTGCTACGCGCACTCCATCGGCAATGGGTCCACAGCGGGGCAGAAGGCATGGAAAAAAATCAGGTTCAAACATCACCAGCAATGACGCCCTCTGCCACACGGCTGCTCCTTAAACTTTTGTGTTGAATGATTTGAAGAGCCTGCACTGGTGTGTGTGTGGAACACGCGGGACTTGCGGCCTGACCTTGCCAGGTAGCAAATGCGGAGAAATCCCAACGATACGGAATAGATGTTCGTAATTTTTGTTTAGATTTCGCGAAAACGTCATGGTTCTACTAACACTGCAACCATGGCCACACAGTACCTATTCTATCCAGCTACCCCTCACTCTTTTTCTGTGAACTGGCCTCTCTAATTTTTTGCCAACCAAGTTGTCTTGGACAGTGGCATCCTGAGGCAAAGAAAGACCCAAGTCTGTTGCACCATTAATCGACGCTCTCGATACGACCTTTCAGGCGCAATCTTCTTCTCGCCTAGAACAATTTGAATCTGCTCGCTTGGCGGGAACAGCCAACAATGAGCAAGTACGGTGTCATGGTGATGGGCCCCGCAGGGGTTGGAAAGGTATGCTGACTTCCATGCTCCAAGCCTGTTGTCCCTCTTCATCATGTCGACATCCGAGAGAGATGGAATGCCGGTGGCTCATCGATATATCTGACTGGTTTGATACCACAGTCCACTTTTTGCGCAGCCCTCATCACGCACTTGCAACTGAACAGACGTTCTGCCTTCTATGTTAACCTTGATCCTGCCGCCGAACATTTTGAACACCAACCAGACCTTGATATCCGCGATCTGATATCCGTTGACGATGTGATGGACGAATTGAAGCTTGGGCCTAACGGTGGCCTCATCTACTGTTTCGAATTCCTCATGGAGAACCTCGACTTCCTTACCGAGGCGCTAGATTCCTTAACCGAAGAGTACCTGATCATCTTCGACATGCCCGGACAAGTCGAACTCTATACACACATACCCATCCTCCCACGGCTTGTCAAGTTTCTTACACAGCCCGGAGCTCTGGACATCCGCCTTTGTGCAGCATATCTGCTAGAAGCGACATTTGTTTTAGACCGGGCAAAGTACTTTGCTGGATCGCTCAGCGCAATGAGCGCGATGCTCATGTTAGAGGTGCCACATCTCAATATTCTTAGCAAGATGGACTTGATCAAAGACCAACTGCGCAAGAAGGACCTCAAACGCTTCATAACTCCAGATCCCTCATTACTCGATGACGATCCTGCTGATGCTGGCAGGAAACGAGCTGGAGTCACAATTGATCCCCACAGCGCTGATCCCAAGGACAAAGATGCGCTAATGTCGGGGGCGACGTTCAAGCGCCTTAATAGTGCTGTTGCAGGGTTGCTTGAAACCTTTGGCATGGTCAGCTACCTCAAATTGTCATCGAACGACGAGGAGAGTGTCGGCGCGATTCTCAGCTACATTGACGATGTGATCCAATTCCATGAGGCGCAGGAGCCTAAGGAGATCCCCGATCCAGAATACGAAGATGATGTCTGAGCGACTCCAGAATGATTCCCAGAGTTTGGTTTTAGATGGCTGAACAAGTGTCATATGTTCTCGTCAGCGGTGCATTCATCTTCAGGTCTTGAGGAAGGGAGCAGTCACAATCCTGGGTCATCTGTGCATAGCGAAGGCGTCTGGGTATGAGGACGGTTTGGCATTTGTTTGGCGGGCGGTCCATGAAGAATATTCTTCGTCTAATTAACAAAAATAGAGCATGATACCCGATATAACAGAGGATATTGAGCCATTCCAGTGCGTTCCATGCTGATAAGGGTTCCGATATTTCAACTAATTCATTGCATGACATAGGCCAAGTAATCCAACGTGCGGCAGAACACAGAAGTATTCCCAATTTTGTTGGCTTGCTTTGAAACCTACCACCCCCCGGCTGCACCTCCCCTCCGGTACGCAGAACCACTTTGCCCATACCCATAACCCCTCTGTCTAGCCTCTGCCCTTGTGCCCTGTGTCCTCATCCTCTGTCGGTATTGTTGCTGGGCTTGTGTCGCCTCGTCATACGCATTCAGCCAAATCTGCACCATCTCCCCTGCCCAGACTAATGCCTTTGCTGTCCACAATGCTACATCTCGGCCAGTCTGCACCCATCCTCTCTGGTGCGCCATGGACGCAAGAGCCACGAGGAGCGCCAGCATCGTGCAGCGGAATAGAAGTCCTATCCACCATGCAACCAGACGCCGGACCCAGAAGAGTATTTGGACGACGAAAGCAACACCAAAGACTATTACTGCAATTGTGGCAGGAGTTGATTCAGAGTCGGCAATTGTGTTTATAACGGCGGCGCCGCCACGCGCCAAAAAAGAGAGCTGGGACATGATTAACGATAAGGCACTTCGGATGGCAGCGTTTGGGTTGAGGAGGAAGTTTCGGAATAGATCAACAGTTTCCGGAGGAAGAATATCTAGCAAGTCAAGAATGGTTAGTTGGGGTCAGATGGTATCCAAGCAGGGTTCATGGGATCGCGAGACTTGGTCAGAGTGACGAGAACTTACCCGTTAGTGAATCCAGCAAACGTTCAAATGTGGAGTCCATTTCGTACAGAAGTCTGCCTGGGTATTAGATGGTTGAGAACTATCCTTGTATGCCTTTACGATCTCAAGTTTGTTTATATGGTGTAAGCTGTTTTAAACAAGATATCCATACTTTGCAGACTGCTCTGGAAGTTTGTGTTCCCGTCAACGCGGAACTGTTGTGATTGGTCACAGCAAGTGGGGCTAGCGGCTGCTTGGCGGCAACATACTGCGCAGCAGTTCGATCCACAATGGCTGCGGTATGTCCAGCTTGGCAACTTCAACTGGGTTTGGACAGGTGCTGCCGCTGTTGCATTCACCAGACCATCCGGTCACATTTGCTTGATAGGAGACAACGGCAGATTATGGATCCGTACTTACTATGTCAACTCCTCTTGAATCGCAGCATGGGATGGTTCATGGGGGAAAGACAAGTTTTGCCGTCGTTGCTTTCCATGTCTTTTTCACATCCATATCTGAGTGTTGCCATTTTTGCTTGCCAACTTTTGAATTCCTATCGCTCGAACGTTAGGGTCAAAATTGTTCGTTTGATGACGGAAGTTATCATAAAGGAAACGGGGAAAAAAAATCCTAAATACAGTCCAAAAAAACGATTGATAGCTAAGTAGAGATTGTCACCACGTGATCAAGTTCGCTTGGGCATCCAAATTACATCTCCGGATTGAGCTTAAAACAAAGATTGCCACCAGGTATCTCGTATCCCGGTAGTCAAAGAGCCCTACCATAAGGCAAGATAGAGTTGGTTTTCTGAACCTCATATAGCTTGACCCGATGCTCCCTCCCTTTAATCTCTACGGATCATCTCCCCAAGTCTAAAAGGTAGCCTTTTGAACAGCGACCAAGCTTCTGAAGGTTCTTGAACCCAGCAGAGCCGTGTCATATAGCATATGAGCATCTGGTTTTATTCAAGTATGCCTCGCTCTCCCGGTGTTTGTTCGGCATTGCAACACCCCAACACGTTGTTAGTTACCGTGTCAGTTTGTGATGATCCTGCAGAGTGTTTGTGTCGTTTTCTAGTCGGTTTTCTTGGCTTGTTCCGCCTTCCGAGCCCTGAACCTGGCAATCTCGGCGTCAACTTGTTTGCTGACACGCTTCTGAAGCTCAGGTCGGTAGCCAATCATGAAGAGCAGTTCGAGCCAGACGAACAGTGGTGCTAAGAAGATGGCCTGGAAGATGTTGTCCAACAAGGCCGGGGCTCTGCCCTCAAACTTTCCGTGGCCGATGAACTGCAAAAGCCAGCATACAATGTGGACAATAAGGGCAATCTTTGTGTTGCCCACGGGGTCTTGTTGACGGAGATAGTTCATGAGCGCCGCGCCGCCCAAACAGATCAGGCAGAGGGCACCTCCAGCAACGGGTTCGAGCAGAAGATACAAACCACCCCACGTCATTGCTGCAAAGGTACCCAAATTTGGCTCAAGGTAAGGTATCTGAATCCAGGGGGGCAATGTAAAAAAGGGGCCACAGTTGGAAGCCTGGTTTCTCGGTTAGCACACAGACAGCAGGTGCTCGTAAGAGGCAAATATGGAATAGCAGCTCACCATCTCAAAGGCAGAAAAGAGTATGAGAGGCACACAAACCATGTGAATGATAACATTCACACGGTTATGGTGGTAAGCCCCATACTGTGAACGAACAAACATCAGTCAGCTTTGGGGTGTTCCGGAAAACGGCTCCCTAGCATCGGGTATTAGGGGAAAGCTTACGAAGGTAAGCTGTTTCTCAAGATCCAGCGACATAATGACGGCAGCCAAGAAGACAACCTCAGAATATGTAGCCCTCCTTGTCGCCCACGTTGAAAGGGTTGGACTCTGAGTAAGATGGAGAACTGGCCGACACACACGAAGAAATCCGGAATCGCGAAAAAGTCCCTCACTCCAAACAAGTACGGTTTTCTCAAAATCAAAAGACAATTACTTGGAAGATTGAGCCGTTCAATTCAGCTTGATTTCGATGTTTGAAGCTTTGGGGACCACCCCAGGTGTGAAAGCAGTCGTGGAAAGGGGGATATGGAGCGCAGCAGCTGCAAGGTTTTGAGGCGAGGTGAGTTGCGGTGGACTGCCCAAGACCATCCAGTGGCTTACACCGCATACCTAAGGTACCTTGGTCCTTGCCGTATTCCGTACCTACCATAGGTACCGAGGTAGGTATTTATCACGGTATTGACAGGACACTTGCTCCAGCAGTCTAGGAAACTTAATTTACAGGCAGTAGCTAGATGGTAGCGAAGCTAAAGCCCTAGCGACAGAGGAGCAGATTTACCTTTGAAAGTTTACCAAGTACATGCTTTACCATGCGGTTTCATTTTCAAGCCGGGATATAGGTACCTATCTCGGGTGACGGTAATGGAGGACATTTCTGTACTGTATTTAAGACTGCCCCTGGTACGTAATTCGAAACTGAGTGTAACGTTCAAGTGGTAACCTTTGGCCAGTCGAGAGTGATGGGTAAAATTGTCCCGGCCACAACAGCATTCCCTTAGGTACCTTCTTATTTATCATGAACTCAAATCTGTTCAGTTTCTAGTGATGCATATGGAAGGTTGGGTAAGGATGAGCTAGGATCATCAACAGTGAGCATACCAAAGCACTGAATCACAGGCGAAGAAAAGACCCAGGCCTCTCCTATGAGAAGCTGGTCGCGTAGCAACGCTGATGAAGCGAGGAGCGGGCGTGAGAAGTGCGCGCCGGGCCGCTTTTGAGTCTCTGTGGCTAGCCCGACTCGGGTCGTGCTGGACGAGGCGAGCGTGGGTCTGGTGTCCTGAAGACTTGAGTCCAAGAGGAGCCTGGGGGTGGGTCCTGACGTACCTGACTGGACCCGTTATGCGCGTTGTGGTTCTGTGCAGGAAGCCAGGAACCGCTCAGTGCAAGGCACAGGACCCAGTGGGATGAGCTGCATCGCGACTGCAGACCCTGAGATGTTCCCCACGTCTTCCGCGTCGTGGATTCGCGGATTCGTGAACCTGTAGGTCGATTTCGCGGCGCTTCCGTTTTCTGTCCCACCCCCTTGTCGCTCAACTTCCAACCTTGGATGTTTGTTCTGTCAGCCCATTCGCTACCTTACTCTGGCGGCCGGGCCAGGCACAACGGGACTCGTACATACAACAGAGTGCACGTACGAAGTCTGAACAAGCACCAAGCACAAGAGCAGAAGTCCCTGTCCTGTCCCGGCAATTTGCTGCGCTTGGTACATACAACCTTGCTGGCGTGAGCGGGCGACGCGAGTCTCTGACGACACTTTCATATTTTAAAAATTTTTTTTCTTTTCAGCTTCGCTCTGGGCGATATTCTGCCATCCCGTTGTCACGTCTGACGCTGGCCAACCAGCTCCCCGTCGACCACTTGCTTGCTCCATGCTGTTGTTCGCTTCGACCGCCGGCCCTTGACACGACCGCAGCATCTCAAGTTTTCAAGGCAAGTTGGAGTCCTCCTGGAAGCCGCAAGCGTCCACGGTGGCTGTACATCCACATCCAGCTGTAGTTCCAAGTTTCAAATCCAATTCCAAGCAGCTCGTGTCGGACACGTCCCACGGTAGACTGCAGCCGACGCAGCAACCTGTCCGCTCAGACGACGTTCCTTCGTGGCCGCCCACGGCCTTCACGCATCATTCAGAATACATTCGCTACCTAAGTGTACGGAGGCCAGGGTACGGGCTGCGGGTTACCTGCAGTAGCTCATTCTTATCGGAAGACGTCGAGAGCCCGCTCCTTTTATCTTTGCATCCGCTACCTCAGCTATATCACATTCACGTAGCCACGCACTCGTCCGGCGCCGGGCCCTTTCACTCTGGGCTGCGACTGCAGACCAGAACCTAAGTCTCAGTGGAAGAAAAGGACAGCCTCCATCGCTGTAAATCTCCAGCCCGGCTTTGATTTCCCCGTCGCGTCTTTGACTGCTGATTATTGGTTGTTGGCTTTGATCCTTGACCTCTGAGAGGTCCGCACGCGCGCATCTCTTAGATATCTAGCAAACCCGACCCGACGCATCCATCCGCCGTCAACATCGCCGTCGGTCCACCATGGCTGCTATGGAAGCTGCAAATGCCCATTATCAAAATGGGCATCACCAGCAATCCGGGCCGCCCCTGCCTGCCTCGCCTACACTTACAAACCCCGACATGATCCTCCCCGACTACGAGCGCAGCGATTCCCCTGACACTCTCGACCTGAACCGCGGCCATCCATCTTTGGAGATGTGGAAAAATACTCAGCCTGCGGCGGCTTCCAGCATACACCACATGTTTACCGCGACTTCCATGGGCGGCCCCCCATACAGGCCTGTCGGCCCCATAACCCCCACAACGCCCATCATCTATGGGAACGGAACTATGCTGTCAGACATTGGCGAGGTGACAGAGGTAGAGAGCACGATAGAGGAGAAGCCCTCTCCTCCCCGGACGAAGCCGTCTTCAGGACGAAGATCAAACTCCCCGGGGCGCACTGGCGACAATAACGAAGCGCTGAGGCCCTCTCCCACAAGGAAGGGAACACCCACGTTACGAAAGTCCAAGCAGAGTTTGAGGGCTGCGCGTGAGCGGCGAGACAGCATAGACAGCAATAGTACCATCACGGAAAACCACAAGGCCCATTATGCCGACATCGACGATTCCGCGAGCGTAGGCGACAGCGTTTTCCAGGGCGATGACGAGCAGAGCGTTGCGTCGTCGTACATGGAAGGGACCGATCCCAACCGGCTAGGGGCTTCCAAGATCGACAACTCGGACCGCCTGTCGACCTACTCGACCAGCTCACTTAGTCGCCGCGCAGAGGAAATCCTTGCCAATGCGAAGAAAAGACTTTCGGTAGGTGTACCGAGCTCCGATCGTTCAAGCTGGGTCTGCTGGATCTAACCGGGCCTAGGCAATGGAGGGCAATTTGAACCGGGCACGGAGCACGTTATATTCCACGAGTCGCTTTGGTCTTAATAGCGCGACTTCGTCGACCACTGTCTCTCCATTCCAGCGCACCGTCTCGGCTACTTATTCACGCAACAGCAGCGTGGATTCCACCACGTCAAGCTCGAATCAACCGACCGCTGGGCATACCAGAATGTCCAGTGACATCGCGATGCGTAACGGTCTTCCCTATCGCGTGTCTATTCCAAGGTCTCAGAGCGCTCTTGGCGCTGCTGGCGGTTACAGGCAACCTTTGACAACCTCCAAGAGTTCCGATCATATCCGCCAGGAGCTGGGTTACGAGTCCAGCTATTCTTCTCGCACGTCGAGGTCTTCGATCAGCGTGAGAGAACCGGGCGTGAAACCCCTTACGGAGGAGGAGGTCCGGCGGCTCGGAGAAGCGGACCCAGCTACCCAGAATGCAAGGCTCGAGGCTTTTCTCAATCCGGATCCTACCCACGAAAGTACCCCGAGACACCCCTTGCGATCCCCAACTGCTGCCCAGGTGCAAGACATCAAAGAACAAATGAGAGATTTGAAGGGCAAGATCTCCACGTTACGAGAGCAGGCCCGAGCCGACAGCTTGAAAAGGCGAAGTCTCCAAAGCCTGCGTACTCCTAGCCCGTTTACACATTCTCAATTAGAACAGTGGTATGCGGAGCCTCGGTCAAACAGAGCTTCAGTACTTGGCCCGAGCAGCTTCTCAAACCGCAGCTTCTGGAACAGCGAAGATTCCAGCGTCACCAGTGAATTCAAGGATGATTTTTCTCAGTCTGCAGACCAACCCACTCGGCAGACTCAATATGTTAAGAGCGAGTCTACCTCGAGTCTAGAGAGTCCCGCCAGCGCCATGCCCGATGTCTCCTCCCCTGTTTCATTCAGGGGATCCGAGCCGGGACTGCATAGTGAGGCAAACGAGGATTATTCCGATATGGCCACCGAGAATGGAGAATATGATGAGAACACAGACGAACAGGCTCAAACTGCCGAAGAAGGTCCCGCTGACAGCGTCAGTGAGAGCGGGGAGTCCCTTTACCATGACGCAGTCCAGTTCCAAATCCGACACGAAGACCGTGAGGATGCTTTTGATTATGAACATTTCTTCCTCCACAGCGCCATGGGCACGATGAGTCAGGAGCTTATGAGAAGAAGGGACAGCACAAGCAGCTATTCTTCTGAAGGTTCAGTTGAAACCACTCGAGGGCCCGTAACGGTCAGCGAAACAGAGAGTGAGACCTACGCGCCGCGTCGGAGAAATAGCGATGCTTCCGTGTCGACATTCGAAACTTTCGCTACGGCTCAAGAGCGCCATTCTATCAAGTCGCCGCAGTTCGATGAGTCCTCTCGTGCTGCGTCGGTTCAGAGTGTTCGGTACCGATCCGGCAGTTCGGCAGCCGCGAAGCGGCTGTCTCTTCCCGCTGCTTCGGCTTCTCACCAACCGGGGGCCCGTGATAGCGACGGCTCGATCTCGCCTATTGCCGAAGAAACAAGCTCTTCACCCCATGTCCATACATCAACCCGCCGTGGCTCGGTAATTCACCGTCCTATCTCAGCTCAGGCTGCCATCCGTGGCTCGTCATCTATTGCTTCCTTCGACTCCGTCGGTACAAATCGCAGCTTTCCCCTCGTCAACAAGCCATCTGTTTCGATCCCACCACGTGCAGCCTCAGCAGCAGCGGTGGCACGGGGTCACAGCCATAGTGGCAGTACCACCACTGCGAAGAAGGCCCACAGCACCGGCGTGCTGACCCCACGTGGTGGGTCTATGTCTTCAGGGTCATCCCGCGGCTCACGATCTCGCGATGATGACAACGAGGATGATGACGATGATTGGAGGAGTGTTACTGCTCGACTGATGAGTGAAGCCATTGCCCAGCTCAATAGACAGCAGCTGCGGAAGAAGCAAGGACACGTTGCCCAGGGATCTGTTTCGTCATCAGCTGCTGGCGACCGCAACGCTTCAACTCGTGGTGAAAAAGAAGAAAGCACTGAGAGGGAGAAGCATGATCTGTTGGCAGGCTTGCCCCGTGAAGACAGGTACCTGGTTGAACGGGTGGTTGCGTGCTTGGGACGTTGTGTAATGGGGCTGACGGAGAATGGACGAGCCAGCTCGGAAAGCCGAATGTTTAGAAGAAGAATTGAAGCGGCGAGAAGAGCTCTGGAAGGCTACGGGCCTGGCTTGGACAATAGCGCTAGCGTTGGGTATACTCCCAGCACCTCTACCCTAGCGGATCTTGACGGAGCGGAAGAAGGTTCCCCTTCATCAGGAAACGGACAGTGAACGTTTCTGAATTGAATGAACCGATTTTTTTTGTGTGTGTGTTGGGGGGGAGGTGTTTGAAGCAATTAATGTGAGTATTGATCGAAGAGCTGAACGTTGACCGCTGTTGGATGAGATGCTGGGTATCGATGTTTTTTGGATGAGATAGGATGGACTTGGACAACATTGCTGCAATGATGACGATGATGACGGAGCTGATGATGACGGATGAGGTTTGGGGTGAAGGAAGCCCCTGTTTCTTTTTTTTTTTTTTTTTCATTTCTCAATGTTGTCTTTTCTCCGGTGCTGGCTTCCGAGACGCTGGGCGGGTGATACCCTTCCTTTGATCCTTCTCTTACATTCATACTGGAAATAATTGAATACTGAGTATAGAAAATTATTAACCCTCATGCAGTAACTAAAAGATTATTTTTAGGATGCATATTCCCCTTTCAGAGAGAATAATGGTAAGATACAGAACTTGGACGAACAGATACGGTATATTTTAAACCGTCTATTTCCATTTTACACACAGAAACCTTCCTTTTGATTCCGACTATTTGGTTTTCCCATGGGGCATATCACACTCCAGAATGATTGCACATTTCCCTTGAGACCCTACAATATCCAACAGACTGTCGACTTCGCAAATCAACCATCCTTGAAGGCCTCGTTTCTTGCCTTCTCGGCCGCCTCAGATGTCCCCTCAGGACGTGGCCGGTTTGCAATAAGCCGCTGTTCAATCACACGTTAGTGACCATGGGTTTGCCCAGGAACGAATCAAAAAGTGCAGCACATACCACAAGGTTACGCAGCAGGACAGCAATTGTCACTTTGCCAATGCTAGGAACATAAATGCTGGCCTTTTCCTTGACAGCAGGGCCATCGAAATTGCGGTGACTGGAGAAGTTGATGCACACAGCACCATCACGGATCAGATCGGTCGGCACCTTGAAGTCCTCGGTGGGCACGCCTGAGATAATGACGTCGCTCAGCGGCAGGACATCCTTGAGCCCCCAGCCAGGCTTGTCATGAACCTGATGGCGTGGCTGGCGAATGCCGCTGCCGCGAGTGAAGAGCTGGACACCCGTGATGTCCACACTGTACACAGTTGCGCCGTCATTTGCCAGCAGAGCTGCCAAAGGGCGGCCGTTGACCTCACTGCGATTGATGACGGTGATGGTCTTGCCGAAAAGACGGTTGCCGTACTCAAGAATCGGGTTGTAGATCTGCAGGTGCTCCAGGGCTTTGACAATGGCCAGAGGTGTGCAGGGGAGAATAGACTTCTTTGTGTTGTGAGGCGGATCAAGGAAGCGAATATTGTGGTACATGTTGAAAAGATGGGTGTGGCAGAGGCCCTCGACGTCCTTGTGCAGGGCGACAGTTTCTTGGATGTAGCGGTCCTGCTGCTGGTTGTTCCGCCAGATGGGGTAGTACACAAGGATGCCGTCCACAGTATCATCATTGTTGGCGGCTACAATGGCCTCTTCAAGGTCTTCCTTATCAACTTGGCGGAGGTCAAAGTTGAAGCCGCTAGGACAAACATTCAGCGCCAGGCCTATTACAGATAATCAATTGGAACGTGCTTACTTCTCCTCACATGTCTTCTTGGACCAAGATGCATACTGGACCGCAGCAGGGTCATCGTTGGCCAGGAAAGCGGCCAAAGTAGGCCTGGGGGCATTGGGACCCTGTATGCTTGCCAGTGTTTCTCTGGCTTCCTGTAGAAGCTTCTTCGCTATTGTCTCTGCAAGAATGACCTTGCAGGTCTTGGGGACTGGCTGCGCGCCGGCTGCCGAGGCCATGATGGCAAAATCTGACCGTTGGATAGGGAGTCAAAGAGGTGTGCCTGGATGGAGGATTAGCGGCAAATACGACACGACTGCTCTGCATCTTGATCAGCCTCGCTAGTCTCCTGGTTCTTTGCACCAACAACGCGAGTTGGCATGGCCCATAGAGCACGGCAGTGACTTGTGCTGCGGCGGCTGTGAATAAACTCACAGATAGCCTTCATCGCTGAACTCTTTGATCACAAGCTTTCTCATAAAATGACATGCATGATGGAACTGCAAGGACCATATTACAGACAACAGAAAAATACTTAATAATCAGCACTCCAGATGAGACGGCCCAAGCAAAGAATTTGGGCCCTGGTGAAACGTGAGACAAAAACAGTCTGGGGATGGCGCTTACCCTGTAGTATGCCTATAGAATGGCTGCGACTTGAGTAGATGAGACCCTTTTGGGGACCGTACTGTTATCACGGCAGTTCGTTTGACAAGATGCTGTGTGGTGCGAGGGCAGTGCAGCTTTGAAACGTTCAGTTAAATTCAACACCCCCTCTCCTGTGCCCTTGAGAGATTTGGATCTTGGACTCCGATCGGATCGGTATACATTAATACCCGGTAATTCCCAGCTCAGTTCGTAGACATGGGTACGGCATGGGTGTGGGCAAGGAAACAGGTGGTGCGCGCCCAAGACTTCGTCCAGTCTGCCCCGCCATGATGGCCAGGCGAAAAATTTCAGAGCTGCATGCGAGGCTGTTGCCCCTCCTACCCAATTCAGTTAGTGCTCCACTATAGCATCACCGAGCACTCACCGCCCGCTGGACAAGCTTTCTGCCGCCGCGGGGTGCGTGGGGCTCTCTCGTCCCATAGCTACGCGATAATGGACCAGTGACCGAGAATCGGTGATTGCACGCGACTCGTTCACAGGCTTCATAATTGCCAGGCCAACGATCACCAAAACCGGCTTGCAATCAGCTTTTTTCTTTCTTTTTAGCTTGTTTGTGCTCACGAATGGGCGATAATATTCTGCAGTACGGTGCTTGTTGAAGTGAAGCACACTAGCAGCTCGGGAGTTCTTGTCAAAAACCTGATTCTGCCCTGGGACCCCTTTGACGGAAGGCCATTCTTGGATTAAAAATTTAAACCAGGTCCCGTCTGTTTTACACCTGCGGCCAGCTGAGAGCTTTCTCTGGAAGAACAAAGCTGGTGCATCGCAATCTGTGCGGCACCTGATCAAAGACACTACAGGAACCAACTTCATTACAGTGTTGATCCTGGCATTATTGGTGTTCCCTCCACCTGCCGTATACCTAGGACACAGGACAGTCATGGCCGGGGTTCAATTCAAACAGTGGGCGCTGGAATATGTGCTATCAGATGAGGAAACTGCCCAGTTGGAACTCGCCAGGAAAGCCGCTAGAGGTCAGAGCGTGCTGCCCATATGCCTAATCTTTGCAAAGCAGACTGTATACTGATCGACCAGCTAGAAATCGAGAGCTCCCATGCCAACAGCACTGTGGTGGGAAACTGGGCAGCCTCCATTCAGCAGTGGATGTCGCCAGCACATGATGACGACCAGCTAGATGACATCCAGGCCAGCGGAGGAGGTAATATAATTACCCGTGCCAAAGGTGCGTATAGCATGATGCTGAACAGGCAACCTGAATACGACTTCAGTTCTGACAGCCTGGGCACCATTTTTACAGCTCTGAGTTTCTTGTCCAGCACCCTGGAGGCTCTGGATAAAGGCACCTTGAAATCAGACCAAGGTATTCCAGTCTCTCCTGTTCAGTCCTCTTGTGTCATTCCCTATGCTGATTTGCTTTCAGTCCAACGCCTCATCGGCTTTTTTGGCTCCATGTTCTCCTATGACCACAAGGCTGGGATTACTGCGGCATCCAAAGCTCTCCGTCAGTTATCTGCAATGAAGGGGTTCAAACCTCCCATGGGAGTCAAGATCTTGGAGGATGTCTGCAAAATCAAGGAGGACTTTCGATTACAGACAGCTCTTACCAGGCTGGAGGTCTATGAGCTTTTCCTAAGGCTGCTCCAGGACTCGGCCGTGGCCAGCGAACTGCAACACAAGTATGGCTCTTCAGCTGGCTTTATTCTCGATCTGCTTGAACTTTGTGCGAATGAGCGAGACCCGAGGAATCTCATGACCTGGTTCAAGACCATCACCGTACTTCTCAAGGACTACGACCTGTCTCCTGAAGTTGCCGAAGAAATCTTTAAGACCTTCTCTGCGTATTTCCCCATATCTTTGAGGAATACTACTACCCAGATAGCTATAACTGCCGACGACCTCAAGGAAGCCATACGATCATGCTTTGCGGCGCATCACTGCATTTCGTCGTTTGTCTTCCCATTCCTTCTTCAAAAACTTGATCAGGGAGATGCCGTCACAGTGGCAGTCAAGGTTCGTCCCCTGGTGCAAGTCATTCTGCTATGTTTTTGTCACTATCAGACTAATACTTGATAAGCTGGACATCCTAAAAACGATGAGGGCTTGCGTTGAGAGCTACGGCAATCCCCAAATAAGTCTCGCTCCGTACGTGGAGAAGCTGTGGAACTCGCTGAAATATGAGGTCCGGAATGGGGACGTGAAGGAAACAATAGATGCTACCTTGGATGTGCTTCGGGCTATCGCCAAACGACTTGATGGAACAAGCGGCCAAAAGCTCAACGTCTCTTTACTCACAGACTATGTTGATCTGGTTATTAGAGACTGCCGCGATGACCTCTCTAAACCCTCATACACCAAGCAAGCCGGACTCCTCCTCATAACCGTTATATGTGCGACTGTGAGGGGCTATCTGCTCTACAACGCCAGCTTTATCGACTTCCTGAGGCAGAATATTCGACAGCCGAAATCACCATCCCATACTGATGACCTCCTCCTGTTGTTAAACTCATTCCTCAAATCCCGAATGGAGCTCGTCGTTCAAAGAGGGGAAAAGTACAGGGAAGACCAAGAGAGTTTGAATTGCGAAGCCCATACACATCTCAAATCTCTTTTCCATGACATTTATCTTCCCATTTGGTCCAAGAGGGCTGCGGAACCTACTTCTGAGGAAGGTGACGTTCTAAAGAAAGTTGCCGAGGGCCTTGCCAGGCTTGCTACCCAGCAAGTTGTGCAGCCAACCGGCGACATTGTTCTGCTCAACTCACCTCCAGTATGCTCGGAGATCTGCTCTCTCCTCACTGAAGAGCTTATAAAGGGCTTGGATATGAATCCAGATGACAGCAAGTCGGATGACCATACCCTCGAAGACCAGGTAGTCCTTGCACTACGCACCATCGTCATGGTTTACAGAGACGGTTACGCAGAGCTTGTGGCTAGGGCAGTTGCAGAGATCAGAAAACGGGATTGGGCCAATCCATCACACCATTCACTCAATTCATTGAGAGACCTGCTCTCTCGCTTGAGCTTCATCGGCTGCTCTAAAATTCCGGCCCACATTGCCATGACTACGCCCTCGAAGAAGCCATATTCACCACTTCAGCATTTCGTCACTTTCGTTGCCAGCCTGCTAGACCTTTTCCCACTCACAAGGCAGGCCCACGAGGAGTGTCTTGCGAACGCGCATATTGTTTCCTCACTCCATGCAGGACTCCTATGGTTTCGCGACGCATGCGATGAGAAGTATGGCAATGCTGTTTTCACCTGGGGGTCTACCAACCAAATCAACCTCAAAGAGATCCCAGATGATTTCTTCACCGCTGTTCACCGTGGGGATGTGACATTGGTATCCCTTTCAGAGAGCAGCCCGAGCGTGTATCACGAATTTGTCAAGCTGGGCCTATTCCTCGTGGTACATTTGTACCGCTCTGCCACTCTGGGTCCTCGAGAGCTTTGGAGTGAGAGAGCTCTTGTTCAGGTCTCGCAAATGGCAGCTCTGATCACACGGATGCTCAGCATTGACGAGCAAGTCTCCCTAAATTTAGCTCATGAAGCTTTCAACTTTTTCCGGAGACCCAATGATGAAGCCGTGGAGAAGAATTTGTCATATGTTTCCTCAGGTCTTTTGACATTAGGTATTCTCCAAGGGTTGAGGCCAGAGGCAATGACCGAACTAGTAAGCTTACTCTCAGTGTACCAAAGTCAGTTGAACAAGGCTAACAGCTCGCAGTATGCTCTAGGTGGAGTTGCGGAGCAATTCATGTGCGATGCGTGCGACTTGATGCAACATCAACAGAAGGCAAGTGATATCCGGGGAGCCATTTGCACAGTCCTCGCCAACAAATTCAAACCTGGGCCGTCGTTCTCTAACTCAGAGTCTTTGACACTGAACCAAACTTTTGATTTTTGGGCTGAGTGGATCAAAAATGCAACCTCACTGGAGAAGGGCATCTCGTCGGAGAGCTTCGAGGTCATTTTGCCGATTGCCCTCGGTGTCATTACCGGATCCATTGCTCGCCAGGACAAACATGTTCTTGATCTGGTTCCTATCTTGCACCAAGCCATATCAAACAAGCATGCCAATGGCGAGATTCTTGCCAAATCAATGGGCATACTTTTCAAACCCAACAACCTCCTTTCACCAGAGTACCATGCAATTCTCAAGCGCTTCTATAGACAATGGGCCTACTTCTCTATAACAAAACCTCTTTTCGCACTTGCACAGCCGGCAGCCGCAGATGGCCACTCTGCTTCTCGTTACCGTATTGCCATCATCTTCATGGTCGCTAACTGCCCCTTTACCATCTACCAAGATGATTTGGACTCACTGATACCGCTCCTGATAACCTCTCTTACCGGTGGCAGCAACAGCAACTCCTTCACAGGAAAAGACGTTGTCTTCACCCAGGCGTTTGCCGCGCTCCAGATCTTGACTGAGATACTGGGCAACGGTCCAGATGCGCTGAAGAGCCATTTAAGGGAAATTATTAACGGGGCAAAAATGATCTACTCAAAGTGTTGCGGCAACGTTGGGGATGAAAATTTGGCAGCGACGCGTACTCGGTGTCGGAAGTTGGCTCTGCACGTTCTAGGAATGATTCCTCTCAAGTTTGAAGAGCGTCATATTATTGCTTACGCGCCGCCAACACAGAGAATGTTGGCTGTTGCATGTGGGGATGCAGTGAGAAAGGTAAGGGAGGTTGCAAGGCAAGCCAGAGCAAGTTGGGCAAAGGTGGCATAGGGGGTTGGAGTTCCTTTGGGTGCCAATACTGTAGTTACCTAGACGCTCTCATTTTCTCCATATCTCTAGCATGGTCCGGCATCTATACATGTCTAGGATTTGGTTCAGTGATAGTGTCCTGGTATAGAGATATTGTCTTTGGCTGTCGGGCGATAGCATCCCTCCCCTTAGCTGGGTGACCCACGAACAACACATCAAAAGTCACAGACTTGGTTAGCCAGTGACCACAGCTCTCTGGTGGCCAACTAAAACCAAAGTCTGATATGGTTCCAGACCTCTGTACTTCAGCCAGCGGCTGATAGTCCGCTCCCGGTCCGTCGTGACACCTCAGCCTACTGTTTGGTGGTTGCTCGGCAGGGTGATCAGGTTGAGCAACTCTTAAGCTACATACCACGGAGCAAATCATCAAGATTCCCAACCTGGAAAGTGCTATACCATTCCAGCAAACCTTTGCTCTGTTCTGTGGAAACGGGGCCGAAGACCCATATACTGGTTAATCAAATACAAATGCACTACGATAACGCCATGTTACAGGCTCCCTGTTCCATTATGCCTTTCTCCGTTTCCCGCCCGTTTTAACATCTGTGCCTGTCACAGCTTCAGCGGTCACCCCGGATGCACTTCCGCTCGCCTTAGCCAATAGGTCTAGCATCTGGGGCGTATATGCCGGCGTTGACGATGTCTCGCCCGGACCTTGGGCACTGGTTGCAACCCTCTTTGGGTCTGACTTGCCAATAACCGGCACAGCAGTCGCCAACATGGTCTGGAACGGTACGGCGACGAATCGCCCTGCCGCATCAAACCACTCCGCGAACGGTCTGCTGATTTCGATTGTCTGCTTCTTGCCCTTGCCATCCTTCGGCGTAATCTCGACTGTCACGAAGTATGTCGGGACATTCTTCTTCGTTGCGGTTGAGATGCGGATCGTCTCTCTTGTCTGCGGCGCCTCGCCCACGTACACGGTCCCGCGCTCAACCCACATTATCCACGCCGTGAGCGCGCCGTTCAGTAGAGTGTATACAGCAACAGCAACAGCCGTCAGATATTTGGTTGCCTCGAAACCGTACTTATGGTCCCAGACGAAGCAAGCTGCTGCCACTGCGAAGGCGGAGTAGCCAAGGGCCAGACGCACATCAATCAGCCGATGGGACTGGCGGAATCCAAGGCTGTTTAGGTAATTTGGAATGGCATCATCGGAATTATTTTTGAGGTCTAGGCAAGTAAGCAAACAGCCAGTTTGAGACCTATAAGGCCGTATTGGAAAGAAGGCAAAGTCCAATGCAAACATACCTGCGAGGTTGTAGACGTTAATCTTGTCTTGTGAGTTAGCCATGTTGGCTCCCGTGAAGATATCCTCGTCCTTCTGGGATTGCTTTGCTCTAAGGCACCAGAAAACCGAGAACTTTGGGATGTTTGTTGATCTTAAGAAAGAGCAAAGCTCAGCCCTCGATTAGAGTGCTCCGTAAGTTTTAGATCGAGGGCTTTGAGTTGTTTTGAAGTTGACGACTGTTTGACTTGAAATTAACACACTGGCAGCTGGAACCAGAAAGGCCACCTGCGCCTTTGCAACCCCGGTCGCTCTCTCAACAGCCACTGGGTGTGTCATGCGGTGACTGCCCCGCTAATTCCTAGATAGGATTAGCTCCATCTTAGCACCCCTGGCAGAGCTTCATGTGGGTCAAACTGCCTTGGCTAGAGCCGAAGCTCAACAACGACGTTATCGGTTCTCCAGCAATGATGCCGGCGTGTATCTTTGCGTCCAGGTTGTAGGCGATCCTCAGAACAGTACAAAGCAGCCCAGAAGTGTCCAGGCTACGGAAACGCTTGCTGGAAGGAGGTAACAATCATGGCGCAGATACCGGTCCAGACGATCCCTAGGGATCCTCAGTTATTGTACGTCTGCTCCCAGCTTCCATAATAGCACGCCGCTTACTGACCAACCACAACGCCAAATAGCTACTGGATTCTGTTTCCTATTACGCTTGTCATGGTGCATATCCAATGCTTCTCTCCCGTGACTCTGTCCCCATCGTCATGCAGTGCCCTGCCTAACACATCGTGTTTCTTCCTGTGACAGATCCTCACCGGCGTCCTCCGGCACTACGCGACCGTCTTGATGGCATCTACACCTAAGAAGGTTGATCAGAAAGCAATGCGTGAGCAGCGAGCTCTCCTTCGTGGTGTCAACTTGCGCAGCAACCACTTCGTGCTGTCCAAGTCCAGTTTCACGTCCCGGCGCGACGCGTTGATAACGGCATTTGAGTCTGGGGCATTCCTCAAGGACCCTGAGAACCGCAACCAGCCGCCACCGAATCCGCTGACGGACCCCAACGCCATGGACGGGCTAATGGGAATGATGAAGAACCAAATGGCCATGATCATTCCAAACTCTTTGATCATGAGCTGGATCAATGCTTTTTTCAGTGGATATGTTATTAGTGCGTTGCTCCTTGGGAAGTGGTGACATTCCGATCAGAGCTGTGTGACTGACTGGCTGGCTAGTGAAACTGCCATTTCCCTTGACTATCAAGTTCAAGAGCATGCTCCAGGCTGGTGTGGCTACAAAGGATATGGATCCACGGTGGATGTCCAGCATCAGTTGGTACTTCCTTTGCATTTTTGGCCTGCAGCCTGTCTTCAACTTTATACTTGGCAGTGACAATGGTATGTATTCTATCACTTGAGGCTTCTGAGCCTGATGACATGGCGAGAGATATCCACACTGACATACATCTATAAGCTGCCAATCAGCTGGCTCAACAAATGGCTGTTGCTCCGCAACCAGCTCAACTTTTTGGTCCTGGAGTAGACCCCAACAAGCAATTCCTCGCTGAGGCTGAGAATCTTGCTGTTGTCGAGCATCACTCGGTCCTGGACGGTGTGGAGAAGCGACTTATTGAGGGTATTAAGTTGTAAATATGGGAAATGAGTATACATCAGATCCCCAATAACCAGAGCAATCTGATCTTTTTCATATCGGAACCACCAAGCCTGTTCTACTCCCACCACAGGCAGCACCCAAGTCCTGGTCCGTTCATAGATCCGATGATCTGGTATGGTGGCTTGTAGTTGGCCTGTGCAGCTTCTTCAGTGCCTTCGGCCTCAGTTGGCTTTGAGGGTGTTTGGTCGTGCCAGTCTTCGGCAATTACTCTGAAGCGCACCATCTCGTTGTTATCGAAGTACATGACTTGGTCATCTTCTTTCCAGACCCAGAGGTTTTCAGTTGGTTCACTGATAGCTCTGTCAGCTAAAGTTGTTCAGGTCCACACTAGCTCGGGGGATCGTCAGGACATACAACTCGGAGCCTTCTGGAAGCTCGGTCCAGGGCACAAAAATGTCATCAAAGAAATCGGTGACCACTGCCAGGAAACAGTGTTAGTGTAAAGCACCAACTGATCCTCTGCATCTTTGCAAGCTTACAGTGAATTCCCTCTGGAGATTGGTCACTAATACGAGCTACAATGACTTCTCCCTTGAAGGGACGGAACACCACCATGCGGAATTCAACTGTTATCAAGTCAGGCTATACTCTGCTCAAGGGCACCAATAGTTATCCATACCGTTAACATTTGCCATACCATCACCTTGGCCAATCAAGCCTTCTGATGTCCACAAAATGTCCCAAAGACATATGCAGAGACCGATCTTTTGCAACACCTAAAGACCGCGACTTAGTCAGGAGCGATGAACGAGATGCAACTGAACTGTGACTCACCTTGTTGGCATATTTGGCGTTGATATTGTCTTCGAGAGCGGCATAACTCTGTTTCCTGAAGTCCTCTGGTGCAATTTGCACCAAGTCGGCAATTTTTGTCTAAGCACATGTTAGTTGCCGTCAATATGCAAGGCATAGAGTGCAATAACTAAGATTTTGGGCATAATGGCTGGGGTTGACTGACCAGGATAAACATTTTTTGGCGGAGCTAGCAAAAGTTGTTGATACAAAGGAGGATGTGCAGACAGTAAGGAGCAGACAGGGAGTAAAAAGAAGGGCTAAGACGTGATGGCTGGTGAGAATTTGTGAAGATCTACGTGATAGTGGGAAAAGATACACAGACTGAGCTTTGGAAGTGGTTGTTAGAAACTGTTTATAACCCCTGCCAAAGAGATTTGCGTAGGGTTAGTGGAATAGACGAAGTGCATGCAACCTTTCTGCATGTCAACACATACATTAACCCTTTGGTGGGAGTGTGGAAACTTTTCTTTCAGAACATTGAGATAGTCCCATCAGCTCAGGTTCAAGTTGTGGGTGTCAACTCATGAGGTGTCGGGGATGATGGACCACGATGGAGGACGAAAACTGATGAGGCTGCTGTTGCACTGGGCGCATTCTAATGAAAACTATAACCTGGTTGGTGCCTTGCAGGTCTATGGAGTGCGAGGGCGGCTACCACGGCTAAGCGCGCTTGTGCGGCTTGGAGTATTGCAGGCTCACAGAAGTGCACAGACCACCCGCGCTTGCACAACAAATCAGCAAAATTGTTACAGTTGACCTACAAAACTTCCTCGACTAACTTGCCAATCGGAGATTTTCCCCCGCACCTGATACTTCTGAGTTTACCCAAAATCCGATGATAATCCGAAGATTAACCGGCAACGTAAGTCACCACCACCTCACTTCACTTCAAGATCCATTATCCATCAGGGGCATCACCAGCATCAACGTCAGCATCAGCATCATCCCAATTCCCATCCCCTGCAGCCTTTGTGGGTTTAAATTTTTGCCCTACTGTTCCCGCCTTGAAGCAACGCCTCTGCTACCTTCTCTGTCTGAGTGTTCATTCTTGCCAGCGGCCGGTTTGTTGTTAACACAACAGTCTTGACGTTTCCCAGATTCAAGTGAACTACGGATAACCCAAAACTACAACTACAAGCTACAAGCTACAAGTTGCAAGGCACATTAACAGCGAACCATCAGGCTGTCAAGGACATCAAGCCTAAGGTACCTTGTCTGATACCCTTCCCCTGGGAAGTAGACCAGGGCTTGTTTTGCATCCTACTTCAAGGATTATCAAAAAGAAAAAAGAAGGCAAGCTAGTGGCAGTCCGCCATGTCTTACAATTACGGCCCTCCTCCTCCGCCGCCCGGGCCGGCACCTCCGGCACCTAGCGGCTCAGCTCCATATGCTCATCCTTATGGACCTCCGACCGCACGTGGTGGCCACAGCGCTAGAGGTCGAGGCGGGCCTGATCGTGGCACCTACCATCAGACAACAACTCCTGGGCCTTCTCCCTCCTATCCGTACGGTGGTCAGCACCCACAGTCTATGTACAGCCCTGGCGCTCAACCAGCTGCCCCCTACACGGGCCCCCATCAACCAGTCTATCCTCCTTCCCAGCAACATTGGACTCCTAGCGCTGCGCCAGCTACGTCGCAGCCTCCGGCGGCTCCCATTCCTCCTCCGGGCCAGAACTATCAAGCCAGTTATGCTACTCCGCCTCAGGCTTATCCCCCTCAGCATGCTCCGTATGGCGGTCACCCCCAGCCTCCCTATGGTCAACACTCTGTCCAGCCCTACAACAATGGTTACCCGCAGTCTTCGTTCAATGCTCCTCCTAATGTCAACCAGTCTTGGAGTGGCCATCCGCAACCTCCCTCAAACACGCCCTATCCTGGCGCTGGTCGCGCCCGCGGTGCTCATAATGATCGCAGTGCCCCAAAGGGTCCTATTGTTGCGCCCCCAATTCGATTGGGCTTTGATGCTGGGAATCCTTCAGCTTCACCGGCTCCAGTGAGCACTCATTACCCATATGGGGCTCCTCCTCCCGCTCCTCCAGCGCCGTACCCTGTTCCTCCTGTCACTAGCTATGCCCCTCCTCCACCGGTGTTTTTACCGACCAAGCCTTCGTTTGAGAGCCGTCCAGGTCACGGCTCGCGCAATCTGGGCCGTGGTGGCTATCACAATAACAACCGCTCCAAGCTTCACAACAACAGCATGAACAACCGTCATCGCGCCCAGAACCGGAGCACTGGATCGTCAGCTCCGCCGCAGCCACAGCGCTCTGAGGTTCATTCTGGAGGGAAGAAGAAGAAGCGCAGGACCAACACACTGGGTCTTACGCCTGTAGAAAATGATGCCGGATCTCAAGCGGATTCCGACAACGACGAGAATGAGGAGGAGCGGCTCAATGAACTCTATGGCCTTGATGCGCCCAAGTATGTCGCATTCATTTCCCTTCCAAGATGCCTCCAGAGTTTCCTGCTAACAATCTTGCAGTCCTCAAACTGAATCTGAGATAGCTGCCTGGATCGCCGAGCGGCGAGCCAACTACCCCACCAAGGCCAAGATCGCAGCTAGGAGGAAGGCAGAAGAAGAGCAGCGGCTTGAAGCCCGCAGGGAAAAGCTACGTAAGAAGCTTGAGGAGGTTGAGTCCACTATCAAGCGCAAACGTGCTCTTGATGACGATGGCGACGATGTGAGGGACCGCGATGCCACCCTATCGCGGTCCAGCACGCCCTCATCTGATGACGAAGCGCCTGAAGTTCTATCATCTCGTCAGGAATCCAATGTTCCCCCTCCCCCCAAGAAGGCAGACACCCGTCAGCCATGCAAGTACTATTCCTTTGGTGGCAATTGCGGCAAGAAGGACAAGTGCCGATTTGTTCATGATGACGAACTCCGGGAGAAGTCTGTCCGTGAACAGCGTGAAAACGGTGGCCGCTTGACGCTGAGACAGCGTCTTGCACTTAATGACAAAGAAATCAGGGACCGTGCATGCATCGAGACACTCATATACTTGCGCCAGCGGAACGTTTTACCTCCCAAGAAGGAAGTCCAGGCCGTCACATCTACTCCGTCCAACGAGAACGGTGACAACAAGGAACCCTCGTCGCCAGCCTCTGGGGGTAACGCAAGTCCTCATACCGCTTCTCCCGAATCGCGCACCAACCAAAACTCCAAAGACATGTCCGCAGCCCCTTCTCAAGGCGCCTCAGGCTCTTCTGATCGAGAAGGCAAGTACGTCGGTTGGAACCTCAATGGGTTCGGAAACACCGTACCAAAGTCGAGTGATTAGGAGCCTCGGCTTCAAGATATACCCAGTCCTGCCCGAGGCATCAAGCGGCATGGTTATTGGGGACACCGGCCCAACAAGAGGCTTCGGCTCGAAGCTTTGCAGCTGGGGCCGCGGTCTTTCCCAAACAGAGCGCCGTGTTTCACAGCCCCAAGGCCGCGTCTGACACCGCCAATGGGTATCTTGTCCTCCCGCAACCTTACCCCAGAGCTGTCGTCCTCCCTATCTGTTTCTTCACAGGCTTCTTCGTCTACCTTGGAGCTAGAAGAGAGCTGCCGCAGGGCCGATGCTTTCTTGCTGACTCTGGAAAAGGAGTTCGCTGCGAAAGGCCTCTCCCCCGGTAACTAAGGCATTGTTACCTTAACACCAAGTGATTCAAACTAGACCTTCTCATCAAGCCTTGATCTGGCTCCCGGACAGAGAATAGCACCGGCTTGTAAAATTTTCTTAAGTTCGATTTCCCCCCGCCCCTTTCGTCTTCTCAAATCATTTGGTTATGTTCACTTCGGCAACTTCCATCTCCTCGACAAGTGTTATCAGTTTGTCGGCTTTCCTCCCCCCCTTTTCGTTGTTTTTTTTCCTTTTTTCTTCCACTGATCCCTACTTCCCAAATTTTCACGACCATTTCAGCAATTCTGCCTGTTCTTTTCTCGGCCCATTGTCTTCTACCATGACAGTGTCAAAACGGGCTGGGTGGTCGAATGTGAATGGGGAGAATGTCGTTCGGCCGTCTTCTTTCTCTCAAGATTTCCTCTCATTTCTCGGAGTCCCGTTCAAACATATTCGATGATGATACGAAGTTTGCTCGGAAGACTCGGCGTTGTACTGTGTTTTGCTTCCGAGCATCTTTGGTGTTTGTAAGGCGAACGACAACCCTGGTGGCCGATGTGCCCCTGGAAACAAACACCTTGATGAAAAAAAAAAGAAAAGATGAGCGAAGACTGAAGATGTTGGCAACGATAATTTCTTGTATGGTGTCATATACGACTTAGCTGGCTGGCCCGGAAACATGTGCTGGGAGAGAAAAAAAGGACCAGTTGGTATGTTGCCGCCAGCTGTGGTCACTGTTCAATTGTTCTTCACCCAACCGTGTTTCTGTCTGCTTACTTCGCTCAAACTATGCTTGATGGAGATGTGGGCCTTCGTCAACTGCAGCAGCTATCTCAACTGCAGACAACAAATTAACGTGTCTGCTCGCAACACGACCTCGGACGCTTACTTAGATGGCAGTGTTTTTAAGGGGGTGCCGTCCTTATGGAAAAATGGGTCGGTTGGAAAGAGTGGAAACCAACAATTAGGAGCAGGCAGAATCTCCCAAGGCCGTAATTCCGGGCCGTTGCACAATTAGGTAGTTTAGCTTGCTGAACACTAATATGAAGCCCATGTTCGGCAACACGAAGTCGTGTGGTGGTGATGCAAAGAATTCCCTGTTACCGTGTCATCGCGTATAAAAAATCATACGGCCCTCTAACAGAACAAGACAGGGTATCAATTTCCGGAACAAGTGTTCTACCGTTGTCCATCTTATTCACAAATCTTCCTTTTCTCCATCGTTACCCTTTACATCTGGTCGATCCTTGGCTAGATTTTCCCATCGCTGAGCCACCATTTTCTTCTTGAGTTCATGACTCCAGTGCCCCTTATCCCTTTTATATCTTTCTGCGAACTTCCCAATCCGCCAGTCCCAACACGCTTCATCGTCTTCATCGTTGTTTTGATCTCGGCTTGTCGTTTTCTTTTTTTCCCGCTCTGCGCATTCTGTATCTGTTGCTTGCACTCGAGTAGGCCATTCCCCTACGGCAGCGCCCATCTCTGCATCGAGAAAATTGTCTAGCAGGAGATAGGCCGCGGTTCGGCGAACAGGAGCCCAATCGGCCTCATCTGTCTCGTCGATATCGGCAGTGAGGAGTCGCAAGACGCGCGATGGACCGCTATCTTCACCTAGATGGTGCAGGAAGTGATTGCGCAGCACAGAACTGCGGAGAAGACCACTCAGCAGGCTTAGGCGCGCTCTCAGCACAGCCGGAGAGTTGGATGCGATTGCTCCAGAGGATCCGGGCGAGGGGGAGAAGTCGAAGATCACATCGCCGAGTGTGCGCGTTCCATCAAGGAAACGGCAGTCGGAGCTAGATATGACGCGCGGCCAGTGCTCTTCAAGGGAGGCCAGAGCCTTGGGGTTGTTCTGCAGAGTTGAGGCCAGTGTCAAGGCTGCCAAGCGCGCACGATTGGCCGGGATGGACGGCGACGGTGCGGTAGCTAAGCAGAACAACTCGTGGACAGTATCGTAGTCTTCAGCGATTTTAAGTCCGTAGTAGATGTCGTGTGAGATGTCCTCCAGCATCTCCAGAGCCTCATCCACGTCGAGACCTTTCTTGAGGATGGTAAGGGACCGATAAAATGCACTTCCCTCCTCGCCATTGGCTGACGGTGGAATCTTGATTTTTCCCGCTGGGTCGTATGCGGGAGCATTGGCGGGGATCTTTAGGGACTTTGTTTGTCCCAGCTCTTGAGCCTGGCTGGGCTCGACAACCACTACGGCAGAGTCCACTGGCAGGCCCTCCATCTCGGGGTGCGTGTCATTAGGGTTGTAAAGTTTTGCTTCCTTCTTTCCCGTATTAATATTCAGACGCACGTGAAGGCCTGCTGGCAACTCCTGATCATCATGGACAACTTGGAACTCATCTGTTGGCTGGAACACTTTTGGATAACATTCATCCGGATTGTCTGTGTGGCAGATGAGGTCGATGTCGGCAGATGGCGATATCCGAGATGCTGCGGCATCAGAAGCTGTTGTTGATGAAGCTGATGCTGTCCGGGCCAACAAGTTCGAGAGGACGATAAGGTTAAAGAGTAACAACATCAGTCGCAGCTTGGCCATGTTGTGCCGGCCTGTCTGCCTGGACTAGATAACCGGAATATTTCAGGCTTCGGATATTGGTGGACGTTGCAAAGTTGTTGAAAAGATAGCCGAGAATGGATGAAATTTCGAAGGGAACTCTTGATATGGATCAACAGCAATGTCACAGGTGATGGTGTCTCTTGAGCAGGCTTGATCAGGCGCTGTGCTACGGAGCTGACGGCTCAGGCATAATGAGACTTGACAATAACAGCTATCCTGTTAGACTGCGTGTGCCTCCTTTGTGCTTTTTTCTTGGTTTAAAAGATGGTACAATGATATAACACGTACAGCAGGAAATGGGATAACGACGGAGGACAGGCCAACTTGACGTTGTCTGCTCTGTCTTCAAACGGACACTGTGGTATAAGAGAACCGTCCAGGATTTTTGCGGGGTAGATGCTGATTGGCTCTTGGCCAATCGATCCCGCGCTTACCTACTCTTTCTTAAGCGCCACAAGCGCGAAATCAAGCTCTTCGTCACGTGACAATCGTCATGGCTCCGATGGAGCTTTGAGAGCTGTGGCCCGCAGGAGCAGGCCAGAGCGGGCTTGTGAAGAGGGCGGCCGAGCCAAGCATTGGCAAATAGTCGCTCACCACCGTTCCGTCGCACCCTCCGTAGGCGGCTCTGCTAGCTTTGCAGGACCGAACGACTTTCCAGAAATTGACAGCGAGACTGTCAGCTTTGCCTTGGGCGCAATCTCGGCAGGCCCTGCGAAGAAAAGAGGGGGTTTGAGGCCTTGGAACTTGACCAGCTCTGAGCCGAGCGGGACCCGACCTCGAGTCTCGATCGAATCAACCCGCTGCGTCGATTGTCGCCACTGCAATTTGTCGGGGCGCCCGCCCACAGCCCACCAGCGCATCGATCCCGACAGCTAGACCACCACCCCGTGGACTTCGACATGTTGGCCCTTCGGCAGAGGGCAGCATTGCTTGCCCGGCGAGTTCGCCCGACCGTTGTTGTTCCTCGCAACGCGAGAACCTATGCTTCGTCCCATGATCACGACCACCATGACCACCATCACGACCACGGACACAACGTCGAGGAGCCGCTTGGTGTACGCCCCCCCCCCCATGACTGATGTTTGCCTTGTCAAGCAAGAAGCACGGGGCAGCGGCGGAAGCTAACTTCGCGGAATAGGCTGCCTTCTACATTGCTGTCGGCGGCATCGCGTCCTCGTTCGTGATCTATAACATCTCGCGGCCCGGCCCGAATGGCGAGCCGTCGTCTCTCCACAAGTGGTTCAGCAAAATTTCCGACTACAAGGATGAATGGGAGACTAGGAATACCCTGATGGCGGCGGCGCTGGAGCAGGCCGCCCACGATAAGCACCTCCTTCTGACTGCTGAACGGTCGAGGCACATTGAGCTTAAGTACCCCGAGTATGTAGCTCCCCCTCTCCGATACATGCTCGGCCAGGACTGGTCCTCTCAACACTATGCGCGGCCGGGCTGCGGTGGCTCAAGGCTCACGGACGGACTGGTCTTCTGTCCAGGCTGGAACCCGTTTGGTGATATGCAAGCTGACCACGTGATAGGGTGTTCTCCCACGGCTCGCCCTTCAACGTTCCAGCCGGATTCTATCCCAACCTTGACCATGTCATTGAGCACTACAGGAAGCAACATCTCGAGGAAGAAGAGCGCAAGGCGAAGAAGCTTGCGGCGGCTGCCGCTGCTGCTTCCGAAGCCCGCTAACAGCACTGGAAGGGTTTCTTCAATAATACGGTATACAACTGACCTAACCTCTGATCTCACCTGACCTTATCCACTTCTCTTGTGTTGCTTGTTTCCTGCGTGCCCCATGTACATAACCCAGGTACCACCCCCCCCTTACGGATTACCTGACAACACGCGGTGCCTTGCATTGCACATCGCACATTGTGCATTGGACGCCGAGCCATCGCCACTGCCCAACGCGGCATCCCCTCCTGCGACTCTCGTCCTCAGTATTTCCCAGCTTGTGCTTGTGCTTTCCCCGTCCCGTAGCCCCTGCCACACATACGCACACATACACACAGAGGCCGCCTTGCCGAGACGTGCTTCTACACGATTCCAGAGCTTCACTTGACTGGCTCCCCAGCACACCCTGATCTCGCTGCCGATGCACACCTCACCCGCCATTGCGATCCCGTCACCACCACACACCCAAACGAGTAGCTGACACGAGGGATGGCAAGTACCAGAGAAACGCTCGATTCCGACATTTTTGACGCCTCTAAACACTCCAAGGCATGTGTTGCGCCTCGTCATGCCGTTCCTTTCCCCGTCCATCCATTGCCCGCCCCTCGATTGTTCCTGTGATTCGCTTAATCCTTCCACCAGACGGCTCCCCGCCGCTCAAGTTCCCCTTTCATTCTCATAACCATCTTGCAACCCCTTCTTTTCCTTTTTCTCATGCACACACTGGACGTAACCACAGAGCAGGCCTCATTGGTGAACACTGCTAGGCTGACACATCAGGTGCCTGTAATACCAACAGCCGCCAGCCAAGTACTACAAGACCGCACCAAAAGATGCCCCTGCCATTCGCGTCGGCTTCGTAAGCCCCTCCGTGGGCTACGGACTGTTTGCGGCACGCGATTTTGAGAAGGATGAGTTCATCTTCCACGAGGCGCCGCTTATGACGGCCCTGTTCAACGAGAAGTTCTCCGAGGACAAGGCGCTGATGCGCAGCCAGGCGTGTGCCTACCGTGCTGCTCTCACGGCCCACCGCGACGTGACCACTATTGCCTTTCCGGTGCTCGCCGCACGCTTCGGGATAGCTCCGATGCCCTACGACCAAGCTGCCGACGTCTTGGCGCTCCATCTCGGCCGGAACTTGGTCCCGGGCCATGGACGTTTTGCCGGCTCAACGGTGACACGCGAACAGTATGAAGCATATACAGGCTCCCTTCCCGTGGCTAATGACCCGTCCGAACGGGATATACGCTATGCATGTCTCGATTTTTTCAAGAACTACGCTTTCGAGGTCCACCACAGTACTCCTGGGAACTCGCTCATCGCCGCAACTCGGGAAGCTTGTGTCTATTTGCTGGGCTCTCTTATCAACCACTGCTGTACTCCCTCTCCGCCCTTGATTCCGAAGCCCAGGCTTTCTCTCCATCATAAAGACCACCACCGTCACCGTTGTCGGAATCGTAACAGCAACGTCAACCCTCACTCCGGCACCAATGGCAAGCCCGCAAGCTTCATATCTTCCCTATCATCCACTGTTGCCTCATCGGCCCCATCCTCCTCGTCCTCCTCCTCCACCACCTCCTCCTGTGACAATGATTACGAGAATCCTGAGCTTCTAGGCCCAAACTGCACCTGGCGCATTGGCCCATCGGGTCTTGCTAACTTCGTTCGCCCGCGACACCTCTGCGTCCAGGCCCGTCGCCGCATTCGTGCCGGGGAGCAGCTGACGTGGGACTACGGGAAACGGGAGAAGGGGTTTGAGTGCGAGTGCGACACATGCCGAGCCGGATTCTTGGCGGGACTGGGCCACCACTGCGGCGTGTTGTGAAGAGCGGCCGCCGCTGCCGCCGGGGTAAGGACTGCGGTAGGATTTCTGTCGTCATGGGTGAGAGCGTGCAAGTTGGGAGATGTCGCAGCTGTGATACCATCCAGAACGCTTAGCTGGAAGGGCCTGAAAGCAGGGCTGAAGTCTATATTCGGCCCGCTTCCAGAAGCCTCATCCCAGAAAGAACAGGAAATCAAACTTAATGTGGCTGTCAAAGTTGGCTTCCGCTGCAAAGCGTTTGGGCCAGCCAGCCAGGCAATCAGGATGCTCTGTTGGCTCAGATGCCGATGCGAGGAAATGAGCTGGCTTCGAGGTATCCAATCTGCGGCCCTGCTCATCATCTGGTCTCTGCTGGAATACGCAATCCAAGTGTTGGGGAAGTACTTATGGATATTGGGTCTAGATGTTTTGGTCGAGGTCAACGGTTGCCCATAGAGGACTTGTGGTGTAACCGAAGAAATGGGACACTGAGAAGTCATTGGCAGTTTGCAAAGACATCATACACAGTTAGCAGATAACATGTGTTTGGAACAATACCATTTGATCCTTGGTCATCAAGTCATTCATTTTTCTTGGCCCAGGATGCAGCACTCGAATTGCTCTTTGAACTATCTCGTGGTCCCTCCAAGATAGCCCAGGCACTGTGGCATCAGAATAACGCCCATGAGCAGAACCGTGTCCCTTTTTGCCGACTCCATGATTGACTGAATGCAAGAACCACCCATAACCCACAGCCCCTTACTTCAGAGGAATGAAACGAGAAGAGTGCGTGGCACCAATACCGGGCCTACCGTGCTTGACAGGCTTGCTAAAAGGGGTGTTAGCTTTCGGTCAAGTTCCTCCCAGCCTAGATCAGTAGAAGACCACATACTATGTGATGGAGAACTCGCCAAGGTAGTGGCCAACCATCTCAGGCTTGATCTCCACCTGGTTGAACTCCTTTCCGGAGTAGATGCCGATAACGCTGCCAATCATCTCAGGCACGACGATCATATCACGCAGATGAGTCTTGACAAGCTCAGGCTTCTCGTTTGGCTTAGCCTCCTGCTTAGCCTTGCGCAGCTTCTTGATGAGGCCGAGAGGGCGGCGCTTCAGACCCCGGTTGATCTTTCTCCGCGCGCGGGCGTGGAGGACGTTCCGGAGCTCATCGGAGTCGAGGTCGAGCAGGCTGTCAAGCAGGGTTCGGTGTTAGCCTTGTTGATTCGCCAATTTCGGTAGAGATGTAATCGTTCAAAGTCCTGAAGCAATCCTCCATTTTTCCGGGTCTTGTGATTCATGCCACCGTGGAATCGCCCGTTCTACCAACGGCAGCATTCGCAGAGAATGCTGTGAGTTCGGGAATCACGTACGCCTCAAGGTCGATACCGCGGTAGGAGAACTTGCGGAAGGTGCGCTTCTTCTTCAGCTCAGCGGCCTCCTCGGCATTCTGTCGTCCCCATTGTCAGCTCCAATTTCTTAAAACCAGACGTGTCAAACTGCAAAGCTGAAGGCACTCAGAGCCGAAGGATTGTTTCGAACGAGTCAAGCATGGGGGAACATACGTATTCGGTGTCAGCCATTTTTGCGGTTCTTGGGATGATCACGATCTCGCTCGACTCGATAGTACTGCGTATCGAAGAGCGAAATTCTGCTTGTCGCGATGAGGAAGTGGATTTGACAGTAGGAGGAGTCGCAGGCGCTCGTCGTGAATGATGGTTGGATGGCAGATTGCTCAGCCCCACTCACAAAAATTCATAGGGTTCTGTGCCCTCTTTCACGCCACTCGCCCCCGCCCACTTCGAAGCGGGTCATATGTGGCTCAACTGAGGCTGTATATGCTTACATAATGAGGCGCCCTTCATGGCAAAGCCCCAGGCACCAACCCCATGCAGCAGCTCGTCCTCATGGCAAACGTTCATTCAGGACCGCACTCAATCTTGATACCGCCCTCAATCATGATACCGCCTGGTGCATTCTAGCCATCTTCATCTTGAACATCATTTTATCAATTTCTTTGCCAGAAGACGTATCTTGTCTTGGCATCTTGCAGACAGTAGCATCGCAACAGTCCAGCTCAACAGTTCTCGATACCATTGGAGTCACCAACTTCAAGATAGACATCTTAACAAGTTCTCACTTTTCTCCAAGGCTTGGTCAGTCAGCAGCCAGTTTCCACAAAATATCCTGATTCTCTCACTGTTTCTCATTTGATATACCTACTCGAGCTACTGCGTGCGATTCTGGATTTCTCACTTCCAAGAAGCTATGTACAATCCTGAGAGTTTTAAAACTCTGTCAATCACCACTTGGTTTCCATTGCCTCAGAAGGTTCCACTAAAGCTTCAGATGCGCTGGAAGACTGATAAGCTCGAAAGTGCCTGTCCGAACTGTGTGAACATGGTGTTGTCCGCGCAAGACGAGCCCAGGTTAGCATTGTGAATCCAAGCCGGTTCCCAGTAGAACAGACCAACTCCACGATTCACCGATGATACCACATTTGCTACAGATGTTATATATTGAACCTGACCGGCAGCCGAAAAAGGGATGTTTTTAACGTCGTTTGGGAAAGCATATCTGGGGTTTGGGCAAGAGGTAGGCCAATTAGTCTCGACCACGGCGACCTCCTTGCCCCAAGTGTTGACCATATTGGTCAAGCTTGATCTGAGCGAGTCTAGAGTTGCCGAAGAAGAGTAGAATGGGTAAAACGATACGCCCATCATGTCAAAGTCGGATGACACAAACGGGCCCTGTTTCAAGACGTTGGTGTACCAATAGTTTTGGGTTGCCCAGTTCCTTCATCGAGTCAGTCTCCTCTTGCTTTATCTCTCCCCGGGCCGTAACAAGTAATGCAACTTACCAGCCATTGTCAAGATGAACCATAATTTTGGGTTTCGGATTGAGTCTTGAGTCCTTGATACCCCACGCGGCTGAGTGCAGTAGCCGCGCGATGTTGTACCAGTTGTTTGTTCTGCCAGTAGGCCAGAGGAAACCGGCGGTAATTTCGTTTCCAATTTGCACAATTACGGGATTAATGCCAGAGTCTGCGAACCGATTGCACACATCCAGCGTGTAGTTGTATAGCTTCCACGAAAGGTTATCAATATCCTGAGGCCAGCCAGACGGGATGGCTTGATGAGCAGGGTCTGCCCATGTGTCGCTGTAGTGGAAGTCTAGGTAGACGTTAAGACCAACTGCTCTGGCTCTCCTTGCGATCTGGATGTTGTACTCAAGGTTGTAGTTCCCATCTCTAGGGTTGACCCAAATCCTTTGCCGGACCGTGTTGACGCCGTTTTCGACTAGAATTCTTTCCAATGGCATTGCTTGGCCATTAACATTCTTGTAGTTGACTCCCGCCCTCTCCTCAACGAGAACAGAGGACCAGTCTACTCCCCTGTACTGGAGAGCGTGAACGGTGGAGAGGCCAAACAAGACGACCGACGAGAAAAACTTCAAGATCATTATGTCGAATCTTCAAGCTTTCTGTGTCAAACACGATCCGCTGATACTGGGCTAAGAGTAGCAAGTCCGGGGAGCAAAGGAGGATTGCGGGACGCCGATCCCAGATAACATGCATTCTCCTTTAGTCTCCTATTTGGTCCCCGCAAAACAATGACATCTTTCGGCATATCACAACTTCCAACATGGAGAACATTTCTGCACAGCGACGGCATCATCTTGGCCGAGGTAACCTGATGGGGATGGCGATTGCCCCATGGAGATTGCGATGCTGCAACATCAGGGGCAAAAGTTTCTCCCCTGGAGGAAAGGTGCCCGTATGAATGAGCAAGAAGCGGGAGTCCGAGATCCTCCTCCCGTTAGCGCTTAATAAGGTTGCTGTCATTCATATACCCCAGACTAGGGAATGGTGCGTTTCCACGGCTTAAAACTACCACCAATCACACCCCAGGTTCGGTTGCTGTCCTTCCGAAGGCTACGTCGGCGCTACTACCCGGATTTCCTGACACAACGAGCGTCCTCATGGTGTTCTTTATTGCTATTGTATGTTCCGTGGCACAATGGGCATCTCAGCACGGTAGGGAACTCTTGCACGAGCTGAGGCCTTCCGTGTCCACAACCATTTCTTGTGACTGCTCCCTTTGCCAAATCCGTATGATCGTACAGTTTTGTATCTGCCCTGGTGTCAATTAGCTTTCACCTTCTGGATATCCCCCTCGTCCCGGACTTTTTTAAAGCAATGGATAGTCTCTTTATAATAGGTAACCATAGCAGGTAACCGTACAGATGTCTGAGCCAAACGTTTCCCTCAAATCCAGTTATAAGAATAGAGAAGAGAAAGAAAAGCACGAAAGGATGAAAAGGTGGACCGAACAAAAAAGCGAAGATAACGTGATTTTTGCGCTCGAGCTTTCTTTTGAGCTAACATAAAGATATCTTGAGTAGTCCGTAGGCATCCGAGAGTGACGTGCGCGAGTTATTCTAATACCTATGGATTCAAGACCCAGGCCTATGGTACGAAGAGGATGTGTCAGATGTCATACTGCTAAGGTCTCTGTTATTTCAGGGCAGCTTGGCTTTTGAAGATCGGAAAGTTTGCACGGATCCATCGTTATATGCTTCTATGGCTAGTGTGCAACTGGGGTTACGTATTATCTGGTTAAGGCGTTGAATGAAAGAATTAGTGTATTAATTTGGTGAGCAGACAGCCTGCACCAAGTAGCGTTTGAGCCTCTTATACTTGACTTGGCAGCTTGAGTTGGTGCTTGAGTGAGCGTACGTTCTTGTCATGCATAGCATCCAGTCGCTAAAAGCTCGCAACTCTCCAGGATGCTGGTAGGAATTGCTAAGTTGTCCGCGGTGGCCTGCAGGCAGGCTGCAACAACTTTTGAAGATCCACAGAGTCACTTGTGTACAATGGTACATGGAATTTCAAATCCTCGGTCCTCCTTGCGCGAAAAGCATCCGTCCTCAGTTTGATACCCCCATGTCTTCCCCCTTCAAAATGCATTGTAATTCCTTGAGCAGTCGTTTCAGAAACGGGTCCCCATTCCTATAGTGGTTGCAACGTTCAAAAGCGTATAAATGTACAAGCAGCTTCCAAAGCCGCAGTTTTGGTCTGAAGCTTGGCGGCGTAGCTTACATTGAAGTTCAATGCGGGACCCGGGAAAGCTAGCACAGGCTAGCGCGTCCGTACACAACTACCTCCAGGCATTACTGCGTCTCTCTATCTTTCTCTGCTTAAACCCTCCCAACTTCACTTTGGACCAAAGAATCACCGTAGTCGCAAGATAACTAGAAGCTTGGCTACCACCCGCGTGTCTGAAATCAACATCTAACAGCATGAGTGTCTGAATAAGCCTGACAAGTCGAATAAGTAAATCCCGACAGCGTTACGGAGAACGCGGTTCATACTCTGTATCGAAAAATGTTGTCCTCTAGGCGTCTTCGCGCTTACATGTACATCACTCTGGCAGCCGTCGTTCTGCTGCTCTTCTTTACGTCGCATGCTCGGCATGATCGCGATACCGAATTGGCATCTATCCGGGACTTTTACACCAAGACGCGTAATGCCATGGACAGAGCACATGACACCCCCTCCGCACAGCAACCCTTCACCCATGACACCGATGCCGATGGCGACATTGACGAAGACGACCTGAGGCTCGAAAAAGAAATGGCAGAGAGGCTTCGACAAGCAGAGAAGATAGCGAAGGATAATGCAAACGCAAAATCCCCCCATAAACCCGATGCACCGGAAGATGTGATAGGTGTGGGAAGCTCTGCCAAAGGCCAGGACCCGGGAACCAAAGAAAACAAGCCAGCCAAGTTAGATGGAGAAGACGAGCGACTCGTGGAAATGGAACTAGATTCTATTCTCAAGAAATCACCAAGTAAGCATCCTGGCGCTGCTCGAACCCTGTTGTTTCATCCATGCTGATGATCTCTCGCACCATAGTCATCATTTTCTCCAAATCATACTGTCCCTACTCGAAGCGCGCAAAAGGGATTTTATTGGAGAAGTACGTGATCGAGCCTGCCCCCTACGTTGTCGAGTTGGACCTTCACCCTCTGGGCCCGAAAATTCAGTCCAGACTTGCAGAAATGACGGGCAGGAAAACTGTTCCAAACATCATGATATATGGCCAGAGCATTGGAGGTGGCGACGAAATTGCAGCCTTGGACAAAGAAAAGAGTCTGGCGGACAAGATCACTTCTCTTGGCAAAGACCGCATCAATGTGTCGGAACGGTTTGTTGGAAGTCTTCCCAATGCAAGCTAACTGGGTCAGAAGATGACAAGAAGTCACTCAGATCACCGAAGATGGTTGTCTGGACTGCAGGTCCTTGTTGACGGAGACTCGAAGCGTTGATTGGCGATCGGGACATTCCCAACTTCTTGGACATTTGATATGTTCGATTGGCCGATCCCTCCTTCTTTAGGTGCGCCGGTCTGATGGGTAGCACCACATCATCATCGCCAATCCCTCGTTACGCTTGGCCAACAACTCTCGATAACAAGTCTGCCACGCACTGACACTTGGTCGTCATTCAGCTTCTCACAATATCTTAGGTTATTGAGCCTGGCCTCTTCCAGCACTCTAAGGCTTGAACCACTTAAAGGGCAGTTGACCGATTTTCAATCCAGGGGGGATGGTGTAACTATATTGTTGTCAAAGAAAGGCCCAGGGCTGAGGTGCCTTTCAGGGTTACAATTGTTGGGTAGACGAGGGGATCTGGGATACGAAGTTTTTTGGACAACGGCTTTGGACAGCCGGGAGCATGTTGGCGCTTATCTGCCTACCTACATAATTGGCTTCCGTCATTGGACTGCATGCTCGACACAGCTGGTTTTTGTCACTTCAGCCACACTACGGCTGACGAACACTTGAGGATTTCTACTGAGAACAAAACCGCGGTTGCCCGTGCCCAGGCACAGTGTGAGTGCCATATTAATCGCTGACATGAAACTATACACAGAGTGGTGAAGGTGTATCGCAGTTCCTTGCATTGGTACAGAGTAGAACCATATGCGTGGGTGTAATAAAAGTGTTTGTAGCAAGGAGCAAAGGGTGCTGCTGTGTAACATATGTTCTGGTACGTGCTGTCTTGTGTACTCTACCTAGTTCTGCCTGCTTCAATCGTGGCCTAGGTGCCTTAGGTGTCTTAGCTGTTCGATGTTGGATGATTCCTCAGTTGCGATCTTTGGTTGCTTTCACATGCAAAATCGGAAACCTGTAACCAGGCAACCCCACACATGCACCCCTGCGTCATTGCTCGCGGGTGGACTTGGCGCGTCAGAGCGAGGAGACCAGGAGGGCACGGCGCTGATTGATCATTGATGAGCCGACCAGTGCCGCCCCGCACTCATCCATGGCCGATGGCACATGCCACGGCCCGAGTTAGTGTGCTCGTCATCCGGGCACAGAACGCCGCGGCCGAGTTGCCGCCCCGATGGGCAACCCCGACCAACTTTGTCCATCTCTTGCCGTCCCGAGTCGGCCATCCCTCCAGACCTCGATCCGCTCCCCGATGAGTTAGGCATCGGTCTTTCGCCGTCCCCTGCCGGAGCGTTGTGTGCTTAAGTGCGCACCGATCCCCAGCCCAGTGCCCACAGCGCCGTCAGCCAACTGCGCGCCGCGCCATAGCACCACCAGCCCATTTCCTCAATCCCCCGAATTGCCGAGGCAAACATGTCCGGCGCGCTCGAGAGCGTCAAGGTACGCATTCCATTCTGTGAGCTCGCCGTCGACGGCGATGCCAGCATGTTTGCCTCGTTTGCTGACAATCGCAACGTAGACTGCCATCGAGCGCGTGGTCCTCGACCCGAAATACCATGATCTCTTGGCCATCGTCAAGGGCGCCCGAAATGGTGCCGTCTATGGCACAAAAGTGCGCTTTCCGCACGCACTTGTGTACGTCCATCCGTTTATGCTGGCGACGGCAGCGCTGATATGTGTTGCTGCTCGTTGACTGGAAGGTTACGAAAAGGCTGACACACCGACTTCAGGATGATCATGCTCTTTCGCTCTGGAACGTATGCGATACTTTTCTCTCCTCTTGCCAGCACTGGTGTTTCAGCTAACTGTTGACCGAATATAGTTTCCGCGAAAAGGCCTGGCTAATTTTCCGTGCCACGAGAACGCACGCACGCAACCTGGCCAAGTTTGCAACCATCTACAAGGCAACCTGCCTACTTCTGAAGCACTTTGGTCCTACGCCAGGCAAAGAAGGTAAGCCCTACCCCAACAATGCACCTTTCCTGCCGTACCCAGCGTTCATTGTTCTGACCTCATCTCCCGTTCTCAGGCCCTTACGATAGTTTCATCGCCGGTTTGCTCGGCGGATACATTGTTTTCGGCCAGCGGTCGAAGCGTACGGGGCGCATCTCCAGTGTTAGCCAGCAGATTGTCATCTACGTATTCGCGCGTGTCGCTCTCGCATTAGCTCGTCTGGCGGTCAAGCCCGGCTATGGGCTGCCCGTCGTTTCGGAGCAGTCGCGCAGCGCCGTCATTAGCCACTACGCCTGGCCCGTGTTCGCCAGCCTGTCCTGGGCTCTTGTCATGCATCTCTTCCGTTGGCACCCAGCCGAGTTGCAGCCTAGCCTACGCAGCAGCATGACGTATATCTATGCCAACTCTGACGAGTGGGACTGCTTGAGAAACTTTATATGGCACAACAAATGAGCACTGGCTGGCGGATGCTGAAAGGATTCTTTGGAGGTTTTAGGGCGCTGTTGCTTTTATTGGCGTTTAGGACCTTAGAGGTTTGCGCTCGTGTTGGGTTGTTGGGTTAGCTATTCTAGTCAGCTAGTTTACTTCAGCATGTACATCAGACTGTATGGCCGGCTGGGCCGTGTCCCGACTGTCCGCAAGGTCTTGGTTAGACTGTAGTAAAGCGAGGGAGAGATTTCCATTGAACACGGGCACCAAGTTACCTGCTGTAACTATCTCTGTATACGTTGCTCACGGAGCATGGGTTACAATGCAATGATTCTGTCCTATATACGCTTGATTGCCGTCTTGAGCCTTCCTAGTCTATCAATAAAGCAGATGCTGAGTACCAGTCGGCTTTCCATTTTTTTGTCAATGATTTCTTATGCCTCTTCCATGTCTTACAATGGATGTCCATTGCAGATTGCATAACCAAGGCATCATGGATTTAGACAAGAAGCTCGAGCCGAAACTAGAAGAAACGCTGCTTCATGCACAACCAGAAAAGATGAACTTCGCAGCTTGGTTCCACAGTTACCCTCCTTTTTTGTGCATTGCCTTGATATCCGAGCTTGCAATTGAACTAGTGCAGATGGACTCCAATGGCCAAGTCGAACCATGCACACCGGCAACATTTTGTTTGCTTTTGTTCCCAAGAAAAAAGACGACAGATTGGCCACAAGACTTGGGAGCTAGCCGCTTAAGGAACACCCAGTGAATGAACTATCGACCCAATCTCTCCAACACCAAACGCCAATGTAAAAGCCCAAATATTTACCCCCCTCTGCCCCTTGCCATCCAGCTTAACATGTTTCGCATAAAGTGGAGGAACTTCAAACAAGGAGGACAGCATTGACGCATCCATCGTTCTGGAGTATGACCGCGTTAGACATATAATAAAGGACACCAGACTCGCTGCAAACTACTTTCAAAAACGACATACCTCTGGATTGTTCGTAATCTGAGCATAACGACCCCATGCGATCTTGCCAGATGCGGTGACAATACCAAGATCGGAGACATTGACTTCGATGCTGTGCGGTAGTGAGTGACCAACGATCCAACACTTCCAGGGACCAAATCACTGCTGGGAAATATAACTTACATTGTGCCTTTTGTGAGGACACCGAGCTGTGTATACAGCGGATTGCTGGGGTTCTTCTTGACGCTGAGGATAGGAAGCTGGACAGTAACATTGAGCGTCGGGTGGGTGACGTTGGCCTTCTTGTAGCGAAGACCCATCGGCCGGATGAAGCCTGCCCTTTGTTTAGCACGTATGCACAACGATCACCTACTAATTTGCGTGAAAAAAAGGCCACATCTGTTGCAGGAACACATAAGGAGAGCTCGGAGGACTTACGTTCGTATTTGACTGGCCGTCTGGTGAAATCGGGACCAACAAACGTCGGCTGGAATCGAGGTTAGCAACGTAATTGCCATCAGGGGTATATTGATTAACCGGACCTTTGTAACGATGCGCTTCCAACCTGTTGAATCGGAAATTAGCCAAGTCTTCCAAACAACAACGTACCCCTTCCAGGGCATCGCCCAAATGGAGTCTTACCCTTCTTGTGTGTCTTCTTGCCCGTCTTGACACTGAAGTTCCACTCTTGTCAGTAAAAGCCTCCCCAGCGTGTCGCTGCCAACCCAGGCAAAGTATGACGTACACCTTGAACATCTCTTCTTCGCTGATGCCCCTGACCTTGGGGATGGGTACAGAGAACCGCGCGGCCTTCTCGGCCCTCTTGTTCTTGATCTGAGAGCTGAGTGCTTTGGCAGTGGTTGGGTTGGCACGATCGAGCAGGTAGGAAGGGATGGGGTCGGAGGGCTCCTTTTCGGCCGGGCGACCCTTGACATTACGTTCCTCGTGTTGCTTGATAGCCTTGCGCATCTGAATCTTTTGGGCATGACGCTGTTTCGCGTACAGCTTCGCCCTCAGGCCACGCAGATTCTGCGCATTTTCGCTGTTCTTGTGACCCTCACGAGCTGCTTTTTTGCGCGCCCGCTCCTCGGCGTCCAGGCGCCGGCCGTGGAGCTTGCGGTGCCTTTCTAGTTGCCTTGGTTAGCATCGGTGTCAAGACCAAGGGCAGGATGGGCTCGATGCGTCATCTGAGAAACTGTGTGGCATTCAATGGGGTATGGCGTCGAGCCAAGATGGCTAACTCACCAATATATTCGTTCTGGGGCTATATTCCGCAACAGATGGTCAGCAATGTTTTGTATACACAACAGGAGAGGGGGCGAGACTTACCATGGCGACTGTCTCTGTTTTCGGCGAAAGGGGGATAAGATGCTAATGAACTGAGCCAGATGGTAATATCTGGCCAGCGATGGATTGACCTTCTCTGCCTGGAGGACGGCACGTAAGCAATTTGGAGGACCGCGATCAACTACCAAGGTTTCGCACGGTCTCCTGGAAAAATTACCTACCCTGGATTGGGCTGATAGCTTATCGACTTGTCAAGTGGTGGGCGTGGTGGGGACGTTGTTGTGCTATGATTGGTTGATCCATCCTAATGCACGGATCAAGCAGCATGGAAGACTGGTCACTTCATCCCTCAACTCTCTTAGCGGTGGGCACGGTGAGCTCGGTAAGCCCGGTGAGCATGATGCACATGATGCAAACAATCAGGACGGTTACTCTGGTAATGACGGGGCACTAGAGATTCACCACAACTCTGTTCAGGATCTCAGGGATGAAATACCTAAACACAGCCCTTAGTTAATGGGTTGTTGAAACCACATCACTAAGCACATGTCCACCTCCTCTGGGTTGTATCCCCTCAACCTTTTGCTACCAACCAAGCTTAGGTGGATGAGATGTAAACAAACGAACCAAATATCTCGGGTTATCGAAGGGCTTTTCGCTAAGCAGGTCTTTACCCTTGAATGTAGGCAGCAGCTGTCGGGTGCAAGTGTGACTGGGTCGCGTCAGGCTCACACATAAACTCTCATCAAAATGCTTGCCTACCCCAAATTGTCAAGATTAGATAATACAATGCGTAAGCTCTGATGACATATCTGCCCTGGTTACGCAGGGGAAAAAATTGTCCTTGAACCGATCCCTCCCTTGCCGCCGAGCCAAAACTCCGATGCTGATGCTGGGAATCTGGGAATCCACTCTAAGTCTCAACGCCATGCCATGGAAACTCTGCAAACAACCCAATTAAGAGCAAACTTCCCCAAGTGAACTTCCCAAATGCAATCCGGATGCGCCAAAACCTGCTCCCCTCTCGACTATTGACAATTAGATCAAAAAAAAAAACAAACTGACAGAGCCCGAAGAGTGGACGATACCATTTCAGCGACTGCCGCTCTTGGCTTTAGCTTGTTCCAACAGCCTCCGCTTCCTCTCTTCCTTTTCTCGCTTTAGCCGCCTCTCAAGGGCTTCCTGCTCTTCATCCTCCAGCCGCGCGGCGCGTTCGGCTGCCAACTCCTCATCTTCAATGTCCGAAAGCCCGGCTTCCATATCCGACTCGTCGTCGTAGGAGTCATATCTGTACCGATGTGCGTAGCCATCCTCTTCATCCTCGTCGTACTCGATAAAGTCATCAAGGTCATCATCATCGTCTTCATATCTCCGCCGCGGCGCGGAAAGAGGCCCTCCATATCGCGACGTGCTCCGAGGTCTGTCACCTAAGCTTGAGTTGCCACTCGCTCCTCCTTTAGCGGTTGTCGATGGGTTTGATCTTGGCCGTGCAGTACCCATATAGCCTGTCGTTGCCATCGCGGCCTTCTTGAGTTTTTTCTCTGGAGCAGCGACGGCTGTCTTCTTACCCGCTGCAGCATCAGACGAACCTCCACTCCGGGCTTCCGGTGCGTGGCTGGTTCGATTCTGAGCTGACGTCACAGCCGCGCTTCCCTTGCCCGGGGCCGACGGTTTTGTAGCGATGGTTTTGGGCTTGGACGCATCCCCGACTTTCAAGTCTTTTCGTTCACGCTCAATAGACTTGTGCTGAATTTTTCCAAGTGACTCTCGCAACTCCGAGTTGGCTTTTGCCCGCGCCATGATTTCTGCATATGAACGCTTCTTTGGAGGAGCCGAGCTCGTCGCAGAAGGGCGGCTGGCTGATGTTTGGGAGGGAACAGCTTTGTGTCCGTTCGAGGGCGTTGTGCTGGTGGTGCCGGAAGTCTTGGAAACGATAGCTTTAGATGCAGAAACAGTTGGCTTCTCGCTGACGGATTTACTTGTCTGGGAACGCGATACCAGAGACGGCTTGTCTGGCTTGTCTGGCTTGTCGCCAGCGCGGTCGAGCGATCGTTCTGCCACCCGAGAAGGGAGCTTTGAGTTGTCACCGCTTGGCTTCAAGGGCTGATCCGCGGTGCCAACTGGGCGGGGTTTCTTTGGGCCATCTCCTCGAAGCTCATTGTCGGCTTTCCGTTTTGGCTGCACGACGGTCGAGCGGGGAGCTGGGGTTGCTGAAGGCGTGGCCTTTTCGCCTGTAATGGAGGCAAGTAACTCAGAAATCTAAGGCATGTGACTCTTAGCATTTAGTACAATCATCAAAAATGATATGGCATGACCTACTGTCATGTTAAAATGTGTCGGACCGTTCTGGTCTTGTATGGCGCAATTTGCGTGATCCCCTCCCCGGCCTCGCACTTAGGCTCACTGCCAAGTCATTGAGCACCCATCAAGTTGATGCTTGCGACTTTGCCACTTCGTTCCCCCTCTTTTGCTGAACGAAAACTCCGATCAGAACTGCCAAGCCGATTATTTTGGGAAGTCAGGGAATGCGAACTGTGGAATTTTGCGTTTGGGAGGTGCGCTGCGATCGAAGGCGAGCCGCTCAGGTATGAAAACAATGGAGCTTGCGTGGTCGAGGGAGAGCGCCTTCCAGGCTGGCAGACAGCCGCTTTTTAAGTTCCAGAGGGGCCCTAGAATCACCCAATGACAAAACACGCCCAAGCTTATGACAGACCCACAACGCGGCGACGGGAGTTGCTCTTGGCGCTGGGCTTATGAGGTGGCAGGGGATCGGAGAAGAACAAGTGCACACAAAGCACAGACTTCGATGCAGACCCCACTGTCACCCTGGGCCAGGGTTGTTGCAGGTAGCCTTCGGTAGAAAGTTTAACCGTGTCCCGAGCTTTGGTCGAAGGTTCCACCCTCGGATCGCTGGACCCTTTTTTTGGATTACATCAGCAGGCAACGCACCAAAGGCCTTTGCTGCCCTAAATTTCCCAGTCATGTGACAAGCGGGGCAGAATCTCACTCACAATTACAGAATTGGAAAATAAAATCGACTTTCTCCAGAACTTCCCTGGACTGGTTGTCTCCCATTCAGCAGAAGCAAGAAGAGTCTTTCTCCGCCCAATTTGCGGTTAAACCTGATTGACATCTCTTGTTCTCTACCGCTCCTCCCACCAGGTGAGCATTCGTTGCCCTCATCCTGCAGCCACCATTTTTCCCAGCTCGCAATTTCTGACAAAGTTTTGGCCTTGACCCAATAGTCAAAATGAAGCACCTCGCCGCTTACCTTCTTCTCGGCCTCGGCGGCAACGCCTCGCCTTCTGCCGCTGACATCAAGGCCGTCCTCGAGTCGGTTGGTATTGAGGCTGACAACGAGCGCCTCGAGAAGCTCCTGTCTGAGCTCCAGGGCAAGGACATCAACCAGGTACGCTTGATCAGCTTGTTAGCTCAAGGATGCGCACAGAGGGTGATTGCTAACACATGTTTTTGCAGCTGATTGCCGAGGGCTCCTCCAAGCTCGCCTCTGTCCCGTCTGGCGGCGCTGCCGTTGCTGCTGCCGCCGGCGGTGCTGCCGCTGGTGGCGCTGCTGCTGAGGCTCCTAAGGAGGAGGAGAAGAAGGAAGAGGGTATGTTGCATGCTTTTATCAATGCAGTTATTATAGATAAGCTAACGAATGTGCAGAGAAGGAGGAGTCGGACGAGGATATGGGCTTCGGTCTCTTCGACTAAGCAATCAACATCCCCAAGACGATGTATTACGAGGCCCAACTTTCCGAGGAAACACCCAGCTTTGGTCGCCCGTTCATATATTCCCTTTTATGACAGATGTCTTTGGGAGGGGATTCGGGTATCATGACATTGGGAAATCTGCCGATAACAGCCTACAGTGGTCTGTGGATGGAATAATACCCAGCTGGCTTTCTTCGGATCCACCGTTGTCTCGTGCCGCCACCACTCTTGGTGCCATTGCAGTGCTATTATGCCCCAGAACGGAATGCCTGCCCATAACCGTCTGCTTGAACATGAACCGACACCCTTGGTTGTACTGTGAACTTTCTAAGCGGGTGCTTTAGTCTAGGTGCTACCCCTTTGGAAACCATGCTAGTGAGAGCTTATGAATTTCTGAAGACCGTGGCACAACTGTAAATTGATGACTACCGACGGATGCAGCCTCTGTTATGGCATTTTGCTTCTCCTGCATCCATGCCTGAACCCGCTGATTGGCTTCTGGTGGTAGTCAACAGGCTCCGTTTTGCACTCGCTCACTCTCCACTACTTTAAGCATTTGGCATCAACTCGTGAGACAGTCTGGTTGATTGATCAAGCGGGGTGATAATTCCTTAGTTGTTCCTTTTCAGAGGCTCTGGATTTTGGCTTGCTTATCTACAGGCAATGGCGGTGTTGGCCTTGTTAAGTACCTGTGATGCAGACAATACTAGGTGTCTCTAGGGCTTATTTTAATCAGAAAACGGATTGCATAACTGTTTGATAGCACTCAGTGAACCGGGTCCCTGTCAGCTCATCAGAGTCACCGGTACATGTTATCCACAATCCTATCATCTGGAACTGGATTAATATTCTTGTTGAGAACTCTTCTGACATGTTTCCCTGTATGACTAGTCTCTATTCCTCCGGCGCTATCATGTCCGGTTTCTGCACTGGCAACCCATCCAACTTTCCGTCGCCATTAAACAGTGCATCAGCCAATGAGCGCCAAACACAAATTCAATGGTAATTCCATCCCGCTTGTTGTATATTGTGTCCAGCTCCCTCTGTCTTTAATGGCTGGGGAAGATCCTGCGCCTGCGACGCAAGTGTTATACATCCTTTGACTGGTGTGTACGGTCCAATCTAATCCGTTCTTTTACAACTATGACCAGTTATGGTCAACCTATGTGGTCCTTCTGCTCGGCGTTGATTTGGTTGTTGTACGATCTTGGTTAGGTGGTAGAAGTTAACACAGCCGGCCAGTTAATATTAGAGTATTCGTCTGCTCCGACAGCTGAAGATTCTTAAAATCTGTGAGCGCCATAACGTCAGTCATCCCTCATGTAATATATCACGCTTCAAATTTATTTCACACCCCTATCAGACCCTGAGGCCCATCGGCGGTCACCATGTCTGGTGCTGTATGAATTATGGAGGGTTCGGGACTTGGACAATGTTGGGGTACGTACCATCGGTCAGCTACTCGGCGAGGCATAAAGCGACCTACTTAGGTAGCAAATGGCGATTCTTGTCCTCTCCATTGCTGCCCCCCACGGCTGCCGCCCCGCTTTCTACCTAGCGTCGGCAGCACCCCTGTCGCCACGCTTTTCGGGTACGGTTCCCGAGATTAACAAGGGCATGGGTTCCAGCAAACTGCCAACCGTACGGACCGAGCTATGCAAGCAGCACAGATCTCGATGGAACACAGCCCACCGGAACCAATTCGAATATAGCGATCGTAGTATCGTCCTATCTTCGATAAATAAAAGCGCACCTCTGAGTTTCAAGTTGTTTCTGGCTTCTTTGCCATGCAAGGTTTAACAATTCCAAACAAAGCAGCTACTAGGCTCGGATGGATGAATGCTTTTATCTGATACCTACTGCTATGGCTGTAAACTACACCTGTAGGTATAAGGCCAGCAGCTCTCATAGTCGCTGCTTCCATAGAGCTTCAAGTTGACTCTTGATGGTCAGCCTGCGACTGCAGTCCGGTGTGCCATTCTGAAACTTCCAGCTACTGGCTCAGCAAACTTTTATCCCAGCCTTTCAGACTCATTGCGTCCTGTCTTATGATACTTACCTCGGTCTTGGAGAAGATTATAGGATGGCTAGCAATGTCGTGACATCCAGTCAGACATTGGTAATTGGTCCTCCCATCGCCCACGGATTCTTTGACTGTTGCTATCACTCATTTCCCTCCTGCTGTACTTCTCAAGATGACAGTAGTCGCTTGGTCCCTGGCTTGGCGAGAGCTGCGTACTTTTCGCTCTGATGCTCTCGCCCTCGGATGGAAGAAACCTAGCGTCCCGTTACAAACCTTATCCTCCCACATGCGCAACACCTGCAGGCATGGATAAAAGCTGAGATTTGGCAAGTTGGAGGTATACATAACATCATCCATTGCTTTTTCTCCCCCAATGCGCCGGCCCGCGCTGTTCCCCGAGCGACACCACAACATTGCTAACATCAGCCATTCTGAATCCTCTGCTCAGCCCTTCTGCCACGTCGCGCAGCATCAGATAAAGGACATTCTCCATAAGTCAAAGACCCCTGACCACCATGCACCCATTTTCAACTCCACAACGATGCTATTCGGACAAAAGGCCTTTTTGCAGTTTCTCTCAAAAATGGCTAGTTTTTATCTGAGAATTAGTATCAGAATAATAGCTGAATTTTCCTCTATTTTTGAGCTAGTAGATGTGGTATGGTCACGGGACTACCGTGAACATTGCTGTCCTGAGTGACTGTTGGGATTGTGGCGGGAACCAGACGGGCGGGATGTGTGTGGACATGCCAGCCCTGTCAAATGCTTATGACGTCACTTTATGCAACAATCGGGGTTACTTCCCAATCAGGCTAGCGCCAGATCTGGATCTTGTTCCGCTGAGGCACTTGGTTAATGAAACTTGGGACCCTGACCAGGGACAAAGGATCTCACACCCTTGGGCTCTGCCCGGACTCTTCTTCTACCTTTCATCAGAAGCTGTAACATTTTTGACTCACTGCTATATTCATGCTATGCTATTAAGATGACAACCCCAGCCTCTTCGACGGTTGCGCGGTCCTTGTGGGCCCCTAGTGGCTGCTCGGACCCCTCTGTTACGTCTGTTCCTCTTGCAGCTTCTGGGTCATCAACCCATCACCTTCGTGCTTGTGTTCGCGTTAGTGAGCCATATCTTGGGTCTCAGACCCATAATTGTCGTCGTGCCTCTCCTTCTCATGCCTCCCCGTCTCGGGGGTCCCGGGCTCAACGTCCCCCTCCTGCTGTGGCTGTCTCTGCTTCTTCTTCCTCTCGTTGTCCCAGCTATGCCGGACCTACGGTTGCCTCTTCTTATCGTGCTGGCCATGATGGCCCTCTTATCTCCTTCTCTTCCCGTCGGGCTCCTGCGGAGTCGGCAGCAGTGACAGGCCCGACTTCTCAACGCGTCGTGCGACACATTGATGCGGTCCCCGAGGATGTCCAAGCCCCTTGTGCTTCTCGTGTCGTTCGTGCTGATCGCGATGCCCCTGCCTTCGCTTCCACCACTGCCAGCCGTGGTGTTTGCCTTAAAGGGGCGCATGTTAACGTGGTTGTTGCTGTTGCCATCAAAGCAGCATGGGATTGAGATCTTCTTGGATCTGCCCCTTCCGCCGCTCCCTCTGGCCCCCGTGCCCCTGTCCCCTCCTCTGCTTCTGCCCCTTTTTCTCTTCGTGCCAAGACATGACAACAGGCTGACCGGTGACAGGACATTTCGGCACCCGAAGGCCGACGCTTGGCCACTGTTCGTACCCTGACCCTCCGTCGCTTCCCTGCGTCCGCCCCTGGGCCGAAAGCCTCTCGCATCGCGGCCACCGCCACGACCACCACCGCCGCTCCCTCCCAGGTCTCTATCCTTGGCCGTTGTGGCCCCCGCTTCCGGGTCGAAAGCTTCCCCTGCTCCCGCCGTCGCCAGAGTTTCTGCTTCTGGTTCTAGTGCTGTCGCCGCTGGCACAGCTGCCTCCTCTTGCCCCGCTCCCCAGCCGACCGCGAAGCGTGCTTTGCTAACGGAGAAAAGGGCAACCAAGCAGTCTGTGGCAACGGCCGCAGTTTCCACGCGGGCCGCCAAAGATTTGGTCCGCAAGTTCAAGGTCTCCGCAGCTTCTGCGGCTTATAAGAGTGCTCATTCGGCGTTTCGAGCCGACAAGGTCAAAGATTCAAAGACCCTCGTCTCCTGCTCCCATTCCCTCTCCAAACTTCACATGGGAGGAGGAGGAGACCGATACTGAGGAAGACACTCACAAGTGCTGCGAGCCGCGCATCTGCTTTCCTATGCCGAGCAAGCTTCGGATCGGCAACAGCCAACGCAAAGTCAAGGACCTCCTCGGATGGGGAGCCGGAGGTCAGGTCTACCGTGGGCACCGTTCTGATGGCGCACCTGTGGCCATCAAGTGGATGTTGGTCCCTGAACCGGACCGTGTCAGATCTTTTCCTGCCTGGCACGAACTAGAGCTGCTCCACAGTGTGCGCAACAAGCCCTTCGTCATCCAGCTACTTGATTAGGAGTCGCTCAACAACGAGGTGCACGTTCTCATGAAGTTCGGGGACGCCAACTTCGCCAGGTTTCTGCGTGAGCAGCGGAAACTTCACTGTCTCTCCGTGATTTGGATTGGATTGGAGATTCGTGTGTGGGAGCTTGGGTATTGGTTCTGGCCAAGGAGAGGTTTGGGGATTCCGAGGTTCTGGGGCGCTGGTCCCAAGATACTGCTTCTGATGATTCGTTGTCTTTGGGTTGTGTTTGTTCGTGATCCTTGTACTAGAGAGTGGTTAGCTTTGGTCTTGTGGGGGATGTCTTGGTCCTGTATTTGGAGGTTTTCCGGTCCTCTGTTCGGAGGGACTGCTTGGTCTTGTATATTCAGAGGGGTTTTCTGGTCTTGCATTAGGAAGATATTTGGTTGTCAGCACCTCAGGATCCAGGATTGGGGTGGGAAAGGTCTGGGATGCCTGGGTTACAGCAATCGAGACATTATTTTCAGTGCTATTCTTAGTTTTGTGCTGGGGATCACGACATTATTACCACGGCTATTCTTAGATTTGGGTTGGCATTCGGGCCAGGACCTCGGAATGGTGAATGGGAATGGAAAGCTATTCTTATCACCACCCTTTCATTCTCCTCTCATTTTGTGATGTGAACCCATGTGTGTGAACGCTCGCGTATGTGTTCCCATACTTGACTAATGTTTCATAATTGTACAATGTTACACCCCATCCTCGCTGGGTAAATCATCTCATCATCATCTCCTCCCCATGCTGTCGTCGCTCCCCCTTCTCCCCAGTTCTCATGGGCCCCACCTTGTCGCTTCGTTAGACACGTTAGATTCCGTTACTCCCTATGTGCAAGCAGCGTGTCAAGTCCATGTCTTTTGCACCTGCAGCTCCTGAGCATCCATATGTGACCCCAGATATTGCATTAACTGGACTCCTCAAGCGCTTCGGTCCGGATGCGCAGCTCGCTGATACGCAACATGGTGTAGCGGTGCTTGCTCTTGACGTGTTTGGTCCTCCTGCAGCGGGGCTTCTTCTTGATCTTGATGCGGAGCGGCTCTGACTCGGTTCCTGTGACCACAGCACGGCACTCAAACAACCGCTCATCCACAAACGGCGCACCCCGTAGCGTGAAGTCTCGGCTGCCTAGCACGCTCGCGCGGGTCAGCCGCAGCACATCGCCCGGGGCAACACCTGGCATCTTAAAGGGCAGTCGCACAGAGTCACCCTCAGTCACGAGGTACGGGCGGCCATGGATGTGGATGGTGATGTAGTGGCCTGGTTGAGCGGCCAGCAGTGGCAGGAGTGTGCGGACCGACTGGCTCAGTGGCTTTGGAACGGTTGCTTGTTGTTGGGAGGAGGTTGGCGTAGACGCTTGGGGGGTTGCTGAGATCGAGATGGTAGAAGAGTTGGTCTGCACCAGCCGATCTGCTTGCTGTTGCTGCTGCCTCTGCCTTGTCTGACTGAAGTGGCGCACCGGGCCGGCAGGGGCCGCAATGACGGACCGGGCGATGGGCGCCTGGGATTGCACGACAAAAAGGCGCGCGGAGCTGCGGATCGGGGACGCAACAGCCGGGCGCAGGTCCAGCACGGAGCGCAGCAGGAGGCTGCTCATGGCTGCAGACTAGCTGACCTGACTCCTGACTGCTGAGCGAGCTTGCGGTTGCGCAGTTGCGCAGCTAGTACGTTTGTCGGATCGCTGGCAGCGCTTCGAATTGGGAGCCTGGACCTGGGTCTCGAACCTGGAATTTTGGTGTGCTGGCGTCAGTCGCGAAAGCAGAAGTGCTAGAGGGCGCAGGTCGTCTTCTGGCTATCCCTCTGGGTCAGCAATACGCGCTTGTATCGGCGTCGGCTGCGTGGAAAATTCAGTGGCTCCGGCTCCAGTCTGCCGTCCGCAAAATCAAAATCCACATCGCCAGGCCAGGGCCAGCGAGCCGGGAGAGGTCAAAAATTATGTGGGTCTCTATCGTGCTTCCGCAGCGATCATTCGTGGCAAACGGCTAAGATTTGCTTAGATGGAAGTGCCAAGAACCGTATGGCTTGGCCATGCACCTCCCCAAAATCTGGATTACATAAGCCTCAGTCGGCTCAGTGGAAGATGGATGGGCAAGGCCTCAAGCACTTCCTCGATGATGCGGAAACGCCAGCCGATGCCCAACACCCCACCTGCTCGACCTCTCCGGCTCTTTGCCTCGAGTTCGTGGTTGGACCCAAGCAAGCGCCTGGGCCGAGTAACTTGGATTAAACAACGGATCCGCACGGATACCACATTGGCCAAAACCGCAAAACGTGGGCTTCCGACTGCCATGTCCCGTGGCGTGGCTGCGTGGGCTGCATGGGCTGCGTCATCGATGCAGTCTGCACCACTTACACGCTGCCACACCCTATTGGACGCCAACATAGACGATGTACACTACACCTTCATGCTTCTTGAGTGCACCGAGGCCCAGCAAGACTTGGGATAGTTGCTATATTGTAGATAGGTCCGTCGGAGCCAGCCTCGGAGTGAGAAGTCTGACCTCCAACATGTTTGTATCCAACCCTCGTCGTCACAGAATGCGGTGACCACAAGCGTGTGCCGTTGGCTCGTAACTTGACGCTAGAAGCAGTGACAATACAAAATGGGAAACGACATTTCCAGGCCGTCGAGGCTGATGAGCCCACTTCTTGATCATTCGACCAGGGCACCGCTGTCCTCGCCGAGTCCGAAGTGCTCTAATGGGAACAGTTCTTCCCAAATCTCTTATCCCCTGACGCCCCCTCCATCAGCCAGTTGCTCCCGGACACTACAATCGCTGGTCTCGGTCTCGGTTCCGGTCAATGATACCGCAGTGCATCAAGGGCAGGCAACGCCACCGCCGTCAGGCCATCAGACGAGATCAAGCCCAGAACTTGCACCTGACCCACGAACCCCCATCTCTCCAACTTTAACCCGTCTCGGGCCAAGCAAAGTCCGAAAGGCGTCCAAGCCGACGACTGGCAGGCTCGGTCCGTGTTCTGGATGCTGCCGGGCCCTCCCACGGCAGAGCGTACCGCCACGGCCGCTGAAATGCGGTCATCTGCTCTGTGTTCGCTGCATCCGCCGATCCCTCGTTGCTGCTCTCGAAACTTATCCCTTCAACCCAGCGCGCTGCATCAAATGCGCCCATAATTTGCCACAAGGAACTGTAAATGCTCTCTCGACTGTCTCGACATCAACTTCCACAAGCCCAGCTCAACACCAAGATATATCAATATCCGAGGCTACCAGTACTAGCCATCGTAACACTCCGACTATTGCAGATGCTCCCATAATACCTCTCGCAATCCTCGGCCCCGTAGCCACTCAAGCCGAGTTTCTCGCCTATTGCGACAAGCTGCGCGAGATGCGAACACCGCCCTCCGAGCGTCTTTACTGCCACAACAAAAGCAATCCACGATGCTCTGTCATGTTCCTCTCCGGCCGCATAGGCCGCGATTATACCCAGCATCAGCGCCGTGCCCTGCGCATGGTACGAGCATGTCCTTTGTGTGGAAAGAGGACTTGCGTAATATGTGGCGGCAAGGCCCATCTTTTGAACGTACGCTGTGGGAAATTGAATGCTAAGTCAGGTAGGTGTACTTTGAATCTTGATTTGCCATCTATTCTAGATGAATTCATTGAGCGCCCCTAACCCCTATTCTGGTACATAGACTGACTTACATTTTAGCAGACACCAGTCCTGGCACCGTTCACGGATCATGATAACCTGGAGGCCTGTGCAACTTGAGGGGGGAATGAATGTATTATGCAAACAATGAATATCGACGTCCTGCTTCACAAAGACATAGTATCTCTTACCATGGGCCCTGGAAGGGAAGAAGGGCAACCAGGAAAATGATAATGTCCTTGACTTGGCAGTTTTCGAGTTGTCCAATGACCAGCCACAAATGGTTTTAAAACGTGTTTTAGGTAAACCTGAATAAGTAGTATGTGTAAAGTGAAGCGATACCGAAAACTTAGCAGCTGTCCCGTTAACACAATCAAAGGGTTGCTAACTAAGCAATTGCTTAACAAGCAGGCCAATTCTTCTAACGAAAGAAATCGTCGAAGTTTAAACGACGTGATTGATCAAAGCAGCTGTTCAGAAGTCCATATGTCATTCCCCAACTGATTGTTTGGAGACAAAGGCGACCACACACTTCTTTCCACAGAAGATCATTCTCCATTATTCCTCGTATGCGTAGAACCAAGTTTCTGGTGCACAAAGGCCATAATAGTGCATATTTAAGCAAACATATCTTCTGGGCCCATGGTGAAGATCTCAAGATGACTGGTTTGGGTATGACTTCAGTCTCACCCGTAAAGCCATTTGATGAGCTCACGGTAGTTTCGTTGCCAACATGTGTTACGTCAATATTCACAACTTTAGGCCATGTGCTCATAAGAGAATGGGCCTGATTTACAATTGCGAAGCATTCAGCCATCGATACGGAAGAGGGCTTGTCTCATCTAGCGACGAACAAAGCAAGCTAAGGCTCGAAGTTCATGCCAGGGACTCCGATAATTGTGGATCTCTTAATAGGATTTATATTGACAGGATGGAGCCATGCTCTCCCTACTGTGCTGAGTTGGTGAGAAAAAGAATAGAAGATGAGCTGACACGAAGACACACTCAACTAAACCTGCAGGCACTGCGGCACAAGCAAGAAGCTGAACAACAGCAAAAGAAGGGGACCAAAGAAGGGGGTAAGCAAGGTAGAGAAGTGTTCAAAGGTAACAATGCTATACGGCCGTTGCCGAAAACGGCACGTGGAACAACACTCGTCCACTTTGAGGGAGAGAGGACGAAGACATCCGATAGTTTTCGGCCCTCTCCTTCTCATCCTCCGACCAGAGCTCATGCGTCGCGAGCACCTCCGCGTCTCCATGAGCGTCCATTGCTTGATGGTGAATATCGTCGCAGTCCTCAAACGCAGTACACTAACACGAGCTTTCAAGGCCAGCCCACGCAGGAAAAGGTTTCGAAGCGACTGAAGGCCTCTAAGAATCTAGAAAAGCCACTGCCACAGATACCGCTCAGCTACAGCCGCCGCATAACATCAACCACCAGCCCCTACGGGCAAAAAGCTTCCCACAACTCGGCAGCAGCGCGTGCAGAAACAGCACGTCAGCTACCTGCCGATTCAACACAGAGGTCCAAACCAGCATCGTCGGTACTTCGAGAGCAGAGCCGGCAGCAGCACAATTGGGGAAACACAAGAGCTGGGAAGGTAGGTTGGACGACGCCCGCTATCAGCAGCGGCAAGATTAAGTACCAGGCGCCGCAGTCGGAGCCACGTCGTCATCCGGCAGAATCCGGGAAAAGACCCCAAGCAGCTGCAGCATCAAGGCATATTAATAAGCAGAGTTCAACGAGACCTACATCAGCTGTGTCCTTGTTGTCAAAAAAGGCAAAAAAGATGAGCAAGTGGTTCAAGCAGCTGTTGACCACTTCTTCGAACAGTTCGATAGAGTGGGTGTCTCGGGATGCAGCTCGCATCGAGAGGGGCCTGTAAAGGGACAGTAGAGGATCTAGGTATGTTGACGATAATCAGAGGCGTGTTACTCTTTTTGTTAACTGAACCCAGGGAGCAAAGTATTGATATCAGAGTAGACGGATGACCTGTAAAAGTTAAGCGGCATCACTCGACACAGTGATTGACCGTCTCCAAGAATGTATAGTAGAAGGAAACAAGGTAGAGCAAAAAGAATGATTTTTTGTCTATCAAAAAATGATATTAAAGTGGTAATGAAAGACAAGAACCATTCAGGTCATTGTGTCACAAAGCCAAGTGAGAACTCATTGGCTCAAGTAACTTGTAGCTACAGAATTTTGTCCATCGGATTAGTTGATTCATAAGGTTCTAGCTGGTTTATTTGTAACCCCACATTTCAGAGTCCGCCTGGATATGTTTCGCTAAGCAATTTACCATCGTGGGGCTTGCCTTTATACATTGCCAAGTCCCTGCACTTCGCAGCGTTTCATTCCTTCTCGAGGTCCTTCCACTCTTGCGCCATCGTAGCAGACTCGCCGAGTCGCAACAATCGTCCGCGCATACTGATGAGTGCGCAATGCATCCCCTGTTGGCACGACGGTGGTGCACGCATTTTGGTCCCGGAAATGGCTCGGGAGCCCTGGCAACGGCGGCTCGGATTTGCGCCGTGCGCCCCGATGCAGTCGCGTGCTTCCCTCACCATCGTGCCCTTTTCCCACTGACTCCCAGACGGTTTAAGACAGTTTCGAAGGGAATTGGATTTTTCCGCCGCCACAAGGCCTCCAGGAAGCCTAGGCTGAACGAGATTGCGCAGTATTACGCTCGTCAGCTGGTCAAGATTTATGAAGGCAAGGAGAAGATGTACTACATCCCCGACTCTGGCATCCCCCGCGCGGAGGCTATCGTGTTAGGCGCTGGTCCGGCCGGCATCGCCGCTGTCGCCAACCTTCTGGAGGTCATGGACGAGTTGGAGGGCAACATAGTCTGGGTCGACCCATTGTTTGACTGTGGAAGCATCCGCATGTATCGCGATGTGCAGAGGTTGGTCTCCCTCCATGTGGCCCGGCGCCGTTGGCCTTCATCATCATTCCACCAGCGTCTTTAAAGAGTCACGAATCATGTCAGCTTACAATGCTCTTTCGTGTCGCATCAGCTACTCAACCGTTGAAGACTTCCTCTCATATGCCCACCGGAATCGAATCCTTCGCAGCATCCTGCAGTCTGTGCCGCCGTCTGAGAATCCCGTCGAGCGCCTGCAGATGCTCCCCCGCCAAGGAACCTGCAAGCTGGGCATGGTCTATGACATGCTCAAGTTGTTCACTGAAGGATTGCGCAAGCATAAGAGAGTTGAGTCGATAACTGGAACGGTTACCTTTGCTACTCGGGATTCCATCGTGTGTTGCCCACTCTTCTCTCTGCCAACTCTCTCTCCCTACTCTTTGCCAGTACAGGCTGACCCGATGACATAAGTCGCATGCCTGGTCGGTCAGCATAAGGCCTGACGAAATCGGCTTCGACGTGCAGCCTATTTTGCGCGAGTCTCACGCAATAGCCTTCTGTACTGGCTGCCACCCGAGGACAGAGAATCTCCGGCTCAAATCATCCAGCCGCATCCCTCTCGAGACTGCGCTCTCCAAAAATGGTCTAATTCAGGCCCTGCGGCGCGTCAACAAACCACCAACTGTGGCTGTGGTGGGTGATGGACACTGCGCCGTGTACGTGTTGAAGAATCTCTTTGAGTTGGCTACGAGCACCCACCCTGGTCTGCGCGTTCGATGGATTACCCGAACTCCCCACTTAAAGTACGTCGAAAAGCGTGATGGCATCACTTATAACAAAAATACAGGCCTTAAAGGAGAAATTGCCTCATTTGCACGCTCTCAGCTCGAGGGCGACGTCCTCAGGACCAGCGAGGCGGGAAAGTTCATTGAACGCATCATCGTACCGGTGAGCAGACATGCCCAAATGGCAGCCGAACTTACTCGCCCAGACAACGGGTATCTTGTTGATGATGGCGTGGTGCCACTTGTCGAGGAGGACCGGATGAAGCCTGTCTATCAGAAGGAACTTCACGGTGTTGACTTTGTCATCCAAGCCATTGGCTTTGTGCGCAACAAACTTCCTGAACTTCGGCTCCCTGTCGAGGCAGGTCTTAACAATGTCCCCTATGTCTCTAACCCCAAACATCTTATGTTCGACAGCGTTACAGGTACCATCTTCCATGGAGAACGCGACAGCAGAGAGAAGAGTGCACCCATCGGCCTGTACGGCGCTGGTAGTGCGTTCCCCGAGTTGGAGAGAACATCTCCCGGCCTTCCACGCGAGCCGGCAGTCAGCATGGCCAAGTTCATGAAGTACCTCGAATGCAATGCCCCTGAATGGATCTTTGAACTCAGGCAGGCCGAGCGTTGGCACCATCGCATGCGGGAGCGTAAGGTTTGGAAAGCAGTCGCCCGCGGCTGGTATAAGCAAGATTCACGGGAGAGGCGTATACTGCAACGCATGCACGAAGGAGAAATACTGCGGAAAGAACTCGGCGAACCTAAGTGGTATACCGAATGGAAAGCTTCCAGGAGGTCCCGTCTCACGCCTCGTCAGCTTCGTATGCTGCAAATCCGCCAGTCTAAACTCGACGTCTGGTACCGGCGCCAACGTTGGTACTCTTACCGGGATATTGACTGGCGTCGACGCACGAGATGGGCTGCAGAATATGCCCTACGTCCCGGGTATACAAAGTTTTACCGTCAGGCTGAGCCTGTGGAGGTCATAAAATCGAAACAAATGACTCCAGAAATGTTGAAGAGGCGCCGGGAAAGGTGGGCGAGGAAAAGGTTAAGGTGGAAACAATTAAGAAGATTAAAGACATTGGAAGCAAAGAAGCGAAAGGAGGAGGATGAAAGACGATCCTTAAGGGAGTTGTTCATTCTGCAAGATGAACAAGAACAGAAAGCAAAAGAGACGGCACAACAAGTCGGCCAACAAGCCAACAACACTGCTTGAAAGCATGTAATACTTATTTATGTCTTGATATTATGCAATGGAGAACCCGGCCGATACATACAGGATAGAAGGGTTGGAGTTTGGAGTTAAGGGATTTGCTAAACTCACATGACGGTCTGTTTGCCCCTCTTCTCTTCTACATACCGTGCACATACCTTAAATTATCCTGTTGTGCTGGTCTCGTCTCCATCTAGTTACTTTAACCTTCTCATTTTTCCCACATATTCTATAGTCATGTGAGCTTATCTGGGGATTGTACCTGAATCATTGTTTCACGCATGGCCACAAGCCTCTCCAAGTTGTGTACATGGACTAGAGGATGTTCAAGTTGGGATGATATGGTGAGATTTTTTTTTCTGGGTGGATACAGTATCTTGGAGTCAACGGTTATCCTGGTCTCATAGAGTTTTGACCGTGTTCCTCAGGTTCAAATCTCAAGGACTCTAGACACGGCTTTCCACAAAAGTGTCATAAGATGAATGGAACAAACGGCACAGTCACAAGACTGTTACAGGCACCTCTTCCAAACGATCTCCTTGCCCAATTAGTATATGTTACGAAGGGTGCTGACACTATGTTCGTGGGGTGCATCCTGTACAAGATTATCTATTGCAGGTTTTCATTCTTGATTGACAGCCCCCAAAAGATTCCATGAATTGCATCTCTCATCTGCCACTCCCCAAAACTCAACACACCGTTCCTGTGCCAGTAGACCTTATGGATCCGATGAAGGCCTACTTTCAGAGTGGCATTTGCTGCCACCCAGCCTGCTCGAAGCTTCTTCAGGTCCTGGGAAAGGCCATTTCTTCCCCTACGAACGTTTGTCATATCCGCCAAGTCAGAGTCCAAGCAGGTGATCTTCAAGATCGAGCTGGTGCATTCGTGTGAAGCACCTAATCGAGCAGGAAATACCGGGTCGTTGGAATTGAGAGGAAGTGAAAGGGGAAGGAAGGTTGAACGACGCTCGCCGATCTTAAGCTCCAAGCTTCAAGCTTTCACTTGGTTGCTCCCTCAGTTTCATTTATCCTCAGGAAGTGAGCAGAATCATACACAGGCCACGTCTCAACCTGCTCTCTCCCTCAACGTCACACAAGTTGTAGGGCATAGAGTTTGATTCAATACTGAAAGGAGAAGTAAGAATTTGAGAGGCTCGTTAACTGTTAATAGTAATTCGTTTTTTTCCATCCCTCAAACTTCCGCTAAGTAATGAAGATCCCACTTATGACCTAAAGACCCATTCTTCAAATCCACCACCACTCTTGCACTCAATCCGAAAGGCTACGTAAGATATCGCTTGCTCGAGGTAGTTTCATTGACTCCCACAAAGTCCAGGCGCCTGCTCTTACTGTGCCTAATCTGAAAGAAGTTTTTCAGCGCTGACTGAGGGACTCCGGAGAGGTGTCTGCTGGTAAAAGCATTGGTGATGTTTGGATTCTTAAGAAGATCTAGACATCTGGGACGTGTATAAGATCGGTGGACATAGAAATACTTGTGTCATGGCTGGTGTTCGGCAACACCGTAATTTCACTCATGCACTTCTGAATCACATCTTCTAAGCTAAATGGTCATCCGCCCGCTATAGTAATGCACATGCCTTCTGCAGGCTGATGACTATTGCTTAGGGCTTGCTCAGAGGTCCTGTTAATCTGCATCGGATAGATGGTGAACTTACAAAACCACTGGTCAGCCATGGAAGGAGTCCAGTGATATGCAGAAGGTTCTCCAAGTCCTAAGGATGAGGGATATTAGAGAAGACAGTGTACCAAGGGGTTTTCCTAGATAATCGATAATCCCGAATAAGTTGATAGTTTGTAGTTTTTTCACTAAGTAGTCATCGTTTGCAATCTGCAAATTCTAGGTCAAAATATCCGTTCCTGCTTGCTTTCCGTCGATTACAGCTTTACAAGTCCACTAAATTTGGGTGCTGGCATAATAGGAGGCTTCCCAACATCATGGCGTGTATCTAAAGTTTTACTTTGGGAAGCAGACCAAGTGGAGTCTGTGTAGTCGGAAGAATGTTGTGGAGGGTCATCGGACCCGTGTTCCAGCTTGACGTTCATCCCCTCCACCGTAGACCAGGCCTGTTGTTCCCTTCTCCCTCCCAAGTGTCTAGTTCCGATTGCATCAGTTAGTTCACCATCTGTCCTCACATCATCCAAGTACAGGATCAACACCCATTGATTAAAGGCGCAGATGACTGGACGGGCACATGGCCGCTGGCCTCTCCTATTCAGGCTACTTATGGAAGCTGGGCACTAAGGCATAGATATGTCTATGTACCCACACGAAACTGAGTAGCACAACCACCAATCACCCTCCTCTTACACGACTAACCAGGAACACATCGTACAAAATGCAAATATCCATGTGCTGAGCTTTCCAGTGTCCTAGGATAGGTGGGGAGTGGGAGGAGACCAAGGAATAAGAGTTTCGAGAAGGTTTTCATAAAGGTTCGGTCTGGCATAGGTTGGTAAACTTGTGGCTTATTTGCAGGCCTGGGTTTGTTTGCAGATTCTGTACGCCCATGATCGTTAACAAAGTTGACTACAATTAAGTTGTCAACATGAGAAAAGGATCCTCTACATCATGATATGTATCTGGATTACCACCTTGGGAACGAGGTCATGTGGCCCGCGCTCCATCTTAAGGTGCATACTCTACGCAGACATTTGGGCTATCCTTTACCTTCTTCCTCTCTCTTAGGGTGGCCTCAGTGCCTCACAACTCCAACAACAGAATGAACAAACACCGAACCATATCTCCAACTACAGAATAACCACCCTCCGAGTACAAAACAAAGCAAAAACTTCTTGGTGCAGAGCGATGGATAGAAAGATGGGCACTCATGATGGCTGCTGGTCTCTATTCTGGCTGCGGAAGCTGGGGTCATGGGCACCAGAAGCATAGATTTGTCTCTGTGGCCGCAAAAACTAGTACTTGCGTGGTTGTACAACAAGGAACATAGGTAGAGAATATCTCCAACACAACCAACCTCTCTCTGAATTCAAGGCAGTAACCAGATGATCAAACACCCGCTCGAAAATACACCATGACTCCGATAACCCTTTAAACCTTTCCTCCAGCTAGTCCGCAACTCTTCGACACAACCTCAAAGATCAAACATCTCCCAAACATCCTTCGAGTACAGGGCCAAATATCAAACCAATTTAAACAGTAATCATACTCAGAAGCACCATCTCGGAACCTGCAACCCAGAGTCTTGGGGTCTAACAACCTCCCAGCTCAGAACCAGAGTCCAAGCTCAACCAACCAACCAATGCCCAGCCAGTACCTCCGCATACCCTCCACTCAAGCCAAAGACAGGGCATCTTCTATTCGAGGAAGTCTTCTACACTTCCAACACAGTCAGGGGCCCGACTTCCCTGTTCGAGCCGAATTTGAGTAGCATGCACCTGAGGGACTACACGTCACAGGCTGTTGTGACAAAGTGGTCCTCTGGGAGAGTGATATCGTCGCGCAGGAGCACATTATAGGTCCTGTTGACTCTCCTCGAATGAACTGCCCACTTCGCGAAGGACTCGGGGACGGCCGTGGCAGAAGTGCCATGTGGGAACTGGCGGATGCAGAACAGAGGAATGTGAATCCCTAGCCACACCAAGGTCGATGATCTTGAACTTTCCTCCAACCACAACAAAATCCTCAAACTTCAAATTGGAGTGGATAATGTTGTGTTCATGGAGAATAGCGACGCAGGTAACAAGAGAACGAAACCACTAGCAGAAAAGGTCGAAGTTCCAGTGGTTCTTGTTCTTTTGCTTAGCAAGGACCAAGGTGACGGTGCCCTCCGCCAGCTCCAAGACCAAGAGAGTGTCGTCGACGGGATACTAGTCGTGCAAAATAACTACCTACCCACCTGACCTGCCTACTGATCTTTCCTCCATTGGCATGGGCTGGGTTCCACCATTATCTGCAGATGGTATTTGTGATCTATATATAATCTGTGGACCTGAGCGTTCTTTCCCTGATTCTTACCCACATGATCTTCATTGATTTCGCTGAGTTTCTTCTGGAAATGAAAAGCAGGACTCCGAGAAAGGCCAAACAAAGCAGCTGCACAGATATCTACCCAAGGTGTTGTAGGTACCCGGTATGTACTACATTTTTCACCTCTATGGCTGAGAATCTGGATAGTGCCTGTGGGTTCAGTGATGGTAATCAGACTCCTGATCTGCTTCTCACCTTGGTCCTCTCCGGACCATCTCCAGGTTGACATTGAGTAAGGTAAGGAGCACCAGCCGTATCATGATACTCAGCGAAGGAGATAAAAAATTGGGAAGGCAGCATGAGACTCATATGGCTGTCTACTATGGTCTTACCCATTCGTCGACTTCCCTTTCTTCCTTCAAAGTTCTCGGCTTAGGTAAGTATGAGCAAGCTTTTGACACCTGTGACTTGAATGGCACAGTGTTCTTTCTCTACTTGTACAGAGAGGATGATGACCGACTTCTCAAGCTTCCTGGTTGAGAGGAGGGGTAGCTCATTCCCCTCATGATGCCGGCTGTCACATGTTAAATATTGGAGCCATGTTGCGGAAAGATCGAAGGTAATGTAGAAACTTGGAGAATATTGTGAAGATGCGGATGGGCCGAGCTTACTTAAATAAGGCGCGCAGACTATGCTAGGTGTCACGCACGTATCAACTGTGTTGTTGCCATCATGATCGCAGGCTTCGAGGGTTCCTCTCTTAGGAAGGCGGCTGTTTGACAGCTGACTGTTGTGGCAGCTGCAGTGCGAAAAGACTTCTTGGACTTGTGGCTTGGCTGTGGCCAGTGTGTAGCACATCGGGCCTTCAACTCACGAGTGCTTACGTAAACTGGCAGGAACTAAGCTATGTGGCATTACTCATCAGGCAGCAGGTGCTTAGCGTCTTGGTAGCTTGTCATTGGGACGCTGGCAGCTTGGGTAAGAGAAATCCGGACGCTCAACTGTTAGCAGCCATTGTTTGGTTTGATGGTGCGCTTGACTACAGCAGAGCGGAG